GAAAATCTCGTTCACTGGATCATTTCTCAGCAAACCGATGCTTTCTCTCTCTCGGCCATGTCGACAACTCTGCTCGTTTCCATCTGGATGGAGAGAGAGATCCAGTAGCCCGCTGCAGGTACTCGGGAAGATGAAGATGAAGATGAAGATGGACGCTCCTTCTTCAATAAGTTTCTAGCAAATGAGACTGGATCCGGCGTGAAAGAGGAACCAGATGGACAACTCTAAGCTTGATACGTACCAATACACGAGCATTCGGTGTATGATACAATTACTTCTAGCGATGTACGAAAGTCTGAGAGTATCAGTCCTTGCTGAATCTGGAAGAGTATCTCAAGACCATTCTGTGGTGTTGAAGCCCATATTTCATGACACCGACAAGCATATGCGATTGATGGACGATCAAATCTCGGTAGCAGAGAGGGGCGACTTGTTGACTTGCCCCAAAAAGTTGACTAAGGAACCACGGCGACAGACCTATTCTGCTGGACTGTTTGAGTCGCGAACGTGATTTTGAGCGAAGAGGCTCGAGATCTTACTACTAATATAAATATATATATTAGATTTGTGTGATGGGGTATTTCATCAAAAAGGACTTGTCGGTGGAGGGACGGCAATCTTCGAAGCGACTGACTGGGTCGACGCCTAGATCTGCGGCAAACGAACTCTCATTGGAGAGCATGATCACTGTGCGTGGTGGTTGCGACAAAAGCTGAGGATTCTCCGCAACAGCTGAGTGGTATCAGTCCATACCTCTGTCCACTGAAACAAATGATACCAATAGCATAGCGCTCCAGGCATTCGTGTGGACTGGCGACATGGGACAGCACTGATCAGCTAGTGTTAGACAAGGCACTCCATCCTCGACGGATACGAGAAGCTCAGGCTTATACCTGCCCCGGATTCTGCCATTGCTTGGTGTTCATATCCTTTGCGAGGCCTGACGACATGGAAGAACTACGATGGTCGCTGGAAACAAGACAAAGGCTGTGCAGTCATCCTAGCGACACTGCCCTGGCGAAGCTTGCCATACGGAAGAGAGAACATCTCTCGCGCCCTCGCAGCCTGGCGCCTCACCATCCTAAGAGTCAATGGAGATGTCACAGCGAATCACGGGTGGACTGCTGGACAATACGACTGGACCAGCCATATCGACCTCAGAGGTCTGGCGGTTTTAAGCATGCAGGCGTACCGATGACCGGACAGTCACCGCAGGGCAGAAAACGGCGAACAAGTTCATATGGACGTCGTGAAAGATTACCCAGTCTGGCAAATTAAACATCGGCTTCTTGGTCATCGACCGACTAGAGTTCTCACATTACAATCACTGACTAGCCCGCTCCTACAAGGTGGGGGTTGTTCCTGTCGCGATGTTCGAGAATCTTAGGCAGATCATAAAAACTTGCTCAGCATGCCGCTCCAATGCGTCGCCGTTCACATTCCACGACGCCGATATAGACAACGAGTTCACTTGGTTGGCCAGGATGTGCGGTACTTCTCAACTAGTAGCGTCCAGCAATTTCCGTCCAGACTTGTCGTCCGCTCTCCACGGCCCCCCAGGCGCAGCGGAGTCCATTGATGGCTGGTCTCGAGGCATCACGGTACTCGCTTCTCGACTAGAGACTCCAGCGGGTTTATAGACAAGGAAGAGATTGCCCGTGAATCTTCAAATGCTCTCGGACGGATAAGATCCCTTATCAAACGTTGATCAAACGATGGTGGGCGACTAGAAAGCAAGCAAAATTTGGCTAGCGCATATACGGTAGTTTTCCCAACGATTTCTGCTGACATGCCTTCGAATCTCAGCCTTTGGATCGACAGGACGAGTCTCATTGCCAACCAGTCTTCATAAGAGATTGGCACCTGGGCGCCAATCAGGCAGCCACTCCTCGTCGCCGTCCTCTTTTCGCAAGAGACTGCTTGTCACAAATAAGCGAGCAAAGACGAAACATCTCATCGCCATCCAGTCCTAGCTAGAGGTACGCAACCACATGAAGAAACAGCTTGCGTGGGTCGCTCGGACCATCACAAAGGGCCCAAAGCTTGCCACTCCACAAACATTCCCCATTCTCAACATACAGACCAAGCAAAATGAAGCTTTCAGCTGTGCTCGTCACTGTTTCGGGCACGTTGGAGAGTGCAAGTGACATGAAGATGACCCAGCTGTGTATGGAGCAGTCGGTACTCAGATTTGTGTTCAAGGAGGAATCCGCTTCATTTCTTTCACATCAGGTCGTGGCGGAGCTCGCCTGACGTGCCTAGCGCTAGCCTTTGTGTCGATTTCCTCAACATCGAGAGAAGGCAGCGAAGGGGAGCTGGGAGACGATCCGCTGTCCTTCATGAACGAGGATGCAGACCTCTTTCCTCCAAGGATTTTTCACTGGTACAGCTCCCTACCTGGCAAGACCCTCTGTAGACCCACACTAGATCGTGGCAGACGACGAGCCCTGGACAGATGGAGTGTACCGTTAATTCTGGTAAAGAAGAAGGAAATGCGACAAAATGAAGGAACCAAGATCATCGCCGACCAAGCATATTAATCGCAACAGCAACAGGTTTCAGCCATGCCAAAGTCAAAGTGGGTGGGCTTTGACGACAACTGGGAGCTGTGCCAGCACAGCGATGTTGGGCGTCCCTGTAGTCCGCGAGGCAGCGACCAAATACATTTCGAGGGCCCTTGTTCGGCTTGTGAGGAAGAGGAGAAGGCAGCGGGGGAGGAGCGGAAGAAGAGGTGCTTTTCAGCAACCCCGTACCCAATCGCCCCTTCCATCATCTCAATCTATTGGGATCTAAATATATATAAACACACACTCAACCTCCGACGCGCTGTTGTTTCCTCGTGAGGTAAATGTAGTGAAGAAGTCAGGCAATCAATACAAGGACTCGCGAGGACAAGCTTCAGTCTAAGGTATACTGTTAGCGCTTGAGACGAGATTGAATGGGAGGGAAAGAAGCTTACTGGCAAGTCACGAAGACGAATTAAAAGAATGTCGGGGCTTGCTTTGTCCGCAAAGTTTGAACAAAGCATTCATACGCAGCGCACCGATGCCGTTCCATCTCTAGGACCTGTCGAGCTGCCTAGGGGGTCGGTGGTTTGCTTTGTAGCGTGGCGCCTGAACAGTCATCAGGACTTAATCCAGATGGAGTACGCCTTATGAGACATCAAAGGTGGAGAACGGGTGACATTCAACGTCCCCAAGGAGGGATGTTTTGATCAACAGTAAATATATTGCTTTCGACCATGCTCTAGAGAACAAAGAAGGATGAGAAATCTCGAAGACTCAAACGTGCCGGGAGAATATGTGGAACTTAATGCGGACTGTAGAATGGTAGATATAGATAATGAAGAGGTAGCCATGGGTGAAGAGGTGTATATAAATAATATCATTGTGTTCTGAGACCTGGCTTTGGACTGTGCATTGTTTAATACTGAATTGTAATTGCCACGTCAAGCTTGCCTGCTACAGCGGAGCCAAGCGGGGACTCAGCGACGTAATCTCGGGGTAATACTGAGCTCGTAAAGCATCAAAATCTTCCATTGGCAATTGGTCTCCTTGTCAAGCATCTTTCCTTGTACCCCCTTTACGCTCTCTGTACCTCGTGTATCCATGCTCTTTCTGAGGCCGCCCTCGGCCGCGTAAATCAACGCTCCAGGCTCAGACTGTGAGGCGCCAGCGGCCCACTGAGGACAAGATCTTCGTCTTTCATTTCGAGATGCCCAAGCTCTTCCTTATAGCGTAACAAGCGCCTTGGACATATGGCGTCCCTTGCATAGAGCTAAGTCTCGGAATGCGGGAATTGAGGATCGGCCAGCTGGGGCGAGTCTCGCTGGCTGGATCTGCGCATTGGTTATTGGACAGCCTTTCGAGTCCGATAGCTGAGTTGTGTAGGAGAGGAGTGTTTCACCGGGCTGAGAATGCACGAGACATTTAATCTGGAGGTGCGAGTAAGTGGCTTCGCTGGTCTCCGAAGTAGTAGATGGGAAGAAAAGCCGCAGAACAAGCACAGGAGGATCGCTGGCGGCACCCTGAGGCATGGGTAAGCTGCATTAGCGAGGCTGCTTTCCAGCAATCATGGTCTGGTATAGATCTTATCTCGAAGATCATCACGTTTTCAGACGGATTGTTGCATTTTGGGACAGGCTGATAGAGTACAAGGGCTTGCTCGAGATACAGAACGACAGCACGAACCCGCTCCTCGGAAAAGCTTTTAATTGCACCCTGAGGATCAACTACGACGAGTCCAGCTAGAGGATACAGACCCCGGTTGTCACTCGGACGCCGCCTGTAAGCCGCTGCCTTTTTGCAGCTTTTGCGCCCACAGGCCATGCGTCTTGGGGAAAGGCTGGGCCAAAGAGCTACATACGACCAAGGCCATCCCGAGGGCGTCCGGCCAATTGGAAGGGTGTGCTTGCGAACTGGTATCTAGCCGAACCATAGAAGCCAATTCTGCCAACCTTCTCTTCCACCACCTAACCTCTAACCTCTTTCAACGGTGTCTGCTGCTCGGCGCCATCCACCAACAAAATATCACACCATGATCATGCGCAGCCAGGAGATAGTCGTCAGTCCATAGTGAACACACCCAGGAGTACATTGCTGCAACTGATGGAGCCATGGCGGCGGCTTTGAGGCACTAAAACCACGTGCTTGATTCAGAGTCACCAAGACACTGCGTCCACCCACGCCTAGGCGTTTCAACTCTACGATTGGTGGTGAACTGTTGTCCCTACCCTCTACCTCATCGCTATCCTCCTCGTCACCATCCGACTCGACGACCAAGCTCACGTCGACTACCTTTGTTGATCCCACGACTCTGTCCCATGAGACCCAGCCTACGGCCATCCTGCCCTTTATCGAGCCGTCACCCGCTCCGATCTTCCCGCTAAAGCCACGACGCGTGCCAGACGAGATCCATAAATGAAGCCGGGGTGATCGAGGCAGACTTAAACAGGAGGTGAATGTGACACGAGAATCTGCTAGCTGGGGCCTTGCGTGGTGATGTCGACCATTGAGGAGACCATCACGGCGCCGAAGCCTGAGCCATATGAGGAGGAGGATTTCTCAGATTCCGATCAAGAGCCAGATGGCCAAAATCATAACCAAGAGCCCGCTCAAGTGCAGAAACGGAAAGGTGGTCGAAAGCCCGTAAGCTGAATGGGCCAAGCTTGACGGTCAATTGACACTAATGGCGAGTCAGATTTACGCAACATCGGAAGAAAGGAAGCAACGGAACCGTCAGGCTCAAGCTGCCTTCCGAGAGCGTCGGACGGAATATATCAAGCAATTGGAGACGACGATCAAACATCATGAAGAGACGCTGCAGAGCCTACAACAAAGTCACAGATCGGCCGCAGATGAGTGTCTGATGCTTCGGTACAAGAACTCTCTTCTCGAGCGCATACTACTTGAAAAAGGTGAGAACGACTAAGATTGAGATTGGAACTTATTTTGCTAACTTGTCGCAGGTATTGACGTTCAAGCTGAACTACGATTGAAAACAGAAGGTTCTCACGTGCTCTCACATCCCGCATCAGGATCCGCCGCTCCTCAAAGCTCTGCCGTCCAGAGAGCTGTCATGAACAGAAACAGTCAAGCAAGACGGCCAACCGCGAGCTCTATCGCAAAACCTATCAGGCCTCAGCAATTCACACAACCACCTAGATCTCATTCGCTCACAACTCACACACCTTCTCCACTAAGCGCTTCTCGACCGATGGACGGAATAGGTCGAGGGATGCTCAATGACAAGAATCAACGTCCTCAACACCCTATTCAACCACGCACGCAACCTCAACAGGCTATGAATAATCCAAACATGTCGCGACCTAATCTGATGCATCCATTGACTCCTACCTCAAATGACGGCAGCCGCACTGACCTCACTAACCCGGGGACACAGCCAAACTATTACCCCCCAGAGTACCAAGCACATCTAGAGCAATTAGGTGAGTCTGTTGTCTCTTCACCACCGGCGATCAAGGTTAACAATTTCTCAGAACAAGAGTACGATGCGCATGCCAATATGTTGGAGGACGAGATTCCAAGCGATACCTCCACTCCAGGCTCCGGTGGACCTAGTCCATATCCTCAGAATTACCAACCGCGCAACGTTGCCCCGGGCACTGCGATACCAATGGGTCTTCAAGGAGCCCAGCAGATCAATTACATGCCCATGCCATCGTCTACGTCACAACCGTCTGATCCACAAATGTACGGAATGCCGAACATGGGATTCGACCCTAATGATCCTGCGCTAGATGCCGACCCGTTCGGCCTGACAGCTAGCATGCATTTTCCCACTCAGTTCACATATCAGGAAGGTCAATTGAGGCGGTGAATCAAATATATCGCAGGAGCCTTGGTGAAACTTCTTTGGGGGATCAGCGTCACTGAGGCGCCTAGCCTACACGTCGATGACAAGAACCTGTTGAAGTGTCTACGCAGACAAGCAGGCTTACATGCCTCGCGAGCTGTGGAAAGAGAACCGGTGGTTGGGTCGTCATTGCGAAATTTGAAGGCGGGTTCAAGACATGGTGATCAAAATACACAACAGTGCTTAATCTGGTCGCTTGCACAGAAAACAAGTACTTGAAGATCGTTGGAGACCTGCCGTTGCTTATGGCTTGTCTAAAGACTTCACTACTCGGGTGGAATGGCTGTCAGTCCACCACAAGCCTGAGGAATACTTCACGGCTTATCCTGTTGCAAAGGGGAGGGACTCGGGCGGGCACCTGCATAGCGTAGGTGTTGGCGATGAGGATGAAGGAGATCATACCCTACGGTGAGCTCGTCACGAAGTGGAGAAAGATGAGAGCTGTAAAGTGTACATTATTCTGGATTTATAGGACTATGATACCATGAAAGTTGTACAAAGACGAGATTTATATATCCGAAGAGTTTCCAAATCACATTGACCAGTTGCTGCAGAGGTCGTAGACATAGAAGATCTTCTATTTGCTAGATTCTTACGGCAGATTGGGCACACCGAGGCCTTTTGTTTTCACTTTTGCTTCATTCGTAGGCACCAATGCAAATCACGCTAGTGGACCTGGACGCAAAATTTCGGCTAGTGTCTCTCCGCACAATTTCACACTGACAACCACGTCAACAGTTCTGTTGATGAGAACCGCGCAACCCGATTGTTCACATAAATAACACAATGAGGCGATAGCATTATGTTCACTACCAATTGAAACGGGAAGAGTCGAAGCAGAGGGACCTCCACACAGACCTTAGAAAGAAGGTGACAAAACCGCCAACATGACCGACGTTAAGAGCCAGGTAAGTCGTCAATACATCCCCAAGGCATTGCTTGTGGATGTCAGCAAGGACGTCATCTATCGTAAGTGTACCTATGTATTCAATTGCTGACATCTTGGCCTCGCAGAACATGTTCGAGCTCCTCCGTAAGCTCCCATATAGCTCCAGGATCGTCACAAGCTTCCACTAATTTGAATAATCAGCCGATGAGGAGGGCTCAGGTAATGAGGGTACAGCACCTACTAAGACTGTGGAGAAGAATCTTCCACGTAAAGGCAAGCGTGATGCTCCTACCACAGCACCCAGCGAGCCTCGTGGTGGAAGTGCACAGCGCAGTGGTCGTGGGGAGCGACGAGGTGGTTTTCAAGGCAATGAGCAAGGTGAGTGTCAAAAAGCTCTCAGTCGGCAGTCGTTAGAGTATCGCATACTCGTCATTCAAGATTAAGCAAGCATGAAAGACGCTGTTGTACTCCGATGCTGATATTCCACCATAGCCTTCCGTGATCGCGACGCTGGATCAACAAACAACCGCGGAAAGCCCACTGACGACGGCATTCGCGAGGATCGCCACGCCAATCAAGCACGAGGTGGACGAATTCAAGGCAACTACGAAGGCCGTGGAGGACGAGGAGGACGCGGCGGACGTGGTGGCCGTGGAAATCGTGATGATCGTCACTCTCGTGGCTTTGCTCAGTAAGAAGCTCTACTTGATTCTCTACACGCCCCACCAAGATTCCCTTTCCGTGCTTCTTTTCTCTCGACTACCTCCATTCTTTCTCTCCTCTTTTTCTAAGCTCTCGTGTGCTCACCAGAAACCCCGCCAGCGACCACACCAAACAATCCGACCAGTCCTGGGGCGCACCCACCGGTCAAGGCGAATGGAACGACGAAGTCGCCGGCGCCGCCATCGCCTCCACTGACGCTGCAGCTGAAGGCGCAACAGGAGGCTGGGACGCAACTGCAGCAGACACCTCGGGCGCAGGCTGGGACTCTGGCGCCGCCGCAATTCCTGACGACGCAGACGGTGTAGCTCCTCCCAATGGCTCCGCCGACGTCTCTAAAGCAGCCACCGACAATTACGGCGGCGGCGGCGGACGCAAAGCGAGCAACCAATACGATGATGGCCCTACTGAAGAGGAAAACAAAAACAAATCATTCGCAGACTACCAAGCCGAGTTAGCCGAGAAAAAACTCTCTCTCGCAGCCCCGAGCGCCAAAGCGCGCAAACCGAACGAAGGTTCCAAAGTGAGGAAGGAATGGGAGAACGCTAAGCCCATATCCAAGAAGGACGAAGATGGAGATGGTGGCGGATTCATGGCCGGGCTGGGCAAGAAGAAAGAGAATGTGCGTGTGAGGGATAAGAAGGAGAAACAGACTCTCGATGTCGACTTCGGGTACGTGGAACCTGCTTCTAACGCGCCGTCTGGGCGTGGTGGAGACCGCGGCGGTCGTGGTCGCGGGCGCGGGAGAGGCGATCGTGGAGATTTCCGTGGACGCGGACGTGGAGATCGCGGAGATCGTGGAGGTTATGGCGGTGATCGTAGTGGAGGTGGTGGTGGTGGTGGTGGTGACAGACCCAGGAGAGGCGGACGCAATGAAGGTAGTGCGGGCGTCAACGTCGAGGACCAGAGTGCTTTTCCTAGTCTGGGAGGTGCTTGATCCTCCTCTCCATCCCAGAATTCAGAGGGACATTGTGGCCGGCTGGCGGAATACGGAACGGAACGGACGTCTGGTCTGGTGTTTGATATCGGTCTGTCTGTCTGTCTGTCTGTTTTTGCTCACTCACATCGATCTCTCAATCTACCAGACCAAAAAAACGAGCGAGCGGGCTTTTTATTCTCATTCTACCTTACCTTTTTCTTCCAGCTGATGCGAATGAATGGGAGAGTCGAGAGGGATGCAAGGAAATAAAAATACGAGATCTTTGGCTTGGAATGACAAAATGTGTTTAATATCTTGCACGCACGCTTTATAGGGAGGAAAATCGAGACTGATATTGATCCATTTTTCTCCTTTTTTTCGATTGCTTTCTTGTTGGGTTCTACCGCTGTGAGTAGGAGATTCGTTGGATTTGGATGCATTGCGCAGCTTTTTGCCACGCTTTCTTCACGATCTCTGTTCGTACATGAGCAGCGGGGAGGAGGGCATATGTTATCACGACCTCCCCGGCCTTCTCCACTTCGAGATACCTTTCGCAATACAGCAAACATCGCAGCATCGCCCTTATCTACAAACCCAGATTTCCATCTATTGGTCTTCTCGTCTTTACATCTCCACAAGTGCTATGACTTCACTGGCATAACGAGCTATATCCATCAAGCTAGCACTATCCCTCGCTTCATCAACTTCATAAGGTAGTCATAGTATCATAAGCGCCCTAGCTGGCAAGAGCCATTGCTACACCTGATCCGCCATCTTCGTTCCAAGTACACGCCAGCCGGCTCCCACTGAACTAGCTCCTGAAGCCACGAAGACACGTCTGGCCTTTCCTCTTCGTCTTCTTTCGATGCTGCCATCATCTCCTCATTCTCCCCTCCCATGCCTTCCTTCGTCAAGTCCCCTTCGTCCCTTTCCTCCCGTCGAAAAATCTCCTGAAACCCCCAACAGCCCTCCCCGTGCCCGTCCCTGTGTCCATCCCCATGCCGTGCCTAAAAGTCTTGACCTCAGGATCAGAAGCCCGCCTCACCATATTTCTCCCCTTGACAAACCCTTTCTCATTTCCCTCTTCCTCGACGTCGGCATCAAGAGACTTGCTCGACACACCCGCCCGAACCAGCTGCGCGAAATTTTCTTTCCGCCCCCATCCCTGTCCCTGCCCTTGCCCCAACTTCAGCGATCGAGGTGACGTTGGTGCTTGTCCGCTAGTGAGTACAATATTGCTATCAATACCGAGGTCGAGCTGCTGTGGCGCCATTACCTTCGAGGGCGAATCTAGGGGTGGGGTCGATGGGCGCTTCACCTTCTCCGCCTGTAGCATGGGCTGAAGGGGGAGGGGCGCAGGAACGGATCTTGGGATCCTCAGCGGTAGTATCCCCAGACTCTCGGTGCTACGATCACCCATCCCCAGGTCCGTCTCCAGACTTAATAACCGACTATTCCTAGGCGAGACCACCTCCACCTCAGCCGCGGCCTCAGCACCAACCGGTTCCGAAACATCCGTGACCTCACTAATGATACTCAGTGGAGAATCGCTATCGGCGTTCGAGTTCGAGTGCTGGGAGTGGTAGTGGTGAAGTGTGCTGGCGTGGTTGAAGCGTAGGATCGAGGAGTGCAGCGAGGTGAGAGGGCGGGGGGCGTAGTTGTGTAGATCGGAGGTTGAGGGTGAGGGTGAGTAGTCAGAGGGAAAGGACCGGATTGAGGAGGAGGATGTTGTTGAGGGGGTGTGGGAGGGGGAGGGATTGGGTGAGGGGCTGGGTGTGGGGCTGCGAGAGGGGATGGGTGAGGAAACGGGTGAGGGAATGGGCGTTGGGGTTCGCGTTCGCGTTGGGGTTGGGGGGAAGATGGATAAGTCTTCGAGCTGAGCTAGAAGAAGGAGGTGTGTTAGAATCTCGTTGGTTGAGGGGAGAGCGTAGACAGTTGACCAGTGGGGAGGGGGAAGGCGGTTCAAGCTCGCATCACTTACCCCATGTGCGAGGATAATACCTGAATGTAGCGAATGGTCTATCGAGCGGGTCAAGTAGAGCGTACTGGTAGTACAGCTTCGGGTGATCTTGGGCGACGAGGCCAGCTTTGACCAGACTACTCTCGAAGTCAGCTCATATCCGCTTCAGCAAATCAGCTGAACAACTTACTCAATATTTCCCCCATAATAATCCGACCACTTCAACTCCCCATACGCCTTAATCGAAGCCGGTAGCTGGTAACAATCCACATCAGGCTCGACCCCTCTCCGTCCCTTAGCCCTGTAAACGCGAATCTCAATCATATCATCTGTGTCCCTCCCCCCAACCCCACCCCTTCCTCCCTTCTCCGCCGCAAAAGCAAAAGCCCGTTTCTCCAACCCCCCTTCTCAGTGTCAAACATTGCAAACATCGTCTTACCCTCATAGCCGTCCTCGACACCACAGCCCCAGCTCACGACAGACTTATCATTGATGACGACTTTGAAGTAGTACAGCGCCTGGGGGGGATGTGGCGGCGAGATGGAGTACTGGATCCAGAACTGGGACTCGGGGTAAGTGGGGACGTAGACGGATGTTGTTGCGCGGGGTTCGTCGATGGCGATGGGGTAGTCGGAGAATGGATCGTTAGATACAGGTGGTGGGTTGAATTCTGGCACTTCTTTGATGCCGAGTTGGGAAATGAGTGTTATGTTGATGCTGCGGTAGCTTGGCATTGTGTCTATTGTTTGAAGAGGCAGGATTCGCTGGGCAGATATATTAGTGAGGTAGATTCAAGACTGACCTTATCTGCAAAAGGCAGATGCAATTGGTTGAGGAAAGTGTTACGGTGTAGTGGGGTGGAAATATTTGATCACCAGGCTAGCGTCATTTTCCCTTTTAGGATATCAGTCCTTTTCGCTATATACTTTCCTGCCTTTCTGGCTGAATCATAACTTTGCGCAATGAGAAATGCCTGATTAAGGTCGTAGCTGTTCTGCAAGTGCCCTTTTTAAGCTCTTGCTAGCCTTCTTCTGACTTCTTTAGACATAATGCCACCTGCAAAGTTGTCAGCTAGCCAACTTCGGCGGTAAATAAACCCCCTTTCGGCTTTCCCATCACTGATTCGGGCGTAGCTTCAAGCGCAGCCCTAAGATCACTGTCTTCGGCTGTAGCAACTCGCCACTGACGAGCACGTGGCTCCTCATCGCCGTCCACTTCTCACCTGAAATCCGGTACCACGCGGCCAGAAATAGCACCCTTGGCCCTCTCCTCTTCCCCGGCATGCCTTCTCCCCCCTCCCGCTCACTTTCATGGAGCCCCGCATCCCCGAAAGCGCGATCGTGTTCGTGTTCGAATGGATGAACGACGGTGGACACGTCGGCTCTGCGTCGTTGACGCGCATCCGAGACTGGAATGTGCAATTTTGCCAGAACGTCTGGCATCTTGCGTGCCAGCTTCGAATCGAAATGCTGGCGTGGCGTATGGAACTCGAGATTAAGAGCATCCGGCTTAACAAAGAGCTGCGCGAGAGAGAAGCCGTTGCTGTTATGCAAGCAGCTACCAGACGAACAGCTCTAGTGCCCAGATATGAATTTGGCGATTGTTTGTTGTGTAACAATGACGGGTACGTGCCATAATTGAACTTCTCATACAATGATACCTGACTATTGGTAGACATGAGGCCGAAGAGTGCGACAGTAGGGTCAAAGCCAAGGACCGGTGCCGGCGCTGCTGGCGAAAGGGGCACTGGGTATCGGATTGCAAGGTGAGGATGTTAAATGACAAGAAGCAAGAGTATGAGACCAGCAAGACCATGACGCCAGCGAAGGTCATGGGCGTCACCATCCTACCGACCATTACAGAATAACCAGAACGCAAGGTTATCACTTCGGAGCTTTTCCCAAGCTTTACTAGCCTCTAGATGTTGCTAGACGAATAACTAACTGAAACGCTGCACACGACCTTTGCTACTTGAACAACAATGTTTAGCAAGGGCGAAAGACGTTGTTTTCAAGACGTTGTTTGCAGGACAATAAGATCGAATCATTGCAACTATCGAGAAATGTTGTACTAGCAGGAGCAGAGAATGTGAAGTGGCAGTGAGAAATGAAACTCTTCTCAAACGAAAACTCATGGCGAACGAACAGATACGAAATATTCTCCGACGGTTACTATGGTGATCTTATGGCAAGTCGCCACCAGCGATAACACGTTATTGACGTGCGAAACGCCTCTCGGAGGATCCACGATATCTCATTAATATCAACTTATCCTGTTCGCCACTCATCACTTGTACAACGCATTTTGAGCAGGAAGAACTCACCTGGTGGAGCTTGTCTAGTCTCGGTGTGGATTGTACTACGCATACGCCTGGCTTACTTCGTTCTTACTTGTCTATTACTCGCCGAGCTCTTTGCGGCAATCGTTGTAATACAACAAGTGGCTTCTTGGCTCGATCTCGCAGCAGCCTCAAATACAGCTTTCCCGCTCGATCATTTCCTTCTTCTTTCTTCTCATTCATGCAACCTTTTCCACTTTGAACTCCAACATCACCTTAAACTGCGGAACATCCAACATTGGGCTCGCTGACTGCCATCTGTCTTGCTACTTACGCCTCTGAAAGTGGTGACAGGTCTAGCTTTAATATCGACACCAGCAAGACCACCAGGCAGGAAGAAGGCGGGACGAGGCCTATTGTTTGTTGTGTTTACAGGTCTGTGGGATTTTCCCTAAAGCGGTCAGCTTGCCTGTTTTTATCTGCATTTAAAGCAACTTCGCTCACGAAATCTGCTACTTTACATTTGAGCAGGGGGCGGCTCTAAGCCTCCAGAGCTCCTCTCTATCCATAAATATGATTACCAACGGTTTCTGGGTTCTAGCTGACCAAGGAACAGTAGACCAGTGTCTTGGGCCTTGTAATGTCGGCAAGCACGATGACGACAATGAATTCTGCTCAGCTTGTGGCGGGCATTTCGAAGCCCATTGCAACGGCAGAAGAACTTGAGATGTAAGCTATTTCAGGTCCGCCAATGACCACTTGAGGTACTGACAGACTTATGCAGGGCCAGGAAAGGCAACAGGTTTGTCGTCAAAGCCATCGACAAGGGCGACATGCTTCGCAGCATTCCCAACGCCTTTGCTAAGAAGTTCTCTGGTCGTCTAAGGGACGTCTTAAAAGCGCAAAAGGGATTACAGGAGCATCCCTACACGCTGATGCATAAGGAAGAGCCAGTCCGATTCGTCGTGCAATGGATGACGAGTGGCGGTATGGACGCGACGGGGCCTGATGCGTTGCTGTACCCGAAGGGTAACGTCAAGCATCTGCAGAGTCTTCAAAAGCTTGCAGAATTTCTTAAGATTGACATGCTTCTCGAACGCGTTGAAGCTGATATCAAAGCTCTGCGAGAGGGTCCCGTTGCCAAACAAAAGCCGAAGAACATTAAGAATGGAGTGCCACAAAATCCCAAAAGGAATCAGAAGTGTTTCAATTGTAATGACCCGCGGTGAGTGCCTTCTGCGACTTGTAAGACATGGACTGATAACAGCCAGTCACATTCAATTGAGATGCCCTTTACTGCCCTTCCAACAAGTCGGAGACGGCGGATGGTGGAAGTATGATCCGGCGAACGTCAAACCTGAACCGTTCCATGCAGTCAAAGAGCCAAGGGCAATTGTCACAAATGGTGATGCGAAACTGGAAGCGCAGCCACAGCCAGAGAACGACTTGCCAAGTGATGGTGCCAAAGAGAATATTGTCGACAAAGCTGGAGCCGGACCAATGATCAGTAGAGCTGCAGAGGACATCGAGGAGCCGAAAAAGACTATCCAGGAGACAGAGACAGTTGCTGAAGAGCTCAAGGTCACCGAGATAAAGCATCTCTCCTTTCTCGGCACGAGTTTTGTTATCCATGATCAGGATGACAACCAGTGGATCTTCCCAAGGACTAAGATCGCTTTGACTGTGGAAGGCATTGGTGCTGACGGCCAGCTTAAGTTCAGTGGCAGCGCTCCCTTCGAATACTCATGGTACCCACTAGACGAGCAGAAGAAAGCGGAAATGGAAGCAGCGCCGGTGGGCCTTGCCAATGGACCTGTGAAAGTGGCAGCCACAAATGGGGTCTTGCAATCCACAGTTAAGGCCAAGAATATAATGCCGCATCAAGAAACTGCCCAAGGACCAGGGCTAAATGTCGCCTCGGGACCGGGTAAGGCGAACACGGGGAAGAAGCCCAGGCGGTCGAAGAAGGCACCAAAGAAAACTCCGCAGTAAGGGTAGGTCGAGATGCTTTGGTGGTGTCAGAACCCGAAGACTCCCAAGATCTGAGATCACTAACGCTGGAGCTGAGCCATGTCAAAAGTCGAGAGAGGGGACAGTATTGGTAGCGAACTAGATGATACACATCCATGCAAGTTCATTCGAGTCGAAGTTCCATCGCGCACTGTTTGCATAACCTAGTCGAAGCTCTGTAGAGGTTTGTAGAGGAGGCAGTCTGATTCAGCTCTCCTGCTTGACTTCTTCGCCTTCCTCTTCCCCAACATAGCTTTCCAGTATCTGATCCACCTCCTCCTGAGTGCCCACTTCGCCCTTTACAATCTCCTCTGCAAGCATATCCCGGAAAGTCCTGTATGCCTCACTCTTGCCTTTCAATATCATATTGATCTTCTGCACTTGTTCAACGAACTCCCGTGTATAGATATCTGGATTCCTCCCTTCTTCGACATAATCAATAATCTCGGGGGGGATTAGGGTCGGCAGGCCAGCGGAGGTAGCAGAGAGGGTCTGGAGCGATGCCGTCAAATCGTGGCTAGAACAATGTCCATCAATTAGCTTTCCTTAGACTTGATGGTGGCGTTGAGGGTTCAAAGGTACATCTTGCCAATGAGGACCTGCTTGGTTTCTGGGCCGAGGTAGCCGTGAATGGACGATTGAATTTCGTAAAGGTCTTGTATCACGTCTTTGAGGCGATCTGTTGACTATCAGTAACGCTTCAAAAGCTGAGTCGGGTGGATGAAGCTACCATCAACCTCAGCCTCCAAGCCTGGAGCCATCTGACGCCGATGGTGATGGTTGAAGAAAGGATGGGGTCTGAGCACGACGGAGATTTTGAGCCCCACTCGCGACGCAGAAACTTTGCAGCAACGACCCCTTCAAGGCGTCATTGAAGCTTCGAAGCTTTCCGGTAGCATGCAGCAAGCTTCTGGGCCTGGTCCCAGGAGAAGTTCGGGTCAATTGCTGAAAATGCTGTCGATGGATGCGGGGAGGAAGAGAATTCGTCCCATCTCACGCAACAACTCCGCTTCCACGTGACGGCATCCGCTCCTTCCCCAAGGCAACGACAAGCCACCCAATCTTCGGTCTTTCTCGTAATGATCCTTTCACTTGCTCTTCCATTAAAGGACATCCATTGGTAGTCGAAAAGTCGCTCAGACTATCTCCTTCAGTCTCAGTATGAGCGCGTTTCCTAAACCCTTGACGGCATCTCTAGGCAGGTGGAATGCCTTGATCCAGTAACAAAGACAGAGATAATGAAGCTCAAGAACCCCCTTTCTTTCACGCCCGTGCCCGTCACTATCGTCACTGCTGCTGTCTACATCATTTTGATTGTTGCACTTCTTATTGACCATCACACCCTGCCGAGATCTGAGTCCATCGATGGCATCGACTTAGATGTAGCATGGCGCGACCTCCAGACCATCACGACAGGTTTTCACCCTTTCAATAGCCACCAAAATGATGAAATTCGCGGATGGCTCCTAGCGAGACTCGAGTCCATCGTTCAAACCAACGCCAAGAAACGCCTGCCCGTCCAAATAGCTGGTGATAAAAGGAATAACTCATCAGAAGAGGCAGTACCAGTGACAATCTTCTCAGATATCATCTCGAATATCTCGGATGCAGTCAATACTTCCTCTACTCGGAGTGGCTACAGTACATATTTTGAAGGCACCAACATCATCGTCTACATCCGCGGATCCGAAGATGATCCCGCAGACGGATGGATGCACCAGCAGAAAGCTCCCGGTCAAGGCGGCGTATTGGTGAGCGCTCACTACGACAGTGTCTCTACCGGATATGGCGCGACAGATGATGGAGTTGGCATCATTACGATCCTGCAACTTGTTTATTACTTTTCATCTCCGGGCAGACAGCCAAAAAGGGGCATTGTTCTCCTTCTCAACAATGGAGAAGAAGACTTTCTCAATGGTGCTCGAGCTTTCACTCAGCATCCGCTATCAAGGTTTCCGACGACTTTTCTAAACCTCGAAGGCGCTGGAGCGGGCGGCAAGGCGACCCTTTTCCGCAGTTCCACCACAGAAGTGACCAAGTCGTACAAAAGCAGCAAGCACCCGTTTGGGAGCGTAGTCAGTGCTGACGGGTTCAGACGAGGGCTTGTGCGGAGCGGTACTGATTACAGTATCTTTGAGCAGATTGGGCTTCAAGGACTTGACGTCGCTTTCTACGGGCCTAGATCTCGATATCACACCAATCAGGATGATACGAGACATACGAGCAAGGCCTCTGTTTCTCATATGCTGTCGGCTGCCTTGGCCACAACGAAGGATCTTATTGGTACAAGTGAGGATTATAGTATGAAGTCAGACGGAGTATGGTTTGACCTCTTCGGCTCAGCTTTTGTAGTGTTTAGGCTACATACTCTCTTCGCTTTATCAGTAACTCTACTCGTCATTGCGCCCGCCACCTTGGCAGCGATTGGAGCCTTTCTTTATCGATCAGACAGGCAGTACATCCTCAGTGGCTCATCTAGACCGCGGGACCTTGACAACTCAGAACCAGTCTCCATCAAAGGTCGACGAGGCGTCTTCAGGTGGCCTGTCGCATTTATTATCTCAACAGCAGTGGTCCTTGCACTTGCTGTGCTAATAGTCAGAGTCAATCCACTGGTCATCTATGGTAGCCCTTACGCCGTTTGGGCCATGATGATGTCCGCGTGGTTGGCAGTAGCCTGGCTTTGCGTATACACAGCTGATCGCTATCGTCCGACGGCGTTTCAACGATTATACACAATTCTTTGGATGTCTCTTGCCGCGTGGGCGGTTATGATTGTCGCTACTATACTGGAGCAAAAGCAACAGATTGCCGGAACATATCTCATCTTCTTCTACCACGCCCCTATCTTCCTAGCAGTCACAGTTACTTTGCTAGAAGTATTTGGGCTGCCAAAGAAGACAAACTACGCCATGGATCTACAGATCACAGGCCCAACCCAGAGCGATGCCCAGCCGCTCGATGCATCCAATGATGATGCGGAAGAGCAGCAAGAAAACCGGATCGAAGATGATGAGGAGGCAGATGAGCGAACGTCATTGATACGAGGTGCTGAACACCGACGAACGACTTTTAAACGCTACTCATCCCCGCACCAACGAGAGGAGGTAGAGGAGCATGAAAGACTCGAAGCCCCCAAACGCAAGAAAGTTTACGGACTTGAGCAGCCCTGGTCGCATGCTCTACCCTCTTACCTATGGATCCTCGAATTCCTCTTGGTCGCACCCTTCCCTTTGATTCTCCTCGGCCAAGTATCTCTCCTTCTCACCACCGCTCTATCTCAGACCCTCGCCGACGGCAGCAGTCCGCTGATAGTCTACCTCTTCATCTCTGTCCTCACAATCCTGATCCTCTCACCTTTAGCTCCCTACCTCCACCGCTACACTTACCATATCCCTCTCTTCCTCACTCTCGTCGCCCTTGGAACTCTGATCTACAATCTCACAGCCTTCCCTTTCTCCCCTTCCTCCCGCCTGAAACTCAGATTCATCCAACAGCTCGATCTCGACACTGGAGCAAACAATGTCACCATAACCGGCATATCCCACTCCAACTACCTCGAAAACACCATCCATGCCCTCCCCAGCAACTTCAACCAAACTCCCACCTGCACGTTAGGCCCAGAACCCAACCTCCAACAATGCACCTACACCGGCATCCCACCAAAAGTTATCCCCCTAGTGAATTCCTACACAGAAAAGCTCCCCCTTTACCACCAATGGCTCACCTTCAACATCACCACCCTTCCCAACAAAACAAATACCGCGCGCTTCACCCTTCAGGGCCTCAACACGCGGGCATGCAAACTCGTCTTCGACACTCCAATCAGCGACTTCAAAATCCAGGGATCTGGACCCAACGACCCACGCTTTCCAAAGATCGCAGATGGAGGGAGCAGAGAGCTAAGGCTATGGTCGAGGACATGGGGACGACAGTGGAGGGGTACGATATCCTGGCTTGACGGAGATGAGGAATTGGAGTTGCTACAAGATCAGATCGCCGACTTCTCCGCCAAAAAACCCACCAACAAAGGCAAAGAGCATAAGAAAGAGCTAAAGGGAAGAAAAGAACTAGTGCTAGGTCAAGCAAATAGACCCCATACACAAACCACAAGAAAGAAAAAGGCAGGAGGTGGGGGTAGCGGACATATCACCGGCCACGCGGTCTGTCTCTGGAGCGACGCCAATGTGCCCGGCACGATACCAGCGCTCGACGAGATGTGGAAATTCGCGCCCGATTGGGTCGCGGTTACGAAGGCGGGGGATGGATTGGTGGAGGGATGGAAGAGGTGGGTGATTTGATGGGGATGGGATAAGGGGTGGACTTGTGGAAGTAGAGCTTGAGTTTGAGTCAGGAAAAAAGGGATGAGGAGGGAAAGAAGGTGCTCTATGAGCTTATTTCTACATCTCGCGCTGCTTTTGACATAGTAGATAGAGCGAGCCGTTGCTGTATGTACGTAAAGCTGGCATGGTTGGTATGATATATGTGGCTCTACGATATTCCGGACTACTTGAACATGCCATGGTTCGCGCAGTTTGTACATGCTTTCATCGTACTGCTGGGTTCTGATGCGAGGACTAAGGTATACAGCTCAGCATTGCCAGCAGCTTCTACGCATGCTATGTATCATACCGCTCATGGTCCTAGTAATACAATTTTATTAGCTTACAGCTTCCCCGCGAACGTGTCACGGACAGGCATCCCCTGGAAGTCCTTCCTTTATCCGACCAAGCCGTCCAAAATACTGTACTCTATCATATCACGTCAACCTAATCCCCACTTGGAGCAAAATTCCTCTACCCCACGCCCGGAAACCTGTCTTTCCGGGCATACTCCAAGAAATAGGGTGTAACCGGACACGAAGCCAACATATCCATATTCTCCTGAACAAACTCATCCTTTCTAATCTCCGTCCCTGTCATTCTACGATAGCAAATCCTTGAGCCGGCCCTGATTACTTCTTTTCCCTTTCCCTTATCTCCCCTGCCTCCCGCTTTGATCCTGTCATTGTCCTCGTTTGCTAAGTGCTCAACCCGACACCACATAGCCTGACTCCTAGCATAGCGACCATCATGCGAGAAGTCTCCCGAGGCAAGCACTTTCAGATTCGGGAAGCCTTCACTGCTGAATGCCCAGTCGGCGAATTCTTCGAGTTCTTCTGCTTCTTCTGCAATCCAGTCGCGAGGCCAGAGGTCAAGACCTATGCTCGTCGATGGTTCGAGATCGTGTAGCGCTTGTGTGAAGAACGTGTCGCCAGCCCCGTAGTCATCTTCGTCTGCGAATTTAGGTTTGGGCTGCGATTTGCCGGTGAAGCGGAGGTGGAGGAGCTTGATGGTCGTAAAGTCTTTGGCGTTCCCTTGTAGGGCGCTTTGTAGGCTGGAAGGTTTGTCGCAGATGCCGAGCGCCGTCAGGTGGAGTGCGTCGCGCAAGAGACTGATGAGGCTAGGGTACAAGAGATCCTCGCAGCGTGCATCGACCCATTCTTGGATCGTATCAGTGTCTATTGCCACCATTCTGGGTTCTCTTTTGTGATAAGTGAGCCTATGCATGAAAAAACGATATCGGTAGAGAGCCTGGAATAAGTCTACGTGGGGTACAACGCAGCTGAAGAGGATGAATAGGTCTTTTGGCTCGGCAAGAACGAGCAAGAACTCCCAAATTTCTGCCGGATGTCGGGTTGGAATCGTGAGTACCAATTCTACTCTGGAGGCAAGGATGTTGAACTGAGACTTCCATATTTGGAGTAGGAGCGAGGCAGTCCTTTTGCAATTAATCAAGCGTAAATGTTTGACTCTGTGGAGGTTCAGAAAAGCAAACATAGAATTCAATGGGCCTCCAAATGATCCGGATGTGAGCGAAAGGCGCTCCAGGTAACACAGAGTAGGTTCAAAAAGATCGTCGCGGCGCCTAACCATGCATCGTAGGAAGCCTTGGGCTTGGGCAAGACGAGGTTCCCAAGGGGCATCTTCCATACGTTCCACATCATCTGAAGAGATAAAGTCAAGCTCAAGTGACTTCACATTGAGGTCGTACTTAACAAGGAAGGTGTTCAGAGCATCAAATTGTGGTGCCCATCGAATTCCCTTCCAAGCTAGTGTTTCCAATCGCGAGAAGACCACCAATGGTACGCTCGAAGTATAGCATTCGCCAGCAGTAACGAGTGAAAGGTAGCGAAGATGATGCTGTTGACAGTCGAGGTACCCATCTTGGCCCAGTATAGAGTCGCTGAAGCACGTCCCCACGTCCCAACTAGATTTGATGTAAGCCCGCAAGCACACCGTTGCCATGCGGCGGACTGACCTGAAACTGTCAAGTTGCAAGGAACTGAAAGTACAAAGAAGCTGAAGAATATCGATAGCAGTCTTACTCATGTAATGACTACTGCCATGAGGCTCAAAATCATTAGGAATCATTATTCGTGGTCGCTTGACACGAGTTGATGGTTTACGTCCTTTCCAGCCTTTTTCGGGACAACAAAGGGCATTCATGCACGGTATCTGGTGAAAATGATGTGGGCATCGTCCTTGAACGCCTTCAGGTCTCACGATCCCTCTCGCCTCTGATGGGATAGTGAAATGTATCTCTCGGATAACAGGCAGGATTTTAATGGCTTGAATGAGTCCGGCGTCACTGAAATAGAGGTCTGAATTGAATGCCCATGGATCTGTAGTGGAGCTCGAGCGTATGGTGATGCTCCTGAAAAGTCTCCAGAACACCAGATTACGGAATTTGTGGCACACCACTGACAGACTTAGTAGGTCATCCCTGCGGTGAATCTACGATCTCTTTTAGCCTCACGCTTGATCACATGTAGCGTTATAGACTTGCGTATCCAAAGATTGCCCTCAGGACTCTAGAGGGCAGACTTTGGACCATACTGCGTTACAGACAAACATCGAGCACGCCAGCTTTTTGGCCTTGATCTGACGGTGACAATGGTGAAGACTACTTTGCATGGGTCTCTATTGACATTGAATGCGCATCTTTGACGGCACACCCCATGGAAATGAGCGTCGAGCGACTGTTCCATGCCTCAGGTAGAGTGTCCACCTCAGTTGACAATTAATTTGACTGGGAGATCGAGAGGGAAAATGGCAGGTGCAAAGGGGACGATATAAGCGGAACCTTCTTCATCGTCTGCCGTAATTTTCTGGCGAAAGCGTAAGATTACTATATGAGAATAAACATATTGAACAATGTAGAGCCAGGGTTTCAAGTCAAAGCCGTAACTTCAAAAGCTACGATTACAGCGTAGAGCTATAATTCCAAGTGTATAGCCATTGTCCTCAAAGGCAAATCCTGCCATGTAAATCGACTTTCCCTTCTTCCCTCGAGCAAGAGCAAAGTACTAAGGATCATTCTACATCCAGCCTGGAAAGACCTGTGGATGTGCAGAGGCCCAAAATAAAGGGCTGACAGGGCATGCCGACAGCATATCCATATTTGCTTCGATAAGTTCATTCTCTTTGACGTCCTGCGGTGTCACAGGCTTCCACTGCCTACAAGGAGGATCGTCATTCACTCTGCACCATAAGCCTTGGCTATCTGCGAAGCGCCCGTTGTGCGAGAAGTCTCCCAAGGCGAGAACTTCGAGCTTAGGAAATCCAAGAGGGCCAAATGCCCAGTCCGCAAAATCCTCTACTTCTTTTTCTTCTTTCTCTCTCCATTCAAGGCCATGGCCGAATTCCCAGAGTTCAGGTTGCTCATTTTCCTCGGATTCTTCTTGGTCCTGGGCTCGTATGTATTCATCTATAGTATCGTCATCGAACTCATCTTCATCGATCGACTTAGCCATAGGCGGAGGTTTGCCCGCGAATCGAAGATGAAGAAGCTTTAATGGTGCGCCCTTCGTAGGGAAACCGCCAAACCCAAGGAGATCAGAAGGTTTGTCACAGATACCGAGACACTCAAACTTGGATTGGGTGATGATCTCGACAAGCTTCTGGAAAAAGTCTTGCTCATGGACAGTGTCTCTTAAAGCGCGATCGTAGTACTCGTCAGCATAGTCCCCAAGCCGTACCCGCCGTATGCACGGCGATGGTACACGAGTCTTCGCAAGGTATGGCGAAATGTCAGAATCTTAGAGATATAAGTCAAGTCTGCCGACTTGCCGTGGAAAAGTAAGAAGATGTCCTGAGGATCTCGAAAAGCGGAGATGCATTTTGCGTGGGAAGTCATAAGTTCCACCCGGTTCACTTGCAGTGGGTGCTTACTTGCTATCAGGTGACTTAATAGCCTCTTCGTTCCAGGGCATCTACACAGGCGTAGACTATCGAGCCTTTCGAGATTCAAACACTTGATCACAGTTTTCGGTTGCCCTCCGACGGAGATCCCCGAAAGTGACAAGTTCCTGAGATTTGGTAGGGAGCCTTCGTACCCTTGAAGACGTTTCGGAATGAGACGCTTCAGTAACCAGCCTGGATCGTCATGCTCAGACCTATTGTGAGTCCGACATAAGTGTGCCCAATCAATAAAGTCAAGTTCTAATGAAATAAGCTTGAAGTCCTGATTTTGCAAAAAGTTTGTCAAAGCATTACAATTGGCAACACATCTAATGCCCTTCCAGGAAAGCGCTTGTAGATTTTGAAATTCTACCAGTGGTAAAGACCACGTGGGACAATTACCAGGAGTCACTATGGAGAGTTTCTTAAGCGAGGCACTCTGGCTCGCTAGATAACCATTAGGTCCAAAAAGATCTGGACTAATGCAAGTTCTTGTGTTCCAGCTGCACACGTCAGCGTTGGTTTTGAAAAAGTATATTGGAAAGGTACCCAAAGCTTTCAAGCTGGTGTGGAGGTAGCGCCGAAAGCAATTCGATTAGTCCATTGCCAAGCAGAATCTTGTTGTGATCTTTGTGGACACTTTTTGACAATGGACGGTCTTTACCTCCCGGCCCAACCAGACTGTTGAGATTGATGTGTCGGATAGCTGGCAAAATCTGTTGATGAAAAGGATTTGTGATTTTCGAGACGGCAAAATAAGGTCTATCTCGAAAGACTTGCGGGTCATTCTCGTCTGTAGAGTTGACAATGATGACTCTAAAAAGCCTTGCAAAAACTAGAGGACGAAGTCTTCGTGAGACACTAGAGACTTGAAGCAGATGGTCTTTCTTGTGTATCTGCTTCATGTTTAGTATTACAATGAGCTTCAAGACTGAAGCACTTGCATATCGAAGGACATTGTCCAGTAGCTCTTGTGGTAAGCTGTCAAGCATTATGTTCTCAACCATTCATCTTACGGCGAGAAAAACGTGGGTAGAAAGACAAAATAGCAACGATCATGGCAGCAGAGGGAATTACGAAACGGAAGGTGCAGGAAACGACAGTGGCAATACGCAAGGGCGGTTATGCGCCCAGCTAGCTTGACTGGTCTTCAGCTGCTGGAGATCTAGAAGGCCAACATTTGCCTTGGTCCATGAGCATGTGCAAACGACAAACCTTTGGAAAACATTGTTACTTGAAGAAGGAGGGGAGGAAGGAAGGAGTGAACGCGGCTTTTTTATGCATTTTGCGAGGCCTCGTCTGCCGTAGACTTACCGTCAATTGCATATGGCTGCTTTCTCACCAAGCTTGCACCGTGCTCAGGGTAGCACCTACAACGATATGACCAAAGCTCATTTGGCTCTCCAGGCTGTCGAATTAGCAAAGAATAAAGACATCACAAATCTACAACAAGTGTATACCACCTCAAATATTGATGCTCAGCTAGTCTTACGCATAATTCTCACATACCTTCCAGAGAGCTTGGACCCTGTAGCGTATACTACCTTTCTTCAAGATATCGAGCGAGACAAGAGGCGGAATACAAGTGATCAGGATGTCCAAATTACTGAAGCAGACCAACCCTCAATTGATGAAGCCCGGCGCCGATTACGAAGACTGCGCTTGCTTCCTCTTGCCCTCCCCGAAAACCCAATGGGCGACGACGCTGATCCCTTCAGCTCGTTTCTTGTCCATCGAGCACACCGCATAGAGGCTGCTACAGGCTCGCTAGACCTCATTCGTCGCCTTCTGGAACCCTTCGTCGAGCATTCTCGAGCTTTGCGGACATGGATGGTCTCCAACCTTCTGCCTCTTTTGCGACTTGACTACAGCGGTCGTGAGCAGAAAGACCATGTGCTTTCTCTCAATATGATCGAGCAGTTGGGAGATAGCGCTGTCGTCGGATCTTTAATTCCCAGAAGTCTTGACAAAGTCGACAGTTCAGGGCCTAACGAGACTGCCCGCGACTTGAGAGGCATTGTTGGTCCATGGATGTATGGAGAAAGTACACGAAAGAGGCGTAAGCTGGATCATTTTAGAACCCTGAAGCCCGAAGAGGCTACCGAAGATCCAACAGAGAGTGGATGGTCGCACGTCTATGAGTGGATCGTTGATCTTGCCTCAAGTGACTTCTCGACCACTGCGGATACTCTGATACGGTGGCAAGGTCCGGAGGATGTTGATTACGGGGAATGGGGCGAAGGAATTATGACACCGAACGGAGGGAAGGGTTACAATGACCGATACGCCGAAGCTGGACTCGCAGCGATCTATGCATCTCGAGAGGCTTCGCTTGGCAGCCTGGAAGCCGCTCACCGCATTATTGAACAGGTCGCGAGGACTACAGGTTTGGAAGTGCCCCTCGATCCTCGAGATCGCCCTGCCAGAAAAGTATCCCAAGATTACGTCCACAGTATATCCCAGGCACTACTTCTACGTAATGCGCTGCTTCGGATCGGTAATCCGCTGACGCATATTTCTGCTGAAGCAGTAGCTTTCGTCAGCGCTGCTCTAGCCTCCGCTCTCACACTGAACGATCTTGGATGTCGCAAAACCATCGGCGAAGTCGTAGAGTTAGCAATGTTCGCTTCGGTAGAGGGGCAAATGACGGAGCTAGGGCGAATTCTGCAAGAAGCCAAAGCGAGACGAAATGATGACGACAGCTGGGCAGCCTGTAGGGTCAATCTTCTATGGCTTCATGACTGGGAGATCGTATCAAACGGCCATTCAAATGAACCTGTGGGGCTGCTCGGGAGAATACCGATTCTCGAACTCGAGAACAGCGCGTTTCGTGCCATGCTCGACTCAGGCTGCTACAATTTGCCAATGAACCTTTACTGCAAGAAAGACTCACCTCTGCCCTCAAGTACAGTCAAGGAGACTATCATCGACGCCGCCCTTTCGGCCTATGATGCTGCCAGTAATGGCAACAGAACGCGAGGCGGCATCAAGAAAGCTTCTGACATCATATCGAGCTTCAAAAGCTACTACCCTGCATCACGCCGTTTTAATCAAATTGGCGCCCTACTTTCTGCGACACATTCTATGTCCTTCTACTCATTGAAATTACAACGGGGACTTCCATTTCAACCTGTCAACATCAGAGCGCACAAAGATCCCATGTCTTTGATAGGCAATATACTTGACCAGAACTCTCGAAGTTACACTCATCTTGATGATCTTCTTGAGATCGGGCAAAACCTAGTCACTGCGGGCCTAGGTGCCACAACAAACAACCTTGATGAAGGAGACCAGAATTCTCCTACTTTTGACTACGACAAGCTTATCGCAAGACGAAGGGTAATAAAAATGGCAATTGATGCTGCTCTCAACGAGGATGACTTTGACACAGCGTACTCTTATGTTGTGAATCGACTCTCTACAGTCACGAAGCCGGATATGGAGTCGGAGCAACATCCGTTACTTTACGATGACATATCCTGGCGGGCTGCCTATGCAACGGGCAGCTTCGCGACCAGTGACTCTGGTACATCTGCGATTCGACGACTCGAGCAGCGATTGGAAATACTATCCCAGGCATTACTTCTTGCGCCTCCTTCAGCACTTGCTGAACTGCTCGGCGTATGGCAACAGACTGAGCAGCAGATGGCAGAGCTTCTTGCACGCGATGCTGCAGAAGAGAAACAAGCCGAGAAGGAGCAACGGCATATCATTCCTGGCGACTTCGGCGACGATCCATCGCCGGTAAGACAGAAGCCTCGCGACGCGGCACGCAGCACGATGTTGGAGGAGGCACCAATGGGCCTTTTCGAAGTGGCTAGAGGAGCGGCCGCTGCATTAAGCAAAAATGCGTTTCCGCTTCACGGTAGCACCAAATCAGGGGAGCAACGAGTGCGCACGTCGAAACATCCGACGATGAATTTTCTGATGCTGCAGAAGGGCAAGCCCCAGTAAGGAAACGTGATATGCTCACACAAGGGCTTGCCTCTGGAATTGGATGGGTCATTGGTGAGTCACGAAGCATTGACTCAAGATCTGAGTGGCTAACATATTTCTTAGGAGCCCCGCCCATTCGACAAGAATGAGAGGACTGTGTGAGTTTGTTGACCTCGATTACTGTCTTTCCTGGTCTTGGCAGATGCATTGAAGGCGCTTTTGATATTACACAGCGTTATGATACCCCATTTGGAACTCGAGCTAAACAAATTGAAAGCAACCTAGTCTGGCCTCGCTTGATTCATCTATGCTTGAGTACCACTTGCATTTACGTAGCTACGCCAATGTATTTGTTCGCAATGCCCTCAAGCCGTCCGCATGTCGTTGATCTTCGTCACTATGCGTGCACGACCTCAGGCGTTGGGCATCAAGACACGCCTCAAAGGTAAGATTGACGTCACAGTGTTGATGAAAATGATCTAAGAACACAGCTTTCAGAGTTCTTGACGATGAGTAGAAGTTCCTAACGAATTGACACAAATGACTATGCGTGACGATAGGCAATGGTACAACATGTTTACTATGGTACGTGATGGACCAAGGTGGTGGCAAAAAAGTGTAAGCCGCCGAAACCTGCCTAGCGCGAACTCTTAGCGGGAACGCTGGGCGCACATTAAAAGCAGCAGTGCCCCGCCAAAAAATTTGATCTCTCGTCTGCACACCGATTCACAAGCTGAACGTCTGCACAGTACGCCCATTCACAGTCCACCGCTATCATCGAAAGCTAATCGTATCCGAGCAGCGCATTCTTTTTTTTGACGACTTTACCATCAACACACCCGAAAAACGTAACAAGCGAAAACAGTAGCCATGGGGAAAGAGAAGATTGTGAGTCTCACACCCGAGCACCCTCGCTCTCACAAAGCAGCGCTGACTAGGAATTCCTCTTTAGCACGTGAACGTTGTCGTTGTTGGAGTCAGTATAGCATCATCATATCAGAGAGAAAGATATTGAATATGAGCAGCACGTCGACAGCGGCAAGAGTACCACCACTGGCCATCTCATGTCAGGCGCAGTCGTTCAGCTATCAGGTTTCATCTCACTGACATCTCTATAGCTACAAATGCGGCGGTATCGACAAGCGAACAATCGAGAAATTCGAGAAGGTACGCTCGTCCAGGCAGCCGGGGCATTTTCGAGTCATGCTTGGTGGGGCTCGGATCTGCACCCCGCCAAAAAAACATCTGAGAGTACGATTGGCTGACAAGGTACACAGGAAGCCCAAGAATTGGGGAAAGGCTCCTTCAAGTACGCATGGGTGCTCGACAAGCTAAAGGCCGAGCGTGAGCGAGGTATCACCATCGATATTGCGCTATGGAAGTTCGAAACACCCAAGTACTACGTCACCGTCATCGACGCCCCAGGGCATCGTGACTTCATCAAGAACATGATCACTGGTATGGATCGATCGATCTGGGCGATCATTCAATACTGAAATATGACCAGGTACCTCGCAGGCTGATTGCGCTATTCTCATCATCGCCTCTGGCACTGGTGAAGTATGTCCCTTTCCCCTGCAGCTCGCCTCGATCTAACCGGCGTTGCAGTTCGAGGCCGGTATCTCCAAGGATGGTCAGACCCGCGAGCATGCCCTACTTGCCTATACGCTTGGTGTACGACAGCTCATTGTCGCTTGCAACAAAATGGACACAGTCAACTGGAAGGAAGACCGATTCAATGAGATTGTCAAGGAAACCAGCAATTTCATCAAGAAAGTCGGCTACAACCCCAAGACCGTTCCCTTTGTCCCTATCTCTGGCTTCAACGGCGACAACATGCTTGAGGTCTCCGACAAATGCCCGTGGTACAAGGGATGGGAAAAGGTTAGTGACCAGTGTAGAATTTCATCCTGAGCAGAACAGCTGACACGATGTGCCTCGTAGGAAACCAAGAGCAAGGTTACTGGCAAGACTCTTCTCGAAGCCATTGATGCTATTGACCCCCTAGCCGTCCTACCGACAAGCCACTCCGTCTCCCTCTTCAAGATGTGTACAAGATTGGTGGTATTGGCACGGTCCCTGTCGGTCGTGTTGAGACTGGACAAATCAAAGCCGGCATGGTCGTCACTTTTGCTCCCTCCAACGTCACCACTGAAGTCAAGTCCGTCGAGATGCACCACGAGCAGCTTGCCGCTGGTATGCCCGGTGACAACGTTGGGTTCAATGTCAAGAACGTCTCAGTCAAGGAAATTCGCCGTGGTAATGTTGCTGGCGACAGCAAGAACGACCCTCCAAAGGGTGCCGACTCCTTCAACGCTCAAGTCATTGTTCTCAACCATCCTGGTCAGGTCGGTGCCGGCTACGCTCCCGTTTTGGATTGCCATACCGCCCACATTGCTTGCAAGTTCTCCGAGCTGCTTGAGAAGATCGATAGACGTACTGGCAAGTCGATTGAAGACGCTCCTAAGTTCATCAAGTGAGTAGCACATAGTTGGCTCCGGTTCGACTCAAGCTAATACCCATAGGTCTGGCGATGCTGCCATCGTGAAGATGATCCCATCCAAGCCTGTGAGTTTCTCCGCCGAATTACCGCTGAGAATCCGAACTGACCCATGCCCCTGCAGATGTGCGTTGAAGCTTTCACCGACTATCCTCCCCTGGGTCGTTTCGCCGTGCGTGACATGAGACAAACAGTCGCAGTCGGGTGAGTATCCTCTTCAAAGTGAGAGTGACAGGCTCGGTGCTGATTCATTTTTCTCAGTGTCATCAAATCCGTCGTGAAGACTGATAAGGCTGGCGGAAAAGTCACAAAGGTATGTAAACGTCTTAAACTTCATTACGTGTTCACTGACCATCATTCTAGGCTGCCCAGAAGGCTACCAAAGGTAAATAAGCTTCGGCAGGGTCAAATTTATTTTGATTCCGGCGTCGCGGCATGGACGGGCATGGATGGGTTGAGGGATAGAGCAAGGATCGAGGCCACATTCAGGTATTGCTGGTAGAAGTACGATAGAGAGAAAAGAACCTTGCTCGTCAATTCCCGTTTGCAATTCATCCACAAACTCGCTATACTACACGTTTCCATCTCTACGGCTCCATTCCAACCGCCAAAATCACAGTCTCCACTGGTCTCAGCGCAACTGGTGGGTCTGCCTCTATTTCGACTCCAGTGCTACTCAAGCGAAGGGCAGTGCTGCAACATGGTGGGGCATCACGAGCAAAAATAGTAAAACTGGTTCCCTCCCTGCCAGATAATAAGTGTGATGTTTCCATTCACCTACAGGTCTTTCGCCCTCGTGTGCGAATCTGACATTCGGTCTGCCCTCATCAAGATGCTCAATTTCTCAGCCAACGCCATCGTCGCCGCATTGCTGATCTCGATTCAGCATGTGGCTTGCTTGCCAGCTAACGTTACTGCTCATAAGTACGTTCTTCTACCTCGTCGCCATCCACCTCTCGCCTTCATTCAACCATTCATCCCTCTAATCCCTTAAATCGCTCCCTTTAAAAACCATTTCCGTTCCCCTCTTTTCAACCTCCCCGCTCATCACATCCTTCTCCACCTTCACGACTGACACCCGTCCTATCTAGCTGGCCTAAACCTCCCTTCATCGTCCCCATCGACGGTTCGGCAAGCACACTCCGCCTGACAGCAATATCAGGGTAAGCACTTCGCCTTCCATTGCCCTCTCCTCCTCTTTTTCGCCCTCATCTCTTCCTCTACTTCCCCCTTCTCCTTACATTCTTCACTCCTCTCTCCTATACTCGTACCCCATCTTAATTCCCTCCTCCAAGCTCTTTCCTCACTTCCTCTTCCTCTCTCTCTCTCTCCCTCTCCCTATCTCTTCACCCCTCTACCCACCTCCACGCACCCCTTGCCCCCTGCCCCAACCCACATCTTCCACCCCCACCCATATCTAACAATCCACAGCTACGCCATGCGCGGCACAGCCCACGCACACTTCCACTCCCTCCTGCAATCCCTCTCCGCCGAATTCACAGCCATGAACCCTTCCTCTTCCATCTCGTCGCGCACAAACACCAGCGGGGACGTCAGGATCGTCACTATCATCAGCGACGCCGGCGTCCCGCCTGAATTCTTCGCTGTTCCTGAGCGCGGTGGGATCCTAGAGCTTGAAAGCGAGAAACAACACTTGGTGCCTAGGGGTGAAGATGATGGAGGAAGTGGGGTTGGGCAAAAGGCTGGGGTAACAGGGCTGGAAGTCAGAATAGCAAAAGCAGCATTCGAGAAGATCCTAGAGTATAATGATATGTTCTACCCGCTTGAGACGGAGGGGTGGGAGGTTTGGGTCGAGGGGACCAAGAGGGCGAAGGTTGGTGTAGGGATCTTGCCGACGTCTGAGGTCGGGGAGGGGGTAGCGAGTAGCTGAGAGAGGCGAGCTAAGGCGTGAAGGGGGGTGATGGCGACGTGAGAGGTGAAGGGACGATGAGAGAGCAGAAGAGGGAGGAGTAGGGGGCGAGAGGTTTAGTGGGAAAGGGGGAGAGTGAGGGGGTGGTATTCTTGGGACGAAGCGATTCGCTTCTCGAATTGAATGTTTGTGTCTGATTTTGATAGAGAGCGAGGCGAGATACTTGAGAGGTAGGCTTGTTTCCATACCATTTCTTTCTTATGATAAGTCAAGTCTCGTTGCAATAATATTCGATGTTTTGAGATAAATGAAGCGGACTCAAGTCTAGTCAAGCATTCTCTCCACTTTGGACAAATAAGATGGTATGTCGTTCTCTGTTGTTAAACATAGAAGATCAAGCTTCATCACTCACAAAAAATATTGCAATCTGGTCACATACAAAGTACTTGCATTTGGATCTGTGGACTCCCGCATCATCTACGTATTTGACGTTTCTCTATATTCATTCAGCCTCAGGGAAAGACCCAAGATGAACAATCCTGTGTTTGATGCTTCATGCTTTGAATGGGGATCTTCGTCATCATAGAGTACCTTCTACTTGTCTAATTCGAGGTCATTAGTAAAGGCAGAGAACGTGACAGCCCGCTATACCATCAGATGCAATCATTAAAATTGTTGGTGTATGATCGCTTTGGGGCTCAACATTGCGTCCGACCACTAAGGGCATAAACAATAATAAGTTCCAACAAAGAAGACAGTCTCGGTGCGCCTAAAGCATTGTCTTACCTCCACGCGACCCGGAATTGACACAAGCGGTTTCTGTCTGACGGATAATTCAGAAGGAACAACAGAGCTTCGAAGGTGCCGTAAGCTAAGAGATTCCAGCCTCACTTGACCAAGAGGTGGAAAATGTAACTTCATCCTGACATTTCACACTGTACCGTCCGCCTCCAAGATATGGTCTATTTTCCGCCTTGAGCACCAATGGCGATTCCCATATACTCGTCTCATCATCAGTCGCAAAGCCTCAACCGAAGTCTCGTTGACATTCGAAGGTGGAGATGATTACGAGAAGAAGACCGCAATGCTCACTTTCACCCCTCACTCATACTTGAAAATCGCACTCATCCTCCTCACCCTCTCCTATCACTCCTGCGCAGCACCTCCCGCAGCAATCGTCCCAGCAGCCCTCCGTTTCGGCTTAACATGCAAACCCCACCCACCGAGTACCATTCTGGGCGACCCAACTGTCTGCAAAGATCTCGTCATCAACCTCCCCGACACCCTGTTCAGCCCCTTTCTCTTCACCAACAACCCAGCAAAAGCCAGGACGCCATATGGTCCTGTCCCCTTCGATCTCACTTCTTCCACCAACCCCACCACCAACGACCTCACAAGCTATGACAAAAAACCATCCAGCTCATCCCTCTCCCTTCCATCCAATATCACCAACCCCAACCACAGTAAATGCACCCTCCACTTCTCCTTCCCCGACCGCACAGAAGCCGATCACGAAGAACTCTGGGGCACGAGATATCTAGCGAACTTGGTAGTGCAAGGGTGGGCGAAATGCATGATCGATATTGATGCCGCGGGGACACTGACGCCAAAGGAGCCAGCGCAGTGGGCGGAGGTCGTGCCGAAACCGGGGAGTGAGACGAGGAGGTTGGTTGTGGGGTTGAGGGCTGAGGAGTGAAGGGGAAAGGGTGGGGATTCGGGGTAAGGTATCCGTGTTGTGGAATGGAAGGGGGGGGGGGGCAGAGGGAACGTGAGGACTAGGTTTTGAGGTGTATTTGAGGGGTTAGGATTCGTTAATGAGGTAATTGGATCATTTGTATGGTCAGTGAAGACGAGTGACTTGAGGTATACAGAGAGACTTTTAGAAACATCCTCAGCATTGATAGTCGCCAAGATCGTTCAGCACGGATGAGATCGTCTTGTGCTAGGCATACATCTTAGAAAATTTTGTGGCGGTGTGTTGATGAACCTGATCCAGGCCAGATAATGTTATGGCGAAATAAAAGCGCTGCTGGAATACTTGATGGGAAATGGGAGGCCAGCTCGTTATATACGGGCTGAAAATCGCCGTGTCACCTAAACATACGACTTCTTAGTCGTATATCTTGAGGTGAAAGGGGCTGGAGAAAACGACTGATGCATTCAGGGGAAGCAATAGCGGCTTTTTCTTTCTCTCTTGCAGTGGCAGAGTGTGCTCAAGATCAGATTATATCGACACTTTGCAAACAATCTTGCGGTACGTTATGGCTCTTTGAGATTCTGTCTGGTCTGTCAGAAATAAATCGGGCTTCGAATACACAGCCAAGACGTCAAACGATCAGATAGTCCAATCACACGAATTTCTCCTTTGAAAAGGACTCCTCAACGCCGTCATAGTCCCCAACTTCCTCCAGAAACTGCTCTTTCATCCTACATATTGGACACCATGCGAGGAATATTAATCGATAATGGAGAGAGAGTCGAGGAAGTCAGTGGTCGGAATCTCAAGTGTCAAATTTAGCCTCCTCCCGGACTTCAGATTTTGAAAGTGTCCTTTATGTCTATCGTCCAGACAATGCTCATAATTTCTCCCAAATGTTGTGCCAATCATCAACTCTCTATTTTAATCACAAGCTTATCTGATATTTCAAATTCCGGTTCAAAGCACCGATTACCACATTAGCGGTAGGTCATAATTGCGTATTATCTTATCTCGCTTGTATGACACTCAGACCGGAATATTGGCTGTAACTTGAACATGTCTCGGCTTAAAAACTAGATATAGCCAGTATCCGTACCCGCTGCATCTCCAGCCTTTTCTTCGTGCATAGTAAGATCTGTGGCTTCACAAAATAGAAAAAAAGGGCTGAATATGAGCGAAAGACGAAACTCAACTAGAAGAAAGAGCAACAACACACACTTATACTCCACATCTTCTCTTACTAAGACACGGGACACACCTCGTCATTAACCCAGAATCCCCCAAAAACTTCACCACGATGATAGAAATCGTCAAAAGAACATTGAAAAACAACCCATCATCCGAAGTAGCCCAAGAATGAGCAAAGAAGTCCTCGCATTCACATTTACCTTATCCCTCTTCTTCCTTCTCCCCCAATACAGCCACACAACTCCCACTCCTCCTCCCACTCCCACACCCCCCTTCACCACCCCCTCAGGCCCCCTCACCATCCTGAACGAAACTCTCCCCACGAACTCGTCCTCCTCCCAACTATCCTCCCTATACGGCCCAACATGCTTCAGCACCTTCCCCGTCACCCTCTCCCCCACGAACCACCACCGCTTCATCACCGACTGCGAAATCGTCTTCCTCTCCTACACGACCTCCTTCTCCGCCCCCGGCCCAATCGCATTCTACACCCCCCACCAGCCCCACCAGCCCCTACCCCCAGACATCCCCTCGGAAAAGAGCCCATTGAAGTGGAAACGCGGGACGTGTAAGCTCATGATTTCGATACGGACGTTGCCGGGGCCGCCGGAGGCGCTGGTCGTGAGGACGACCGTCGAGGAGGTGGTGAAGGGGGTGAGGGCGTTGAGTGAGAAATGTGTGGGCAACGGTTGGTTGAGGGGGTTGGAGAGTGTGGACACCGGGAGGGGGAGGGGCGGGTTGGCGGGGACGTTGGATTTGACTTTGGGGCCGACTAGGAGGAGTGGGTTTCGGGGGTGGGGATGGATGGCGATGAAGATGGAGGGGAGAGAGGCGAAGAGGGGGAGGGGGAGTGAAGGGCCGCGAGATGGCTTGAGGGAAAGATTCGTTGTGTTGCATTGTGTTGGTGGACAGACTAAGACCATGCAACAATTGTGAGATGGAGGGCTGCTTTGCACATGGCTAGACGCCCGGTGAGGTTGAAAGGTTATGGCTTGTTGCTGGCGGTGTTCGAAGTGACGAGGTTCTCGAGGATCTAAGAAGGTATTAGAATACGACATTAATTATTTAGAGAGCTGTGCTGGAGTGACAGATTCTCTTCACCCAGTGTTATGATGGAATTACGTATTTCATGCCCAAGGTTTGAGCCGAGACATTTGAATATTGGGACTAGTAGCCCGTTCAACGAGAGGTACAAAACAAAGATATATATTTATGTGTGAATCCTTCTTTGACGGAATTGCCGATGCTTTACGCTGGAAAATCCTGGTCAGTGTGGGATATGAAAAACAAATATTTGATCCAATTGAGGATCTGACCCATCAGCTAAAGCTTTTTCTTGCTGTTTCTAGAATGAAAGTTTTTGAAATACCAGAGATGAAGAAACGGTTTTCGTGCAATACACTGAGCAGAAAAGGCAAAGCTTTTCAAAGAAGGATTCAAGCATAGTCCTTCTGGGCCAAGAAGTTCCTACTCCGTTATCTGCGGTCCTAAGAGCCTTTCGTATTTACGTATAGTGCAAGAGGATTGAGTCAATGAAAGCCGAGAAGTCAGCGGCTACAACTGAACCGATAGATCACGAACAGAAGCGTTCATTCGCCGAGCTTAGGATTAACACAGAGGACCTTCTCATGTTTGACTACTCGCCTCATTAGTCAACACCGTTGTATAGTCACCTATTGCTTGCATCTCATTCTTCGGAAGATAGCAGTAGCCGTTTCACTTAGAGAACAGACTCTGTAAAACTACCCGGACGTCTCACGTAAGCATCTGGTTCTTCTTCAAAGTATTGCAGCCTTTGATAGCTTGCTATATCCCAGCGGGAGCTAGCGAGATGGGTATGAAATTAGGAGGTCTACAGGCGTAGATACGTCCCACTTCATTTTCTAAGTAACATTATTGCTGTCCGCCCAAGAATTTTCAAATTCTGACGCTACAAATTCTGCAATATTAAGGAGCCGATACATGACGTGGATCATCAACATCGAACCAATGGTTCATAGCTCCCAGCAACATCTTCCAAACATTACCGTCTGCTGGTGTCACGTCAACTATGTCCTCTAGTTCGAGCTCAGAATCTAGGTGCTTTAGGCGTGCCTGGGCTCTGGAGTCGCTTCCAAATTGGATGAACTGAATTTGAACCCGATGATACTGTACCTTGAGGTCACCAAGATCGTTGGCCAGAGCTCTTATCATCCCTGTTGGGTCACTTTTTGGCTGCCAGACGCCATCGGTAAGAACATAGAGACTGAGAGGTTTTGGTCGCCGCCTACGAAGAAGGAAGTTTCGAACCGTTTTGCTGCGATCGGCGCTCGCCGAATGATCTTGCAGTATCATGCTTAGGCTATGAGACATATTTGTGAGAGCATCAGGAACATTTTTTTCCATGCTTTGCCTAATTTCCTTCAACTTTCTGGCTTTGAGTTTCCTGTCGCTCGATGTGAAATAAAGATCAATGCCATCGGGATCCTGATCTCTCAAGATTTTCGTCAAACCCTCAAGAACGTCCCAGATTTCTCGCCTGTGCTTGGTCATGGAAACCGAATTGTCAATTAGAAAGACCTAAAAGGTATCAGCCCCCAACGAAAGAAGGAAGGAGAAAAAGCGGATTTTATGTTGATACTGTCGCCATTGATTAAGCTGCTAACAAGACCTGCTCAGTACTTACGTGATCTCTATTTTTCAGTCCATTCAATAGGTAGGATTGTGATGATAAGCCAGCAGGTTTTCGATCTTTCCTGGACAGGAGATCTGAGATCGACATGCTAGGAGCAAATTCGTGCCCTTTCGCTTCCTGGTCAGATTTAGCGATCACTGTAGAAAGGGCACGATTCAATGAAAACACAAGCAGGCAAAGGACGTTGAATTGGCGATCACTTGGTTGCCAACAGTTTGCATCGTCCGAGAATCGAAATAAGAGCTGGGAAGTCTTACATTTTGATTGATTCCAGACCACGCTTCCCGATGGCTTGCCTTCTCTTCCAGTGTGGCCCCCTTCGAATTCGAAGCCTGTGCGTCCAGAGACTGCATAGCCGAAAGAGGGTATGTTCTGTCTGATGCTGATGCTCTAGGAGAGGCGAGTGCCGGAGACTGCATAGCCGGAAGAGAATTTGTTCTGTCTGATGCTGATGCTGTAGAAGAGGCGAGTGCTAAATGACTTCCATGGTGCATTTCTTCCTTCTGAGTAATCGGGACAGTATCTTGTGACCTCGACGGTAATGGCTGGTTGTCATCTACAAGTGTGTTACACGTAGTACTCGACGACCTAAGGTCCTCAAAGCCTTTTCTGACTTCCATGATCGCTCTGACTGATTGGTGATAGAGCTGCTTTGCGGGTGCACGAGCCAGGTCATCTACAAGCATTTCCTCATCGATGCTATCTAGGACCCACCGAGTGAGGGAATCCTTTCGCTCAAGCATATCCCTGAGGTTTGAATGCTGCAATATGACTGCGGGCAAGACATGTGAACCATCATGGAAACAGTCACCGGCGTCTAAGCCTAGGGCATATTGAATCTCCGCCCGCCGTCGGTATCGATAGTCTTCTACTGCTCTCCAGCCTTTCAGGGTCCATGATGCGCACTCGCTGAGAATACAGCCGAACGACCAAATGTCAACACTCTGTCGAACTTGAAAAGTGGCCCGGGAAAACGAATCGTCGAGTCGGAATGTATCAGGGGCCCCTAGATATTTATCAGATTCACTCAGTGCAGATACAGCAACTATGTTGCAAAAGAGGATGATACCATAAGATCGTGTGCCAAGTGTGTCTTTGTCCAAGACTTGGGGTGACGTGTCTTTCTTGAAATGACTCAGGCCAAAATCGGCAAGCTTGAAATACGATTCGTAGTCGGAACCTTGAGGTTTTGATAATACTACAATGTTTGCTGGGGTCACGTCCTGGTGCCACCTACGAATTGTTAGCCAACTTAATTACGCATCCAGATATGACATTTTACCCTGAGAAATCGTTGGGCTCATCAAGTCCGGCATCCACTCTTGACCCATGAACCAAAGCCAGACCACGCAAGACCCCAAGCAGGCTGGCCCAAAAGGCTATCCTGTCCTGAATGTCCCTCGGAGGATGGACTGCCTGCATGTATTTCTCAAGCGAGCCTTTATCTGCATATTCAAATATCATATTATACGTTTCATCACGAATGAAAGAGCCAAGAAAGCCAACGACGTTTGGTGGTGGCTCTCTACCGTGCCTAAGCATCTTGTGTGCCCTCAGTTCCGCCTTAAAGTAGTTCTCAGCATTGCGTGTCCGATAACTCTTCAAGACAAATTCATTCGTTTTTTCCTTCTTGGCCTCATATTCCCTTTCCCAGTCAGGGGGCTCCAACTCATTATACTCCGCTTCCAATTCAATCTTGTAAACGCGTGCGCTCCCACCTTCTGCAATTTTCTTCCGTCGTATAATGGGGAGAACAGATTCTGTATCGAAGTAATTGTGCATGTCATATTTCAGCGTTTGGGCGCAAAATTCCCACTGTCTCCGTTGAAAAAGTTCGAAAATGTCAAAGTTCGGGTCTGAAGAGACCGGGAAGCGTGCTGGGCGAGAGGTAAAGGGCAATTTTGAGTCCTGGAGTGAGTCATGCTGAACGAAGTGCTTCACGAACCTTCCCATGCCGATGCATAACAGGATACTGAAAGTTCGAAGGTACTGCTCCGTAATGTTCTTTCGAGGAGGAAGCTCGGACGCATCTTGTCCGGGATATAAGGCATCGAGAAGCCTTTCAAGTTTCTTCGTCGACCCTAAATACGACTTCAAACGCGTATAAGGAATGAAATAGCGACTTCTAAACGTGGACGTTGGGTCATCTTGCTCTGGACAACGATTACCCTGGACCCATAAGAGGAACTCTTGTATGGGCTCTAAATCGTCGCGCTGAAGCTCGACGGAGTTGATGGCCATGAGGGAGAGCTTTACATGCTCCCGCCATGTAAGCGCCGGATTTCAAAGTGTAGAAGGAGCTGTAGTATCATTTCGCTCGCGATATTACAGGCGCCTCGATCCCCGTGGATTAAGGCTGATGGGGCTATGCAGATTATGGCGCGCGCTAATTCTAGGCTGCATTAATTACTTTTATTGCCAAGGAACTAGAAGTTTTCTCTACGCCCGAGCGCCCCAAAGGCTTCAGATGAAAGGCAACCTACGAGACGAACATCCTCCTCGTCATGTACCCGATGCTTCTACATGTCAAATCATGGCTGGACCATCCTTAATGCTATCAGTTGAACGACACCTACCTCGGCGACGCAGTCGTCAATATCATTCATTCCTGATGCTTCAATTCCTTGGCGCGATGCTTCTTCGTGAGCTTCTGACCGAGATACCAGACCATTATTGTCCCCGCAAGAAGTGGCACACTCAAGACGAAGAATTGACCGAGCGCATTTAAGTATTCCTCATGACTCGAGGCCTGGAAAAGCTTTGTGCTCATTAAGGTCTACATGACTTGTTAGCGTCATGAGTTTTTCCTCCAGGGTGAGCAGGACAGACACACCGAAACAAATGTTTCAGGTAGGAACAGTAGCGCGATGAGAGCCATGATCCTCATGGAGATTGTCTCTTCTCGCGTCTCTCTAGCAATGAGATGCATGTCTTCCGTCAAGATGTGGACTTTCATGGTAACCTCCTCCATTCTACGAGCAGACTCTTGGGCTTGTCTGGCCTGCTGCTTACCCATCTCGGTCTTCTGCTGTTCGAGAATTCCGTAGAGCTGTAGGTATAGTATCAGCATGAGTCCGATATCTTCCTGGAATAGATGAAATCAATTACTAAGGTCTTGCGAGCATTTATTAGGCTCAAAAGAGTTTCAATCCTCGATTGCTGTATACGGAGATCGTTCTGGATCGCGCCGACGCGCTGTTCGAATCGAGTCAGGTCAGAGTGTAAATCTCCTATGGCATGCCGCTGATTCTCTAACGATACTTGGAAAGATCTATAAGAGTCCTTGAGTTCTCCTAGGACGTCCAAATTAACTTTCAGAATCAGATTGGCTTCGTTCACTTTCTCTTCTATAGCTTGAGTCTTCTGCAGGTCCTCAAAAGAGAACTCAGCACGCTCCTGCTCACTCGTTCCAGGATTTGGGGACAACGGAGTTGTTTGAGACTGTTGAAGAGCTGCGTCAATGTGGGGCAGCGGCTGTAACATGATGCCGGTCGATGCTCCAGCCTGCAGAGTTGCGTGATCTCTACTTGTATTGCTACGAGCGCCCTGCCTGTGTCGAGTTCCGCTAGCATCCTGGGCCCCAGTAGACTGTTGTGGTGGCGGCAGAAGCGATGGACTCTCTAAACGAGTAGAGACTGCTCTCCATGTGGAAGACTGAAACTTTTCATCTAAAAAGTTGAGGTATAATCGCCAACCCTCTCCAGACCAATCACAGAGAATTTGGTGTACGGCTAAAGCTGCGGCTAAGGATTGTTCAACGCTGCGATGCGATTGCTGTTGAGGAGCCTGATCTTTGGTGGCATTTTCTATACGATCTTTGAGAGCTTGATCACCCTTGATAACAATCCACAGAGATTGGCAGCTCTCAATATCAAAAGAATGATAGATAGCAGACTGCCCGATAAACCAGGGCCATTCGTTCTCTTCTCGGTCTTTGTAGGACTCTGCAGACTTCAGATTGTAGCAAATTCGGATGTCACGGCCTGAGCGTCCACGTTCTGCTACTCCCATTCCTGCTTCAATCTCTTGCTGTGTTAGGCGACATTGGGAGCGAAAGCCACCAAAATGAAAATCTCTTGCATGGAGTTGGAGGCCGAAAGGAAAGATGAATTCTAAGAAGGATGGGAGAACTTGGTGGTAAGAGAAAATCAGTGTCAGCATTTTCCGAGTCGCTTTCAGCCTTTGTCTTCCATGAGATGCTTGCACAAAACTGTATTTACTAATCAGACAAGGAATCCCCCTGGGACGAGCAGAGGGAACAGTCAACTGACATGAATCTGCAAATAGGGTCATTAATGTCTCTGTGTTCAACGTCGCTCGCCGTCAATCTAAGGTGCGTCTCTGTGTCGTGCAGGCTTCTGATCGATGCGCTTACAAATACTGAAACTACTTATTAATGGGAATTGAATGAGTCCTTATTGGCAGTACCTCGACCAGTGCTCGACCTTTCCCAAAATCTAATATCAGCTTTGTCATTGCCGTGAAACAATCGCTTTTCTTGTTTATTCAGCTGCTCAAGATAAAGATCGAGCACGTAAGGCGTAGAACCTTGCTGAATGAGTTGTCTGGGGTATGTGGCGGCCTCTTTGGTGAGTTCGCGTAATGTCTGCATGTCTGCTAAATATTGAAGGAGAGATTTGTCTACTGACTTCACGGTATAGAGTCCACTTTTGCTGACAGGCAGAAGGTCCTCTGAGGTCCTTATGAGTCGCCTTTTTGCTGCGCCTCAAAAGCGTAGCGTCGACAAGGCTAACCAAAATGAGTTTAATGATGGCGAGACGGAGAGACAACGTACTTCAGCTACTAAATGAGCCGTACAGCCTCTTATTAATCATCAAATGCGAGATCCAGGAGTTCTTCTCGTTCAGCCTGTTCGTACATAAGTCAAACTAGAACGAGCTTGCACCATTCGTAAGTTTTGGTAAAGAAGTACTTCTGATAACCGCCGCGGTACCAAAAACCTCCAACTGTCGGCGAATTGCTGCTTGGTTTAGGTGGATTTATCAAAAGGCTCGGAACGCTCACCTGGATGTGGAATTGACGCGGTCCAAATTTCCTTTCCAGAAAACGTTCCACAGTCACCCTTCTGAGCATGTACTGCGGGATAGAATCCCACTGCAAATTCTCCATCAGGCCGAAAAGTCCAACTCGTAACAATCGCTGATTATTGTGTGTAAGGAGTAAACAAATGGTCTCTATGCCTCGCAAGAGGATCTCATCCCCAGGCTGTACTACTACGTTGAGTATACTTCTTGTCGTACGGAGAGCAAGGCACTCTCAAGGAAAAAGTGGGCATGAAGATTGCGACAGAGTACTAGCAAAGAGTGCCCCGCAGTAGGCCTATGCAGGCGCTGCGGACTCGATCAGGCTGAGACTTCGCGCCGTTATTGATGACGATGCAGCAGCTACCGAGGAATCCTTCGACGAGCCAGTGTTGCAATTTCCACCGCGCATAGCAAACCACTCAGATCATGCAAGCACTTTGACACGAATTGCTTCGTGCCTGCCTTTCACATCAGCTGTTTTCATCAGCTATTTGGAAGTTATGGCTTCATCAGACGACTTTCTACGTGGGGGTGGGGTCAGACCTCAGCTGATCATATCATTGGCGCGAACCCTGCATCAACTAGCCCTCTCAGCCTGCTGTAGTTCCTGTCAGCGGACTTTCGATCGACAGTAGATTTTGAGACTCTTCAATACTTATCTGTCGAGCAGATAACAGGAAAGATGTCTTATAAGTCTTGAATCAACCAAATAGTATAATACTTTGCAATAGGCCATGAACGCATCATGCATTGGGCATACTCTTGGCCAAAAGACTCGGAGTCAATATCAACTTCAACTTCACGAACGACTAGCAAGAATTTCTTCTCCAGGCCCGTCGCCAGTCAACGTAGATATCCTATCTTACCATCCTTGGGTACCTTTTCCGGTTCGGTATGGATTGTAGAAGGTGTCCATTTGAATCCCTGTTTCGTCGTACTTCTTCCACAGCACCACCTCCTTTGAAGGTAGCCTGGAGAGAACCTTCGGGATATCCTGGCTTCAGCGTGGTGAAAAGTATACAAACCTGTTCAGTATTTGCCTTTGGGCTCTCAGGCTGGACGACGCGATGGTCTATTCGAGTCCAGGATTCTCACAACCATGCTGCTCCAGGACAGTCTCGATGTCATATTAAAGGGCTTCACAAAGAAGTGAATATTGCTTAACCCCTGAGAACTCTTTTCCCATCTTGGGCTGTCAGTGTAGTAGATTCAGCGCATCCTCATGGGGAAGAGGTGCCTCTCAGCCTCCAATCTACATAAGAGACTTTGAGGAAGCTCTGACGACGCCTTGATATCGTAGAACTACCAATGCTGCAGCTCAGAAGTTTGAGCAGGAATCTGGCCTACGATGCTCGTATTACCTCTCTCTTGCGCGTTGCGGCTTGTCAAGCTTGTTATTGGGTCTTCAACTTCTGCAGGAACTTCCTTCTCATGCTTTTTTATAATTGCTTCACATTCGTCAGCTTTCTAGTTTCCCTCTTGGATAGGTCGTCATTTGCTCGAGTCCTATCGAAAAACTACTTGGGCGCGTAATCTGGCCGTAAATTTATCTTGAAGCTAGGCTAACTGGCTGATCCTGTGCTCTTCGAACAACAGGTTTGCCGTTTTTTTCCCATGAAATAATTGAATAACGCGACTTTGCGGACTGATTGCATTGCCCCGTTCGCTTGCGCCTTCAGAAGACGTTGGGTCAAGTCCGATATACCTCGCTTACACTACCTGTATCCAATATCGCGCTCGGCACTGTTTTCGCCCCTGTTCTTTGTCAAACACCTACACGGACTGCGCGCAACAGCAGAGCATCATCTACCCCCGAGGTTCAATTTGACGATGGAAAGTAAGAATCAATTTTTCCTTCTCAAGTCTTAAGCTTAAGGTCGCTCATTATAATATAAGAAATAGCGCTTTCCGGTCTTCGTTCGTCAAATGATAAGCCTTGCGCTAGTAACTACTCAGGTTGATTTAGTTGATCGTCAAAATCCGGATCTGCTGCTATTCACCGAGCAGTTGAGTAATCGAACTGTCTATCTGTTTGAGTGTGACTTTACAGCCAGCAACAACATCTTCGACAGCTCCAGGGTTGAATGGTAGCTCCAACACTCTTTCGGTTGAGGTTATACTTATTTTCCCAAATCCATCTCCAAACTCTTGTCCAGGAACACTCATACGAAGGGCCTGGCCTGCAGTATGCATCTTCAATGTACCTACAGGAGTGACACATCTTGGAAACTTGCTTGTGCGATCTGCGACATTGATGGACTCTTTTGGGTGAGAGAATAGCGATCGCACGATTGAGCTGACAGGCCAAGGATCCATGCTCTGGGGCGTGGAAAGAGGCTTCTTAAAGGTGATGTTTGCCCGAAGGTACATCAACTCATGACCACCTTCAAGAGGTCACTTTCCGCCCTCGAGTCTCTCAGACTTACTGATATCATGCTGCATACACTAAAGACGCAGGTTGCGTTAGCGTGATCCTAGCAGGTTTTCGAAACCTCAGCCTCGTGAGAGGTAGACTATTTACCTGCCTTCTGCCTTGGTTTCAAAAGCTGGATGGTTACTTGACTCAACAATGAGCTGGGAAATTTTTGTGTCGGCATGCCTCATCTAAATTCATCAAGCCACACTCGTCGTCGGAGTGGCAGTAAGCTGCTCGAGTGGAAGAATCAGCACGCAAAAGGTTACGCAAAACATCGATATGGGCCTGTCTGGGGTCGGTGTCTGGCTTGTTTCGCAAAGGCCACTGTTGAAAGACTCGTAAGACTCGAGCATGATGTTATTGGGGGCGAAGATGCGGATCTCGTGGCTTTCAAGCTGTCATTAGCAGGAGAGCTATCGATGGTCGCTGTGGCAGTAAGTACCTGTGGGAGACTAGAAGGAATTGAAGCTCTAGAATGCTTCTTGCTGACGTTGAGAATGAAGGGCGCTTTGATTGCCCAAATCGCAGAGATAGGTTTCTCCCTTCCCAACAATCTCGACATACATTGGATCGTGCGCGCATTCTTCGTTTGCGGCCTGGTCATGGGCTTGTTGTCTGTCTATTTCTCCGTCATTCAGCAGCGAACACTAGGAAAACTACACAAACCCTCGCAAGTGAGGGTCTGGCTTCTGGCAAATAGCAGTACCGACGCTATTGCAGGGGGGACAGAGTCTGAAAGTGCCAGACACGAAGCTTCTTTTGCGACTGCTTTTTTGACGCAACTCCCGTACACAACGATAGAATATGGGGTCATCTTCCTGGTCATTGGGATTGCGTTGTACTTAGGATTATCGTGGCAGAAGCAGATTGACAAGCAGAACGGAGAAGATGGGGATCGCAACGTGCTCATCATGTACGTCGCCGTTACCGGAGTGGCTATTCTGCAGTGGGCGTGGGCTCTCTACAGTAAATCGATATGGATGGATCATAACATCATGCCAAATGACCATGAGCAAGGCGGTGAACAACTGACCCATGTTGCGCATCCTCCACCACATCCAAGGCTCGAAAGCAGGAAACACGCCTCAGACACTCAGCTTGAGCTCGGGTCGATGAGCTCGGAGTCATCGAACACTCTGGCTGAAGTCCTACGGCAAGCTGCTGAGATTCATCGACAGTGTGCAGAGAAAGACATACTTGTAGCTGAGAAGTACGAGCGAGGCGCTGCTCACAAGAGATCCCTGTAGAGGTCCTAGTCCGGGCGGGACCTCCAAGGGCTCTCCGGGGTTAAAGGCCTTGGAATCGGAGATTTAAGCAGCCTCTACGGGCAGTCCGCAATTTCAGGAACCTTAAGGAGCCCATTGCCCAAGCCGGCAATTCTCAACGACTTTCAAATGTTCTCTTACTGTCTACTGTCAACCCTAAAGGCTACGGTCTCTACACTCTTTCGCCATGTGGTCATTGTCACAGTATTTGTTTGTACAATCCTGAGAAGAGAGTGCCAAATGTCGCCTGAGATCCTCACGAGGTCTCGACGAAATCTGCAGCAAGCACGTGCCTCTCAGATGTGGCTCTACAGCGTCATCTAAGTGTGGATGCTTCATTTGTATTTGAGATATCAAGGATTGCCATGATGCAAATGTTCATGATCTTCCATCAAGATGTAATGCTGAATTCCCAGTCTTTAGGAAGGGAGTACAGTAGTGCGCTTGAGTCGCAGGCTGCCACATCCTAGAGAACAGGCTGAGGTTATCCTTGTTTCGCCACTAGAGAGAACAAGGAATTCAGGAGAAAAGTGAACCACAAAGATCTGCCGGTACTTGTGAAAGCTGAACTTTTGGAGGGGCTCGCGCCATCAGATTGCCCGCTCCAGGCTTCTTATGGGTTAGACGGGGGGCGATGGCGCTACAATGCCTCCAATCATTCCACTGCGCGGACTCAATGGCTGCATCCACCACGCAATCACAGCCTTGTGACAATTAGACTAGCCAGACTCAACTCAGCTTTCTCCTGAGGAGACAGAACGAATCTCTTGAAGTACATACGTCGCTTAATGCAAAAGCCTGTTCGGTATTCTTTTGACAATCAAAGAGCTCAAAGCCTAGGAATCTTCAGTCTTTCTACGAACGTCAATAGAGCTGATGCCTTGGGTTTGGCGCGCTGAGAATCAGCAATCAACCCTAGAATCACAGATTGATGATTTCCTGTTTCCCCCCGCCCTCGACCGCTTTATCGCAAATCACACTTGGCGTCGACCGGCTTCTGGGCCTCTGGACAATGCTATTCAAGCTGGGGCTTACAAAATTGATGCCGATGCTCGCAGATTCCTGAACGATTTCCATTACGTGTGTCACAAGTCAAAAATGCGTATGGTGGACATATTCAATATGTACATACACTTCCCAGATCCAACGGCGCGACACGAAGGGCCAATAAGTACTCGCGGTGGATTCTCTAACGTCCTGGATCTAGCTACTGACTTAATGCTGTGCAGCTCAAGAAGAGATGTTTCCGACCTCAGACTCCTTCCTCATTTACAACTGGCTTAGTCATTTGCGCTTGAAACTCATGGACATTGACGGAGACGCATTCGTTCTGTGGCGAGCAATCCCCTGTTCACATTGATGCTCCTGGAATTGATAGATTGCAGCTGCTTTAGCGCAGAAAACCCAATACATGGATTCCAGACAATGTCCGACCTACTAAGGCCATTACCATCGCAGACCCGTCGTCGTCATGAGATGCCACGAGCAGCCTTGATATGCCTGCTTTTGCAGAGCCGCGGTAGGTCGTTTCATAGCCTCAAAACTATTTCGGGCAATGCCTCCACTGAGGAACTTACTGCGTACTTGCTACGTCCAACACCTGCTCAGCGCTACCTCCATTGCATTAAGAGGGGCTTAAATGGCTTTCATCGAACGGCGCGGCACCAACCGGCTTGTTCACTGAAACTTCCTGTACCTACCTTTGATCTGAATCCTTCCAATTTTCAGAATGTAGTCAATCGATAAGGTGCTGATTCAAGAGCTGATCTAGACTGGCATTTCCCGCAAGAAACAATCTCAACAATCTTACAAGCTACAGGACCCACAAATCTTGTTTCTGCTGCCTTGGTACTTCCGTCGATGGGTATGCTTGTTTCGAATACCTCAAGCTCATCACTTACAGTCCTCTGTAGGACCCGACAGCTCTCCTGAGCAAGAGACGACTTCTACAAACCAGGCAAAATGGTCGATCAAATGGCAACATGTAGTCGAAAAGTACAGATGGGACCTAGGGACATACATTTGGCAGCCATATCTCAGAACACCTCCTTTTGCTTATGCGGAACTGTTTTTCTCGACAGTCAGTGCACCTTGCCTTCCTCGATTCCTAATACTGTTTTCTACGACTCGATCATTACGATCTTTCAGGCTTCGTTATGCTGAAAAATTCATAATGTTCTCTGGCTTGAAACCACCGGCTATGATGCTATTACGTGGAATTCTTGTAGTCTTTGAGATCTCGTTGATGGAAACAAAAGAGTTTTTGGAAGATGTGTCCCAGCAGGTTTTTAGTATGGTAAAGGCTTTCCCCCAATCTTTCCACCAATCGTCCACACTAATCAATAAGACTTTCCAAAGCCGAGCACATCCATCAAGGCAGAAGTTTCAACATCTGCTGTTCCTCTCCGACTGTTTGAAATTAGCCGGCTTGAACATGTCCAAAAATTTAGAGCTGACCGAACAATGCGCCACGTCCTTGAAACCAATGATACCAATAATAGACAATTCAAATGAAGATAAATTCATGCAGGCTACCTTGAGCAAGCTCCGTGGCGATATCAAATACATCAGAGTGCAAATTGGGAAAAGCGTGAAGGGTATAAAGAGCCTTCAGAACGAGGTAATATATGCTCCTCTAAGCAGCTGGCCGAGCTTACAAGTCGGTGAAGATCGAAAGTCAAGCGAACCTGCGAAGTCGGAACACTACTATGGTTACCATATTAGCTGCCATTTATGTGCCACTTGCGTTTGTCACAGTATGGAAGCAACTCCACATCACGTCACAGTCCAAAACCAGCTGACTTCAGTAGTCCTTCATGGGAATGAATGTCACCGAGACATCTGTGAAAAACTGGCTGGACACAAAATCCTACAACAGCAACGACGAGAGCGAAAAGATCGATAGCACGAAAAGCGTCATTACATTGAGTGACGATCAATCGAGCTTCAGCCCTCAAGTGTGGGATCTCCGCTGGTTCGCCATTCTCAGTGCTCCCTTATTGTTTGGCACCATCATCCTACCCCTCATCACCGGTCCAGTTCTTCGATATGTATGGACATCATACATCCGTCTTCGATCATACTGGCGTCTGAGTTTGGTCCTCCTTGCAATCATATGGCCTGCATTGTATTACGGTCTCACCTACGGCTATGACGACACTGAGGTAACGTTTTTCCTCGACATGGTTTGCAATTTTAGCTTTTTCGTGTATGCAGCATTGCGAACGGCTCATGCATGGAGATTCAGAGAAGACTGGGAGCTGTCGATCTGCTGCTGTTGTCTTGCTTTGATGATTTTATTTTCAGATCTCATGATCAGATTGCTTTCGCACGTCAGAATATCAGTTGGGTATATTGGATGGATCGCCATGTGGCTAATCTCATGGCTCTTATACCGCAGACAGGGAATCAAGAAACGGAGGACAGAAATGAATACATCTGAGGAATCCTGAAATCCTTGTAGTTTATGTCGCATCAGTGCTCCAACAGTATCCCGACATAACTACTTCGGCGCCAACTTGCCTGGCCTAGCAAAGCAACTAAATACGCGTAAATGGTTTCAAAACACAGACTTTTTGACTCGAAGCACACGGTCCTATCTCGACACTTGGTATACTCAGTTATTGCTGTCTTGCGCTACCTCACAGCCCGAAAATGGTGGAGCAACCATAAAGCTTTTCAAGCGCAACATTCGCGTTCAAAGTTTCAATAAAGCATCAATAGGGACCCACAAAGCAAACAAATCAAGACTACGTCGTAAGGCATCTAGATGTACTGAGATCAAGGAATCATGAGTGGCTACCATAAATAGGACGATCACAAGCAATAAATGGATAATGAATCTTTTATTCGGATAGCTCAAACATTCGATAAAGAAAAGCCCACGCACAGAAGCAAGCACATGGCATACCGAAGTCCAAGTCTCGTCCTGTAAACCACAATACTATTCAGTATCATCACAACCCACTCCATAGTAAAATATGCTTGCTCCCAAGATAAATCAGGAAGCCCAACCACCCTCCTATTCTCTAAACCCTCACATCCTCAACTCTCTCGTTCAGTCTCCAAATGAAACCATCCCAGCAAAAACCCACTAACCCTACCCATACCCACCGGATCCCAAGGACGCAAATTCAACACAACCATACAAACCGACAGCCCCCACCCCACGACGGAAACCCCCATCCCATCCCATCCAATCCCAGCCCAGCAGTATCAGCGTAGAACACCCCAATTCCCATTCCCATTCCCATTTCCTACTATTATTCAGCCCCCAAAACCTCAACCGACACTCCCGTCCCCACCAGCCCGGGACAGCGCGAAACAAAACCTTCTAAAAATAATGTCTCGCCCCAAAACGGCGAAACCAACACACGGGTAGAGTAGGATCTACAGACTAGCGCACTCGGAAGGTCGGGGGGAGGGGCCGTAGGAGGTTGAAACATCCATCCGGGGTGGGGGCCAGGAACGGACGGATACGGTAGCTCGGCGCGTGGAAATGGAGATCGTATGGGAAAAGACGGGGGGATGGGAGGTGAGAGGTGGGGGTTCACGAGGGAGGGCACCAAGGTCGGTGGCGCAGGTAGCATTCCATTGAATATTCGTGAATATTGTACAGGTGGAGGAGAGGATGAGCATCGATATGGACATGCAATAGCGTCAGCGATGACGAAGGATAAAATATCATTAAATATCACCACCTAGAAATAGAAGAATATTCTCCAATTCTTGCCCCCGACTTAAAACGAGCTGATCGCCAGCGATCTTCACTACACCAGCTTGCCCTCCTGCAAATGAATTCTTGCCTTGCCTCCTCTCTTGATATTCTGCCCAGCAGCAACATGCCGCTTCCTCCTGCGTTTGCCGTTGCATTTACTCTGTGCACCTCCTGAAGTGGCAGCGCCGGCTCCGGTGCCCGTGCCTGTACCACCACCAGCTCCTGTATCAGTGACATTACCAGAGCCCGAGCTAGAACCAGTCTGCAGAAAACTCAACGGCTGAGTGGTTCCACCACCAGCGCCTCCCGCCCCAGCCCCCGGACTCTCAGTCCCATTCGTTGAACCCCCAACAGCTCCACCACCGACCGCAGTTATCCCTCCCCCTCCACCAGCAGGCCCACCACCAAATTTCCCCGCGAAGCACTGACTCATCAACTGCGTATCCTGCCCTCCCTGCTCAACCTGCAGCACATAATCATTCGGAAAGCTCCCCGCCGCCCACGCCACCCAGCCGAGATAAACATCACTATTCGTATTCAGAAAATCGAGGGCCTCACAAATCATAGTCAGACAGCTAGCACTGCTCCCTCCGCCACCGAGCTCCGAGACGAGAGCTTGTCGTTTATTCTGGCGTAAGAAGTCGAGGGGCGGGGTGAAGCCGTCGGTGATCTTGTTGGTAGTGCAGTCTGCGTGCGTGCCGCTGTTGTCGCTGTCGAAGTAGTTGTGGAAGTCGAAGATGAGGTTTTCGGTGCCGCCGGAGGGGTCGGTGACGGTGGCGAGGGCGGCCGCGGAGCCGGAGGAGACGAAGGCGCCGGCTGCAGTGTAGACGTTTCCTGTGAGTGAGTGTGAGGTTAGCTCGGTAGTTGGGATCGTGGTGAGATGGATGTACGGTAGTTCGGGAGCATGATGAGAGGAGTTTAGGGACAGTGAGTGATAAGGGGAGAGCGGGGGCAGGGGGGGGTGAAACATACCTGGTAGCAAAATTTTGCCCGTTCCTCCACTCTGTCTGATCGCATTGACGGCATCTTGACACGTCTTTGCCCAAGCGCCCATGTCGGGGACTTCGTGCGGTTCATTGACGAGACCGTACCATACGGCGCTGCTTGCAGCGTACTTCTTGGCTATCTGGCCCCAAAGGCCGGCAAAGTCCTCGTTGGAGGGTCCTCCTTGGCCGATGATAGCGCCGTTCCAGCGAGCGTAGTTGTGGATATCGATGATGCAGTTGGCTTTGGCTGCTATGCATGCTTGCACCAGCTTGTCGTAAGTGGCAAAATTTTGGTTCAGGGTGCCTCCAGGGGAATCGACAAGATACTGCCATCCCACGGGGAGACGGAAGACATTGAATTTGTCTTGGGTGACGAAGTGTTGCATTTGTGCGGCCCCATCGCCCTGGCCGCTGCCTCCGCCCAGGGGAGGAGAAACAGATCCTAGCGTGCAAGTGCCCTTGAAGTGAATTGTTAGTATGATTAGAGACGGCCGGAGACGGGAGCAAGAGACGTACATCAGTTATACAGCCAAAGTCGAATCCGGCGATGTTCACGCCTGCGTACTTGCAACCTGAAGCATCGCCTCCACTCTGCTGGGCAATGCTCGAAGGTATCAGGAGGAGGCAGAGGAGATAGGAGAACATTATGTATAAGGTGACCAAGCACGATGCAAAAGAGCGCAACGAACAGGTCTCAGACCTATTCTGAATGGACCAGTGTATACGTGAAAGTAAAAAGAGCGTTCTGTACCCACAGGCTCAGGAATCGGTGGGGTAGGACCTGCATTAGTATGTGTATACCGACAAAAGGGATACGGAAAGGTGACCCATGACAATCAAATGCTAGGCAAAGCAGACAGGCGACCCGTTGGCCAGTCAAAGATCGACTCGAAACAATATAATGAGGTTGCAACCGCCCGCGATGCATTTGAGGGAACGCGGTTTTCAATCCGAGCACCCCCTGCCACAGGCTATGAGGGTTCTCGGTGTGATGGCAGAAACGTATCCCGGGCGCTATCATGAAACCAGGCTTGATATGCACCTGGTGTGAAGGACTATCAGCTTAACAATAGCTCACTCTCCACGGCGCTTTGTACTTTTGGAAAGGATTCATTAGCATATTAGACATTTGAGGGATCATTTTGATCTCAGCATAGCAGCGTGTACATTCACATAGATCTGGGGAGCTCTTGTGCATCTCAGAGGTCCGTCATCAGTCCTTGCATAGGCCCCCCAGGATGAGGTGGTGAGGGGTAGGGAGGGGTAGGGAGAAGGGTCACACTGCCGATGACCCTCAACCTGGATCAGTGTGAAACCGAGGAGGTCAGCATCCATGTGGGATCAGGAGAATAAGTGAAGATTATCGTTGCTGCAGCTCTTGAATGAGGAGGGGAAGAGGGAAAAGGGGAGACATCCTTGAGGCTGACGGGCGAATCGGAGGCGCGTAGATAGACTTGCCGATGAGCCGCAGTCTAAACGCGCACCTGTGATTTGGTAATCTCCACCGCATGGACCAGCAATGAGAAGTCAGGCCTGAGGCCCATCCTGTACAACTCAAATGCCTGGCCACCATCAGCCTCAAGCTGAGACAATTTCTGACTGCAAGTGGTTTGGCCCCCATCATCAAAGTGCATGATGACATCCTACCTCAGGCGTAGCTATCTGCTGGCCAAGAAGGAACAAATTGAAAGGAACGCGAGCTTGAAGCTTCCTTTACTACGGTGGGCCCCAACTAGAAGAAAGTCCTATACTAGTCTGTAGTCTCTTAGTAAGCTGCAAAGAAGATATTATTATGTCAGCAAGCAATGTCGAAATACAATCAATCTAATTTAGTTAGCAGCCCGATTTCGACTTCACAGCCGTGTATGAATGAGCTCTCCCGTAACTGTCATCCAGCTGATGGTACCACGCAGATCAAACACGCGGTAAGAAGGGCCGCACTAGTTGCCTGGTGGTGGTGGTGGCGGCGGCGGTTGATCGCTGGGAGGCTGGATGCTGTCAGCGGAATGTTCTCAAGACGGGAGAGAAAGTACTTACAGGTGGGGCATCGTCCGATGGAGGTGGAGGAGGGGCACCATTGCCATTAGCGCCATAGTTCTGGAACAGAGCTCCTAGACCGGGTGGTGCACCGAGGCCACCACTGGCTTGGCCCATCCCAGGAGGCGGGCCCATGTTTTGCTGACCTCCGTAGTTTCCTCCATACCCACCAGGGTAGCTGCCATAGCCATATTGATCTCCAGATGGGGGAGGTGGGGGAGCATTCTCCTGTCGTTGCCATGGAGCTGCTCCTCCACCAGGAGCACCACCAGGAGCACCACCGTATCCGCCGTTCTGATTTTGTCCTCCATAATTGTCATTGCCACCACGAGCCCAAGGCGGGGCCGATCCTGCCTGGCTATATTCATCGCGTCTATTGTCGCCACCTCGTTGCCATGGTGCTGAGCCACCAGTAGGTGCCCGCTGCCAAGGTTTCGCACCACGGTCGTCTCCACCATAGCCTTGACCACCGTTCTCGTAACCACCTGGCCCTCCTTCTATGGCTTGACGCGGCTCACCGTTTGGAGCACCACCTGACAATTCTTGCATAAGTTGCTCGTATTCGCGGTCAACAGCATCTCCACCACCAATACGCCCAGCGGTTCTTCCAGGAGCTCCACCCTGAGGGGGTCCATTGTGCCAATCGGCGCCACGCTGTCTATCCGGACAATCTCTTGCCATATGGCCTGCATTGCCACAGACTCGACAAATAATGTTAGCGGTGAAATTGCGTTGTTGGGGACAGTCGTATTTGCGATGGCCGATTTCACCACCTATTATAAGGTCAGCAAGCTTCAAGAAAATCTAACACGAACTTACAGTTTTGGCATGCCTGGTTTTCGTCATCCCTGAGAGTACCGTTCAATGCCGCAAGTTCACGAAGCTGATTGCGTTTGAGCTCATTCTGGCCTTCAGGTATCGAAGCGGCCGTCTCGATGACTTTATGAATGAGCTCCTTGGCCTTGTTCACTTTTTCCTCGGTATCTGCCATAATCAAGCAATGGAGATCTTCCTCTTGGTTGCTGGTATGCGCCGCGTCAGATCGACCCTTGCCTTCCTTGACAGATCCTTTGCCTCGAATAGCAATCTTTGCCAAAGATTCAGTTTCCATTTTCTTTAGTGTATTACCACGAGGACCGATGAGAAGTCCAACTGTTAGTAGCACGCGAAGGCTATGTGTTAGTGTATGTTAATCATCTAAAAAGTGAGAGACAAGGGATGATGAAAACTGCTATCGATGATACGGAACATCCTCGAGAGAACATCGCACGTATCACAGAAAAGCAGGACGAGGGCAATGAAATGGTTAGGATAGGGTTAGTAATCTCACTGAAGTTAATCTCTGGATAGTCATTAACAGGCACATAGACCTTCTCCTGTGTCTTAGTAGGGCGCCTATAATCAGCTGGTGGATGATAATTCGGGATGATTTTCATCGCTTTTTCGACCTGCTTGTGACGCTCGTCTTCGAGACGCTTGCGGTAGCGATACTCGCGTGTATTGACACGGCGACCGAAGTTATCATACTGAGGAGGTGGAGAAGGAGATCTAGGAAGTGTTAAGTCGATGCCTTGTTGTAGACCGCAGCAAAGTGTCACGTACCTATCGCCATCTGCAGGAACAACATCGTTGATTCTTAGCTTCTCACTAATTTCTTGAATACGCAAATGCAAGGTATATGCTTCTAGTTGCTCAGTTGTCATATTTGCTTTGATCATGGTTGGCAAGCCCATCAAGCCAGCAGCTTTATTCTCGGCAGCGTCTCCCCACCGATTGCGCTTTTTGCGACGCTTCTCGCCATCTTCGAGTTTGATGCCTAGAGGAGGGTCAGTAAGTGAAAATTAAAGATCTTGATGAAACAAACCTCTTTCAGGGCTTCGACCACGTTTATGGCCTCCATCTCCATAGTCATTTAACGGTTGGCTTGGATTGTAGTCCTCCTCCTCCTTGACATATGGAGCTGAGCCGCCATCACCGCCAAAACGTCGACGGTTTCCCAAAGGAATATTGTTCGAGCCTGTGACACCCTGATTGCGCCACGCCATGGTCGTCAGTGCGCGTGTAATAATATTGTGTTGTAGAAAATTGAAGGTAGGTTCGTCCGACCGGAATTTCAACTCGAGGGCTAGCGCGGCGCTAAAAAGATGACTCAGTCATAGAGCCAATCAGCAGCAACCTTCTTTTTGACCTATATACAAGAGTGGATGAGCATGAATGGGGTGGCTCAGAATGCTGGGTTTAGGCTAAATCTATTCCTTTGGGTACTTGAGGTATTTCGCGTTTATGGCAAACTTCAAAACAGCAATCGAGGTGTACAATGTAGTTCGATCCCGATATTATGGGATCCAGACGCTCTTCCTAAGTCTTCGACTGTAATATGTTGAATCACCTCGATGTTCTGCATTTTACATGCCCAATTTGACACGTACTGCCTTACTGCTTTGACTGTAGGATCTTGAGAACGTCGCACAACATCAGCCAGAGGGTGCCTCAAGACATCGTAAAAAGGTATTGCTAATGATGACCCCCTTCCTTCCCGTTGGCACAGGCTATCTTGCAAGACTCCCATCATCTATTTTTGCCCTCGCGATCCCTGCAAAACAGCTTTTGTATCCTCCTCCTTGCCCAATATGCCCAGATTTCGGATCTGTCCAACCTTTGGGGCATTTTCTCGTGGGTAAACAGCTTCCGCTCTCCTGTATGCTTGCTGTATCGCCCTGACTCTTGCTCCCTGTAGTACATCATAGCTCCAGATCAGTCGTCTGCATCACTGAAAAGTTCTGCTGTCTCGCAACACGGGCTCTCCATACCTCTTTCTTGTGATGTAAACACTCCTCATAGTCTTCTAGTGCTGGTAGGCATTTTCCAGCCCCTGAAACATCGTCGTTACTTGTATTGATAACGTAGCAGGCTAGCATTTCTTGCCAGAAAGGGAAGCATCGGGATGGCCCTAAGAAATGTAAGCATAAAATCATGGGCAGGCCAGGCATAATTGTGTATAGGGAGAGCATATACCTCCAGTAAGCCCATATCCTGAGGCCATTGCCGATGCTATTCTACATTCAAAGGATGACCGCTGACTCGGTAGCAAATCGCCAACCTCTGTTTAGTTGCTGCAGGTCGAATTAAGGTGGGAAAGATCATCCCAAAGGAGGCGGCTACGATAAGGTTGTGGCTTGGCATTGACAGATCGTCAGGGCCCTTGCGCGGGGAGAGAAGTCGGAACATTCTAAGCAATCTTTACACATGCACGAAATAGGACCGCTAGTCACTGGGCACCTGGACGGGAAGACTGCTGGATCTATAACAGACATTGGTATTTGTGTGATATGGTGGCTTGAGATGCGTGCTCAACGGTTAATGCACATAACAAATGACAGTGTAGGTAACGCGAAGTAACACCACTGTCCATACAGCACAATTAAACCTCGCTATAGGAATACTGCATTCGCAAGGAGCTTTTCTGTCGAAGATGTGCTCCGTCGAGATGACAATCATCTTGTCGAAGACATTGATCAACCACACCCGAGAGAACGTGTCTCTCAGAGCCATTATAAATCGCTGCGATGAGCAATTGAGATCGAGGCATGGAGAACGCATTTCGAATGGGCGTATGCTGGATTGGACGGTATCCTAACAGCAGAACAAGCATCAACAGACTTCGTGCGTCTCGCATCGTAGGTCCTCTGCAGTGTTGGATGGATGGATCAGCAAGACCACCTGTCAGGAGGTTTGATCGGATCAGGCACTTGCGGCTGAAGGTGGCGAAACGGTGTCAATGCTAGAGCTCCATAGAGCTTGTAATGTTTTCGGATCGTGTCCCGATGCCAAGCCTATGTCATTTGCTCAGCGCTTGTTGGGCAGCGAATATTTCCATCCACCGTGCAAATTGGTCATTAGAAATGACTTCAGTGGTTTTCTATTCTTCCACACAACACTTATATAGACCTTGATCATATTCGTAGACGCCGAACACAGCCGGGTCTGCCTTTAGACACTAGCCGACGACCCACAAACTTCAGCCGGTGCATCATCCGATATCGAGGAATATGACCAGACCAAAAGTCGAGCCCGACAAGAGACAACGGACAGCTCAGGCTTGTGATTCATGTAAGCGACGGAAGCAAAAGGTATGTTGTTGAATCCTTTGTTCTTCGTTATAGTCGCGTTGAGCGTTTCTCATGGCATTGAAGCGCTTTGATACGAGGAGCTCGTGCTTCTTCTCAGAATATTTCAGCTCGCTGCTCCGCATGAGGTGTTTCTCAAGCACCAGATATCTGACTTTTCGTTTAGTGTGATGGGAAAATCCCATGTAGTACTTGTGCAAAGCGTAACTTTGAATGCACGTATGAAAATGTTCCCACCTCAAGTAAAGGCACCACCTCGGTGTCGTCTCCTTCACAGGCTTCGACATCAAGACATGCACCTACAGACGGCGTTACGACGGCTCGACAACGAGTTTCGGCTCCTCACCCATTGGAGGCTTCAGGAACTAGGCATGGGCAAGATCCTGACATACGTCTTTTTCGGCCTGTTCCAGAAACATCGGCAATGCAGGGAGCTGCTGATTTTTCCGAACGAAGCGACCCTAGTTCAGCATCTAAAATGTCAGCAGCGTTAGGGTCGAAAAGTAGTGGGTCGGATGAGGAAGCTGACAATCACACGATGGCTCGAATGTAAGTATCCGATAGTATTTGTGCCTCCGTCAAAGTTAGAATAGACATTCAGCTGACTCTCGCCAGGCTAGAAGACGGTAACGGTCGACTTCTATACGTCGGAGACTCAGCCACCCTTTCATTCCTGCAACTTCTTCGAATGATTGTCGAGACTGCAGCAGGACCGAATGATTTCTCTATGGATCCTGACCGGCATCAGATGACAGAAGTCAAGTTTCAGGACGCAGCTATTAGTGTGACTCGTCTACTACCAGACAAAGCCACTGCTCTGGTACTTGTTGACTCTTTTTTCACGAACACGTACGGCATGGTTGAAATATATTCCGAGAAGGAGTTTTTGTCCGCGCTGGACACATGCTACGCCGAACCGCACTCCATAGAACGCCATTGGTTGTGTCATTTTCATCTAGTGCTGGCAATTGGCTTGTGTCTTGCCACTCCAAGATTCAACACTCAGGAGTGGGAGCTCGTTGAAAGACTGCGCGCACAATCTCCTAATCAAGCAGAAATATATTATGCTACCGCCAAGAGCCTGGTGGATCCCCTGAGCTGTGCTGGCGATTGCTCACTTTGGTCGATACAAGCACTCACACTGCTCTCAGTTTTCATGCTGCTCAGAAGTGCAAGGAATGCAGCTTATCTCTTCGTAGGAATGGCTATACGCTCTGGGTATGGTTTCGGTCTTCATCGAAGTGAGACGGCTACAATCTTTTCGGAAGATGAAAAAGTGGCTCGTCGTAGGCTTTGGCGCTCGCTGTTTGTCCTGGATCGCTTCTTAGCAGTGGCCCTTGGCCGTCCGGTCGCAATCGCCGAAGAAGATAGTTCAGGCGATGCTATTCCGAGCAGTGGATTTGCCATCCACGATTTCCCCTCATCACAGCCCCACCATTTGTGTGCAACTGGGATGGATGCCACAATACGAAGCTGTCATCTAATGGGCATGATACTTCGGAGAGTCTACTACCGCCGAAAGGTCTCAATCGTTGAGACGCAATCTCTTGCAGGCTTGTGCAGACAATGGCCTGAAAAACTCTCCCCTGATCTTCATTGGCGCCAAGCTTCTCCAGAATCCCCCAGACAAGCGATCGCTATCTTGCATTGCAATTTAGCCTACTGGCACTCGATCATTATCTTGACCAGGCCATTCTTCCTCTATCTTTTGAGCATCCAGATCCAGCAAGATCGACTCAAAATTCATGTCACGGAGCCTCGACGCAAGGCGGATATGGAAAAGTTCTCCGATGCTTGCTTGATTGCATCAAGACACACTATTGCTGTCATTCAGAACGCTTATCAAGGAGGCTACTTGCCTACTCTTAACTTCTTTCCGACTTACTGCCTGTTCGCTGCAGCCTTGGTGATTTTTGTCAACGATTTCACTCGCCCTTCAAAAAACACTTTGGATCGTCAACGTATGCAGATTGCCATCGAAATTCTCAGATACTGCGCTAAAGATGATGTTCAGGCATCTCGTGCCGTTCGAATTTTGGAAGTATTTCGGCACGTCCTTTTGAACCAAGCTCAGCCTAATCCATTCGACATGCAAGTCCCAGATGGCATTGGTCCAGTCGTAGGATCATACGGCATGGGGCTAGGTAGCGGTATGGGTCTACCCGGGCCTATACCCATGCCACCTGCTGCGTCTAGCTCCACAAGAGCGTTCCCATCTCAGCCTGTAGTCTCTCATTCGAACATACACCCAGAGCAAACTGCAGGCGAATTTCCGTTGACTGGTTTCATAGACTTTGGCAAGAACGCCTTGAATAATGCTTCTGGAGGGACATCTCAGATTGCAGATGAGGATATAGATTTTGAATCCTACTGGCAATGGCCTGACGCTAGTCCATTACCGACGGGGGGATACACACACGGATAGGGACGCACGGAAGGAGGCTCAAGCCACTTGAACGTCGACAGAATAAAGATTTCTGATACAATTGTCCCCACAATGATGTCTCAGAGTCCGTCAAAACTTCAAAACCAGTGTGACGAGAACTAGTCGAATGAGGAAGAAATATTGGAAGAGCAAGACAACCTTATTTTGCCTTCCTTCTACGAATGGTGTAGATAGGAATACAGCTTGTCAGTAATGTCTCGGCTTATCAGCTGATTTGAACATTACACGAACATGCGAGGTGAAGAGACGGGCCCTCAAGGACGGTATTTCCAAAGTTTCGAGTAAAGAAAAGTCTGCAACCGATGGCAGATTGGCAGATATGACGCAACTTCGAACTAAAAAGGGTTGATATTGGGCGTAGTGGATCAAATCCTCGTCCCAGCTAGCCATTCGTTGTGCTGTTCGCTAGCACAATGAAGCTTCTCTGGTATCAAGCATTGAATATCGACATCTTTAACGCTTCCATTGACTGGCTCTTCACTGACATGGCCTCTGAAAGACATTGCAGGTATCTACGTTGAATGTGAGATCTGTCGCATTGAAATCCTGTGCAATGCTCATCCTTGCTCGGTCCGATGAAAAAGTACGACAGAACACAACACCACGGAAGTAGAACTGATGCGTGCTGCCTCTCCATGTTTTCCTTTGTGAACATTTTTCTTGCTTGCGTCTAGATGTTCTGATGTTTATCTAGGCATGAAGGCCTGACCAGGCGACCCATGTGATTGTTTCATGCTTTGCCTGAGCGACATTTGCCACTGCAAAGGATGGGAGGCATTGGAGCAGTACCCTTAAGCATAGAGAGTCCTAAGGATTCTTTCGAGACTGAGCCAGTGATCCCGCCTCAAAGATAGCACCATTACCCGGTGTACTTTGTCTGACCATCCTCATTCCCTTGCTCTTCAAACGGTGAAAGGATAGAGGCCCTTGTTGAAATGACCATTCGAGGAATGTAGAAACGAGGCGATCTTTGTAGACTAGGAGTTGACGATCCGGCTCCAACGAAGGTTGGCGACATGTATGGCCCAATTGTCACTCACGTCCGATAGTAGTAGACTCGACCTACTGCTTCGCAAGTGTTTGTAGGCTTATAGATGATGACACTGTCGCAGCGATGCATATCCGATGCCATAATAACGATATCGGATGAGGTATCGGAAGAGAGGCGACACTCAAGCCAAAATGGAAAGGTGTGATCTACGCTCCGACCACTAACATGACTTCGATTTAACCGCACACAATAGAATTGTGAACATAACCGACAGATACCAGTTGGTGCTCAATATGTGATGATTTGGAGTCATACAAGGGCGCTTCTTGTGCTGGCGCGAATGCTTGACAGAGCTAGAAAAAGGATGTCCTTAGCGAAAGACATCGGAACCGTCCTTGTGACGGGGGATTCGTAGAACAGAGCATACTAGAGCCCTGCGTAATCTTTACTTAGGTTACCGAAAGTCCGTCCAGCAATTCCAGGCACCCTTTCGATGATTCAACCGTATAATATCCCAGGTGAGGGTAATGCCTTGCGCACGGGATGGAGATCTGGTTGCCAGCAGCTATCACACCAGTGATCATCTCTTGCTCGAAATGGCAATCGTCTTATGTCGGCCGTATCAATTTGCGATCTGTGAGCCTGGTCGAGAGTCAAGCTCCCATCGTTGACCTCCAAGTACAGGGATCCCCCTCTCGCATGTTCCTATCTGGCTTGAAGACCCATTGGTGAAGTGTCCATGCCACTGTTTGTGCTTATCGAAGCTATCAGGCAAAGTCTCGAGCCCACCTTGTCCGAGAAGCAAATGCGAAAGAACATTGGGACACTTCCATGAGCATGAAAATATGCGCTCAACAGCAACGCATGTTTGAGGAGATGCGTTCGCCATCACAGAATGCAACAGCCTAATATCACGCACAAGTCGCAAAACAATCCGCTGCTGTCTCGCGGTATCGATGAGAATGAGGGGGTCTTGATCTCTGGTTCGAGAGGAGGGTTTGGGTCTGGACTTCCGGTGGCACCGTAGCTTCTAACACATGATTCTCGGGAAGAAGCGCCCTGTAGCTTGAGCACTGCTGAGGGCCAATTTGGAGACCTGTGACCCGAAGCAACCCCTATGCAAAAAAAAAAAAAAAAAAAAAAAGAGACAGCAAACAGAATATTCTTCAACAACACCAATGCAACGACAGATGAACCTTGCTATATCCACTGGCATGCCACAACAGACAATCAGATAGCACAAAGATCACTTTTCCAACGCATCAATATTCTGATCAATTGACTTATCAAATGCTTCATCTCAATAGGTTTCGCAATGACTATGGAGTACGTTGAAATACAACGTTAATATTATTGCAAGCTTCACCATATCTTGGTCTTCATTGGAAAACTTCGATGTGATCCCGCACGGACGTCTTCGATGAAAGAACAAACAAGATGTCTTTTATCAACCGACTCGCAAACGAGCGCGCTGTTGAGTGATAGCATGAGACAGAGAAGATCTCTGGTACTAGAGCATTCGAGCCAGCCCTTGACAGACTGAGCAGCTATGTCTAAATGGGCATAAAATAATGACAACAAACTTGACGAGATTCTTGACTGGACTTGAACGCAACGATCGACTTTTCCTTAATGAGAGAGTTATATGTCCTCAGTATCGGCCCTGGCAGTCTCGAACTGTCCAGCAAAGCTCAAAATGTGACATGGACTACTCAGTCTATTGGCACATTCTTCTGATCTCTGTCAAATCAATCGTTTAATGACTGAACACATCGAGCTTCCTCCAAAAGGCCACTCAGGCATAATGCCGCTTTTTGAGTACGATGACCCATATTCACGCGCGAAAAGGGGATGGAGAGAATCAAAGATTGGCAACAAGCGATCGAGAAAACCGCATTCTTTAATCGAGAGCAGATTGCCCACGTTTCGCTGTCTGTGTTGCAATTTACAATCAAGGCTACTCAACGAAAGGTCCAAAACTATAATATGTATCATACATCAGCTTCATCTACCTGGTTGCTACAACGGCCCGAAAGCGCAACCCTCAAGTCACTATGTCATCGACAGCCCTTACCCGAAGCTCCTCTGCGGAAGATCCTAGCTCTCCCCTTCTCGAAATGATCGATCGCTGGACCCTGACATCGACCCTGACTGAGCCCTGCGACCCCTCGACCCTTTGAATCACGATGCCAAGACTCAGCCACACTCTTCCAAGTCACCAGCCACAACCTGGAAGCAGCTATATTCTGACATTTAACGACCAACCGGATCAAAGCTGTCAGACAGCTTTACTACAGCAGTCGCTTCGCCCGTGGAGGTTCGCTTCATCATGACAGTTACACCTTACCACGACTATGACCCACATCATCCTAACCGGTAGCACTGGCACTGCGGGCGCCGCCATCCTCGCCAAATGCATCTCCTCCACCTCCATAACCAAGATATCCATCTTATCCCGCCGCCCCGTCGCGCAAGCCCAGGGCGTCGAAAAAGCCCACGTTCACCTCCACGATGATTTCACAACCTATCCAGCCCGTCTCCTCGACGAGCTGAAAGACGCGACAGCATGTATCTGGGCGTTAGGCGTACCCACTGGTGCAGTGCCGGCAGCGTAAGCCACCGCAGATTCCCCCTTCACACCTTCATCCCTGCTCTGCTGACGAGGGAATTGGTCATAGTGAATACCGCACCATAACATACACCTACCCCCTCTCCTTCGCCCGCGCCATCCTCCCCGCTCTATCCCCTCCCGCCTTCACTTTCATCCACATCTCCGGCCAAGGCGCCACACGTCACCCAGGGCGCTTCACACAGCTCTTCGCCCGTGTGAAAGGGGAGACGGAGATTGCACTTCTTGGTCTCCGCGCTCCTCAACCCAACCCTCAACCCTCAAACGCCGAACAGCCCCCTCTCAGAGCGACCAATCTACAGGCCCACCCACCCACCAGCCAATCTTTAACGTGTGGAATTTACGACCGGGCATGATAGACGAGACGCTCCACCCGCGCAAAGAAGGCAAGAAGACGGCTATGTATGCGGTGATGGATAAGACAGCGCCGGTGTGGAGGGCCGTGATGAAGGGGGCGATTATCGATACGGAGGATCTGGCTAAAGTGAGTGTGGGGGCTGCTGTGGGGGAGTTGGGTGTGGGCGGGGTTGGGGGCGTGGGAAAAGGAGTGGAGGGGAAGGGTGTGGTTTTGGAGGAGGTTGTTGATGGTGGGCAAGGTGTTCTGGTGGAGAATGTTGGGCTGAGGAGGCTGGCTGAGGCGGATGGGATGGGGACGTAGGGAGAAGGAGAAGGAGAGGATGGAGGGGGTTATGACTGGCTTTTCGGTGGCTCTGATGGCTTCGCTATGTCGTCTTCGATTAGATAGTGCTTTAGGGAAGCCGTAAGCCATTGATATCTCCGTCTCTTTTTACCTCGCGAATCTCTATATCTACTGCTTTTTCGTCTGGAGCATCGGCTATGCTCTACTGCAGATATGCAAAAAGTGAAGCGCTCTCCCTATCCAGCTTGCGCTCCAAAATTGATGACATGTAGCTGGCTTCTTTGGTGGCTATGATAGCAGTTTCATAACCGCATTCAGCAAATTTGAAATCTGGAGAAGTCTTGAGACTATGGAGCTAAGTCCAATTCCGGTCTTGAGAGTCTCTTCAAGAGTGGTATTCCGCTTTAGACATTAGCTATACTTGCTGCAAGACTTGGTAAAAGTGAAGGATCGCCCCAGTTCTAACTATAGCATCAAGCTAGTAGTACTTGGCCAGGCTCGATACTGGCTACGAAGGCTTCGCTATATCTCATTCGGTGAGATAAAGGTGCAGAGGAGCCTTAAGATCATAAAATACCATTCATTTGCAGTCGTGAGAGACCCTATTGAAGTCTCTTTATGTCTTGGGCATAAAATGTGCTATTGCTGCTATTGTACAAGAAGTGAAAAACCTGCCTTGTCTTGGCTATTCCCCTTACTGATCATCGATTCGCTCGTCTCGCGTATATTCGTAATGGCTTTGCCATGCCGTGTTTTAGAAAGATAAATTCAGAGAAGCCTCGAAACCATTGGAATCCGGCTCTCTGAAGTCTTTATAGCCTTTTCCAATTGATTTTCCGCCCTGCGCATCAGGCATGCTCGTATTGCAAACACACAAAAAAGTAAAGTGTTCCCGTCCTCGTCCCTCCGCTGCACCGTTCTTTTAATCTAGCTGCCCTCATGCACCTAGCCTTTCGGCCGCAGCGGCAGTGCTACACCCCCCATAAAGCAATCCTCGCCGTCCTCAGACTCCTCTTCAGTCTCCGACACCGTATCTCCCACTTCATCCTCATCCTGAGAAAGCTCAACGGCTTTGGAGCTGGGGGCTTTGGCGGCTGGTCTCGGTGCAAAATACCTATCAAGACCGGACTCCGCAGTGGAAATCTTAGGCCCGAAGCCTATTGCAGGTAACTTATTCACTTTCGAACGCTTCTCACGATCTGTCTGTTCTGCGGATACGTCGGCTCGATGTGAAGGCGCCTGGCTGCCTGGCAAGGCATTCATGTCCCACCAATTATCAGGCGACTCGTAGTCGTTCACTCCGTTTGCGCGGGAGGCTTCCTCTCGCTCTCTCCAGAAAACGTTGAAAATCCAGCCAATAATGAGTTCTTGCTCCGGGTTCTTCATAGCTTCGTCAAACGTGAATCTGGTTGGCGATTTAAGGAGTCGGAAGAATTGGCCCCATGCTTGACTGCTTAGCTTGCCAAATTTACCGACTCTCTGAGCGTGGGAAACCCATTGTTTCGCTTGCTTTCTAGTGGTCCACCATACCTGATCCAGTGCATGCCTTTGTTCGCCGCCTGAGAGTCTGTTAGGACGCGATAGCTAACGCTTTGCAGTCATGCCAGGCAAGTGCTGAGGATTGGGAAGATTATGGAATGCCCGAGCAGCATTCAAAACAGCTCGTTGGCTTACCTTTGAGTACTTTTTGGGCCTTTTTCTTCTCTTTGAGCTTGGCTTTCCGGATTCCACCCTTTACCGGGTCCGTGAGGAAAGACTGCCTTTTGCTCTTGGGTTTGCCTTTGCCCATAGTCTCAATAGATTGCACGTTCGTAGAATGTCCGGTTTCTACACTCGTAGTACAATCGCAGACTCGTATTGCGTTGTACGACATTGAAAGTCAAAGTGTTGTACCACCTGAAAAGTTAATGTGTAAGGGCCGAACAAAGCACTGTCCCCACGAGCTTGCCAAGACAAGCAAAATGTATGGTCGCATGAAAAGGGAGTCTAGCAGGCAATGGGAGATAACTTGACGCGGGGTTGCATAGGAATTAATAGGAGAGATGCTCAAGATCAAAAGTGTAGAAGCAGAGCGAAGCGTTATACGGACAGACACTAAGTATGGCCGCAGAAGAGATATATAAATGTGAATAATAAGAGTGTGGGTATCGCGGGAAAAAACTAAAGATGGCTCAGTGGTCAGTAACTCCAAAAAACGCACAAAAGCCGGCCCGTAATCTCCTCTACCAATCTGGCAAGTGGCGGTCAACCTCCCTAAAGTTCCCTGCGAACGATAGAAGAGTTGTTACTGTCCACCAGGTTAGACTGGAAGGCGGTCAACAGAACCAAAGTTCCTAGAACAATGGCAATGTTGTTACTGCTACCGGTTCAGGCTGGAACGCGGTCGACTTGACAAGTGATCCCTTCGGGGACTTCTAAGGAAGAGTCGTTACTGCGAAGGCCTGGGGTAGAGAACAATGGTCAGCCCTTGGGGATAAGGAGGTTCGGATGATGCCTTATCTTTTGTACCCCGCAACGTCGCCGGTTCGATTCGTGACAGCGTCTCTTTTCTTTTTTTTTCTTTTTTCCTTGACAAGAAGCTTGGCATGACACAGTATCGTGAGGACAAATTTTGCTAGAAAGTATCTCAACATCTTGGTTTGTGAATGTCAACAAGGACAGATGTGACCACAACCACGACAACGACTTCTTTTATCAACGAAATTTATCATCGCGAAAGGAGAAACCTCAAGCACACTGATACAATTAGACGGCCGAAACGTGGGTTGAAGTCTTGAGCAAATTCCCCAGTCATTCTTGCAACTGCAGCGACCGCGCACTCCCTTCTCCAACATCGGCCTGGGGACCTTGAAAGACTATCAAATGTTCCAATTGCTGTACGCCACTCATTCAACTGGTCCTCGTGTACTTTTGGATCATACTGGACACAATACTGATGGGCCGATGCAGGAGACGTAAGAAGTGAGGTTGCAAGCACGGCACTAGCGAGAATTCTCCTCCTGCAGGCACGAGTCATCCTTGGCTGCACCAACCACGGAACGAGTCAAGCCAGATCGTCTGGTGGGTCGGGTCTGGGGTACATGCATTAATGTTATGCAAGCCCCCAACTCAGCTGGCGTTCTTGGTGCTCTTGGTGCTCTTTTCCCCGCGAGACAGTCGGTCCCGTGAGCACATCGTGGGGCACGGTCTAGATGATCGCATGACTGCTTCGGTCTTCTTCATCCTCTTTGTACATTATTACTAGAGCTTTACACAGCTCAGCATTAGCTTACCCAGCATCACTGAGCATCATGCGTTGGCTTCCGACAGCAGCAGTGGTGGCCGCTGGCTCGGCGCTTTTTCACTTGACGACTGCATCTACTCTTACTCCACCAGTCTTACCACTGATCGTTCGCAATCCATATCTGAGCGCATGGCTCGGCGATGCCAGGGTCTCGCCATGGAACAAATGGCCCATGTTCTGGACGGGCGAGGAGGTATGAGAACCCTATCCCCATAGCGAATGCCCTGACATGGATAGATCGGGTTTGGAGTTCTGGCATCCATTCCAGAGTCCGGCATTGTCTATCCTTTGCTTGGACGTCCACACGATGCTCTCCTTCCTCAAAGTCCTGGTGACAATTTTAAAGTCGCTTTTTGTACATACTTGGGCGCTACGTTCGATGCCTCTACAACCAATTTGACATACCAAATCCCTGCCCCTCCGACCTCCAACAGCAGCAAGCCGCTCGAGGTCGTCCTCTCCTTTCTCTCGCCTATCACCCCGACCTCGACGCTTCGTCAATCTATACCAGCATCATATTTTACAGTCCACGTTTCTGGAGGCTTCGACGTGGAAATATACGTGGACCTCAACGGTCAATGGGTCAGCGGTGATAGAGGGAGTGATGTAGAATGGCATTTTGAGCAGTCGCTGTTGCCGAAAGGCAGAGGACTGAAGACGTGGACAGTGAAACGACAGCGTGAGCTGTTGCTGTCCGAAATCAGGGATCGCGCCGAGTGGGGCACGCTTCACTTCAGCGCTCCCTTGGTAAGTGGTCGTTATGATTTTCGAAGAGGTCACGACTGATGTCCAATAGGATGTACATCACGAATGTGGTACTTCGGGCCTCCTTCGAAATAAGTTCGCTGCGACAGGCGGGTTGCAAAACCACATTGATGACGACTTCCGAGGTATTATGGACGATGAGCCCGTATTTGCATTCTCGAAGTCATTCCATCTCGGTGCCTCGAGTTCCTCGTCTACACCGAGGAGCGATAGCATCATGTTCACCATTGCCCATATTCAAGAGCCTGTTGTGCAATTCGCGTCTGCAAGAGGATTGACATTCATGCGACCACTCTGGGCTTCGTGGTTCAGCTCAGCCACGAAACTCTTGGACTTCCATTATTACGACTTTCACAACGCTGCAAGGCTTGCGGGCAATTATTCTACTCAACTAGCACACGATGCGTATGAATCTGGTTCTGACCAGTATGTGGATATTGCAGCTCTCACAGCACGACAAGTCATAGGTGCCACAAGCTTTTCCGGAACACCGGACGAACCTATCCTTTGGATGAAGGAGATCTCGTCGAATGGCAATTTCCAGACCATTGACGTGATCTTCCCGGCCTTCCCCTTCTTCCTTTACACAAATCCGCGCTGGCTCGCATATCTTCTCGCCCCTATTCTTGAACATACATTGAGTGGTCAATATCCAAACAAATACGCTCTTCACGATTTGGGTGCTCATTTCCCTAATGCGACTGGCCATCCTGATGGTCGCGATGAGTACATGCCCGTTGAGGAATGTGGAAATATCCTTATCATGGGGCTTGCGATTGTCAACAGCTTGATTTACGATACTGAACCTGCGGCTGGCTCCATGTGGTCGGCTTTGGGCAGCAATGAATTTGATGATGATCCCGACACTAGTGCATTCTCTCTCAACAACCTAGGCGAAAGAGAGGGCATTGATGGCCTAGATGATTCCTGGGGTGGCTCGACCAAAGGCCTGAAGCAGGCTCAGAAGTGGCTCAAGAAATCTTACCCTCTCTGGAAGCAGTGGACTGGGTACCTTGTCGAGTTCTCGCTCGAGCCAGAACACCAACGTAAGAAGTCACAGTCCATCGAGTGAAAGTTTACTAATATCCCCACAGTCTCCACAGACGACTTCGCCGGACCCCTTCAGCTCCAGACTAATCTTGCGCTCAAGGGCATCATCGGTATCAAAGCAATGAGTGGGCTAGCTGCGGCATTGGACATTCAAGCCGACTTGAAACACTTCAAGGTAAGCATCATCCCTGCTCACAAGGCCCATCCACATACCTTCCAATGACTGACCCAACCCTTCCAGAACATATCCGAAACCTACGTCTCCAAATGGGTCGACTTCGGCCTCTCACGCGACAAATCGCACGCCAAGCTCTCTTACGACTGGTACGGCAGCTGGACAACTCTCTACAACCTCTACGCCGACACCCTCCTCTGCTTCCACCTAGAAAACACGCCCCTCTTTCCCTCCTCCCACCCACTCTCCCTCACTCCCAGCTCACCCGGAGACCAAAAACCCATCACCCCCTCCCCTCCCTCCCCACACAAACCCTCCGCCCCCCTCCCGGGCTTCGTCCCCCACTACATCTACACACTCCAAAGTGACTGGTACCACGCCGTGTTGCAGACCTACGGCCTCCCCCTCGACAGCCGCCACCTATACACAAAGTCCGACTGGGAATTCTTCGCCGCGGCCGTGACCTCCAAATCCACACGTACGGAAATATTGACGGCGACGGCGAAGTGGCTGAATGAGACGACCACGGATCGCCCTATGACGGATCTGTTTGATACAGAGGGCACAGGCGGGTTTCTTGGAGCGACATTTATGGCGAGACCGGTTGTGGGGGGCCATTTTGCTTTTTTGACGCTCGGACGGGCTTGTGAGGGACGGGCGGTTGAGGGGTTGGGATTTTTGGAACAGGAGCGTGTGGTTGTTGCGGGCGCTCAGGGTGAGGGTGAGAGGAAGGGGTCCATGGGTGGGGTGGAGGAGGTGATACAAGAGCTATGAGAAGATGTAGAGGAAATGTAGATGCGCCTGCTTTTATGAGGATGGGCAACTGAGTGTGTAGGAAAGGTTGGAAAGTTGTTTGCACTGATGATCATGAGGGAGGGCGGTGAGAGGTGTCAAAAGCATGCGTTTTCGTAGGAAAGGATGGTGGGATGATTGCCCTGTACTTGTATGATGACGAATTGTTATAGTCAGGATAAATATTCATTTCCGCGAGTATGGTGTGCAAGTCTAAGAACAGTATTGATCGATTTACTACTAACCACCGGATCGACTATCCTCCCTCCTTTTTACCCGTACTAGATTCACATGGTGACTTAGCAAACAAAATCATACACAAAGAAAGAAGCTGTCTTCTCCAGTCCCTAATCCGCGCCTTGCAAAGAAAGAGCCATCTTTACTTTTCATCCCCATCAAGTGAGTCATCCGTGTCGTAAAAAAGAACCTTCAGGCATAGCGTAGCATACACAACATGCAAGATCATTGACATGACATAAACATCAATCAAAATCAGAGAAACCAAGCTTCCGTTTCACGGTCTAGAAAAAGTGCACCCCTCTTCTCAATTCTCCTCTTCTCGTGCAGAATTACACCAGGGTCAAGTTGGCTTGAAGGTCTAGCGCTGCTTCGGTCTCGCAAGCATATTCAGCCTACTAAGACTCAGGCCGCCTTTCTTCTTCGGCGATCCCATCGCGCCTCCGAAGCTAGTCTGGCGTCGAGCACTCCCTGGAGTCTTCCTCGGTTCGGCTTGTACGGTGCGCTGTTTCTTGGCCTTCGGGCCATCTTCGTCCTTCACGGCGTCTTTGCTTGGTACATTACTCGTGGTATTGGGATCAATATTCTCAGTATTGTCTCCTTGCTCGGTGTCGGAGGAGTCGTCGTGCTTGCGCTTTTTGTTCGCGATACCGTGCTCGATTCCACCCCCAGAGAGTGGTACCGGGGAGGAAATGGTGGGGAATGTGCCTGGTAGGCTGGTGCTTGGGGCGGTGCCAGATGGGCGGACCGGACGAATTGTACGGGCTGCACTACAGGGGATGCTAGATTGGGCGAGGCTTCTGACGGGGGAAGTGGTGTTGTTCTGAGGGTTGAAAGTGATAGCGCTACCGGTGTCCGCGCGGAATGTGAAGTCGCCTGGCATTTCAGAGGGCTGACGAGGCGCTGGCGTTGGTTTGGGAGATCGTCCTCGCGAAGTCGTGACGTGCGGCGATTGAGCGAGGTCAGGGTAGAAGATTGGCTCATCGTTCAACGGTATCTTGATTGTTGTGACCCGTGGTTCTGTCGAGGGTCTGACAGCAATCTTGGATGGAGTCTGGATGATTGAGGTAGTTGCGGCCTCATGTCGAGATCTGGTGCTGGGGGTGAAGTTGACATGCTTGATCGTTGGTGTACCAGGCGATCTGGGCAGACTCTTCTCCATATCCGGCTTTTCCTTCGGCATAGGCAAGTGTGTACCCCCTGCGATTTTCAAAGGGTCATTGGAGAATTTGGGCTGTGCACGGGATAGTATGGACTTGACGTTCCCTCCAAACCTTGACCAAGAACCCTGGCGCTTGTTGCTTGGTTCAGTCATTGGCACACGAGTGCTCTTTAGCGTTTTCATTGAGACAGATTTGGTCAAGGACGGAATCATTGACGTTTTGAAGCTCTTCACACTAGCTGACCGAGCCAAGGAAGCTTTGGTAGGAGTAGTGGCTGCGCTTGGTAGGTCAAAAGGAGGCAGCCTTTTTGGGTGCTCTGTAGAAGCTGAGGAAGGGTTTCCTAGGGCAGATCCAGCAGAAGAGACGTCTTCGCGATGACATCTTTTAAGTTTCTTTCCAGGCGTGGGATTTTCTAGTCGATCGCCGTCGAAGTCCTGGACATTCCTGGAGGATTTAGAACGAAGGATGGAGTTTTGGGCTTCATCTAGCCCGGCTTTTGATGGGCTTCGCTTGAGTGGCGAGGAAGCAGCGCTCTGTAGTTTGGTCTTCCACGTTGACCCATGGCTTGCTATCGAGTCCATCATTTTGAATTGTTCGCGGTGAGCTTCGCTATAACGGCCGGACTTTCCTTTCGCTTTCTTTATCTGCCTACCAGCGAGAATGGAGGGGCCGGGTCCTTGACTGGCTTGCTCATCAGATTGTTCCTGCATTTCACGCTTTTCCTTCATCTGTGCCTTGATCCTAGCTGCTTCTTCACGCACACTGTCCATGATCTTCCTTGCATCATGGCTCAATTTCGATGCTGGCTGGTCGAAACAGAATTCAAATGCCGGTGAGACCAGCGGCTGAGTTTGGTCAGCATGTTTTTTGTCAGGTGTGCGATGCGTTCCAACAGGAACCGCGATCTTTGACGGAGAGCGCGGTAGTTGATTCATGGGATGCGAGCTGAGCGGTCCTTGTGCTTGCAAAGGCTTTTTTGCACTTTGCTGGATTTTACTTGAATGCATCTCGTCATTGCTAGAGATCATACGAGGACTGGACGGTGGTGTGTGAACGGCGGCAGAGAGCATGCCAAACTGAACAGGGTTTGGTTCTATATTGGAAGCAGTAGGGGAAGAAACCAAGGCGTCAATTGCGGAAGGACCATTGTCAGGCGACTCATCTCTTTCGATGAGGGACGATAATTTATTCGAAACAGGCGTACTGGCTGCCCCAGACTAAAGATCATGTTAGATAGCACTCAGCAGGCTCAGTGCCCGGGCTTACGGGTTTTGGTAAGCCGGAAAGTTGGCGGGAAGACCTCCTTCTGGGAGGCATCCTGGGATGCGGGACAGCAGTCACTACAAGTGAATGCTTTCGGTCTGTGTGAGGAGGATTGTAATGGGTAATGACGATTTGTGTATCGCAGATGACGATGTTTGTTTACTATTTGCACTTTAGCGGGAGCTAGAGCGAAAGAGGCAAGGCACCATCTATCACTTCCGAAGCTTTCCCGAAAGTCTCGTTCCCTCGTCTATTCCTACCAGTCCTTGACTGATGCACGTACACGATTAGAACGCCTCAAATGCTTGGATCTGGCACCGGCGGGCGGAATGCTAGAGTCTGGGTTTACCATTTGAGCCTGACTTGTGATGGCATATACTGGATTGATGGAGTTCAACTTCATGCTTGAATAGGCGAAATCCCAAGCTCGTACCACTCGCTCCTTCATAACATGCATACTCGAACAATAAATTGGAAATAGTGAAGTGATGCGAATGAGAGAGACTCAGACGACTCCACAACTCCCGATACATATGGTTTAGTATCCTCTGACAGATCTCGGATCTAGGAGGTCCTGGTTACAAGAGAAAGATCTTACACTGGTCAGCCAGTGAGAGCTTGAGGGCTGGTAAACATCAACGCCCCGTGCAATCCTATTCGACACCCCGACACTCACTCGAGCGTGCCCTAGCAGCCAATTTACAATAGTGATAATTCGTATGAATACAGATCGTGCACTACTTTGTGCATCTAACTCGCGGCTTCTTGACGGACAGGGTGCCGCCCATTAGGGATTACAGTGTTGTTCGCTTGATTCTCTCTGCTTCTTCAGTCATCTTTCCTCCATCACGGCCAGACTTGCGACCTGATTCATGATACTGGAAAGTCAAAATCCAGATTCAGGAAGGCACAAAAAGATTGGATTGTGTCCGAGGCCCTCGGATATCGCACGAAGATGCTTACAGCGTTGGATTTGCAGCCTACGGCGCCTGAATTGTTAGGGTTCGCGCCCTGCGATGGAGCGCAGATACTTATCTCATTGCTCGTGCAGAAATATTCGGTACAGACTTCTGATCCTTGATTTCCTACATAGACTTGCCTTGATCTTGCTCATCGTTCAGCAAGAGCCTCATACGATGTCAGCGAAGCCAAGCCATCAGTCATCTGCTCGATCAAAAAGCGATCAGGCTCTCATTCACATTTAATTGAAGAGGTTGGCTCTCGAGCCCAATGGAAAACGCCACGTCACCGTCCTCTTTCTCCCCGAACCCACGAAGCGTACCGTAGACCTTCTCCTCGCGATAATAATCGACCACAGCATCAATAAAATCTACAACATCGTCGTACGTGAAGTCTTCACCATGCCAAGCTACAAACCATAGCTTTGTATTATGTCTCTGGTAAGCTGGTTCCCAGTCAGCCGGAACTAGACCTCGTCCTGATTTGCTTTGAGCATCAGCCTTTGCTCTGCGCAATAACTCATTTACTGCAGCCGCGCCACCAGTGATCTGTCTCTCTGGATAGATCTTCCCGTTGAAATCAAGCGCCCCAGAGGTCGCAAATTCCACCTCTTCCCCAAATTCGTCCGTAATGTGGACGGAAATAACGCGTACGCCGTTCCTGAAAATGCTGGCTTCAAGCTCATTTGCAAGATGTGATCCTCTCAGATCCAGAAACTCGGCAAATCCTTGTATGCCATCCAAAGATTCTCCATAGGTCAGTCGCTGACGATTCGCCAACCAGCGGCACTCTACTTTGATAGCGTCGAGTGATCCTGTGAAGCTGACGTATTGCGCAGTTGGACTGACGAGGATACTCTGCGGCTTCTGACCAAGATCATGTTCTATCTCAAGAAGGAAGTCGCTCTCTAATCCATCCGAGAGCTCCTTGTTTGTGTCAATGCTGCCTGTAAATCTCCAGGCACCACTCGAACTCGGCTGTAGCGGGATGACTTGGCTGGGATGGAGGCAATCAGAATCACATTTTGGCTAAGGGAAACTCGAATAAGAACATACTCAAGTGATTTCAACGCTGATGCATTAGTTTGTGAGAAGGCTAATCCACTGCTAAGCGTAGCTGAAAATGCAAGACAGAGAATCGTAGTTAAGTAAGTCATTAGCATCATACTTTAGTCAAGTCGCCTCAGAAGCATGGATGTTCGTCATCACCAACCCGGGCTACGACAGTTTATCTGACAATCAAAGAAACGAAATGATTAATCATGAGATTTCTGCCCAGTAGCGAATAACATTTACGGACTCGTGTCCAGGCAATAAGTCACCCTCAGCAAGCCATTTTCAGAGAATAAAGAGGTACCTAAATGCATGTGTCACAAGCTAATTCAAGCAGCAGCTAGAAATAACTCCACTAAGACAATAGTCCGCAGGTATGGGGCCGCCAGAGCGAACATGCGCGCCAGATACGGGTGTTCCACCTCTCTTCGTAGACTGAGACAATATTCCGGAGCTTGCACCTATATTTGGTGTACATACGTGAAGTCTGAGTCGGAGCTGCTCGTGAGAAGCATGACAGCAGTAGATTTTGCTGTACATGTTGCTTTGTCATTGATATGCCCGACAAAGGGCGAAACTTTCTGATTACCACAATGCGATCAGCTTCTGCTCTCGTCGATGTCATACTCGGCGGTGTTTCTATGAGTGCCAAATCTAACACTCGCACTGTAAAGTGAAGTATGAGGTATAGCCTTCAATCGATCTTAAAGTCTGCATCAGCGGTGAGAAAGAGACTGAGCTGAGGGAGCTGAATTTTCATCCCTCGTGGAAGATGTAGTCTGTTTTGAGAAGACTTCCAATGCATCTTACCTGCTTGAGGATCTACTGACCTAGCAGCTGAACCGGTTGACAGATCGCTCCAACACCCCGGGTCAAAAGATTTCCGGTAGATGACGAGTGCTGCAGACTGCAAGGTTGACTGTGTCATTGATATAGCACCCTAAAGCTGCAGACTAGGCAAGGAGCGTCACACATAAAAGAGCCTTAGATGCCTATCAATCACCCTTCTTCCTCCATCAGTCAAGCAATTCAAATTATCAAGACCCGCAGGCAAACCGTCACCTTTACGATCTAACCACACTTCTACCCCAGGAACCCAACATGTTCCCTTCGATCATGAAGCTCAATTACACCTTCCTCACCAGTGCTCTCTTGCTCGCGACACGCTCGTACGCTGGATGCTATTCAGGTGGCGAACAGTAGAATGACGCGCTCTTTACTCATTTGGTTTTCGTGAAAAGATACCAATCCTGCGAAGGGCCTTTAGACAGCCTTCGTCTCACGCATGTATGATGATCCAACACCAGCCACTTGTGTAGCGAATTTTTGGCCCCAGGGGTCAGTGTCTGAGCCTCCGAATCTTATTACTTCACTACTTGCCCTAGCCATGCTTGATGCATCAAATTTGATTGGCTTTTCCAATGGTTTAGATCGAAGATTCCTATTTCGATGAGACAGAAGGGAAAAGCAGCCCGTGATGGATTTCACGAAATGTGAGAATGCTATGGTCCGTGGTGGAAGCAGAGGGTCGAGCACAAGGCTGAATGCTGATGGTGTGACCCCGCTATCGTACTGGTAGATCACAGCCGACCACCAGCTGAGTCCTGGACCCTTGGCTGCAATCTTAAACCGATAAATCAGTATGAAAGTCGCTTTCGACCTGCAATCTCAGGTTGTCTCAATTCTCTACACATTTTCCTCCTAATATCTCGGGACAAATCAGTGGCTCATGTATCTTCTCAATGTGCATACCCTACGACTGAAGCGTTTCCTTGGAGGTGACATTCCCGCGTACGCTATACTTTCACACACTTGGGGCGAAGGTGAAGTCTCTTTCCAAGATGTCTCTCTTCCCCGTCAAGAGGAACAACAGGTAGGATGGTCTAAGATCGACAACTGCTGCGCGCTGGCCAAGAAGGTCAACCTAGACTTTGTCTGGATCGATACCTGCTGCATCAACAACGACAGTAGTGCAGAGCTCTCGGAAGCCATAAATTCCATGTATGAATGGTATAAGGTGGCGAAAGAGTGCTTCGCATACCTCTCGGATGTGGCTAATAGCGAAGAAAATTTTAAAAGCAGCAGATGGTTCACTCGTGGCTGGACGCTGCAAGAGCTTCTCGCACCAGAGACTTTGCATTTCTTCGACCGCGATTGGGTATGGATTGGGACCAAAGCGGTTCCGCGTCTTCGAACACAATTGCCTTCAGTTACTGGAATTTCGCTTCAACATCTTGATCGTCCTCAAGTACGTACTGGATCTTGAGATCTCTCTTTTCCCGGTGTTGCTAAACCTGCAACATCCAGCCTTCACGCTGGGCCTGTCGTGATAGACCTTTAGCCTTCAATACAATGTTGATATATCGTAGGACGCCAGTGTAGCACAGAAAATGTCATGGATGTCAAGAAGACGAACAACGCGCAGAGAAGACATCGCGTACTGTCTGCTTGGAATATTCGATGTCAATTTGCCTCTGCTCTACGGGGAAGGTGATCGAAAGGCCTTTTCGAGATTGCAGCAAGAGATAATCAAAACATCTTCTGACGAGTCAATATTTGCCTGGACAAATTCTAATCTACGGTGCAGCGGTATGCTAGCTCAATCACCAGCTGACTTCGCCGCCTCTGGCAACATTGTGACTATTTCGCAACTGACTTTCCGTCCACCCTACTCTTTAACAAATCGAGGCTTGGAAATATTATTTCCCAACGTTGGCGGTGGCATGAAAAATCTGCGAGATAATTTCCCGCACCAAGAGCTCATCGTACCCATAGCATGTGCAAAGATTTCTGCAGGCCGTCCTCTCGCGTTGCGGTTTCAAGTCTTGGGACGACATAGAAATAATACGGCGATTAGTCATCTGGATTTGACGAGTTTATCCTCAACGAACAGTCGCGAGGAGCCTAAGACAACCGTGCCGAACACTGACGATTCAATATACGTAGTAGTGAGAAAACATCTTAGAGAACTTACAGGCTACAACCATTACAGCAAGCAAGAGGATGAGACCGGCAGACGACGATTTTTTGTCCCAGATGTAAGAAGTATGAAGACTGAGAGGTCTGTCGTACGGGAAGTGGCAGTGCGAGGACAACCAATCGTGTCGAAAGCTTCCCTAGAATTGGAGCCGAACTTCTCATTTAAGTTCTCGTCAAGAATCTTAAAGAGATTTTCACATTTGCTAGATTTTGAAGATCATATGATAATACACGCCAAGAAGGTCGATCTTGAGAATGGGCCAAAGATACGTCTGACCCAACCATTTCACATGTGTAGATCGGGACTATGGTGGTATGGAACCGAGGAAGCGGTGTCGGTGATATTCAGCTGGGCTGCTTTCGAGTCATATCTGTACGGATCCGCCCTAGTAAGCCTTTTGGATGTACGTATAGTTCAACAAGTTCCGTCCAGGCATGGAGTTATCCTTATACGCACAAAACTCAAAGAACGGTGTCCTGTGTTTGCACACAGGGAGTCCCGCTTCTGCTTTCCCTTCGGTTCAAGATGGCTCTTATGGATCGAGGCTCGGGGCTTCTCAGTAGAGCCCCTAACGTATGAGATTGAAGTTGAAATTACTGAAGCCGAGGGAATACAAAACACTGCCTAGACGGAACGGAATGTGCTGCAAACGCCGCGGCAGTCTTATGCTTGGCTATTCGGAGTGAACAATTGCATATGCATGGGTCACGATATCTCGCTTCCCACGACATAAGTCCGAAGAAATTGATAAGTCTGACTGAGTCCAATTCAATCTTCCTGAGCAGGACAAGCTCAATATGAGGGTTTTCTGGAGATTGTATCCTCATAATCATGGAGAAGAGTCTGTCATAGAGGAAGAGGCTTCCGAATGGACCGACTGATACGAAAGACGCCATTCGCTTAATGAATGATCAGCCATTCATGAATAAGCAACACCTGTTCAACATCATGCGTCTCTTCTCATCAACGACTCGGCCGATCGACAGAACGTCGGTGATTACTAGGCAAATTCACTGATTTTGAAGACGATGGCAAATTCAATGTTGCAGTTCAAAAACACAGCTTGACTGCGCGGACATCGTCCTTTCAATTCATCCACGGGTCAAACGCTCCAAGCACCGCCCTGCAAGCTGTAAATTCGACGACACATGTTGTGGTTGACACCTCGTACCCTTGATGAAATAAAACGTCCATTACTAGCCTGGAACAACAATTTCTTAGAGAACGGCAAGCGTGACCACGATCGACCTGGCAAAAAGGGGCGACTCTTCAAATACACACGTCACGTTGTCAAAGGTCAGTAAGAAGGTGAATGTGATGCCCTGAACGTAGATTTTACTTGGGGTATGTTCAAATTTCGAGCCTTATTGCTTGCGTCGCTTGCACGGAAAGCTTTCGTATTCATTTTCATGCTTGCCCTGACCCCAAAACGAGGCTTATCCACGCTCAAAACTTCTTGCCCACAAAATTGAACTATTGGTAGTTCAATTTTGTCCTTTCGTGGCGCCTAAATATATATGTGTGTATCTCATATTTCAGCGATAAGAACTAATCCCTCGAGCGCCACACAGAAGTATTATGCTATTCATAAACTTTGGGCTTTGGACTTCCGTCGTGCCAATGGCTTGTGTGGGCTTAAGTCTCAACCTTCTGTCAATACATACTTTGCCAAGTATCGCCTTATCCGTCATGCCATTTCAACCTCATCAATGGAGAGACAATTTTGGGGGTTGATTTAATCCGGGAATTCGAGTCACAGACCGTTGGGATTCCACAAGAAAAGTTCTCTTTGCAAGGGCGTCTCCTCTGGTTGAAATATCAGCCTGAAAGTTTAGCTAAATATATATTCTGAACTGCAGTCTCTCACCTTTCTTTCCTCCATTCTCCATCCACACGTACTTCTAACAGCTACCAAAAAATTTCATTATCCACCCTTATCTTCCCTACTGTATCCCAGCTTCCTCCAAAGCTGCTTTACCCACTCCATCCTTTCTTTACTAACTCCACATCAAGATCATCCTCCTAACATACCAACACAATGACTGCAAGCGGGCTTTCTCCCGCAGACATGAGGGAACTCTTCGAGCTACAGAACAAATTCGAAGCCGCAGTCCCCACAGTCTTACGATTAATCCCAGCACGCAGGGCCGTCGTCGGGCAATGGTGGAGCGACGTGGAAGCAATGCCAGAGCCAGAACAGCTCGAGTTCCTCAGAGACTTCGGGCGAAGATTCCAGGGGGCTGTAGACCTATTCCACATGCACAACTCCCCGGAGGAGGACCACACGGCTCAGGCAGAACTTCGACGGTCGCGCCCATCAGCCGTAGCCGCTGATATCTTGATGAACCTCAGCCGTGACGAGCGGGGCTACGGGTCGGATGATACGATCGACGAGGAGATCTGCGAGGTTAGCATTGCGCAAGAGAGGGGTCCATTGACGCCTGCCTTGACGCACGGCACCTCGGCCGAGTCGGACGCGGAGGCCAATGACGACGACGACGACGATGACGAGGCCGACAGAGGCGCAGCGGGGGCGCTCGTGCAAATAACAAGTGATAGCGATGGCGAAGGCAGCTATGCAGAGGCAGAGGCGCGGACTCGAAGGGTGAGGATACCAGCAACGCCTCGACGAGCCCACCGTCCCGCTATCAACGGCTGCGGGGTTACGAACAGGGTTTTGGAGATCTCGCCGCTAGCCAAGATCACTTGCGCCGAGGATCAAGAGACTGAGGCGCCATCAGAGTCTTCTTGTTCGAAAAGAAGGAAGACTGGCAAGTCATCCGGGAGACTTTGAGGTGGTGCGAGATGGACGTCGAGCTCCCTCCCTGGAGCCCGTCGCCGAAAGGATGTCGCTTACGTCAGAGACTAGAGGCCGAATAAAGTTAGAGGGAGGAGATGGAGCATGACGCTGAGGGTCTTCATGTACATCGGCTCTCATCGAACGGCGTCGTCGGAAGCAGCAGACATCAAGGGGATTATGGAGTCGGTTCCGTGTCGCGGGATACCTGCGCTATGCCACACACTAGCCTGTCTGCACCGTCGGCAGGTCGGGATAAGAAGGCGGCGGGAAAGCAGAAGTCGTGTAAGAAGCTGATCGGGAATGATGTGAATGAGAGGAAGAAGAAATGTTCAATGGATTCGAGGATGGATTCGAGGATGTTTAAGCGTGGAGCGATCCCTCCTGGATTTCGACGCAGCACTGTATCGGAGCATTGCGGTACATAAGGCGGCACTGATGTTTACTAATTTTGTACGTTAGTACCATTCCCTGTGATAAGACTTACGGATGCTCAATGAATTAGTGGATCGCGAAGCAGTAGCTATACTACTGCTCTTGTTGAGGGTAAAGAGGAAATGAATTTTTGTCAGTCTTTTGAGATTGAAATTGCAACAACACCCAGGAAAAAAGGAAAGAACAACAGATCAATGTTTTGGCCAAGCAAATCAATTATGCTATGTTTCCATTATGCTATGTTGGTTCCATCCAATCAACTTGGTCAGTCAGTGGTGATGAGCCATCTTTCGTGTAGCTGATTTTCAACCGTAATCGGAGTTTGGGCGGTAGAGCCTAGTTTTAGGTTAGCAATGCCACTCCATGTTGGATGGTGGGTGCAACTTACTCCACTTACAGCAGACACTCTCATCTGCTGGACTGCTTCCTCGCCTCCTTCTAGATCTGTCTTATTTATCGCGTTCAATTGCAACTTCTGGCTCTTTGGTACAGCAGCTTGCAACCCAACGCCAGAAAATCTGTCAAAGTTACTACTATTCGTAAATCGTGCTGTTACTTGAGCGAATCCTGAGCTGCGCTGAACCTGCATCGTGACATTGATATCATTCTTGCTGTAGGCCTGGTGAAGCTGCCCACCTGCCGGGGCTGTTGGCTGTGGGGATGTTGAGGATAAGTCACCAAACAAGTCCGCTGAGCCGGAAGATTGCTGGGGTGGAGGTGATGAAACGCCGTTGGTACCGTTTTGATGAGAGAAAAGATCCATAACATTTTGGTTACTTTGTGTCGATTGCGTGGGATTTGAAGGCAACGAAGGACCACCACCCAGAATATCAGCTAACAAGTCTGCGTTCTGTTGCTGACCATTAAGTGTAGCGCTGAGGTCAGCTGCAGGTGCATCGGAGCCACCCATGAGGTCGAGTAGCATGTCCTGCTCTGATACTTTGCTTGGCTTCTTCGTACCCCTGGCGGCAGCCTTCTTTTGCTTTGGCGTTGCTTCGCCGAGCACTCGTTGTTCTTCGCGGATTTCAGGTGGTGGCATTCGCTCCAGTACACCTTTTCGAATATCATCATACGCGAAGAGATTTCCATATTCCACAGCTCGCTGCTGGATCTCAATGCTCAGGTCGGATGTGCGATTAGAGAGAAGGCGCCGGATTCGATCTATTTGTGAGGGGTCTTTGAGACGTGTTGTGAGTTTCATGGCTGAAGTAGTGAGATATTCGGTGACTGAGTAGGTAGCATAGCTACTGTCGAGGATGGTAGTAAAAAGATCTACAATGTCACTTTCTCTGACTTCTTGAACCAGCTCCTCTTCTTCATACTGGCCTCCACGAAGAAGAGCATCGCCGTACTCTCCTATTACCCAGGAGCCAGCCAATGTCAAGCCCTCTTGGGTGATGTCGTCCTTTAGAGCAGCATAGAGCTTTTGAGCGGAGTATGTCTGGAGCTCGGGCGTGGTTGCAATGAGGCGGACAAAAGATGATAGAATCTGTTCCTTAACATAATTGCCCGCCAATTTCAACACCCTCAACATTGTGTCAACGTGCCAGCGTTTGTTGGGAGCAAAGCGATCCGCGGCCACACCTATTTGGCTTGTCATAATTGGCTTAAACTCATTGTCGGCTACCTCTAAGAAGGCTAGTAATTCCCGAATGAGAACACGAACATTGCTGTCATTGATGAGGGTGAAGCTAAGATCCAGTGCACGTCGTCGGATACTTATATCTGGGTCTCGCAGACACTCGAGTATTGTGTTCCTGTGTCTTTGTACCGCATTCGGCTCGACAGCAACCACTTTAATCAAAGTATTCAAAGCTACGTAGCGAATGTTGTTATCCTTGTTTGTCAAAAATTTGCCAAGAATGTTTACTCCAAGCACCCGAAGCCCAGAATCTGCCTCAATGTCCAATATTGTTAGCACTGATTCGTACAAGATCGAATTGCCGACATTCTTGGCAGCTTCCGTATTGGTAGCTACCTGTGCCAGGATGTCGTTAATTTGCTCACTAATGTGAGTGTCTCCTCGGCCGAGGACACGCAACAGTCTTAAGAGCCTGACTTGAAGGAAGGGGTCTGTGATACCATTCACGTCGTGTTCTGGTGCATAGCCTGAGCTTGCCAGACCTCTCAACGTCCTGACTAGACCTGGCACCATTGGTCTGAACACCTCAATGATGCCCTCTTCGCCCCCTTCTCCTTCATCTGCCTCACACATGCTCGTAGCGAAGGTCAAGCCGCATAGTAGGACACCATGGTTTCGGTCCGATAGGAGGAGCTTGCACTTTTCTGTGAAGTGTTCTCGGAAGTCGGGGACTTTCCGACATATTCGCATTGCACACAGGGCGGCCTTGCGCCGTATGTAGGGGTTCGCTGTGGACAATAAAGACTCGATTTGGGTAAAAAGGTCCCTCGACATCTCAACTGAGGCAATGTTGCCAAGAGTACATAGGGCAAGGCCGACGACATATTGATTCGAATGGTTGAGATCTCTGACAAAAAAAGATCAGTCAATGATCAGTTCCGCTTGGTATCTGAGCTCACTGTTGTAAGGAGTTTGTGACGAGCGTCAAAACCTCCTGATTCTCGTCCAGTAAGAGCATCGTGCCTAGATACCCCAATCTCTTGTCCGCAAATCGCGACGAGGCGAGGAGCTTGAGGCATTCTATCTGACCAAAGTGTGTTCGTTCGCCTAGGGTAAAGAGGTAAAGCAGTTTCGCTACATTGTTTCGCCTGCATCACTTTAGCGTTTTCCTGTACATATTTCTGCCCGATCAATGCGTACCGTGCATTGTGGTCATGACTTTCTTCTCTGAAACTCGCTCTTATAGCCGCACTCTCCTTTTGTACAACGGATCGCTCGTCGGCGATAGTCTTCGACGCCCTGACATTGCGAATGAATTGTTTAACTGGGGAAGGTCAGGGCCTGAAAAAGTTCGAGCTAGGAGACTCACGAGAGGTCATAGTGAGTGTGCTACATAGCGCATGAGGAAAGGCTATGGAACATGTAATCGTCGAAGATTCATGAGATTGACCTTGGGGAGATCGAAATCGTATCTGCGAGCAGATTTATGCCACGAGAGTAGCCTACAGTTCTTGACGACCCTCACAGGTAAAGCAGAGACTGAGATCATTGGCTGGAGCTGAAGAGCTATTTCTCCGGGAGCCCAAGTGAACATAGATTAGCGTTAGGGCTACTTTAGGGCCTACCACTTCCAGGTAGACTTTGGAAGCTCCCGGGGCATTTCCAAGAAGGAGAGCCCCTAGACAGTGCCATGAGAGGCGAGATTTCAGGAGTTAAGGGGTTGGTCCTGGAGTCTTTTTTGGCCCAGAGCTGACTCAATGTCTGCACTATATTTACATGATGGCAAGCTTGCATCATTGTATGGTAATATACGTACAGACAAAGAATGCAATTCTTCAAAGATCGGTCATCATGGAGGATCGAGATCTACCGTTAGTTCATCATGCCATGCGACTCGCCCATGAGGTTGACACCTTGACAGAAGTCTAGACTAGTCTAGATTTGTCACCCGCTGATCCGCGAATTGCATCATCTGCAAGTAAGACTGTACGGAGGTACGGAGCTCGGATGGACGCTTCCAACATGATTAACTCATCTAACCGACACTCTCTCAGCTATAAAGGCCAGTGATTCCTTCGCATATCTGCAATCCAACCACATCCAACCGCCCACCATTTCTTTCCTACGAAGACTCTTTGGCACTACCGCCAGCCCCGCCGCCATGTCTGCCGCAAAAACCAAAGCTCAAGGTATCATTGATGAAAATGCAGTTGGTAGGTTCTATTGCCCTCTCGTCTTGCCACACTTTTGCTAACATCGGGGTCTCCAGCTGTCTTCTCCAAATCATGGTGTCCCTACTGCAAAGCCTCGAAGACGCTCCTGAGTGAGTTGGGTGCCAAGTTCTACACAATTGAGCTGGATCAAGTCGGTAAGCATCACCAGCATAAGTCTCATCAAAGTCGGGGCAAGCTAACAAGATCTTCAGATGATGGATCCGATATTCAGAAAGCTCTTGCAGAAATCACCCAACAGACTTCTGTCCCCAACATCTTCATCGGCAAGAAACACATTGGTGGCAACTCTGATCTACAAGCCTCCAAGGGGCATTTGCCCGACTTGCTGAAAGATGCTGGTGCGCTATGAAGATTCACAACCATCTCTCGCGGACAAAGAGGAGGAGGATTCAAGATGTTTTAGTACGGAATAGACGATAGCAAAGCTGAAACAAAATGATAGACGGTTGGGCTCATGTATTAGTTTCTCTTCTGCTTTTGCGAAAACAAACACTACACACACTCTGTCCCGTCTGCCCGCCAAAGCTAAAGACAGGATACTCAATCCTCCCCACCACCTCCAGTGCTCCCCCCTCAAACCACCTTCTCAACTCCTGCTCCGTCCAATTGCAGCTCGTTACCAACAGGATACCCCCATCCTTCACAAGCTCCTCCACACACTCTCCATACCCCTCACACAACCTCCTCCCCCGTCCGTCCTTCTCCTCACTCAAACTGATCGCGTCAAACGTCCCCTTGTCAAGTACGACATCCCACCCGTCGCCACCACCCAAAACCCTCTTCTCTCCTCTCATGATATCAAAGACCTCAAACCGCACCGCCTCTTGCCTCTCTCCCTCCCCATTCCCTCTGCCCAATCCCTTAGTTCCCGCCAATCGCCTACACAACTCCACGCTCTGCGCCGAGTAATCCACCCCCAGCATCTCCCCCTCAAAGCCGCCCTCTTCACGAAGCAAGAACAACATCTCCCCATTGCCCGTTCCTAAATCCAGAAAACTCGTCGCATTCTTGTCGAGGCTCAGGGAAGTGGAGGAGAGGTATCTCAGAATCTTATTCGACGCATTGCAGTCTGCAAACCAGCCAGAGAGCGGGGAGTCCGGCCGTGGCGGCGTGCGGGAGAGATCGGCGATGTAAGTTTCGTCCCAGCTTTTGCAGGTGTAAGGATGTTGCGGGGGGCGAATGATGGGATGGACTGTTGGGGGAGGGAGGAGGAGAGGACGCACTATTGTTTTGTGCCGAGCTCGCTGGGTGAGAGGTGAGAGGGCGTTGTGGTGTCCATGACGTCGCTTGTTCCTTCTTGTAGTGATCTAAGATTTTAGGGGAGGCGAATAATGCAGTAACACTGCACAGGTTTGTGTCTACTACATATTGGAATCGCTAGGTGAATAAGTATAGTAGCAATCGTCTTTGTCGGCCGACTCGCAGATGATATTAGAAAATGCGTATCCTGTGGCATGGCAGCGTAGCTTCAAATCCGCATTCCGATGACTAAGCAGGCTTGGCACATTGATTTCCTTTTTGGACTGATTATTTGATCTTCACAACGTCCATCAATCTGCGTGCAATGGTGAGACCGGCCTGATGTGATGAAAGATCTAATCATAAAACTTGCAAAGCTGTCAACTCAATTGCCGGCGTGTCAACCGGCTTCTTCACGTGGTCATTGAGCTGGAGATTGTCATGTCTTGTTCTTCGGGCGGTGATGCCACAATCGTGACATCTGACATTTGCAGATCGATCAAGAATCAGCAGTAACCACAAACGCATGGTTCGGATCTTATGCTACGACTACAAGCTTTCCGGATGTCACTGGATGGACGTTCAGCAGGACTGCCTCGAATGCTTAGCAAGTGCCTCACGTGAGCATCAGGGTTTCTCCTGTACGTAGTAATATTTCTCAACCCACTTCTGCGTCTCACGGGCTTGTATATCAAGCTTTTAGGAAGATTCGGTGCAAATCCTGCGGGAAACGGATCTTGATCTGTACGGTCTTTCTCACTGGCGATGCCGGCCAGGCGCGGCTTCTAGAGTTGTCTTTCTTGCAGGCTGCTGTCGCTACTACTTCTCCTTGCTATACCCTTTAGAGCGTCACTTATACTTTTTGAATGTTTTACCACCTCGTGAGGTGTTGGATCGGAGTTTATCTGGGCTTCAACAAATGGTGGTCGTTTCTTTATGACCTGATTGAACTTTCGCATGCTCATCTCGTTTTCCTTCAGAACAACATGGGAAAGCTTCGAGATCCGCGCCAATGGACTGTCATTTGAGTGTGCGACAGTACATCGCATTCTGCGACTGTTTCTCACCCAGTGGCGCTGCATACCAACATGTTAAGGTCAAGCTTTGCGTGAGACTTGCTGTAAGTTATGAATGAACATATAAGGTAGGGGGAAAGCAATGAACTCCACAGCTATACCATATCATGAGTCCTTCATTTGCGCGACTAACGCTGCTCTTTTCGATCGTAAGCACAGCTCTTGCAGTGCCTCTTTCACCAAGAAACGATAAGTCAACGTGTCAAAGAACTAGAGTCGCAGTGCTCGGAGCTGGTGTATCAGGAATCACTGCTGCTGTACGTTAAAATTATGTGATAGCAGTCCTTGTTGGCTTGACAGATTTGTAGCAAGCACTCAGCAATAACTCTGTCACCGATTTCCTCATTCTTGAGTACAACAGTGAGATTGGCGGCCGATGCAGGCATGCGTCTTTTGGCAAAGATAAGAACGGCAATCCTTACACAGTAGAGCTTGGAGCCAACTGGGTTCGCCTGCCGTAGAGCTTCTGGAAATACAATTTCTGACTCAGCTTCAGATTCAAGGCACTCAATCACCAGGAAGACCAGCAAATCCGATCTGGACATTGGTCAGTATCTGCACACTTCGCAAAACCCGTTTAGACTCATCTATCATACAGTCACAAAAGTATCAAGTCAAGAACAATTTTTCTGATGACGCATCCATTGAGACCTTTGATACTAGCGGTCCTGTAGACTATACTTACAAGTTGAAGGAATACGAGACTGCTTATAGAAAGGTCGAGCAGGATGCTGGACACATTATCTCAGACAACTTGCACGACCGTAGCCTCAGGGCCGCACTCCGTGACGCAGGCTGGGATGCAACGGGCGATCCACAAGCCGAGGCGGTAGAGTATTATGAACTGGACACAGACTACGCCCAAATATCAAAGCTTAGCTCCGAGGAATTCGACGTCGCGAACGAGAATTCCTCCTTCCACGGCTTTTCAGAGGTCAACAACCTTGTCATCGACCCTCGAGGCTTCAACGCCTTCCTACATGGCCAAGCCTCCGAATTCCTCAAGCCGAACGACAGTCGCCTTCTCCTCAACAAAATTGTCACGAAGATCACCTACGACAACTCTGGTGTCATCATTCAAAATTCTGACGGCACCTGCATCGCGGCCGATTACGCTATCACCACCTTCTCCGTCGGCGTTCTCAAATCCAACCATGTAAAGTTCTCCCCCGCTCTCCCGGACTGGAAGAATACAGCAATCCAGACCTTCGAAATGGGCGTCTACACCAAGATATTCTTGCAGTTTCCTCTGGACAAAGTATTCTGGAACACCAGCACCCAATTCTTCCTGTACGCCTCCCCAAATACGGGTTACTACACTGAATGGGCATCCCTCGATCACGAAGACTTCTTTCCCGGCTCAGGAATTCTCTTCGTCACGGTCACCACCGACCTGTCCCTCATTGTCGACAAACAGGACGACAAAACAACAAAACAGCAGGTTCTCATCGTCCTGCGGCAGATGTTCGGCAAAGAGAACGTTCCGGAGCCCCTCGATTTCATGTATCCACGTTGGAGCTTGACGCCTTGGGCGTATGGCAGCTACTCGAATTGGCCGCCGGGTATGACGCTTGAAGGCCATCAGAATCTGCGCGCTAATGTTGGGAGAGTGTGGTTCGCCGGTGAGGCTACGAGCGCGGAGTTTTATGGTTATTTGCAAGGAGGGTATTTTTCGGGCCAGGATACTGGGGAGCGCGTCGCGGCGTGTGTGAACGGGGCTTATGCCAGATGTCAGGAGGAGATCCACTATGAGAAATTGAATGCAACCAGTGGCGGTAGTGATGAGTTTGGGCCGCAGAATGGGTGGTTTAATCGTTCATTCCAGACGACTGGCGATACAGCTGATTCATAGAAAGCCGTCGTCGATTTCCACAAAATAGCAAATGCTAGATTTGCAAGCTTGCAATGCTTCATCAGGAGACCGGTACATTCGTTCGGCGCTTTGGAAGCACCTCAAGCCCACATGTTCAGTGGCCTACAAGATTCCTGAGTCATATATGCCACAAAGAACCTCAAGGAGATGAAGAGTGGTCCGGGTTGCCACAGTCAATTTCTAGCCACGAAAGAACGAATTTGCATATTCCGTCCATTCGTTGCTCGTTGATTGCCAATACCAGCGGAATTCTTCACATTTTTGAAAGCAATTCACGACTCTCGATAATAGCTTAGCCTGACTTTTGTCTAACGAACTGGAGGCAAAGGACTAGCCGGCTGGAGCAAAAATCACGTCACTTGAGACTGCCTTTGGGATTCATATCGTATGTCTAGGAGAGGGCTGAAGGTGCCCAGAGAAATTGCTGCCTCAATTCATGCAACTTTTTGTAGTGTCTGACACAACACCAATGCTCAATTTCGAGGCTGCGAGCTGACAATCGACTTACTACGCAGGTCTGACTTGACAACATCCTTCCCACTCACAAAACACGTACACGTTGCGCTCCGGGTTCCACCACACTACTTCACCTCCCTAACAACCCCCTCATCAATATCCATCCCATACCCCAAAATCTCCACCCCCTCCAGCACCTTCTCCTTCCTCAAACTCTCCACATCCCTCCTAATCACATCCTCAAACTCCGCTGCACTGAAAGCCCCGAAACTGCCCTGCTCCCACTTCCCCAGTGCTGCCTCCCCGCCTCTAGCCACGATGTCCTTCTTGATCTCCTCCTCCGTCACGTGAGTCATGCCGCAGTCGGTATGATGGATTACGAGCACGGCTTTGACGTTCGCGAGGGAGCGCAGGACGAGAATGGAGCGGATGGCTTCGTCGTTGGCGCGGCCGCCGGCGTTGCGGACCACGCCGGCGCCGAGGTTGGGGCCTAGGAATGCTTCGGGAACGACGCGCGGGTCGAGGCATGTTACTTTTGTTTGGGTCAGTTTTGTTTGTGGTGAGGATGTGGGCCGGTGTATGGAGAAGTGAGTGAGAGGGGACATGGGTTGGAATCATAGGGCTGATTGGCATTGTTGGTGGAAAGGGGTAATGAAAAGTCCTGACATAGGACCAGCAACGTACAGACAAGGATTCCAGTCTCACTAGCTTTTGCCTTGGGGCGCATCTCTTTCATGTGGAACGGGTTGTGCCATTCTTTGGCGAACTCGCGGTTGTTGGCGAGGAGCTCTTCGATGCGTGCGTGGACTTTAGATTGAGACATTCTTGTTTTTGCTAATATCACAGACCGTAAGATTAATTTGCTAGAGTGTTTGATCTACTCTCGTCGCTACTTTTGCCGTTTGGCAATCTGACTTGTTGAGTAGTTGAAAGGGGTTGGACGAATATTCTTCAGCAGAAGCTATCTATCCCCTCATATATGTACAGATCGAGCTGGTTTGATGACCCAGGCACAATTCCGCGAGCCTCCGTGCTTGGTCATGGTTCTGCAGATTTGTCAGTCTAAAAAGTCCCATGGCTTTATCCACGTGCATGGTGGCTGGGCCGAGGCCTGATCACTATTCGAAAAAGTCTGCCTTTCTAGCGTGGAGAGTATATGAATGGATAGATAGAGGTTACCGGATTCCTCATCTCCTTAATACGAATGCGAGATGGGACCTAGAACGCCGAAGAGGACGGGGGAATAACCCCCGAAGACTGAAGCGTCTGCTTAGAAAAGGAAGATGTGAAAGATATGGGACAGCATGCTTTTCCTTCTCGAGATTCAAGCCTGATGATAGACTAATCCTTATTGCGAGACACATCTTTATTGTGGCGTCAAGAATCTGGAGTCAGCAATACGATGAACATTCCTAAGATAAGGTCTATTTCCAAGAAGCGAATGTAAGTAAAGACACAAAAAGATGTCACATCAAAACATTTCCTCCGCATTGCTAGAGTATCTCTCTACACAAGCCACCGTCCAAGATCTCAATCCGAAGAATATTCACTTGGTAAATGACTGCGAAGCTCAACCAGATGCAAATAGCCATAACCAAAATTCCAATCCCATGCTTAACACACCCAGGTCTAAATCTCCCCCTTCTCCTACTCCACCAAGCAATCAAGCGAACCAACTCAACCAACCCCTCCTCTGCACTACCGCAGTCGCCGACCCAGTACAAGCCTTCCCAGTGGGATGTCCATGACCCTTGCCGCCAGCAACAGGACACCACTCCGGCACCTCCGTCTCCCAGCCATCGGGTATCTTAAAAACTCTCTCATCCCTCAGCGTATCATTGGTCAACCACGCACCCATGGCATATTCCGGCAGACCCGCCTTCTTATACGCCCCATGCTCCACATTATTAGTATGCTGTCCCGTCGTCTTTTGCTGGCCCCACAAAGTATTCAGCGGCAAAGGCGGCTCCGCGAACCAATTCCCCGAGTGGTTGTACGATTGCTGAGGCAACCCATCCTGTATGCATTTCGAGAAGTACCAGAAGATTTTGTTGGGGTAGGCCTTGCCATTTTTCAAGGCGGCGCTTTCTTCCTCGGTTTTGGCCGTCGTGTCGTGCCATAGGAGCATGGCTTTACGGCGGTCGATCATGATGTCGGCGGGAGTGGCGCAGTAGTTGGGGTCTTTGGGGTCGGTCGAGCAGATGTCGGTGACTTTGACTTGGATGTCCGCGGCGCCTTTGATGGGAGTGCCGGTGTTATTCCAGAGGCTGAGACAGACGTCTTGCATGCAGTATCGGGAGAGACCGAGGTTTTCGGGGGCATATTTGAGCCAATAAGGATGAATGGCTACGTGCGATACCCAGTAGGCTGCAATTGGGAGATTAGCGGGTCGTCGCACTTCTGATGGTGATGGGTCGCGGATGTGGAGAAATCGTTCCTGAGGTTGAGGAGGGCGATAATGGAGTCGGAGGATTGTGCTGGGTCATGGATTGCTTACCGTTATCCGGTATGCCACATGCAGAATTGCTCGAGTAATCAGTTTTATTTGGATCCCATGGATCGGTATCGGCAGGCTCAGGATCTGCGAACTGCCCATTCTTGAAAAAATTGACGTTGCCGAAATTCAGAAGTGCAAACGGAATGTCGATAGACCGAGCTCCATATATCTCGGGTGGTACTGGCGAGGCTATGCCTTTCGCCAAGTTCTGCCTCTCGATATCAATGAAATATTGATTACTAGAAGATGTAGAGATGTCTCCTTCAGTATATTTATTGTCGGGTGTTGTAGCATGGTCGGGAACGTTCTGGAAAGCAGCGTCCCTACGAGACAGTGTAGCTGAGAAAGCTGGCGAGGAAAGCAGCGCTAGGAGAGATAAATGCGAGAGCATGATGGATAGGATATAGGTTGGAAACACCAAATGATTTTCTGCAAGGACACACCAATCTGAAGGGCGATAAGCCTGATTTTTAATCAAAAGGTAATGAAATGTTGCTCAGGTTGGGAGTTGCATGAAGAAGCAGAAGAAGGCAATTTGGTGAACCTTTATACTCGCACCTCATCTACATGGCGTTCGAACGGCGGTCCTTTGATCTGCAGACGCTTTGACATGTCTGAATGAATTGTGTAACAGCTTGAGAAACTCGCTAGGAAAGTCGCATTTTACTAATAATAAGACGGAGGCCATCAACAGCAGGATCACGGGTCGGTAGAAGGCCGTCCGATGGGATTCTGCACACCGAGGGGTAGATTTCCTCTCGCTATTGCTGGATATCGAGACTGAATTTCCATCAAGGCTCGAAATCCGATTGCAAGTAGAAACACGGCCAATATTGCCGAAATTCAATTGTGTTCTGAACAGCCTTATTCGGAAACAACGGGTCGCGTCTGGTGTGTGGAAGCTATGATTTTATTTATTTTCTTGTTGCCAAGACCATTCTTTTCGAATATAAGAAAATCAATTGGTAAAAATAGGGATTCTCGATGGAACATTTTAGCCCTGAACGAATCAAGTGTACATTCTGAAGACAACATTGCCTCAATGGCATTCAGAAACGATTGAACAATGCGCAGAACTCAACTCCGACGGCAACTCAGAGAATGACGGCCCCAGACTGCGCCCAAATTCAATGAGATTGCCACTTGGAATGCTTGAATTGCTATGTTGTTTGGTCAGGATAACGTTGGTGGTAAGTCAGATGGGACTGCGACGGTAGCTCATGAGACACGAGGATCAACGTTATGAGCGTAACGGTATCATCTTGGCGAGGAAGAAGTTTAAATGTCGGACAATTGCTCCTGTGCCTTGCATACAAAAAGCCGAGTCCCGTGGAGAGTACCTCAATGCAAGTCATTGTTGCATTGCAGCCGACAAGGCTCACAACGGTCATTACAAGCGCTCGGTAGGTTTGTGATATATATAGGCACGGAAATATATGCGAGATTGCCGCTGAAGATCCATATTGATCAATTATTGCAAGGAGAAACGCCCGATGTGGCCGAGGATATCATTCGAGAACCTTTCAACCACATTAACAATCCGTGCTATTGCTGACATACTGTCCATGGCGAAGGAATCGACGAAGAAGCTCGGCGGAGAAGGAGATGCTACTGTAGCAAAGCAAAGAGTTCGCGCAGCCAAGTGGACAAAAATATACTGTAAGAAGGCTCCTGGCCTCTTCAGCTAGACAATGCTCGCCGATGACCGTGCTGTACCTGGGGTAGACGTTGTATTTCGAGCCGTGCGTCAGACCGTGAAGCCGCCCTCTGGGTGATCCGGCTTCCGGAAATACATTTAACCGGGGCCCCTTTTCCTTGCGGAGGGGAACTACTTTCGGAGATCAGAGACAAAGTGATATTTATTCTAAGCAGCGATTAGCCAGCGTCTACGGGGAACAGCGTTCTCGAGGCTGCGGCAATTTCCTTCGATTGAAGCAGCTTTGTTTCAAAGCTCGAACACATTATTGATCATTCGAAGATTGAAATTTCTTCAAAAGCCATTTATTAGCGTGGCCATGTCCAGATAGACTGACCCAAGGCATTCATTTGGCGAATCAGAGCCGAATAGATTCAACGGTTAGCATGAGCCCATCGTACGAGCGATTTATGATTGGTTGATGTACACCTAATGACTTTGAATGACCTTTACGAGCCGCCTCTGTTATTAACTTCTGTACTGCTAATATCAATGAGATTATAGTTCAGCTGGTTGCATGCTGCCTGGGACTATATTAATACAGTGAAGAGACGCGTCCGCTTCCATGCTGCCTTGCTGAATCATGCATTAACACATATCCCGCCCCTTGATGTGTCTTTCCGGTCACCGAGAATGGTTTCACACATAGCCAACTATCAAGGGTAGGCCCGTGAGCGCCCGAAACCACAATATGGTAGACTAGCCAACCAAAAGACCCCTTTCCACACCCTCAAGATGCCATATACACAGGCATATTTGGGCGCATTAGCAAAGCTTGAAGCGCAAGCTCGACATAGGCTCATTTGTTCTTCCACGCCTGGCGAAAGGCAGACAGATGCGTCAACAAAAAGAGCATCCTGTACTGAGTGGCTCTACTCCTGGTCTTTTGAAACACATCGTACAGGTGCGGCAGGTATCTTCTGGATCAAATGGCACCATGAGAAGCATCCAGGAATGCAACATTTAGAGCGCTGCATATCATCACTAGAAAGCTGACAGACTGACATCGCCATGAAATCAAATCCCACCTTTATACTATGATGATCACCGAGCTCACCGCAACCGAGTCTCACCAACGTCATGCAAAATAATTGGCTTTTAGTTCTACAGACCTCTGTTTGATGACTTTGGAGTGTTGTCTGAATCCAAATTGCAGGATGATCGCATGAGGATGAGGGATTTTGATGATGATGGATGTTCACTTTAACCAAGTTTGATCTGTCACACCCACTTCCAGAGATATTCAAATGAGGTGGCTTGGAGGGTTTTCATTTCCTTGAATATCTAAGATAGGGCTTGGGATAAACACCAACTTGAACTTCGGACGATAAAGCTTTTGCCTTGTCATCTAGTTAGAATCATATGCTTCTCCTCATCGGTGTCGCAAAATTCTGACTTGGAGCGATTAGCAAGCAAAGGCTAAGAGCAGATAGGGACTAGTGTTTCTCTCCCCCTTTTCCCCTCGTCCTGGCGGCGAGCGCGGCTTCTCAACGCTCGATTGTCTTGTAACGTTGAATGTCTCATTACTTGTTGACTCAGCTTGGTTGACTGGACGACAGTGCATATCTGCCTGTATGCACGTGATAGCGCGGGTCTCTGGTGCCTGTTCTGCCTGAAAATGATCGAAAATGCGGGGTCGTGTGTTGCCTACGGGGCCGGAAGCGCGTTGGGACTCATGGTACTAAATCCGAGCTGAAAGTGATAAATAATTCCTTCACCGCTTGCCTCAATCCAAATCCTTTCCATAACCATCTCCGAATCTTCTTTCGTCTCTCCTCTACTCTGCCAAGTTGCCCCCAATGCCTCCTAAAAAGCGTCGAGCCTCTGGCAAGCAGGCTGCTTCGAAGTCAAAGCAACCTAAGCAAGACGGGCAGAAAGCCGTTTCTCATGACATCAATGTGCCTCTCGATGAAGGTTTCAAGGACGACAGTAAGTTCCTGTGTCAAGATTGCGATTGCGTTGTCTAGGGTTTTCCCGTCTTCGAAAACAAACGGGCCCTACATCCTCCAGAAATCGAGCCCAAAGCCATTGCATACCGAGTCATCAAACGCTTGTAGCACGCAATGCTAAGACAAGACATTGCCTAGTAAATGCTCGTATTTACATCGATGACGAGGGCGTCATCTTCGATGCATCTCTCAACCAGACCAACATTGGAGGCAACAACAACAAAGTGAGCTACTTGAAATCTATTCAAATTCTACAAGAACTCTTTTGGCTCATGATAGCCGCTAGTTCTATCGCCTTCAGTTGCTTGTAACTGGTAAGGGCAACAAGTATTACACTCATACTCGATGGGGCCGGGTCGGAGAGTTCGGTGCCGTCAAAACGATGGGCCCATTCGACCTCGAAGCTGCGCTCAAGGAGTACGAGAAGAAATTCAAGGACAAATCCGGTCACAAGTGGGAAGATCGTGGCGAGCCCGCCAAGAAAGGAAAGTACACATTCATCGAAAAGAGCTACGAAAGCGATGACGATGATGATAACAACACCAAAAAGGAAGAGGTAAAGCAAGAAGATGATGACGAGCCAGAGATTGAAAGCAAATTGCCGATCAAAAACCAACGGATGGTGGAATTGATCTTCAACCAAAATCACTTCAACTCCGTCTTGGAGAACATTGGGTACAATGCCAACAAGCTACCGCTTGGCAAGCTGTCAAAGACGACACTGAAGCAAGGCTTCGAGCACCTGCATGAACTTGCAAGTCTCATCAAGCATCCAAAATTGGCGGAAAACAAATACAGTATGAGTCAACAAGAGGTACAACGTCCTGAAAGTCTTATATTTTAAAAAAAACATCGTCACGTCAAGTTGAGATGACAATGGCCAAAGAGACGAATCAGCTTCTTTGGCCCTGGGTCTTCACCTAGGACTGCCAAAGTCTATGGCAGATCTCGATGGTTGGATGCTCTCTACGAACCGGCGTGGCGATGTTTTGACCCATCAACCCTCATTTCGGCGTTTCCACTGCGTGTGGCTCTGTATTTCGAAGCTGACCAGACAAATATCGCATAGGCTATCGAAGACTTCTCAAATAAGTATTACTCGACCATTCCGCACGAATTTGGTCGCAATCGTCCGCCAGCCATTGCTGATAATGACACACTCCGCAAGGAAATTTCAATGCTTGACACGCTCACCGATATGGAGGTCGCGAATACTATCATGAAGTCGACTGGAGACAAGAAGAAAGACGCTGACAACGTGAACATGCTTGACAAACGCTTCAACGAACTCAAACTGAAGGAGATGACGGCCTTAGATCACAAGTCAGACGAGTACAAAGCCCTATCCGACTACTTGATCAAGTTTTCTGGCACGTCTCATGGATTCAAATTCCGCCTCGAAGATATTTTCCGCATCGATCGCGAGGGAGAAGCTGATCGCTTTGGCAAGTCAGATTACAGCAAGTTGAAGAAGAAGAATAGAATGCTTCTTTGGCATGGGAGCCGGGTAACGAACTTTGGTGGTATTCTGTCTCAAGGATTGCGTATTGCGCCCCCAGAAGCACCTGTGTCCGGGTATGCTTTTGGAAAGGTATGATTGAGTACTAATGGGCGTAGAGGGATTTCACTTACGTCTGGTCAACAGGGTGTCTACCTCGCCGATGTCTCCAGCAAATCAGCACAGTATTGTAAGCCATGCTTCGAACCTCCATCCTAGAATACGAAGCTGACTCCAAGACTCACACCAGGTACGCCATATATGAGCGGTGGAACAGGCCTGCTTCTACTCATCGAGGCAGAACTCGGCAGACCAATGTACGAGATCCCGACTGGCGACTCCAACGCCGGAGAAGAATGCAAGAAGCATGGCTATCATGGGACTCTTGGTGTTGGTAGAACAGCACCTCTGGGTTGGATGGATGGAGGATCAATTCACCCGGACCTGAAAGGAGTCCAGATCGTATGATGATCCTTCATTCCATGAATGCAATTGTGCTAACACCGTTGACAGCCTGACTCCTCAAAAGGCCTCGGTGACAACAAGAAAGCCAACGCCAATGGTTACCTCCAATTCAACGAGTACATTGCCTACAACGTCGAGCAGCTCCGCATGAGGTATCTCGTCCGAGTCGGGATGTAGGCTCAGCTAAAGAGCATGGCAAGCCCCATTTTGCACCATGAGACTGGCACATGGCTGCTTGTGACATATAGGGCGACTTGTGATGCCAATGCCTCGCATGGACAGACTCTTCAGTCAAGCCAAATGCTTATAAAAGCAAGCATCTCTCGAAAATCGCTTTTAGTCTCTCTCGATATCGAATAAAAGCTTTCAGCCTGAACGACAACCTCCGTTTTCAACCATTTTGTTGTCATCAACCCCTGAGAAGCAGCTCCTCAGCATTCTTCACCCCCTGCCGAAACCCATGTTCCCACTCCCACGCAAGACCCTCATTCTGCCCCGCCTCCCTCATCCTCTTCAATATCCATAGATCAAGCAGCCCAACCGTATCACAACCCTTCCTCTCTGCCTTGGGAAACCTCTCTTGACTCTTACTCCTGGAATCAAAGAACCCCACAGCATCCTCCCACCCCTGCCTCCACCCCGCCTCAAATCTCCAATGCCCCCATCTCCTCTCTACCGGCGTCACACCATCCCAATAACCAACATGTGCTCCAAGTACTTCCTTCATCAACCGCTCACTCCCCTCCCCCGCCACCTGCACCCTCCTCCCAACCTCTTCAAACCCCCACGAGGCGTGTTCCGGCGCCCTCACATGCCCCTTCTGTACCATATCACCAAAATCCCACTCGCCCTCCCCTCCCTCCGTCTTGCCCGTCCAGTAAAACGCGCCTCCGACCTTCTCCCTCCACAGCCTCGCCTGCGTAGCTCCAAACCTCTTTCTCACCTCCACCTGCTTATGGTCATCACACCCAGCGAAGCTCGTAGGATGGAGACCGCAGCTCCACTCCGTAACCACAACTTGTCCCGCGCCATGATCAGTAACATTCCCACCCATCTTCTCGATACCTTCAGCTTCCTTCTCGATATTCTCGATTAAGCCCCGGGCGGGCGCAGCTTTATCGGCGTCAGAGAAACAAAAATATTTACTCGTCGCCACCACCACGCCTGCTACGTACCCTTTTCCCCCGTTCCCCGCTTCTCGTTCAATATCAACGCGGTTGTATTTCCGGCTCCAGTCGACAGCCCTCTGCGTGTCCCAGCCATCGCTCACATATACCGGCACCCCACTCAATCCTTCCTTTTCGAGATCCTTCAAGACACTCTCATACCAACCCCCTAATCCCCCTTCACCATCCCGCTCCCAGCTCCAGTGGGGAGCCTCATTGATGACCTGCACGCCCACCACGCCCTTAACTTTCTCCTCCACTACCTCCCCCATCAAGAACTTCACCGCCTCCCGTCCCCCCGGTCTCCAACTCACCCCTCTGTCCGTATCTTCCCAAAACCCCGCCACACCGTCTCCCGTACCCCCATGGTCTCTCCCATTCGCGTTACCAGGCAAGGCATGCAGATCCAGCAATACACCCAGTCCGCGCTCTTTACTTCTCCTACACACCTCTCCAACGAAACCCCACGCGTGCATGTAGACCGATGCGTAGGGTTCGAAAGGCGTATTTTGGCAGAACTGCGGGCCTAAGGTCCAGAAGCCTAAGGGCAGGCGAACGGTCGTGACGCCCGCTTTTGCCAATTCATCGAGGAGGGCGTCTGTGACGCTACCGGCCCAATGGGCTTCTAGCTTCTCCCGTGTGGAGCGTAAGCCGAGATTGTGCGTGGTGGAGGTGAGGAAGTCGAGCTCGGAGCTACGGTTCGTGGGGCCAGGGAAGAGGGAGGGGAAAAGCCATTTTTCGAGGACGAAGATGCCGCCGAGGTTTGTGCCGTGGTGGGTGCGGTGGGTGAGGATGTCGGTGGAGGAAGGTGGGGGGAGGAGGGATAAAGGGATTTGAGAGGAGGGAGAAGCGGAGGACGACTGGTGGGGGAGTTTGCGAAGGAGAGATTTCATTGAATGGATAGGTAAGCTGTGCAGGGTTAATCTACTGTGCTTGGGATGGGAACTCGATTGTTTTGAACTGTGCAAGCATTGTTATGACGTATATTTCATGCAGAGGAGTAGAGCTGTCTTCATGTCTATTCAAGGACGCTCAGATCGCATGTCTATCAGATGGTATCATTCACCCGTTGCCTTTGTACAAGATGTGACTTCCTGATGCCCTCCAATCGAACAGCAAGGGCGGGCTCCAAGTGCACCTGCCCCATCTTGATCCAAGAATCGGTATTGACATTGCTATTGCCATGTATGACGAACTCAAGCGACTGAGTACCAAGAGGGAACTGAGCTAGCCAAGGAGACAGCTCGCACACAGGTGAATTAGATGGCAGAGATGGGATTCAATTGTTTGTTCATGCTTCATCATCGTTGGCCTGCAGCATCCAGTGTCTTCAGTATATCTTGTATCCTCTTGACCGACTCTTTTCGCCTTGCCCTCAATCGCTCGTCGCCCATCGTCTCAACTTCGTCGAATTTGAGTAACGTCTGTGTCAATGTGGTCTCGCTCAGCTTCTTGTACTCATAATCCCTATCCTTCTTCTCTTCCGGCGGGTGTAGGATGAAATTATTGATCTGTGGCAGCAGCACACGGTCAAAATTCGCTTCAATGAAGTCGATCTTTCCCGCCGCGTCTGTTGGTTCTCTCAGTGGTGCAGGGCTTGCGTTCCTGGATGTCGAGGGACGATGCTCTGCAGGTGCAGGTGGGGCCAGAGTATCTTTCCTATCACGCTCCCGCTCATCCTCATCAGCGCGTCGCGGCTTCCTCTTACCACCTCGGTGATTTTTGCGCTTCTTCCGCTCTCTCCGATCGTCATCTTCTATCACAGCTCCGCTTGTCGCGACCGAGTCGCTGCCATCGCTATCACTAGTCCCAGAACTCCTTGCGCCGTCATGACTAAGAACACACATGACCTCACTATTCTGTTTTAAATTCTCGTATTTGCATGTTTCTCGGTCGTCCTTCAGTTGTTTTCCCTTGTAGAGTAATTTTAGTTTTCTTGGGTCATCCACTTTCAATTCTTTCGCAGCGGCTCGTCGTAGATCTTTCACTCTTAAATCGCCTTCAGAAATCGAATATGCCTTGAAATGCAGCGGAATAGGTGTGCCTCTGAACTTTAGGATGATTACATCAGGAGCAAGTCCTTTTGGCTCCTCCATCATCGCGCTACCACTGCTTCCGCCTCTGTAATGTTTATCGTGATGCTGCGACGTGGCATTAGAAGGAAAGCCATAGCTATTGTGTCTTGCCTTATCATCATCGCCAGCAATGTAGCTGTAATCGTCTGATGTTACTCGGGGCGGGAACGGGTGGTCATAGGTCGAGGTGAAGGGCGAGTAGCGGCCGGCACCGGGCCAGTAGGAGGACATGAGAGTGAAGAGGGCGACAACGAGTGTAGCAGTAATGGCGACCAGTTGAGAAGTTGTCGATTTCGAGTACAATTCCAAGGCCTTTTGAGAGAATGTTGGTGGCTGCTGGTGTGCTTGGTGGGGCAAGGCCCGCTGAATAATGTTGAGGGCCGATGCCACCTGTGTGCGAAGAGCAGGTGGCAGGCTAGTGTAGAATGACTGCAGCTGGGAGGAAGCCAAGCTAAAGCGATCACTGAGATATGAAGAAGCCACGATGGAAAGAAAAGACGCACTTCTGCGTAGTAGCCTGGGGGTACTGGCTGATGTGACGTTGGACTGGAGTCAGCTGGAGACTTGGGGGAAAACTTTTGGCGTTCGGCTTCCAGAATCGGCCAGAATCAGCCGAAAGGATTCCCCTGCCAAATTCTCAGCCTTGTCAGGATTCGGTACGACTACAATTGGATGAGGTAATCAGTGTTGAAAATGAGGTTCACGATACTGATGATATGTCATTTGTATGTACATTATTGGTAAATAGAGCCAACGCTATGTAAAGACCGCATGTCGATAAAATGCCCGCTTATGCCATCCTCCCCATTCATTTGACCCTTACGCTTATGCAAGAAGCAAAACCTCAAACGGGTGATGGATGTATCATACAAGCACGTAGAGGGAGCTCAACATGGCGAGTCCGAGGATCATGGATATCCAAAACACGATATTCTGCGGGCTTTAGCAAAACGCCCTAGATTTAACCAGGGGTAATAACTCACGCCGAGCAATCTTCGATTTCGGATCCACTTACTCCGCTGAATGGCAACGATTGGCAATTGGGACATCTGAGCAAAGAAGCCATAGCCACGAAGCTTCTTGGTTATACAACCCATGACAAGCTCATGACCAGCGGCACTCACTAGGAAGGTGATCAATGTGGCGATGTTTCGGGACGTATAAGGGCGCGATGCAAAGTATACATGCCGGCGAAGAAAGTGGTGAACCGGAAGATTCCATTCTCGGGAAAACTCGAGCCTGTTCCTGCGTCAGCGTATGTTATGCATGTATCCGAAACATCTTACCAATCGCATGAATTCCACCAATCCGAGTAGAAGTGACGATCTGCAAAGCAAGTGATTTCCGCAAATGCACCTAATACATACTCGAAAATGACCAAGAATACCAAGAGAAACGTAACCATGAATGGGAAGAGCAGCTCGCTAATACTCTCAGCCAAGATGAGACCAAATTCAAACCAGCTGTCGATGGCTTGTAGGCGGATGGCGGAGTTGTGAAGTACGGGGACAATGAATTCTTCACTCGTCAGCATGAGGAGAAAAATGCAGCCAAATACAGCTAGGGTTTTCCAAAAGAGCTCGGCCCAATTGACCTTCAACGTCCGGGGATATTCGAGCTCGTAGCATAGGGTTGGGCAGAGCAGATAGTCGGTGTAGTTTGCAATTGTCAGATTTGTAGGATAGGTGACAGCACCAAGAGGTGAGATGAGCTCGGTCGCAAGATCATTTCGTAGTTGAGATAAGTCTGCTACTTCCTTGTTCGACTGCTCCTGCTCTGCAAGTGCTTCGAGTTCCTTGAAATCGGTTGTGAAGCTTGGATATCGAACAGCGGCAGCCCGCGAATGTTTCACGGGCTTGTCGAGGGCGCGGAGCCTCTGTTGCGTGTTGCTCAAGTGGCCATTGTAAAAGGCATAAGAATGCATCTTCATCAGAATGACAAGAGTGTGGAGGGTAAAGAAGACTTGGGCGGTCCAAGGCCAATCCAATATGAAAGGCCAGCTAGACTGATCAGCGATGCTCGAATGATTTCAGTGGTGAGTCTTACTTGACCCAAAGCAACAGCCACAGTGCTTGAAACGTGCTGTGTATGCCCATACCTGCCCTGGTCCATCTCATCCAGCCGGTGGTCTTCTGCATCAATTGCTGGAATGGCACTGCCAACGCTGTACTGATGATCATAGCAGCATCACTCAAACCCAATTGCCAAGTTTTGATAGTCATAAGATCCCACATTTGATGCCGCAGCGGGTACCCTGTGTCTTTGATATTTCTAAGTGCTGTCGTAACGACCATGATTGCTAGTCCGATCCAGAACAGAACGAAGAACCCTCTGAAATCCCTGTACTCGCTGCGTGGATCAAAATGAGAGACTCGTGCTTCGTAGTCTATCGAGGGAAACATTCTATGCTTTTGCTGCGCTCTGATTTGCTTTCTCGCGGAGGACGTAGCATGGGCTGATGGTGGCGCATCCTCTGGAATAGGGGTCGAGCGACCGCTAGACGTCGTCAGCTACCATGTCTGTCTTCAGACGAAGCACACAGACCTAGAGACTCCTGAGGCGACATTGGATGTCTCGACTTTGAGAGTGTCTTCCTCCGATTGGGCTCGCTGTATTGCTGGATTTCCGGACTTGACAGGTCGTGGTCTGACAATCGAAGAGGAGCCCCCATTTACGAGCGACGAAGAGAATGCCCTCGCAGTGTCGTTTGTCATTATGCCTATGTTTTGCTTGCCGGTAAGGGCATCAAGGATCACGTTTGTGGCTGAATCGCTAGGCTGCGAATTTCGACGCCAGGTGCGAATGAACACGGCTTCGTCATTGGAATTTCAACACAACGTTTTTGAATGATATGTGTCTTCAATCAGCATGGTGTCAGCTGCTTTCCAGAAGCTTGCAACAGCTGACGTACCCGCCGTGCAACGTTCTCCGAAGGTTGTTTGTTGTCAAGCTCTAGCTTCCCTAGTCCTCAAAATCGGCCTAAAGATTTTCTCCGTAGACCGAGGCGGCTTTGCTCTTTGCTCAGTGCTCAGTGTATGAGTGAGATCTTGGGGTAGGGCGCACCTGACTCAGCACTATCAATCAATATTCTGCGGATTGATGCAGCGATATCATACGTTAAATCGGAGTCATATTGGTGAGTTTATGGTGCATGGATTGATTGATATGAATCTATCGAACACCGTAGCAAGGACGTTGCCTGAATGCATGGAATTCCGCAATGACGACTCTTCGCGACTTCCCTGCCTACTTTGGGCTTTTTCGCGAATGCTCTGACCAACTATGCCTCTTGTCATGTCCAGTTCTATTATTACCTGGCTCATGATTCCAAGAATTTGCATACATTTCCAAAGTTCGCCAAACAAGAACTGTATGCTAATTTGATACCACAACATCCTCTTTTTATGCCATCAAAGGAAGATGTTCTCCTTTACATACGTGATTTGACCAAGCAAGATAGCTACCGCGAGCTGAAACGGATTACTGATTCCATCGTGGCAGGTAGATCCGGCTATATGCCATAACAGGGAACCGAATCAGGTTTATTCCTCTAGGCATTCACTACTTAAAGCTGGATCCTGAACGCTACAGCCAGCAAGGCTTGTGATTCCAAAATTGGACAGCCGCAGGCCGCTTGAATCACCTACCTGTTGGCATTGTTCAGCAGAGCATCGACATCTGTCAACATCACCGTATCGCCGCATCCACTTGAGTCAGTGTGCCGCCAGAATGTCATTGTGACATGATCAAACCCAGAAGATTCAAGTGCCTACATCAAAGCTTGTGGCGTGCTTATCCATGACTAGCGGTCTGTGGCTACCTACACAGAGACTGGCAGCAAATGAAGGACCATACTCTCTATACGGACTCAGGAATGGACTTTGGAAAGAGCCAGACTTCGATGATGACTGAAGTCGTCCAGGCCCTTACAAAATATCCGGGTTGGGAATTCCCAGCTCCCCAGCCTGAAAGGAGTGTCCGGTAGACAAGCAAGAGCATCGATCCAGCGGAATTTAAATTAGTATCAATGGAGCGACGCATGACCAAGGTGACAGAGCTCCCTTAAAAACCCTATTGCTGAGTGCGCTTTTTGGGTCGGCGGAAGATGATTACGTTCTAACCTTCACATTGGCTCTACACATTCCTCGTGTAGTAGCGAATGATCTTTCAATATGGAATACACCATATCAAGCTGAGTGGCTGCGTACACTTGATCGAGGTAGCCGTTAGGAAGACGTCGAGTCCAGCCACAAATCTAAAGAAGTAAACCCGCATATCTGATGGGCCTTCCGCAGGTTCTCTGGCTGTCTTTCCTCAGGACATTGACTGCGCCTCTCTGCCACGAAGAGGCAGCTGATAGGGTCTGAGCATTGTGGAGGCGTTGCCGGACCTTTATGTTGTGACTACCTGCAGAGCATGCTTAAGCTTCGAACAGCGCGCTCTGATCATTGGATACATGGTCCCTGTAACCGCCGGTATGTCAGGCCGCCTGTGAGCAGCCGGCCAGTAGCCACTAGACGCCAATAATGCAGAGGTCCATGCAGCATTACGTCTAGCCTGTAAACAGAGTAGTGTCCGGAAACGTCTACTTAATAACGCACTTTCCGCACGATCTTTGGGCTTTCCTGCGATTGCCCCCACATTTGCAACCATTTAGACGGCCACATGCTGTCGGGCCGCACCTTCTGGAGCCAGTTGTACGCAAATGGGTCATCAGGTTCGGGAGTAATCCTCCGTCTTTGGAACAGAGAGCCTGTACTCAGACGGCGCGAACTCAGAAGATGGAGAGGCTGTAAAGTGGGATTAGTAGGAATAGCAACGCCTGTGACTCGCAGACAATACATATAGACAAATCCACGGCTCTCCTTCTTCCTCCACTTACCTCTCCATCTCACTCCCGCACGTCCTCTTATTAATGTGACTGTATTCGTTTCTGCATGCGTAGCCTTTTGAGGCAGTGTTCTCAGCACTGTGCGGAAACTTGAGGGATCGCCAAAGCCCCTCCCTTGGCTGACTCGTCCAGCAAGAAAAGGCTGACACCTCGGGGACTCATTCGCACTCATACTCTTTTCCCCTTACACAATATCTTTACCACGGTGAGTAGGCCAGCTTCTCGACTGACCGAGAAGTATCTGGCGTTCTTCTGGAAGACGGTAGATGAGATTGGAAGTGAGTGTCTTGCCTCTCTGCCTTGGCAACAAGCCCAAGCGACGGTCGCAGGCGGGCTACTTCACCGCCTAGAGGACAGCACAACAACCTTCATTCCAAACAAAGGGTCTCAAATAAACAACGAGCAGTGCCCCTCCCTTCGGCGGACACCTCCTTCTCTTCATCCTTCGATTCTGTCTCTCGCTGTCGGAGAGCATCTTTCCCCAGCCAGAGGTTTGTCAGCAGGCACCCACCAAACTGACAATTCACTCGTTCCGCCACGGAGTTTTATTATCGCCACCCCCGGCGCTAACCTAAAGTCGGCGCGTGGCCATACCAGTGGTTTGCCCTGGTCTGACGTACCGGCCACCGTCCTTGTTGATCTTCGATTTCCACGGCATAAACTCCTCTCTTATTTCAACTTCACTTTCTCTCTACTTCATTCATTTCACAGCCCCGCGCATTGAGTCAACGACCTTACTGTACATGCAAGCAATCCAGTCACCACTGACAGCATCAGCCCTGGTTGATCCACTCAAGCACAGCACATTTCTGCAGCTCGCCGAAATGACCCAGACCCCAGGTCATATGTGAGGCAACTTACTTCTAGCCGCAGTCAGCATCTTAAACGCCTAACACCATTCAAACCTTTCCTCAAGAACTATCATGGCAGATAATCTAGACCCCCTCGAGCCCTCTCCGTACAAGACCCTCAACGTTCTCAAAGATGCTCCGCTCTCAACCATCAGGAGCGCTCATCGGAAGCTTGTACTGCTGTACCATCCTGACAAGGTGCAAAATGAAGACGAGAAGAAGACAAAGGCCGAGCTATTTCACCAAGTGCAACAAGCTTATGAGATATTGAGCGATGACAACAGGAGGCGGCGTTGGGATGACCGAGCCAGGTTGGCAGAGCTTCGAGCTGAGATCCTGGAAGAAAGACCTCGGCCGCCACCCCGAAGATCTGAGACCTTTGCGGCCCCAAGAACCGCACAGCCTCCTGTGTTTGAGGTTCGTGGTGGAAGAGTCTACGAAGAAAGAGTTCCAAAATCCGCGCGAGCCTACACGGAAGATTTCGGCTCTCCTTTTGCAGAAGCAAGACCATCGTCCAGGAAATATGAGGATACCTATGATGAGACGCCATCGAGGAAGACATCCGGACGAGGCCCAGATGATAGGAGACGGCATACTGTGGAAGACGAACGTTGGGAAAGGAAGGAGCGGGAGAAGCGGGAAAAGGCTGAGGAGAAGAAACGAAGGGAGCGACGAGATGCAGAACGAGCTAGAGATCGAAGGAGGGATCTTGAAGCAAAGTCTCGGAGTCAAAGAGCCTACGTAGAAGAAGAGTCTTCAGACTCTGAGCCCGGCGACTCCTACTTCCCCCGCGCATCAGAACCCAAATCAAAGCGAAGGGATGAAGATTCTAGGAGATATCGTGAAGAGCCATCCAGGATGTATGGCAGAAAAGGGAATCCTCGGTCCAGTGACGAAGCTCTAGAACGTAAAGAGAATGCGGCCTATGAATACATGCGTAGGTCAAGTGAGCAAGTCGATCTTGACACACGACATTCAGGAAGGAAGCGAGCAGACTCATACCGGGATCAAGTACCAATGTCGCCCCCTCTTACACCTGTTGATGGTGGCCGACGTTCTTCGGGTGATGACGGGAGGAAAGCGACAAAAGGCACTCATTCTAGCAGACCGCCCAGCCCGGTAAGAAAGTCCACGAAGGGAAAACCTAAGATCGAGATCATGGAGCCTCCTCCAGTACGAAAGCCGAACATGCCAGTCGCATCGTCTGATCGCAGCTACCTCCAGAAAATGGCATCGTCAAAAGGCAGAGGCGAACCTCAACGATCTGCTACGGATGTGCCGCCAAAGAAGTTCGCCCATCCAGGACTGTCACGTTCAGAGACTATGCCTATTGACAACATGCGGCGAGGTGCTTCGCAGCCCTCTAAACACAAGAAGACTCTTGACCCGAGTGACATTAGCTCAGAAAGCTCGAGTGGAAGCGACACTGAATCAGATGATGACGTTCCTCCACCCCCTCCACCTCCTCGAAGACCTCAGCCGCAAGCTCGGCAGCAGTCTACGAGATACCGAGTAGCTCTTGGGGAGGAAGACCGATCTTCACGTACAGTCTACGTATCACCAGATGAGATGCCTCATTCGCGAGACGATTCGCCCAAGAATCCACGTCGTGCAACAACTGACCGTCCTGACCGTCACACCCCTCGGCCTTCACCAATTGCACGTGCGGCTACCTTCCAGGAGCGACCCTCAACTCGCAACAACTACGGCAGCTATCGTGAAGAGTCTCCGCGTCTCAAGACACACCAATCGGCGCGTGGGGAAAAGAGCCTATTTGGTGAAGTTACTCAAGAGGAACCCTCGCCGAAGGCTACACCAAAGTTTTTCCCCATTTCAAAAGACGATCGCGATGATAGAAGCTATTCTAGGAGAGGTTCGAAGGATGTGGATAAGGACTATTCTCCGAGGTCGCACCAGAAAGCTCATCGGCGACCACACGCAAGGGAGATCTCTACATAGGTCTTTCATCACATCAGCTCTCGAACAATGCCTCAACAGATGACGAACTTTTTAGGGAGGGAATGGACATATTTGCGCTTCGGACAACGCACACACAACGTGCCTTGTCCTACGATATCATTATCATGGGCTTTTTTACGCTCTTTTTGCTTAATCTAAAATGTGTTTATACGGGACGCCAGACACCATGAGGCGGTAGGCAGGCATGACTTAGCGTATATTAGTTACGAATGACACGACTCTTTTTGCATTTACCTGCTCACCATTCTAATCTCGATCCGTCATATCATCATATTGCAAATTCGCACAAGCAAGAAGGGAAATGAAAGGTATGCACAGCGTATTGCGAACTCTTTCTCCCCTTCTGTCACAACAGCGCCGCCCCTTATTCCCAATATCGCCACTTTCCAGAAATCCTCAGATTACGCTTGACTTTGGACGACTAGACCTGCATTTTGAACTTTCCCTTTTCCTCAGCATTTGTTCACCGTTTAGAATCCGTTCAACCCTTTTCTTGAAAAGCAAATCGATTGCAGACTCTCTGACCTACCGTCTTTTCCATGACATTTCGCTTTGAAGGAATGCCAGAGCTGCCCGAGGAGCTAAGATGTCGTTGTTGTGAGTACACTAGTCCTTCGCCGTTATATAACAAGTGACTTCATTCTTGCTAATCTCGATAGGAACTTCACTGATATCTTCATACATAGTCTTGCTCTCAACCACTACTTTCTTGACTTAGAACAACATTACTTCAATACTCTCGGGCTTTACAAGCACCCTCACTTTCATTCCCTCACACCTCCTTCCTCCGCTTCCCAAGAATTGACTGTCCCACCATTGCGGCCTTGAGCACATAATCCGGCATGGTCATACACCTCCCCCTTGGTAGCTCCGGCTGCTTCGGAAACACAGCATCCAGCGCATACACAGGCAGTTCCTTAGGAACCACACAGCGACACCCACTCTTCCAGTCACCCCCACAATCTTTCGCCTCATAGCAAAACGTCCCACACTGATCCAGCTTAGTCAACTCATCCTTCTCCGGCAGCGGCGCCGGCCACGTCGGCTTAGGCCCCAACAACTCCTCCGGCCATCCCTCTCTACACCCCGCCTCCTCATCTTTACACGCCACCTGCATCTCCCCCGCCCCAGCACCCGCATCGTCATCAGCACTGACAGCACTGCTGGAAATAAGCACCGTCCGGACGCTTCCGTCCGGCTGGCTCAGAAAGGCCTCAATGACATTTCTCCCATTCTCCTGTGTCTCAGCGATTTGCACACTGCCGACCCTCGGACTGTCCGTCAGATCGATCTTCTTCCTCTCCGGGTCGGTGCTGCAGTAGCATGCTCGCGCGCAGACCATTCTTGCCATGAGGGCCTGGAACGGTGAGCCGTCCCATGTCAGGCCTCTGTTGGGCGTAAGGTCGTCGCTCCACCACACCGTGCGCTCGCCGTTGGGGAGACGGTGGCAGTAGGTTCCGGCGCTGCTCCAGCTATATTTCTCGTCGTCAGCCGTCGATTGATGGGAGAGCACACCACAGTCCCACGTTGGGGCGGGGGGAAGGGGGTGCAGGGGGGCAATTGGCAATATCTGGCATGAGTACCACAGCACCCATGTCTCCCCTCGCCTTCCCTCCACTTCCTCTCGCCTCTCCAGAAAAAGCAAAAAAGAAAGTAAAGACTCACTTATCTCCCCCATCCAACGCCGTCGCACATAATTGCTGCATCGTATGGCTCGCCGGCCTCCACCGAAACAGATACCGCGTAAAGCGGGGATTACTCCTAGGATCGAAATACGAAAACGTCTGATCCATGACGCGCCCGTCACAAACGACCTGCGTCAGACCTCCTTGTTAGCCATCTGTCACCATCTCCCACCTCTCCCCTCCACTCCCTTTTCCCCCTCAAAAAATCACCAAGAACCAAACAGATCAAGGGCAGCACTCACCCGATTCTCCTCCTCAAGCGTGACATACCTCACATTCGCAGTTCTCACACTTGCCTGATCCGCCGTACTATAACCCCTCATCTCATTCGCATCCAGTTCTGAGAAAGCCGGTATCGTATACGCGAATTTCCCAGCTTCAGAGCCTACGATGTCTCCATCCGCACTCGCATCAAAAGACATGAGGAATGGTTGGTCGAGGACCACAGGGAGCGTAAGTCTCGCCTCCGTCGTCCGTCTCGCAAACTGCTGCCGTAGCGCCGCAGTCCTCTCAATACCGGAGCAAAAACATCGCAGCCGACAATACGCCAGCACCCTCGGATGCTGCAGGACAGTAGCAGCCTCCGCGGCAGGGGAGTCATCGAACCACATTTCGGGAGTGGCTTGGTTGGGCGTGAGGAAGCGATAGCAGTAGCCCCCTGCGTGCTGCTGGGGCGCTTTGCCGCCGTATTGAGGTTTTGCGCAGATTTGGAGGAGGGTCCAGGTTGAAGGGTCGGTGGTGAGGGGGGGACGAACGGGATGTGGAAGGAGGGTGGGGGGCCGTCGCAGCTGATGCGGCCGAGGGGGTCGGCGAGGGCGGGGTCGAAGTTTTCGGTTGGGGTGGAGGTGCGGAAGGAGGAGGTGAAGGGGAGGGGGGTGAGGAGTAGGATGAGGGTGGAGAGGGCGAGGGCGAAGGGAGGGTACATGGTTGTGGGGGAAGTGCTCGAGTGAAGGTTCGTATTTGATTTTAAGAGAAAATAAAGAGGAAAGCACCCGTCTTCGCTTCATTCTCTTTCTTGTATGCGGATGATGTTCGTATATGCCATGATTTTCCTCTATGCGACATCTCGTCAGCAAAAAGATGACCGTGGGTAGAAGCTCATGCATATAAGTCTCGATGCTCAAATCCCGCTATAGCGCGTTTCAATTTCACGGTCCCGCAAATTCGGGCGTCATGTTGTTGGTTGTAGCTTAAGGCGTTGGAGTTGAAATTTCGTGACTTTCGAGATGCTCCAATCTATTCTATTGCCCGTCAGCTGTCACTCGACCTTTCTTGTCCCCAACCTTCACACGCAGACTTGTGCTGGCTTAGGTGTGAAATTCAATGATAAATGGCTGGAAGCTCAGATAGAATCGAGTTATTACAACATACCAACTCTGTTACGCGCATAGCGGCACCTAAGCACATGAGAACCCTTCGCGTATTACTCAAGTATGCTTACACGTATGAATTAGCTGATAATTGCATCAGTAGATGTAACGTCAACTCTCCAAATGTCCTTGAAGCCATCGTTGACTTGCTCAGGTAGATGGAAGTGAGTCGAGAGATCCATATTTGAAGATAACGATTTTCTGGCGGTGGTTTGAACCTAATTTCACACCTCAACAGCGGTATGTTGTATCTGGGAGCTGTTTATTGCTTGCTCAGCATGCTGTGAATCGTGAACACTTGTTGTGATGTCGCATGGGTGGTGATTGTGGCATTTCTGCAGTTCGTTTACTGACTTTGAGATCGTGTCCTCTAGGTGAATTTTCTCCTCCGTTGTTCCTGACACGGTGTGCTCCGATCTTGTATATGGCGCGGCGAGATCCATAGTAGCTCCATTCTTGTCTGGCTCGTCATCTGGGCTTCCTACCAAATCGTTCACGCGTTCCATGAAGACATCGCGCATGTTGCGCTGACACCACCAGCCTAGGTATGTGATGCAAGCGAGGAAGCCAAGAGCGATATATCCAGCAATGCTCCAGTATTTAGATGATTGTCGATCTTCTGCTGTGTCAGTGGCTAGGGAGACCGTCGATTGGATTGGGAACGTCCAAGTATGGGTAGCGGAGCAGATGCAGTTCTGGAAGATGCCGGTAATTTGCATGAGAGTGCCTGCGAAAGTGGTGAAGACTGCTGCTATCCAGGCTGGTAATAGAAGGAGCACAGTGACAAGAACACCGACCCATTTTCGTCTGAGTCGGTTGAGCCAGCGATGACGTTCCCAGTAGTCCTCTTCTTGGACGGCCTTGACGTGGCTCCATGCAGATAGGACAACGAAGACCAGCTGAGCGCAGGCGTAGACCAGTATTGTGAGTGCTCGGCATCCGATTTCGACAACGGGCGTAGCGTATTCTATCCAGAAAGCAAGAATGCAAGGTATGAGTACCAGGAGGTAGGCCACCAATGTTAACAGCAACCAAGCCCAACCCGACATTTCCATGTAATCGCGGAACCAGCTTTTTCGCCATGCCATAGTGCCCTTGATCCAAGCTGCTTTGTTTTTACCCCGTGTCCACATCCAGACTGGCTCGAAGCGCGACTTATAGATCAGAGGGATCCTGGAGTAAGCCTCCACTCTCGCTTGGATCCTGTCCTCTAATTGTGACCTTGTATCTGCATATTGTAGCCGCTCCGAAACCGTTAGTACTATGCGTTGACGACGAACTATGGCTGCTGCGGTGCTGGGGTTGTTGCTCGAAAGTAGACTTCCACTAAGAGAATCTACATCAGCAATGCTCTTTGCGGAGGAATCAAGTGCGTGTGAAACATGCCTGATTGCAGATACATGCACGATCGTCATCCACCATATCCCAAAAGCCAGTGCGCGTGCAGCACCCTTGTCACCAAGGGTCCCAGCCAGACTGACGAGTGAGAAAATGAAGGACCCAATGTAGAGCAAAATTGGCGCGCCGACAGCAGCACCGAACGGAAATTGACAGTCTAGCATCGAGCACAGCCTGACTTTCGTTTCTTCGTCAACAGCATCTCCATGCTTGGTGACGTTGAGCTCGCCGTCTAGCTCTCGTTGAGGATTGACCGGAACTCCCTCAATTGCCAGATTGCCAGCAAGGACAGCGGTCAATAGCTGAACTCTCTCTCGTGGTGGAAGGCGGCTGATTGGCTGGTGGATGGTCGTGCATCGAGTCACTTTGTAGTCTATGATCACCTCCAAGAGACCGCTCAGTATGAAGGGGGCCGGCGCAATCATGATTGTGAGAACCCATGCAGTAGTGTCAAGCGTGAGAAGGACAACATCCAGAAGCAAGGAGAGCAATGTCCACTTAGGAGAAAGACGTGGTATATCGGCTCCCAAGCGACGTGGGATTGTCATGCTGAAAATGACGGCTGGGAGTATGAATGAGAAGAGGGGTAGGGCCCATGAGCTGAGTTCCTTGGGTTCATAGAGAGCATAGCCGGAGCAATGACTTCGACACCAGGAGAGTCCAACGTTGAGTCTTGGAGCCGGTACTCTGTCAGGTGAGTAAACTTGGCCACATCTGTAATCTTCGATGGTCTTGTCGATGAACGCTGATGAGGACAAGGCTAGTTTGCAGCATGAGCTTGTGACGCCAGGTCCAGCGGTAGTGGGTTGCAAAAAGAAGACAGCACCCGAGAACACATATATGCCAAGGATGAGCATAGTGAAGAATGGCGAGTGCTTGCGCTGTGGTCCGCTACATGTTTAAGTAGACACTGTCAAGTCTGACAAGGAAGTAAAAGACTGCGACTGGAAGGTGTGTTCGTCTGAGGGTAATAGATACTAATACCGAAGATGGGGAGTTTTCACCGTCATCACCGAGTGGTGATGGTGGTGTTGGCAGGCTGCACTTTATGGCTACATGATGAAGGGGCGCTGTCTTGGTACACCACCAACGGCTTCAACAACTCCAGAGTGAGTCGCGTGCATGATCAACGACCGTTACGCCTCATTAGATATGTCTAACCCCGCACGAGTTGTTATCTGGCAAGGCTGACCAGGCTACCTTTCAAAAGACTCCAATCATTGATGGCCGAGATAAATCATAACCCAGATCTCACTAGCGTATGCTCAGCCACAATTTTAGCGAAGATGGGGAAACAAGGAAATTGACCCTGCTGCCTGTCATTATTAGTGACTACAAAAGTAATAACGGAAGCTGGATGAGGTACCTTGAAAGAGAAGACTTGGCGAAATAGGCATTATTATTGGCATAGATGACAGCCCTTGAATCACTCTCTTCTGCATCGCGATGTATTTGTCTGTCGTCTTGGGATATATTGATATGCAAAACGGCTGTTGTTCGCAGCAAAAACACTTCACTCTCGGCCGGAGATTAGAAAAAGATTACCACGCTAGTCTCTTTCAGATAAGGCCCCCATTTAGCGATAAGCTCCTTTTCCAGACGGGGATCTCCTCCTGCACAATTTCATTAATCATTTTGTAGGAGTATGAGTAACTTGACATCTCGCATCAGACCATTGAATAATAATTTGACATCAATTGAAGACATATTCAGCGATGGTCTTGACACTTTGTTTCCTGACAGCCTGAGTAATCTCCACGGCGATCCAGGTTCCAGCGTCGTTTATGCGTCGTCCTCGTTTGGCAACATTCAATTAGAGCTTGCCAAATCTGATGAGAAGGCGGACCGTCTTCTGTTCGCGCACTATTTGTGGAACGCGAGTCTTCTGCTTGCTGAATTGCTGGGTCAAGCCAAAGGTGATGACGTAAAGGAAGATCGTCCATGGGATGTGAGAGGGGAAAGGGTCCTTGAGTTGGGAGCTGGTGTGTGATGAGATCTATGAGACTTTAATGGCGTTGGGCTCATGGGAGAACAAAGGTACGGGGCTTGCCGGTATCATCGCGATCCTTGCAGGAGCTAGCGAGGTAGCGATCTCAGACTACCCATCGCCTGCTATTCTTGAGACCCTCAAGAAAAATGTCAGAAGGAATCTGAAGGGTAATATGCTTTCTCGGGCAGTAGTCAGAGGTCATACGTGGGGCGAGACTTCGGACTCGTTTTCCGCAAATCATTGTGAGCGCTTTACTCGTATACTCTGTGCAGACTGCCTCTGGATGGATGGTGAACACGAGAACCTCATTAGATCGATGCTTCACTTCTTGTCCCATGACAGAAACTCGAGGATATCGATCGTTGCAGGTTTTCACACTGGTCGTGCTAAAGTTGCCGCATTCTTCGATGAAACCCTGAAAGCAGGTTTGGTCACTGAGAAGATTTGGGAGCGTGATGACGAAGGCCAAGAGCGTGCTTGGAATCCAATTGGAGATGGGAGCACTGAGGACGTCAGAGAGAGAGAAAGATGGTTGGTTGTTGCGATTTTGAAGAGGCAATAGTAGTCCCGTCTGATGACCTCGATTGAAAGGGTCTTGGACTGTGCCATGCGCATAGTGGATTACATAACAATATGCTGAATGATTCTCACGATCTCGAAGAAGTCGACACTAGCCTATATCTTCTAGGAGATCTCCAGCAGCAAAGTCCTGCCAAACCTCAAGTTTCAGGAGCCGATCTTTAAGCTCAATCGTGTGTGTAAGCTTTGATGAGGAAATAAGAGTGCAGTGCATCAACAAAGCTCAAGACTTCCGTGTTTCCATCCAAGATTGGCCACTTGTTCCCGAATGTCTGGTACTTGTAATGTCCAGTAGCAGAGTCCGAGTCGTTTGAAAGTAGAGTGATCTTTGCTTCCTTCGGCATCTTTGAATCCCTGTTTTAGCAGAACTAACGCAAGGTTTCTCCGATCAGATTGCTTCTCTCTGAAATTCCAACCATCCTTGAAGTCTCCAAGCAGAAGAACAAAGAGGTTCCTATCTCCACGTTCGCTACAAGCAATCTTGTTGTTGCATATCCACGTCTTATCTGGGTCAGATGATTGAGTTATCGATATGAACGGGAATATTTGGAGTCCCATCAATTCTACAAGGTAGTCATCAAACATGATCTGAAAGGCGAAGTCCGGATCGACGGTGTCTCCGTTCTGCTGGAAAAGCGCCAGGAGGTCCCGAAAGGGGATGTACTCGCCCGTGGCAATCGCAGTACCTCTCTCCAAAATGGTTCCTATCTGGCAACAGGGGCTGGGCTCCTTGTACGCCATCAACTCTGGGGGAACTCTTGAATTTTGAGTAAGACGCCAGCTCTTGTTTGTTTCTGGTTGCGCAGTGTGCAGGAATAACTGGCCAAGCATAGGATCCGTGGAGAGAATAGCTAGGGCGAACTCGTCAATGAGTTGATGCAGAGGAGGCGCGTCGTTTGGTCGGAGTGACTGCCCGACACGGAGATTGTAGACCTGCATAATGGCGTACACACGGTCCTCGGGGCGGCTTGTCCTCCTATATTGCGCAATACTATATTGAACATTAGGATTATCGGTGAACAGGAAATAAAGCCCAGCTCCCATGATATTCTGCATTATCGTTCTCCCTTGATCCAGTGTCATCTGCTGATCAACGCTTAGACGTTCAATTTTTTCTAGGTCCAATTTGACGCCCTCGACCAGAGAATAAGCATTTTGACAGCTGCTGATCAGCGATATCATGAACAAACTCTGTGCTGACATCACCTGTTCTGAGTCTAGAAATAAGTCCTCGCCCTCCTTGGAGAGTACAAGGGCATCATTTCTTAAAACGAGCTCTTGCAGAGTCCACAAGGACGAAAACCAAGGATCATTGAGAAGCCGATTTGTGGTTTCGCACAAACAGTCAATCAATTCAGGGACAGTCAGCGAAAGCCGCCCGTACTTAGTTCCAATACAACCCAATTCAAAGCTGTATCTGGTTATGTCTGAAAAAGAGGTCTTTAGAAGATCCAAGCTTGTGTGCGATAACCAGAGGAAGACTCTATGAGCGTTTTGGAAGACACTTGCCTGTCGGCCTATTTCGTCCATCTTGATCAAAGTGTTCTCCTGATCGATGCAAGCGACATCAATCCAGGCCCAATCCACATCTTCTGCCCCCATTCGATCCACAATCCTAAGGAAAGATGCCACACTGAAGTGTTCTATCTTGACTGCCGGGATTCTCCACGTTGTCCCTTTGACGGGCAGAGCCGGTGCATTCCTAGATTGATCTACCCATCTGCCCCAAGTGTAAGTCAAGATGCTGTACTTGGGCTCCTTGGCACCGAGATATGTATTTCGTTCACCCTTCTCGACAGAAGTCATCGTTGGAATGTGGAGAAGACGCCGTGGCCAATATGTGGAGACGCCTGGCCAGCTATATTCGTCTCTGCGATAGGTAAATGAATCCGCCTAAATAGATATATGTTACCTTGTAGAGCACATTAAGACTTAGCAGATGACGATTTACCATGACTATTGACCTTAAATTCGGGGTTTCCACCTACGTAGAGAGAATAAAATAGGTATGTGGACTATGCTAATTAATGACGTCGTCCCTCAATATAATATTGAGGATTAAATGGTTACTTACAGACAAGCATTAAGAAAGTGGGGCAGCCACAGAATCATTGGATGGGCGCGCTGGCTAATCAAGCAAAACCTGGCTCCAGGGGTGCCTATGCTAGTAGATCTTGCTGAGCTTCACGCCTGCAATCGTTCCTAATCTTGACCTGATCGTCGCGTTTCCGGGGTTCTACAGCTTCCGCGAACTTTAGGCAAAGCTACTGCTTTCATTTCGCCAATTTGTGCTTCCATGCTCAGCCTTCAAGGTCTGCCAATCGTCTCTGTTGAGTCGTGCTGAGTTCAGCGCTTCACTTTCGTATTGCCATATGCAGAAACCCATCCGTCTCCAGTAAGACTGCCCAGGAATACAGAATAGGATCAAACCAACATGATATCTGTCTAGCTTCTCTTGGCCTGCTCCCACTCCGTTGTCATCGAAGCTTCCCAACAAAAGGACTATGCAATCACTAGCTTTGAAATACGTCTTCAGGAAACCATTGATCCACCACGACAGCCGGTTTTGTTCTTCCCTACGAATCAATTTGCGATTCCTGTAGGGGACAACTGTGGTAATGGGCTCGACTCCGTCGAGTAAGATACCGTTTTCTGATATGGTCAAATCTACAGCATCAATCAAGTCTCCAGACCTGATGCACGCATCAAGCCCAATCTGCTGTGGGCTCTTCGAACTGGTAGTCTGATCATGAGACCCACTAGCTATTTTCCAAACTTGCGACAGCGTCGAAAAGTTGCAAGCTCGACCTTTGAAGTAGCCTCTCTTAGCTCTCGTTGTACCAATTGCCGACACTTCACACTCTGCCACAAACGAGAGCTCCGCGAATTGAGATTTGATGTCCAGATCTGGTACCAGAGAAGAAGGGCTAGGTCTCCAGCCCCGGCCCTCTTCAACAATCTCTTCGAAAACGTGCATTTGGCTTGTGACTGGATATTCCGATACCAAAGCCTCTCCGAGTTGTTCTTCTAAGACATAGCGGTCGATCTTCTTTGGGATCATGACACCTTTTTGGGGCGTTCTTGTCTCACCAAGACGGAAACCAAAGACTTGCTGTATGCCATATATGCGGTCGTAGTCATACCTACAATGACGATATTGTGATACATTGTAGAGGGCAACTGGATTACGGCTTACCAAGCCCAGGAGACCTCTCTGAGTCAACATCTCTCGGACGTCAATCAGGTAGAGGTAAGTCTTGTTCAGGCTTAGATGCATCGTTCTGGCATCTGAATGGTCCTCGTTGAACAGAGAGTGGTTTGTTGGAGCACTTAAGATGCTATCACAAATCTCCACAAGCCTGAAACTCGCTTTACAAAAACCAGAAAGTGTCAAATTATTATAATGATGTTGATTAGTCGCGATTGCCATTGGAATGAGACCACCTTCTAGCGGTACTATGTGAGCATGAGGACACAGAAAGGCTTCTTGTAAAGTCCACAATGAACTCCACCAAGGGTCAATGAAAAGGTGGTCTACGGTGCTTCTTGTCGATTTCAACCAATGAATTGCGTCCGGACTCTGCGCAATATCCGACACATCATGACCCTCAAATTTTGAGCCATTTTCTGCCCATGACAACGATTAGTTTCGACAAGTGGGAGGCATTACACAAATCTAGATTAATTGCACCAACTTACCGTGACTCCAAGCGATACTTGCTGCAAGTTTCTCCAGACTCTGCTTTACGTGCTTCGTCGACCAAACAAACACTTTTTCCGCCCCATGAAAAATTGCCGCCTGTCTGCCAATCTCCGCCATCTTTTGTGGACCACTATTTTGGTCAATGCACGCAATATCAAGCCATAGGAACTCTGTTGGATCCTTCTTCTCTTTCAAGTCAATGCTTACATTAGCCGTCCATCGAATCAAAGACTCGAAAGCTTCAAGGCTGAAATGCTCTGGATTAATTTTCGGTATGTGCCACTGGACGTCATTCACGTGCAGAGCTTTGACGGCACGATATTTCTTTAGTTTCTTCGCACCTGGAAGGTCGAGGTCATAACGACCCCAGGTGTAGGATATTGCATTGTACGTAGGTGACACATGATTTCCGTAACGATTTCCAGGCTGCCATTCTTGGGACGTCATTGTCGGAATGTGGAGGAGACGTCGTGGCCAATTTCCGAGCTCTTCGTCAGATGGGGACAGATTATCCTTTCCTACAGTGGACTCGATCTCATCATCGGCAGTCCATAGAGCTGGATTGTAGGTGTAGCCGGAGAGAGGAATGCGTGCAGGAGGATTGACAACGCAGGACTGAAGAGTATCAGGGTTCTCGTAATCTGTAGTGTCAGGTAATTTGGCCAGTAGACTACCGAAGTCGCTTAAATTGAGATCCATTATACGTTCAGTCTTTTCATCAGAGTCTACATGCAGGGACAAATGACTCGTATCTTTCTTTGAATAGAAATTGCGTAAACAAAGCGGGCAAGAAGCATTCAACAACGAGATTGAAGCAGTCTCATATTACATTTCATAGTCACTGGAGAAGGTTCTTCGGAGCATGTTTGCTCATTCACGAGACTTCTCGGCTTAGCACTCTGGAGATATTAGGCAGAAGCGGAAATCCTTAAGTCTCATCAATGGCAAGGAGGACATATCGGACATGAACATAATATCTTGAGAGTGCGAGAGGAAAGGCTGGAATATCTAACTAAAGCTGACAGCTACGCGCCAAGACAGTCCCCAAATCTGAGCGCCGGTTAGGGATTGTGGAATTCAAGTCGTATTTGCCTCGCCTGCGTCAGCTTTTCGCCATGACCGTAAAGTCTCATCAAGTGAATCCCCAGCATTATTTTCTTTGTTCTGGAATGTCCGGAAGAATCGTCTCGAAATGTACAGCGCCTTTGACAAGGACGATTCGAGCTAGGACAACAGCCCCTTCTCGGTGCATCAGCTCCGGCGGAAGGAGGCAACCATACACAAACAATCAACGTGCTGGACCATCGGGATCGAAAGCCCGCGCTAAGCAATATGCAATACCTGCATCTGCTGCTCTCATTACTGTTCTAGCTGGCTATGCTATTCTCAGATCCTCACAACCTCGCTCCCTGGACGCTCGACCCAGCAGCCAAGGCGATGCTCTATCCAGCGGGGCTAAGGTCCAAATAACAGGCCAAGATCACGGTGATGACGTTCCCAAAGCTCCCACGGGCACCTCAACCATTCCGTATTTTCCCAAATCGATTTGGCTTCCAAATTCTGGCTCTGCTCCAGACCAAGGCAAGACGCCCGCTTTACCAGCGGGCATAGGCGCAGCACAAGAGGAGGAGGAATACCAACTTCTTGGGCTAGGTGTGCGAAAGGTCTCGCTATTCAGGATCGAGGTATATGTCGTGGGCATATATGTGGCGAAAAGTGACATTGCAAAGCTACAAGCAGGCTTGGTGAAGACTGCTGTTGGACCTGGAGCAAGTACGCTGGTGCAGGGTGAGAAGGAGGATTTGAGAAAGCAATTGCTTGATGGAAAGGGGAGCGAGAGGGTTTGGGGAGAGGTATTGAGGCAGAAAGGGGTCAGAAGTGCCGTCAGGATTGTGCCGGTGAAGAACACAAACTTCGGTCACCTAAGGGATGGGTGGATAAGGGGGATCGATGCGCGAGGAAAGGGCGAGGAGTATAGTGATGAGAGTTTCAAAAGCAGTGTCGCTAATTTCAAGGCGATGATGGGTGGCAAAGGCAGTGTGGCCACGGGGAGGACGCTGCTGCTTGAAAGAGGAGTCGGTGGGGCATTAAAAGCGTGGGTGGAGGAGGATGCAGCATTGGCAGTCCCAGGAGCTCCGTATTTACTGACAGGCAAAGGCGATCGTATGACTTTCTTGGGTAAGGTTGAGGATGAGAGGGTCAGTAGACTGGTCTGGCTGGGATATATCTCAGGCGAAAATCCTGCAAGTGAAGCGGCGAGGCAGAGCGTCGTCGACGGCGTTATTGACCTTGTCGAAAGGCCGATTGGAACGATAGAAACTCAGGTAGTCTAGTAATCAAAACACAATATGACAATGTAACTGTATCGACCCATTGAAAATTAGTGTCTTTTTGCACCCAAAAACTGCTCGGCCAATGGGAGACTTTCCGGCCGAGGTACGGAACGTACACTTCTCTCCACGCTTTGCCTGTATCAAGACCCTCGTGTATTTCGACAACCCTATATTGATAACCTTGCTTGAACGACGGGCTTCGACCTTTCTTAATGTCTCTTCACAAAGTGACAGACTCCGTCTCGTACCGCTCTGCTGCTCGCTGCTGATCAGAGAGCCGCGTTCCAGCGTACTAACGTGGAGTATGGCGACGATGCCATTGCCTCTACAAAAATCGTCGCAGCACAACTCAGCAGACCGAAATTTCTTCTTGACAGATCTTTGAATGTCCAATTAGTCTAGTTCGATATGTCGGCTACTAGCGAAGTCAACCACGCCAGCGATTTGAACCACAACAATACGCCTCCAGCGAAGCGACGAAGGATCGCTCTGGCATGCGTCGATTGCCGGCGCCGGAAGCTCAAATGCGACCGAATTTTTCCGGCTTGTACCCGATGCCAAAAAGCCAACCTTGCGGACAAATGCACCTACGATCAGGATGCTATGGTGGCGGCGACAGAGGACTTGCCAAGCGTAGTCAATCCCGCCGGTGGCCATTGCGAACAAGGCGTCGTCACAGCCAAGCAGATCACTTCCAATCCATTGGTCGGCTACACCAATCCAACATAGATCATGGTGTCAATGCTGACCATAGCATGTAGGCTCGAATTGAGCAACTCCAGCATCGCATGATTGGAATAGAGAGAATAGTCAATGGCAGCGTACTTGGTATGATGCCATTACGGAGTGAGTCTGATCTTCGTGGAATGACATCAAATGTGTTGCATGAACCTTCGGACAGTCATCAGGAGATGATGCTGTACAAAGGCAAAAGCTTCAAGACCGCTTTCTATGGAGCGAGCCACCCCCCAGCTATTTATCTCAAGTAAGGCAGACCAAAGTCTCAGTGAGCTATGTAGGCTGTACTAATGCATCTAGCTACCTGAGCTACGGCAATTCATGAACCAAATGACTGTTCAACATCCAGGCAGCCAGCAACTCCAAAAGGAATTAAAGGCTGCCAAAATCAAAGGCCCAAAGGGTCCCGATGGTCCCATAAATGATGATTATATGATCCGCCTGTTGCAAAACGTTGGCAAGGATGTAACCGATCTGCTTGTGAAAACTTATGTGAGGTACTTCGAGACAACTTACCGAGTTTTGCATCCACCATCCTTCTGGAAGGAATACTCCCTCCTTTGGCACCCTTCAAGCAACGCTAATCCTAGCTTCATTTGCCTTGTATTACTCATGATGGCGGCCACGAACCATGTGCGGACGGAAGACACGTCGTTGTATAAGGGACCCTCCTCACTTGCCCGTGAAGAAGCCTGCATGTGGATCGAGAAATGCAATGCGTGGTTGGCCACTCAGAGTCAGAAACATATGACTCTCGTATACATGCAAGCACAGTGCGTCCTTACTATTGCCAAGAGGATTAATCAGTACAAGAACAAAAGAACATGGACTTCCACAGGGAAACTCCTTCACTTTGCTATTTCAATTGGGCTCCATCGAGACATTGAGATCCTTCATCGTCAGCGTGGGAATTCTTGCAAAAAGCGGACGTCCTTGTTTGACCAGGAAATGCGACGAAGATTATGGTGGACAATAGCTGAACTCGAGTTGCAAAGCGCCATTGAAAGGGGCATGCCTCCATCTCTTCCAGATCTAGTAGTTGATTGTGGCTCACCCCTGAATTGCAACGATGATGACCTGGACCCCGAGATGACCCAGTGGCCCAGTTCACATCCAGTATCTCATTTCACATCATCCGCATGTCTACATTATTTGAGCACCACATTCAAATTGCGGCAAGATCTTGTGGCTTTCAGTAACGGGGGCCGTCGGCATCAAGGCCAATTGCAAAGGATGGTAGACAAGGTTCTTGACCAGATTCCTGAATGGGACAGTCATGGCGCAGAAATCGCAAATTCACTAGCTGCCCTTCGAATGGAACAAGCGACAATTCTTCTGCACCGCCAAATCGTAGTCTGCGAAGACGCCTCTCGCTCTAGTTTTGCGGTGCTTTTGGAGGCAGCTGTTCATACCATTGATATCCATCATAGGCTTCTAACTTCGCGACTCAATGTTTGGAGCCTGTTTGACCTTGACATACTGAACGCAGCTTTGAGTATAGCATACGCATACACAAAGACGGGACTCAGAAATGGTATTGCTGTTTTCTATCGGCCGAACATTTCAAGATACTGACTCTCAACAGCCCGTAAATCCATGTTTGGCAGTTCGATCTTAGATGTCAACGACGCTGTTGCTTGCCTGGAACGCGGACTCGCTGTGCTCGAGCAGATTGTGATGCATCTCGGAATTGGCTTCCAGGCATATTATGCCGTCTGTGCAGTCCAAGGGCTCCTTAAAAAGCACAATTCTACTTCTGAGCAAAGTGAAGAGTATCATGCTTCGGAAAAGATCGCCCATATCATGAGACGGGTGCTGTCTCGAGAAGACAAATACTCAGTTGCAGCAACATTGGCGAGCCTTCCAAATACGGTAATCCTTTCTTATAGTGGTGGTATAGAAATTCGCTAACAAAGTCGATGATAGTCTTTCTTAACAGCTTCCAACGGTAATGGGATCGTAAATGGTGAATTACCACCTTTAATTCCTCAAGATGACAATTCGCAAACATTTACAGTAAGGTCGCAAAGTGTCCGTTCGAATAATGCCTACTCATCTGACTCAGGACATATCTCAGCTCGACAACTTCGACTTCTTGGATGGATGGGACTTTGAACCACTTTTCAGCTATTGATAAGGAGGCAGAAATAGCGCTTACTTCTATGCACAGCATGTCACACTTTTGACCGAAGATGAGTCTTCCTACCAGGCACACTACGGTGAGATTGCCACTTCTTCGGCCGAGAGTTCGGAGTTCGGCGTTCAGCATCCTGCAGACGCGTCAGCCAAAGCGCTAACTACTGGTATAAATGACACGATGGTTCCGCAAGAGAGCGCTCTCTACCCGTACCCACAGTTCGCAAACTTCGAGAAGGCAGATCCACCACCATGAATCAAGGCAAATCTCTGTCCGAGCTCAGCTCCACCAACCCTCGCTGGGCCGCCGTCGACGATTACACCTTCTCGCACCTACATCCTGCTACCCGCCAGAACCATGCCGGCCTCACTAATGCAGTCGAGACTTCCAATGCCCACGGCCTACCGGACATCGCATCATCCACTGGCCAAGCGAAATTCCTCGCCCTCCAATGTCAGATGCTTGGCGCAAAGAACGCCCTCGAAGTAGGCACCTTGGGCGGCTACACAGCGATTTGGCTAGCGACACAGAATCCCTCCATGAAGGTGACGACTCTAGAATTCAACGACAAACACGCCGACGTTGCGCGGGAAAATTTCGCGAAAGCCAGCGTCAGCGACAGGGTAGAGTGTATCACTGGTCCAGCTCTAGACACGATCCCGAAATTGTATGATCAAATTGAGAAAGGGAACAGGGATGTGTACGATTTTGTGTTCATCGATGCGGACAAGGGTAATAATTGGACTTATTTCGACTGGGCGGTCAAGATGGGGAGGCCAGGGACGTGTATTGTAGTTGGTAATGTTGTTGCGAGGGGTTATCTAGCGGACTTTGAGACGCCGGAGGCACAAACGCATCATATGGTGTTAGGTGGGAGAAATGTTGTGGAGAAAGTAGGGAAAGATGAGAGGGTCGATTCGGTGGTCATGCAGATTGTGGGAGGGAAGGGTTATGATGGGTTTTTGATGGCGGTTGTGAAGTGATGATTGACTTTTGGAGACCTCGCTTGGACTTAAGATTTGGAATTTGTTTGAAGAACTCTGGATAATAGAACAAACATGGTGTGTGCCCCTTTCTCATAAGCTTAGGCAATGCAAATTCCCCAGCTGTAAATTTTGTCTGTGCTTCGTCCAAATGTGCACTCCTTAGAATGGAAGTATTTCTAGAGATCTCTACTGAAAGCTCTGGAAGGGATAAAGACGTTGGTCGGAGAAATCTAGAAAGAATGCCTCAATGTTGAGTAATTGAGTAATTTACGGTATTTGAGTTAGCCTGAATACATGGTAATGTATGTGCCCAAGTGCGTCATAGGTGTTTACTTCTCCTCATGCATGAAGTTTGCCCAACCATAGCAAATCGTAGACTATTATGGCGGACCTACCATCAGAGTGTTCAACTGCTTCTTTTTGGCATAGTGAACCGAATGATTTTCTCCTTGGTCATCGTACCACGGAAGAGCTTCCATCAGAAGCAGATGTGGTGATAGTTGGCTCCGGGATAACCGGCGCCTCGGCCGCAAGGTTTCTGCTCGAGGATAAACGAGCGAAGGGGCTCGAGATCGTGATGCTTGAAGCACGAGAAGTCTGCTGGGGAGCCACGGGAAGGGTCAGCCAAGTCTGATTGCGAGACCACTGACGCCCAGACTGATCATTCAACACAGAATGGGGGGCATTGCCAGCCACTACTTGTTGACTCTACGCCAGACGTTGCATTATTTGAAATCCGAAACTGGGAGACTATTCGTGATTTTATCGAGCTGCATCATGTGCCCTGCGAATGGCGAGTCGTTGAAGCCTGCAGGACTTATTGGAGCCAGGCTTTAGCTGACGAAGTGAGCCAACGTGTAGCCCATTTCATAGTCACAGAGCCAGAGCTAGCTTCGAGGATCAAGCTCGAACGCGATCAGGTCAAGCTACGACGTGCTCATAGGGTTAATGGCGCACCAATCGCGACGCTCACGACCAATGCAGCGTCCCTTTGGCCGTATAAATTGATCACAAATATTATCGAAAAGCTCATACAAGGCGACGGAATCAATTTGCAGACCCAGACCCCAGTCACTAGTATTGAAAGCTGTGGGACGCCAACAAGCTCAGCGAGATGGCGTCTCCACACGTCTAGAGGCAGTATCACCGCTCGTCACGTCATTCTCGCAACGAATGGCTATACATCTCATCTTCTTCCGGAGTTCAGCGACTTGATTGTTCCAGAGCGGGGAGAACTGTCAGCTCTCCTCCCACCAAAGAACTCTACCCGCCTCCCCAATTCCTATGGCTTCGTAGGCGCAAATGATGGGATGCCTCATCATGATGACTATCTCAATCAGCGGCCATTCTCCGGCGTCCCCAATCCTGCCGGACACTTGATGTTCGGAGGCGGCAAGGCGAGTGCAACAATGGAGCATCTTGCCACAACGGATGATTCGGTCATTGACGAAGGCGAGGCTCGGTATTTGAGACGCGAGCTTCTGCATTTACTGGATCTTGATGGTGAGACAGAAGGTTTACAGGAATTAAAAGCAACGCATGAATGGTCGGGTATTTGGGGGACGAGCAGAGACCACGCTCCGTGGGTTGGAGCCGTACCTCAGCGCAAGGGTGTGTGGCTTGCTGGGGGTTATACAGGTACGTCTTTCATTCTTTCGTGTTGAATAGGTCATTAAAGCCGGTAAGCAGGCCACGGCATGCCGAATGGCACACTGTGCGGTCGAGCCGTCGTGGAAATGCTACTAGGCGAGGAAAGTGGTGCGCCTCAGGACTATGTAGAAGAGAAGCTTGTAAGGACTGGCAATTTACCGCAAAGCTATATAATCTCAGAAGAGAGGATCGCACGGGCGAGAGAATTGGATACAGTTCAAGAACAAGAGGCGAAGGGTTGGCGGGGGCCTGAAAAGCCAACTTACCTTCGAACCTAGCGCAGGAGCAAAGCGGCAAACATTTACACAAACTAGTGATGGTTTCCTTCGAAATGATAATCGAATGTGTTACTAAGTCGTTGAAGATTTGCCACTAATATCCTGAGGTCAGTATTCATGAGAGCTGTATGCCTACCAAAACTCCTTAGTGCAGTGCCCAGATTGCTTTACATTGCTCCATATCAAGTATTCAGAACCATGATCATCTCTCATACCCATCCCAATCACCTCACCCATCCATCAAGTGCTCTCCCCACCTTCTTCACTTTCAGCACATCCCTAAACGTCAGACTGACCCTCGTCTCCCTCTCTCTCCTTCCAGTCTCATACAATTCCCTCTCCCCGAGCAAATCCCAATTCGCAATCCCCTCCGCATCCAGCCCCTCATCTACCATCACACCCTCAATACCATGCAAACAACGCGTATAGACCTCATCCGTGGTAACCAACAGACTTCTCGGCTCCTGCAACACCCGCCACCTCTTCCCCTCCCCCGCCCTCTTCCCGTGCCCCTCCCCATTGCCACCACCCCCCTTCTCCACAACATCCAAAACAACACTAGCCCCCAAACTGACCGTACAGACCACCCCCGCATACGCCCCGCCATCTTCATGCGAATGAATGCCCTGGCCAGGCTTATACTCATTCACGAGACATTGATTCGGGGCTCTATGCGGCGTGTTCGCGAAAATGTGATCGCCTTTTCCGCCTCCTTTCAGGGAAGGGAGAGAGGTGAGGGAGAGGAGGCGAGGGATGATAAGGTGGGAGAGCCAGGGAGGCAGCAGGGCGTCAAGGAGGGTGTTGGAGGGGGAGAGGATGGACGGGTAGGCTTGTAGGCGTCGGTGGGAGAGGATGCGCCATTGGGGGAGGGGGGCGGTGTTTATCTGGGGTTGGAGTTGGGTTTAGTCGATGGTATGAAGGGGAGAGGTGAGGGGGAAGGGGGGACCAACGTGGTGGAGAAGAGAAGCCTCTTCTGTGCGGGTGATGAAGTTGGGGATGTAATATGCGGTTGGTGGGAGGGAGGGTATAAGGGCGTCTTCTAGGGAGGGTGGAAGGGGGAGGCGATCCATGTCGATGGTATGGGAGGCATCTTGAAAGCCATGACAGGTCTTGAAGAGGGATGGAACGTCAAATGTCAAAGAGCGTTCCGGTGACAGCGGCTCGGCCGCCGTTTCTGGCGGAAATAAAACTGAAATATTATACTAGTTCTAGGGCCTTTCAGCGTGTAAATTATCTTCGATACATGTGATGGCTTTGGTGACTTGGATGAAAGATAGGGGCATGATCATGGGCTTTGTAACTCGAGAAATCGAGATCGGAGACTCCTTGTTCCCTTGGCTTAACGATGTATGCAAAATACAGGTATTCTTCATGTCATTTCCACGCTCACGCACTCAAGGCCCTGAGCCTCTACAGACTTTGCCGATATCTGCCGATATACATTGTTTCCTTGGCCGTTATTAAAAGCTATTGTTCTTCTAGTGTATTTGAAGGATATGCCAGGAGCGTTGAAGAAGAAGATACATTGTAACATGTGTAATTCACTGCTTGAGTTCCAATTTATAATGGTGCCTCGTATCGACGCACACGTTCGTCATATCTGCAGAATGCACGACACTTGAAACATGATCGCGGAATTTGCTCACAGTACGGTTATATTGCCGGTGAAGGAGTCCATATCGCCAACATCATCCGGCTCCTCAGCCGAAATCAACTTCACACCAATTATCCGTCTATCGCCACCAAGCATCTTACCACCTCGTCCTAACCCATCAATATTCGCGACGTCCCATGGACAGCGATGAAAGATGAACCTCGCTCTCTGAGCGACACTAGTGATCGTAAATCTGTCTTGGTATCGTCTGACTGGGCTCACAGGGGGTAGGTTGAATTTTAGGGTTATTTTGCAGGTACCCACTTTGCCAGGGCGCGTGATGTCGTAGGGTGGGTGTATGATATTTGGACCCTGTGCTGCCATGTCCGTGGTCAAGATATTCTCCACGTCTCTGCCTGGAGCGTCAAAACGAAGGTAATCGATCAATGCTAGGGCATCTTTCTGCAGGCATATTGCCTTGTCTACGTCTTCAGCGTAGCAGATGATATCCGATTCCTCGACTGATTGAGGCGCCGCATATGTGATCACGGAACATGCAAAGAATAGTGCGAGGACAGAAATGGATCGTAGCTTTGGCATGATGAAGCCGCCAAGCTGGGAAATGTGGAAAGCCGATTTTGTGAATACTGTATTGGAAAGTGGAAATATCCCTCATCGAGGCAAGTTGAAAAGCGTAAGCCATATCTAGACAATATCGGCCAACTTAGACCAATGATTGTACCGTGAAACATCATCTCAGACCCGAGACTGCTTGTCTTCCGCTGGTTTTACATTGTCTTGGTCGGGCAATGGAGAATCAAAGCCGCTCTGCATGTGGAATCGCATTTCAGATCTATGCGCAGGGGGTGCTATGCCTTCATGTGGTGAAGATTTGTGCCCGCGTTAGGGCTGCAGTGTCCCACGAGATGCGGAAAATAGCCTTCTGTCTGAGATAAGCGCCGACCGTTCGTCTGGGAAAGGCACCATTGGTTCGACTTTGAAGGATGTTGTGGTCTATCAAAGACGCATAACTTATCAGTGAGGATTATAAGATTTCCTCCAAAAATTATGATCGTATTATGCGCTTCGTAAGCTGCCAAAGGCAAGCGCATGATTAGCAAGATCAAAACAAACACTTACAAAGTCCTCAGTTCGAGCTCGATTGCTTTCAATTTTTTTTGTGAACACAAAATCCATCTAAAAGTATTACATTTTGAGGTGCCTCAGGAAAGATGGGCAGCCAGCAGCAGGTGGGCAAATTTTGCATTAGCTGAATTAGCAAACAGTCCGTAACTTGATCTCTTGAAGATTTCATATACTTGACTAGAGAGAGTCAGCCTTATGATCAGGATGCATGGAGTGATCGGGCAAAGGATAGGTAGATCTGGCTTCCGGTGCTCTTCATTGGCACGGTCGGAACTGATCTTCAAACGGAGAGCTTCTGTAGTAGCACGTTCCTGGCTGAGTGATCTCCACAGCGGTCTAAGTATGGGTCCCATTATTCGGCCCCCGCTTCACTTCAAGATGATGCACGTTGAGATCGTATTGGGGTTCTTTCTTTGGCTAATGTGCATCCACGGCTGCACGGCCAAGATAACGATTTCCCGTGTGTATAGGCCGACCGTCATGTAGGCCAACGCACAGCAGGTTCAAAAAAAGCTTCGTGGGCATAGACTATCCCGAGACTATCAAGTAATCTCTGACCAGACATTCGTTCCCTTTTCAAGCACTTTTGAGATATGCCAATTTGCAGGATGTACGGGCGAAAACAGATAATGAGCGCAAGAGAAGTGGTCAAAAAAGACTCAAACTTACAGTGAACGAAAAGGGGGATCGCACTTCTTCAAGGCTTGCCATTGTTGATCTGTCGAGGGGCAAGAGTCCGAAAAAGAAGAGATAGGCGCGAATATTGTAAAGATACACAGGAGCAAGAGTGGATTCCCTCGGACGTCGGGGCTCAGGACTGGCCAAACGATTTGATTCCTTTTGCAACTGCTCTTGTGCTTTAACATACACTTTACCTCCTCTCCTGAATGTTTTTTTCACTTCGTATTGTACATGCGATAATCGTGTAAATTTTAGGAATCATAGCCTTCGGCGCTTAGTCGCAGAAAGCATCCCCAGATGATGTTAATTCCCAAATCTCTTAGTTTAAAGTACTTTTACTCTCTGACATTCAGGTATCCACAGGCTCTGAACTCACAATTCATTCAAGCCTCTTGAAGCAGCTTCGTCACTGTTACTATCTGGTATCCTCTTCGCTTGATCTCGGGTATCACTTCCTTCAGCATAGGAACAGTCCAGCTTCTCCTATCATGGCATATGATAATGCCTCCTTTCCGCAACTTGCTCAATATATGTTTGGCATTGACTCGCCAGATGCGTATCTGAGGGTCGTGTGGATAGATGCTGCCAAGGATCAACCGATAACCTAGTCTCGCTATCGTCGTTCGCATTCTTGTACTGAAGAAGCCGGATCCGGGACGGAAGTACTTTGGTGGTGAGCCAATATTTACGTCACGGTAAATGCTCTGGATTTTGTCCTCGACCGTGTGAATCTGCTCAGCTAGTAGGACATCGGTCAATGACCGGGAGGGTTCATCGTGCATAGCATGGTTGCCAAGCTCGTTGCCATTGCGTACAAGGTCTTTCAATGTCTCTTCGCGTCCGTCAACCTGCGATCCGATGATGAAGAAAGTCGCAGTAGCGCCATTCTCTATCAAGAGTTCTGAGATCTCTTGTGTGTATTCTGATGGTCCATCATCGATCGTAAGTGCGATCAGCGGCTTCGAAGTCTGCACATGCCACAGTACGTCAGGCCAACGTCCTTGAAGGACGCGGATCAGGCTGAATGGTGCTTTGTACACGATGTAGAAGGGTAAAATTAGGAGGCAGAGGGCGATGAGGACTCTAAGCATCCACGGTTGTCTAAAAAATGCATACTTGTAAGATCTTATACGCCTTTGGCTTAACATGGAATGCGCATGGCTGATTCTCTTTAGGGAGGATGAGTGGTAGGTAATATTGCAACCTTCAAAGGGGCTCTTGGCCGGTACCTTGAGCTAGTACAAATTGAGAATTGTGGGGAATTTAGCGTTGGACACGGGGATCCGGCCGCGGCCTCAATCTGAGAAGAGACGGACCCGCATTTGGCGCAGGAACAGCGAAGACCTCTCCCCGAGGAGCATGGACCTGGTTGGTATGCCAGTACTAGCAAAGAAAAGTGTGCTGACTGAGTTACAGCTTCTTTAGAAAGAATTTACAACCCCTTATTTTGTTCGAGACGATGCAGGTCGAAGTCAAGAGACAGGCCGGAAACAGCTGGATTGATGTAGAACAACCAGAGCTGAAAGGCAGCAGAAGAAGTGTTCCGACAATAGTAGGATGACTCGCCAGCCCAAATCAGTTATGAGTCTTGCCGGGTTGGATTGTCAACCTCGTTCACCTTGGAGTCTTCAACATATGATAAAATCTTAGCGTACAATTATGTAATTAGGGCCGTCATCAATTCCTATGAAATCAGACACATTTTGCGCGAAGAGGCATAATCACAATTTCACTACCACCTGAACAATATTATTTGTGAGACTTCTTTGATAGGAGCTAAGTAGAGACCTAAGGATCAGAAATCATTTGGAAGCCTTTGAACGTATTCAAGGGCGTCCTACATAAAGAATATGCGTCCTAGTCAAATGGCCGGGCGTTCCTGCATCCGGCCTAGTGTCGCACCTCCGCTGAGCGATAGAACCTTATGACTAGCGACGAAGACCCCCTCGACCACAACGGGGAACGGCAACAATCCAACACAGAAGTGGATTTGCTTTCAATCGCAAGCAAATGCTCAGGGACAAAGTAATCAGTGCTTGAGCGGAGGTGGCTAGTCTAAGAGGCTCAAACAACAATATTTGGTCAAGATCATTTCTTGCTTAGTATGTGGATGATGCTAATGCTACTTACTTGTTGCGGATCATGGTACGCATCACGAGCCCAATACCCATTGAGGATACCCGCATGTCAGTCCAACAAAAGGGCCAATTTGGGCTGAGCACGCAGAAGAGACACGGACACTTGACTTCATCCTTCACGCAGTCTTTTCAGATGTTGAAGAGCGTGTACTCATCACCGTAATTCGTCTTGAATGGTGAAATGCCAGCCGAAAGATTGAACCGGAATTTGAGCTCGTTGCCTTTCTTGTACACGCCATAACTTCCGCTGGCGACCCACAAATCAATTCCAAGATTGACGCCGCTATCAATTCCTCCGGTGTATGAAGAGCCAATCTTGGAGCCCCCCAGAGTGGTGTACAACCCGATTTCTTTATCGTCAATATCGTAGTAGCCGACAACCTGACCGTCCCATGTCAGACTGTGAGCAACTTGTTACACATAGTGGAAGGCCTCACTCCTAATTGAAATGGCAACTGGATCGAAATTTCCTTCCTATTTCCGCTGTGGAGGCCGGGAAAGCTAGCTTCATCAGCTGGAACCTCCTTGACTTCGTATTTGCCGTTGCCGTAGTCTGTGATAGCGACCACCGTTGTAATCGTGGAGTAGGTTACCGTTGGGGATGCCATTGTGGTGCTCGGAATGCTCAGTGGACTAAAGTTACTGTTGATATGATTTATAACGAGAAAACTGTCTCTATACTCTGTGCTTGCATCGATGTCAATTTGTCTGAAGGGAAGCCCTTGCTTATACCCTCCCGATCCCCACTCAAAACAACTCTGAACTTCAGCTGCCGGGTGTCACGGCAGACCATCTGACCCCATTGACAGCACACGCTGTCACCGGTCACTGGCGCTACATAGTGGTCAAATTTATGGGATGAGAATCGACATTTTGGAACCGTCTCACATCACGCTCTGAAGGCTAGAAATGGTCACTCCGCATTAGGCTATCCGCTCTTGTGGTTTAGGTCGCTCCGCTGTCACACGCTACATCGCGCACTTGCATGCGCTACCACTTTCATCAAGCAGCTAAATATACCGGTGCTTTCGCGAAAAGCCACCTCGCACACAACGTAGTTGGATTTCACATATATTTGTAAACACTACTGGCCTCGAGCGGTCCACACGTACAATAGGTGTTCCAATGCAGCTAGAACTTGCGGTAGCGAATCTCGATGTGCATCGAGACTCACGCCACGGGGATTTGCACGAGCTGAAAGAGGAGTAATATGTAGCTATACTACTGCACCTTTGCCTTCACATCACATCTTGATACGGTGAAGAGAATCCATCGACCGAATCATCGACAAGTGTCTTCTCTACCACAGCCGGGAAGCATCGCGGCAATTCGAGCAACTTCAGCACAACCCACGAGTTCAAACAAAGTGGGTCCCTGTTATGCATCGACTAGGATCGAGAACTTCACATTGCGCACAAGGTAGCTGAAAGTTCCATAGTCTAGAGTCCGTCAAAAAGCGCTACTATCATTGCCACGAGCTGACGAGTCCTCTTCGGAACATCCTCTATGGACTGAATTGCAATGCGTAATCTTTTCTTCTCGAGATTGAATGCATTCCGTTAGACGGGAAAATTGTTCCGTAGACTTGTGTTCCCCACTTTTTCCTAGTTGCTTGAAAGTAGCAAAGACTCAAATAACAGAGTTCAGGCGACTGATAAGTCTGATAGCTTGTCTTTAAAATTCTTCACCTGACTCGCTATCAGTCCCCTGTCTAGACGCCGAGTCGAAATATATGATTACTGCGAAGGCTGATCGATGGCGAGTCGTATTACTGGAAATACCGAATATCGGACGGTTGAAATTCCAATCTAGACCCTTGGGGACCCAGTTCGCTGATCTTCATCAAAACTTACGAAAGTGACTACAATAATAAAAGCTTGACCGATTCATTTCCTCCGTTGGATTGTTCTGATTGTGGCCCAGAGATATTTCTCTCAAAATGTCTAACATAGAAGCATCAGATGACGCTCAACGAATCGAAGTCAATGGACAAGTGATTGATCCCAGTGAGCATTATGCTCGAGATGCGCAAAATACAGACCATATTATTGTGACTGTGAAGGATGTGCTTGATGATGACCAGAAGGCGGCACTGCAAAAAGAAAAGGTTGACCTGTTGGAGGACCTTGGATACAATAACATGCTTTGTCGTTACCGACCTACCAACCTGGAGCCACTCCGAAATTTGGACTTTGTTAAGCAAGTTGACGTGTATCGCAACCTTTTTAAGATTCCAGATGAGCTGACGGTATTGATCGAGGAGTTGCAGGGAAAAGCAGATTTTGAAAGCGAGGCGTTTCCAATCGATGTGATGGTTCACGAAGACGTTAAAAACCTGGACCCTCTAGCCGACGACATCTCCAAGATCTCGGAGGTTGATCGAAATCAGATGGATGTAATGCCTGACAGAATCCGTTTGAGAGTACCACTCAGCAAGCTGAAAGCAATCGCCGCCGACGATCGTGTCCGCATACTCGAGGAGGCATTGACTCCGGTCTTGTATGATGACGAAGCGAAACATATCGTAGGTGCGCCCTTGCGAATTCAAGGAGACACCGAGTTTCGCGGGGCGGGACAGATCGTTGCGGTGGTCGATGGTGGATTCGATCTTGGTAGCGTTGAAGACTGCCATCCAGCTCTCACAAATCGAATTCGTGGATTGATATCTGTTGGTCGTGCTAAAGACACGGGGACGACAGAGGCACAGAAGGTTGACGACTGGGTAGGTCATGGAACGCATGTTTGCGGGACCATCGTCGGCAAGGAGATTGAGACCTCTCGGGGAATGGTCGGAGGTGTGGCTCAAGATGCAGATTTAGTGGTCTCATCATTGCAAAATGCTAAAGGGAAAGTGATTGACGTGATGCCGAGCATGCAGGTCCTGTTCGAGGTGCCATATAAATTGCACCACGCTTGCATACACTCAAACTCATGGGGCGACAATCTGAGCGGTGGCATGATGCAACGTGCGTATACCACTGATGCAAGCACTATTGACGACTTTGTAAGAACGAACCCCGATGTCTTAATCTGCTTTTCTGCAGGGAACTACAATGAGAATGTCAAGGACAGGCCTCCTAAGGGTGAGGAAAAGCCTGCAATCGGGTCCCAGGCTTCGGCGAAGAATTGTCTGACAGTCGGCGCTTCGGGTTCAACGAGAGCTGTGGTAGATACAAAGACCAGCCATGTTGACAAAGTTGACCCAAACTTAATGTCGCCAATAAGTAGCAGAGGGCCAGTAAAAGGTTTTAGAGGTGATCCGCCAACAGTGAAACGTATGAAGCCTGATGTGGTTGCGCCAGGCCATAACGTCGTTTCAGCTCACACAAGACACCCAAAAGCCCCAATTGATGGGCTCCCAGAGGCTACTAGCAGCTCATTTCCTGATGTCCTATGGAAAGTCCGGACTGGCACCAGCCATTCAACACCACTTGTCTCTGGCTGCGCTGCAATATTACGTCAAGTTCTGCAAAGTAAGGGATGCCAAAACCCTCCAGCTGCTCTGCTCAAAGCTATCATTATTAATGGCGCCGACAAGCTTCCTGACATTGACGTCGAAGCTCAGGGATTTGGCCGTGTTAATCTGCAATCTTCCGTGAATATGTTGCAGACGCCTCCAATTTTGGCCGAGAACATTTTGAAATCCGCAATATCTTCGTCAGGAGGTAGTGTGATCGGGAACTCTCTGCGACAAAATGATAGCTTCGCATTTGAATTGTCGCCGGTCAAGGCGGCTGACGAGCTGGAGCTGAAGATCACAATGGTCTACAACGACAAAGGTGGTGGCCAAATTCAGAACAACTTGAACCTCGCCGTCGTCGACAAAGTGACCGGTGAGATCAGACACGGCGGACTTTCCGAGGATGACATTGACGTCCAGAACAATGTGGAGCAAGTCGTCTGCCAGCCAGCCCCAACAACGCCAGTGATTGTCCGCGTCACAGCTCAGAAGATATTCAAAGACTTGGACCAGGATTTCGTTCTTGCGTGGTCAACCACTGCGCCGTTTCAGATTGAGGGTCAGGGTACGACATGACTCGCTTGGTAGGAGGAACCACCACTGATGTAGCAGAGCAATAGGTGAGATTGTTTGAAAAATACAGACATAGCGTGTAAAAATAGTAATGAAAGCCATTCTGTTACACAACATATTGATGATCAAAGTAAGTCCAAGAGCCAGAATCCTTTTAGGAAGGCAGGCGACAAGGGAATACGTGGGACAGAGTACTCTACTGCCCATTTACAAAAGATAGGACGCTAATCGCCCACATTCTTGCGAACACGACGACAACGTGGCAAAATATCTCCATTGGAGAGACAATTGAATGACTTGGACTCTTTGAAATGTTCGTCCCATATTTGATAATAAAGCAGGATATCTTTAGCGGGTTTCGATCAAACACCTGGCATATCAACGAATATGTCGTAATTGTGCACAAGGACAAATGAATATAAAGGGACGTAGAATTTTCAATTCCTTAGGTTTCATTACTGGAAAATTACCGTGTAACATTGCTGAGTTGGTTTCGTGATTTTCCTGCCTCATACGACGACAGAATGCGACTGCTGAAAAAGGTGCTTGATTTGTAATACTTGCAATTCGCTTCAATTGGGTATGTCGCTCTGGCTTGACTGCGATCCAGGTACAGACTAGTAACAAGAGCCTTCACTCCCATCAAGTCAAATGCTGGAGACTAAAGTCTAAGCAGGGCACGATGTACATTCTCCTCACAAGCACAGTTGTGTGTCCTTGATGATGATTGATCTGTTCTCTATAGGACGCGTTTGCTCTTCTCTTGGCCGCGTACCATCCCTCGCTAGACCTCTTAGGTGTCTCGACCGTCCATGGCAACGCTAGCCTCGAGCAAACAACGTCCAATGCGCTGCGCATCCTCACCGCCATCGGACGTCCTGACATTCCTGTGCACCCAGGTGCAGCCAAACCATTCTGCCGAGCTGCGGTTCACGCGCCAGGCATTCATGGCTCGAGTGGAATAGATGGGACAGATCTACTGCCCGAGGCGCATGTACCAGCTATTCGGAAGCCAAATGCCGTCCTTGCAATGCGCCATGCAATCATGGACCAGCCAGCGGACACGGTCTCTTTGGTGGCAACTGGAGCATTGACCAATGTCGCATTGTTGTTTGCAACATTTCCCGAGACTGTGAGCCATGTAAAGGGCCTGAGTATCATGGGTGGTGGCATTGGGGATGGTTTCACGGATGCGCAAGGGCTGAGAAAAGGCGGTGGGAATGAGACTGATTGGGCAGAGTTCAATATATACGTAAGCTTCAAAGCCGGTAAAGCATGAAATTCCAGGTTTACTAATGGCCAAGAGCAGTGTGACCCAGAGGCGGCAGGGTCCATCTTGCCTGATGAGCTTGTTGCAAAAAAGACGACGCTCATCCCACTCGATCTCACACATCAGGCTATTGCAACAGATTCAATTCGTGAAAAACTCTTGCATGGCCGACAATCAGGACCACCCTCTACCTTGCGAACGCTATTCCATGATCTTTTGACCTACTTCGCAAGAACATATTCTAACGTCTTCGGTTTGAAAGCTGGACCACCTCTTCATGATCCCCTTGCGGTGGCCGTCCTGTTGTCGGAAGAAGAGCTCACAATTAACGATGGTGAAGGCGAAAGATGGCATGTCGAGGTTGTCACGGACGGTGTGCATAGCGCAAGATCTGAAGAACACGGCCAACTTGGAAGGACGATTGCTTCGTCAGTATCCGAACGTGGTACAGGAGGCATCAGAATACCTCGAAGCTTCGACAAAGCAAGATTTTGGGATCTGATCGACGATGCGTTGACCGCCGCAGAGGATCGTTTGTTGGCGCAATAGATTCGCTTTGTCACCTGCGGCCTTCTACCATGATGATATGATAACCAAACCCAGTCTTCACCTCTACAAATTTCGGACTTCCGACTGTGCTTGGCTCGAGTTCATATGCCGCCTTCTCATACGCAGCGTCCAAAGAGCCTCTGGTCTTCCACCCCAGACTCCCACCCTGTCTTGCTTTGTCTTCTGAAAACTCTCGCGCTACCTCATCAAATTTCGCCCCCTCACGAAGCTTTCCAAGCGCTTCCTCTTTGTTTGAGTGTTTCTCGCACTGTGACAAGCCTTATGTCAGTGGAGCTGCCGGCGCTGGCAAGAGTCGGTACAGACGAGAATATGCCGTGTATTGATCGCGTTCGCAGCTTTCAATTTGCCTCCTCCTACGCCTGTCTTTTCGTCTTTGCTTGAGCTACCTTTGCCTCCCGACTTTACTTTCTCGTCAGCTTTTGCCTTATTTTTGGGAGCCATCAGATTCTTTTGGATCACATAAGTCAAATTGCGCGTAAGACAGATCAAAAGTGTCCCCGCTTACCTGGAGGTTGCCCGGGCCCTGCCGCTTTAACTAAAGCGCAAGGTGAGTAGGACTCAACCTCCTTTCTTGCGCCCAGATTCAGGATAAAGAGCTCTTTATTTTGATGGCTCTGCTCTATTTCCTCGTACGACTAAGAAGTATCGGAAAAATAAGTAGATTTCGGTAGGCACTCTCGATCTTTCGGAAATTCTAGGAATAAATATATATTTTCAAAGTTGCATTAGAGTTAAAGAGTAGCCGGGGTAGCTCAATAGGTAGAGCGTGTGGCTCTTAAAGAGATCACCTCAAGGTCGCGGGTTCGAGCCCCGCCTTCGGCTTTTGCACCTCCTGCTTCATACCTTATGTTCTTCACTCGTAGCTCATTCTATCTTTTTGCGGCCTGAGAATCTATTTTGCAAGGTTTGTGTGCGTTTTGACATCGGTCTTGGCATTTCTTGGCGTTTGTTCCTTAGCTTCCCGAATTACTCCATGGCATTAGACAAAACAGCGAAAAGATAGATGCTCTCATGTTTGGAATTTCTGCAATGACCTTCTGTTGGTTGGCCTTTACAGGTATTCAATTCCATTTCATTACATGGAATGTATAGACATTCGCGGCTATCGAACGGAGCTCTCGCTTTCGAATCATACAGTGCTATTTGCATCCTCCAACCTCCTCGTATCAATGATCTTCGTGGAAGCAGCTCTGTCATTTCTGCGAACATTTTGCAGTTGCTATGAAGCCTGTTCTAGGACATTTTCATATTACTAAGCATGACCTGCGTAAGTGGGCTTCTCTAAACGTAAATGCTTTATTATCTTTCTACACATTCGTCCCAAACAGTGTGGGTCAATTCTTCCGGCCGAAGACCTCGAACAACCTTAGCGATTTCTATGTTGTGAATCCACAAACCATGCTGTCTATGCAAATCATCTACCTCAGAGTCCATCCAAAAATGCCTTCTTCATTTCCCGAGTTGGTGTACCGAATGCCAGCGCGCCCCTCACAATCACGGTCCCCGCAAACAGTGTAACAATTCCCTGTGGTCCATTTGACTCGCCTGTTTGAAGGAAAAGAAATGAATCAACGTGGCTGTGATAAAGTGTGTTTTTTATCCATCCCCACTTTCCCTCCCCCGTAGTCTCAACCACTCCTCCATCCTCCTCTCACTCGCCCTCCTCACCCTTCTCCTTCTCTGCACGCCCTTCCACGCCGCATACGTGAAATACGCCCCCACAACCGTGGCCAACGTGCCTGCGAGACTTATGCTCACGGCTAGGATGTCGGAAGTGCTCATAGCCTTTCCCCCTTTCCCACCATTTGCCTCAATACCACCACCAATACTTCCACTAGCACTCCCATCCCCATCTTGTTTCAAATCACTTGTTGTTGGAGTCGAAGGCGCACCAGAAGTAACAGTAGCAGTGGTGGAGCTTGGAGCAGCTCCAGTGGGTGCGCCAATCGGGTAGACCGTATTCAGCCCACTCGGTGCAGGAGCATCAAAAGTCTCGTTTGTGGGATGATCGCAGTCAGTTTTCCCATCGAGTGTACTGCCACAACAGCGCCAGGTGTTGGCGCTGTAGTCGTATATAACGTCTAGAATATTGGGATGGGTGCGATTCACTATTTCATTACCTCTCGGTCAGCAAATTGCCTATCCAGATTTTCTCTCGCAGTCGTCCCGAATCTGCTGTAGGGATTTTGTAAGTGTGGAAGAGGCTCAAACATACTACAATATCGGGGACACTCCTTAGCCGTATACCTCTCATCCGTGCACGGACTGAGATAGTAGCCTCCCTCCCCAGTCACACACAGTGAGTTTGAAAGGCAGCTATTAGCGCCAGGTTTTGCGCAGCAGTTGAGTGTGTCGGCGCCGCCACCGCAGGGGCTGACGAAGTCTGGGGAGGGGAGGACAGTGCTATTGTATGCGTAGAAGCAACCTGTTGGGGTGACGGGAGGGATCGTGGCGAGGAAAAGGATGAGGAGAAGGAGAAGAGATGGGGAGAGGAGAATGTGGTGAAAGGCGAATAGGGGGTTGGAAAATAGGGGAGTGCATGGTGCCATTCAGCCATTGTACTTCTACGCTTGGAGCGAGCACATGATGAATCCGGCTTTTTATCTCGCTCCCTTGAGCGAGCTGCGCCATCTAGGGATGTCTGACATAGATTTGTGGCTGCCTTGTCAGTGGTTGTGCCGCTGCTGTATAATCAGCGTCGTGGTGTGGTCCAATAAGCCTCCTGTTTGGTGACAACATTTGGCCCCATTACTTGTTGAAAGATGTAGTGGCCAAGTTGCAATTGAGAAGAGAGCGCACTTTGTTTCGGTAAAGGAAAAAAATATATCAGTGTTTCATGAAATGCATTCGTAATGATGATGTAGATGCAAGAGTGGGCTTGGTGCGATTCTTTCACATGCCCTTGGAAAATGCTGTGCCTTCCCTGACCCAAGTCATAACGACTTAGGAAACGCCACGCTAATCAAATTCATGGATCTCATCACGACTTTCAATGAAATGCGGTCGCGTGCTCCTTGACCTACTGCATTTCCATCTCCATCGCTTGCTTTGCGTCCTTATCTGGCCTCGTGTCTTCGACCCCGAGGCCTCCAAGATCTGCGGCCAGCTTGGCCACACCATTTGCATCGCCATTAGGTAGAGCATGCCCTGGCGCACCTGCCCCAAGCGAGGTACCAGCGGTCTCCACGCCAGTCAAGACTGTTGGCTGAGCTGAACCATTCGTATCCGTAGCCGACTTGGCGGTAGTTTCTGGCCCATTCATCTCGGCGTCAGTCCGACCAAAGAGCTCGCTCCACCACCTTAACTTCCTAGGTGTAGGCAGAATGAGTCGTTCCTGCCCTCGAACATGGTCGTTGATGGTTCCATCATATTTTTCGTTGAGAAATTGCGATTTGCGGGCTAGGAAATAATCCCACACGCTGCGGGTTCTCTCTTGTACGCGGGAATCTATGCGCTCCTTTTCGTTATTGTAGAGGAAAGTGCCATACTGACACGAATACAGATGGTAGAGAAGCCGGCGAAGGAAACGCTCGCTGAATTCGAAGCGGGTAGGGTGTTGTTGAAGTAGCTGATACGTGGCGTCAAGGAATTGGTGAAATATCGGACTTGTTTCTTTCACCTTGGTAGTGCTCTTCTCTTCCTTTGAATCTTTTGAGGGGGTGGAACCCTTCTTCGGAGTGAGATCTCCAGCTTCTTGCAGCTCACCCTCGGAATTGCCAAGAGAGTCTCTGCTATTGTTGTCCTTATTAAAAAAACCTTTTGCACTAAGCAGAGCATTCTCCAGTGCATTCCCAGCTCCGCTAGTCTGTGCGACGAAGCTCGGCTTACTGTTAATATCACCTCCAATCCTTTCATTCTCGATGTTGAACCATTTCTCGCTCGACAGGAAACCTGATCGGCGCTCATACTGATGGCCGAAGGAAAGCCAGTCCTTTTCGACCAGAACAATGAAACCTTCCAGAGTTCGGTAGTAAGGATCAAGACACAGTTGGCTGAGCGCACTGAGCTGGCTCGTTCGATCCCAGCCATCGGAGCAGTGAATAAGAACATGAGAATGTTGCAAACCGACCTGTCTTGTAATAATGCCAACACCATCTAGCACACGACCAATGTGCTTTAGCCAACTGCTTTTTGCTAAAGCTTCTCGATTCGGAGGCAGAGGAGTGATATCTGAGTCTTTCAGCGTATCAATGACCTTATTTAACGAATCTCTCATGACATGTATATTATCGATACCAAGATAGATCTTCGTTGCGAACTTGTAATTATCCATATTTTCCGATCCGAGACCAATCGCTTGCATAGCAAAAGCGTTGACTGTTGGTCTCGCATCAACGATCAGATTGTGTTGCTGAGCACCATAAATTTTTGGACCATCATCCGAGTCACCACTCCCCGATCTCGCAATGACTTCATCTTCCAACGCTTCAACGTCTCCAAAAGGCGGATTCACACTTGAAAAGGGAATTGACTCCTCTCCTTCGTCTGATCTCGAAGACTGTCTACTCCGAGGCCTTGATGAAGGTTGCGAGTCTGATTGTGCAGCAGCTGAAGTGTTGAAAATTGCGAGCAGCAATTTCTCATCTTGAATACTGCGATTTTGTCTCACCCCAACCATTGGTTGAGCACATCGTGTGATAGAACAATTGTTGACCGGATGTAAATAGGAGAGAACAGGCAGACGACCACGTGAACGATACTTCACTGCATAATTGAGAGTATTATCAGATATCGCAGACGGAATGACTAGTACCGAAGGATACGTCGGTGAAAACTATTGTCATCAGCATTAAACATGACGCAGGAAGTGAAAACCAGACACACAGCGTAGGTCCAATTTATATTTGATATCCTCCACCCAGTGTCTGTCCCTTTCTCACCGACACCCTGCCTCCTCCACTCGCTGCTTGGGTCGTAGATTTCCCATCCATTGACATCTTTCTCAGGCTGCTGTGGTTGGTAGGAAAAAGCATAGACCTTTTCCATACGCCCAATCTTGCAAGTCCAGGCTCTTATGCTGTCATATACATCCCTAGCTTTTCTCTCATTGTCAAAGCAAAAGCAAACAAAATTAAAGTCTCGACATTGTAGACGAATTGAGGAAGGCAGATGGGAGGATGGCGGAGCGGGTCGAAGGGTACACTTTTGTATAATATGGTAGGTGACCCATAGCTCGCGACTTTTCGGGGTCGGAACTTCTTGCGTAGCTGGTGGTGTATGTATGAAAATAATGTGATGAGGAGTGAGATGTAGCGTTCCTTCGACTTGCTCCCCTCGTCGAACGAGCTTGACTTCGTCGACCTATTTGACTTTTCAGTAAGAGACTTCCAGTCAAAACTGGCTATCACACTTTTGCAATCCGGGTTCGCTGCATTGCGCTTTTCTCTTTCATCTTGAGCTTGGTTTGAGGCAAGGATTCAGCAGTAGGAAACGAGAACATGTCTGTTGAAATCTAACGATAGAACACTGTCAAAGCAACAAATTGCAATCATAAAAATGGTGTACATGTTATCAAGCTTCTAAACAAAAACTAAGGCTTAGTAGCACGGTTGTCAGGATCTGTTCCTTTCAATGGGAAGTCGCGCCCAGAAAGAAGGCTTATCGATAAGCGCAAACGCTTCGCTTGAGATTCGGCGCTAGTGTCCCACATTGAACAACTCCATATTGGGTTCATTTGCTGCATCCACAGCCCGATATCCTCATATCAATCATGACAACCCAACCTGGTGCTGCGATCTCTAAGCGCCGGAAGTTTGTGGCTGATGGTGTATTTTATGCTGAGCTGAACGAGTTCTTCCAACGTGAGCTAGCAGAAGAGGGATACTCAGGCGTGGAAGTCCGTGTCACGCCTACTGTTACTGATATCAGTAAGCACTTGAGCCTCCGATGAACAGCATACTGTCAATTTTTCTTGCCACTGACCGATGATACAGTCATCCGCGCAACGCACACCCAAGAAGTCCTGGGCGAGCAAGGCCGCCGCATTCGCGAACTTACCTCCCTCATTCAGAAGCGATTCAAATTTCCCGAAAACTCCGTCTCCCTCTATGCAGCTAAGGTACAGAATCGTGGGTTATCGGCTGTCGCGCAATGTGAGAGCTTGAGATATAAATTGCTCAATGGATTGGCTGTTCGAAGAGCATGCTACGGTGTGCTGAGGTTCATCATGGAGAGCGGTGCAAAAGGGTGTGAAGTTGTTGTCAGTGGGAAGTTGAGGGCTGCTAGAGCGAAGAGCATGAAGTTCACGGTCAATAATCTCCCTTGCTCGGATTTTAACGAGGCTGATTTATGAATGTAGGACGGATTCATGATCCACTCTGGGCAACCAGCCAAAGACTTCATTGACAGTGCTACTCGCCACGTGCTATTACGACAAGGTGTTCTTGGTATCAAGGTTAAGATTATGCGTGGCTCAGATCCAGAGGGTAAAGCTGGGCCCCAGAAATCGCTGCCAGATTCAGTTACCGTCATTGAGCCCAAGGAGGAGCAGACAGTCGTGCAACCCATGAGTCAGGATTATGGTGCGAAAGCCGTTGCTGCGCAGCAAGCCGCCGAGCAAGCAAGGTTGTCAGAGCAGCAACAGGAGGGTGGAGAGGACTATAACCAGGAATAGAGTATAAGAACTCGCGGACCTAAACCTGTTTGTAGTGTCTGGTTGTGGAACACTTCCTTTTCTCTGGAGTCAGATCATTTAGCTTTCTCATTAAACGATCTTCCAACTTCATATGATCGTTAGGTTCTCGGTTTAATGCAACAGACCCATGATTTATGTAGGTATCTCACAATGCCTGTCTAAAACGACGCTGCGAACATCACAAAATAGCGTGCAGATGTCGTTATCGACGCTCTCCGGTGTCGATCAGTAACATGTCTCAACACTATTTATTCATCTTACGGCGACGTTACCATTCGATCCCCAACCCTATCCGCAGCTGTCGAAGCGAAGAACCTTACATCTACATCCCCATCTTGCTGCAGTTTCTCCAGATTCGGTAAGATTGATTCTTGGATTAGTGCTTGGCCCTTGGGTGAAGGAGTGCTTGAAGACTTTGAGTTGTCGAGTTCGTGAATGGTGCCTTCTGCTGGTAAGCGTTTGAGTATATCAATTAGAATGGTGTAAGATTTGGCGACGTTGAAGCGTATATTCGGGATATCATCTGTCACCAATCGGTCCATCATTGGGAGAATTGACTTTTCGATGGTTGCAAGATCAATGGCCGGCGCAAGAGTCTAGACCAACGTCAGCAAGGAAGTAAGGCAAGCAATCAGGACTACTCACGGATATGGCGAAGCAGGTCGTCATTCGATAGAGGTAATTTGGGTGCTGACCCATAGCCATGACTTTAGGGATGATGGCTTCGCTTGCCCATGAAACGCCGAAGACTTCGGTCAATTTCTTCAAATTCTTTGTAGCAGCTTCTCGTATAGAGAAAACGGTGTCACCGAGCCAGCTCATGCAGAGTGTGCTCAACTTCTCATCAAAGAAAGCGACGCCTAGTTGGCTCGCAAGCAGCGGTATGTATTCAATTATGGCTAGGCGTACTCTCCATTGCTTGTCCTCAGCGAGCTGAACGATTGCAGGGAGAAGCGACTGTGAGAGAAGCTCAATCCCGATAACTTCAAGACGTCAGTCATATCTCGGCGAGTAGGCAAGAATACATGCCTTTGTTTACCAATTCGAGCTTTGAGATGATGTGAAGTCTAACGTCGGGGAATTCGTCCTTGAGCATTTGCAAGAACATAGGTAAAAGATGTGAGATGGTTCTGTTCGTTCATTAGGTATCCTCTAATTTCTCAACAAAGAGCCACTTACTCGTCTTTGCCGAGTATTGGAGCAAGACCGCTAATTTGCGTACCTAGAGCGGCGCGAACATGCTGCGATGTGTCCGAGACGAGGTCCTCTATACTTGTCATGATTTCGTTGAGTAGTGTCTCTCGATCCAAAAGTCCACAGAAACCTAGAAAGCGATCAGCGTTTCAATCAATGCCATAGATTATCACCAGCTTTACCTGGAATTTGACCTGCAACTGCGGTCCGGACTTCTGCCTCCGTATCTTTGAGTAATTTGACAAAAGCTGGGACTAGATCACGCTGCACGGTTTCCTCGTCAACAGCTCTTGCTATCTATTTTCAATCAGCATGATGCGTAGCCTCATAGGTCCCTCGTGACGCGCCTTTTCGAACCTGTCTGCAACCATATATCTTACTCTCCAGCTCTTGTCCTCGAACAAACTTCGCAAAGCGGCTAGAAGGGTGCCATGACTCGTTTGCTGCTCCTTTGGGACAACCTCCGCAATCGCGATAAGAATCTCGACTGTCAGCAGCCGCACACTATCTTGGTCATCTCCCGCTAGGTGCTGGAATAGGGGTATCATTTCATCAATCACGGTGTTAGGCGGCATTTCCTTCACGAACTTTGCAAGATTGCTCGCCGCTTGCCGTCGAACCATAGGAGTCTCATCATGAACCAGGGTACCAAACTGCTGTCTTAAGCTCTCCTGTGAAGTGGGCGAGGATTTTGAATAGGGCACGGAGAAAAGTCCAGTAGCAGAGATCTTCGATGTGAACCAATCGGCTTTCGAAAGGCGCATTGTCAGTGGGATGAAATGGGCTTCGACTTGTTCTTGTGAGAGTTCGTGGCATATCTTGTTCAATGACTCGACAGCCTTCTCCCGCACGAGAGGCTCCTCTATCGCTGCAAGATTCTCCAAAGGTGACAGGAGCACGTGCCCATACTCGGGACCCCCAACATATTCTACGAAGCTCCCAAGCTCTTCACTTAATGCTGTGAGAACTTCGTCTTCATCCTCAACAGACTCTTGGATATGGTCAGCTATCCAACAATGAATCGCGCTAGCTGGAAATCCTACTGACCGTCTAGGAAGGGTATCAGCTCGTCTCTCGTCCGCTCAGCTCCGAGCGCCAAAGCTATTGTAGAAAGTCTGTGAATGGCATTGAGTCGTAAAAGTACGTCATCATGCTATATGTAGCTGTATCAGCTACCAGGCTTGCTCCTTGAGTAATGATTGGACTCAATACCTTCAATTCATCTATAAGAACAGCTATAGGAAAGAGAGGGTCATTCTGAGCGTCGCTGTCCATAACGGATATTCTCTCTGTAGCAGCTAATGTATTTCAAATGGATTTGATCGACGTGTAGTCTGCGTCTAGACTCGAGGTCGCGCTGTAAGAAAAGAATCTGGGACGAGTCGTATTGCCGGCGACAAGGTCGCAGCTTCTAAAGTCGAGGAGGCCGAGGTCTGAGAAGCGTGCTGCTTCGCCCGAATAATACTTTGAAGCAACTAGCGCCTGAGGTGAGGGTTCTATATGTCGAGTAAAGCAGTAATATCAAAAGAGAAGTCGAATAGGGATTAAGGGTCGTTCAGAGCTAAGTTGCGGATATCATCCCTTGGTGGTACAACTTTCAGGCAGCCTAGCTTGTGGAAAAGATATCACAAGGCTTCTGACCCGATGCGAGTCATTAGCACGTTGCGTGGTTATGCAGGGTACAAACAATCGACGTTAGATTGTGCCTTGCGAAATAACCGCCAAGCACTCAGCCCTACACAGCGCGTTTTGGTGCTGCACTTTTCTGGCTGCAAGGTACCTCGTCTGATCTGACTCAATCTCGACTGACTTCTACGACCAGATCAAATCGGCAACTTTGAGCTCAGGCGCTCGGCCTTGCAACGAGAGCGTTTCTCTAGCTCATCGTTCCAGCATGCCCACTATCACAGTAGACAAAGCGGCTCTGTTCGAAGCTCTGCAACAAGAGTAGGTAAATTTACCTTGAAATCGAGTGGATTCTTCCAAGGTGCTGATTACTGCCATCGTGCTAGATATACTACAGAAGAGTTCGATGAGCTGTGCTTCGACTTTGGTCCGTGCACGTCCGTACTATTACCACAATACGACTTGAGCTAAATTGTCCAAAGGCATTGAGCTTGATGAAGATGTCAGAAAGTGTCCTTCTGTACTGCTTGTGAAATCGCTGAGCATGCTTAGACCTCCAACGATGAGCGGCCGATCGTCAACGGCAAGCAAGAGCCTGCTCAGCTCAAGATTGAGATACCTGCGAATCGGTAGTTCCTAAGTCACCGAAAGCACGAGCTCAGGGATTGATAATGCTGGCTAGATACGATATGCTCTGTTTCGAGGGCATACAGTTGATGCTCAACATCTTCAATCTAAAGGCGACTTCTCCCGAATACAAAGCCATCTCTCCACCCAATGGCAAGCCAGAAGTCTTGACATGCCACAAATCGGTTTGTGCCCATGACCCACGTTTGGCGAATGTCGATTGACCCTGGGCAGACCGAGCAGGTACGGCCTCTTTTATCAGGTGCAATACTTCGAAACATCACCTTTACACAAGAGCGATACGAGTCCTTTATTGCGTTGCAAGATAAGTTACATCAAAACCTCGCCCGGCAACGGACCCTAGTTTCGATTGGCACACACGACCTAGATACTATCCAAGGTCCCTTCACATACGAGGCGTTGCCGCCCAAAGATATCAAATTCATCCCACTTAATCAAACGAAATCAATGAATGGCGCAGAGCTCATGGAGTTCTATAAGGTACGAAAAGGCGCTTCAAATTCGCCTCGAGATACTGAATACCCCAACAGAACGACAGACACCTAGGCCGCTACCTACATATCATCCGAGACTCCCCGGTTTACCCCGTGATCCTCGACGCCAATCGAACTGTCTGCTCCATGCCACCCATCATCAACTCCGAGCACACCAAAATCAAGGTTACCACCCGAAACGTCTTCATCGACATCACAGCGACTGATCGCACCAAACTGGAAATCGTCAATCAGATCCTTGTTTGCATGTTCTCTCAATACACATCCACCCCCTTCACCGTCGAACATATCCAGATCCATTCCCCCCATAACAACCAAACCCGACTCGCCCCAGATCTCCAACCCCGCCAAACAACTGCCTCCCTTTCCTACCTGAACGCTTGCTGCGGACTCTCCCTTTCCCCAGACGAAGCCTGCAAGCTCCTAACCCGCATGTCATATACCGCTCACCACTCTCCCAAGAATCCCGACACCATCAACGTCAACATCCCCCCTACCCGCGCCGACGTCCTCCACCAAGCCGACATAATGGAAGATATCGCCATTGCCTACGGCTACAACAATCTCCCTCGGCACTTCCCCAAAGTTAGCGGCACAATCGCCCAACCCCTGCCCATCAACAAACTCTCCGACATCGTCCGCATCGAAGCCGCCATGGCCGGCTGGTCAGAAGTGATGCCCCTAATCCTTTGCTCCCACGACGAGAACTTCTCCTACCTCAACCGGCGCGACGACGGCACCACAGCCGTCAGGCTCGCGAACCCCAAAACAGCCGAATACCAAGTCGTGCGCACGAGCCTACTCCCCGGGCTTCTCAAAACGCTAAAGGAGAACAAACACCACGCGCTCCCCGTGAAGATCTTTGAAGTCGCAGACGTAGTCTTCAAGGCCCCCGAGCTGGAGCGAAAAGCAAGGAATGAGCGACACTTCGCTGCGGCGTTCTGCGGGAAGCAGGGGAGTGGGTTCGAAGTCGTGCATGGGTTGCTAGACCGGATAATGTTGATGCTGAAGGCGGCGTTTACGGTCAATGAGGGAGATATTGCGGGGGAGAAGGTGGGGAGGAGAAGGGGAAGGCGAAGTATTGGATCACGGAGACAGGGCATCCGATGTTCTTCGAGGGACATGCGGCGGAGATTCATTTGGATATGCCAGGGCGGAAGGGAGATGAGGTTATTGGAACTTTCGGGATATTGCATCCGACTGTGCTGGAGAAGTTTGAGTTGAGGTATCCGATTAGTGTTGTGGAGATCAATGTGGAGGTGTTCTTGTAGTGAAGAGGACAGAATGTGATAGGAAATAAAACGGGGGCGACAGTGGCCTATGCATAGGTGGAATTGAAAAGAATTGTAGATATTGAACATAGAGGCCAGAGAAAGATATGCGTGAAGCCGTAGAATCCGGCTGTTATTTGGATATTGCATTGCTTTCGATATTCATCGTCTCTTCCAGCACTTGCTATATACAACTCAACGCTTGACTTCAATCTAAAGCCATCCTCATTACAGCATTCCGCAGTATCTCCCACTTGCTCATAGACAACCGATTCACAAACTACCGCCCGTGCGTATCATATACAAATTTCGCCGTCGAAGTACCATTGGAACAAACAGTACAATGCAAATTTCCAAGAACACTCGTTCATATATCGAGCATCCAATCTCAACAAAGTCACGCATCCGGCGTCGACGTCCCTTCAGCAACTGCCTCTCCCGTTGCAGTAGTCACAGGCACTGGCGTCGAGCCCTCAGACTTCTCCGCAGCAACATCCTCCTTCTCACCTGCAGCCGACCCATCGCCACCTGATAGAGCTTTAGCGTTCTGCCCACTCGGCTCAGACACCCTATCCCCGTCTGGCCGAACCGCTGAGCTGGACTCAGGCATTTTTCGCTTTGGTATCTCTGCTGCCTCGTCGCCCACCTCTCCTGACTGGAGGACGTCGCTCTGCCGCTCCCGTAGGGCGAGAAGTTTCGCCACAGGATCCCAATTGCTCTGTTCGGGGACGCCTTCAGCGGCTGGGAGATCTCCCGCTTCGTTGCGCTCGGAGTTCCAGAAAGAAGGCCGTCGGACAGGGGCAGGCGTGACGGGAAGGGAGGGACGTTCGATCTCAGTAGGAAAGTCGGTGACTTTGGAGGGGCGGCGGTCTGGAGGGTATTCCGAAGTTGGTGAGGTGATGGAATCGGGGTTTGGGTGTGCGGAGGTGGGATTGGGTTGGTCCGACGTGACTTGGTTGAAGAGGACTTGGACTTTTGCGCGGCGGTTTTGAGGGAGGGTAGAGATGTAGCGGTTGATTTCGGGGATGTCGTCCCAAGCATTGGCGAGTTTGAAGTCTGCAAGCGGTTCGGAGGTTGTGTCAGTGATTGTGGGGGTTTCTGATCCTTGGGCGTCGGATTCAGTTGTTGAGCCTGTGGTTTCGGACGGGGCTGATAGTGATGGTGGCGCTGAAGGGGACGGCAGGTCTTCTGCAAAGACACGAGTGGCTTTCGGTGCGCGAGTCTCCCAGGGGAAGATAGGAGGGGGGCGGTCTGCTGCAGCAGGGCTCCTGGGGAATTCGTACAGGCCTTGTGGAGTCTCTGGCACGCTAGGTGCTTGAAAGAGGTTTGGATTTCGGGACATTTGATATATCTCTTGGGGCAAATCGGGCGCTTCAGGTCTGGAGTTGGTGGGCGGCGGTTGCCTTCACAGGTTAGTCTTCTTCATGCTTCTTGTTTGATTTCGCACCTACCGTGATGGATCCCATTCGGTGGAGAACCTCCGTCTTTGTTCCTCTAGAGCCTCCTTAGACTTTTGTCCGCTCGTTGCATTTTCAAAGCTTCTCCCTCCTAATTTCGATGCAATGCCATAATCTTCAGCCAATTCACCAGACACATATTGCTGCACCGTTTTGTTCAATTGCTGGCTTGATCCGTACGCTGTTGGCTGGGTCCTGTAATGCTTATCGTAGACGGCCCACCACCGCCCCAGCAGCTCCTCGTACACTCCATTGGCCCCACTCATTCTATCCCTGCCTTCTTTCCACGGCTTTCCTATACCGATGTAATGTACCAAGCTTATAGTACTCTGAAAATGTCGGTAAGCAGGAGCATATTGGTAGTTCCCACTTGGGGTGCAGTTGTACGCGAAGCTCAATCTTTCCCAATTTGGGAAGTGCACATTCAGTAGACCTTGATCTGCGCCATCGAAGCTGATACCCCTCTGAGCTAAGGCTAGAAGTGCATAATAATCACCCATGTTGGGCTTGAGCGAGAGGATCCCAGAGTTGAAACAGTCAGGCCAGCCGATATCGGGCACAGCAGCGAGATTGTGGGGAAGGCGAAATAATTCATCCGGAGCTCGAAGAGCAACAGCATCTGCGTCGATGTAGACAATATGGGAAAATTGAGTCTGTCTCCATAGAGCAATCTTCGTAAAGGTCGAAGAAAGATCGGGTCGGCCCATCAGATAAAGGTTTCCTGGAGACCTATTGATGATGCGGTCCACGGGTATGATGTGATCGAATGTCGTCTGTATGTACTCTTCAGCGTTGATACTGGGTGCTAAAGACAAATATGGGCACCTTGAGCTCATCGATAGTTGACGCAGATATGCTGTCTAACGTGATGAGGATTGCGAGTTGCTTTTTTGTGCCCTGATCTCTGAGAGAGTGGGCGAGCACCATTGCCCCTACCAACAAGTTAGCTGAAGGAGCCCATGAGAAAGGTTTTGACATACCAGGAAGGTACTCATCGCTCAGTAGAAGCTGGAAAGCCAGTCAATTGATCTGTATTTACGTGGGGCAGATTCTGGACGATATACACATACCGTGCAATACGCTTCTGAGCCCGGCTCCACCATGGCGGTAGCAAGCCTTGACCACCTTCTCAAGCTCGTATCAGCATGATGTAGGTCGAAGAAGATTGCTTTCCCCGCAGCATTGGAAGAGCTCGAGTCTGATCGTAGCGGATGAATGACACCAGACGAAACAAGCTTTTTACTGCCCCACGTTTTCCCCGAGGCATTTCTTCCGATATCTTTTTTTTAAATTGTCCAATCTCTTTTGCTACAATAGGCACTGGAGGATGTTGCACATGGAACTTCATCTTCATAAGTCACAAGCCGCATACTGGCGATAGATGAGTCTTGCTTATGTACAGATTTGAAAAAGAAAAATGCTGCTTCTATTGTTGCATGGCCCATCTAACCCAACCCGACCCTCAGAATATCAAGTCGCTTGACAGGGAATGATGTGCATGATAAAGGTGAGGAATCTCCATCTCAACCCAGTTCTCTTATGTGCATAGGCGTCTGCTGATATGACTGCTCTTTCTCGTGCTCCCTGTGTCTCCAGAATTTGGCAGCATCAAATCTCGAACTGCGATGATCCTCTCAGTTCGTCACATAACCGCGCATCCACCACTTCTTGCCCTTCTCCTGCCATTTCTTGGTCCACCCTCCTCCTCATCAGCGTGTAGCAGAGCGGCTTCCCTCATCCGTCTTCTCCTTCTTCTCGAGCCCCCTCCTCCTGCGTTTGCTTCTTCATTTGCGATCATATACTCTGCCCATTTCCTCTCCAAACGAGCAGCAGACTTAGCGTCGCCTCTAAGCACACGCTTCATATGTTCATTGACGGTATCTTGATAGCCGTAGAAACATTTCACAGAGACGACCTCCGTCCGATTAGGTTCTGTGTTTCGACAAAGGATCTCTCGGACTCCTGTCCATGTGACATTCTGGCAATCATAGACAACAACATGAAGGCCTGGCTTTGGCGGACTCTTGTGTTGTGATGGTTTGCTACGATCTCGCTCCCAGACTTGAGCGGCAGCTTCTGTCAGGACGAGGTCTGAGACGCGCGTGTTGTCCATAGTGATACTCTTCAGACTTGGACATGCCTTGACCACCTGGAGCATGCCACTATCTCCGAGGTTCTCACAAAAGCTGATGTTCAGATGTTGCAACCTTTCGTTGCAAGGCGATTGCGCAAGGTTGTGTAACGATGAATTGGAAAGTCCGTCTAGCTCTTCTAAATCCAGGTGGGTGAGATTGGGGACAGATTTGAATATGTCAGAAAGTGCGTCGTCTGTGATTTCACTGCAGTGCGATATTTGGAGGCCAATAAGATCCGGAACGTTGTATGCTAGTGCTTGGACGCCCACATCTGTAAGTGATGCACACCGACTCAAATCAAGGTGACGAAGTTTGCGGGGAGGTACGACGGGACGGTCTGTGAGTACGTCTATCTTTGGGTTCTCACCTACCAACAGGAGATGCAAAGACTCGTCGTCAAGATCATTGCAATGGGAAAGAATGAGTCTCTCAAGGGTGTTTCTTTCGAACAGCTCCAAGAGAAATGCTCTATCATTTAGTCCCTTGATCTCGCCTGCCCGTAGATCTCTCAATTGGGTGCAAGCTTGAGCTATCCTGAGTAAGCCCCGGGTGTCGATATTCTGGCACCAAGAGACATTCAAGTGTTCCAGTTGCGGACATCCTTGAGCGATGATTCTCATGGCAGAGTTGCTGACATCTTTTAGGCCAGATAAATTAAGCTGAACGAGGCGCGGATTCCTGATCAAGAAGTGATGGACCGAGCTCCGGTCTATTCTGCATCCTTCCAAAGAGAATTGCTCAAGATTCCTACAAGCGTCCGGTATTTGATGACCGTCAGCTCCCCATCGCTCCGGCATTTGCACACATCCTCGAAGGTTCAAGTCTCTGAGAAATGGACCTGCTCTTGTCATGATCTTCGTCAAGGAAGCTGCCGATATATCACGATAGTAAGCTTCTGTGTCAAGATTTACCCATAATTGACCGTCGAAGCACATCTTATGCCACGCTCGTGAGACCGAAGAACTTCTCACCAGCTCTTTCGGCCCTAAATATTTGAGTATGTGCATACGAAGCTCATAAGGCATCTCTTTCCAAAAGGCGAACGATTTTCGCTTTCGCAATGACTTCACGCGGGCAATGGGCTTTGAAAAGTAGTCCTCGACGACTCCGACCGCTCCTATCGACTGTGGTGGCGATTTCCTCTCATCCCTAGGCGCCGGCTTCAAATCCGAGGGTAGAGGCACGCTTCGTGGTGTAGATGTAACATCCACTTGTCTTTCACCACCAATGCGTATTAGCCTCCCGTTTAGATTGGAAATTGGTGCTTCTGGGCCTGGTGTTGTAGCCACGCTCGTGGGTGCGGTCGAAAATCCTGCTGATGATTGTGTAGAAGAAAAGGAAGGGCCGTACGAATGTCCGTGTCGGGAGCTTGATGATACCAACGAGACGCAGGACATTGAAGCTTTGCTACCGCCCATCAATGAGGTTGTGGAAGACGAATTGCGACCCAATCTGGCCAACGAAGGTGATGAAGAGATCCTCTGCAAGCTCTGCAGAAAGCGTTTGCGGCCTTTTGGTTTTGGTGGTCTTTCGAGGGGGAGCGGACCGCCATCTTCTGGTTCCTCCTGTATGTTTGGGGTCATTAGACCAGGGGATGAAGTCATGTCGTCGAAGGCCACCTGAGCCATGTTCCGGTGTGTATTCAATGTATGTGCGGCAGCTTGACCATGGGGCAATGATTGTAGGCTTGCAATCTCAAAGTTGGAGGACCAAAGATGTCACGCTGCCCAGACCATCATGGCATCTTTCATGGAATTCACAGTGGTTGTGTAAGAGTATGATCGCACGTTGTCTAGCCTGCGACGCCAAATGATGTATGATTGGGTGAGCTTTGCGTGGTGTTGTCGGGTCTCGCGACCACGCATGCGCTTCGCTCTCAGCAAGCCTGCAGCTCTCAATAATGGTCCACAAGGAGGGTTCACTGGACCTGCAAGCTGCCTACAGCTCGTGTCGGTGAGCTCGTGTGAGAGGGTCAGGTGAAGGGAGCTTCGGCGGGGTCTAATCGGGGTATCGATAGCCTTATCGAGCTAGGGCTAGTACTAGTCATGCGGGGTACTCCGGTACAAAGTCGCGAGATAGGTACACAATAGGATTCAGGGACATTGGGCGTTTTGGTGAGTTGTGTTGGGAGATAGTGAAAGAGTGGAAATGGAAGGGTTCTGTGGGTCAGGCTGAGATGATAATACGAGGTAAGCACGGCTACAGTTGGTCGAGGAGAGAATTGGCAACCGCAAGAGGCCGGAAACGGCGGACACCACTCGGCGCCAATTGATGGAAACGATGTGTGCTACCCAAAATCGTATACTTCCCCAGCAATAATATATCTCCGTAGATCGAAAGCCGTGACTGCGAAAATGAAATAATATTAAATGGGCTCCGAACTCCGAATTCAGGTAGGAAAATCCCCAGCCCTTACACCAGTCGTTTGGTGGCACGGCAGCCGCAAGGCGGCCCGGGCTTTCTGTTTCCGTGACAGTGCCGAGTGTCTCCTAGAATCTGAGAAGACTTAAAGAGAGATTTTGAAGCTCCTCGTCCGAAAATTTCTATTATTGAAGGCTCTAGCAATATCTACAATCTATCAAGACTGGAATCTAGGCTGAAGAGGCTGCGAGGCTACCATTCTCTTATACTACCGTCCGGACCGGTGAAGCCTTTTGGAGGCCATGGAGGCGTCGTCTTCGCAACCTGTCTGACTTCGGCCTCATTCACCTCTATACCAAGCCCCGGGCCACACAGGCCGTCGATATAACCGTCTTTGACAGTCCACACGCTTGGGTCTCTGACATAATTCGTGATATCGTACTCTCCAGCCTCCGTGTTGTAATGGATACCTAGGCTCATCTCCTGGATCACAAAATTCGATGTGGCCATCGCAAATTGCATGCATGCAGCCAATGCGATAGGCCCGAGGGGGCAGTGGGGAGCAACAGCCACGTCGTACGCCTCAGCCATACTCGCCATCCGGCGAAGCTCGGATATACCGCCACAATGCGAGATGTCTGGCTGGAGAATGTCGATTGAAGTATCTTGCAAGAATTTCTTGGCGTCCCATCGACTGTAGAGTCGCTCACCAAGTGCAATCGGTATAGTCGTCATCTGAGAAAGCTGCTTGATACCCTCGTGATGTTCGGAGAGGAGTGGCTCCTCAATGAAAAGTGGAGTGTGCGGCTCGAGTGCTTTTGCTAGCTGCTTCGCCATTGGCTTGTGCAGCCTCCCATGGAAATCCAAGCCGACGTCCATCCCCACAGCCTTCACAAGTTTCAATCTTTCGACACTTGTTTCCAACGCTCTTGGTGAGTCCAACCAATCCACGTCCTCCGTCGCATTCATCTTGACTGCCCGAAAACCCTGCGCCCAACGTTCTTTTGCTGCTGCTTCCACATCTCTTGGCCGGTCTCCTCCAATCCAAGAGTATACTTTGATCTTATGTCGCACTTTACCGCCGAAGAGCTGGTACATCGGCACATCTAGACGTCTAGCCTTCAGGTCCCACAGCGCAATGTCAATCCCAGCAAGGGCAGACATTAATACTGGGCCTCCACGATAGAAGCCCAAGCGGTACGCGACTTGCCAGATGTGTTCAATGTCGCTATTTGAAGATAAGTCTCAGCAAGAAGCTAGCATCCATAGCGCAAATTGTACACATACTCTGCCTCATATCCTAGAAATCGTGATGTCAGCGCGTCAAGGGATCCTTCGACTGCCTGTGAATGCCCCTCGAGCGTAGCTTCACCCCACCCATAGCTGCCGTCTTCATCAGACACCTTCACGAACAACCAACGCGGCAAGACCCTGAAGTGCTCAATGCTCTTGATTTTAGCCATCGTAGACGATAAGCCTCGACAAGAAATTCCCAATGAAGAAGGAATTCAACGACGACGGATCAGACAAGGGCACGCGAAGATCCTGCAAGTCTCAACGCACAGATGGGAAATATTGGCGAACGGATTTGGACAGACCGGGGTTCTGCTGCAGGTAGTTGAGCAAGCTTTGCTGGTATACCAAGGAAGATAGGTAAGCCAAGGAGAATGGTCCCAACGCGGTGGCGGAGCGCGAGAACGGAGCGCGAAAAGAGCAATAAGAGACATTTGGAGCAGTGTGTGGATGGGTGACAGCCGGCTGATCGACATAGTTTACTTTTCGCGGTACCAGCGCATCGGCACTTGCAGTGGGAGCAGAGGACAAGTGAGGTAAGATGTCTCGTCATCCACGAATAGATTGGTAGTGTCCTTGCATGAGGACCAGTATGGCATAGACAAACCATCAACAAGAGGTTTTTAAGCGAGAGCAATGGAAAAGAAGAAGTCGATGTTGCGCACTCCGGGCGATGTTTAACTAAGTTGTAGATCGCCTTCTGACGCCACGCGCCGCCAAGCCGAGGGCGCCTGGCCGCAAACGGGGTAGGTCGGTTTTGCTACGCCTGCCTCCTGCTGACTACGGATCATTCAATTATATTGGAGCATCCGAAGGGGAAATCGACGACAGAAGCGTGCGGGATTATGTGCACAGGGGAACACAACACATAATCCGAACCAATTGGGAAATCAAGCGCCACATGCCAGAGCGCCTAATTGGCCCCTCCGACCCATCGGGCTCTTCGCTTTGTCACTTCAGCTCGTCAACCTCATTTGATGGTCACCACTTATGTTCGGAAGGAATTGAATAATCAGTTCTCATCCTGGGTCTATTTCCCCAGGCCAAAGCTCCTCCTGTTCGTGGTTGGCAAGCATTCATGCCGGATTCCTTGAATAGCATTCTTGTAAGAAGGCTCATCCCAATGTCCTTGTACGATTTCACATTGATTATGATATAGGGAAGGACTCAGCAACCCTCAAACGGCGACCCGTACTTAGCCACTATATCCAATGGCTTTCTTACGAGTCCTGTGCCTGATTTCGCCTCCACCCTAACCACCCAGGCTGAGCAAGATGCGGAGGATGATAATCTTCGGTTCTTGAGAGGGGAGTTATCTTCCTCGGATGATGAATCCTTGACAGAGAGCGATTCGAACAGCGTCAGGGAGCAGCGGACTCGACGGCCATCGCATCGCCCGCATGAGCGGAGATATTTGGAGGAACGAGCGAGAGGCGTCATACAGCAAGAATACAATGGGTGGGCGCCTGCAGCGACCGAGGATGATCAAGGGGGGACGGTCGGCATGAGTAATCGACTTGCTTATCCGTCGTATCACTTCATGAGAAATGACGATAACCTAAGAGCAAGGTTGCGGGAACGGCGCCAGGAAGACCAAGCTGCCGCGCAGATCGCAGAAAGTGATTCAGGACACCAAGTATTTGCAATTCCACCTCAGAGGCATCCTTCAAGATTTGTTGAAAATGGCATGACTGGTACGCCTACGTCCGAGTCGTCACTTCGAACAACTGCCATGCTGCAGGCCGTGAGGCAAAACAACCCCTCACAGCAAACTCGTCAATCACTACAGCGTTTCATACTCGATAGAGAACGTAGTCTGCTTGACTCGGAATCGAGAGAGAATGAAGGATCTCAATCGACACTGCGCCATTCATCTTCTAACCAAAGACGACTTATGTCTCACGACGACTTAAGACGAGAGATTCAGCAGAGTCGTAACACGCTTGAGCATCATCAACAACGTAGAGCTAATCTTGAAAGTCGACTACAGCAACAAACGCAACATCTTAGTTCTTCGAATAGCAACAGAAGGCTGCACTCAGAAGATGTGCGAACACCATGTCTCCCCAATCTAAGCGGGCTATGTATTGAAGGAATAGTGAAATATTTAGAGACCTTGAGAGTTTGCGAATCAAATGGCGAAGGTTGGGATGCAGCCATAGAAAGCGGTTTCAATCCAGAAGAGACCCATCTCCACAACAGCGATGACTTTTTACTGGACACAACTACGATTCCGTCACCTCCATTCAGCTCATGGCTCCAAGTTGGTAGTGTACTATCCGGAAAGCAATTTGCTCATCCCCTTACTCGGCCCCCATCAAACGGACAAGGGAGATGGTCTTCACAACGCTCCGATGTACGACACCCAACCCTTGGAACATCCAGTGCACGAACAATATCGCCTGTCAGATCATCCAATGATGAAGGCTTAGTATCCCATTCTCTACGAACTCAAAGGAGGGAAGTGGAGGATGACAAATGGCCAGTGAAGGTTACAATACACAGTATTGACTATGAAGAACTGACGCTCTCGGGTACAATGGAAGCATTTGACGTTCCAGATAAAATATCACCATCGAAGTGTTCAAGTATCACTACATATCTAGAAGGCGAGATTATCGACTTCAATAAAAATACCTTAGAAACCAAGGGCTTCAACGCAGACTGTAGGATTGATGGAATCTACTGGCGAAAGCTGCCACCATTCAGAGACATGAAAGACGACGAAGTTATTAAAAAATTCTTAAGCAAAACCTGGATGCAGCGTGAGCTGATGCAGAAATGGATATTGATGAGATGGAAGGGTAAACAAAACTTACACACTAATGTCTGTAATCCCGCTGACCCTGGTTTCTAGAGAAGCATTTCGTCACGCCCTCGGAGGCAGAATCATCCCTTACTATCAGTGGCTTCTACTACATCTCCATGCGACGCTCTGATGGGCGCGTAGAAGGTCTCTACTATGATCCAACTAGCACGCCCTACCAGCACCTGAATCTCAAGCCAGATATGCGGACATTCCCGGCTTATGACTTCCGATAATGTAAGACTACTAATCTACTTCGAGGTCGCGTCACGCCGCAAGCCATGGTGTATTTTTATCTGTATCTATATCGAAGGGTAGGATATCAGAATCTGGAGGAATATGCATTAATCAAGCTGCTGTCCTATCAATGCTGCGTCGACTTCCTGAATTCATTTGATCTATCCTCTTCTCCATCGCACTTCACCACCCAAATTCTTCGCTATGCCAAAATACATCTCTCCCTCCTTTTACCCACCGTCCCACCTCCCTCCTTAAATTCGCACCCATGCCTCTTGGCCCACACACAAACACTGCAACCTTCTCATGCGGATCATGCTCAAAGGTTCCATCTACAATATTTCTCAAATCTGGCCGTCCCTTCTCCAGCAGACCTTTTCCTTCATCATCTACATCCAGCTCTTGCTCCTGCAACTCAATGCCCTCGGCGCCTTCACTCTCGCTGCCAGTCATAAAGATCCTAGCATCGCCCCTGCCTTCCTTCAAACTCGGCATCGCCCACTTCGCGTCCTCAGCCCTCCTCACAGCCCATACAAACTTCATGTCTGGCCCTCCTCTGCTTTCCCTCTCTTCGCCGCCCAGTGAGTGTAGATACATCGGTAGAGTGAAGGTTGCGCCCACCCCGCCCGCTACGAATAGTATTCTATCGAAGCTATCTAGAGGTGGGAAGTATGTAGTAGACCCGTAGGGCCCCTCGATAGTCAACTCTGTGGTGTTAGATGGCTGTTTCTGCGGTGAGGCGAGGGCGTCAAGAATCGCAGTCGAGCCTTTGAGAGTGCGGATGACGAGTTCGATAGAGTTGCTGTGGGGTTGAGAGCGCGATTGCTTCGTCGGAGGCGGAGAAGCGATAGTGAAAGGGTTCTTCCGTAGCTTTTCGGGGAGAGAGGCGAAGCCGATATAAATGTGTTGGCCTGGCACAAACAACTTGTGTCTCCAAGATGGAGGGAGAGGGATGCTGACGGAGAGAAGGTTCGTGTGCTCGATGCGACTGATAGTGGCCTGAACAGTGGATTGGAAAATGTTCCGCTGGATGACTAGGCCGATGAAGACGAGCGCTGATTCTATGACGTATAGTCTTAGGTGAGTGACATGGAAGTAGAGGACGGGGAGGAGAAGGGAAGCGAGGGCGACATGGAGGTAGAAGAAGAGTCTGTAGCTCCAGTCTCTGATTCGGGCTAAGGCGGTGGTGAAGAGGAGAGCGGAAGAGGTGATGGCTGTGAGGCCTAGGATTACGTCCCAGTCCTGAATACGCTTCAGGAGGAGGCCTTTTTGGATGTAGAAGTTTAGGTAGAAAGAAGCGTGGCAAGCGAAAAGCAAGATGATTATGCGGCCGAGGAGACGGTGATAGGGGTTTAATTCCTCATGGGACATCCGGGTGAGATATTGGATTGGGCTCCAGGACTTTGTGGCGAGGAGATAGTGGAGTGGGAGTTGAGAGGCGGCAACGATGCCGAAGCGTTTGGTGATATGGAGATAATCATCCCCGGTGTCTTTAGTGACGAGAAAAAGGAGCCAGGCCATCCATAAGATAGCAAATAGCCATTCTTTTCGGGTTTCCCAGCCTGGAGCGAGCTCGGTATCTAACCACCACTTCAGTCTTCTCCAGGACCAAATTGAGACCGTCGCTCGCTCATGCTGCCTATTGAAAGGAACCGGGCTTCGTTGTTCTTTCAAGGGCTGATAATCCCTTCTTCGGCTCAGTCTGCTTCCTAGAAGCTTGATGCCTCTGGAAAGCTGATATAACAATGGCAGTGAGAGAATGGAAAGCTGAGCAAATTGACCATAGTTGTCGAGTAAGTTTCGCCGCCGCTGGAGTTGCTCGTCATCCAGATCGATGAAATGATATGGAAAGCCCATCTTGATTACAATAGGGAAATTTGTGACATGAGAAGGTCGCGAAAATAGAGCCCATATCTTGTTGCTAAGACTTACATTTCATTACTAATACATTGACAAAGATGGCTTCTCATAAGAGAAAGATGTATGTGTTCAATGCGCTTTCGTAAGCACGAAACGGCCCATCATCACTCTTGCTACCCGGCTATCAATATATTAAACTACATCCCGTTTTTCTCCTGAGCGTCAAGACGTGTTGCACAAGCTTGCGACTGAGGCCTCAATCATCCTTTGAGCTTCCTACGAAGTCTATTGTATACGTATCTGATCTTTATACAATGACTCACGCCTGCAATCGCATCAGTCCTCGATTTTGGACCAAAACCATGGGATGATCAGTCGATGAGGCCCCGAGCATCAAGGGCCTATGTCGCCTCCAACCTACGACGTATCATGCGCCGAACCAGTCTGACCTCTGTTCTCGGCCTCCTTGCGTTTGTCGGCTTCACACTCTATCTACTGCGAAGTCACAGGGATCGCAAGCACTTTCATGCTCCTTTACCTGAGCTCACAAAAGAAATAGCGCCGTCGACCGAAACTTCACACCCCATTCATCAATTGATTACAAAGGCACAGGATGATCATGAACAGCTCTTGAACAAGCAGTCTGACTCATTACAAAAGGCTGTTGAGGAATATCGTCGAAGGTACTTGTTGCCGCCGCCACCAAATTTTGACAAATGGTGGGAATTTGCGAAAGCAAGGAATGTACAGCTGATAGACGAATACGATACAATATACCATTCTTTACTGCCTTTCTGGGGCTTGCAGCCGCGAGACGTAAGATCAAGAGCGAGGGAAGCTTTGGGGTTTGACAATGCTTTACTAGGAGTATACGTCAGAGATGGCAAGGTTGTCACTGCCGCTGGAGGTACAGAATGGCAACAACAATCAACAATCGGCATGTTGAAGGAGTTTGTTCAATACCTGCCAAATATCGATCTACCGTTCAACGTACATGATGAGCCAAGGGTTGTCGTACCACACGATGACTTGAGCAGATTGCTCGTCGTTGCAAATAATAAAATCGCCGCAACATCTGGATCCTCGGCGCCCAAAAATGCATGGTCACCACCTTCGGAGGAGCTTGGAGACGGAACCAGAGCCTACGAAGTAAAAACCACAAGGTTCAACAAGTATGCCCATCAACCGACTTGGACAGAGTCGCGAATGTCCTGCTCTCCTGACAGCCCTGCACGCTTCCTCGACGAAGCACCACAAGATGACAGCAGCTCATTCACCTTCTCCCAACTCGGCTTCATCAAGAATAAAACTGCGTTCTCTGATATCTGCCTTTCACCATCGCTCCGCGAACACTTCGGTTTCTTTGATCGCCCGAACGCCTTCAATATTGTGCATGATCTATTCCCGATCTTCTCGCAGAGCAAAGTCAGCAGCTATCAAGACATACTCTACCCCTCACCATGGTATTGGTCAGACAAAGTTCCCTACAAGGAAGAAAATGACTACGCATGGGATCAAAAACAGAACAAAGTGTACTGGCGTGGGTCCACAACTGGAGGTTTTTCGAGAGATGGTGGGTGGAGGCGGCAACATAGACAGCAATTTGTGGACAAATTCAATGGGCGTACAAATGCAACAATAATGGTGAATGAGGGCGGCGCAGGATGGACCACAAAAGATGTTCCTAGGAAGGATTACAATGAGCTCATAGACGTACATTTCGCTCATGTTGGTCAATGCGATCCAGGCGATTGTGATGCCCAACGTGAATATTTCGATGTTCTCAACCCAGACAAACAGAATGCGGCGTGGGGATATAAATACCTGGTAGATGTTGATGGTAATGCCTTTAGTGGCCGTTTCTATGCGTTTCTTAAGAGTATGAGTCTCGTGTATAAAATGGCGATCTTTCGAGAGTGGCATGAAGAGTGGTTGAAGCCTTGGGTGCATTACATTCCACTCTCTCTACATGGAGCGGAGTATGTCGAGAGTGTACGGTATTTCCATGACGAAGAAGAAGGTAGAGTGCAAGCTGCAAGACTAGCAGTCCAAGGACGTGAGTGGGCGGATAGGGTCCTTAGGAAAGAAGACTTTGAGGTTTGGTTATTTCGTTTACTCTTGGAGTCAGTGCACTAGTTTTGAAAGTAAAAAAACAAAGAATGCTGACCTTTCTGCAGATACGCCCGCGTTGTGGATGATGACCGTGAACATATTGGTTACATCGCCTGACTGTTTTCGCAGCATTGATACCCTGTGTACATAAAGACATCTAGTCCAACAATTCCCACGGCCTGCCGTACTCAATATTGACAAAACAATAAGCTAATGAACGATCGTAATCGACCCACTGAAGGTGGTATCTCCAAGGTCCACTCAAAATTAGTATGTCAGTCATATCACTAGTCCAAGCATGCCGGGCTGTCGGATCCCCCCAGAAGTCTTTCACTGGAAGATGGTCCTCATCTAGTCCCGCCTCAAAGTTGATGAATCGGACCATCTTCAGAGGCAACGGCCTGAGGACCAAAATGAGATCCTCATACAATGACAAGACGCGACTCGACCAATCATCATCGAACGATGACGAGGCATGATCAATGAACATTGTACCCAACTCAAAGGCCATATCTTCGATCATTGGACACCGATTGACCAGACTTATCAGCGCCTCCCTCCACATCTCAAAAACATGCAGCGAAGTAATCTTTATCCCCAAATTGACCGACCGCAGAGCAAATAAGCAGCCCACTCCTCTCCCCATCCCAAACCCCCCAACCCGTTCAAGGAATGCGCTCAAATCCACCGCCTCCTCAAAACACCACGCGCATTCTCTATACGCCATCGCTCTTGCCTCCGCGTACGCCTGGCGACACGTCGACAAGATCTCCCAATTCAAATCATCGTCGTCCCAGCAATCGCTAAAATTGTAGGTTGAAGGACGCGCGCGATGAGAACGGCCGGCCCTATTGGGATACCCTCTTCTGGAAACAGGATCGTAAGCAGGGTCTTGGCAGATGGTGCGGACGAGACGCCGTTTGCGTGAGTTGTTGGGGATGGTGCTAGAGGCGGTCTTGGTGGTGGTGGAACTCCGCTCGCAGTGCACATGGATTGTTTTATCAGAGAGGAGATGTCTGTAGATGATGCTTTTGAGTTCCCAGGGAAGGGAGAGAAGGGGGCAGCGGGTTGAGTTATACGTCGCGCTGAAGGAAGTTAGTGTTGATCCTTGGTGATTCGAGGGGAGAAATTTTGAAGGGAAGGTGAGGTTTACATCTCTTTGGCTTGTTCAGCTGTTTGATAGTGGCGCTGGATCCACGGTGGGACTTTGGATGGATTCATTGTGGATGTTGATGTTGAGAGTACTTGTGAACATACGAGATGGAAAGAGCGATCGTGATGAGGGGTCAAATTCAAAAAGTGTCAGGGTCTTTGACACACGATGATCTTTCAGCTCCCGCAAAGGAGACAAGATACAAGGAGTAGACACTGATTGCACGGACACGTTGAAAAGAGATGGGAAGAGCACGTTTCATGATTTTCCTATTGTTCATGCTTGCTATATACTAGCGAGAAGCACTGTCACTCGTGCCTGCTCCAAAATAGCGCGTTGGTCGTTCAGTTCCTTTGTTCAGTCTTCACTCTCGGTCGTTACACTATCGACTGTATCACTGTCAAGCGTTGAACTATCACTGAAAGGTGCAACATGCGGGCCAGTGACGAGTGCAGGCCGGTCTTTAAAGCCTTCGATGATTAATTTTCGTTCTGTTAGGGCCGCACCTGGTCGTCAAGAAATATGTGTAGATTTGAAGCTATTTTCATCACCAGGGAAGACGGTTTGTTCAGCGTGGAAAGCGCTTCTCCCAGATATGGTAGTACGCGCTTCATTTCACGGATTTTGTCTGCGCGATCGGGGTCGTCCTCATCTATTTCGTCTTTATCGACTGATCCCAGGTCCAATATCATCAATTGATTAAGGGGCACCTTGTGACGAAAGCATTGAAAGCATGCTCCCAGTCGAACGCTCCACGTGGCAAGCACAACGTCGGATGATAAAATGCAAGACGAACGCTGCGGATGGCGAGACACATAGACGTGCCCTCCTGAGTCTTGATTTGTTGAAGTTGCTCCAAGAAGAGAGTAAGATATGTTGAGCGTTCAAATGACCAGATGTGTGGTGAGTAGAAGATGACATGTGCCTCGTTAAAGACTTCTTTGGACGTCAATAGCAAGTTTGTGCCAAGGTCTACTTCAGACAGTTTCTGCGTCTTTCTGTTGAGCCCGTCATTTCTAAAGGTGGCAGCGACCCTTTCTTCACGTGTTGTTAGGCTTCCGTCCTTCCTCTCTCTCTCGGCTTTTGCATCGAGTATACTGAAATGTGCAATCACACGAGTCGGAATGCACAAAGCACGTGCATTTCCACGCATGTGTATAATGCTTCTCCCAATGACAAGACCATATATCTTGATCCTGATCTCCAACGGCAGTCGTAAAAGTGGGAAGGCGGCCTGTTGTTGAGTACTGTCGACACATCAGTGATGCTTCTGATGGGATTTCATGAGGAAGAAGGCTACTACTCACATCTCTTTCGGTAATTCCTTGGCAGAGCGCGTTATCTTGTTGTTCATGTTCTGACCTCACCGTCAATGTGAGATGTTTGCTTGACAAACATAAGGATTAAACGTCAGCGGGTGTGACCTAGGATGTCTATCAAATATGCATACAGTGAGGAGAAGGAAGGAAGTAATGAAGATCTCCATACTATGAATGGAAAGATGTGATTGCGAGAGGTCTAGCTTAAGAGTGAATCAAATCTAGCTCGATATTCACATCACACGGTCATCTTCACAAGAACATATGAGACCAAGCCTCTCAGCGCCCCACAGCTGGACATAGGACACATTAATCAAAGTAGAAATGCCCACTCTATATCAATCCGATCAGTGACTGGCACGAAACTCATGCATAAAATCCGTATTACAGGTTGACAGACAAATTGCTCTTCACCCTGGAAAGCTGGCTCTAGCTTTCTCAATCTAGAGCAGCACGCAATATTGATACCAGCACGAAGTACCATTTCAGAAACTCCAACGTACGCCGAAAGTTCCTGCCTCCGAGATCTTCGAGACCAGATCCATCCCGAGTACTGACCTGATGTAGATAGCCAGTATCAAAGTCTCATTACTTGCGGAAGCGAACGTTTACAATCACTGCAGATTAGGGTTCGACATTTATGGCGTTCAGGCTACTTTCGACATTCGTGAAATGCTGCAAGAAATGATAGATCTCCTAGAGACCCCTCGGACGAGTGCATGAGTAAGCTCAGTCTCCAAACAGGACGTTACAATGTGCCAAATCCAGTACAAATACCCCTTATAGGGATGCTGACCCTGGGGGGGGCCCTATTAGACTCACCGCTAAGGCTCTGCCTCCCCCCGTTTCGCCCCCATAGAATTTGGCGTGGCCATGTTCCGATTACCCGACCCCCTAAATCGTTGGCTAGGCGCTAGCTGCCGAAGGCTCCTCCAACGGACGTCATCGCGCTGCTCGACGGATTAGAGTCGTAATAGATGGCAGTCTTGTTCTTAGTCTCAGGTCATAGAGTATTATGAGAGCTATATTCAATTCACTTTCAACTCGTTACTTTCGTCCTTTGCCTACTAGTCCATTCCGTATTTCGTTGCAATTGCACGCTCGACCCCTGAAATCCGATAATTCAAACCCTGCATTTCACTTCATCAGAAATATGGCAACAGAGAGTCTGCCTCGGGCTGAATATCGCCAGCTCGGCTCAAGTGGTCTTCGGGTATCTGTTCCGATCTTTGGCTGCATGAGTATTGGGGATCCGAGATGGATGCCTTGGGTGGTAGGAGAGAAAGAGGTCAGTATTTGTCCTCATGTCTTACTGCAGATGCTGAGCTTATATGAAGTCTCTGCCGTTGCTTAAGGCAGCGTATGATCGTGGCTTGAACACTTGGGACAGTAAGTTTCAGGCGAATCCCCCTCTTCTCCTCAACAGCCAGTACTTCTTTCCTTCCATTACTCAATTCTTGCACTCCACACAGTTCCCGGTTTTAGCAAGAGCATTTTGGGTTACGAACTGTCATTTTTTCTACATGTGCATAAGCATTTTCGGTTGCGTTGCCGTTTTTATACAGACTTTCTTGCATGCTTACACACATGTTTCAGCGGCGAACGTCTACAGCAACGGCGAGTCGGAGCGTGTGATCGCCAAAGCCATCAAAGAATACCAGATCCCACGTCACAAGCTGGTCATCTGCACCAAATGCTGCGGCACGACTCGGGAAAGCAATGAACCTGAAGTTCTTGCAATCAAGGAGCCAGACAAGACCGTCGACTATGTAAATCAGCGAGGTCTCTCTCGTCAGGGTATCTTCAACGCAGTCAATGCATCTCTGAAACGATTAGAGACCGACTATATCGATCTATTGCAAATACATAGATTCGACAAGACTGTGCCAGTTGCTGAAACGATGAAAGCGCTGCATGATCTTGTTGAGAGTGGCAAGGTAAGGTACATCGGTGCAAGTAGCATGTGGGCCTATCAATTCGCCACCATGCAATTTACAGCCGAAAAGCATGGTTGGACGAAATTTGTGAGTATGCAAAATTGTCACAGCTTGCTTTACCGAGAGGAAGAAAGGGAAATGAACAAGTTCTGTCAAGAGACCGGGGTTGGTCTGATCCCTGTATGTTGTCGTCTGTCTTCTATAAACCCTCAAAGAAGCTCACACACTACTCTTCTAGTGGGGTCCCCTTGCCACTGGACATCTAGCTAGACCGCATGAGGACATTGGCAAGACGACAAGGTCATCAGACAAGCCACCACTGCCTGAATCGCTTATCAAGATCATCAACAGGGTAGAAGAGCTGGCAAAGAAGAAAAAGTGGCCAATGAGTCATGTTGCTCTCCTTTGGCTGATGAAAAAGGGCATCAGCAGTCCCATCATTGGTTTCAGTAAAGTAGAGAGAATCGATGAGGCGATCGCCATCAAGGACAAGGATCTGTCAGAAGAAGATATGAAATTCCTTGAGGAAGAGTACATACCGAGAAGTATATTGGGCCATTCATAAGGAAGACCCTGTACAGCAGGGGTTGGGGTAGATCATTACATATGGCGTAAGTGCGTGCTATTTTGACGCAAATCCGATTTACAAAGGATAGATATAAAAGACATTCAGATCGTATTCAAAAGTCCAAATTGGGCCGAACATACGTGAGCGAGAAAAATATGGCAAGCATTGTTGTAAATGCAATACAATTTAGCTCGGAGTATGACCAGGTGAAATATGCCTAGCAACTAAACGGTTCGCTTACCTCTCCACTATCATAAGCAGCCACAATCTCCTTGATGGTAGTATACAGTCCTGCAACACAGATGAAGGCGCCAATAATGATAGTAGCCACGCTCAGACTTGTCATTGGCCATCGTTCTTTCCAAGCTGGCATCTTACCTTTGTAGACCCAAGTATCATACAGCCAAAAGAAGCCAGCGATGCCGTAGGTATACCAACTAGCGAACAAACTCGCTGCGATACCAATCAGATAGTTGAAGATCGGCACGCCGACCGCTAGTACAAAAGCTGCTGCAGTCATTATCAGAATCAATACTACCCACACTCCCCAGCCAATGAACGTATGGCTGTGCAAATGCCTGCTATTTCGAAAGAACCTCACAAACAGCAATTTAGCTGCTGTATGCGAGTAGAGGCTCCCCGCGATCAAGAAATTCGGTATAGCGATCCCATAAGCCGCCTTCTGCCACTTTATCGGCAATGAAGAGAAAGCTGGAGACTTCACTTCTGGCCCCACATACACATACAAGACCGCAGCAAAGATGACGTAGAAACCCGTAGCAAATGTCTGCAATACCCAAGCTGCTCGCATCGCATGCGTTGGATGCTTCATTTCTGAGATCAAGATGAAGAACATGAAATGTCCTGCATACGCAAAGACAGGGTTTGTAATTGAGAAGAACGCCGTCGTAAAGTCTGACGACTTGGTGATGTCGTAATTGGAGACGTTGAACTGCGTGCCAGCTCCCACCATTCCAACGATTCCTGCGACTATGATCGATATGACGCTGAATATGCTGAGCAAGCTGAGCTGATCTAGAGTGCGCGGTAAGGCGCAGAAGAGTGTCGGGATGGTGAAAATGCCTGTGTATAGCATCAGGCAGAGCTTGTTGTCCGAAAGTGCGGCGAGAGAGATTTGTCCAGCTAGGATCTGGCCGCCGGTTGCGAATACCGCGAAGACGATTGTGCCGAAAGAGAGGACTTCTCGACCGATCGGCCCAAATACGATCATGCCTGCGTCACCCATGTTGTGGACTACGATATCCGTCAGCCTTGGTAATGGAGGGTGTTGAGGGGACAGACCTTCTGGATGCCGTAACTTGAATTGAATCAATATCCAGCTGGTGAAGAGAGCAAAGGTCCCGAGAAAGACGATGAGTATGATGCCTGGAACCAGTCCTACTACAGCTAGAGACGAGGGGAGAGACAGCATGCCATTGCTGACGATTTCTGCTATCATCAACACGGCAACGAGCTGCCATGACAGCGTTTTGTAGTGAATCTAAAAGCATAAACTGCTCAGCCAAGTTTTCTATTCGGATGCTTATAAAGACTGAAATAGGAGAACAATGCATGAACATTGAATCGCATAAGGCACACGAGCGTAACGCGGCGAATCTAGAGCTCCATAGGCAAATAAGAGAGCTAGAGCACTTACATCATGCCCTTCCTCCCTCCCAAAGACATCAGTATCATGATACTGGCTCTCGGACGGTATCTCATAATGGGCTCGATCCTCCTCCAACGAAATGGACTTCTCGGCCATGTCTTCGGCACGCTCTGACGACAACAGAAGGAGTACAGCAAGGAGGAATCATGGTGCAGGTATCCGATACCAAATGAAGATATGCATATCATCGTTCACGCTGATCTTACATGTGGAGCGCCTTGACTAGGCTGGAATAGGCAGGTGACCAGATCTGTGTACGCGGCGCCGTATCAAAAGATATCGATAGCGTGGATAGTGAGCCAATTAGATGTGGTTAGGGGGATGTAAGACTGAAGGTCGGGTGAAAGTCAATTGATGGCTAGACCGATAGCGCAGCCTGACCTTTCTGACTAGCATATTGTTGAAAGTCATAGCTATTGACATGTCTGGGGATCCAAGAGCTACCAAAACCGTTCGCTCTGCTATTCACCGATGTTTCAAAAGGTATTGAAATTTGTGAGAAGAGAAAAGCACCGTTCATTCGAAAAGATGGAGAGTTCAAATTCAACCAGCATCAATCACATAGCTCGTTATGTCCAGTACCTACTGCAAGATATCTACACATTTCAGCTATATACCTGAACAATGATGCCGAGGCTGCCCGTACACTCTCCCTCATCAAGTAATAGGGCCAGAGTCAAGGCACCAACTCGCCCCCAAAAAGGAGATCGCACTTCTTCGCTCCAAAAGTAGCCACGCAACCCTGATAGGTCTGTTCCGTTGCCTGTTCGGTGGGGCTTTTGGTATCCTGGGCGGGAGCGGAGAGAGCCATGGTCGTCAAAGAGATGAGGAAAGTGAGACTGGAGAGGAAGCGGAGAGTCATTGTTAGTGAGTTGCTGCTCGTTGGGTTGTCTTGTTTCGATTTGATAGCCTTTAGAGAGACTGGAGAACTTGAAGAGGTGCTTTGAGTAAGTATCGGGCTTTTGGGACGCTTATGGGTACTGGTTGCTGGCTGTTGATATCGGTAGATGCTCCTCTGTAGGATCAAGGCTGATATGAGAAGTAAGGCCTGTGCAGAAATATTGCGGAGACGTCTGTAGCTGCGAGATACTGGTCATATTTATACCCAGCGTAATGCAGTCACGTCATGCTTATCCCCACTTTGCAAGTTGCGTGAAACGCTTGTGCTCCAAGTGATGTGTCATAAGACTGAGGAGTAGCATCTTGAGACAATCCGATTCAAATTTGCTAAGAATTAAGTCGAGAATGGCGCGCGTAATGATGCAACGGTGCATATTTTAAGAGAACGTGTATGAGAATATCAACTTCGTATGGATTGGTGAAGTTCGTCCAGAAACGTGGACAGAGGTTCTCTGACACTACCAATCGCAGTAGCAGGAGGCTACTGCGGCAGGTTTGCATATAAGGCCCATCTCATACAAGAGACAGTGACACTGTACAGCACGGTCATTGGAAAGGCAGGAATTCGACTCACACGTCCCTTTCTGAGGATGGAAGAAGACAAGCAATACCACTTACTCCCCCGTAGCTTTTCAGCCAACGAGACAATCGGAGCTGCTACGCAATACAGACACAGCGAAATCCTCATCAAAGTGCAAAAATGCTGGAGAATCGACTGTTTGTCTCAGACGTGCACGTCTACAAGAGGTCCGTGAGTGCGGCTCCAGGCTAGGAGCGACGGGGTGTTTGAGATTCAAAATAGGAAGCGGACCGTTAGAGCTGCTTCAGATCGTGAACATGCCTTGTTTCACGTCTAGATTCTCGTTATTGTAGCGGTGTCAGTGTTAGTATGATCTGGTTCAAGCCGATATTAGTCTGAGAAGAGACAAAAGAAACGGACGGGATATGCTAGGATAGATACCATCAGCAGACCGAGTCATGATATTTGTAGGAGGCTACCTCTGATACCCTTTTACCTTACTGCGTTCTAGCGTTCAGCACACAGAGAGCGGGTGCTGTCTTTCCTGCTTTGCCTCAAGGAAAGCACTCATTGAGACGCGGATTCACTGTATGTGAATCTATGCGGGCCAATCTGCCCTTGTTTCGAACCAAGACCAGGGTAGACAGCCAATATAGAGATTCGGGCTATGCACAGCAATCTCTTTAGATCTGGCCAGCTCAATGGCTTGTGAAAACAGAAGAGGAGAGCCGTAGTAAGTTGGCGTCTCCCGTGCTCAAAGATTCATTTACTGAGTCCATGTTCAAGATTGTAAGTTGGCTATGATTTAGCAGCAAGAGCCCATTGAGACTATTCAGTCGAGGATCGTGCGTTGATGTTAATGCCTAGGCTTTCCTTCTTGTTTACCATAAAAGGTGGGGAAAATCGACGTATGCCAAGCATTAATTTAATCTTAATCTTATCAGCTGATTTCGGAGTCCGGCACTTCGGTAGCGTGTGTCAGCCTGCGATAGAACGTCACAAGGGCTGTCTTCTGACGAGTAAGCTTGATGACCACTGCGCGATGATGCTTGGTGTGAAGTCGCACAGAAAAGTACTCCACACACATCACACATGGGACCCACTGCGTCCACCCATGGATCCTCCACAAAACTCTCGAGCCCTTCCCTCCCTTTCCTTCCGCCGTCTCCCTCCCCCCAGCGCCAATGCTGGTACTTTAATTCCGCTGTCAGCCTTTGTCAATACGTGAAATCCTGGCCCAGGAATCGTGAATGTCTTAACAATCCAAATCATGGTCCTGAGATCCTAGCACGTATACCGAACGGGTAATACATGGAATCCGGCTTCTGAGAAAATGACAAACGACGTGCCCCAAAGCGTGAGCAATGAGGCAGCATCAGAAGACTCGCAGGCCAACGGAAAAAGTCGCTCGCGGACTGAGGGATGGCGGACATGGTTCGCTCGGAAGCCTTCGACCAATGCCTCAGGGGGCTCCACTCCTTCTGATGATGAGAACAATGTAGAAAAAGAGAGGCCAGAAAGATGGAGCATGGGCGTGCTCAACGACAAAACAACCGAGGAAGTTCCAGGTACGCGAAGCGAGCAGTGATAGAGAGACAAACGCGCTATAGACTGCAATGATTTTGACTCTACGTGTCATGAAGGCTGACTCGTTCTAGGGACTGTCCTACTAATGTCGAACACTGATCGAAATGAGCCCCTTGGTCTACAGAATGCGCCAGCTAGGACTTCGGCTTCCTCCCTACCGTCGCCTTTCCCGCGCTCTCGATCACCCAGCGAGAGACCGTCGCTTGGCAGAAGAATCTCCGAAAGGCCCGTTGAGGAAAAGAAATACACATCAGATGGAAAGATTATTCTGGAGCCACAGCCAGAAGATACTCCCAATGATCCCCTCAACTGGCCCTCTCTGAGAAGAGATGTTGCGCTTTTGTCCATAGGATTTTATTGCATGCTCGGAGGAGGCATGACGCCGGTACTCGCTGCAGGTTTTCCGAACGTAGCAAAGACGTACCGGGTCTCAGTCCCGCAGGTTGCGCTCACCACAGGTTTATATATGATGGGACTTGGTTTGGGCTCGGTGATTGCCTCCCCCACAGCCATCATATGGGGCAAACGTCCAGTGTACCTCGTTGGTATCATTCTTTTCATCATTAGCAGCATCTGGTGCGCCCTTTCGCCCAACTACGCGTCGCTAGTCGTTGCGCGAATATTCATGGGATTGGCCGTCAGTCCGTGCGAGTGTTTGCCATCAGCAAATATCGCAGAGATTTTCTACTTGCATGAGCGAGCGTACCGACTTGGCGTATATACTCTGTTATTACTAGGAGGAAAGAACTTAATTCCTCTGGTCAGCGCTGCGATTATAGAAAGTCTTGGATGGAGATGGGTGTTTTGGTAAGCCTACGTCTCTGGGTGACCAAATGTGACTTAACGTAAGACAGGATTGTGGCAATAGTAGTTGGCCTCTGCTGGTTCCTAATGTTCTTGTTCGTGCCAGAAACGTTTTGGGACCGAACACCGCGTCCGCACGCTAAGCGGAGACAGGGTCTAGCTTCGTTGTCAACATTCTTTCACCATCCGCAAGACAGGAAGAATGCAGCTCCAACTGGATTGGGCAAGACTCCACATGATGCAGTGCAAACCTCCAGTGGGCTTGCTGATCAAAGCAAACACAAAGGTCATCATGTTGGTTTCCTAGATCAATCAAATTCAGAAGCTGTCAACAGTAATACAGAAAGACTGGGTGCCCCTGATAATTTGAGCCTTTCGAATAGCAGGACGACAGATCTAAACGAATTAAAGTCGAGCTCAGTCTCACCTGCGGTGGGTAATAATCAAAGGCAGGGTCAAGATATAAACAATGACGACGCAGTTCGCGACGCTATGCCGCGCAGTATTTCCCCACCAAAAGGGCCTGGTCCTGATAGATTAGATACGAGCACCGTCGAGAGGCGGGATGACAATAATTCTAAGTTGTCATTGACTTTCCGTTTACCAACAAATGATTCTAGTGGAGATTCTATCAGTGAGAAGGTCCCAGCAGCACCTCCTCTCACCAGTGGACAGAGATATACAAGTGCTTTGCGGAGTCAGCCCCCTAAGACTTACTTGCAGACTCTCAGACCCTGGAACGGCAAGCTTCGCGATGAAAACTGGTTTTATGTAGGGCTGCGTCCGTTCATCCTCTTTGCTTATCCTTCGATATTATGGAGCGCGTTGATCTACTCTTTGAGTGTTGGCTGGCTCATAGTGCTTTCAGAAGCTGTCTCGGAGATCTACAAAGGCCGTGATACTTATAATTTTACTTCACTACAGGCTGGCCTCGTCTATATTTCCCCTTTCGTGGGTGGTATTCTTGGTACTGCAGTGGCTGGCAAGGTTAGCGACATCATTGTTCGCTATATGAGCCGACGCAATTCTGGTTTCTACGAGCCGGAATTTCGCTTGGTCATGGCAATACCGATCACAATTTCTACATGTATCGGATTAATGGGTTTTGGTTGGAGTGCAGAAGAGAAAGACAAATGGATCGTACCCACCATCTTCTTTGGTGTCATAAGTTTTGGCTGTTCGCTCGGCAGCACAACAGCCATCACGTTCGCCGTGGACAGCTATCGACAGTTTGCAGGGGAGGCACTTGTAACTTTGAACTTCTCCAAGAGTAAGCGCCAATACAACATTGCCAAGCAGAAAACTAATTTGATACACTAGACATCTTGCATGGGCTCGTCTTCTCTCTCTTCTTCAATCGCTGGCTCGAATCATCTGGATCTAAGAAAACATTTATTGTCATTGGATGCATCCAGCTTGCTTGTCTTTTGACCACAATTCCAATGTACCTGTATGGGAAGAGGGCACGAATGTGGACCGTAAGGAAGAATTTAATGGAGAGCTTTTGATATCCTACAATCCAGAATCAAAGCGGGAGCACTTTTAGATCATTTGTGCTGTATCTGTGGATGAAAAAGCAAAGAGACGTGGGATTTTTCTTTTCTTTCTCCTACTGGACAAATTTCAACAGAAGCCTATTCTATATCACCTTATCATTCTCCATCATCTTACTAAACATCATCCAACCCACGCAACGCGTGTCCTCGAACAGAATTGCGATTATTGTGCGTATCACCTGAGGAATTTGTACGCGACGCTCCATCTACCGGCTTCTACTCATTTGCAACACGGCTTCAGTCTCTCGGTGCTAACGTCAAGCTGCAAGTTCGTGGTGCAGCAGCACAGCTGAAACAATGTCTACTTTGTCTATGCCCCTTCTCCATCGGTCTAAGGTCTCAGGACAAGGAGTCTTTCACATCGTCGACAAATATCACGGGCCGCACCATAAACCTCAATCCTCATTCCGACTTCCATCAGTGTGGCACCCCAAATGGCAAGATCAAGCCAGTGTGTCTAGCAAGACCTTACGCCACTGATTGTCAGAACCATTGTCAATGTTGTCGACAATTGGCCAATCACATCTGACTTGGGGTCGAGCCGTTCATTAACTTTCCATTATCGCTATAGAAATCGAAAGCTCGCAAAAGAAGCATCAGCATTCTTATCGAGGTGCGGAGCGGAGGGGCGGCCCAGCACGAAGCGAGCTCTTTTCTCGACTACGCCGCCTCATGCGCGCCATCTTACGCCGCAATGCACCCCCCACTTGACCTGCATTACGTTCTTACACCCGAAAACTCCAAAGAACGTGCAGTCGGTCCTATTTGTGAAGGCTGCATGTCCATTGCATATCCTTCACCATCTCTGCCGTTGCAAACTACCACTTCGGATTTAGTGCAGGCCTTGGCGAACAAGAAGATTTTCCTTTCCTGGCTAGCGTTGCGAGAGACCATAGCCATGCTCATAGGTTGAGTGAACTCCTCAAAGGCCTTCAGCATGCTGAGTTCGTAGAATCACACCATCAAGCTCCTGGTCTCCGGCGATCTCAGTGCGTGCCACAAATCTGCGGGTGTCCCTGACGCGCCATGTCTTGCCACTTCTCGAAGCTTTGGCTGACCCCAAAGGCCATCATATGTCGTTCCTTGTGCAATGTCGCCTTCATAAAGCTCGTCCCTCTCATAACACAACTTTCTTTTACATCTCGAAGAACATTATTCGTTTTTGATTTCAAACCAACATCGCGAAACGAGGCTTGAACTTAAGCAGCTAATTTACAAAGATACACTACTAATCTCTCTAAGCCATGGGAGGTGATTTTTGGGGCAATGACTCCACCAGAGTCATGCACGTTGCGGTGTTGGTGGTTTTCTCCTTTCTGGCTATATCTGCCATCTCCTTCCGATTGTGGGCACGAAGAATACAAAGATCGAGATTTGAATTGAATGACTATCTTGCAATTGCTGGCTTGGTACATCCGTCTTCTTCAGCTCTTCTATAACAGAAAGTCCTAATTCTGAGATGTAGATATGGGCACTAGCACTATCTTTATTCACAATTCACTGTTTGTTGCGATTCTCTGACCTCATCGATGCAAGACTGACGTGTTGTAGCAAACATATATTGGCATCTCGGAGATGACTCCACGCAGCTCGGCAATCCTGAAGCCCTCATGCGGCTCGTGAGGCTTCAAGTCATTGCATTGATTGTAGGTCAGATACTCTGGACTGTGGCAATCTGCTTCGTTCGAGCATCAATACTCTGCCTCTACACGCGAATATTCCGCGTCAAATCTTTCAGATTGACCTGCTACACTGTTCATGGATTTAACTTTGCGTACTTCTTCACTGTCCTCTTCGCAGCGCTTTTAATCTGCAGGCCCCTCAGCGCTGCATGGAACTTTGAGCAAGCGGCGACAAAGTGCGGTGACCAGAAGGCACTTGATCTGTATATGGGTATTTTCAACTTACTGATGGATGTCTGCACCGTCATTCTACCAATGCCCTTATTATGGCGCCTTCAAATGAGCACAGGCAAGAAATTAGTGCTCACTGGGATCTTCGGAATGGGTGTCATGTGAGTGCAGTTTCCGAATGCTAGTCTACAACACGACGTCCGGCTAATGGAGCACCTCTTAGCATCTGCATCGTAACACTAGCTCGCATCTGGATCACCTCCCTGATTCACGGCGAGAACGCTCAAAAGCAATACTCGCTGATCGCTCTCCTGACCTGTCTCGAAGCACTCCTAGGAGTCATCAACACCTGTCTCCCCGTCATGAAACCCGTCTTCACCAAACTCGGCACCTCCAAAGCCTGGTCGTCCTTCACCTCCCAATTCAGCTCAAGTCGACGCTCCCTCTTCTCCCGCCCCCACAGCAGCACAAACAGATCCCGCACGCACGATCACAGCAGACGACGCTTTGCTCGCGGATGGCATCAGTCGTCCAGCGGTAGCAGCGGCGTCAACGACCAACGATCATGGCCAGGATCTCCCTCCAGCAGAACAGATCCTCTTGCACCTAGATTTATCAATACGAAGGCTGCGAATATGATGTTTGCGCACAAGCCGAGCGTGGATAGTCCGCCCAGACCGCCTCCGAAGAGTCCGCATTATAAACCGGAGGGTGGGAGGTGGGAGGAGGAGAAGACGGCGATTACGGTGCATAGGGAGTGGGATGTGGAAAGGGGGGTAGTGAGGGGAGTTCGGGGAGTGATCGCAGGCCTTTGGGGGAGGAGAAGGGGTATAATAAGGGTTGGTAGTGGTTATGATCAATGTGGGTTGAATGATAGGAGTGACAGTGAGACGCTGACTCTATGATCATGAGATTTAATGGAAGGTTTGGCTCACAGGACGTCAAGGCTGGAGATGACTGTAATGATAAATCAAGCTCGCTTTCATTATCTTCGAGGTAAGCAAAATTATACGATGATCTCTGATATCCATAGCTTCTTTTCCCACTTCTTTGCTGTACTTGGTTTTGTCTATTAATACAATGGTCCCATAAATAGTCCCATACAGAAGTTGTCCGCTTATACAATATCTCCTACAGCTAGCTTCTTGGAGCTGGATAGCAGGAGAGAGATCGAGCTTTCATTTTCTTGGAGAATCTTTGATTTTGCTTACGTGTCAAAAAGGTAGGTTCGTGAACCTTAAGGGATCTCTATACTGCCTTTGATATACAATCTAATTTCGCTCTATCAACAAAATTTACTTCGGTCCTACTAAACGAAAGACTTCTCGAGCTAATAATACACTTTCTTCCCTTCTTCCTCCCAGCAAATTGATACACCAATCTTCTCGCAAAAGTCTGACAGGTGCTGTAGAAACTGCACTTCTTCCTCATGCACAGGCATCGTTGCATACAATGCTTGGTGCGCCGTTGTCAGCCCAGTGCAGAAAGTTCTTGCAAGCGCATATCTCGACTCTGGACCGAACTCCACCAGAATCCCCTTCGACAGGCATCTGTACTGTATATGGCTCGGGCGGGGGAATTTTGCCATCCGTGTAACATTCACTTTCGCCTGACGGTATCTTCTGGCCCGAGACTTCCAGGAGCTGCGGATAGATGGCAAGCGCACATTTCCATGGCCCCGCGGGACAATTGGCACCCGCACCCTGACTGGTAGATTTGGTGGTGGTCTGCGAAACAGACGCGGCAAGGCCGAGACCGACGATCTTCGAGATACTGAGATCAGCACCGGCTGTGATTGTTATACCCACGGAAAAGCTCGACCCGGTATTCAAGCTGCCGCCTAAGCTCTATGTTAGGTCGTTCTCAGGAATGAATTTGATGCTAGACTTCTTACCAGTACCGACAGTGTAATCACCAGTCTTGAAAGGAGCCTCGAGAAAGCGATGGGAGGTCTGAGTATAAGTGTCGGAACAGTCTGGCGTAGGGAAGACGCCGACGCCGGTCTGAGGGGCAGGAGCTGCAATGGCGCAGCTGAAGAGGAGAGATAAGACTTGAATCTTGTTCATTGTCAATTGCATATTGAAACGTGCTGAGCTGTACTGGAAGGCTGGTAGAGAACTTGTGTTTCCTTGAGATTGGAAGTTCTGGGGGAAGTCGAGATGATGAGTCCCACTGAGGAGCGACTTCGCTCCTCTTTATACCTGGAGCCGTGTTCTCAATGACTCTACGCCATTCCTCATCATTGACACCCATGACGATTACTTTCCCTCTTACAGGAGACTCGTACTGTGCCTCGAGTAATGTCGCCAAACATATCCCTCGATCACACTGCGTCTACGGTTGGCAATGGGTTGACAAGGTTGAGGGTGTGAAGCCAATTGATGCGAATGGCTCTCCTGAGCCACTTCGGTGCGTTGCAAAATGCCGACTCTATCAACGCCATGGTTGTTGGTCCAAATTTACTTACTTCATTGTGGTACGGTCATTCGTCTCGTAGATGCAGACGGTAATGTTTCTATTTGAGGGTTTGGCATGATTTATATGAAACTCCAATTGCTAGCTGTTTTAGCCGTGACACGCACGTCCCTGTTTTAGTCCAGGGTTTCAATCTCACCACCAAGAAAAGCTTGCGAGGCTTATGTGCATAGAGGCCGAGGCTCCGTTGTGGGTGTACCTGCATGAGAGGCACCAATCTGATGCTTGGCGGCTTACCGATGCTAGACTGTTCTGGTGCGAGCTGCGAGATGAAGGGGCACCACTCTGCTTGAACATTGGCAATTGAGGCTCGAGAACATCATAAGCATTCAATTGAGATGCAAGCGAGGGTTTGGGAGGATGGCTTGAGAGGGCACATTCGATTTCTGCTATCTTGCCATGCCAAGAATGCCAAGCTTTTGTCTTGATAAATTCATCGCCAATCCTTCTGCAGAAAGGCTTAACCTTCATTGAGAAGTTAGGGCCTGCGAACCTGTTGCTAGTCCGTTGAATATCAAAGGTCAGCCTTCTTCCGAGTCGAGGTAGGGAATCTTGAGACCCTTTTTTGTATTTCATAAGGCGGTATGAGCCCTGACAAACGGAAACCTCTCATCGCCGATAAGATGCCATCAGATGCGAATTCATTATGCCAATTCCGGTAAGGCGCCGCATGTGATTGTGATGAAGACGTGCAGATTGCATTGAAAAGGGGCCGAGGCAGAGGCCCCAAGACTAGCAGTGTTTTTGTCAGTATCAGCCTTGTCTCCAAGACCTATGAACTTTTATTGATAAAACCCTTGAAAATAACCACAGGCGGTACAGCTTCAGGCTTACAGCTTATAGCCTCCTCATAAGACAGACGATCATCTCTAAATTTCAGCTTGGTTCAGTATGACAAGCGGAGGTATTTCCTTTTTTAATCTTCTAGCTATGTCCTGAATTAAACACCAAGAATTTCAATTTTTGCAAAGAGTGAACGCGTCAGCTTTCACGTTCTTGATAATCCTCCCAACCAGAAAGCATGATCCACTAATGCAGAATAATGAGACCGGGGCATTTCGCGCCCTAGCTAATGATGTCGGAGCATCGGCTGAAGAACCTCAACGACAACCGACCGTAGAAACCAGTATGTCCGAAATACCAGCAGTAGCTCCTGACAGAGACTACATACCTGTGCCAGCAAGACAATGCCACGTAGCTTTCAGGCTCCCTCCGTATCATTTGGTTGCTCGTGACTGGAATCACACAGTGCGTGACAACCCTGCAAAGCCAGAAAGGGCGACATCTGGCAGTCTCACGCTCACCACGAGATCTCAAAGCTCGACGGTCTCCTTTGCTGCAGCGGACCTTCCTGACGAGCTCCCACCTGGGTGGGAGTGGGTAATTAGTGATGACGAAGAATACTATGTAAATCACAATTGCTCAACGAGAACTTGGACAGATCCTCGTAGCCAGAAGCTCCCAGCTCGTTGGAAGATAGTAGAGAAAGATGGAGACATTCGATTCTTCGACAAGGAAACTAAGGTCATGAGTGAGACTGATCCCCGACCGAATCCTCTTCCACACGGGTGGACGATGAGACAACGTGACACCGATGGGAGTATCTACTATTTCAACCATCTCGATCAAATTTCGTCCTGGAAGGACCCTCGTGATGGATTGTGCCCCAGTACTGGGGAAGCTGTTCCTTTGGAATGGGTTCCTAGAAAAGTGCCTTCTACAGGCCGGGTGTACCTTTTCGCTCGCAACACTTGGACTACGACCCCGAATATGAAACCCTATCTATCTCAGGATTGGCCTTTGAAATTTATGGAAAATTTGTTAACACCATCAGCACGTCTCAGCAACTTGGACCTTGTGAATCCTCGAGATATGATTGAGAATCTTCCGATTGGCTGTGAAGTTATGGCAAACGTTTACGATGGAAGACCATTTTTCGTGGACCACAAGTCCCAGACTTGTTCATTCATAGATCCTCGATCTGCTCTTATTCCAAGCCAGTCCCAAGATCACTGGAAGCTCAGAAGGACTACAAGAGATCCTGAGGTATTCCCGGAAAGAAATCCTGCTGAAGAGTTAGTTTTTAGTGACCCTATGTTCAATATTTCCCTCGCTGAGCAGGCTATGCAAAGTCTTGAGATGAGACATGCCAGGTCCCCCCACACATGTCTACATTGCTCTAACATCATGTTCGACTTTCGAAATCATCCTTCCAGACAAACTGAAGTATGGTGTGCCAAAAGCATGAGAGACGTTTTCGAAGCCAAGAGGGGCGGCTGCCCGTTCTTCGTCCATCTCTTCAACGACTCCGTCGCGCCTGAAGATATCATTATGCGGAATAGCGGTGTTTACTTGTCTATTGAACGGTACACTGAAGGCCAAACCCTTTTTGGTAAGATGAAAATGTTCGATGACCATGACGAGCGCGAGAAAATAGGAGAAATTGAACCAAAAAAACGACATTATTATATCACCCAGCCGAACGGGATTAAAGGTGAGAAATACGGACGAGTCTCATCGCAGAAACCTGCGCTACGTTTGTGTGGGGATCCGAATTCACGTAAGTGTCCCGTCCAGACTGAATCTGATTCTGCTGATTTATTGTGGTAATATAGGTGGTACTAGTCTTACAAGCATGCTTGACGGGCCATTACATGCGCCAGATGTGTATAGCTGGGGATCACTTGCATGGGCGAAAGAGCTTCTTGATAATTGTGAGCAGGAACACAAGAGATGTAACAAGGTCCGTCGCCTCAACTCCCAGTTTGCGCCGACACGACTCGTAGATGTAAGGTTCCACAGAGACGTGGTCAGGGTCGTGGACTCTCGAGGTGTCAATCCTCAGTGGTGTTGTCTCAGCTACGTCTGGGGCGAGGGCCACAGACAAGTGAAAACTACCAAAGAGACTCTGGCGGCCCACATGGACTATATACCAATAGCCTTTCTGCCACCAACAATCCGAGATGCTATCATTGTAGCGCGCTGGCTCAAAATCCGATATATCTGGATTGATAGCCTATGTATCATTCAAGACAAACCTGATGACGTTCTTAAAGAGTTACGTCTTATGCCAGATATATATCGACTTGCGCTTGTCACCATAATTGCCGCTTCTGCTACTGGGGTCGGAGATGGCTTCCTTCATTATAGAGGATACTTTTATCCTGACGGGTCACCTCCTCCAACTAAACTTCATTGCCTAGACCAATGGGGAAAAGAGACAAGTATTCTTGCATTCGAAGAACTCAAGGGTCCACAAGCTGCCGTTGACTACGGAACTCCTATTGAGCGGCGAGGATGGACGTTTCAAGAGAGAAGGATCTCCCATCGTACTCTATATTATGGTCCTCGTGGCCTCACCTTCTTCTGTCCAACAGCCCAGGTTCGAGACAGAAATCTTTTTCATCATCACGTAACATCCTTCATGGAAAGAGAAGCACGGCTAGTTGACCAACCTACATTTGAGCGGCATTTTACTGAAAAAACAGCCAAGGATTGGTGCAGCATCGTGCAAGACTACAGTGGGCGTAAGTTAGGCATGGAGGGAGACAAACTGACTGCTATTGCTGCCATCGCCGCCGTTCACGATTCATGGGGTTCGTGGGGCAAATACATGGCCGGATTGTGGAATTTCGATTTGCCTGAAGGTCTAGACTGGTACGTTGAACCAGCTGCGGCAGGTATGAATTTGCATCCCCGTCCTCGGACCTACAGGGCGCCAACCTGGTCATGGGCCTCGGTCGAGGGCAAGGTAGCTTTCTGGACTCGGGTGAGAATTAAATACAGAAATGTTGTTGGCTGGACATCAATCGATTTCAATGGGGACGAGATAGGGGCTCGCTATCCATTAGGTATACGTTGGTGGACGAAGAGCGTCAAGGCTTCTGTCCAGCCGGTGTCTCCGGACCTGCCATTCGGGCCGGTGAAAAGCGCAAGCATGGTCATCAAGGGTGACATGACGGCCGTGTATTGGATGGAAGATGAGTCCGGAAAATGTGAAGTTGTCAGCCATAGTGGGCATCAGTTCCTCGCCTACCCTGACACGACGGAAAACATAGTCGACGCCGACCACAATGAAGAAGAGGGTCCCCAGTTGCGATTGCTGGGTATTGCCCGTATTGGCAGCATACTTCCGCAACGGTGCGGTATGGTACTTCAACGCATCGCTGGGGGCCGGTACAAGCGCGTCGGCTTCTTCTTCTGCTGCTCTGCTGTGAATTGGCATGAATCGAAAGGGCTCGCGCAGGCATGTGAGGACAAGTTCATGGATTTCAAGACGGATACTGTCACGATCATCTGATCGCCAATGCTAGCCCAATCGACAAGTCCGCCATTGTTGATGAACAGGCCTTTTTTAAGTTGCGTAGTCTCATCGACACACAGATTCAATTTCATTTACAAATCTCGTTGCCGTGATTATACAATGATAATGAGCAATTCGGTTGGTCAAATCTTCTCATTATTCGCAACCTCACTTGCTCCATTACATCACAATTAGCTCCTCCCTTTCACTGGCGATAGTGGTGTCTATTTTCTTGTAGGGGCCTAAAAGCGCCTTCTCGACCGAGACCGTATTTCTAGGGAAAGACTTACTAGGAGTCTTGGGGGCGTTTGCAGGCGGGTATCTAAGTGCCCAAGAAATGAAGAACACGGATGGGAACGAATCGCTGGGTCTGCAACCCGGACCAAGCCCAACGACAAAGTCCAAGTGACGTTTTCTTTTGGTATCTTATCTAAAGAAGTCAAAGTGGATAAATGTAAAGCATTCTTCTTAATGATTAAGATTCTTGACATACGGGGAAAACGATCAAATCAAATCCCAGCTGAAATACATATGGTTTCTCATTCGATTGAAGGAGTAAATTCCCGTTCTCTCAAAGGCTTTCGCCGAGGAAGAAACCACCCTTTCCATCATCAATTTCGACAGACGAATGATCTTGAGGGTAGGGGAATGACTGGGATTCTCTACCTCAGCCCTCTGATGTTTCTATTCGTGTCCATGCTGTGCAGCAACCCCCAGGATTTTTGTGCTATGGCTTGTTTCTCATGATTATTGAATTGACAAAGAAACCAGTGAAAGATTAGTAAAAACCCTGCCACACGCATGAATTATCATGAACAAACCATATCACGTATTAAACTCTTCGTTCTTACAAGCTAGCTTGTATTTTGATTTAAGGCTACAAGCCCGTGAGATCTAGGTTAGACTAGACTAGACAAACGCTTCCAGGCGTCAGGCATTGAAGGGGTAAAGAAAGCTTCTTCATCCATAAATGTGCACGCTACGCAAGAGATAAAGCTGGGACGGGTCAAGGAACAAAACCGCCACCTAAGAGAAAGATATACAATCGAAGTATCCAATGGTTATAGTCTCAAGGTCACCTACCCTCACGATCATGGCTCACGAAGCAATCCCTGACTCGGATGTTTGAAACGTAGGTACAAATTGTCTGAGAGCAGAGCGACTAGTGCCATGCTTGCAGTCGCCACCCAGCGTGATCCTCGCGCCATCTAGTAGCTTATCGACAGAATTTTTCTCGCCTGCAGGACCTTCGTTCATACTTGTCATACTTGTGCCGTCAAGAAAGAAATTACTTTCTTATCCAGGCAAAGTCTCACCAATCAACTGTAGCTCTTGTGGATCACAAAGAGTAGTACCACCAGCTCAATAAAGCCTCCGATGACACCGATAAATCCGCACAGGTAAAGGTAAAAATCTTTTCATATACAACGATCAAACTTTGCGTAGAATGATTTCAAAACTTCAATAATTACGATTCGTGTTAAGAACATTAAGCATATAGACAACATAATATTAATTGAGTGTCGTTTTGGGGTTGGAGTTTTCAAGTACAACTGGTGCAACCACCACAACTATTAAGTCTTTCCTAAAAAGGTGTAGCTTAGAACTAATGACTTAAAAAAAAAAGGGTGGTAGTCAGTCAGCAGGATGACAACCGCTCCCTTCTCTCCAAATTCCTAGACCGAGGAGGGACCCCCTTCTCCAGCATCATCTTCGAGGACTTCGGAGGAGGGAAAAGCAGCGATTGACTATAGATGTCTACCTCGGCCCTCCCTTGTCTCTACTCGTGCCCATCATTGCGTCATGCGTCTCATTCCTCCGTCGCTTGTACCGTTCAAGGCGACAGCTCCGAGGCCTAACATTCTGAATTTTCGCCTGCGTACGGTTCCATTACGTATAGTATAAAGACTTGCCAGGGTTTCCCTATATAATGTCACAAGCAGAGAAGCAACAATGCCTACTTCCTCATCCCCAACGCCCTCCAACCTGACCTCCTCAGCTCAACATCGTCTGTCCCAATTGACCAGAACCCTCACTCCCACCTCCACCCCAAGCAATCCATCCACAATGTCCCTCCCCACCGAAACAAAGCAATACATCCTCGCCAACAAGCCCACCGACCTCCCCTCCCTCTCGGGCCCCTCCCCAACCTTCTCCCTAGAAACAACCCCCCTCCCCCCTCTCAACGACGACCAAGTCCTCGTGCAAACCCACTACATATCCAACGACCCCGCCCAACGCGGCTGGATCTCCAAATATGCCGACCCCAAACGCCTCTATGTGCCCCCTGTCCCGCAGGGCGCCGTAATGCGATCTCGCAACGTCTGCGAAGTCCTTGATTCCAAGACCCCTCGCTTTTCCAAGGGAGACATTGTGCTCGGCAATCCCGGGTGGACAGAATATGCCGTCGTGGACGCGAGCACGCTGCAGAAAGCCGAGAAGGTGCCGGGATTGAGCGAGACGCAATTCCTTGGTGCCCTGGGCTTGACAGGCATCACGGCGTACTATGGCTTGACGGAGATTGCGAAGGCGGGGCCGGAGGACGCGGTCGTTGTCAGTGGTGCGGCGGGCGCCACGGGGAGTATGGTCGTGCAGATTGCGAAGCATATCCTGGGGTGTAAGCGGGTGATTGGGATGGCCGGGGAGGAGGGGAAGTGCAGATGGGTGGAGAGTCTAGGGGCGGACGTGTGTTTGAATTATAAAGACGAGGCGTTCAAAGAACGCTTGAAGAAGGAGACGGAGGATTTCGTGGAGGTGTATTTTGATAACGTGGGTGGGGAGATTCTGGACTTGATGCTGACGAGGATGAAGAGGCATGGACGGGTCGCCGCGTGTGGGGCCATTACGCAGTATAATAAGAGTAAGCAGGATGGGATCAAGAATTGGTTTCAGGTCATCTCGATGAGGCTTGAGATTCGGGGATTCATTGTGTTCGATTACATGGACAAGGCGCAGCAGGCGGTGGGGACGCTGGTAAAGGCTTTTAAGGAGGGAAAGATTCGATTGGGAGATGAGAATGAGACCATTGTTGATACGAAGTTTGAGGATGTGCCCGGAACGTGGATGAAGCTGTTTGAGGGTGGGAACACTGGGAAACTGGTCACGAAACTTGTGTAGATCAGGTATCGGAGAACAGCATGCCATTAATTTGTTAATCTTTTACGCCAATCCCATGCAGGCTGCCAAGTTCGTAAGAAAGTGATCCTAAGTATACATCGCTTCGAATAAGTAGATGATCCCAAATACCACAAATGCACCACCGCCTCCAAGGGTGACTGTGGACTGTTAGCCTAGAATGTATTTTCACCGGAAAGTGTGACTTACCCATTCGTAAGCTGACTTTGCCAGCAATGGCCCTGCCTCCAACTACAGCGACCGCGGTACAGATACCATGGCCTACGATTGCCCCGCCTGTCACCCACCAATACTCTTGGCCAGCAGCCATTGCAATGGTTGATATCTGGCTCCGATCACCCCATTCGCCTAAGAAAGTCATGATGAAAGTCTGGACCCACGCTGGGCTCAGAAGCAGAGATAGCAAATTGTTGATGCCCACAAGAAAGCCCGACACGGAGGACTGTGAGCTTGGAGATGGGCTTCGTGAATCAGGAGAGGGAGGAGAGTCGGGGGGCGCAGGGAGACGAGTGCTTGATCGAGTTTTTCGCGAATCGATCCGGCCGGCTTCGATCATGTAGGGGGATATAGAAGATCGCCGCCGGCCCATCTTTCGAGCAAGCTCCTCTTTCTCTGCGAGCTCCATCTCTACCTCCCTCATCTCTTCGCTGACGCCCTGATCTGGTCGCATTGCAAATCCCTCTCGCAACATCTTTGCTCCGAAGATGAGGAAGAGCGCTGCTGCTGCATAATTGACTAATCGCTTCGGTATCAATTGAGGAACAGCGTGGCCAAGAACTGCAGAGAGGATAGTCATGGCTATCAAAGCCGTCAAGGCGGCACTATAGACGACAAATCGAGGATGCTTCATAGCCATGAGGGCCGCGATGAGGAAGGTTTTGTCACCAATCTCGGAGAACAGGATCATGGTCAGGGAGAGGACGAAGGAATGAAGAGGCTGTATGATGGAGGCGCTTGTTGGAACGCTGAATGAAGGTAAGGCATCTGTGTAAGGCTTAAGTATTGCAAGGGGGTCGTTCTTCTTCGATGTGGGAGGAGTTGGGGGTGGGATGTCGTGAGGCTTTTTGGGAAGGTCGGCTGGTTTCTAAGAAGACATTAGCATCATTTCGTTGCTGTCTCGATCGAAAGCTTACTTCAAGACCTCCTATGCCTTTGCCTTTGTCGTCTTTCTTGCCTTCATCCTTTTTCTTGTCAGGATCTGGTGTGGTGCCCTCTTTCGGCTTCTTGTCGTCTTCCTTGCCAGTCTGCTTTTCTAGAGTCTTTTGTTCGCTTTGAGGTAAAGGTGGTGCTTCCTTGGGCGGGTCTGGCTTCTTCTCAGGAGTGTCTTTCTTGTCCTCCTTGCCGTCCTTAGTCTTCTCGGTGATTCCACCCTCAGTGCCCCTCGTACCCTCTTTCGGCCCCCTCCTATTTGGATCATCCATCACTCCATCGTTAGACGCCGGTACCGCATCGCCCGTACTCCCTTTTGTGGCATCCTTCGCAGGTGTCTTAGTTGAAACCTCGTCGCCGCTTTCCTTTGCTTTCTTTCGATCTCGCTCGGCACTTGTTTCTACGAAAGGACCAAGGTGAGGTCTACCATCTTTGCCGTCGAATGGTGCATCCTTTGTCCCAACGCCATCGACCACAGGTTTGTTCGGTGCTTGGCTGGAGGAAGGCTCAGAGACCTCCTTTGCCAATTCTATACCTTCTGCCGAAGACGCAACATCCCTTGAACCAAGGTGACCATTTGTGAAATCAAGTGTGTATAGGAGAAGAAGCTGATAGATTGTCCAGAGCCGTGGCTTCATCTTTCGGGGTTTTCAATACCATCAAAGGGGCCCGAAAGGCACCCGAGCCGTCAAGGAGAAAATATTTGAAGTTGAAGATCAGGGGATCAATGGGTTCAGGTATGCTGCTTCATCGAGTCGTCGTAGGTGTGTGGATTCATATGTCGAGTGGAAGTGATGTGGGTGCTCTTGTCGACTGCTACATATCTGCAGGAGCCCAGGAGGAGGAGAGGTCTACCTAGTGATTGGTCGTGGCGCATATACTCAAAGAAGACTAGCGTGACTCGTCAGATCCCATCAATGCGGCCGATCTTCGGTAAACAAGCAAAGTACCTCTGTACAATGCGATGGGAAAGCTTCTGTACAGCAACTGGAAGCTTTGATACATGCATCGCATAATTCATCAATCGGGAGCTCTTATACAATGGCCGAAAAATCTACAAAAGCTGCTGGCAGACGAAACGCTCCTCTCTCGGCCCGTGGGAGCTCTGTGGAACCTAGAAGGACTGCGCGCACAACAAGAAGTCAAAGTCGCGAACTGAGTGACAACGAGAGTGGTCGCGATGCGACAAGGATTAAGAAGGGCGGGAAGTCAGAGTCTCGCTCCCAGCAAGGGGTTCCTACAACTAGAAAAAGCAAGCCTACTAAAGCTTCAAGAGCGGATCCAGGTATGCTCAAACAAGCGTGAATGTCATCTTGGTGGTGCTGCAGTCATCTTTCAAATATGACCTAATTTGGCTCACATTTATCTGCTTAGATTTATCAATGGTCGTCGAAGAGGACGATGTTCAATATCCTCAGCTACAAGAGGCCGAGGAAAGCGAAAGCCCTGGCCCCGGTGGGGGAGCTCAGACCGGACAGGCCAATACGAACTCATTCTCGAAATCCCCAGGAGGTGCATCCGCGTTTTCAGGGACGACTGCACGAACTTCGCGGACGGCCCAAGAAATAGATGATCTTACGTCGGAGTCTCTTCAAGACGCGTTACCGGATCTCTGTACCGCCTCGGAGAGGCTGCTTGATTTCTTGATTTCTCCAAAATTGATGGAGGACGGTCCCAAAGATGCTGTTGTTAGTGCTTTGAGTGATGAATTAGAGAACAAGCGCTCCAGAACTAGGAACAATCTCAACAGGCGTATAGCGGCCTTCAACATTCAACGTGAGGTATTCTCGACGAAGTGTTTCATTGATATCAAAAGATCGGTGCGTACAATACTGAACTCAAGAGAGCTAGAAAATGCCCAAGGACCCTGGCGACCAGAATCCTTGCTGCAAAAGATCAACATTGCAGCTTTGACGGCCGCCGTGTTCTCCCCAGAAACATTACCTGATGGAGATTTCGCGTGGGACGAATTGGATAGCGATTTCCCCCACCAGTTCGTAGACGAGCAAGACGATGTCGACCAAGAAAGCCTTCAATTAACATTGCAACTTGCTCTAGAAATACGGACACAGTACGTGATCACGCTTCTAACGCAGCGTTATGGCCAGCCAGGCTTTGACTTAGACGACACGTTGAATGAGGTGTTCAATGAGAGGACGCAGGTCTTAAAGGGTTGGAACTTCAACTCCATGCGGACCCGTCAGCTTTCGCGGGACACCAGAAAGGCGTTGGTAGAACGCCTATCGGGCATCCGACAAGCGTACCAGCAGGCTGCGACTAGAGATGTGGGCAACGACAGCATATCAATGGCACTCGCAGCTGCTTATCCGAGAATCGATTTTCTGACAACTACATTGAACTGGGAAGTTCACCAATTGAATCGTCTTGAGAACATCATCAGCCCACTAGGGGGTCCCGAAACCATCATCGAGAGTTTGATTGATCAGGTTCAGACTAGAAGGAGAATACATTCCACACCACCTTCAGAGGCTAAGCCCTTATCGCCGTCGGAACAAAACAAATCGCTTGGGTTACCACCTACGTCCACTGAGGATGCCGCTCCCCCACCTCCTACGTCAACGAAAAACGCTGGTTTGCAGTCTGGAGCTTTCAGGTGTGTCTTGTTCATTGCAACCCTATGTGCACCCTAGTCTTAGATACTGATTTCAACATAGCTCGAACTCTTTTCGAGGCAAGCAAATTGTAGATGTATTGAAGCAGCGTAAATCACGCAGGGACTCAACTCGTGCCGCCGTAGACCAGCAGCCGCAAGAGGACGAATCCGAGATTCAAGTAGCCTCGACTTCGGCTGCGCCAATTGAGGCCTCCCCTAAAACAAGAGCCCCCAAACCACCAAGAGCATCAATTGCACCTCGAAAGACCATAAGTGAAACTCCAAATGATGATGTGAACGGCCACTGGATGTCGCCGAACAACGATTCGAATGACGAAGACGAGGAAGCGGAGGCCTTCCAGACCCAAAAATTCCCAAAGAAAATCCTTCAACGCGTCCGAGTCATTAGTTCACAGCAACAAGCAGAGAGTAATAAAGAGAACGAGCCTGAAGTACGCCGCTCGCACGGTCGTAATAGGCAAGGTCCTAGTCTGCTGGATCCACAAGCAAATGCAAGGTCGGTGAACTGGAACAGCCAAGACGAGGATGATATTGGAGCCAATGAGGAGAGACCTCAAACCTCACACCATCCGCCTAGTACCAGCTCACGGTCAAGGGCACAAGTTGACAAGCGACCAGCTCCAGAAGCTCCCCTAGCAAACTCAAGTCCATCTAAACGACCAAGATTTCGAGATCCAAGAGCAGAGTCCGAGAGTTCTAGACAGAGCGAAGAACGACCTGCTCAATCGCCACGACCACTTCAGGAGCGACAAACCCTGACACAGGCAGAAGTCTACCGTGAAGTAAACAACGCAGCTAAGGCCCGTGTTGCTCTGACCAATCAGAAACGACCACAAACCCGAGTCCCTTGGTCAGATATAGAAGAGGGAACACTCATGGATTTGATCGGACGATTTGGGAACTCATACGCTCAATTGCTGCGGATCGATAAACAGGAGGATAATATCCTCAAGAAACGAGACCAGGTAGCTTTGAAAGACAAGGCAAGAAATATGAAGACGGACCTTCTTAAGTACATCACGTTCAGTCTTCTCTCGTATGCAGCATCTGCTAACCTCTCTGGTGTAGAGCGGGCACAGTCTTACCTCCAAATTTCCAACTTGTTCCCATTAGCAAACTCCAGGTTGAGAAACTAGCGGGTTTAGGAATTATTTACGATCCCACTACGGGTCACCGGCAAGACGGTATATTTCAACAAGTTGACGATGACGATTGAGCATTGCAACCTTACGTCTAATGATGAGCGCGGTGGAATTAACAGGAGCTCGGTTTTGTCACATCTATACCCATTATTGTTCCATGTCTTTTTTTATAGTGGTCTTGAGACATCGTACTTCAAGGTGGATAAATTTTTTCGGAAATTAATGAGGCATTTCGTCTTGCTTCTTATCTCAAGGTTCATAAGGTCCAAGAAAGGACTTCAATGGCTGCAGTGGTTTTCTCCCCAAGCAAAGGCAGGAGGGGGGCAAGCTTTCTCTGCCCCACTAGCAAGCATCTGATTTTGAAAGTGAATTAAAAGCTTGGGCTTGCCAGTTACTTGACTTTTGATGAACAACACCTCAACCCTACTTTCACATGCTTCATCTTTGTGATAATACCTCCAACAGTGGATCCAGTAAGTCACTGGAGGCTTATGAAATCGCAAGCATGACCACACAGGTGGCCTTATACGATCCGGTTGTTGCGGCAATTAGGATATGCCACCGACTGGGCTTTGGTGGTGCCCTTGCGCAAATCACAACGCAGACAGTTGTTGTACTTCATGAGGAGCTCCTCTCCGCGGCAGTGACCTTCCAACCGAGTCAAACCTCTGAAGGTATTGTTAATAGGTACCTCAATAAGATCATTGGAGGCTTGAAGAAAAGCCCTTTCTCGTTCAAAAGCCGACCGTCAGAGGAGCACTTGAGTTTGCCTAATGACTATCATGAGTGAGTCACTTGGTGTTGACATTGATAGCCAAATTAAATGAGTGTATACTACAGGGTCAAATCGATAATGATCCTGTTTCTCGACCTGATGGATCAACATGGCAACAAAATAAAGGAAGAGGCCGACCAGGCTTCTGCATCCACTATTGAGCAGGGCCCTACAGCATCGCCGCTTTCTGAATCTAATAGCCAGGTCACTGATGCTCCATTGCTTAGGTAAATGGCCTTTCCCATAGCCCCTGTGTCGGCATGTCTTTCTTGGCCAGTGGCACATAGGCTGACGATTCTTTCTGCTTGCTGTAGATTGGCTCGCAAAGATGCGCAGCTATTAGCAAATCTTGCTACCTACGGCATTAGTGACTTACCACTGGTCTTTCCTTCGAAGGACTACATGGCGGAGTGTATTGATAAATGGATGAAAATGAATCAATCATCATCCTTCCCCGGATCGTTTACCTCAAAAGATTCGCTACTATCCAAAACGCCATCCTTGGAGCTCCTTTACTTCGCAACGACGAATGCGTACGTTGAGGTACTGCGATTCAAGATCTCGGGTCACTATAAAGGCTGGGTATTGCGGGACGAAAGCGGACATTATATGTATCTACGAAGCATGCCCGGCAACAATGACTCTAGGCGTCGTTTCGTAGGCTGGAAGGGTGGCCACAAAGGTTTCACCAACAAAGCTATTGCCGACACTCAGAAAAATAACGAAGCGATGCAGGATCGTAGCCTAACGGCCAAGCAAGACGCCTCAAAGAGTGTGTTGTTCCCCACAAGTAATCTATTGCACTAATTTTGAAGCTTGTTCTCCAAATGCAGATATCAAGACTGAGACAGACGCTTTGAATGGGTTTTCCCACGGCCGGAATCATTTTCAGGAGATTGACGAAGAGCTTTATGAAGCAAATTCAAAAGCAAGTCTTCGGTCGACTGAAGGTCAAGACAGCTCACTACAGCCTACGGTCCCAACAAGGAGATGCGCACGTCTAGCTTCAAAACGTTTCAATTATCGAGTGGGGTTAGTAGAGCAGAGAACTAAACGCAAGGGCGAGGATGAGCACAAATACTCATCACAGGCGAAGAAGCTTCGTTTTGCCACAGATTCGACCCCCTCACCATCAGAATTCCCTCATGGATTGCTGAGTCCGCCAATCTCTCCGGCCAAGAAGCAAGCAGACATTGAAATTTTCTTCTTCACCGCTCGAGAAGAACTTGGAGCGGTGCCCGCGTCTTTCCGCCAATGCAGTACGCTCAAGGGGTTCTTCGATCGTGCACTCCAAGCCTTCGTTATGTCGGCACCAAGATCCAAGGAAGCTGACCTGATGGCCATCAATGCGCTGATCGACGGTATTGACTGGCCCCTTATCATACCTTGGAGACACAAACCAGAATTTGAGACTATGAAAACTAAGCTCAATGAGATCAGCTGGGTCAGTGATACGACTGTCAACGTTAAAGTCGGCTGCATCTTGAAGACATAAGTAGCGGGGGATAATAATGTTTCTGCAAACAGATTGTTCAGATGTTGCGATGTTCGAACTATCTCATGTGACGTAAGTACTGACATATCGATAGTTGAAGGAAGGGCGATGGCATTGATGACATGATGCATCCGGTAAGGATATCTGCGATGTAAGCAATCTCAATTCTGATGTACAGCGACTACTGCTAAGGCAAAATGATGAATCGTTCATTAAAACAAACTCGTTCCTGTGTGCATTAAACCTGTATGTCCAGCAATTGCCTTAATCCAGTATCCACGCCCTTCAACCATCTCCCTCTCAACTCCAGCTCATCAGCTCCCCCACCTCTCTTTTTCCTCTCGACCGCCTCCCTTGCTATCCGAACTGCGATCTCTCTTTCCTGCTCCAGCACTTTTAGTTCCCTCTCTTCCCGCTCCAACGCTCTATTCTGCCTTGGTAGCGCTTGCTGCAAAGTCTTCAATTGCTTGTTCACCTCATCGAGCTCCTCTTTCCTCTCCTCCAACAGAGCCTGTGTAGCTGGCAATGGCAGATTCAAATTCGGATCGTCAGACCTGCCTTCCTCGCCAGCCTGACTCTGCTGCCTCAAATGCTCCAGAGTCTCCTTCAACCCATCAATCTGGCTTGGCAGGCTCTCCAAAAGCGTTGTTTGCAGCTGGACAGTCTCCCATCTCGATGCCAGTTCTCTGCCTTGTTGCTCTAGAGTGGTAATCATGTCCGTGACCTGCTGCTTCTGCTGTTTCAGAACATCTTTGATAGATGCTAATTCTGCTTCAAGCTCGACGTTCTCGGCATGTTCGACTATTTGCGGTGGATCGCCGACGATGGCGCGAAGAAACTTTTCCTTGGTAACCTGTTCGACGTAAGAGAAGCGAAGTTTGGAAAACAATTCCTTCCAGAAATTAGCTCCATTTAAATTCTCGCATAAATCGGCCAGCATCACCTTGTAGTGGCTCAAATCCGCCTCAAGCGATGCTGGCGAGGGGTTATCAAGGGTAGACGAAGATGCATCCGAAGAACGGTTAGAAGTCTGCGCAGCACTCAGAGGTTCGCCCAGTCGAATTATGGAGAGTGGGGTATTTTGAAACGAGCGCAATCCTTGTAGCACATTCTCGACTCGCTGACGGTCTTCCATGTTTGCGAATTGTCGACAATTGCTTTGCGACAACTCAACTGTTTACTTTTCATTGAATGTCGCGATTGCGTTATCTTATCGCAGTCTTGGCATCGATCTATTCTAGCTTAGCGACAGGAAGCGACCAACATCCATGCCTTTCCTCTACGATGCCCGCCCTGGAGCTTTCTGACGACTATGTAGCGCAAGCTCTTACCCGAGATGCGAAAGCGAGCTCCTCAAAGTATGTACTACATGGATTTGGTGAATCATTACCAAAAAGGCCTACGAACAATGCACCAAAGCCAAACACCAGATTCCTTAAAAATATCATAAAGGAGACTGATAGTCATAATGCCGCTTTGCGAGCGAAAGAGGTTAGGGACTCTCAAATACGATTCGGTCTCTTGAAAGTAGAAAAGAAAGAAAGAAAAGCAATTGATGCACCCGAGATTCAGAGTCCGGACAGAGATTCTCATCGCTCGAAGCGTAGGCGATTCGATGAGCATGCCGAACTAGAAAGAAGGCGCCAACGCAATCATAGACGAAGTGATTCAGAAGATCCTTCGCGTCCCGATAGGCATGAACTCAACGCCCGTCGAAGGCATAGAGAAGGAAAGTACGAGCGTAAAAGCCATGACGAGTCCCAGAGTCGGGTACGACATCACCATCCTCGTCGGAGACAGAGCCGGAGTCCTAGAAGGAATCCAAATAGGTGCTTGAACAGATCACGCTCGAGATCACCACACCCCAAGGGATACGAGAGTCGCAGAAACCATCACCGTGCTCGTCGAAGAGACCGATCAGCGAGCTCAGATTCCCACAGATATGCAAGTCACAAAAGCAAACGACGAGAGCGCGGCAGGTCCCCTACATCTGCAAGAGACAGGAAAGAAGTAAACAGCGCTACTCTTGATCCTCCAACCCAGTCGCATGCGCCGGGTTCGGAGTCAGATCCTCTCGAATCTATCATTGGCCCCCCACCGCCGCCTCCGGAACCAAGGATCACAACTCGAGGCCGGGGAGTGGCGTCCAGCTCTGGCATAGACAGTCACTTCTCGAACAATTACGACCCCGCAATTGACACACACCTTGATCCAGAGGTTGAGACGGATGACTGGGATCAGGCGCTGGAAGCTTTGCGGGACCGGCAGAAATGGCAGCAGCAAGGAGCCGACAGGCTGAGAGCTGCAGGGTTCTCAGAGACTGAAGTATCCAAGTGGGCTAGTAAAGCAAAGGGCACGAGCACAGAAGGGGATGAGGCGGACGTTCGTTGGAGGGGCAAGGGAGAGAGACGAGAGTGGGACAGGGGAAAGATTGTGACCTCGGAGGGTGCGATCGCTACCGAGGCTGAATGGGGGAGGCTGACATAGCGATTGACGACAATACTACCTGGACATTTGAAGTGGTTACTACCTGACTGCATGTTGAGTACAAGCCTTTTTCTGGGTGCGCACAGACGGTAACGTAGTACCTGGCAGATGAAGAATGCGGGGTGCATTTTGAATTTTGCGGGGAATCTCATTCGCGATGTAGGTATTTCCGGCCAAGGTCCGAAGGTCATGTAAGAACGAGCTCCTGCGTGGATCAGAAGAAGGAAGTGCGAACAAATGCAGAGTGCAATAAGATGGCCTAGAAGAGCCATGAAGAATTTACAATCAGGCACAGCTATTTACCTCCGTATGAGCTCGTGGAACAGGCCCGGGGCCAGCGGCCGGGGGTTCCTGAACAAGCCTGAAAAGCTTGGCTGGAACCCCTGCAGATTTATGACTAAGCTGCCCCGTCAACGTAATGACGGCAATGTTTTGGGGGAACTCTGACTGATGGCACCAATTTCCCAATTCAATACGAGGACCACTCTCTCCCAACACCTTCTTTCATTCTTTCTCATTCCTTTGACGTTGAAGGACCTTCACGTATCTATAATACATAACTGTGAGTACACACTGGATTGCTAGTGTTTGCGCCTCTATTTCGCCATCCCGTGTCTTAGCTCCCGCCTGCGCATTCCGACCAGATGCTCCTCCAGCGGCTCTATCTCATCCTCTTATTCGCTATCGCCACACACCAACAGTCGCAGAACAATGATTCCGCTCCCTATCCTTCGTCGACATATCCTGGCGCGGAATCGCCCAATCCAGCTGCGAAAGTCGCGGCAGATTTCTCACCCCCATACTATCCATCGCCATGGGGCACTGGATCGGGAGCTTGGGCGGACGCGTACGCGAAAGCGAGGGCATTTGTGGGCCAATTGACGTTGACTGAGAAGGTCAATTTAACTACCGGTGTTGGGTATGAGACACACCGCACAAGACGCGTTTAGTGCAGTTTCTGACGATACGCAGCTGGCAAAGCGAGCGATGTGTGGGTGAAGTTGGCGGTGTTCCAAGACTGGGCTTTAGGCGATTGTGCTTGCAGGACTCCCCTCTTGGTGTCAGAAGTAGTACGTCAAGTAACACCAGCATTGGAAATCACTTGCTGACCAGAAGAACAGCCGACTACAACTCTGCGTTCCCAGCTGGTGTAAATGTGGCTGCAACATGGGATCGAGGACTTGCCAACGCTCGAGGGGTAGCAATGGGTGCTGAACACAGGGACAAAGGTGTTGATGCACAATTGGGGCCCGTTGCTGGACCGCTAGGGCGCTCGCCTGAAGGTGGAAGGAACTGGGAAGGTTTCAGGTACGTCGTCTTACAGGATCGATATGCTTTCAAAGCCCAAACTAATGCCTGCAATAAGTCCTGATCCGGTATTGACTGGCATCATGATGGCGGAGACGATTCAAGGGATCCAAAAGTCGGGCGTTATGGCCACAGCAAAACACTATATACTGAACGAGCAAGAGCACTTTCGGCAACAACCCGAAGCCCAAGGCTATGGCTACAACATCAAGGAGGCTTCTAGTTCGAATATCGATGATGCTACCCTACACGAGCTTTATCTCTGGCCCTTCGCTGACGCTGTCAGAGCCGGAGTTGCCAGCATTATGTGCTCTTACAATCAGGTGAATAATAGCTACTCTTGTCAGAATAGTCACCTACAGAATTATATCTTGAAAGGGGAGTTGGGCTTCCAAGGCTTCATCATGAGTGATTGGCAAGGTAAGCGAGACTCAGAAGAACTACTATATGGATTACGGGGCTAATTTTCTGACCTATTCAGCCCAGCATGCTGGTGTCAGCACAGCCCTTGCTGGTTTAGACATGGCGATGCCAGGTGATACCGCATTCAATAGTGGAAAAGCCTACTGGGGTGCTAATCTTACGATTGCCGTGTTGAATGGCACAGTCCCCACCTGGAGACTGGACGATATGGCTACGAGAATCATTGCGGCTTGGTATTATGTCGGACGCGACCACGAAGCCGTTGATGTCAATTTTGACTCGTGGACAAGAGCACCTTTCGATAATGAGTATTACTTTGCTAAGGAAGGATATGGTTTGGTCAACGAGCTGGTCGATGTTCGTGATGAACATGCCAACTTAATTCGCCAGATTGGATCAGCAAGCACAGTTCTATTAAAGAACACAAATAACGCCCTACCACTCACCGGAAAGGAGAAATTTACGGCCGTATTTGGCAGTGACGCAGGAGAGAATCCCTTCGGCCCGAATGGATGTGATGATCGGGGTTGCGATAATGGTACTCTTGCGATGGGATGGGGCTCAGGGTAAAAATCCCCAGAATCATTTTGTGATATAGCTGACCTTGACCAACCAGCACTGCGAACTTCCCCTACCTAGTCACGCCAGACACTGCGATCCAGAGCGAAGTCTTGCAGAATGGCGGCATCTACCAGTCAATTACCGACAATTACGCCGGAATTCAAATCCCAGCCCTTGCAGCTCAAGCTAGCGCCGCGATTGTGTTTGTCAATGCTGATTCTGGAGAAGGCTATATCAACGTCGACGGCAATGAAGGCGACCGTCAAAATCTCACTTTCTGGAAAGGTGCTGATACGGTCGTCCAGAACGTAACAGCAGGCTGTAACAACACAATCCTTGTAATTCATTCTGTCGGCCCCGTGCTGATAGGCAATTATTCTGATAATCCAAACATCACTGCTATCCTTTGGGCTGGTCTACCTGGCCAAGAATCGGGTAATTCAATTGCTGACGTTCTATACGGTCGGGTGAATCCAGGCGGCAAATTACCCTTCACCTTGGCTCGTACGCGTTCGGATTTTGGGACAGACCTCCTATACAATCCAAACAACGACCAAGGAGCCCCACAAATCGCGTTTTCTGAGGGTGTATTTATTGACTATAGATCGCTCGATCAGCGAAAGATCGACCCAGTCTATGAATTTGGCTATGGTCTCTCGTACACCCAATTCTCCTACTCGAGCCTTCAAATATCTAGTGTCAGTCCCAACAATGGAAGCACTTACACACCGACTGTTGGCTACACCGCTCCGGCCCCTACATTTGGGAATGGCAGCACCAATCCAGGTGACTATCAATTCCCGCCCAATATGACGGCCATCAAAGGATACATCTATCCATACCTCAATGGCACGGATCTTGCTACGGCGGCAAACACGACAGGCTATGGCGACATCAGTTTCGTGCCACCAAATTCCCAGAATGGCTCTGCTCAGCCTTTACTCCCTGCCTCAGGACCATCCGGCGGGAATCCGCAGCTCTACGACGTGCTCTATCAAGTCCGTGCCACTATATCAAATACAGGCCAAAGAGCTGGCGAGGAGGTAGCCCAGCTTTACCTGTCGCTTGGTGGACCTTATGATCCGCCAAAGGTGCTGCGCGGTTTCCAAAGACTTAGCATCCAGCCTGGTGGCAGCACAACGTTTGAAGTCGATATCACTAGGCGAGACATCAGTAATTGGGATACGGTCAGCCAGAATTGGGTCATCAGCAGCTCACCGAAGACTGTTTATGTGGGACCTAGCTCGAGAAACCTGCCGTTGACTGCAACACTGCAGTAGTAAGCTCGAAAGAATAGGGGTGATATAAGAAAAGCGACTGCTTTGCAGAGTAATGACTTAATGTCTTAATGGTCTTGAACAAAGGGCTAGCCCGTAAAGTTTGCTTCCGCAGGCTTTGCTTCTCACTCTTTGACTTATGCTTCTATGTAAATAATTGTACCCGAGATTAGCGAACCATGAAACGATAGATTTTAACAACGCTGCCGTCTTATTCCTAATTTGATGCTTGACTCCAAGTCAGAGCACTGAACGCGATACTGGTAAGCCTGGCCAATATTATGAGCCAATCTATGTCGTAGACTTCCCATTCTTGTCAACTTGCTGTGGATTCCCTCAAATTGAGATCTGAGCCTCAAAACTGTCTTATTGTCTCCATTTCTCATGAGATCAAATAGTACAGTCTACTAACCCAACTCGAGAACTTGATGGCTTTCAGCAGGGGAGATCGTTTCTTGACATCAATTGATGTATTATTTAATGCAGATGCATAGTGATTGGGGGCATAGTAGCTGCTAGAAGATTTGCAGATTTTGCGAGTGACTTGGGCAAATTATAATTTTGTTGGAAATAAGTTCTCTAGTGAAAGGATTCACTTTATTTAATTTTTCAAAATTAAATATTATTTCAAGCGGTCTTTTGCAAATATTATTTTTTTAGAGACAAAGGCTTTGCACAAGCGTTTCTCTGACTGACTTAACAGGATCAGAAATGTTATCTCTTTCGCCTACTGATTTGAAATTCTAGAGAACCTGGGGGAACTCTTTTTAATCTTGGTTCTGGTGAAATAGGCGAATTGAATGTACAAAAATAGTAAGAATGACAGCCTTGGATTGTTGATCATCAGAAAGTGTCCCATTAGGATTAAAACCATGGCCACGAAAACACTCGTTTCTCCGCGCTCAATTGTTTAAACATTACCATGCAAACAGTAAATTATTCAGCTTTCGATCTCAACGTCGAAGCAGCTTTGGCGGGCGCACTCTTCGTATCGCCACTAGCAATGGCAAGGCCAAGGAGGATATCTCTGCCGAACACATAAATCAGATATGATGGGCCAACTAACCAAGCTCCATTTGGTAGGATATATAACAGCACGAGATCACTCGGTGTGTTGTGCTTGACGTTCTCGAAGCCGGAATGGAACTCGTTGAGGCCTTGAGTAGTAACGTCAGCTGTCAATCCCTTTCTCTCAGTCTCACTGACTGATCATGATGCTGACGATGCATGCGGACTAACTCACCATAAAGCATCGTCTTACTAAACGTCATAACCGCCAAGGCAAACCCAACTAGACACGCCAACCCACCCCACCCCCCTCTGACAGCCTTCCTCCCAAAACCCCCCTTCCCCTCCCCCTCTCCATACCTCCACAGAATCCACAAATAAGCTAGATACCCCACCGTCTCCACTACATTCGCAGAGCTCTGAGCGGCAGTGAACCCGTTGTGCTCATTATACGACTTCCAGCCATACACGTAATCGATCTGGCCGTAGAGGATGTACGGTTTATAGAGCGGTAAAGAGAAGCGTCCGCCGGGCATGGTGTGGGGTCGTCCGAGAACGTAGCCGGTGTCCCAGATTACGAGGGGGAGAGAGAGGAGGAGCCATGTCAGTGTTAGGCGGTCCGGGGTGTGAGTCCAGCTGCCCGGACGCGAGGGTGTGGGAGTGGAGGCTTTGGATGGAGATGGGTGCCGTCGCGTGGAGACCATGGTTGGGTGGGTGATTGGACGCCTTATAATACTACTCTGCTATGCCCCTGAGACACGGGAGGCTAGTGGTAGGTAGGGTAGAATCTGGGGTGGCAGATAAGCCCTAGAGGTAGGGCTTTCTGCCTGGAGGATCTGATTTACCGGTATCGGTAGGTTGGCATCTGGTGCCTGAGGTAGAGGCTTTCGAGAGGGTTCGAGAAGTCGGGTATACGACTATAGAGTACAGACCGAATACGATCAAGAACTTCTATTGCCTTTTGTTCCACCCCCCTCGAGCGTTTCCTGCAACCTGCAGGCCCGAAATGGACTAGTGTCACCAGCCGTTGGCCGAGGACGTCATTTCACTGGATTTGTCGTCGAGGCCACGCTGCATTACTTGCCACCACCACCATGTCGCTACTATAACAACCTTCGCGAACCAGCAATCGTAGTACCTGACAGAAACCCATTCTCATCGTTACACCCATGGCCCCCAAGCGCCGCAACGGCACCGCAGCCATCAACAAAGACACGCCCTCCTCCTCAGTCAATACTCCCACCTCCGCTAGCATCACGAATCCCCTCCGCCCCACGCCCCTCGAAACTCTGCTCCTAGCAATCTACCCCGCCCTCCTCCTTCTCGGCGCCGCCTTCTCCCTCTTCGACCCGTCCGCGCGCACAGCGCCCTACAACAACCTCACGCAATCCCACCCGCCTGACCTTGCACCCTCCTACTTCGCTCTAAAACGCAACTTCCTGAACTCTTACTTCGTCAAGATTCACTGGTTCTGGGTGTCTCTAGCTTACATCGTGTTCTTGTTCACGAGCAGAGCCAGTGGGCCCCCAGGAGGCTTGGTGGTGACGCCAAAACGATTGAGGGGCGCGGTAAGATATGCGCTGGTGACTGCGTGGTGGCTGGGTGTGACACAGTGGTTTTTTGGACCGGCGCTGGTGGATCGTGGGTTCAGGGTTAGTGGGGGCGCGTGCGAGATTGCGAGACGATTGGAGGGGAAAGGGGGCGTGGGGGAGGTGTTTAGTAAAGAGGCTTGTCGCGCGGTGGGGGGCGTGTGGAGGGGTGGGCATGATATTTCTGGGCATGTTTTCATTTTGACGATGGGGAGTGCTTTCTTGGCCATGGAGATGCTGCCGGTTGTGCTGGGGTGGAAGGGGTTGAGGGATGAGAGAGTTGCGAGGGGACAGAGGGGGGAGGTGGGGAGGGTGGATCGCGGTAGTAGTGGGGGGGATGTGGGGGAGGAAGGGGAGCAGGAGACCGCGGTGGAAAGAGTAGGAGCCTGGTTGATGATGGGTGTGGTGGGGTTGAGTTGGTATATGCTGTTGATGACGGCGATTTATTTTCATACGTGGTTTGAGAAGGTATGCCATACCCTTCACTCATATTGAGGTGTTCATCGAAGCTAACATTAAGTAGCTTACTGGCTTGTTGACGGCCTTCGCAGCACTCTTTACCATCTTCTTTCTACCTCGAGCCATTCCGGCAATGAGAGATATCATAGGACTACCCGGTTCATAGAACTCCAAGCTGCGTCCGAGCAGCGATTAATAGAGAATTAAAACTAAAGCCTCGCTTAAGAAAAGCTACACCCTTCCGGCCGTCTCCCTTCCGTCTTCAATGTCTCTATTCTCCTCCTCACTCCGCAAACTCAGCTGCGAATAAGCAGTATCCCACCACTTCCCAAATTTACACCCCACATTCCGCAAATGTCCCCTGTCCTTGAAACCCAATTTCCTATAGAAGTCCCTCACATCATTCGCTGGATCCAATGAGCATACCGCGAGCATTTCCTTCACCCCATTTTCTCTCGCCTCTGAAACCGGCACCTCTCTCAAGGCTTGAATGAGGGCTTCCAGGAGCCGGCTGCCGCAACCTCTTCCTTTGTAGTCAGGATGGCAGAAAAGGGAGATCTCTACTGACGCGGCGTATGCGCGGCGAGGACGGAATTGGGTCGCGTACGTGTAGCCCATCACTGTGCCCTTTTCCATGGGTGAAGAAGTAGGGAGGAGAGCGACCAAATATGGCAGTTTTGCTTCTTGTACCGATTCATAAGTGCCTTGGACATACGAGAGTGGCTGTTCTTCAATGTCGAATGTTATGATTGTGTGACGGACGTAATGGTTGTAGATATTAAGAACCTGGGGTAAATGCTCTGGCAAGCACTCTTGAATCGAGAAATTGGCCATGGTGATGGAATTAAGACGAGATTCAATTTCCTCAAGTTGTTCAAGGAAACAGGCTGCTTAAGGATAGTAAAAAGGAAGAGCGCGGCAAGGCCAATGACGAAGATCTGCGATAAGAGACGCTTAGTTCTCGGATGAGGCCGAGGTCAAGACTTTTCTTACAAGTCAAAGAGATATTTCCATATATGTATGTGCTATGATTTTACGAATGGATGGGAATTTCCTTGTAGGAATCAGGGGCTGAGATCACGGGGAACTTCTTTTCACATGCTTGTTTTGACTGCATCCCCCTTTGAAGATACATTTTCAGTTCTGTCTTCCAAAGGAATAAATCGTCCATGCTCAGCGCTGTTGAAACTTTGAAAGAACTTGCGGCAATCTAAAAATAGCATTAGGGGTTAGAGGCCTGTAGAAAATAGCCAAAGGGTCAGCTTTGCCGTCTACAGAAAGCTTTCCGAAGAGATTCTGTAAACCATAAGCATTCCACAAGGCCGAAAGCCGGTTATGTGGTTCGTGAGAAACCACAGGGAGATAGATGTACGCTTGGGCATGCCACTGATAGAAGAAAGAATCTGTATGCGGCAGCTACGGCAGATTTTGGCTTTCCAATTGGCTACGTTCGACAAACTACCGTAGTTCTTCGCATCTCTCTAGCCAGTCATATGTAGCAACACTTGCGTCTGCTTCATGCAGAAGAGCAGAACTAAGCTTGTAAAGCTTTTAAGTAAGTTCGTCGTCGAATGCAGGCTCGCTTGGCTCGTCAATTGTGTAAGGCAGAGACTCATCATACAGTCTCGTGGACAAGCCACAAGCGTCAAAGTCTCGAAAGTGCATTGAAAGCTGGCTTTAGGTACTAAGTCCCATCGCCGCCCAAGAAGCCCTTATTTCAACGTTTTCATGGACAGACCTTAAAGCATTATTGCCCGAGGTGGTCGTAGAGGGTGGCTCCCCATTTTGGCAGTCACCAAAAATCGAGCGTCCTTAGAAGCAAGCCTTAACTTTGAGAAAGAGTCCGAACAAAGCGTCCCAAGGTCAGGAGGTAACGGTGATGCAGCTGCCAGGACTAGCTATCAAATTTTGACCAGGGTCTGTCTTATGTTCCAATCTTTCTGCTGCCGGTCAGGTCTTTTCAAGGAAATAATTGAGAAGCTATCGAACGGCAAACAGGGACTCCCGAAACCATGAGATCGTGCGCAGGCAAAACTTTGGCAGGTTGTGGAATATGTGCGGTGGGCATTAAGGATGTACAAATAGAGAAACAAAGACCCAACTTCTGGCACGATCAACAACAATAATCAAGGGCCCGTAGACATCACCCAGACCTATAAGAAATGGGAATAATGTTCAGATAGGCGTTCGGGAATAGCTGTCGAACAATTCGCGTCCTGCGAATGCTCTACCCGAAAGGCGCGTCCGAGTCTTCCACGCACCATTAAAACCCCAGAATGGAGCATCTTACGAAATCATTTCAGAGCCAGGTAGCAGACCCTCGGTCATAAACAGTGAGGGAGATCTCCTTCCACACAAAGCCTTGGGCAGCTTCATGGCATCCCCTTCGATCGTCGCACGCCTCGAGCACCGCGAACGTATATTTTGCCAGCGCGTCGTCACCGCGTCGAGCGAACGCGCTCACGTGTTGTAGCATCACTCTAGGTGACTCCGACTTGCATATACACTAGCATTCACTGAAACCATGTCGCAGAAGAGACATCGTCGTTTCAAGACCAGTGAGTCATACGATCATGGTGCTTTTGGTCTATGGCCAGCGTCGAGCAAATAGGTGTTGCTTCTTGCCAAGTTTCTAGCACCGTACAACGGCCGTTGATAGCCGCGAGTAAGCTTGACGAAAATCCGGTTCTGTGCAAGTCTCTGTCAGTATTCTGGCAAAAGTAACAGGAGCGCTTGATGAACAAGGCTATTCAAGAGTCGCTTTGTATGTGTTGAAAATGACGCTTGCCCTGCATACGGAATAAGGCCAAAAGAGGGCAAGAGAGGCTGGTCCCAAAGGGCCGAGGATCGGCCATCTCCAGTACCCAGATTTAGAACAGGCCCACTAGCCTGGCCACCACAGCCACACTGCCACGTTGTACGATGTCATGGCCCCCAATATCAACGTCTGTCGACTAACTCGGTGCAAGTCAAGCAAAAGATGGAAGATATTGAACTTTATGTGTTGTACACAGGTGCTCAGTATCTGTATTTGCCGAGTGGAGCTGTTCTAGAAAACAGACGTCTCGATGACAGGCCTGAGAAGAGTCTAGTCCAGAATGTCTTCAACCAATGGCGCATCGTGGCGGGGGTATCAGCTTTAAGCTCAACATCACCTCCGTCAGCCGCAGCGAATGGCCTCTCGTATCCGCCTTCTTTCGAGATCAACGCTGGTCTTGAAGGAGTATCGATGCCGTGCGCCCCTGCATTCTGCGCAGAGCTGAAGGGGAGATGAAGATCCAAGCCAGAGAAATTCACGTTGTTGCCGCTCCCCGGGTCACGTTGCCGTAAGCTTCCCCGTGACCTTAACAAGTTAACATGCGAGACGACGGTGCCTGTATCGCATCAGGACAGACGGCCAAACGAGCGTTAATGGCCTCATATGGCAGTCTCGTGATTGTGCAGGGTGCAGATGCAGGAGAAGCAGTACATGCAGGTGACAGAAGGAGCCATGTTGCCACAAGATGGCGGGGACTTTCGTTGCGCGGCCAACTTCAGATACCGAAATGAAGACCGGCTTGCTTGGACACAAGTCTCTCATGCTTTGATGAGGAGATGAGACGTTGAGTGATCCATGCTTCTATTTTGAACCTCGCCAACTTCAGTACCAAGATATCGCACATCTTTTACACCCTAATCTTGAGTCCCCCTGATAAAGCAGCAAGTCTAGGCTATCTGATGGGAGATGCGATCGCCTACGTAATTTCGAGACTCACAAAGCAGCAGGTACCACCTCGATGTACCTTTCGCGCGATGTGGGACGTGGTGGAGGCGTGTCGAGCATGAATCTTAGTTGCAGAAGTGGAGGGGCTGAGTCAAGGGAAGATTCGCGGCGGCAGTCGGCCCTAGACTCAAGTTGACATTGTACCGAGACTCTAGAGAAGAAGAAAGGTTACAGCGAGAGTAGAGGCTAGACCAGGCAGGAAAAAGCCCGCATGCCTAGCAGTATACTTCCTAGGCTGCATGAGACTAACAGCAGATTTTCTCATTTTTCTGTTTCGCTGACCCACGTCTGCGGGTGCTCGGTGGGTGGCCGTGCTCACTCAGAATCATGATTCTTATAAGTGAAACTCCCTCCGCTTGATCTTACCTCTTTCTCTTCGCCATCTTCTTCGGTGTTTCCCCACCGACTCTTTGTACAACCTTTTCTATTTCCTTTTGTTTATTTATTATTCCTGAGACGACTCTTTTCTCTATTATTCTTTTCCAGATAATTTCTTTCCCACATCGAAGAAAACCCCTCACCTCCGGACCGGAAAAACCATTACGAGCGACACAACCACCAAACTTTCGACATGCCTCCACAACTACTACCATCATCCGCCGCCGCATTCTCAGCTCGCGCTGCCCCCAATATCGTCTTGAATACAAAGGTTGATCCTTTTCTCACGAGTACGCTGAAAAGAGTTGCACGAAAGCGCCCGTTGAACAGCGTCGCTCAACATTTCCGATGCCTGACAGAGCTTCTCTCTTCTCCCTCCGCAATATGGACACTATGCACCCTCTTCCTACAGCGCGCTCCCTCAGATGAGCTTGTCAAGGACGACAACCCGTTAGTCGAAGCCGTTTTCAACTTCCAAATGGTCTCGATCGAAGCCTACGTCGTACATGTCGACATGGTCTCACAGAACGAGGTTGCATTCAAACTCACATCGGAGACGATAGAGTCTCTAATCGAGTACCACAAGGACATTCATACAGTCGACGCCAAGAACGACACCATCAACTGGTCAGAAAAGGATACCCAGGTGAAGAAGTTGCATGAAGACTTCGTACAAGCCATCAACAAATTCGTTTATCGCACCAACTCTATGGTCTTGGATGGGTTAGAAGAAGATGGTGCCGGTGAGCTTCTTTGTGGAAGAGCAGATGAGGTCAAGACCGCCATCATGGGGCTGTTCCTGCCCCTCCTCCCACCTCCGCCACGACCCGTCGATGTTGTCCGACCAACGCCTGTACTACCAAGCTCTACTGGCTCCGAGAATTGGTGGCAACCCACTCTCCCCTCCAACTACTCAAATGCACAAGACACATGGAAATATGCTCCTTCAGAGCCCGTATACACCTCTGCGGACTCTGGAGCCGGCATGTGGGCATGTATGGACATGAGTGATTTCCAAATGCAACCTGATATGATCGCTGAAATGTCACCAACATCGACGCTCAGTGATCCTTTCTCGTCCGAATCACCAAGTCCTACACAATTCTACAGCCTGCCGGTCACCACAACAGCCATGTCATCAATGCCGATGCCCAGTACTTTGATGCAGCAGACATGTGGGCCAAACACCGGCTTTGATGGCTTTGGTGGATTTGATTGGGAGCAATACTCGAATTTTGCTCCTCTTCAGTATGCGATGTGAAAAAAGGACATGAGATTTGCACCTATCCTGAGCTACTCAGCCTGGGGGCTCCTATTCTACGACACTTTTGGAGGCTCACATGAGACCACGATGCCATAGGCCAGGCAAATTGACACATCGAGACGGACGAACGAACGATCGGCGGATACCCATTACGTGCTTTTTTGTTTTTCGATTTTGCCATGTACAGTTAGCGAGCGTTGCTTTTCGATCATGCGTTACGAACGGCAGGACCTTTCATCATCATTCGTTTCAGTCAGCAGCATCTACTGGGAGGATATTTCAGCATTACATAAGATCGGAGCCTCACGGCATATGGGCGGGATACAATTTTGGATTCATTTCACGCTTGCACATCTAATTTACTTGTCGTCTTACAGGGAGCGCAGCGCTGCGAGAGGTCTTGTGGCTTTGCCCGCTCTCAGTATGCCACGCACACCTGTCGATCCCATCGATCCGGAACTGGATTTCGGCTGGATTTACACGAGGGACGACGGCAACATAGCTCATAAATACACAGCATCCGGCATGCTTAATCACATCGGCTCTCAGGACTATTACTGAACATCAGAAAGGGGATGAGGTAGACCAGGCACTCCAGAGGACGTCCGGGGCGGATTCTGGAGAAGATTTTCTGTGATTGTCGAAGCGCTTGGTCTACTGGAAGCCGGAAAGATGGAATGTGGGCACTGAGAGCTGGCAGGGTAATATCCTACACCAGGGACAGGTTCTTTGGATGCCAATCTATTGTATGGAGTGGTACAGGTGAATCATAGTGGCTGCGCTGCTTTCACCATAGCATAATAAACACCGAAGCGAATACAGATAACTTCGTACTCAAGCCTTCATGTCTTTTAAGAAGTTTTCTTTTTGCATTTGCGCAGAGTGACCCCAGATCCTTTTCCTTAGACGTCGTCCCCTCGGTCCTTGAACGTAGAGTCTAGGCGTACCACGCCAACTTTTTCGACGACTATAGAGCTCAAATTAAGGGCTGCTACGTCTTTGTAATTCAAGATGCGATGTCCCGCCATGGGATTAGTAGCTCGACCTCAGCAACGTCACATTGAGGATCAGAGGCGCATAAACCGGATTACTAGTTCGTCCGAAGGGTCATCAACTTCCAAGTATTACGATACCCAGATAATAGTGATGCACAGCTTCCCCTATATTTCTACATTGTTGCCGCTACGTGATATGACTGACACATATAATCTCTCACCTTCTGCTTTCAACATCTCGTGCGTGTCATGAACAAAAATGGCAGAGCTGCATTCCGCCCTCTCGACCCTCGGTCCAACAGACTTCTCTTCCGTCCCGCAAGACACTGATGCGTTGACAGCGTATTTTCAGTCTGCTTTCCAATCTGCCCAGATTATTCTCGATTCTGTCCCACTCCCTGCCCCTTCAGAAACCCCAATTGGCCGTCCACGCTCATCGACAACCACTTCCGAAGCCTCCAACTCCTCCGAGCTTTCTCCATCATCCGCTCGTTCTGATCCTCTAGATCCGAAGAATGTACCACTACAGAAGGAATGGGGCAAACCTCTCAAACTCAGTGCCAAAGAAAATCCGATGGGTATGTCCGTTTACAAAGTGGGGGGCAAAGATGGAAGAGGAGCTTGGTTTGCACGACGAAGCGTCCACGAGGGCTTGAGCTTCAGAAAGTGGAAATTGGGGCTACAACGAGAGTTTCCTGAAACATTAGAGGTGCAAGGAGGGCCAGGGGAAGGAAACATCAGAGGTATTGGAGGTGAAAGGCGTGTAGAAAGTAAAAAGGTGGATCGCGTAGGTACCGCAGAAGTCTACCATTTGAGCGCGCAATTCCCTGGGCCATCTGCACCAAGAGACTTCGTCACCTTGCTCCTCACTTCGACTAACGCTGTCAGCCAAAATGGCGATTCGAAACCTCCCGCATCTACCTCAGGAGTCTCTGGCAGCACACGTTCTAATGACATGTCTAACCATTTCATGATGATATCGCGACCGTGCGTTCACCCCGACTGTCCACCACGAAATGGGTTTGTGCGGGGTCAATATGAATCAGTTGAATTCATTAGGCAGCTTCCAAGGAAACCACAGAGGTCAGCCTCAGCTTTGGATCTTTCCGTTTCTCCTGAGAAAAACGAGTTAAAAGACGACACAAGCGGCGGGATCCAAAACCATAATACAGGTGATATTGCACAAGACGCGAAAGAGGGTCGACAGAGAGGGAAAACGATATCTTTTGCGACAAACATGAAAGACCGCAGCTTGGGTAAAGCATCTGGAGACGCTGAAGATGAGCTGGCTCCTGTTGAGTGGATCATGATCACAAGAAGTGATCCTGGAGGGAGCGTTCCACGCTTCTTAGTCGAACGTGGCACTCCAGGCGGCATTGTCGCAGATGCTGGCAAATTCGTCGATTGGGCTGCACAGAAAGAGCACCCCGAGGAGGTGCTTAATGCAATAGACGAGGGTGACATAAAAAGGCCAGGTGGCGAAAAAGACGACGGGCTAGAAGCTCCTCAGACTAATGGCCATTTAGCCGGTCTAAATGACATTGAAGAAACCACAGAGGAGGCTGATACAAACCAACTAAAGCCTAGCAAGATAGAAAAAGAGCCAGAGGTCGTGCAAGAAACTGCGTCAGGAGGCCTCATAGCAGGCGTCTCGAATGTTGCACTTGCAAGCCTGGAGACCTATGCTCCACAGAGTATCGTAGATCGCTTGCCTGGCCATCAATCGAGTCAAGAAACTGCTAACGTTTCGACACCTCATGAAGAGCCATGTACTACCAAAAGTGCTCCTCGAACGCCATCCATTAGTTCTGTTTCGAGTGGGCTGTCGTTCGCAAGCGCCGAAGAACGTTGGGATGACGTAGCATCAACGGCATCGACTCCGTCTCAGAGTACAGGCCTGAATCCCAAAGCGACGATGTCTCCCCACGAAAAGGAGCTTGCGAAATTTAACGAGAGGAAACGGCTCTTGAACGAAAGACTTGCCAAGACAAAAGGGAAGGAGGCGAAAGACAAGGAAGAATTAACGTCCAGGGAAGAAGAGCGGATAAAGAAAGCCGAGGAGAAGCACGCCAAAGAAGTCGCAAAGCAGGAGCAGAAATACAAGAGCACTGTGGCTAAACTAGATGCCAAGAAGCGCAAAGTTGAAGAAAAAGACGAAAGGGTGCGGTTGAATCGAGAAAAGGAGGGTCTGATACAGCAGCTTGACGACGTGACTAAGGAGCGTGACATTCTGAAAGAGCAAGTGGGAGCGCTTCAAAAAGAGAACACTGCGCTTGTGGTCCGACTGGGCAAGATGGAGGATGGTAAAGAAGTGCTGCAAGAACTCAGGGCGGAGGCAATGGAAGGCAATCGATCAAGGAGTAGCAGTCTAAGAAGGCTGGCAGGAGCATCAGATAAGGCTCTCGCGGCCAGAGATGCTACTGTGCTGGCCAAAGATTCGCCCTTGAAGGGGGGCGTCGAGCCGTGATATGAGTGTGGAAGGCTTATGTAAGCGTTTATGATCCATTGATTGCCGTGCTCTTCATATCACTGTGACCTACAGACCTCGCCCAATTCGGCGCAACTGATACATCAGGTATCGCCAACAGCGAGCGCATGAATGAAAATGTACCCCTGAGCGTTTGCAGGGAATGGCCTGTCGTGACGGGGAGATGGCAGATTGGCAGATTGGCGAGCCTGCACCAAGGGATCTCCCGTCTGGGCCTTGCAGGGGTCGGCCTTGCTTGTGGCTGGAACTTTACATCATGACCTTCTCCTTGCTCGCATTATATTTTGATTCAGTTCAGCCCTTTGCAGCATTTTCATTTAATCGAATCTCAACACTGTGAAGAAAGAAAGAACGAATACGATTACGCTGCGCGGCTTTACAGCTTTCATTGCGCTTCATGGTACATACACTTTGTCTTGGCAACATTTCCCTGACGTCCCTTCAAAATGCCTTCCAAACCTAGAGTCATATATTGGTTTCGAACGGATTTGCGCCTCCACGATTCACCTGCCCTGAAAGCGGCTTTAGATCTCAAACCAGAGTGCTTGTATCCCGTATGGTGTTGGGACCCACACTATGTCTATCGCGCCAGAGTTGGACCGAACCGATGGCAGTTTCTGTATGCTTTCACAGCCATTTGTCTGCATCCTACACTGACAAAATCGACCTTGTAGCATTGATTGCCAAAATGATGTTTCTTCTTCTATTAGTAAAATAAACAAAAAGTCCAAGTTGTTCGTTGTAAGAGAGGCGCCCCAGACGGTGCTTCCTAAGTTATTTAAGGCATGGAAGATATCTCATCTTGTATTCGAGAAAGATACAGATGCGTATGCGCGGGATAGGGATGAGAGCATTAACAAGGAAGCGAAGGCCGCAGGTGTAGAGGTCATCATGAAGATGGGCAGAACGTTATATGACCCAGATGAACTGGTAAAGCGCAATCATGGGAAGCCTACCATGAGCATCAGCCAAGTAGAGAAGGTACGTCTCACATCTGTCATCTCCTGCATTATCTACTGACAACCTTCTAGGCCGCAGAAAAACTGGAAGTGGCCAAGCCAGTTCCGACTCCTGAATCTCTTCCGGATCCAGGGGACACAAACATCGACTTCGAACCAACGCAACCATCCCCGGACCCAGACTTCAACGACATCCAGCGACATGCGCCGGACAAGTCTTATCACAAGCTATCAGGCCCGAATGGCGACTTCGCCCCTCCAACGATGAGCGAGCTCGGCCTCAAAGAAGCGACCTCCCAGCACCGTGGCGGCGAGTCCGTCGCCCTCAAGAACCTCGAGAAAATCATCTTCGACGCTGACTACACGGCCACATTCTCCAAACCGCAGACCGCGCCTACAGCATTCAACCCGCAATCCACGACACTCCTCTCCCCGCACCACCACTTCGGCAGCCTCAGCGTCCGGCTCTTCTACTGGCGCATCATGGAGGTCCTCGAAAAGTATCCCAAGAACAAACAATCCACGATCCCCACGAACCTGATCGGCCAGCTCCTCTTCCGCGACATGTACTTCGCCGCCCAAGCCACCCTGGGCTACTCCTTCGCTCAAACGGTGGGAAACTCCCACTGCCGCTTCGTCCCCTGGCATCTCCCCTCCAAAATCGATCCCGCAAACAATCTCATCACGGCCTCCTACCACATCGACAGTGAAGAAGCCGAGATCTGGTTTCAGCGCTGGAAATGGGGGAAGACAGGCTTCCCATGGATCGACGCCGTGATGCGCCAGCTGCGCACTGAGGGATGGATCCACCACCTCGCTCGTCACGCCGTCGCGTGTTTCCTCACGCGAGGCGGGTGCTACATCAGCTGGGAGCGCGGGGCGGAAGTGTTCGAGGAGTGGCTCGTCGACCACGAAGTCAGTTGCAATTCGGGGAATTGGCAGTGGTTGAGCTGCACGGCGTTTTACGCGCAGTACTACCGTTGCTATTCCCCTATTGCTTTTCCGAAGAAGACGGATCCGAATGGGGATTATGTGCGGCATTATGTGCCGGAGCTGCAGAAGTTGCCGGCGAAGTATATTTATGAGCCGTGGAAGGCGCCGATTCAGGATCAGAAGAAGGCGGGGTGTTTGGTTAAGGGGGAGGATGTTGGGGAGGAGGGGGGCAGTAGAGTGTATCCGAAGCCGATGTTTGATTTTAACGAGAGGAGGGAGATATGTATTGAGGCGATGAAGAATGCGTATCATGTGGGTCTCTATGGGGATAATAAGAAGGTGCTTGATGGGACGTGGAAGGAGCTTTTTAGTGATAGTGCGGAGGGACCAACCGAGGGAAAGAAGGAAGAGGGGATGAATGGTGCGGATAGTGATATAGGGGAACATGCAGATGACGGCGAGGGAGAGGAGAAGAAGAAGAAAGGTGGGCAGCAAAGCCCGAGTAAGCAGACGGCGCAGAAGAGAAAGGGGCAGGGGACTTTAGATGGGCATGTCAATGGTGGGAAGGGCAAGAAGAGGAAAACGTAGTTCAAACATCATTCATCTTCAACCACTTCAATTTCTTGGGCAATTCTCTTTCCATTGAGGTTAGATATGACATGCGATCGAATATGGGTTAAAAAGTATTCGGTGGCGATCAAGCCTTCTACATTAATATACGTAAGGTAGAATTCTATAAGGAACTTGCTTCTTGTACTCCTCCCAATCCTTGCCGTACTTCCTTGCACACTTCTCATCATCCCTCCTCTCGCGATGAATGAGCAAGATTGCAAAGTACAGGATGTAGAAATACGTGAAGATCATACCCCAGCCTTTCGCCTTCCCTTGCACGACGTCCGGATCGAAATTAGTGGCAGCAGCGAGTTGTGAGCGCTCAATATAGTATCCTGCAATCCCAGTGGGTAGACAGTACGACCATCCCATGATCCAGTCGCCCAGATAATTGATGTGTCGAGCAGTTCCCCACCATCCAGACGTGAGCAGTTTGCTACCAGTCTTGGTCTGGATGTATTTGAGGTGTGCTATCCTTGGGTCTTTTGGATTCTCTCGGAAGCGAGCCTTTTCATTATTCGCACTACGGAAGATCCAGTAGCCAAATCCGACCACGGCTATACATCCGGCTGTACCTGGGATCCCCATGTCGAGGGGGTAGACAGCAAGGTATCGTGTCTGCAAAGAGTATGTGAATGGTAGCCATACCACATCACCAAAGGCCAACATAAAGCCAAATCCGTCTGTGATCACGTCGATGGTGCTTAGGATGGAGGTCTCGTAATACAGCGCATCGATCACATACAATCCTTGAAACAGGGTAATGAAAACGATGCTGTCTGTAATTTTACCATAAGCTTTGTATTGATGTGCTATGAAAGCCAAGTCGAGGAGAAGCCATCCGAGCAAGCCAGGTCGAAGTTCGCAAAAGATCTTGACATCAATGGACCCGAACAGCGGTAGGTTCACACGGGGGTTAAGCTCTCGTCCCATAAACCAATCATAGATTATGTTGCCAGTGTGTCCACCAAGCGACAATTCGCGCTTATCCTGGTTGCCTTTTTGGACCTGGTAGCTTCGCACATAGACGAAGGTAGCGACGGCGAAGGCAACGCCTAGATTGGCGGTAATGAGTCGTACGTAATTGTCCCATATAAAAGTCCACAGAGCAAAGTCAGCCCCTTGCAGCATGGTCCCAATGCCTGCTGCTCCAAGTACAATGAGAGCGGAAGGAAAAGCTGCAGGTCACTCAGCAAATGAAGTCGGACAGGTAGAAGCTGTGATTACCATTGAACTTGTAGTCTAGCCTTCCTCCCGATGCCAACTCCACGCCCTGAACCTCTTGCCCCGGTAAGATAGTCTGGAGCACAAGACTGAAAAGGTAATATCCTAGCATCCATAGCGTTGCCTCGGTGCTGAACAGGCCGGAAATACCATGCCATCCGACCTCTTCTTTCAAGCCTGTGAGGGTGAGAGTTGATGGGTGGAGGGCGGATGGCGCAGGGCAGCCCGAAACATCATTGCACAAGAATGCGGCGAGGTATACGACGATGGGCAAGCCAAAAGAGAGGAATGATACCCCAGGCCTGGCAATTGTCAATCAACTCGACTGGAGTAAACAAAGGACATAACGTACGGCCCAAAGAACTCATATCCATGGGATGGCGTTGCTGGCAAAGTCGATTTGCGTTCGTGCTTCGACATAGCGACACCAGAATAGAGAAGCTCGTCAATTAGGAATTTATGAGCTGTAAAGAAAAAGTCGCGAGACGCCTAATGACGCTCATGATAATTTGTGCACAGTTGCATAAAATTATGCAAAAATCCGAACGAATCCGCGTCAGGCCACTGTATGCTATTGGGAGTTCCGCATCCACAAACACCTACTCCTGTGACATTCCACGCCAACCTTTTCTGTAGACATGTGACTTTGGGAGTCTGTCTACATCATACTCCAATGAGGGAATAGCGTATTTCAAATCTTGACAAGTCAGGCCTCCCCTTTTGGCGACTATGCTCTATCTCTCCTCTTCGACAGCTTTAGCCTTACTGCTCCTCCAATGCTTCAACCCCGTCCTCTCAGAATCATCCACCGACAATGATGAAAGCTCATCCAAAGACCTCAAACCTTGTACGATCAACAATCCCAATAACAACAAATTCTACGACCTCAACACAATCACAGTTCCCCCCATCGAAAAACATCATAAAAAGCACAAGGATGACAAGATAGAGAGCTGGCACGCGCGAGGCTGGGATTATGGGACCAATTTCACCATAAACTTCTGCGCCCCGGTCATAGAAGACCTAAAGGATGTCGAAGGCATCTCCGGCGACGCTGTCAAGAACATCAGTGCCTTCTACAAAACCAAAGACCGCACATTCTCCATCGGGTCAGTCCCCCCTCGACATATATGATCTCCAACTACCAGAAACTAACCAAGATTCAGACAAACATCCACAGCTCCCATCTTCCGCGGCCGCAAACTAACCCTCAACTACACCAACGGCTCCCCCTGCGACACCCCCTCCCGGTCCCGCTCGCTCGAATCCCGGAAAAAGCACCACGACGACGAAGATGACGACGCCGACGACGACGAAAAAGACAGCAAGCACAGCAAACCCGACCCGCGGCGCAAATCCACCCTCATCTCCTTCCTCTGCGAGCGGGACTCTCTGGCTCCAAAAGCCCACCTCTCCTTTATCGGCGCCTCGCCCGATGAATGCACCTACTTCTTCGAAGCGCGCTCGATGGCCGCGTGCGGGGGGCGATAGCAGCGCCCCAGAGTTTGGGGCCTTGGGGGGTGTTTGCGTGGATCGCGCTGATTGCGGCGGCGGTGTATCTGGGGGGTGGCATTGCGTATCAGAGGACTGTGATGCATCAGCGGGGGTGGAGGCAGTTGCCGAATTATGCGCTTTGGGCGGGGATTGGGGGATTTGTTCAGGTGAGTTGAGATTTGGGGGTCGTTGGGCAGAGGAGATTGAGGGATGATTGACTGATTGTCGCTACAGGATGTTTTTACAATTTTGACGAGCTCGTGCGCGAGGTTTATGCCGAGAAGGAGAGGGTATAATCAATTATCTTCTGGCAGGGGGAGGAGAGACGATGAAGCGAATGGATTGATTGATAGTTATGAGGAGGAATACTGACTGCATGGTAGGGAAAAGCTGGTTTGATGGTTACACAGGAGTTCACTTAGCATATGTACGCATGGATTGGTTGCACATCTAGCGGATGATTCGGCGTTGGCACATGGGAAGCATTAGAAATGTCATACACGAGCAGAGCTCGGCTGCAATAATGTACAACAGCGTACCTCAATCGTTTTGATACTGCTCACGATAACACGAGGTCTCCTTTTCAATTTTCGTATACTCCGACAGGCTATCAGCTAGAATCCGCTAGTGTTCCTATATTTACACGCCCTGCTTTCCGCCAGACTGTTTCTAGCAATTTGCTTATCATACCGAACCAAGATACCATCGGGCCCTCCTGGCCAGCCCCAAGCCCAACGAGGTCACAATTGCCGCCTCGCCCTTCAGAAAGCTACACCAATAGACCCCTTCGCAGCACCCACGCCCCCACCCGCCTCACTCTTCACAGCCTCCTCCTCTTCCACCCCCACAAACGTAGGCGCCCCCTTTCCCCTGATATGATCATCACAAACTCCGATCCCTAGATCCACAGCCCCCTCCTCTCCCACCGGCTCCCCCAGCGTGTCCTTCCCCATCACTACAGCTCCCATGCCCAGACTCTCATTAATGCCCACCTGCACCTTCTGCTCAATCTTCGTGCTACCTTTGCGAGCTCCGACTTCCTCCGACATACGGCTTTCCTTTTGCCTTTTCCTCTCAAAGAAGGTACTTTTTGTTTTCTTGGGAGGCTTGGCTGCAGGTTGGGAAGGGGACGCGGAGAGAAGAGGGGAGCTAGAGAATGGGGATTGTGGACCCGTGGTTGAGGGTTTGGAGAGACTGTTGGCAGTTGAAGAAGAGCTGGCGCTTTTGGCGGTGGTGGAGGGCGGGGCGAGAGTGCCAGGTTTAGTGAGGCTTTGAGAGCCGGGAAGGGATGAAGGGGAGAACGACGGAGAGGGATTGAAACCGGGTTGGGACGGTGGGGCGAAGTATTGGTGTTCTTGGTCTATGGTCATAAGGGTCGGTGCGGCGCCGGGAGGGTTAAGAGGACCGTGTTCGGGGCGGATGCGGATGAAGCACATGTTTGGCTATCCACAGCTTGTCTGGACAAGGGGAATTGCGGTACTTCATTGGTATAGAATAGAGCGACAAAATTTGTGAGATATCAACATTTTCCTCGGTGCCAGACTGTTAGCATCGTATTCGGAGAATTGAAATTATGGAAGAAAGATGGAAGTTTCGACATGACACTGATGGTCATTATGGAGGATGTAAGTGTGGCATGATGGGGGTGGAGCAGGCTGATATGAACAGTGATCAGCACACCCTTCCAATGATCCAAATAGGTAGGTGGACGTTTAAGTCTCGTGGTAGTCTGTCTCGAGCGTGTGTGTCAGGGTTCAAGTCTGCTCAGACCTCCGAGCAGGATCTCTGGCTATGACCATGATCTAGGTTAAGGCCGGGCATGCAGGTCGGGGAATTTCTCGTCGAGTGATCGTACCACGGTAGTGAGGGTGGTGTGGAACTGTGCCTTATGGAAAGATCCACAGTTCTGGTGGTTCTCCCGGAACTTGGCTTTTCTGGCCTTTCGCGGGGATCGGAGCTAGCGTTTGTGTGATTCTCGGACAGGCTGATGGCTCTAATGTCTTTCTGAGTACGGAGTAATTCACTTCGAGGATTTGAAGGCCAGAAGTTCTTGACGAAACTTGTGCGTTGGTGCCACAACTTCGGAGAATGAATCTTAGATAAACAAGAAATCACAATGTTTTAGCAGAGCGAACCATCCCCATAGAAGGGCTAGCGACCCATGTGAATATACGCTTTTCGCTTTATATAGTCTCCTCACCACGCATATGGCTTGCCTGTTAGATATATATGTTAATGGAAATTGACCTTTGAACCAAAGTCCTCCAGGTGCATCATCCGGGAGCATTATATCCTCCAGGTGGAGGTACGTTGAACGGCATGAACCATGCTCCTGTGTTAGGGTCGTTCATATAGTCGTCCCCATTAACACCCATCATCATCGGCTCTTGGCTCATGTCCATCGGTGGACTTGCATCCCACATCTCTCCAGGGTTCACCGAGTTGAACATTGATGGGCTGTTTGCGTTGAGTGCTGATGCACTGGTAGACGATGCTGGGTGCTGCCCATTGTACGCGTTCCATACGATCTGGCGATCAAGTTGAGGGAGAAGTGCTTGATTGGGAAATTGCATCAAATCGGTCGGCGTAGAGTAAGGGGTGCCTGCCGTCTGAAACATTGGATTTGATGGAGTGAATTGAGAAGGCGTCATGGAGGCTTGAGCATCTGGAATTGAGATAGGAACTGGGTGTACTTGTTCAGTATTTTCGAGCTGAGGATTGGTGATCTGTGGTTGAGAGCTGCGTTTGTTACCCGAAGATGCCATTTTTGGGGCCCTCTTCTGCTTCCTGACCTGCGCGGACTTGGTAGGCGGCGACAAAGTCTCGAAGAAATCCGCGACTTTTTGCAAATCAGATTTTTGACTGAGAGTCTCATCCTCGTTGGGCTCCTTCTTGACTTTTGTGCCTGCTTGGTCTATGCTGGCGTGAGTGACGCCATGTGGATATCGGTCAAACCAGTCTCCAAATTGGAAGATGGCCGCTTCTTCTTTGGTGCGATCTTGATTTCTATCCGAATGCCGAAGGTAGATTTCTTTCAAATTGTCCGCCATGAAATGGAAGAGACCCCAGTATTTCCGCATTTTTCGAAGATATTTCACATTGTCTGCAAGGTGTTTGCTTGACGTCGCTTTAGTCGCAGCAGTACCAGAAAACACAGCCCAAATATGAACTGTGCTAGAAGAGAAGGCACAGTATCCCATGAAAGGCGCATTGACGGAATATTCTTCTGCACAAGCAAGTAGTGTTGATATTTTGTTTGCGGAGTCCATCGCAGTCTGATAAGAGTCATTAAAAAAAGCCTTTGGCATTTCGCTTGGAGCACGACCGCCAGGAGAAGTGGGGACGGCAAATCGGTGCAAGAACAAGATGATCTGATTCGAAGTTACATGCAGGAAGATGAATTGGCTTGCGAGCTGTTGTGCCGCATGATTTTGAAGGTTCTCTTTCGTGTTGTGGAGCTCTGGAGGGAAGGACGCTTTGAATTCCAATGCTTGACGTTTCAAATCCGCCCAGTGAGAGGTCAACTCCCATGCCGGACAAGGATCCTTGCTTTTGCCTCCCATGTTCAGGTATTTGATGACTCTACCGTAAAGGGCGATGGAAAGTATCATGTAGGCCGCAACTCCCATGTTTTCCCTGGGATCTGAAGGTTGGCTTGAATTAGTCATTTTGTCATTGTAGACCTCACCCGCGAGATTCTCGGTGATTGCAGGAATCTCCATCTGGAATTTGTCTTCTCTGATTGGTAGTTGAACCTTGATGGCATCTTCATTACATAACGCTGGTCTCTCGGTGCCTGAGGATGTGAAGCGATCCATTGAAAAGCAGGCCCACATTGTCCTTCGTCGGATCTCACGATCTGTAGAGCTGAACTCGTTTTTGTCGTTGCTTTTCCTGCCTAGAGGATAGCGATCCAAATCTCGGTGCAGTTGCAACGCATGTGCCATGCGTGTTGCCATACCAGCGAACATCCAGCTCCTGCCGCCTTGGCAAGTTCCAAATTCATGCAGGCCAAGGATCACAGTAGCGGTCAGCGTAGAGATATTCGGTTCATCATATCGTTTCAGTACCAACTCTCGTGCAGGAGCAGCCCACTCGTCTCCTCGGAGATACGCAGGCTCCGAGTTGACTTGGGGATGGGTTGAGAAACGCGCTGAGACGGCGCAAACTGTAAGGACTATCACAGGAGGAAGGGTGCCAGCACTGTTTATGTCAGCTTACAAGCACGCCTATCAATCTGGGGCCAACGGACCGTAGTTTCCTGAAGTAGCTCGGTTTATGCATTAGAAAGTAAGCCTGTCCGTACACCTGATCGAAGAAAACTTCAGACAAATGTTCTTGAAGCTCTACAGATGGCAGATGCACTGCGCCTTCCATGATGTTTTTGCCGTCTTCTTCAAGACTGTCGGATTTTGACTTGGGGGGCTTGAACTTCGCTTTTGTCCATTCGTCGCCTTGTCCCCCAAATGCTTCCTCCAATCCTCTCTTCTTGGAGCCTGAGACATGCTTGGAGATGGGAGGTTTGACTGTAGCTCTGGGTACGTCCGATGCCTTATAGGAGTCTTCTTTAGGAATGATCTTGATCACCCGTTCTTCCATCCTCTTTAATCGACGATCAAGCATGGCCATGTAATCTGTCCTTGGAGCAGCCTTCCTCGTTGTCACCTTGTAGACGCACGGCATTCGAGCTCTTGTACAATGCTTACAGTTGGGCTTTTCGCCGGAACATCGAATCTTCTTTCTTCGACATGCTATGCATGCCAGGGGTAGCCTTTTCCTCTCTTTTCCTGCCTTTGTCTTTTCAAAAGCCCAAGATGGTTTAAAGTCCGGCTCATCCTTCACGTTAATTTGACTCCCGGCATCGTTGCTGGATCGGTGATTCCATCCATCTGATCGGGCGCGCTCACCAGAGCCGCGGGGGCTCGTTGCATCGAAGCTGGTATTCCTCTGAGGCGCTTCATGTTGCATGGCATTGCTATGGCTTGACTGATGACTGCCATTGAAGCTGGTTGGCTCATGAAGCTGGGAGTACGGAAGGGTGGCGGAGGGATCAGGGGCCCGCGCATCGTGCTGTAAAGGTAATCTCTGCTCGCTTATTGGATCATATACTCGATGTTGGTTAGGGCCACCAGGAGGCGAGAAAGGCTGCGTGAAGTGTGGATAGGCCGCGGTCTGGATTGGCAGTGGAGGGTGCGGTACTTGCGCTGGTGGAGGGCCATATGTAGGAATAGAGGTGGTGGGAGGTCCCTTGATGGGTTGGGATCCGTTACTGCGGGCTACATGCAGTAAGTCTTCAGCTGCTTCGATATCGACATCCTTGCGCCTTGGGTGGAACATTGAGGGAGCTGCTGAGCCCATTGTGGCTGGCGAGAGGAGACCATGGATGCAGCTTGTTTTGCAGAGGTATTGAAAATTGGGAGAAGCCCACGGCTAGCCTGCAAATGACGTCGCGCACGTGCAGCGTCAGTGCTGGCAATGAAGAACAGGGTCTCAATTCAATGATTTGTTTTGAAATTCAATTGGAAGAATCGAGGGTCCGTCACGAAGGGATTGCTGATGGGGTTGGAACGCCTCGTCTATTAGCTACTAGGCCCTCGCCGTCTTGCCCAATTCTGCCAACGCCCTAAAACGCAATCAGGCACGACCGTTGCAAAGCCGCTACTGACAATAATAATAATAATAATATGGGGGAGAGGGGGATCCGCCGAGGCTCTTTCGGGACTTGTTCACGCCAGACTCAGGTCGAGGGGATCTTCAAGCGTGATAAAATTGGGTTAGCGACTTTAAGTTAATTATATGCGCGCTTGAACGTCGAAAGATAAAGATAAAGAATTTATTGCAGCAGCTGAAGCTGTTCGTTTAATTCTTCATAATCAATAATACATCTCAAGTCTCGTGTCTCATCCATTCACCAATGATCTCCTGCGAGCGTCTGTCAAAGACATGGGACAAGTACATTAACATAGATTCAATACTTCACTCCTACTTCTTCCCTTGCAGCGTATCCCAAACCTTTCCGTGCAGAGTGCCAGCATTCTCTGCGAGTTGAGTCCCTTTCTCTGCCGCCCAATGCTTGGCCTTGTCAACTGCCTCACCGACTTCATGCAATGTGTTTGCCTCGTCAGAATATCTGCCATCAAGATTCCCCAATGAGCTTGGGGAACTGTCTGGCTGCGTCGCCGACCGTTGTTGCGCCGTCATGTCCGTTGCGTATGGATTCTGTTGGTATCCAGGCGGATGCGCCAGATCTATTTGCTTGCTATCTTGAACAGTTGGTGGAGTCACCACTGGCGCTTGTAGAGATGAAGTCGTGCCAGTCGTGGAAGACCCCGGGGGAATATAAGATACTGGAGACATGGGCGTCTCGCCGACTTTTGGGGGTGGAGGGACGGAAGCTTTCGAAGAAATGTTTGTAGCTTGAGGAGCCGCTCCAGGCTGAGGAGGCGGTGGCTGATCGCTAGGTACCGCTACTGATGTTGTAGGTGTTGGGGCTACTGCGACAGGTTGAGGAGCAGCAGAGTAGAATTGTTTTTCGCGAGACACAGCTCGAGGCCGAGCATTTTGGCTTTCTGTTGGACGGACTGAGTCCTCTAAATGAGTCTGAATGCCTGACATTTTGACAAATGGATGGAAGCTACAGTAGGTCTCAAGGTAATCTACAAGTAATGGGAACGCTATGAAGGGATCGGCTCCTTTGTGGGCTTGAATCAGGATCGCCTCTCGAGATTTCTTTGTCAAACATCTTCGGGTACTCGCGTAAATACTTCACAATACCTAAAGTAGCTTTACGTGTCCGTCGTCACTTCCTCTCACCGTATTGGATTCTCAGCGGTTGTGTGCCCCTCGTAAGATCTCTCGGAACAGCGTCATCAGTAATTGACAAGTTCCCGCATCGATATCTTGCAATGCAATTTATGAGTGACTACAGTATTCCATTCGATCTCTCTTTATATCTAGCGTGCAATCTCTCAGTAGCTGCAAACAACTTTATCAGGTTTGGAAAAGAAAAAGCGGAGTGAGGCACTGCCAGATACAGAAGTACATGTAGGAACGGCCACCAGCTTCCAGAGTACAGCATCAGCAGCGCCAGCTGCACCGCCATGATCAAAACACCCCTTATTATGCATGACCTTGTACCATGTCGCCCTTCTTACCCTCCAGCAGAAGCCCTAATACTTGATTATTTTCTGCCTCACATTCATCGAGTGTTCGCCAAACATCTAGCCAGATCCCCCCTTGAAGGCCTTGCCGAACATGAGCAGCTGGGCTTGATCATAGATCGAGAGTACACCAGCACCGGCGACACCACGCAGGATATTGGCACCTGCGCCCTTGAATAGCGACCTAACACCTTCAGCGGCAATGATTTGGCGACCTGCATCGAGGGAAGATTTGTATTTGACGGCCTTGTGTAAGTTGTTAGCGGAAGTGATTTACAGTAACGGAAACAATTCAACATACTTCACCGGACGTCATCATCATACGACGACGGATTGTGTCAAGAGGATACGAAGCGATACCGGCGCCAGTGGTGACAGTCCAACCAAGCAAGAAGGAAGCCAGGAAGCTCCCTTCGAGACTACCAACCAACAAGACGGGTTTAATGGAGTCATACATTCCGAAATAGAGACCACGGTAGACAATGATACCAGCGACCGAAGGACCGAAACCACGATAGAGACCCAAGACACCATCTGAAGCTAGAGTCTTCTTGTAGACATCTACGAGACCATTGAATTGGCGTGCACCTCCAGTTTTAGCGTTCTTTGCATCATTTGCCAAACGCGTACGAGCAAAATCCAAGGAGTAGACGAAGAGAAGGGATGTAGCTCCAGCTGCCTGTTGAAAATTTCAACCCACGTGATCTTCAATGTTGATATCTTGACTTACACCTCCGGATGCCAAATTACCCATCATCCACTTCGCATAGCCATCGCGGTCCTTCTTATACGCAAACATTGACTTGTATGTGTCGCGGAATGCGAAATTGAGAGCTTGGGTTGGAAAATATCGAATGACATTTGCCGTGTTTCCTCGCCATAGTGACATCACGCCTTCATTTTTGGCCGTTCTTGTGAAGCACTCGATGATACCGTCGTACTTTCGGTCGAGCCGACCAGTCTTCAACATCTCATCCTATGTCAAGCCAAGTTTAGCAAATTCTCCGGTTAAAAAATGTAACATCATCACATAGAAATCTGCAATCGTTCCCGATATTTCACTTGGGAAGGCGCATTCAATTGAGAATTATGCGCGTGGCAATGATGCAGGAGGATTTACCTGGTTCTGGATAAGCAGCTTCACCCGCTCGATGGGTGCAGCAGCAGTTTTCGAGACGGCAGCGGACACACCGCCCACTATTGAAATATTTCAGCCAAGATTATTATTTAAAAAATCGTTCGCCGTGCCCAGAGGATCAAATAGAGATGCTGCGGAGTTGACATACTCAAGAAGTCAACCACAAACCCCTGTGCACCGTGGTGTTAGCTAAGAACGAGTGAAAGCTCCATCAGATAGCAATTGAGCGTACGGGCATGCCCATAAAGGACTTTTTCGACTGGACAACCTCTCCTTCAACCATTTTGGCGATAGTTCAAGAAGCTCGATGGTTGCGAAATGAAGGGTCGATAAGAGAGTCTACGAGATAAAGGGGCCTTCGATAATGGAGCGAAATGTCGAAAAGAATGCAGAAATCAATCGCAAGAAGATTGATATGATTGAGCGGAGAGGTAGACGGTACAGAATCCCGATGTTGAGAGGTCGATGGGAGGAGAGGTGCAAAAGCGAGGGAATTTTTCTTGTAACCCGTTAGTGGCGCTAAACCGGAAATAGCGGGGATTGACTGAGTAACAGCCACCAAAGCATACATCCTCAATATGAAAAGGTCAACAAGCGCGATTTACCATCGCAAATCCTACGGGTAGGCTCTGCAAGCTGCAGCATCGTTTGGAGAATCATAAAGACCAATCTAAAACTACCCCATGCTGTAAGAGTGCTCGCAAAGTCAGTTCAATCCTTTTCTTTTGGTCCCTTTCCGGTGTCTCCGGCTCTTGCCCTCCCTAATATCAAGAGTGCCTGTCTTGCTCTCCCTTTCCAACCGTATACTCATATGTTTCTGTTGATCATTGAGAATATCCGTGAACGATTGCTTGGGGCCTTCGTCGTCTCCAAAGGTGTCTCTTCTCCATTGCCGCAGTCGAGCTTTCTTACCAAGGCGCTTCTTGTCTTTAGATTTTTTGCCTGGATCTCTGAACGCAGCCATCTTCTTCAGCCCAACGTACTGATTCAATTGGCTGTCAGACGCCATTAGAATGTCTTGAGGGGTCAGACCAAAAGCTAAAGGGGATGTGTCTCTATAGCGAAAACGACCGGCATGTTTCTCGCCGAATTTCGACAGGGTATGCTTCGTCTGCAGTTGTTCGTCAACCAAATGCTCAATCTTCCGTCGTTCGCGGCGCTGTTCCCTCTTCCCTTGCTCGTTGTTTGTTGTCGCCCGCGTATTGTTCGAGTGCTCAGCGCTGTTAGACAGCTTCACACCACCCGTTTCATCTGAATCATTAGAATCAACAGCTGACTTCAGCATTAATTGCGTATCTTCATCAGCTGCATTGAAATTGGGGATCAGATCATCTATCTCAATATCTTCATCCCATCTGGGCTTCTTCGGTCCCTTTTTTGCTCTCTTATCGCCTTCTTCCTCAATGGCACTTGGCTCATTATTATGTTCTTGCTGAGAATAGTAAGGATCTCCAAAACGCTTCCGCATTTCTAATTCCCATCGTTCATTATCATACGTTTCTTCGAGGAAGCTCGACCACTCTTGATCGTTGGGCAACTTTCCAGAAACCCCTGCTGCCTCTTTGATTTTCTGTAGCTTCTCTTCCAACTCATTGACTTTGAGCTTTCGCAACCTGGCCCTCTCTTGCTCTTGGACCTCGTTGACTGCTTCCCGTCTCATTCGCTCTACATCCCGCGCTTTCTTACGTGGTTTCAGATCCTCTTTGCGCACAGAATGCTTTGCTACCACATCACGTGCGTGCGATACAAGCTTTTCATTGGCCTTGTCTGGGTCCTCAAAACGAAGGTTGTATGCTTCTTCATATTCCTCAGCCCGCCGCTCTTCATCCTCATCGTCAGACTCGAAGGGCTGAAACCGGGAGCTTTTTGTTGGTATCCAAGCCCTGGTGAACATGAATTTGGACAAATATGTCTCCGGGTTTTGGTCTGCATTTTTAATATCGGTATCGTCAATGCCCTGGAGATTGGCGGTTTGGTTGTACGATTTTGGTTTAGTGACAAGAAAATCACCTTCTCCACTACCTTCTTCTTCACTGTCCGCATCATCTTGATCTTGAGCAACTCCGTGTATTTCCCTTACGAGATTATCCTTGAGGTCATTTTGTTGCTGGAAGTATGACCCATTATTCAGACCTTCTTCACCGGTTTCATCATTTCCAGCAAGCAAATGTCCTCGCTGGTAGTCACGAAGGTACAAAGGCTTTGGATTTGGCGTCTGAGCACGAGGAACTTCTGCATCTTCCTCATTCGCAGGCGGGAAGAACCTAGCAGTCTTATCGTATACTCGGGGGTCTTTTTTCCGGATTGCCTCCAGTGTCTCCTTGATTCTCATATCCAATGCATTCGAGGCCAGGATTCCCTCGTCGTCTTCCTCTTCATCTTCTTCCTCTGAGTGTGTAGAGCTTCCTTGATTGTCATCCCCATCGTTGTGGGCGTTCACGTCTTCTTCGAGGTTACTTGAATGTCCATACTTCTCTTGCACTGTGCGCTTCAGCATGCCGTATTTGGGAGCTCACGAGAGTGCTCACATCTATGAAGTTCTTCTCTTCGCTTGTTGTATTCGAATCTTTTAGCATACTGCTCATTGACAGACAAGCTGAGAGATCCCGTGTGCGATTCTAACGGAGCGTCATGGGCACAGCTCTCGTTGTCGCTATCATCCCATAGTACTTTGACTCGCTTAGAAGGTCGTGAGCCATCAGGATCATTGGCCATCTTGGGTTGAAGTCCGAGAGATTTAACCAAAAATTCTATAGCTAACAGTTAAAAGCTTGGAGATAGCGCGCTGCTAACTCCGAACTGTAGACGTGACGCAAGTCCGTTCAGCTTGGATTATTATACATGAGAACCACAAACGCCGATTGAAGGACACATTCACAATGGGGTGAGGAAGCCACTGCACGGACTAACCATTTCTACCTCTGCTGGCTGTGAGAGAAAGTAAATATGGCGGCCATATTCTCACCGGGAATGCCCAGCGAACCGGCAAAGCCAATCACTTTGATGTACGATTGAATATCATAAACTTACGGCTCTGAAAATCATATTGATCAAATTATAGTCCCGTCGGTCTGAAAGAAGCTGCATTAGACTCGCCCACTTTCCGATCTGAGTTCACCCATTTCGTTGAGCAGCTTGACCTCGTCGAGAAATGGCTGTCCAGCTATTACCGTTGCATCGCCAAAGTCAGTCACGAAGTTGCGCCCTTTGAAAGTGCAATAAATGTTTTTCTTTCGCAAACTGTGCCGCCTCTGCACGTATCGGAAGCAGTGCTCGACCATGATTATACGCTTCTTGCATTGAAGAGGTATGGAGAATGCGCGAAAGATTTCTGGACCGCGACGCTTTCAGGATTGAGAAAGATGGAAGCCAACATGGTGGATCCGATCAAGGCCTTCCTGCAGGGCGACTTGCAATCCTTCAAGGACCTAAAGCGAGGAGTCGAATCCACTCAAAAGCAATTAGATAGCTTACAGTCTCGATATGCGTCGCAAGCGAAGACGAAAGAGCCCTCGTCCCTCAGGGAGGAAGCTTTCCAATTACATGAGACCCGTAGAGCCTATCTGAAGGCTTCCATGGATTTTAGCGTCGGTGCACCACAATTACGCATGAAACTTGACAAATTGCTGGTGAAAGTGTTTTCAGACCAATGGCGTGACATGCGTGATCCTCGCATGAACTTCAGTGCGACTATTGCCAAATGGGGTGGTGATATCGAAAGAGTACGGGGGTGGAGCCAAGAGCTGGAGAAGGGCGAAAAGACATTTCGACAAGAATTAGAAAAAGCTCGTAAGCAAATAGAGGAAAATTCAGAGACATTGGTTCGCCCTTCCCGGGAACTGGAGGATTATGCTCAGAAATCAGCGTCGCTGTCAAGTACCCAAATTCCAAGTAATAGACCTCGCAACAGTAAAGGAGAGAAGCAAGGCTGGCTGATGCTCCGGACGGTGACAGGAAAGCCATCGAGGACCACTTGGTTGAGGCGGTGGTTCTATGTCAAGAATGGTATCTTTGGCTGGCTCATTCAAGGGTCACGTTCCGGTGCTGTCGAAGAAAGTGACAGAATTGGAGTGTTGCTCTGCAATGTAAGATCCGCCAGCTCTGATGATCGAAGATTTATATTCGAGGTCAAAACCAAAGATACTACCCTGGTAATTCAAGCCGAAACACAGACTGAGCTAGACGATTGGCTTTCAGCATTTGAGATCGCAAAGCAGAAGGCTTTAGAAACACCGGCAAAATTCGACTCTTCAGCCTTCGGGCAAAAGAATACCGATCCTGCTTTCTCAATTTCTCCTCCGAGCGCTCCAGAGTTTGCCGCGAGTCTAGCAGATTCAGGCGCATTACAGGCTATCGATGACGGCCAGAATTTAGGTGGAGTTGATCGCAGCTCCACCTTGCCAGTCCCAGGGGCCGATCTAAGCACAAGAAATAGCTTTGACGTCAATAATAGTCGTCGCTCCTCGGGAATAGATGGCAACAATGAGGGCACTCGAGAGAGACTGATGTCCAAATTAGACCTGCACAAACGGTCGACAGGAGGTCTTAGTGGCAGCTCTTCAGGAGGGGGCATAGCAAGTCTTATTGCAGCAAGTCATGGCTCAATGCCAGTTGGACCTGGAGCACCACCTCCAACGACTCCTGACACGCCAACAATGCGAAAAGTATCGACTCCCTTGTCGACAATTCGTGAGATGCCTACCAGCAGTCTCGCGCCAAGCACGCTTGCGAACCCGCCTGCGCCGACTAACCTCAGCGCGACAGCTGTTGTCGTGAATGGTGAACGAGGCATCGGCCTTTCACGTCCCGATTCTTCTGGAGGTCTGCCAAGTGGATTTCTCGCAAACGTGTGGGGCAGTTCCAATTGGGGCTTTCTGAACAGATTGGAACGAGGTGAAGTAGATGACGGCAAGCGAACATTTGTAGTTGCATCACAACAAGTACCTACCGCAAGCGGTACTGATCACTCAAATGCTCCGACTCCACAAGATCCTCAGAAATCTCCCAGCATAAGTCCTGCAGTTACACCTACGCATCGTAAGACAATCAGCCTTGATGGGGACGATTCAGCGGGGCTTGAATCCCAAAAGAATACGGTTCTAGAGTATCCTAACTACTATCCACTTCAACTCAAAGCGCAAGATGCTCAATTTCGGTTACTCTTTCCAGACATTGGACGTGACGAGAGAGTAGTTTACGTATTCAAAGCGACGTGGAATCCTAATGACCAGCAAGAATTCCCTGGTCGAGTTTATGTCACGCCGAAGGAGATATTTTTCTACAGTAATCATTGCGGCATGACAATGACGACATCCCTCCAATTGAAATCTATAGATGAAGTTACTGCTGCTAATGGAAGGGACTGGGATGTCATATTCCTCCATCTAAAGGAGCCAACTGGGAGTTCTGGATTCACACGGATTACCATAAAAACTTTCTTAGAGCCCGTAAAATTGGTGCAGCGGAGGTTGAGCTTTCTTGTTAGGAATTCTGCAGAAATATCGACTAGTATTGAAGAGATCATGAAAACATTGATCAAAATGGAACAAGATGATTCCGGTGGAAGTCCCAGTGAGAACAGCTGGGAAAATGTGTCCATTAATACTCCTGTCGATGGGACACCTCAAGCAAATCGACTTGCTACACAAAGGGACCATAGGGATCTCAGAACGAATGTGCTGATTGATCGTGGCCTGTTTGGTGAAGCATCGGAGCCCGACAACGGTAGGCAAGCGAAGCCTTTCAAACTACCTAAGCAGCCTGTTATTTTTGTGCCTTCGAACATGGATCAGTTGGTCGTGGAGAAAGAGTTCGATGTCAGTCCCAAGGCGCTCTTCCATGTTATGTTCGGAGATAGGAGTGCGGTGTGGCAGCTTCTATATCACGAACGTCAAGCACAGCGTATGAATTTTCTTCTATTTCTTCGGTCCCGATTCGGGCTTACATTCTCCAGATATACGACAAGGCCCATGGACGCAGCCAGCAAAAGGCCATCTCAGACGTGATTTTGAATACGAGATTGAATATCTAGATATGCTCCGTAAGTCTTTGTCAACCTCTACTGCTGAAGTACATCTATCTGACCTGTTCCAGGACGAGTCCGCGTTGCTCCCGTTCAAGATCATCAAGTCCTTGACTCTGCCACTGAACATCTGCTCTACTGTGTATCTGACCGCAAAACACCTTGGCATCTTCCTCTCCGCAAAGAATTTGTCTTACTCAGCAAAATCGTCATTGCTCATGTCGCAAAGTCCCGATGCAAGTTGACCATTTACGTAAAAATTGACTGGACGCGGAAGACATTGCCGCTCGCAAGCAGCTTGATTACACGTGCTGCTTTGCAAGACATGAAGACTGATGCCCTCGATCTCTCAGACGTACTATCAGATCAAGTCAGAAAACTTGTTGGAGTTCACAGCCGGACGAAGAAGGCTATTTCCATTTTCGGCAAGGTTGGACAGCAGACGCAAGTATCTGAGTTCGCCGGCAGTGATTCTCCTTTAAATGCACGGCTACGTCGTTCTCGAGTACGCCGCTCATTGACAAGCATATACTTGCAAGGTCTTGGATCCTTTGCAGAGACTGTAGCTACATCAATCCTTCAGATCGTCGGCAACTTCATCGAGTGGCTATGGAACACATTCACTGCAAATTCTGTGGTACTTCTGCTTCTCGGCTCCAGTGTACTCTTCAACTTCTATTTCTCTTCAAGAGGAAGTGCAGAATGGTGGCGAGAGCGTAAAGCCGTTAAGTACATGGCGAGCTTAGGTGTGAGCTCTGACGGCACTATGAGCAAAGCAATCTACGTAAATCACATAGAAGATGCCACGTCTCTCGAAACGCCCGATGAGACATCAGGCTCGCAGTGTAGAGATGCTTTCGACAGCATTATGAATATCGGAGACCCTCTTACCAGCATTCCATCACCCGGATCTGCCCAGCAGACCCGCACTCCTCAATCTCTACATTACCAGAACACCCGTCAACACCTTGGCACTCGTCGCCACGACCTCATGGTAGCTATGCGGGTCGTCAACAGCATAGAGCGGGAATTAATCAGAGGGGAGTGGGAGCGCTGGCTCGTTGAGGAGACCACGCGGTGTAGACAATTAGGAACGCTGCTGAAAGCCAACACAACGGACGGGCCAGACACTGGCCTGGGCAGATTACAAGCGAACAAGGAAGCATTGACCCATTGGTATGAAAGTTATTGCCCCAGCTGTGAAGAGGAAGGTGCCATGGCGGTGCGTCTGTGAATTCATATAGCATTGTTTGCGGGTCCTGGATTCGATGATACCCCTTAGAATGAGCATTTGTACCCAAAATGAAGGAGACAATATTTTCACATTGCATCTCCTATGATTGACTAGATTGCTCAGAATTTGACGTAGTAGAGATTCGATAGCTTAAATATTATCAGAGAAGAATACAAGAAGCACGAGTAACTTCGCAACCCCAGCTGAACAAAAAATCTTTATCGAGCAATGTTAGGGACAAACGATAAGACTCGGTTGCTCGCTCAATAAATTTTGCATGGGTCTAAAAGTACATATAAGAGCAAACCATGAGACCAAAATGCTACAAAAACGTTATGACCAATTGATTTCCTGAATCATCAATTCCCCAACGTATCAATTCATCCATGATCTTCACACCTCTCAACTCGTATTCCGACCAACACCACATTCCTTAGCATGGCTATACCAGCTCGCAGTGAGTCTTGGATGTTCGACCGCAACGGTCGGGTTGCCAACAAGCTGGATCCATCTCTGACAATTTTGGCAATACGCGTGGAGGACATCTTGTTCACCGTTGTTGCTATTACCTGTATTACCACTCCCACTTCCCCCGTTCCCCGTATGGTTGAGTTGGCTGATGTGCAGGGTCTGGGGCGGTTCGAATTGCCAGCCTACGGCTTTGCAGAGGCCATGCCGAGTCAACATGTGATAGGCGTAGTTGGAGTGTTTGAGGTTCAGCCACTTGCCCTCTACACAGTAGCTGCACCAGCCTTCGCGGTCTTTGCCTTCTTTGCGGATCCAGCGAGGCTGGTACATGTCTTCCAGGGGTGTGGTGACCTGACGAGTGTTTTCGTTGTTAGGAGACGATGTAGAAGGTACAGTCCGCGGATATAGTGGAGCGAAAAGGAGAGTCGATAGTTGAGATGATCTGTTGAAATTTTGAGAGTGCTGGGTACTCTGGCTACTTGAGGTATGATTGATCTGTTCATGACCAGTGCTGTAGTACCATGAATTGTCGGCTTGTGATGATCCATAGACTTGCTGTGACTGTTGTTCAGCGTTGACCATCATTGGGTACTTGCTATGTGCACAAGGCTCAGGTGGACACATACTGTTTGTGGATCTATGAATAGAGCAGCATTGGCCCAATCCCCAGGCTGGAAATCTAGAAAATAGTCAGCAAAGCATTTATGCAGAACGTTTCAATCATCGTCACCATCACCAATATAAAAAGCATTGGAGTCCTCTTGGCCTTCAGGAGCTGGATAGACGTTGGTTGACGACATTGTACAAGCCACCCGGAATACTTCGGCTTTGACACTGACAGATGAAATGTAATTGTAAGACAGTGGACCGGGAACTCGACTAAATACTTTCGATACTCTACTTCACCAACGTACGAGAAGGGCATGTTGCCTCTTACTGGTCGATGTCAATCGGGATATCGCCATACTGCCTTTTCACATGTAAGCATTTTTAGCTAATGGAAAGGGGCTAACGTACGAACTGCTATCTTCAACGTTGATTTCTGAAAGCACCCTCTGCCGCATATGCTCCAATCGAGCATGATGTCCGAGCTCATGGCGCCCGTCACTGGTTCAACATGGCGGTGTTGCCGGCTGATGCCGACATAATGCAGGAAGTCGTTTTGACAATCCTATTGACATGGGTTCTAGAATGCCGGAAAGCCTCAGGAAACCAATGCATAATCGGACTGCCCTCGACAGGGCAGAGGAATCGGACCCTTATTTTCGCGAGACCCTCAAGCTTCGTTTCTGTGGCCTTTCTCCATCCCAAACGGTCAAACTCAATAATCAAAAGCAGGGATCTTGTGCTCCACAAAGAGAATAGCTGAGAGACACGTCCAGGAACGGTTTAGACACCACGTGTCTGGAGAAACCAATTACGGGTCATTGGTCCCGTTTGGGGAAGAGTCGAGTAGTTTCCCGAGCCCCTTGCAGTATGTTAACAGCTGCAGGATCGTACGCGTGATAAGAACGTAAACAAAGAGCATGCAATGTACCCGTCATCAAGGCATTTCCCTGTCAACCCCACGCTTTGGAATGTGGCTTTGCCGTATGGTTTCATGCATGTCATTAGTGAGGAGAATTATTTTGTTAGCCTGACGACTCGTGCCACTGTAGTGTCATTGTCTGATAAGGCTTCGAGGGAGGCAAAGGACTCGGTACCGACAAAGGGGGTTGGTCCGTTCCCTGTTACATTCTCTCCTGCACGTGCGATCCGACGCCCATGATACTGTCGTCAATACGAGCACGTTGCCCTCCCGTCGTCCCGGACTCCTGGATCCACATTCCAAATACCTCATCAAAGGACGGCCCGCTCTATACGAGAACAGCAAGGCTCCGGCTAGACACCGGTTCGGTAGGGCTTGCATACGTCAAAGCCCGCAAGACAGACGTCTACTGCATGTCAGCTGAAAAGTAGCTTGGAATGGTTCCAAGGTTTGTTTCCAGGTATGTTGTCGTCTCGCAAGCGTCATTCGTCCAATTTTTCTGATTATGTTCCAAAAGATAGGTGGCATGTCCGTGGAGAAGCATGTTGTTCTTTGCTTGTGGAGTCTGCTGATGCAAACGCCACTGGAGAACATATTCTCTGTCGACGGACAAGATCGGGTGTGGCTCAACGAACAAGTGTGTGTAGACCGTCGACCGCAAGCAGATTGATGTGGCGAACCCCGTTGATGTCGGGCTGAGGTCCTAGTAAGCCCGATGAAATTCCTGGTATGGCATATACAACGGCCGCAACGGGGCGGCTACGAACCTAAAGCTCGCTACAAGCGATATGAAGAACGTCATTTGACGAGCTGCAACATCCAGGGCTGGGTCAGCAAACCTGTTCGGACGCTTTCTCACCAATCAAAGTGCCATCTTGGTATCACTTTTGCCAAGCATGCATTTGCCGAAAGGGGACGTGTTGCAGCCACGAAGGACGCGACTGAAGATCTTCTCAGCCATTTGGCCACCATTGATCCCAAAGGGCAGTCAGGATGCTTGCCATTGGGTGCGCAGAATTCATTCGAAGAAGGGTCCATACGGCCTTAAGATGGTTGCTCGCTTCTCAACCCCTCTAAATTAGCAATTCCTGCGTGGCGTCTTAGTCTGACAGAAGCAGAAATAGCCGTTGCTGGTGCTAATCCATTAGTCGACAGTAGTCAAAAGGTCTGGACTGCTTTCCACGTGGCAGATGAGGACAATCATCCGCATATTGGCAGGGTATGGTTCCTGATACGACAGTGCACCACAGGCGCGTCATATGCCAATCTCCGCATCTGACTTCGGCATGCAGTTCGATCAAACAATCAAAAGGCTGAAGGGCTCCCAAGTACCGATGCAGTTTCCAAGAACTACTGCACTGTTCGAAAGCCGATCAAACCTCAATCCGGATTGGCTGGTCATATCATCGGACTCTACCGGCCTGTCAGAAGATGCATACTTGTCCTGAGGGTCTCTTTCAATACAGCTTTTTTCTTTTCAACAAAGAGAATTGAACACGTTGTCATTGCGAGGACTTTCGCGTAGACATTCAGACGAACGCTATATGGCAATGGATGCCAGATGTCCACCAGGAAAGAGAAGACCGCAAGAGAGCCATACATTTGGCTGAGAGTTTAGGCAGAGGCGATACTCCTCTTACTCAATTCCTCATCAGCCTTGAGGGCGAACTGGTCTTCCATAGAAGGGTGTGAGACTCTGTTGAATTTCTACTTGATGAAGTCGATCAGAAGATAGCGGTCTCAAGACATTACGCACCAGTTGAAGAGCTTACTAAGCATATGCGCCAAGGAAAGTTGACTCAGGGGTCAAATTAAACTTCGAGCTACAGCAGCTTAGGGCCTGCCCTGCACACCAGTGACACCACTACTGAAAGTCACTTCTTATTCTCTAGAGTAGCAACTACAGGAGAAGGGAGAATACTGTTGACCCTAATGATATTTTGTTGAGTGGACACAGCTCTACTTACAGGTTACGTGTGTCGGTGACTTTACCATGCGTTATAACCCCACAGTCCAGAGTGGCCTTGAGACCTCTGCTAACCATTCTCTTGCAGTTGGAGTGATTGGACCCCAGTAATGAGACCGTGTCGTGGCTAAAACTGTACCAGAGACTATGTCAAAGCATCCTGTCCACGTCAGTCAGGGTTCTGTTCTTCTCGGCTACCAGTATGAATGAACCAGAAGTCGCACGTATTCAAAGATTGAGAGTATTAAAATTGGCACGATTGATTTTCTATACCCTCCAGTGCTATGCTTCCAATTTATTATCCGAGATGCGCCTTGAACGATGTAATTCGTGCCTTCATCTCTCTAAATTGCTTTCCGCAAGCGTTGGACTCGGTGCATATCAAGCATGCCGCAATACCTCGGAGCATTCCTCCCTCTAGAATCCATTGAAACCAGAGAACCCGGATTGCCCTCCACGACTTCGTCCGCCGCCTCCGCCACCTCCACCTCCAAATGGCGATCCGCCTGTCGAAAATGAGAATTGAGGACCTCCACCGCGGCCACCGCCCATGCCTCCACCACTGCCCATCATGTTGAAAAGCATCTCTGGATCGATCTGCATTCCGCCCATGCCTCCTCCCATTGGGAAGCCTCCCATGCCACCTTGTTGGGCGAACATCTCGCTTGGATCAATTAAATCCTCGCCACTGTCGTACTTGGCTCTCTTCTGCGAGTCACTGAGAGTTTCGTATGCCTCGCCAATATCCTTGAAGCGCTCAGCAGCTCCTTCGTCTCCAGGATTCTTGTCCGGGTGATGCACGATGGCAAGCTTTCGGTAGGCCTTCTTAATATCGTTGTCACTGGCGTCATTCGCAACGCCGAGGATCTTGTACAAATCTTTGCGTTTTGACTTCTTCAATTCGAGCTCGGCATGACGGATGTTGCTGTTAATGCCAGTCTCCTCAGGGTGTTGCTCCGCTATAGACTTCCATTCTCGAACGGAATCGTCCCATGAGCCAGACTCACCGAGAGCATTTGCACGAGTTTTGCGCGCTTTGAGGAAGGAAGGATCGAGCGTCAAGGCTCGGTCACAATCTGACAAAGCAGCTTTATAGTCTTTGAGCTGTATTGATTGGCGAGGTTAGCTCGACCTAAGTGTCATCCCAGTAAACAGACATACCTTCATATATGCCAAAGCACGGTTATGTATGATCTTCGCGTTCGCTAGCTTATTGCCGGAATCAACATCCAAAGCCTTTGTGTAGGTTTCCACAGCGTCCTTCAACTTGCCAAGTTTGTAAAATCTGTTTCCGTCTTCTCTTAAGGTGTCGAGTTCTTTCACCATTCTCAAATACTTCCGACCTTCCTTGTAGTCTGGGTCACAGCTCAAAGCCGTCTTGAAATGATTCAAGGCCTTCGCATTATCCCCTTGTGCGTACAACGCTCGACCACGTAGCACGAGAGCCTCCGGGTCATTTTGGTTCTTTCGTAACAGTGTCATTGCAACATCCTGTGCCTGTCCGATGGCATTGATGTTTCCCATCTTCAAGTATGCTTCTCCACGCAGGAGTTGCCATTTTCTCGGTCTTTCCACCTGTGGTCCGAGGAGTCTGTCCGCTTGATCTAATGCATGGATGGCCATGGAGCCAGTCGTACCTTCTTTGACGGCTTGCTCAGCTTGCCGTATGTGTGCTTGCATGTTCGAGGCTAAATTCATGTCTGAGGATGACACTTCTGTGAGACTCGAAAGTCGGTCAAGGACATCCAATGCTTCAGAAGGACGTCCTAAACTCGTCAGAACCCGTGCTTGCCTCTGTAATACTTTCGGATTGTCTGATTCTATTGAAGAAGCCCTCTGTATGTCTTCAAGTGCTTCGGAGAACCGGTTTGCCGACATCTGAGCTGCAGCGCGGTTGGACAAATAAGTCACTGAATTAGGCTCTACCGAGAGGGCTGTTTCTCAGTGCATCAGTAAAAAAATTCTATGTGAAAGTGTGTTCTTATCTGCACCTTTTGAGTATTCTTGAACAGCTCTTGTAAAGTCCCTGGCTTTGAAGTATTTGTTGCCCGAGGCCTTGCAGGCTTCTGGATCTAGATCTGGCTTGGGTTTGGAAAACGACATCTTGTGGGGTGGAGGAGTTGGACTTTTTTCTCCATTTGCATGCGAGTATTCTGGCGATCTGTTTGCTTCACTTGTTGCATTCTCGTTAGGCGACGACATGTCGGCGGACTCGTCTGTGGTGGACATAGCCGAGCGTCGGCGCTCCCGCTCTGCAGGAGGGAGATTGAGAGGGTGAATATCACTACTGGTAGATTCGTATGACGGTCTTCGTGATCTTGATCTTTTTGACAGGTCTGGATAGCGTGAAAGTGGAGATATTGTGCGATGCCTGGAGTGCTTCGAGGGGGGCTTGGAGGAGTGAGATGGACTTTCCGAATGCCGGGGTGATGATTCTGTATCCCCTGTCCTACGTGATTTGGAGTTGTCCTTCTTCTTTGGAGAGGTGAATATGTTCTTGAAGACCATAATACAAATGGGTTAGTGATCGGGTAGCTGCGTAAATTTGGCGGCGTTTCCTGTCCGAAATCCTAAAACTCCCCATTCAAAGCAAACAATTCTCCGCGTCTACCTTCGATCATCCAAGTGACCGAGACACAGTGCGCACAATGCACAAAATCGAGACTAAATAAGCGTAGTCGAGGTCGCAAATCTAGACGTGAGATCATTCATCGATCAACATCCGCCCTCCTTCTGTTTTGGGCGGTGACCGCCTTCAGCTCGTACAGCCAAGAGAGTTTTTCTTCTGGAAGCTTCGAATCTCCAGGCAGTCTCGGTCAGGCACAAGGCGTGCGTGCCAGGGTCAAGGCTTCCATGTACTACCTTACTTCAGCCCTGGGAGACGCAGATGTCACGCGGTCTGCGTTCGCAAAAGGGGTGCGACTCTCACATGTACCTCTTGCTGGCCATCATTTCGCAGATCTTTAAATTTCAACGTCTTACAAATGAACGTTTTTCATGAGATGTTCCCTTAGAAAACTACCTGACCTAATCCGAACATAGACATATTTCTGTACTGCCATAGTCATTGCATTATGTTGTCCAGTGGCGCACTTCTGAAACTATCATCAAATCGGTCATTCTGAGCTGAGAAGAGTCTGTCCTCTGACAGATACGTCTCCGCTGTTGCTAACAAGGCCTAAATACCCTCCTTCTGCTATCCTAATGCCTTTAACTCTCCTGTGCTTACCACCTCCGTTTTGGTCCTCTATGACTTTGAAGCCATCCCATTGAATATCTACGGATCCACTAGCTGAAGACGCCTCGACAGTACCCTGGTAAGTATCTGGGTAGGACACTGCCTGCGATCCTGACGTGGTCCGGTGGTTTGTCGAAAGGCGGTCGATAGCATCCTCTGGATGTGAGAGGGATGGGTTCACGGTGAGATTGAGGTGTCCGCTTGCAGTCCGGGTGTCAATGAACGTGCGCGTACCATTGAATCCATATGGATATATGTTCCCTCTTATAGAACTACTAATTGTTCGCATCGTTGTGGCGTTTCCATGCAAAATGACTGCGTTGATACTACCGCTATAACTCGATATGGTATTGGTATAGTTGCGGTCAGGAACGTTTAATGAGAGGAGACCCGAGTTGATCTTTCCACTTCGCGTGTGCAGCATCAGATTTGCGGGCTGAATGGGATCTGAGACGCCTTTTGGTGACACCTGTATGTCTATGTTGCCTGATGTCGTGCGGACATCTAGAGTATCATACAGAGGGAAGATGCCTTTAACAGAATTGGAGCCGGCGACGATGGTAATATTTTTAGACTCGAAGAAGGCTTTATTCTCATGTGGACAATAGGGGTACGTCAAATCCGCACCTGTCGTCACAGCAGCCTTGCAAGATGATTTTTTTGAACGAGCACCAGAGAGGACGCCAAGGTGGGTTACATCGATGTAGAGAAGGTCGAGCTTTGTTCCAGGTTCAATCCATATGACTACATCGACACGCCCAGCGAAGGGCTGGATCAATGTTCTTTGCAGGTCGAGCGTCATTACATCCTCCTCGAAATCTACAATAGAAGGGCCAATTGCAGACCCGTGCCCCACTGCTCTGTCGTCTGTAAAGACCTCTACCACGATCTTCGAAGGCAAACATTCCTTAGCCTGCTGCACGCGGACCTGGCCTAATAGATTCGCATTGAAACTCTCAGCAGCCTCGAGAATGTTGACTCGTTCGACAAGTGAGAAGGTATTGCCATTGAATTCGAGAGTTGTCAACAAAAGACTGCTCGACGTGGCTGAACGGTACGAAAATGTCATCCATCCTAGGAACTACAAGTCTTCAGTCTTATTCGGAGCTGTGTCTTGTCAGACTCGATTCTCACCGGGACATGAGGCTTCAGAAACACAAAGATTACAAAGACAAAGGCGATTGGGTAATAAGCTGTATGAATCCTGCATTGGGCCGGCGTAGGACCTTTATTTTGCTCGTATCAAGCTTCCGATCAACGGGAGATTGTTCAAGGTTTGATTGAACATGATGACATTCATATTTGATTCCTTCACTGGAAAGAGGATGATTCATCTTGAATCGCAACGGGACAAATGGGAATGTATGCAAAGAAAGTCAACCTGAAAGATTTTGTACGCAGCTCTAGCCCGTGGACCAATTGATGGATGGCACTTCGTACAATGGAATATGAGACTTGAGCAACAATGGTAGACGAATTTCCACTTGAAGCAGAAAATATTGCTGCCTTGAATCCGAAGGGTGAAGAGCGAGCGACCGTAAAACGATCGTCGTCCAGATTTGGACATAGGCAGCTAACGAAGGAGGGCGCTGATTGGCCTTGCGTTATTTTCCCTGCACTGTAAAATGCGTGGGCATACCGAGGCCTTAGTGTAGGATGTGGCTTGCCACCTCAGTCCTAATGAGCTTATTCTGGGTAGATACTGTTTTCCCAGACCGTCATAAGGAGATCGAGAAACTTGAATTATGAGCGCGATAGTCTCCACAACCACGCTTATCCCGCTTGGGCCTCGGGGGGTCATCAACGTGCAGCAAATCATGGGTGTGGTACTTGTATGTAAACAATTGGACCTGGTTCTTGTCAGAGGCTTGAGTGGAGGAATCAACCTTCCCGGCATCACACGATGCTAGAGGTAGATCGAGTTGAATGTTGAGCCACATTGAATAATCATGTACTTTCTCAACGCTGACTGTATGGTCAAACAAGTATGAGAAAGGGCGAGGGAGGACAGAACTGATAGAAAAGGTGCATGAATAATGGGAAAGGAAAGAGAAGATGGCCCGAGTGTAACGCATGTCATCAAGTGGGTCTGTGGCTCCACGTACACAGATATTGAAGATCACGTGTGCATGGACGGTGGTGACGAACAGAGCTAAACTCTTGAAGACTGATTTATATTTTGTCTGTTCGCTCGCGATGAAAAATCGCGAATGTCGAATGATGACCTTCCTAGCCCCTACAGACTCCTTTGAGGAGAGCTTGCACGCAGATAGGCACAATTGCCTAGCGGGTGCAATAACCACCATCAATGAGCAAATCGGTTCCTGCATTCGTTAGCGACAATCATAAGATGGACGAGATTGGGCATACCGGTAGTGTATGTGGAGGCATCACTGGCAAGGTAGACATAACCGCCCTTCAATTCCTTAGCCTGGCCATTGCGGCCCATTGGGATCATGCTCTTCCAGAGATCTTGGACTTTCTGGTCTACGAAGTCCGAAAGACCCGTGTCAATGTATCCGGGAGAAATGCAATTGACACGAGCGAAGTCTCTCCACTCATTGGCGAGGGATTTGGTCAAGTGAATACATCCAGCCTTCGCGACATTGTAGCTGGTCTGCTCTTGAGGGAAGTTGGCAATGTGGCCGGACATTGAAGCAGTGATAACGAGAGACCCGGTTTTGCGTTCGCGGAAGTGGAGTCCAACAGCCCTAGCGCAGTAGTATGTGCCATTGAGATCGGTGTTGACAACCTCCTGCCACTTTTCTACTGGCTCTTCCAGAATCCCGGCATCAGAGGTCCTGCCAGCGTTGGCAATGAAGACATCAATTTTGCCGTAGTCCTTGATGACGTCTGCCACGAGCTTCTCGACGCTGGCGTAGTCACCAATGTTGCATTTGTAGGCCTTGCATTTCACCCCATACTTGTCGATGATGTCCTTAGCGTTCTTCTCTCCTCCCTCTGGCCGAGAAGAATATGTGATAGCGAGATCAGCACCCATCTCCGCACAGCCACGGGCTGCCTCCGTGCCAATGCCAGTAGGACCAGACGCTCCAGTCACAACAACGACCTTGCCTTTCAGGCTGAAGAGGTCAAGGAGATGATCGGCTTTTGGAACTGTGATAGGCATCTTTGTGGTATTGGTGGGGTATCGAGGTGGTCAGAGGACGAAAAGGAGCTTGAGCCTTCTTGCAATTGGCAGAGAAGGGATGGAAGGGGACAGGTCGGTGTTGAAGATAGCAGAGATTGGGGCCAAGAGAGCAAGTGGTAGACGTGCTGTTGAGTGGGTAAATTTTGAAGAGAGAAAAAAGGCAAAGATATAGGCCGTATTTATTCCGATGGCAGCCGGCTACCCCTCCAAATAGAAAGCCTCAAACTCTCATCCTGTCCCACTTTGTGTGTGTGCAATCCACAGGCGCAGCGCCTCTAGCCAGGCTGGTTTGTCTTATTCAGCCCTTACCAACCAGTAAGGCCTTCCAGGCAGCCAGCAGCGTCGTAGTTGAGCGCATTGGCGTTCACACGCCGTTCACATCCCAAATGGTGGGGTTGGCTAGATGTATGATGATGTAATCAGCGCAGCTTCAACGCCCCACGAACAAGCACCACTGGGACGCATGATTAGTCGAGAGTATGTACGCTTGTCATTGAGTTAGATACTTTGCTTTTCAAAAGTGCAGTGCGTTATTGCGTCAATAACGCACTCATTCAAAAACAATGGTGCGTTCCAATCACCTTCTATTGACAATCCCTGTGGGGATTCCTGTGGGGTATGGCGGATACGGTTCCGTGATCCAATAATGAATGTTCCGACTCCATCGCTCATGCTACGCTCATGCCATGCAAAATTCGTGATCCGTAGTCCAGTATGTATAAGAATCGAAGAGATGCCACCTTTATGGCCATGTATATCCGTCTTTGCCGAGACGTGTCTGGGATAGGTTGCTCGAAGAGCTGGAGGTTCCAATGATGCCAGTGCGGGCCGCCTTGGGTATTGCATTCCAATCATCTCGTGAAGGTCTCCTTGAAAAGGCAACCCTGCTCATATAAACCCCATGTTCTCCAAAATTGCCTTGGTCTCGTTCATTGGCATTCCACTGACTCCCAAAGCTCGCACTTGAGTTCCCCGGCGAAGTCTCTGTAATCCGACCGCAACCTTCCAACCCTCTTCTTCGCCAAGGATGAAGACGTAGCGCTTGCCCTCGACATCTCGTATGCTCGCTCTGAGGACATGTAGGCCCTTGAATTCACCGCTCTGTGACGCCAGACTACCGTTAGACCTAGTGCTCAATTTGGACAAACGAGATTTGCAAGTAGACTCGAGTGCGTTGAGCAAGGCTTCCGAGTGGGAGCTATTGGGCGCTTTGCACACCCATTTCTTACCCTGCTCCGTCCACTCGTTCTTGCGGGACAAATCATCGGAGCCAGAACATGCTCCCAAGGTGAACAGATGGGGACACCATACCTCGACCAGTTTCAAAGTCCACGCTTTGACGTCCCACTCTCTTTGAGGCACACCTCGAACGTCATCGTCTATGAACAAGCCTTCTGTGGTAATGCGCAAAACCAGACCATCTGTCACCATACCCATGCCGGAGACTAATTTGGATACCGGGGTCTTCATGAAAGCATTGTTGAAGGAGTAGACACCTTTGATCACTATCTTATCCGGGTCTTTACTCTGATAGGGCCCTCGTTGTGAGGGCGGCGGCGTTGTTTTACCAGTTGATTGCGAAGGAGCATATGAAGATTCAGAGTATATCGATGAAGCGGATGCAGGTTTGTGCCCCTGTCGATCGTAGGGTCGGTAAGAGTATGAAGAGGCGTCGTCAGTGGCTGTCTTTGCGGTCGGATGACGATGGTGTTTGTTCGGTGAAGCAGGTCGACTATTTCGTGCAGCAGCCTCCTTCTCCCTTCTCTCACGAGCCTCGCGTTCACGGGCTTCTTTTTCACGGTTTCTTATCCTTTCCTTTTCATCCTCTTCTCGCTTTTTTCTTAAGTCTTCGGCCTTCTTCCGCTCTTCTTCTTTCTTGCGAGTCTCCTCTCGCGCTTTTTCCCATCCGCTTCTTGCAGTCCCTGCGTTGGCCGCTCCACCTGTGGTTCCCGCTTTCGATCTCTGCCAGGTGGGCGGGGGCCTAGGTTCAGGCTGTGGAGTGAAACCTGGTGTAAAGCCTGGTGTAAAGCCAGGCGTAAAGCCTGGTGTAAACCCAGGCTGCGGCCCTGGGCCTGATTGACTGCCAGTCTGACCACCAGCTTGTGGCTGAGGACCACCTCCAGCGCTGTTTCCTGAAGGCCCGCTCGATTCCATCTGAGTCTTCCCCCAAGCCCAGCCTGCTATACCTGCTGCAAGTAAGAGAACAAATACGGAGATACCTCCACCAGACGCCACTGTTGACATCCATTCCCGAAAGACCGGCAGCACAATTGTCCAAAAGACCACGGCAACCAGCGTACAGAGCACGCCTGCAAGGAAGCTATTTCTGTTCGTCTGAAGCGATGGTAAATAGAGGAAGCCACCGCCGGAGGAGTGGGGAGGAATGACAAAGATATCGTAGGAACCTTCGGGTAGACCATTTCGATTGTTGGGATTGGTTCCATGAGGGGGCGGTGGTGGTGGAGGAGGAGGAGGACCGCTCATATCTTGTCATGCGGCAAGTAATGAGGCTCTCGATGGAAGCTACTGGAGTTTTTGCAGGTGCCGCATGGGCTGCAGTCGCTGCTGGCGAAAAGTGGACCGCGTTGGTCGCTTCTTCATGTTACTGCGGGCTCCTGCTGCAGGCGTCCGTTGAGGTCATCCACGATGGCAGGATCTAGAAGACGGACTTGCAGTACCTTCTTAGGTCTGACAGTGGTATATGTTGGGTATCTGTGCTTGCAAGAACGAGGTGTTGGTAGTTTGCAGGGTCACACTGATCTCTTGTTTACTTGGGGAAAAGAGCCGTCAAAATTTTCCAGCGGCGGTAGCTTTCGGCGCGCTTCCGGGCACTAAGGCGCCCACCGGACCGAGGACGTTATAGGGTGTCGGCTGTGTTCTTTTTTCGTCTCTTTACATCATTTTCGTCGGTGGGGATCCACGGAAGCGTGCATCTGAACTGGTGTTTCTGCAGCGTTGCGAAGGTTGGTCAATCGGATTTTTGTTTATCGAGTCCCTACGACTCGCGTCCGTCTCATTTTGGCTGGACTCGCCCCTGCTGCCCAATGCAACCTTCACTAGAGACGGAAGCGATATCATTCGTTCCGCTCGACAAGGAATCATCCCCGCGGGGACTCTCGGAACCAATGACAGACGGTGGTGCTGTGACGATTTTAAGAGGCTGCAGCCTTTGGCCTTGACAGCACAAGACGGCGCCAATCTAGAGCTTCCGGCCAACCCAACCTGCATTCACAAACTAAGCTGGCATATTCAAACAAACCCTCAGGACGTATGACTCAAGATTGTGCAATTAGCTGCAGATGACTGTGAGCTGGCAGTGCAGGAAGTCCAAATGCCCTGTCATGACCTGCATTCCATGTCTAAAGTCATTGATCCGATCTGACATTGTTGCTATCTCAACCGTGATGTTTGTTTACTAATGGCACATCCATGGTACTACTCCATATTAGCGTAGCTTATGAAGATTCTGCCATCATCAGTAGCGGCCTGCTAGCTTGGACACTTCACGATGCCTGCCAACGTCAAGCTAGGATCTCCCCACGCCGAAAGGAGTATCAAATCCTCCGATATGTGTCACGTGTTCACCGTCCTAAATCTACAAGTGTCTTGGGTGCCTCTTCTACCTCTGAACTTGGGGCGTAGTCCGCTATGTACAGGGGCTTGGAGCATTGCCAAGTCGTTACCTGCATTGAAGGAAAAGTCATGCAAGAGACTGACTTGCTTTGGAATGACTTCAAATTGGGAAGGCACGATGCCACCAAGGGTGCGCTCTAAGTCTCGAAGTATTAGAGGTATGTCTTTTTTGCCAGAGAAAGAGGGCTTGAGGATGCTGTGCTTTAATAGTGACTGAAGCCAGGAGTGGCCACCAAGGGTGCATTGGGCCAACTAGGTCTTGAGATTTGAAGTCTGAAAGCCTGTCACTCATTTTGTTGTTGCTACTTTTGCCTCTTGTGCATCTTGCTACTCGGGTTTTTTCTTTAAACCTTCAAGAAATTCGAAAGGCAATCGCACCTATGGAGCATTGCACTCATGGTATCGATACTTGGTCTCAAAAGTGGCTCCTTGCTTGACAGTACTGAGTCCTATGACCCTATGTCGTTTGCTCTGCGTATGATACAATCATCAAAAACACTTCTGTTGATAATCCCTTGAGTCCTGCGACAGATATGCGCACCAATCACGGCCTGAGCGCAAGGCGCAGGTCTAACTTCTCCTCCGGAGCTTTCAATCTCTCCCCGCGGCACAGCAGCTTGAGCTCGAAAAGGCTCATCCTTGCGTCACCGGCTATGGCGAAAGCTTTCGTACCATTATGTATAGCTTTGTATGTAACATCCGACATGGTGAGTTGTTCTCGTCATCATTGGACCAGCAGTCTCACGGTTTTTCCACTCGGGAACCTGCAGTAGACGGGTCAACGCTCGGATCTGCCTGGCAGCCACCTCATCATCATATCGAGACTTGGCTCTGCAGAACGCCACGTGAGCGGAGAATTTGACCCACACGTTTCATCTTGTTGTTGTGGGAAGAAGGTTCCTGCCTGACTTCCCCTCAGCTGGTGCCAATGATAATCAATATAATGCTAGACCACTTGGCTTGTCTCCTCCCGCTTCTTGGCTGACGACTGGCCCGTCTAGCCAATCAAAATCGTGAATGGTTCCCGCATGGCACTCACGATTAACCTGCCAGCCACATCTGAAAGTCAAGTCCCGTTGCTGATCGCGCGGAGATTCTCGATCCAAATCTCATTATTAATATGGCAAGTTCGACGAGCATGGGGATTCATTTACCAGTCCCCACCAAATCGTGCCCGTTGAAGAAACCATAGCTCGAAGGAGATGATTGCCAAAAAGGCTGCTGCTCCTGGTACCCAGTTCGATAATATATCGACGTAAACGACAGAACGATCACCCGAGGCCAGCTCGAGAATGCCGAATCTACCTAGTCCCGATGAAATATCTGCCCAAGAAGCGCACATCAAGGACAGCAGAATAACAGAGCTGATTGCTGTCCATGCGATATGTTTTCCGCTTGCCTGCGTCGCAGTCTTACTCCGAATCTTATCACGGAGGATCGCCAAAGTCAGATATGGAGCTGATGGCTGGTTCATGCTCGCTGGACTTTGTTTTACGGCGGCGGTGATGATCAGCAATGTTGTCGGTCTGCATTTCGGGCTTGGGAGACATGCTGTACTTGCAAATCCACCTGGATTTGCCAAGGTGAGTCATGTTTAAATCAGTCCGATTAAACGAGTTACTGACGACAAGGAGACTCTCATGTCTGCGGAAGTCGTCTACAATTTCGCCATGCTGTGCATCAAGTACTCTATTCTTTGTCTGTATTACCGCATCTTCTTCGTTAGCCGTGGCTTCACTATTGCAGTATGGGTAATCGGAGCTTTCGTAATGGGCTATAGCATTGCTCAAACGTTCGCGGCTATCTTCCAATGCACACCTGTTCCGGCACTGTGGGACCCATATACGCACGGTCACTGCATCGACACGAGTCTTGCGGCCACGGTCATGGCTGCCTTCAATGTCGCGACAGATTTTGCGATCTTGATATTGCCTATGCCTATCCTTTGGCAGATGCAGATCCCCTCACGAAGAAAGTTGCAGATCATGGGCATCTTCTTGCTCGGTGGCTTCGTGTGTGTCGCAAGCGTTTATCGTTGCGTTGTCATTCATACACTCTCACCTAGTGATCCAACTTGGTCAGATGTTCCTACAGTCCTCTGGACGATGGCCGAGCTGGGAGTTGCTATCGTTGCAGCATGTTTGCCGACTTTCAGACCTTTGTTCACCTGGCGACACGGGAGAAGCGGTTCAAGCCCAACCCATCCAATGCAAGAAACTCTTGATCAACAGTCGAAACTCAATCTAAGATTACAACAGAGCAGCTCAAGCCCAGAGAAGCTCCCAGATCTCGCTCAACTGGGGGTTTTGACTGATATTGAAGACGTGGAAAATGGCAAGAGGACCAGCGTACGGCTAGAAAATTGGTGAAGATGCAGGTTGAGAAGAGTCTCTGCACGAAAGTTTTTGTATATAAATGAAGGCCTGAATTGTCGATATCTGAAATGGAAATACGGACCACGTAGAGAAAATATGGCCCTTCAAGATTTGTCTCATCCCTCACCGGGAAAATGGCAGGATACAGATTGACTTCAGAATTATCGATCCCTCTCCCCACCCTGACCTTCGCTCTATCCTGAGCCATGAGCCGCAACCTTAACGTAGCGAGTTTTGCTTAGCTGTTGGTCACATGCTTCTGCCGAGCACGTTGTGAGGAAAGCGCTTGGCACCCAGCTTACCTTACCCGGCGCTGGACCGCCAGTCCAGAAGCGATTTTGGTGCGAAAGGTCTATGCCCTTCTAATACAGGACAACCTCTCATGACTTCAGAGCACAAGATGGATTCTTCTGGTACTTCAAATGATCGAAGTCCTAATTATACGGTCATCATACGATTGCCTTTCGCTCGTGGGGAATTTGAAGATCCTCCCTCTGTATACCACCTCACATATTCTCGAGACCGCTGAAGCTGAATCTATGAAAGGTCACTTGGGATGCAGAAAAGGATCAGAAACTATGGGATGTTCTAGCGCGCTCATCTGCAAAGGCGCAGGATCTAGACTGTATGCATTGCGATGTTACAAGACTACAAGCTGTGCTGAAAGAAATCCTTAGGGAATGCATTGTACGTTCGGTGTAGCCTCTTCGATCATGGTGTTGACAAAGGGTCGTAGGGCTGAAAAGTTTGATGTGACTCTTTCCTTCCTATCACAGCAAGCAGCCTGGCTATACGAGAGGCAATTAGCACAGGTCAGAGCTCAACTGAGGAAGGTCAACAAGCCATCTTCGACGGGCACTTCCCCAACGCCAGGATCGACCTCTGGCAGCGGCACAGTAACAGGTGGACACCCAATGTCAAGAGGTGGCAGTGCTGGTAAGCATTCGAAATAGAGCCTAGAATATTTCCGGACTAACTATATCGCAAGGCTCTCGAGCTCCGTCCTCGTTGTCATACCGACCCAAATCCCGCGCTCCCTCTCATGGTGAGTCTAGCGGTCCTGAGCTTCGTCCAGCTAGAGGTATGATCGTCTTACTCGCGGCCGTTGCGACATCTAATTTGATCAGGCTCTATACTCTCGCGAAAGTCTTCTCAGAACACAGTGTCCCAAGTGGCTGCAGCTTCTCCTACAACAAGGCCCAGATCCCCAGTCGACGTTCATTATTCTCACAAACATAGACGATATAGTCACGAAACGGCGCGGCGATCAGTAGAGACGTCCCCAAAGATTGAAAAACCTGTGATGGAAAGGGTGCCTAGCTCTTCAGCTATCGATAGCAGCTCATCTTCTTCTGACGGTGAAGAGCCGCCTCTAATGTCGCGAAGCCGTGTGTTCGCTCGCAGGCCGCGGTATTCTTCCGCAAAATCAAATTTGAGACCACTTTCAGATGCAGACGAAGAAGCTGACGAGACACCTCCTTTCCTTCCCTTTTCTGAAGCTGGACCAGCTACTCCGGATCAGGCAAAGGATCTCGCAGCAACCATGAGAGTGCCTGCACATCAGGCATCGAAGCGTCCCGTCACCTCGCCCCCTACTAAGACTAAAAGAACGGCTTTGCAAACAGTCTATTCCTCATCGTCCTCGGCGCAATCCCAACCTCATAACCAAACACGTACGGCAAAAGGTGCCGCCACACTATCACCGCAGCAAAGACGCATAGCAAGGGAAGCCCAAAGTGACGGTACACCTAGTATGGGCAGCTCTTTCAGTGACCTTGAGGATGCTAGTGTTACGCAGAGCGCGTTAGAGGAGGCAATGGCGGGAGAAATGCAGGCTGGGGGGATGGCAAGTCGCATGAGCAGCATCAGTCAGGCTTTAAGGTCTAAATACCTGTGATCTGAATAAGACTCACCATTTGAATACCTGCCTGAACTTGTTAGACCGGCGTACGTAGACTAAATCCCGGGCAGAGCAACGGATCGCGTCGGTTGCGGCGCGCCCGCACGTGTTTCTGCCCTGCCAAGGCTGGCCATCTTTAAAGTTTAGGTTGTTATTGGAAAGGATACATTGTCATTCTGCTGCTCCACCAACCCAGCATTTGGTCCCACGTCTAGCTTGTCAAGGTCGCGATATCAAGCCACCCCATTCAACTCTGGCATGATAGATGTAATGTGTTCCCCGTTCGCTTGGGTTTTCCATGCCTACCATTGCTAGCGACTTCTTTCCTCCAACCATCATTCCTCAAACATTGCATGACTCGGCGCAGTTGCCCGTGGACCTTGAGCATACAGGAGTAGAACTAGACTTGACGAGACGAGATTTCGGCGAAAGAGATCAGTCGGATCTAGAGAGCGCAGGCCGATCAGTGCTTGACTCTGCACCCCCACGAACGACAGGGCGACCTCGTCCCATTGATACTTCTGCGGGCAGCCACAGTACTCTCAACAGCCCCTTGAACGCTTTTTATGATCCAGAAGACTCTCAAATGTCACGGCGCAACAAATCGTCACCCAAAACTGGCTCTGACCAGCCAGAATCAATAGCCAGTGGAGGGAAAGTAAACGGCTTCGCCAACGGACCTTCGAGCAGCGAGAGCATGGAGTCACACCTGGAAATGCGTCGCAAACATCCTGTCTTGGATTCGCCGACCTCTGAATCAAGCCGTGCTCATTTAATGGGCAGAGAGAGCTTCTCCCTTGACAATGAGATACCTGATACACCATCGACACCAAACTCCTCAAATACAAGCTTCTTCGACCTACCGCGGCAAGACAGGAGGAATTTCATGCTCTTAGTATTGCTCTACTTCCTACAGGGCATACCAATGGGGTTGGCATCAGGTTCTGTGCCATTCCTTCTGAAACCACACCTTTCCTACAGCCAAATAGGTGTCTTCTCACTCGCTTCATACCCCTATTCCTTGAAACTCTTGTGGAGTCCGATTGTAGACGCAGTCTGGAACCCGAAACTAGGGCGACGAAAAAGCTGGATCATGCCTATACAGATATGCTCAGGAATAGGAATGATCTACCTGGGGGGAGGGCCAAAGAGATGTTGGTTGCGGCGGGCGCAAGCGATGGCTCTGGCGTTTGGTCTTTCACTTCTTGGTGGTTCTTCCTCGTCTTCCTATGCGCCACTCAAGATATTGCCGTGGACGGATGGGCACTTACGCTCCTCTCTCCTCCGCATCTTTCCTATGCATCGACGGCACAGACTGTAGGCTTGACAGCCGGACACTTTCTCTCCTATACCGTCTTCCTCGCCTTGAACGCCCCCGACTTCGCAAATCGCTGGTTTCGCAAGACGCCATCTGCTGAGGGCGTCATGACATTAGGCGGCTACCTCACGTTCTGGGGCTGGGCCTACCTCGCAGTAACGCTCGGTCTTGCTGTCCTCAAACGGGAAGAAAAGACCAAGGATCGTGACGGGATCCTCGAAGTCTATAAGAGCATGCTTGGTGTGCTCAAGCTGAAAAACATCCAGAGCATTATTATAATCCACCTGATCGCAAAACTCGGGTTCCAAGCCAACGATGCGGTGACAAATCTAAAGCTGCTAGATAAGGGATTTAGCCAGGAGGACTTAGCCCTGACAGTTCTCATCGACTTTCCGTTCGAGATCAGTCTAGGCTACTATGCTGGCAGGTGGTCGACTACTAATCCTCCAATTCACGTATGGTGCTGGGCCTTCATCGGGCGTCTGATCGCAGCTTGCGTTGCTCAAGGCGTCGTGATGATCTTTCCCGCCAACGGGGTGCAGCCGTGGTACCTACTTACTGTGATCGCCTCACATATCTTCTCCACCTTCTCCAGCACGGTCATGTTCGTTGCCATCTCCGCTTTCCACGCGAAAATTGCGGATCCAGTCATTGGAGGAACATACATGACCTTGCTTGCTACGTAAGTTCTCTCTCTTCCCGTATGTGACCGGTTGAGATCGCTGACATACTTCCTCCACAGTGTCTCAAATCTCGGTGGCACCTTCCCCCGCTTTTTCATCCTCAAACTAGTAGACTACTTCACGCAAGCGACATGCACTCCGCCTGCTGACGTAAAGAAACCCCTTTCCTTACCCGCCTCATGCGTAACAGAATCAGACCAGAAACAATGCAAAGACGGAGGCGGTACTTGTGTCATTGATCGTGATGGTTATTACATCACGAATATAGTGTGTGTTGCCGTTGGCATCGTGACATTTCTCTTCTATATACGACCAGCCGCCATGAGATTACAGGCGCTTCCGCTGAGGGCGTGGAGACTGGCTGCCGGTGAAAGGAATTGAATGATATAGACGTAGATATAGACGACGATCAAGAACTTTCCTTGTACATAGGAAAATGGATGCCATTAGAAATGTCTGGTATTGAATCTGATCATGTTTCACAGAAATTTGTAGCATGATAGAACGGTATTGGTATCTACTACACCCATCGAAGCAGCACCTCTGCTCTTGCTTTCGCTCATCACTGCGCGGTAGCATCTAGAAGAACCCAAAGGCTATGCCACGCCTGCGAGAAATGCTAAATACAGCATGTAGAAGCGAACAGAATACATTTGTTTCATGAAAATGTCATACTCACAGCGCCCAATTCACAGGCAACTGGCCAATGGTGATTGAAGAAGATCGCAACACCAAGTAAGCCAAGCTCTTCCTTTCGACTCCTATCTTTACAGTCGCCAAGAAGTACGCTTTCACCGACGCTCAAAAAGCCTGTCCATGCTGTGTTATCGGCGGCACCACAACAGGCGGACTAGCTCCCCGCGCTTGATTGCTAATGGGAGGCTCTCCATACGGCGGCACCGATTGAAAATAAGCGTCTCTCTGCGGCTGTGGTGGGACCGGCTTTCTCCCTCCTGGCACGCCGAGTCTACCTCCCTGCTGATGAGGCTCGCCAGGGTGCCAGTTGGGATTCACACCGCGCTGGGAGATAGACGTCATGTTGCTATGATCACTAGCGGGACTTCTTTGGCCGTCATCTAAATCTTCGTATGAGGAGGTAGGGTCGACGAGTTCGGCAGTCTGTTCTTGGGCGTGGAGTTGGCCAGGGACTAGTGCTGTGGGCATTGGTCCTGAAGGTTGAGTCTGTTGAGGTGTTACACGTGAGGGTGGGGGTGCGGCGAAGCGTGGGTCTACGTCTTCGTAGTAGTCGTCGGAGGACTGCTTGCGGCCGTGGGCTACCGCATTGAGTTTGGAGGGGCCGGTGGGAGAGCGGGTTTTGCGGAGGGTGTTCTGTTCGGGGAGCTCTATGGGGTCTTGTGTTGTTGACGAAGTTGCAGAGTCCATTTGTATGAAGTTGGTTGGCGGTTCGGGGCTGCTGCTTTGGGGATTGCCTTTCCAAGCAGCACGTGGTGGGACGTAGGTTCCACTAAAGTCGATTAGTAAAGAAGATGGAAACTTAACATAGATGACATACTCATTTGAGCTGTAAACACTAGTCATACTCATAGGAGAGTCACGCTGCTTCTGCTGCTGTTGAAGCCCTACAAATCCTCTCACGTCGCTGTCGCTATCTCGAAGTTGATTTGGATTGGCACCCGGACTACCATGCCTGGCATCCATCTCCACAGCTTGCCCTATCATACCAAGGTCACTCGGAGGCGCTAGCGGTGGTTGCGGTGGGGATTGTCGTCTGTAGGGTTGAGGAGGAGGATCATTGTACATGTTTTGTCTATCATAGTTATACCCACCAGGGTCCGAAGCTTGGCCTCTAGAAGGTGCCCTGTTGTAGCCGTCATTATATCCACCTGGTGCCGACGGTGGACCTGGAGACTGCCTGTCATGACCACCGGGAGCAGAAGGCGGGCCAGGAGAGTAGTTCCGCCTCCCATATCCAGGAGCTGATGGACTTCGACCATATCCGGCAAATCCAGCACCTTCATATTGATCAGGTCGATTTTGTGGGGCAAAGCTGTTGCCGTAACCAGGAGGTGGAGGTCCCCTGCCGGGTGGAGGCCCCATCTGCCCTCTTCCAAATCCACCTCTACCAGGTCCTGGTCCTGGTCCATAGGGTCTTCCACGGCCGTAGCCTCTTGGTGGATAGCCTCCTCGCCCTCGACCTCCACGAGATCCGTAAGAGTTCATGGATTCGTCGGAATACTGCCGCCTCATGGGCATTGGCGGCTCCGACCGATCTCGCCGCATTCCCATCGGTGGCGCTGGACCAAAAGCATTTGATGGAGGCAGCGGGTTACCATATTCGTCTTTTGGCCCTCCGAGACCCCCTCGCCCTCCACGCATTCCCATTGGTCCACCTCTTGGCGGCACACCATACCGTTCTGGCCGATTGTCGACTTGCCCAGTGCCTCGAGTGCTCGGTGCACTGTTCAAGGTCTTATTCGACGGCGTTCGTGTGTTCAAAGGTATACGGTCCTCTTCCGACACTTTCTTCTCAAAAGCAGCGTAGCTCGGCAGCTTGTCAGATGGGGCAGTCGGAGCAGTAGATAACGGCGGAGGAGAGTCTGCTCGAACGCCTTGCGGTATCGGATTCTGATTGGCATAGAAAGTTTCACCATTCATGTCTGCATTTTCGGCTATCCTCTTCTTGCTCTCTTTCCGGCTCACCAACGTTCTCCGCATGGCGCACGTCACAATGCCGCTCGCAAGGATCAAAATGGTTGCGGCCAGGACGAGCCATCCCCCCCAGGCCAAATGTGGTACAAACAGAAGTATGTCGACAAGGAAAGCGAGCAGCGTAATTAGTAAGGTTGGTATACTTGCGATTAGGACGAAAATGAGGTATCGCGACGAGTGAGAGGGTCCATGAAAGTGAGCTCCTACGGATAGTATGAAGCATACCAACGTGAAGAGCGCGGCGACTGGATGGACGATGAGTATAGAAGATAGTGACGAGCGAGTGCCAAGGGGTAAGGAAAATTGGGAGTTGTCGCCATCGTTTCCGAAGAGTTCTTTGGCATCTAGGCTATGGTCAGAACCTTGCAGCTTCCCACTAGTGTTTCTGCCCTTGCGATTTGCACTCATTTGTTCAGCAACTGCTTTTGCAGCTGGCACAAACCTGGAAGGCAGGGAAACTTCGGGGGAAGGAGTTCTCAAGGAACATACCGACGGTATATCCCACATTAATACCAGTGCATCCTTTTGGATCGGGTTCACAATATCCCAAGACACCAAAATTAACACCCTGAACCGTTGCTATCGGTATTGCTCTGATTATTGGTGTGGAGATGGTGGCGAGAAGTAGGAGTACAAAGGCAATTAAGTAGAGGATGCTGAGGGGTGTTGCCGGCCGGAGCATAGCGTAAAAGTTGGTCGATGTGGACGGCAAGGAGGACTGTCACCTCACTGGGCTAGTCGATATCGCTGTCGAGGTCGGAAGCCTTATCGTTGGCTCAAGCCCAAGGGAGCCGGGCAAAGGAGTTGAGAAGCGCATTGGCGACGATCAGGTTGAAGATCTGGATCTTTACGAGACGAGAGCCATTGTGCGGTATGTCTGGAGGGAGTCCGGTTACTTGATTTGCGACTGGCGACTAGCAAGACAGCGAAGATAGGCAAGGTGGGTGTTGTGTGGTGGGAGTTGGGGAGTTGGTGGTCAAGTTTCGTTTTACTTGCTCTTCTCCGGTTCGGAAAGTTAGTGCCCATGCGGCTTTAATTGGACCTTGTTTCAGTACAAGGATTTCGATGTGGCGTCGTCGCGCAGTCTGTCGCAAATCTCACAAGTAAGCGATGCAATACGATGCTTGAATTATTGGGTCTGAGCCTGGCTGCGCAACTCAATGGGGATGGGAATGAATGATATGTCACGAGTATTTCTTTAATGCCACGCATGAAACGGGGGGGGAAGGGCGGTTTGGGAATCGGGATTAGCGCGTCGAATTTATGCAATTGCTGAAGATATTGAATATTTATTCACTTTGCACAAAAATATATTATGCAAGTCAGCGTCATCATTCTACACTTTCTGCGCTGTGTGCTTCACCACGCCGACGAACCCCAGAGGTCTCAGAACACCCCTTCAGCTTGGAGATGCTAGCTCCATACTGCAGTCTCTGTGCACGCTGTTCACGTCAAGCTGTTCCTGTCATCCGCTCATTACCGCCCATTCCTTTTCAAAGACCTTTCCTGAGTAAAGCTTTCTCACAGCAAAGACGAGTCCTACAGTCCCAACAGTTCCAGCCATTCACACCTCCGTCTCCCAGCTCTCTGGGAAAGGCAGCCCCGCCGAAGCGCTTCCCTAGAGCGAGAAGATGGACACGCCGTCTCTCATATCTTACCCTCACCGCAGCCGTTGTCTACGCACTCGACCACCAGTACTATGCTTCTGTGCTGCTCCGCAGTTCTCGCACATTTGCCCTAGCAATCATAGTTGCTGCAGACTACAAGATCAACTTTCGCCCCAACCCTCCTCTTGCTCCTTCCATTGGCGCCCTCCATGCACGCAACGCAGAGCGCCTTTTCGACATTCTCAGAGTCAATGGAGGACTCTACCTCAAGATCGGTCAAGCGATTGCCATGCAGTCAGCCATTCTACCTCCCGAGTTTCAGAAGATGTTCTCCAAGATGTTCGATGATGCTCCACAGAACGATTGGAAAGATGTAGAACAAGTTATCAGAGAGGACTTTGGCAAATCGCCGGAAGAGGTCTTTGGGGTCTCCTTTGATGGTGACCCTGACAAGGGACTGATGGAAAGGACTGCCCGAGCAAGTGCGAGTGTAGCGCAGGTACACTGGGCGCGGCTGAAGGATGGGAGTGAGGTTGCGATCAAGATACAAAAACGGGAGATAGACCGACAGGTAGGTTGGGATTTATGGGCCTTCAAGTAAGCAGCTCCCGGAATCCAGATCTAAAGGCGCCATCTTGACTCTCTTTGTAGGGTCGTTTCTCGAATCTACACTTGGTATTTTGACCTGCCTTTGTACAATCTGGTACCATACATCACCGAGCGCCTTCAGCTTGAGACCGATTTTGTCGTTGAGGCACAAAATGCCGAAAGGATGGCTGAACTCGTAGCCAAAGAACCTCGTTTACGTGGTCGAGTATACATTCCAAGAGTCTATCATGATCTCTCCTCCCACCGAGTCATGACTGCAGAGTGGATTGAAGGCATAAGGCTCTGGGATAAAGAGAGCTTGACATCATCTTGGGAAGGGGGTTGGCGGCAACCCAGTCCAGGTGCTGGCGGTACACCACTTCTGGCACCAAGACAAGAAGAAACAAAGCGTCAGCTCAAGACCAATTCTCTCAACGAGAAATTGAAGCCTGAACGAAACTGGTGGAGGGGTAACGACGGCAAAGGAGGCCTTGGACTGTCACTGAAAGAAGTCATGACAACAATGATTGATCTATTCTCTGCTCAGATGTTTCTCTGGGGTTGGGTTCATTGCGACCCTCATCCTGGAAACATATTCATCCGCCGCTTACCTTCAGGGAAACCAGAGCTAGTCTTGATCGATCATGGCCTCTACATTCATATGGAGCCAAAATTCCGACATCAATATAGCCTGTTCTGGAAAAGCTTGATGACCTTCGATAATGCCACCATCAAAGAGATAGTTCAGGATTGGGGCATAAACAATCCGGATCTGTTCGCTTCTGCTACTCTCATGCGGCCGTACACTGGTGGTGACAATAGTACAGGGGACGAGATCCGGAAGGGCCTCACCGGTAAGGAACAATCTGATCGTGCCTACGAGGCTCAACAAAAGATGCGAAAAGGCATTAGAGAGATCCTGTCAGACGAGAAGAAGTGGCCAAAGGAGCTCATCTTCATCGGACGTAACTTCCGAATCGTACAAGGGAACAATCAATTTCTGGGCACTCCTGTGAACAGAATCAAAATCACTGGCTATTGGGCCTCTCGATCGCTGGTGGACAGTGCCGATCTCAGCTTCAAGGAAAGGGCCAACAACTTCGGTAGGCATCTCATTTTCAGGTTTGTACTATTTGGGAGCGATGTATGGTTTTACGCCGCCAAAATTAAACAATTTCTTGGGTTTGGAGGTGGCATGGAAGACGACATGGAAGCCCAGATGAAGCATATGGCGAAAGATTTTGGAGTCGAGCTGAATCACTCGGTCTTCGAAGGATGAGAGCGGGAAGTGTCTAGCATAGATCGAAGCGCTTACCTTAGAGCATCAAGCATCGCCAAGCGAATAGAAATATCACAACTCTCTTCGCATTCATCATCTGTTGAGTATTTTGACATTTTTTTGAGCGTCGAATCTATCCCAACTCAAGGGCTAAATGACATCTCTCTTATCAGCCCAGCCAGTACCCATCCTCTTGCAAAGTTCCTGCCTGTATAGAGAAGAACACTCGCCCACCAGACTCTTCCTATAATCTCGTCATACCATCTGTCAAGCTCTTTGCCTTTCGCCTCCCCACTCTCATTGCCTCTCCGCTTCCTCCAATGCAAAACGGCTCTTCTAACAGCTTCCTCCACAATGACTGCAACTCCATTCTCAGTAAAGAACCAAGCCTCCCCGCTCGCATTCCTCCATCCGCCAGGAACCACCGTATATCCCGCGAACGAATGTACGAAACCCGAGCTCACAAACGCACCCAACACCTTCCCCACATCAGCCGCCTGCTCCTCCCCTTTCCCCAACAATTTCCGTTCCACCCACTCCCCGGGCCACACCCCATAAACAAGAAACAATCTCGAAAAGAGCCTATGCCACCCATAACTCCAAAAGTCCCTGACAGATGTGATCTCCCAAACCCTCTTCGTGTACAAACTCGGAAAATAACTCAACGGATGCGGCGCCAACGGCTTCAACAAGATCGCACACACCGAGTGTCCCAGACTGAATGCTGCGAGGAGGAACGCTCCCAGTGTAGCCGTAAGTACGCCTTGCACCACATACGGCAAGCCATCGAAATCCCCATTCCCGCCGCCTTCTTCCCCTAGAATCCCATTTCCCCCATCCTTTCCAGCCATTGGGGCAAGATACCCATCATGTATGCCCCTTATCACCGCCCAGCTCACCAACAATACCGGCCCCATATGAACCACAATACTATGCACCCGATCCCTCACGCTCGGCCGCCACGTGCGCTTCGTATGTCTCACGTCCGCCGAGCTCCAAACGAAGCCCGCACCACGCATACTCAACTCGAGCTCCAGCGCCCAGGACAGCCTATCTCTCAATCCAGTGGGCAAACCGCTGTCGCTCTGCACGCGCTCCGTTACCGCCTCGCCTTGCGCGGGCTGCAGGAAGTGTAGCGAGAAATAACTCTCCGCGTCCGGCCCGACATGTTTGTTTGGGTCCGACGAGGGGAGAGGGGTGACTGGGCGGGGGGAGTGGTGGTAGGTGACGCGCCGGGGGATGTAGCCCCAGAGGTAGTAGGAGATGAAGAAGGTGTCGAGGATGCGGGCGGCGCCGTAGGTGCCGACGAGGCAGAGCTGGTAGGTCAGGCCGACGGAGAAGGGGATGTGGTGGGCGAGTGGGAGGCGGAGGAAGAGGAGGAAGGAGGTGAGGGCGAGGGTGTTGCGGAGGATGTTGGTTAGTGTGGGGAGCGGGTTTGAGGGTATTGGCGGGAGGAGGGTTAGGGCGAGGTAGTAGGTGAAAGGTGGGAGGAAGGCTGCGAGGGGCGTGAGAGGGGTGGTGTGAGGGAGAGGGTGGAGGTAGGGGAGAGTTGGGGGAGGGTGGAGGAGGCTCATTTGAGGGAGAGGTGAGGTGATGGGAGGAACATTCAGGTGAGTCGGTTGTAAAGTAAAGATGGCGAGAATTTGATTGGCAGACGTCATGATGAGGCTGGTTTTCAGCCTTGGGAATGTGATTCGCCCCTTTTTGTTGGACGAGATGTATACAGCCTTAAGGGACTTTGACAGGCTCTTCTACGGTTTGGCATTATGCACTACGGTTTTCATATACAGTAGGTGTATCGACAAGCGTCTTTATCAAGCAAATGATGGATACAAGAATTAGATTTAGATATTCAGGGGGCCTTTTGCTACCGCCTCGCTCCCGGCTGCATCCATCCTCCCCAATCCTCTCCGTACGAATGCCCAAATTGCATCCCTTGCGCTTCATTGTCAAGTTGCTGTTGTGGCGGCCACGGGTGAGCGCTATGAGAAAACGGAGGAGGATTCGGTACCTGATGTTGTCCGCCGACACTATGCGAAGCATTCGTAAATCCATCCTCTCGACCAGGGGATGTCAGTCCGTAAGGAGGCATCATGCCATACATAGATTGGTCTATGCCAGCTGAGGATTCGGTATTGAACATTGACGGATGGATCGGCTCCTCCTGTTTGATCTGTTGTTGATTGTCGAGTGTTGTAAGGGGCTGATTTGGATATGCGAATGGGTCGGCAGAAGGAAACATCATGGCTGAGAAACCACGACCGCCTGGCCCTGTAGTCGTGTTGGTATACATGCTCGTCCCAGGGCTCTGAGGTGTCTGAATTGGAGCTGGGGTTGGTAGATAATGACCCTGTGTGCCATTTGGGTAGCTCGCATTGATTCCTAGGTTGAATGGATAGGAAGGTTGATCCCATCGTTTAGGTTGACCGGCAGATGTATTCATCTGCGGCAAATGATTTGTGTTCGCATCTGCCACTAGCTGCGCAGCGTTGTTGTAACCGTGAGATAGCCTATGGGATTGTGAGGGATTTTGTCTCTTCTTTTGCGAAGCAGGTTTGACGTGCAAATCGTTCAATTTTGGGGACAGTTGATCGAAAAGATCCTTCGATGTGGGTGTCTTGTCAGTATTATGCCATGATACGCCACCTCACATCATGCTTACAGATAGATATTTCGAACATCGATCTGCCGCTAGGCTCTTAGACGCCAGGGTTAACAAGGTATCCTTTCCCTCACGAGCATCTTTCAAGACCTCGACACTAGTGGCACTGTGAGGATTCTCTAGAACATAAAAGACGAGTCCAATGATAGCGAAGAATGTCGTGTAATTGTAGAACCAAAAGGACCCAACAAGCAGCCCCCGTCTGTTCATCTCACCCGTTAAGTGAACGATATTCCGCGAAACGCTGACGCATGCTGCGGCACAGGCGAATGAGGTTTTGTCAAGGGCCTTGGCCGTTGTATCCAACGATGCATAGTGGAGAAACGGACGGTAAAGAAACATTTGTATGTGAGCGTAGGCCATGCGCAGGATATGTTGTATCCTAACAGCGTCAGCTTCTTTTGGTGAAATAACCGTGCACTTAGAGGTAGATGTACCTCACATATTCCTTTGGACCATCGGAACCAGGCCTGAAAGGTTCTGGCAGAGTTTCCGTCCATTGTTTTAAGTCGTTCTCAATCTCCCTAATCTTGGCGTGGCTGACGATATACGAGTCTTTCTGGCTGTTTTTGTCGGCTTTAATGGGGTAGACATATTCAACGACTTTCGATAAAATAGTCACCATTCTATTATGCGCATTGAAACCTGCCATCAATGGCGCTCTCCCAGGCGGCATAAACAACAGCCTTTCTGTCGTAATGTAATCATCGTCTACCTCTAAAGGTTGATCTTGATCTATGTCGATGTCGTGCAGCGTTTGAGGTAGTCCCAGCAATATACTCACATAAACATCCATTTTCCTGATACTCCAGAATATCCGCTTCCGTACTTCTCTTTCCACTGGGTCGAAGTTGTTTTTAACTGCCCGATGTAGGCCAATTCGTAAAGCAGACCGAAGACAGATTCCGATATACGTGTAGCAGCTGCTGAGTTCCGCTGAAGATTGGAGGAACATGATCATGAATAAGACAGTCTGTAGAGATGTAAGGTCACGGCAGTCAGTGACATCCGTCATTGAGCGTGCGGTATTGTACCAATGTGATCTAGCAGAGTATTCAGCCGTGACAAATTGACGATGGGATCCCTGAGTCTTACCCTTGTTGAATGGCGTTTTGTACGCCGTTGGTCATCAGCTGACTCTGTTCAGCAGTTGCGAAAAGGGCGCCTACAGCAATCACAGAATACAATAAAGGAAGGAATTTCATCTCTTCAGTGCCTTGATTATCAGGAGGCAAGTCGTACACGCGATCGAACATGGCATAGAAGGTCGGCTGGTGAACGAATCTCAATACCGCACAGGCATCATCCAACACGTTCTGGCATAATAGCCGTGCATAGTCTTTTGATGGTAGATCATGAGTTGAGGGCGTCCTTGGCTCGAGGGGTGACTGGACAGATGAAGAGGGGGAGCTGATCGGTTGCGAGCTTGACTTCTTTTTATGAGGCGGCATAGCAAATGCTTTTGGGTCTGACGTCTTGCCCATCAAAGTTCCAAATTGCTCTCGCATTTTGCGCAAGAACACGCGCCCAGAAGAATGACCATAAAAATCCCAGTTGCCATCATCATCTAGATCTAGCGATCCGGTAATTTCGACCATTGACTCCAATTGAGAATCTGTTTTCGCGTCTACGCTTTGTTGCTTTGCAGTCCTACTGCTCCAGTTCCCTCCTCGACCCAGCAAGCCGAGCCCCTTTTCTTGCTTCTGTGGGAGTGCCTCTTGAGAGAGTAATGCGGAGTCCAGCGAAGGATCATTTAGATCTACTTCTGGTACGTAATTCTGGAGCAGCATTTCTGCTCGGCGCAATTTAGTCTCCAGTGCCTCCACATATTGTGGAGCAGGATTGCGCCGTCGATGCGAAGGTTGGTCATAAGTACACTCTCAACATAGGAAAGTCAGCCTCGAGGCCGACACCGGCGTGCATTTTCCCTCCCACAGGCTTACCGTAAGTGTAAATGGTACAGTGGGTACAAGGGTGTTTCCCGTCACATTTAATTTTCTTCCTACGACATTCGTCGCACGCCCTCGTCACCCGACGGCGCTTCTGTATAGGCGCCGTTTGCGAAGATGAGTCTGCAGGCCCTTGGCCTGACTCCATACATTGGTCGAATTGCTCTGCATCCTCTTGGTCCTGTGATTGGTCATCCGAAGCGTCTTTAATTATCGTGTTGTCTTCGGAATCCTCCTCAATGGTGCCGCTGAAGTTCAGATCGGTTTGCAACGACATCACATGGTGACAGAAATATGCAGGGTTGATGTTTGCATTCAGCTCTGAGAACTCGACTGAATCATTACACGCGGTTTGCGGGCTTCGGACTCGGAGTTTAGAAGAGTCTTGTTCTGATCAGAAAGCACGAGAGTGAACTAATTACTGTAACTGGCGAGTCGCGTCGTCCGTGTGGTCAAAGCTTAAAATGCACTGCAAGACAGGCAGGCAGGCTGGCAAGGAGGCCGGCAAAGGGGAATTGTAGGAAGGATATAAGCTCCTTCTTTATTTCCAAGCATATCTTGCTAGAACGACGTAATAGACCTGTCTCAAGCAAGGAACGCGTGTCACTGGACCTAGGCCTATCACTGATACACCGCAAGTCTTGGTCATGCAGTAGTCAGCCGCTCTTGAGAGGAGCAGGAGGTTGGAAGCAGCGAGGCAATCAGGTTGGGCAGCATGGTCAACAACAATGTTTGAGCGAATCGATCCAACACCAACATGTCACCGTCACTCTCAGGCACTCACTACTTCGTGCTTGCAGATTTGAAATAGCTGGGGTCGCGACCTTTTTGCAATCTTTGGGTCAAGACATTGACCTTGGGGGTGCTGATCATTGAATTGACAAGGTTAGAGAACGCCACGTTCTGCCGCTAGAGTCATCTCTTCCGCTGTGCCGGCAGCCAAAGAACGCCCAAGACCGACTGGTGCGTCGTTCCTGTTGGACCCTTGCAAGACCCTCCAAGACCGCTCATCCCCCACAAGCCCGCGAAGGCCCACGGGAAGAGCAATATCATACAATTTGCAGATGGCAAACCGGTCGCATGCAAAGCTGCTTGCTCACGCTTCCTACTATACATCTAGATACGCTAGATACGCGTCCTTCATCTTGAACCCTATTGGCGTTGCTAAACGCAAAACAGCAGCTATCCTCATTCAACCCAGCAGCTCTCACTATTTCCACCACAAACACTGTAGCCCTTGCCTTTGCTGCAATCGCTGCCTTCATCAAAGTCCACATAACATCATTGCCTACTTGTGTTGAAATTATAAGTATGTTCGGCCTTCGAGAATTTGATAGAGGAGATGTCCCTCGGCCGGTAAGTGGTTTCGGTCGGAATGCGAATATAACCATAGAAACATCGTTGCAGATGCCGTACTCATCAGCTCTTGGACCTTCGGGCTCTTCAGGCTTTGACACTTTCCAACTTGCCCAGAGGACTTAGGTGCACAAGAATAGGCTTACATTTTCTGTTCCCACACACGTAGGCTCTTCTGACATCTGTACATGCCATAGTGCGGTCAGGTGTTCTTTCGGTTCTCTTGCCTTGCATTATATCTTGCGCGACTACACTTGAAGACTTCCAGGGATGTGATGCTTCACAGAGTCTAACTTGAAAGGACAATCCCAACATCTAGCCTTAGACGTGGACTGTGCAATGTTTTCTAGGAGGGGAAAACGACGATGACACTGACAAAGCGTCGTACCACGGAATACAACCGACTCGTTCTCATTCAACGAACAGATACTTTCATAGTCACGGACCATTCTTAGATGATAAGTCATGTAAGGCAATGCGAAGAAAGGAAAAGATACGATGCATGATACCGATCATACTATACATACGCAAGAATCTGACTTATTTTCATGATTGCAACATTGCCATTGCTCCCGTCGGCGTCGACTAAAACTGCTGATGGCAGTCACGTTTTATATAGCACTCGACGATCTATTCAAGTGTCTGCTGTGAGCGTGACGGGGTCTCTGGTACGAACATGTGTAGATCCAGCGACATAAAACATCTTATCGTACGGCTTGATCGAGGTTTCACAGCCACCAAGAACCAAGCATGAAGGTAGCAGCCAAGACAAGTTATCTTTCCGCTGACCGCAGCAATGGCCGTTACAGGTGAGCGTCGCGGCAGTCCGTCATTCTGCCCCCCCTCGCCCGCTCTGCCGCCAGCATGCCAAGCCCTCCGAGCTGGACTAGTGTCTTGGCCAAAGTCTATTTGGGATGCGACCGCTTTTCTTTGAACCAAAACCCCCCTTCTGAAGGGGGCTGTGCATTATTGACCGATTCTTGGGCCAGTCCGAGCCATTTCATACTCCCAGCTGGCTTGGCATTCCGCTGGTCCCAAGACTTTCCTCCCTCCTCGCCCCAGAAGTGTTCCCTTTTTAATTCTCACACAATCCGGAATCCATTTATCACGGTACACCAAAAAGATTCTCATTTCTCCACCACGTGTCATCAGAACTTCTGGTTGCAGTCCGTGCTGTTTCGTGTATTTGTTTGAAGTTATCGAAATTATCACCAAGAAATCCCGCTCTTGGCGATTATGGACTCCAAAGAATCGTTTGGCCAAGACAGCCAAGCTCACGAAGCTTCCCCTCCTCAACCACACCAGCATCCTCCTCCTCCACCGCAGCCACAAGCTCCTCCTCTACAGGGCAACTCCAGCGACACATTCGTGTGTCAGTGGGTTGGGTGCGGCGAACGCTCGGCCAACGCTGAGACCCTCTACGTAAGGCCTCGACGCTGAAAGCGGAGTGCTCCAAGTGCGACGACTAACGAGAATGATAGGAGCATGTCTGCGATCGTCATATTGGACGCAAAAGCACCAACAACCTCAACCTACAATGCGCATGGGGTAATTGTCATGTGGCCGTTGTCAAACGCGACCACATTACCTCTCACATCCGAGTGCATGTTCCCTTGAAACCACATCGGTGCGAATTCTGCGGGAAAGCATTCAAACGACCACAGGATCTCAAGAAACACGTCAAGACCCATGCAGATGATTCTGTGATTGTGGGAAATCAGGGTAACCGCCCCAACGTAGGAGGAAATCAGCCGAATGTAGGCCAGAATGGCTACGGCAATGGTGTCCAAAACAAACCACGTAAGTCTCACGACACTGCAGTGTCCCTCTCCTTCTCTCCCAAATACGCTCTATTCCATCCTGACGTGATGTAGAGTTGATGGCTGACTTGCAAGCCGTTGCTTCAACAGCTGCGAACTATTTCCCAGATCAACAGATGCATGGTGGCATGCCCATGAATTATGGTCCACAAGGCCACGGCGGCAATGGAGCTCAGGGTTTCTTTGGCCCTGCCCCTCCACAGCAAGCTTACACGTATGGCAACGTCTCGTACGCCAATCACAATGCAGAGGGTGCAAATCAAGCCAATCTAGAATCGGTGAAGCACGGCCTCGACATTCTCCGCAAGCTTTTCCCAGAACACCAACGTGGAGATTTTGACCCTAGATCTTATTCACAGGTCGAACAGCGAATTGCAGCGCTGCAGAATCTCCAGCTTCCTTTCCTTTCTCAGCCAATGATGGCACCAGCTCAGGCTGTTACCGCTGGCGGCGGTAGTGGCGGCGACGACCCTTACGGCCCAGGACAGTATGCCCTACCTCCGATGGATAATCTGCGTACCAAGAACGATCTTCTTAACCTGGATCAATTAGTCGCTACGATGCAAAGCACTATCTATGAAAATCCAAACGAGCTCGCCGCAGCAGGCTTCGCTCAGCCTGGTGGTCATTACGTCCCTGCTACTATGAACTACCAGCCAAACAATGGTAATGGCCTTCAACTACCACCTGCACATAACGCACCAGCTGCAACACCTTCGTCTCATCACAGTGCCACTCCAACGTTGACCCCACCGTCCAGTGCAGCCTCAAACAACTCTGGCAACTCGCCGCCGATGATGCATCTGAACACCATGCAAACAAATGCATCCGGCGGGATGTATCCGACTCTGCCAGGGCCCTCAACATCGCAAGGATACACGCCGTCTAGCATGGCGCCGACTTCAACCTTAGGAAGCCAGTTCGAGCATGAACAACGACGACGATACAGTGGTGGTCGCTTGCAAAAGGCTGCTCCTTCTTCTTTGAGCACTAAAAAACAAGATGATCCCATGGACACCTCATCTGACGGCGCTAGAACACCAAAGAATGCTGTCACATCCAGCTCTTCATCAGAAGCTGGCCAGGCTGCAAAGTCACACGCTGCCCGCCGCCCAAACGACTTCTCTAACTCAAACCTCGATCCCGCTCTAGGTGGCCCCACGTCTCCAAACGCTGGCGAAATGTCCGAGGAGACTATCAAGGCAAACGAAGCGTGGGTCAGCAATGCTCGTACCATCGAAGCTTTGCGAACGTGGATACACAACAGACTAGAGCAGCACGATTATGATGATGACAGCAACGAGATGGATCACGATCAGCGTAAAGAGGAGACAAAGTCAGAAAAGGAGAACCTCTATCCGGTGCTAGATCGGCGAAGCAGCGAATGATTTGAGCATTAAATCATTGTTGAGATGTCGAAGAGCAGATACACGAGGAGTCGAGGCGTTGGCTTGGTCGATGAATCGACTTTCTAGTCTAAATTGCTGCGTTTGCTCTTGGACCCGTTGCCTGCTTGTCCATGGGTAGAATTGTAATATGCTATGTTCTAGCATTATAGCCAACATACACAGAAATATGTAGCTCATGTTGTGATAAGGCAGTCTCTTCCCTCATATATGGATCTTTTGCCAATTTAATATTTGGTTGACCAGCGGCAGATGCAAGAGTACAATTTCCAAGGTTTAGAGCGGCTTCCTAGGGACTTGTGCCCTAGAAAGGTCCCTAGAGAAACCCTGGACAATACAGCCCGCCAAACCACCCTCTCCTCTGTACAGCAAAGTTGTCAAGTTGCACCAGTTGTGCCATCTAACGTCCTGCGTGACACAGTGTTCTTAATGATAATAACATGTCAGCGGCCATTCATGATCTTAGAGCAGACAATGCGGGCTCGGTCGTAAAGGCAGAATTCAAGTATGAACCAGAGTCGCGATCAACATCAGATCAAGTCTCGTACGATGCAGAAAGTCTACAGCCACGCAAAAGGCGGAGGCTGACCCCACCACTCTTTTCGCCAGGACAAGACCATACGCTGTTGTGGGAACCAGCTTCACGCATAAGACCTAGGTCTGCGAAGTCATTGGTACATCAGTCTAATGTAATCCTCAGACCCACAGTATCAAATGGCAAAATTGTGGACTCGGAGTCTTCATTTGGCTCCTTAGATGTTGCGCCCTGGCTTCTTGCTTCTTTATCTGCCTTGTCAGTCCTCCGCCCTACCTCCATACAAAGAGCGTGTATACCCGCGATTCTGCGAGGGCAAAATGTGATCGGTGGCAGCCGCACCGGCAGCGGTAAAACCATAGCGTTTGCAGTTCCAATACTACAGAAATGGGCAGAAGATCCGATCGGCATATACGCAGTGGTTTTGACACCAACAAGGGAATTGGCTCTACAAATACTCGAACAGTTCAAAGCTATAGCTTCGTCTCAAAGCTTGAAGGCGGTCTTAATCGTTGGGGGAACAGATATGAGAGCACAAGCTTTGGCACTCGCAAGCCGTCCACATATCGTGATTGCTACGCCTGGCAGACTCGTAGATCATATTCAGACATCAGGGGCAGACACAATAGTTGGTTTGCGCAGGACAAAATTGGTAGTGTTAGATGAAGCGGATAGATTGCTGGCAAGCGGACCAGGGAGTATGCTCGAAGACGTTGGTACATGTCTAGGAGCACTGCCGCCGAGTCAGGAGAGGCAGACCTGTCTCTTTACAGCAACTGTCACGCCTGAAATTATGGCTTTGAAGTCGATGCCTGAGCCTGAGGACAGACCGCCGATATTCGTGTGTGAGGTTGATCCTGATGATCATACTGTGCCTCCGAGCCTCCAACAATCGTACCTCCAAGTCCCACTAACATACAGAGAGACATACTTGCACATATTGCTGCTGACTGCAGGAAATTTGGCAAAGGAATCAATCATCATTTTTTGCAATCGCACTGCGACAGCTGATCTACTTGAAAGATTGCTCAGACAGCTCGAGCACAAAATTACTGCGCTTCATTCCAAGTTGTCGCAACGTGAAAGGACTGACAACCTTGCGCGCTTTCGTGCGAAGGCAGCTCGGATACTAGTTGCTTCTGATGTGGCATCTCGTGGTCTCGACATCCCTAGTGTTGATCTTGTCATCAATTATGACGTTCCTCGCAATCCAGATGATTATATTCATCGTGTTGGGCGTACCGCTCGCGCAGGAAAATCAGGTGAGGCAATTATCTTGGTCGGACAAAGGGACATCGAGCTCTTCCTTGCCATTGAGAAACGAGTAGGTATCAAAATGAAAGAATGGCAGGAAGAAGGAGTGAACCTCGAGACCAGAGTTGTCAGAGATGGGTTGAAGGACATAGGCGAAGTCAAACGACGGGTGGAACTAGACATCGAAGAAGGTAGAGATATCTTAGGACGGAGGAAAAGAGGTAAAATCAAGAGGTTGGAATGAGGGGCTACCTATGAAAGGTGACATCTTCCGAATGGATTCTATGGCTCAGGATGAGCTCCAACTCGAGTCTTGCATAACCGATGAGTACGAAGTAGATAAACGACTGACAGGGCAGGCGCCACAGCTTCACAGCTTCACAAATTCTTTATTGACAAGATCATGCCCCTATCTTTACACTTATTAGGTCGTAAGTCGTTATGACGGACACCTCAAGTAAATATCAGGATGGCAAAATGCGCAAAAATGCGGACGCCTCAAAAGCTTGAGAGCCAACGTATAAATCGTGTCTTGGCACTTTGTTTAGAATTTTCGGCGAATTACCTCGATCCCTCACTGCTTTTGAGTACACTCACCCACTGCCATTTTCTTGATATCGTTAAAGTGTCGATGTTATGAGAATCCTTGCTACGAGATGACGTCGAAACCAATGCTGCAATAGCACGAAAGATTGCCCGCATATTGTTGAACACATATTCGCTCGCGTCACGCGTTCTTTACTTTCCCCTCGGATAGCGATTAATTTACCACCAGCCACTCTATGGCGTTCGTTATCACATCAACAACATTCTATCTGGTATCGCATATCACCACAGCATTATAACGAAATCGAGCTATATTTATGGTGCTAACGGGCGTGAAGAGAGTCGTACTATTTACAGGTGCGTGTGATCCTGCAAGTCTCTGACGTAGACGGTCCGAGTCGGGGTCAACACAGGCTGCATGAATAAGCACATGCGCACACCGCTCGAATCAGAACAATACGCGTTTCTAAAGATTTATGATCAGTCGATGACTTGATTTGCTGCTCATACAGATTTTTGGTGATGTCTACATTATCTGCACAAAGGCGCAGCGGCCGCAAGCGGGCTGCTAACACCCGCATCGCCGACCTACCAGAAACCTCGCCTTCACAAAGACCCAGGACAACCACAAAGCGAAGAAAGGTCGGCTCCTCTCAAGCATTACTAGCTGCAGGTCCCAAAGCTGATACGTTGAAGCCAAATCATCCGCCAGCTCGTAATCGACCGTCACGACGCCCAAGAATCTCAGATGAATTAGGAGACAATGAGACAGAGGAGGAAGAGGATGACGACGACCACGACATTAGCCCAGAAGAAGAAGCTGAGGAGCGGCGGGACTCCATTGTGCGGTGCCTTGATGTTGCATCTTACGAGGTAAATGCCGCTGCGGCTCATCATAATTCCACAGTGTCCAACATGGGAAATGTAGAAGCATATGCCACAATATATGGTAGAAATTGGACATTTTATGTCGATGAGATCAAAATCATCATCGGACGGCAGGCGGAAGAGACGAAACAAGAAGATTATGATAAGGGTCAAGCCAATATTGACCTTGGCCCAGCCAAAATGATATCAAGAATACATGCAGATATAACATTTGACGGAAAGAACGATTGGCATATAACTGTTAATGGTCGTAATGGTGTACGGATTAATGACCATCAGCTCAAGAAAGGAGATTCTCATAAGGTCGGAAACGGGGACATCATTGGTATTAGTGGTACCCAGATGCTGTTTCATCTCGCAGGACAGCCAATACGCATCTCACCCTGGCTAAGTGCGAAGACGGGTATACCAGAGGATCAGGGCGAAGTCTCAACAAGCCCTGCTTTACGTCGAGGTACTCTCAACAGTCGTTCTTCATCAGAAAGCCAGCATACGCTACAAGATGGCAACCTTCCGGCCATCTCATCAAACGCAATGCTAGACGACCGGCCCCAAACCCCAGAGCCTGCTCAGAAGAGAGAACCAATAACGTCTGCAAAGAAGCGTTCACCGATTAAGCGCGGTATTATGATGGAGTCGACAGAGCAAATTGACTACTCGTTGGACAGCTCAAAAGATTTCAAGCCCGCTTATAGCTATGCGTCAATGATCACTTGGGCAATCCTAGCCACTCCAGATGAGGCCTTGACATTGAATGGCATTTACGAATGGATCAAGAAGCATTACGCGTATTACAGGCTAACAACTTCGGGTTGGCAAAATTCGATCCGCCACAATTTGTCTCTTAACCAGAGTTTCTACAAGATACCACGCAGGCCCGATGAGCCCGGGAAAGGTATGAAATGGACATTTGTCCAGGAAGCTCGGGAAGCTACTATTGCTGCTGCACATAAGAACTTGAACAAAGGTGGTGGACGTATTTCGTCGGCGCCTGGGTCTCCGGCCGATCCTCCAACCCAAGCCTTGTTGATTATTCCTGAGCCTGGCCAAAGTGCTACAAATTCACCCACGCAACGCACTCCACCGTTGTCCTCTTCGTATCGGCTTGAGGCACAAAACACATCCACTCCCTCCCACGAGGCTTACGAAGAGGTCCCACTGCCAATTTACGCGCCGACGCAGGGACAGCTACCAATGCTGTCAGACGAGACTTCTCCAGCGCCGCGTCGCTTTACCAACAATAATCTTACTATTGCTGGCTCTTCACCTATTCTATCCACTGGCTACGGAAACTCTGGCTTGCCGATGCATACCCCTGCTCCTCGAGCATTCAACCTTCCCGCTCCGCAACCCAACACTGCCAAATTGCCTACTAGCCATATGACTCCTGTGACCCCAGCACCATTCTGGAAGTATGGAGGAAGCGGCCTAGATAGTACACCAGCGAGATGGCCCGATAGCAGTCCAGTCAAGATGGAAGGAAATGTGCCACTAAGCAGCAGTCCTCCCCCTGTGAATGGCTTTGAAAGTCCCACCAGGAAGGCTGGCTCGTCGCAACAGCAGAACACCGCTCACGCTAGCTTCGGGCCTTCGGCACAAGACGGGCACATTACGCTTGGTAATCATGGGGCTGGGCTGGGTGATCATTCAAATACTAGCCATCGAGAGGACTCTGATGGTGGGATTGATCTTTTCAAGTGAGTTTGAAGCAAAAGGTCGTAGTTATTCGGGATCGTAGTCACTGATCATTAAATGATAGAGGCTTCACAAAAATCAGCGCATATCACCAACCACAAAGGACCTCGATGCAGTCAACTCAGACGCAAGCACGAACCCAGGCACATTAAGGTGTTCCATTCAACTTTGACTATGAGCACTCAACATCATGCAACCGAAATTATCTCCGGCTTCTCAATCTAACACTACATGCATTGGGCCAAGCTCGCTAATGGCCAGCAATCAGCCTATTATGAAGGCTAAATCCTTATGCTCTACGTTGACCTCTAGACACGGAAACACGCTGCTTGAGGCACCTATGTTTCCTGTCCCTTCGCTACACGCGCGACGATAATGATTTTGAACGGTGGAATAGTGGCCGGGCGCTGGCGGTGTTTTCTTTTCCTATTCGATGCGACGTGGAATTTTGTGGCCGTTCGTTGTCAGGCCTTTCGAGACGCAGCTTTTTCGTGCGAAGATCATAGCGCGAGAATTGAGAAATTGGCAACGTCTACTAGATACTATCTACGACGCTAAATTGAATGAAGAACGTGCTTTTATCAATATCGCTGCCTTGCCGCTAGTATCATTTACTGCTGGAAATTTGTGATCTAACGCACTGCTTTGACTAGCGTGATGACTTTACCTTTTTACTGAAGACCGACATCTGCAAGTCTAGAAGCAGATTGAAAAAGGTTTCAATGGAGATATTGTTCTTAACGCTGTGGCAAGGGAGCTGACCGGCAGCGCGCATGTCGAACGATGACCCCGACAGACCGCATTAGAGGCACCTTTTCTTGATCCTCCAGCTTAGTAGGAAACTACAGCCTATTCCAAGACTTTGAGACGGAATCTGCTGGAATGAGTGCCATGAAGTCTTCTGAATTTACTATCTTACATCCCTAGCTAAGGCTCACCATAAAGTTGGCTTGCCTTGACATCTGCTCAAGCCATTCACATCATAACATCCCTCCCAGCTACACCTTAGCACAAGCCGTAGTTTCAGAGCACTAGTCTGCAATGTAAATATTGCTTCCGCTCAGTGAAAGCTTTTTCCCTCTCTCATATTGTGAGTCTGAAGTTCAGCATCTCAAGCAGCAATAGTAGAAGTTGCTTCTACTAAATCAAATAGAGCAATCGACCACTCGTTATCGTAGTAGCCCCGCCTGATCAAGGTGCTATCACAGCATAACAACTCCTCCATCGACATTCTCCTGATCCGCTGCGTCTGATTCTATTGTGGACATCCCATGCTTCTCCTCCATCGCGTCCAGGATTTTCATACGCTCCGCTATGCTCAAGGGAGGCTCTACCTTGTTATCTGTTGATTTCCATTGGGCATCTTCAAGCTTCTTCGTCTCTACCTGCGCTTTCTCTGTCGAGGCAGGAGACGGTGCCTTTTTCTTCATTGGCGAGCGTAGGTGTGGTGGAATGTATTCGCTCTTTGGAGTTGGGGCTGTCTCAGAATTCCACGAGCTACTGTCTGTAGTACCTACCACAGGCGAAGAGAGGGTGCTTGAAAGGCCATCATGTAGCTCGCTAGGAGTTTCTGTCGATACCAAGTTCGTTTGGCCACGTTCTCGAGCAGCGGTGGTAGCAGCTTCGAACGCTTCGTCCATCGCATCTTCGTCAAAGGGCATGGACGTTGGCTTAGGTTGATGTAAATTTCTTGGTTTACTCTCTCCGTCCGTGGGTGTCCGCGTTGCTTTCACCATCCGATTGGCCTTTCCGATACCATTGTCGCGGCGAGCATCCCTTCTGGCTCTCTGCTCGTCAGCCTTTCGACCTTTCACCTTGGCACGCTGGAATGATTCTTCATCAACCAATTCGGCCATGGGAAGTATCTTCACTGGTTCACCGCCATCGCCGCCTTCCTCCTCTATTGCCTCCCAATCCTCCAGCTCGTCTTGCAACCTATCTCTGGCTTCGGCAGCTACTTCGTGAAGCTGCTCATGGCTTAATTTTGTGGCTGGTTTATTGTCCGGGGAGAGTGCAGCGATGGAGAGACCGAGTAATGCTTGAGTGGTGTAGACGGCGTCATTTCCCTGCAAATTGTGAATACTGTTAAAAAGGAAGCAAAACTTTCTACACTTACAGCGTTATGAAGATTCCAGCCCACGAGTTCAAGCTCCATAAGAAGAGCCCCCAAGCTGATGGGGTTCAATTCGTGCTTATAGGCTCGGTACATGTTTCCGGTATCGAGGACTTCGATCATATTTGAGAGATTGCCAACGTCGTACCCAACATTACGGAGGAAGTCAAGGTCTGATCTGACGCCATGACCCAGTAGGACAACATTACGCCGGTGTGATGGATCAGCCTCAACGTGTGGCTTGTATTGGGATCCTCCCCTTGGCACTTCTTTAGCACTGAATGGATAAGGAGTGTATTTCCCGGGCTCGGAGTATGGAGGCTTGAAGCACGAAGCGACGACTTGCGGTATCTCCTGCGTAGAGATCCATTCGCTTGTACCAAACTCCGGCTGGAAGCGATCAGCACATCCTGCGACGAATTCAGAGTTGTTCAAGTGAGCTGTTTCTACGATGCGGAAATGACGGCAGCGCAAATGGTTCATCCACCTTTTACCACCTTCACCAGGTGGTGCTCGCACGATATCCAAAGTATCGAGCGTGCAAAACCCGATCTCTGTTATCTTACGATGATCCTTCTCAAAGACTTCGATGTCGACGCAGACAAAGATCACGTTCTTGTCGAAATCGTAAGGAGCCGCAGATGTCATGTCCAGAGACGGCAGCTTAATACCTGCAGCTAGCTCGAAGTCCTCCTGCGCCTTTTGCGACTCCTCGTGGGACATATTTGAGTCTTTATGAAAGTCTTCGAATTTGCCGTCAGTCCCTCGAGGACGCAACCCCAGGTAGCATTGCCCTCGTTTCAATTCGCTACACCATCTCCTCTTATTCTCAACACGATCCTTACGTTTCTTCTGCCTGACCGCTTTGCTTTTCTTTTTACTAGCAGCCATAGCATCGAGCATCTTTTGCCTGAAGAATGGAAAGGATCGTTCATCAAGCACTTCTGGCGCCTCCAATGGAGAACCTTCCACAGGAATCATGCCTTCTAGTTCAAGCATACCGCAATCCTCCGTGAAACGTCCGAGATACCGAGGACGAGGGGTGCCTTCTTCGACAAATGAAAGCTGGAATCCAGGCACCTCCGAAACGTCGGGAAAAGAAGCATAAATGCCGAGAGATTTTTCAATCTCGTTGAATAGTTGCTCGACCTCGTTTTGTGGGATTAGTAACAATGGTTTCTCCGAATCTCCTAGAAGGGTACGAATGTAGTATCTGAAGATTTGTGAGTGACACTACGCAACAACTGCTCGTGAAGTAAAGGCGTGGCTGGTGTTGTTCACTGAAACAAAGGACTTTGATGACTGCAAAAATTCACAAGCCTTGTGGCATAAGGTACATCACACTCGGACGAGGGACACTAGCGCCGCCGATGCAAGTACTGATACATAAAAAGGGTACGAATGCCATCTAGCCTTGTGCACTATGGGTTGCGCATGATTACTCACAGGTTCCAGCCACGCTCACGAAATGCTCCCCACGCGAAGTATTTCTCGGAGACCATCTTCATTTCCTCCGCTCTCAGATGTTGATACGGCCACTTGGTGACGGCGGCGTACGGGCAAAATTGATCTTTGCGCTGAGCCAGTTGACCCGTACAAAGATCCATGTTTCTTGAGCTAACAAGTACGGTCGTGAGTCAAGTCATTGGGAGCGCTGGTCGTCAGTAGAGGTTCGAGATGACGAAAACCTTCTTATTGTATGGCTTTGGCGTTCGTTGAAGGGGGCAAAAAATACTACGGACAAGGAAAAGAAGAATCACGAGAGCCACAATATGAAAATAAAGTAATGTCTGGTCAAAGTGTGAGTGTAGGAAAGCTTGAAAGGCGTAGGAGCAGCAAAAGTCACAAGGCGAAGCGTGTCAGTAACTTCCGTCACACGAACTGATGTGATGAGTTGTGAGCATCGATCACTGCGACACAGTGTGGGCCTCATATACTATCGTAGGCTGCATCATGTGCGCAGTCAATACTAGGCACTCTCAGTTGTTTGTTTTTAGTGAGAGTGTTGATAAATGAATTAATTAAATCACCTCAATTAAATACGCTAAGACTCAGCCCTACATAGAACTACATTGAGTTAGTCGAGGCTACCTTAGAACTAGCAAGCTTGGCTGCCGAGTGCGATAGAGCACGATTCATTCGACAAGTCCAACTGCCAGACGCGCAGCGGTGCATTGCCTATCATGGCAGCCCAAATGATCATGGCAAGGGATGCAGACAAGTCAGATGATCCTGACGCGCAAGCTACTCTGACGGACTACCTCGACTACACTGAGTATTTACCTTCGGACCTCAACCGAGCTCTCACGCTCATCGGCAAGCTTGACGAAACATATTTGGCCAGAGCAAACAATGTTCACGAGCTTTCGAAGCAGTATGGAGCTTTGCCCGCGTCTTCTAACTCCAAAAATTCCGATTCGCAAGCCCTTCGGGCGGACTTGTCCTACAACCTCAACAGCGCGATTAAGGCTCGCGAATCAGCATACGGGGAAGCTGAAAGACTCAATGAAATGGTGAACAGACACTATAATCGACTTGTCGGGATCAAAACAAAGCTACTCGCCCTGCCCAAACCACCATCAAGGGATCCTACACCAGTTGCCCGGTCGCCTCAAGTAACTCGCAAGACCCCACCTGCGCGCATCACACTTCGCCTGGACAGCGCAAGGTTCGCGGCCACAGGGGGAAGAGTTGCAGATAAAGAGAGGAAGAGGGTACATCGAAGCCGAAGAATCACTGTGCCTGGAGAGGTGCTTCCCCCACCAAACCCAGATTCGCCTCAAACATATTCGGACTCAGATTGGGAATCGATACCTCCATCTCCGCTTCCCATGCCAACATCTCGTGTTGGTGGCTCTCGATCGCGATCTCATAAGCCTGCACGCTTGAAACCACCGAGGCTGCCTAAAATACCCAAAGATCGTGGTCCTAGACCACCGCGGCTTCCTGGTATGGGAACGAACGTACACAGCTCAGTTGCAGGAATATCGACTAGCAATGCCTTATCAATGCTGCAGAAACCACCTCCAGATGCCATGCGAGGAAGTGAATATGCGCCATGGATGAGACTTACCGAATATGAAATGGCTTTGCTAAGGAAAAGGATGAAGAAGAATGCTATCTGGACTCCTAGCGAGACCATGATTAGACGTGAGCTTGCGCAAGCAAATCGTGGTCCTGACAACTATCGTAAACAGAAGGCTGAATGTGAGGAAGCTGAGGAGGAATTTCTGGATGTTGACAATATTGCATCCTCCACTCCCGGGAAACCTCTGGCGCCTGGTGAGATAAGTGCGGATGCATTGGCTATGGGCACGTCAAACCTCCAAAATCGGGGAATGAAATTGAACGAGGCCAAGAAACAGAAGCGAGAAGCTTTGCTGCAAGCATCACTTCAGGAAGCACAGCAAGCAAATAAACGACTCGAGAGCATTGGCAGCGATTTCAAGGATCTCTTCACAAAACCGCTCCCTCTTTCTCTTGAAAGTCCCTTGCTACCAAAAGGCCTGCCTAATGGCACCACTCCAAAGAAAGATCAATCTGCCAAGAAGAAGAAAAAGAAGGCGAAGGAAGAAGAGAAGGCAGTTGAAGGACAATCTTCGAAGAAGAGGAAGCACTCAGACACTGTTGTGAATGGAGCGTCATCAGCCCCACCTTCTACAAAGTCCCCCTCGGACGACAACCCTGGCCCATCACCGGACAAGCCATTGTTCAAGAAACGGAAGGTCCAGCCAACGACTCCTACTACGATTGAAACCGTTATAACTACGGTTCCCTTAGCTTCCCCAGCTCCAGCTGCCCCTTCTGCGCCGGAGCCTGTCAGGCAGAGGACTAAGTCACCAATTCCAAAAACCCCTTCTATGCCAGCACCTCAGAGACCAACACCATCTACTGCGCCAACCCGAGCGCTGACAATCGCCACCGCCACGTCATCCCGCCCCCGCCGTGTATCTCTAACACTACGGGGCCCAGCTTCACCAAGTAACAAGGAAAAGGTTGTAGCTGCTTCAACACGCTCAGTACCTAAGCAAGGATCCTCAGCACCGTCATCAGCAACGTTACCTCGAGAACGTCCTCGTCGAGCATCGGCAACACCGGCAACACCGGCAACACCGGCAACACCGGCAACACCGGCGACCCCGACAACCCCCGCTCCAGTCCTTACTGCTGCTTCGAGACGCAGTAAACGACCTGCGCCTGGTGCAGTGTTGCAAGACCACGAAGGCGGCGCCGCAGTCACGGTAGGCAAACGTACTAGGCCACCTAGAGACGACAAGACAGCTATGGATAAGTGGGCGGGCAACGTTACGGGGAAGCAAAAGGACGCAAAGGAAAAGGAAAAGGAAAAGGAGGCGCAGCGAGATCAGGCAATGGGCGGGGAGCTCATCGATCCTGACGAGCCTCGTTATTGCATCTGTGGAGATGTCAGCTGGGGAGAAATGATTTGCTGTGACAATGATAACGTATGGGAAATCCCTCGAATGGTGCTCTCGAATAGTATTGCTAATCATCATTCATGCAGTGCGAACGGGAATGGTTTCACTTCAGCTGTGTGGGCTTGACGGAAAAGCTACCCCGACGGATGAAGTGGTATTGCCCTGAATGCAAGATCAAATTGAAGAAATGAGGCGAGGAACTACACTGGGGACACGGTGGAGTAAGTAGCACAGCACAACAGACGGGCTGACTCGGGGTATGAAAGGGGCAATTGTACGATTATTGGGAGCTTCTGTGTGCTTAGCAAGATCAGATAATTCGCTCCTGTTTTCTTCAGTTCACTTCACTTGAGGCCCTGCCGTGAAACCGGAGTGAGCTTTGTTGACTATCAATAAGGGCAAAATACATGACGATAGGAGCCAGCCAACGTGCCAATTCTGCCCAGCACGTCAGGCTAATCGGCATTGTATTGAGCAGGCCCTTGAAACGCCGCGGGTTGAACAAGCACTGAGCCGCTCTCAACAGCATCGTACTATCTCACAAACACGAGGCTGACTACAATCTGGAGGTGGACGGTGTTCCTCGATCCTTCTGACAAAGATGTAGCATGACGACTGGACGCACTGCGTAGAAGTGAACAGAACGAATCACTTTCCGTCCTTGTGCCAATGCGCTCTGACTTCGTTAATTGGTTCAAGCGTACATGAACACGCCATTGGCGATAGGAAGAGCATAGGCGACGCTGATTGGTCTCGTGGGTTTGGTGGACCCTAGTGTAGTGGCATCTTCATGCGCGACACCAGCGACAGGAAATTAAGGTCCCTTGTTACTCTATGGTGCTAGGATTCCTTGGTCGTGCCGGAGAGGCCCAGTCTTGTCAGTTTGCCCCTCGCAGCAGCAGGGGATCTTAGCAATCGTTTCAGAGCTTCCGACGCACACGTAGAATCGAGGCACAACTCCACCAAAATGCGAGCTGGCTTCATCGATGTAGTTGGCAGTGTTCTCCTCCAAGATCCAGAGAGATAGAGATGAAGATTCAGGCACGATTCACTGCCAGCGATATCGGACAATAAAGGAAAAGCGCACCATCAGTGAGCATTGAGCAACAAACAAAGAGGACGATCCAAAATAGGAGAGTTCTAGCCGAAATTGCACGAGCGATTGGTTCGTAGCTAAAAACCCCACTAAGCTGCAGACTAAGCCCGAATCTGCCTCGTCCCTGTTTGAACGGCCAAGACGACCTCCTGCTCATTTCCTCGCCGGCCCTTTTCTCGTTCTGCATCCACTGCAGCGAGACGACTCGTCAAAGCTGTCGCCGGCAGCATTGTCGACGAGGTTCGTGTGGAGGAGAAAGCCTGAGGAGGTGTAAAGGGTCGAAAGTGCAACCAGCCAGGCACAGGGACCTCGTTGCACCCACCGGGGGCGAATGCCCCTCCTATTCGAGCAAAATACAACCATCAACGCCGAAAAGCACGATTCACTCCTTGCAAAGAACCAGAAGGCGACAGCTCCGCCCCAAACAGTCATGAGCGACACTCTCTCAGTAATGCAGTCATAGTACAAGAGGTGGGTCACTGGCACAATTTAAGCCGATGGCGCAGAACTGACTTTCCTGCAGCTTTTTTGAACCTCACAACGCCTGGTCCACGACCGGCTTCCACTCCTTCGAAAATAATACAGACGCGGTCGAAGCTGATCTTCCATCGCACGTAGCGACTCACGTCCGCACAAAGACGTCTTTTTCACCCACCATACCCACAGAATTCTCATCGCAACAAAGCCGTACATGAGCGTCACTACCTACCAATTATTCCTTGAAACACCTATGACTTACATCCCAATAAGAACACTTGATATACATCTTTAATCACTCCTTTGATACACCAACTACTTGTCATTCCCTTAGCCTAATATTTGAGGTTTCCGCCTCATTACATCATATGGAACATCCGTCCAAGAGACGGAGAATAGAGCGACGGGCTGCTCGACCATCGGAACATTTACTATCGACCGATAGTAACAAACACATTCGTGGACCGCACACGATATCTCATCGCCCGCGATTCCACGCCCCAGACTTGATTCTCCCTCCAAGTAATGTTGATTCCGCCAAAGCGGAAGATGGAGATGGAGATGGAGAAGTTCCCCACAAGCCATTGGCCGTGGTCAAGCCCAAGCCCACAAGATTAGAGCTTCGCCAGCTCGTGACACCCCCCGTCACAAACGCCATCGACAATAATGCCGACTCCGGAAAGCAGACCCTCAATAATGTCGCTCAACCGGTACAAGGTCAAGACGGGCAACCTACTGTCAACAATGTTGCTCAACCTATCCAAAATCAAGTTGTGCAACCAGCCGCGGGCAGCGTCGTTACACCGGCTACCAATGTAGCCGGCGACGTTGCTCAACAAGCTGCCAATACACTTCCGCCTACTAATGGCAATGTCCAGACTCCCGCAGCCGGTGCTAGTGTACAAACCCAGCCCGTTGGCGCAAACGCTCAGGTCCCGCCAGTGGGTACAAGCAATGACGCTTCTCCGCCTGCTCAGCTTCCAGTCACTTCGGCCACAGCCCAGCAACCAAACGTACCTCCAGCTAGTCAGGTTGTGCCGGAGGTATCGAAACCTGTAGACGATGTGCCGGGGCAAGTATCCCCTCTGCCCGCTAACGCAGCTGAAGCGGCAAGGAAACAGGCCTTAGCAGAGCAAGAAGCGAAGGCAAAAGAAGAGAATCCAAATGTACCAGGGTCTGGGGGACCCGCTCCTCCACCAGAGGCTTCTATCTCGGCACAGAAAGGTACCAATACAGCGTCGCCGCTCACCGGAAATCGACCCCCCGTACCAGGTCCCGGCCTGAGCTCTCAAACTCCGCTGTCGGAACCTTCCACCCCACTGCCTCAGTCTCCTTCATCGACATCATCTCTTGCATCCTATTTTCCCTCATCCCAGCAAACTATGAACGCGCCCTCTACTTCACCTGCTGCCACAGGAAGCCCAAGTTCCTCGTCGAACAACCTTTCTCCCTTGGCCAATAGCAATTCGACCATGTCAGCTTCTACTTCTCCAAGCGCCACCACCTCCTCTTCTGCATCAGCTTCACTGCTATCAGCGATGTCGGCGTCCTCGGCTTCCATTGCCAGCATGAATGCTACAAGTACCTTCAACTCTTTGTCGAGCATATCAAGCACCACGCTAAGCAGTGGGACTCTCCTCTCATCATTTGTCACATCACCCACACCTACCACATTCGCAACAAGCACATCCGCATTCCAGAGCTCAGGACAAGACTCGCAAACGCCATCGGCATCTTCGGGGGCATCAAGCACTGATGTAGGTGGATTGGTTGCTGGAGGCTCGCCAACACAAGGTGCTGCACCCGGAGCAACAACTAGTGCAGGATCAGGTGCAGGTAGCGGCAGTGGGACACCTCCTACAAAGGTCCTCGTCGGAGGAATAGTCGGTGGCTGTGCTGGCTTGATCTTGATCCTGGTAGCTATACTTTTCCTTCTAAGATGGCGGAAAGGTCAGGTTGGTAGGCGGAGAAGCATTTCGCCTCCCGTACCTCAACTTGCAGGCGCAGGCAGTGCAGCTCTGGGCGGAGGAATGACACAACGGTCAAGCACCAGAAGTAACGTCCCGATAGCTGCTGCCGCCATCCTGAATCGTCTACGACCTGCGTCTTCCCAAACAGCAACAACCACCAGTACGGGCCCAAGTGAGAAAGGCTTTCAGAAGATTTCGGGTAGGAAACTGCCTTCCGTCCTACACTCTGGCGGTGATGGCTATGGCGAAGCTTCCGCTGGTCAAGCCGGGTCTTCTGCGCCCCCTGCCAGGTCTATTGCACCAGGCCAAAGCCCGTTCGCTGGCTTAGCTCCGGCTTTGCGCCCTCCTTCTCCTCAGCGCTCGTTGTCTGGTTCCTCATTTTATCGGGATTCGCGTGGCTTCTATGGCGGAGTTGTCCCTGCTGAGTCTGCGTCCGAGGACCGCACCGATCCGTCTTCTTCACCGACTTCATCCTCACCTACCTTCCCAGTTCCGCCTTCATCAGGCGTTCCATTTGCCGGTGCAGGACACCCACCTGGTACCTCCAGCCCAGGTGTGCTCAACATCCGACCTGGACCTGCACGTCAGCCAGTCATTCAGCAGGGAGGCATCGTTCCAATGCGAACGCCCTCTCGTCCTCAACCTTCTGGTCAGCGACCGGCCCCATCCCCGATTGCAGAGCACCCGAGAGACGCTATAGGACGAAGTCATCCTGATCAAGATGGCTCGCGCCAATCTCGGTTTAGGGAATCGACTACGCCCCCATAACATAACCACAGTGACGACATCATTTCGATTTTCGATGTTCATACCAAGGCCATAATCTGGGGTGCATGTGAGCTAACGGCGTTGGACTTGCCATGTGTATAACACAAAAGCTTCTAGTAAATGTTTAATCCTTTACTTCAGCGGATTAACTTTGATCACTTCTACCATACGTTCTTGCGGCAGGCAGGCCGCTTGTACAAATAATCCGCTAATATTACTTAATGTTATGATGTGTGTAACGAAGAGGGGCAACTTTGCAGGTTGCAGCAAGCAGATGTAGGAAGATGGGAGTCCTTTGGCATCCCTGTCTTCCTGGGTCTTTTTGGATGCCGACGACTGCATTAGAGATTTCTCGAGCAGGAATACGGCATTAGCTATTAGGATACTAGAGGAGAAATCGAGGGAGCTTCTTGATTTAGAAGTGTATAATCGTTATCATGGAGTCACGAGCGTGTCTCCGATATTGGTAGAAAATCAAGAATCTGACCAGATGAATCAATCTTGATGCTTCTCTTAAATCTACCCACTGCATAATGTATATCGTTTGCTTCACGGGGTTGGACCTGTGCACTACTCGGTTGGTCTAGTCCCACCCCAAATTACACCTTATCCCACCACCACTCAGAAAACCTTGGGTTCTGAAAGTACAACTTTGCGAAATCTGTAGCATGCTCAATTCACAGGAGCTGTCGCTACGGGAGACTGTGGCTCCAACCATTGATTCATGTAGCTCCTCAAAAGCTCACAATTCTGTGAGAGAAAATGGCAGCTGAATCGCACCCCTTAAACACTCAGTCGCAGTGTCTTGAATTGCCATGGTCAAGTCAAGACCCCCGGTCTTCATCTACGCAGTCACTCGTCCCTCAAACATCTACCTCCGATAGACGTACACTACTCTTGATCTACGTGCATGGCTTCATGGGCAATGAAACCTCTTTCCAACATTTCCCAGCGCACGTACATAACGTGCTCTCTGAGACACTACAAGACAGCCATGTCGTGCACACGAAGATTTATCCGAGGTATAAGACAAGATGCAAGATCGGGGAAGTAAAACAGATCTTTAGTGAATGGTAAGCATGAACCATAGGCCCGACTCTTTCCTGGCTGCACAGCAATTGAGCCTCGGGGACAATGCGCTGGAGCATGCGTTGACAGGATTCTCTGACATTGCTAGGCTAGCTCCACATGAGTCTCCAGACAAGGACATCATACTCCTGGGACACAGCATGGGCGGTTTACTGGATGCAGAAGTGATCATGCTTCCTTGGTATACAGCGGGGAATGAGCAAGTCTACAAGCATAGGATCCTAGGCACTGTGAATTTCGATACACCTTTTCTTGGAATGCATCCTGGGATTGTGGGAAGCGGTATTAGCAGCCTGTTTCGACGTTCTCCGTCACCGTCACCGTCCTCATCACCAGCAGCCCAATTACAAAATAATCATAGAAGCCCACGATCTTCGCTTGAGACCATTGAGTCAGCTTTACCACCACCATTACCCCCGAGAATGGGGCAGGCTCCTGTCACCTTGATCCCGACCGAGTCTGAAAGTCGCGTCCCACTATCGACGACTTCTTCGTCGCTCTCGGTACCCCTCGACGACCCGAACTACAATCCTCCCTTTTTCAATGATGTCCGTATACCAAAGCGCACAGGATGGTCCAATGCATTGCATTTCTTGGAGAAGCATTCAAGTGGATTGGTACACGCAACAGAAACTTACGTTACTTCTCACTTCGAATTCGGTGGCGCAATGGCTGATTTTCGGGCTCTGAGAGATCGATATAAAAGGATCAAAGCTCTAGAGAGGGGGCTTGATGGACGACGAGTCAGATTTGTTAACTATTATACAGCTTGCACTGGAAGACCCAAGCACGACAAGGATGAAAGACAGTCACGAAAGGATCGTGATGAAAGCTTCAATGATGGCCCGCAGTCTGACTTGGAGAACCTAACTTTGACCAACACCGGAGGCCGATCAGCGTCTCCGCGACCAAGTGCATTGACCGAAAAAAACCACAACACGCAAGAGCATAGTAGCAGCCCGCCCTCAAGTGATCCTGCCCATGGCGATGAAAACAACATCGGAATCCATCAAGCTCAGGCCGAGATCAATGACCAGGTTATGAATGGGAATGACATTGTGAAGTCCTCTGCAAACGATGATGCAGACAATGACCAGCTTCTCGACACCGAGAGCACTCAGCACAAGCAAGACTCTCATCCTTCCTCTTTACTGGAACCCTCTGACTTAGCTCCTCAGAACTCACATGCAGAAGCAGAGCAGCCAATCTCAAAGGATTTTGAGCGTCGATCGAAGGCCCGTTCCAAGGCCTTGAAGAAGTTGGATGAGGCTATCAGCGCCTACGAAAAAGCCGCGACAGCATCTAGTAGTGGAACGCCAAAAGAGAGAAAGAAGGTTGAGAAGCTGCAGGCTAAAGTACGGCAAAGGCGCCAAGAGGTCCAGACACATGCTATTCTTGAAGAAGCAGACAGCCTGGATGAACAAAAAACGGGCGAAGATGATGTGGATCCCCAAGTAGATACGACACTCATGGCCAATAGCAAAGAAGGGAGCAAAGAAGGGAAAGCAGAGAAGAGAGGCTCACCAAGGGAGCGAAGATTCTGCGTCTTGCCTTCGAAGATTGACAGCAAGCCTGACCCATGCTGGGTGAAAGTCTTCATGCCCGATGTAGATGAAGTAGGCGCACATTGCGGCTTATTCCAAGTAGGTGACAACCCGGAGAGGTACGAGACCTTCGTCTGGGACGTGAGCTTGAGGATTGTGGACTGGCTGGAGGAGGAAAATGCACGTGATAACCCTGAATAATCGAGCTATGATCAATACTTACGAATCAATCATGCTTGATAATACCCTACGTTTGTGTCAGGTATGCTAATGCTAATACCATCACAGATGGATAAGTATATAACATCATTTCTGATTTCTCGATGAATTAGACTTCGTAGATTTCGTTCCCCATGGCCCCTTTCTTTATTTACAAACGCATGCGCTCTTTCTTCGCACAGAAAACTTATCCCTCTCACGCCAGCCTCTCCGCCAGCAGGATTCCATACCAGAGCATTCCCCCGCATCCCACTAGATTCACGAGGGAACTCGCGCCGTGCAGTATTCCAAACCGCTTATTCAGCCCTCGCATATCCTTACTATGCTCCCCACTCTCGTAATATTTCTTCCCATCCCTCGTCTCCTGATGTTTCCTCTCCTTCATTACCTTCGTCGTCGCCGGACCGAGCACCACTAAATTCGCCAATCCCGTCAGAAACATGGCTGCTATCGGCACCAGCACGGTCATCCTATTGCCACTTTGAAAGACACCGGAGAAGCTACTCTGGGGAGGTGAGGCGCCGAGGGGAGAAAGATGTGCGCCGGCGGAGGAGGCGGGGTAGGTCAGAGCGATGAGGATCGGGAGGACGGTTTGCACGGCGAAGAAGGGTGGGAAGATTTTAGTCTGGAGGGTGGAGAATTGGGGCCGTGGGAGTGCGGTGTAGGAGATGGGCCCGACGAGGAAGGATTGGTAGAGCGTTGTGCCTAGGAGCGTGCTGTAGCTAGGAGGGATTCAGTTAATTGGTGAGCGTGGGGAGGGACTGGGAAAGAAGTACCTGATAATGTGCCAGGGTGCTGGATTGAGGAGGCTAGAGAGGGATGCCATGTTTGACGTGTATGCTCATCCAGGTCTTGATGATCAGGAGCTTTTTGCTGGCAAGGACAGGCATGTAGAGACAGAGTAATGGCGAGAGTTACTTCCGGTCTCACGGCGTCATCGAAGAATTTACAAATCCAGGAGATTAGGGCTGGATTATCACTCTGACTAAGGAGATTAGGGCTAGCGCCACGTGATATGTGCCTGCGTCGTGTTTGATCCGCGATTCTGCCTGCTCCGGGTGCTTTATTCATTGATTTCACTTGTTCATATGGAAAGTGGACAGCTGAAACGCTTCTGCTCTTGGCAAAGATGGCAGATAAAGAAGCTACTGTCTATATCATAGATCTCGGGAATTCTATGTCCCAGAAACACCAAGGTAGGACGGAATCAGATCTCGACTATGCTTTGAAATATGTGTGGGAGAAGATCACTAGTACTGTAAGCTGTTTGACTACATGCCTACTGGATCGAATTGAATGGTCTAGGTCGCTACCGAGAGGAAGACCGCCAAGCTTGGTGTAATCGGACTTCGGACAGATCGTGAGTAGCCGAGTGGTCCAGTACGTTGTGTGAGTCTGACGCTTATGAGGGACGGAAAATGCATCCGACACGCGAGATGGTTTCAACAACATCTCTGTCCTTCAGGAAATCGACCAGTATATCTTTGTGTCTGGTCTGTAGTTTGTACTGAATGAGACTAGGTTACTCCTGCCGGGACTCAAGGAGCTTCGCTCGAGGGTAGAACTCAGTCGTACCGACGAAGGCGATGGTGAGTCACTAGACTTGCTTTACTAATTGTATTGGCTCACCTTTTAGCTATCTCGGCCATTGTAGTCGCAATCATGTTGATTACGAATCATTGTAAAAAGCTGAAGTATAAGAAAAGAATCGTTCTAGTGACCAGTGCTCGTGGTAGCGTCGATGGTGACGATATACCACAAATTGCTGAGAAGCTGACTAACGACGCTATTGAGCTGGTAGTTGTGTAAGTTACTGTAATGGATTGCAATTCCAGCTAACCGCTGCCAGTGGGGTGGACTTTGATGATGCTGAATATGGATTTAAAGAAGAAGGCAAATCAGAACTTAAAGTATGCTTTTGGGTGCAGAGATCGTTCAGAATCATTAACAGCCTCCAGGCTTCGAATGAAAAGATATTAGAAAGGCTTGTCGAAGGCTGTGACGGTGTGTTTGGTACCATGCAGCAAGCCGTCGAAGAGCTACAAATACCACGTCTTAAGCCAACTAGACCAGTGCCTTCATACAAGGGCCAGCTGACCCTCGGTAATCCAGAAGACTACGAAAACACGCTGAGTATTGACGTTGAGAGATATCCTCGAATTTCGATTAGGAAGCCCCTGAATGCCAGCAGTTTCGTTCAGAGAAAACCAGACGTGAATGGAACCGCGACTCCACATTCTTCGGCGACACTTGCTCAGCCATCACCTACAATGATGTCTGATGCTGCGGCTAATCCTTTAGCAACTATTCACAACAACCGTGCCTACTTTGTTTCAGGGGACGAAATAGCTGGCGGCAAAAAAGAAGTCAATAGAGAAGACCTCGCCAAAGGCTATGAGTATGGACGAACAGCTGTCCATATAAGTGAGTCCGATCTCAACGTCACGAAGCTGGAAACCCAGGCTGGACTAGAAATCATAGGATTTGTTCAATGGGATAAGGTCAGCCTTTTTCAAGATATTTCGTATAATTTACCAATGACCTGTAGTACGAACGCTACATGAATATGTCAGCTTCGAGCATGATCATAGCCCAGAAGACAAATTCTAAGGCGATCCTAGCCTTATCCTCTTTGATCCGTGCACTAGTCGAGCTAGAATCCTACGCAGTCGCCCGACTAGTCACGAAGAGTGATAAAGAACCAGAGATCAAGCTTTTAATTCCTTCAGTTGAACACGACTATGAATGTCTGCTTGACGTATCGCTCCCATTCACGGAAGATGTACGATCATACAAATTTCCTCCTCTGGACAGGGTGATCACGGTATCCGGAAAACACATTACAGAAAATCGAAATTTACCTAACGATACATTGAAAGATGCCATGAGTGCGTACGTTGATAGAATGAATATCTCACAACTCGCTAGAGATGATGAAGGTAATCCATGTGAGTACATGGCAATGGCCGATACCTACTCACCGGTGCTACACCGGATTGATCAAGCTGTCCGGTGGCGTGCCATTAATCCTGACAAGCCAATCCCTCCTCCCTATGAGATCTTAATACGATACTCCAATCCACCGACGGAAAAAATTGAAAGGTCGGCTTCAAGATTGAAGAAGCTGGTGGCCGCTGCAGACGTGAAGAAGGTACCACCCAAGACACAAGCCCGCCAACGGACTCGTGAAGCTGTGAAACCCCTTTCTGGCCTGGACGTTGGCGCTCTCCTTGGCTCTAAGCCGAAGACAGTCAAAATATCGAGAGCAAACGCAATCCCAGACTTCCGACAAGCATTAGACCAGACGGATTCTGATGTTAGCCTTAAAGAAGCAGCCGCACAGTTTGGAAAGATTATCGAAATTCAGATCAAGGATAGTTTTGCAGACCAAGAATACGACAGTGCGCTCGAAAAGCTCGGCGTAATGAGGCAGGAGATGATAGAAGTTGATGAACCCGATGCTTTCAACGACTTTATCAGGAAGTTGAAGGACAGAATCTTGAAGGAAAAACTGAACGGTGATCGGCGAGAGATGTGGTGGCTCATCAAGAGGCAGAAGCTCGGCCTTATACCAAAAAATGTCTCGCAGCCCTCCAACGTGACCGAGGACGAGGCAAAAGATTTCTATACTTCACGGTAAATATGCTGGTATGAGTGTGATGACAGGATACTGTTGTGGAATCAGCCGGATAGGTAGGCCATTGTGGAAGCAGGTGCGTAGATAGGTTGAAGCCTCAAAGCTTCAGGCTTGTGTCGAACTTCGGATGGATAAGATTTTCATCGGTCTGAACAGGAAGACTCTACAACTGCACTAGACCTAATGAAGGTCCGTCGTACTCTAACGCTTTTGCCTCAACCTCTCCATCTCCAGCTGAAATTGGACTCTCTTCTGTCAAAACTTGCCGTTGCTCAGTAGACTGAGGTATCCCACTACCAAAAATCCTATCGAGCCTCCGCTCACGATCCCACACCCTCGCCTCGGCACTCTCCCCTTTCCTTCGGAAATAAGCGATCCGATGCTGCGGTATCTATTCCTCGTCAGTTGAATCTCTACCCCCTTTCCACGCTGAGACTTCGACCTCTTGTATCTCGAGTTCATGTCGGTCGTGATAACCGACTACAAAGTCTTCTTCGTTGAGAGAAGGGTCGTGGCGTATCCGTGAAAGTATGTCCTTAGCTGGTCGCAAAGGGTGTTTTGCTTGGCTGTTTTGGGTGGCGTGTTTTCGTGTTTTGTTGCTGTTTGATTCTGCTAGTTCTTTTTCTTGTTTTGTTGTTGGCTGTGGTGATGTGGAGTATCTAGCTGATTGATTTTGATCGATAGTGTTTTCAGCTAGTGGGCTGAAAGATCGTAATGAGGTTTCTCCCGCCTCGAATAATGGGATTTTGATACCTTGAGTCTCAAAATCTTGAGCCATGTTCTCTTTTGGAAGAGTCGGTTAGTTTTTCTTGGGTGGAATGGATAGTGGTCCGTGGGAGAATGGAAGACAAAGACCAATGGGGATGGGCAATTGCAAAATCAGAGTATGTATTGGTGAAAGATCAAGAATACACATCAGGGGACAGTGATTTATATTGTGGAGAATGTCAACTGGTTAAGGGCAGCCATGATCTCGTATTTGAGTCATCTTTAAGCAATGAGTCAGAGAAGAATAGTCACGCAGACGTGTCTAATTATTTGCAACACTCGCAAGCTTTGAGCTTGACGTTCGACAAGAGGTAGTCAAGAAGCTCAACTAGCTCTCTTCAAGCCCATCATTAGGTGTATGCAACATCAGACAGACCGATATGAGATTTGATTCCCGTGCCAAGCAATGCCAAGACATGCCTGAATCTACCTACCTTAGGAGCCGTCTTCAAAATATTCAGCCTCTATCTTTCATGCGTAATCAGCTGATGGTTCTATAACATGTCTGGCCGACGGTATGACCGTGAGCCGCCCTACGAAAATTATCGTGGGCAACATAGGCGACCCTACGACGACTGGGCTCACCAAGAAAACCAACGTGGACCTTACCCAAAAGATCGCCATGCAAGATCTCCTTCGCCACGCCGACCCTACACTCCTCCTCAGGGTAAAAAGACGCAGAGATGAATGGAAAGCTATGCTGGAATATCTGCTAACATCGTCAAGATCAGTATAAAGACCAGGACAGTGGGGAGCTGAAGATCAAGGGCGCTTCCACCCAGCGTGAGAGAGAACCAAGGGATGCGAGAGAGAGAAGAAACAGTGATAGAGATTATGATGATTACCGAAGAGACCGCTCTCGCTCGCCCAGAGGAGACTTTAGACGCCCATATCGGGACCGTGATCGTGAGGGTTATAGGTCACCAAGCTACGACAGCAGGGAAAGAAGTCGCGGCCGAGGCCGATATGCTAGCCGTAGCCGTAGCCGTAGCTACGGCCGGCATAGAGAACGATCTCCTTATTACGGAGGACCTCCGAGCAGGGAGGTAATCTTGGAGGGTCTCCTACCTGACATGGGTGAAGAAGATGTTTGCCTCTCCGTCCATTCTCTTTGACCTACCTGCTTCTGAACTCTTGACATCATACAACCCTTTTCTATTGTCAAAAGCTAAGTATTCCTTCTTCCACGTGCCTAGATATCGAAGGAATTGCTCCAAAACCACAACGTGGAGCATCTAGACGATGTGAGGGTGATTCGTAACAGGCAGACAAGTATGGTAAAAGGATCGATTTGTTATGTAGTATGCTCATAAATATTCAGAAGTATCTCGATGTTTTGGTTTCATTAGATTCCCGTCTTTGGAGCTTTCGACAGCCTTCGTAGAACGGAACTTTCCCGCGATTTATATAAAAGCAAATGATCCGTCAAGCCGCAATGATGAGCCTACCAAAGTTCGACTAGCATACAGCCGTGAGAGAAGTGACAAAGGAGAAAAGGAGATGGACGCCGGAGAGTGGGCTTGCCGTACTGTATGTACTACTGGTCCTCCGCTACTTTTCCTACTAATACTTCGATAGTGTGGATTTCACAACTTCTCAGGGCGCACAAAGTGCAGAAGTTGCGGTCAGAGCCCCTTTGGTGAGTGTGTGACTGAAGTCTTTGAAATTATTCTAACTATCAGATCCTTCGATGTATGCGTCGATCCTAGCTAGGAATCCATATGTAAATAGTGGTGACAGCGACGTGGCCCCTGATGGTAGTCCATCACAATTCTTGATCATTCGAGGCCTTGAAGCTAGCGTCACGGAAGATTTGCTTGCCAAAGGCGTCTCTAAACTATACAAGCCTACTTCAGCACATTCGGTACCTACGTCTAGCGCCAAGAAAGATCATTCGAAAGTACTGTCGACTACTGGTGATTCAAATCTTGGAGCTAAGGAGGATACTCTGCGGAGAGTTCTCCTGATCCGAGACCGCCGCACCAACGAAAGCTGGCGTTATGGATTTGCTGAGTTCGCCACCATCGAGGTATGTCAGGGTATAGAAATACTACCTAGTCGGCTCATCGGCTCATTTTTTCTACAGGACGCTCAGGCCGCTTTGATCCGCTACAGCTCATTCAATAGGTTCACAATTTCCTCAAAACCTGTGACTGCAGATTATATCCATGCTGGAGTTTTTGTGCCAGATTTAAATGCTACCGAAGCAACATCTAGATTCACGTTCAGTCCTACTGGTAATTCCGCTACTAGATTTAGATATTGGGATGAGCAGGTCTATGTTAGTGAGTTGGTAGTCTCAACGACCTCGGCTGTCGACAAGACTTCTGGTTCTCGGGTTCGATCAGTACAGGATGAGAGTTCAGCTACTATGGGATCTTCGAAAGGAGGTAAAGATGCTGAAAACAGAGCTAAGAGACGAAAATTTGACACGAAAGACAGCACCAAGCAGAAAGCCGTAAGTTTTTCCAACTTTTACCTATGTCTTCAAATGTAATGCTTTTAGGCTGGCTCTTCGCAACTTCAATTTTGGAGCGACCGCCACGCGGAGCTTCACGGCTCGAAACAGCCCTCCGCTGGACGGCAAGATTCTAATGCCTTAGATCTGAGCATGAGTCAAGTTGATTCCTCATCTGGTACGTTGCCAGCCAATTCTTTTCTGGATCCAAGGACACATGTCTGTTTCCTTTGCTGGGAACGCCCGCGCAATGAAAAGAATTACAGAGAGCATCCAATGACAGAGAAGCATCAGAAGAATCTCATGGACAAAGCTTTGGTCCAAAAAGCCGAGGTTTTGCAAGCGCGAAGCCCGAAAACTTCCTATATTGATATCGCGAGAAAATTCTGTTACTTATGTCACACTCATTATCCCAGCGAGGTCAGAGTTGTGCAACATGAACTATTGCAAGACAGTCACCAGGAGAATCTCAAGGACGAAACCACCATTGAGCGAGCAAAGAAAGAGATGTCGAAACCAAAATGCATCGACTGGGACAGACTGTTGTGCTTGCTCTGCCTGGAACAGTACTACGATGAGCTCAGTCTAATTGGACATGAAATTGCTGACGCGAAACATCAAGAGATGCTGAAACGTGAAGGATGCGTCGAATTAGCCAAAGCTAACTTAGCAAACCCAAATTCCTTTGCAGACCGCCAAAGGCAGGTTTGCTATCTTTGTCTTCAAAAGTTTGAGAATGTAGCTTGTCTGAGCCTCCACGAAGTGATGAGCGAAAATCACAAAGCGAAATCGAAGGACTTGGAGGCATGTGCAAAAGCTAAGGCCCAGGTTGCAAAGCAATCGTACGCTGATGCAATTGGCAAATACTGCTACCTCTGCAAGCGAGATTTCGAGACAGAGCCAGAGCTGATACGACACGAAATCATGGACGCTGATCACAATCAATCACTTTTGAATGCAGGCATAGTAAAGATTGCTAAGGCCAAGCTCAAAGATAATGGCATTCCTATCAAAAAAATCATTAAAGCAGTACCAGACGCGGAGTATCGTGACCGCGCTAAAGAACGTCGACAGGCGTTTGGGAAAACCAAAAAGATATCCTTCACTCCAAAGAAGGTGGACAGAGAACCCGAGGAAGATAGAGACGAAGGCAAAGCTCCCGGCTCAAAGGGTGCTTCACTACTTAACAAAATGGGATGGAAAGCTGGAGAAGGATTAGGCGCACAGGGAACGGGTATGACAGTTCCGATTGAGACCAACCTGTACGCTGCGGGGGTCGGTCTCGGAGCGGAAGGTGGTAATGTTGGTGGGGCAACAGAGGAGGCAGAAAGAAACACCAAGAGCGATTATCGCGCTTTCCTAGAGCGAACGAAAGATAAGGCGAAGGAGCGATATGAAAAGATGGCTTGATCTCTCGAATGTAACCTTCTGTTAGATCGCCGAATGCCTCCTCGCTCACATTGTGAAGGATGAACGTAAGATATTGATGGGACAAGAAGGAACGACGTCAACCGATCGTTGTTGACCATATCCACTCACGTCACACGATGACATTACAGTGAGTACTGATGAACCAGTCTTGAGAACATGAGCAAGCGAGGTGTCTGCAAATTGTACAATAGTCTATATATAGACTCATTCTTGATTTTTGATTCTATTTTGACATTCTTGTTCCCCTAATCGTATTTGAACGAGATTTGGCTGGGACTCCTGCTGACAAATGCCTCTTCTTGTTGCTGTCGAATTGTAAAAGAAGAGTTGAGAGAAACGTGATCTATTTTGACTGCAAGAGAATTTCCAAGGTATAAGCCTTCGACCCAACGCTTGTGATTTTAGAAGAATTCAGTCGATCCATATGGTGATCAGGATGGTATCGAGAGTAAATGCAGAAGATCGTTGGGCTTGAGATATTCACTTGTTGCTCAATGTTTACGTGTATGGCGTTCTGACCTGTTTAGCTAGCGTTGTAATGGAAACTACTTGCGGTGGATTCCTAGAACGACAGCTAGCAATACACCCCAGTACGGCGCCTGATAGAACACAAGTAGAGCAGTGGGAAAGACGGGCTAAGTAGCCAAAAAGCTAGGAATTTCTTTGGTGAATGGGTGTATCTAGGTCTAAGTCTTCAGCTGGGTGAGAAGCCTTGTTAATTCTTTGACAAGGACGCATGTATTATGCCTTCGCATTCGCTGTCCCGTTATGTTAATGGAGTCACAAACATCAATATGATCGACTGGCTGAGCTCAACCGGTGCAGAACGGTGTAGCACCCTGTCGTGGCCTGTAGGTAACTGAATTGTACAACTCTTGTTTCAGAAGAAAATTGGGCTCTATCTGTTCCTCTCCATTATATGTTCCGATATGACCATGATCTGCTGCAAAAGAAGACTTCCAGGGATAAAGCAATCGGTGGCAGTAATAATGTCACGGGATGTATTCCTGTAGTGATGCGTTCGATGGAGCTTGAGTCCACAAGGGTGAAATGCACGCCGATTTTCTGCATTCGGAATAATCATCTGGTCTAGAAGGCTCCTATTGTTACTATTATTTTCCGTGGACTCCAAGTAAATCACCGATGGACCAGAGCTACCCAAGGTCGGAAGAAAAAAACCTGCATGCGAGATTAGGGTACAAGTTGACTTTGTGCCCCTGAGCGGTACAGATGAGCACTTGGCCCAAACAAGCAGCGCTAGTAGATCTGGCCTCAGACTTTTTCCTCCTAACTTCCTCCTGACTTTCCAAGTTCCTCAGTCCTGCCCCAATTCGAACCCAAATCATGTTCGTTTTGGGACCAGAAGCCCCTAATCACTGCCGCTGTCATCTCCCTGAACCCCTGGTCCCTCAACGCCCACGAGATAATGGCGTGCTCTTTCTTGCAGACGTTGATCACCTCTCCACCTTGCGGTTTTCACGTGGGTCAGACATCCAGAGGATCCACATGTTTCTGTGTCTGCTCGTTGCCAGCTGGAAAGCTCGCTCTGGGCCCAGAACCAGAGAAGCAGAATCGCAGACCGAGGATTAATGGGACCTTTCTTTTGACCACCACCAGCTGAAGGATCGACGGCGTCGAGCTAAGCTAGACAAGGCGTCATCCGGCAAACAATCTCCCCTGCTCGCCGCGAGATTGCTTCCCACTAAAGCCAGGTACACCAATGGAATGCCTGTTGCTCACGGAAACATGCTCGCTAGCTCCTAGTTCTACGCCTAGGCCACCCACGTTGTTGATGTCTGATTTCCTCGCTCACTGCCCTTTCTTCCTCCTTCACATACATTCTTTACCTCGTCGTCCCTCTCTTTCCACGCAGCGTGCCTCTTTGTTTTACTGCAAACTATTGTTTGCGTCCAATCTTTTTCCAGCGGTATAACATTCTCTGCTTTGATATACACCATTTTTAATACCCCCTAATCACACCTAATACAACATGTTCAACATCAAGTCTCTGATCTCGGTGGCCTTGGCTGCGGCCGTGCTCGCGGAAGGCCATCGGTTCCCTTCAGGATCTATCAGGTCTTACCCCACGGGTACAGGTACAGGCACAGGCACAGCCATTGGAACAGGCACGCGGCCTACTATTAAGCCCTCAGGTTCAGTTCGATCATACGGGACGTCAAGCGGTACGAAGCCTGTCGTGCCCACTGGTGGTACCCAGCCAGCTTCTCCATCATCATCAGGCACAGCACCGATCAGCCCAAGTAGCGGAACGTCTGGAAGCCCGTCTGTCTCGACTGGCGTGCCATCGAGCAACTCAGGGGTGCCATCATTCAGTAGCTCCACCACTCGAGGTCCTTTCCCATATAGCAACAGTTCTGCTCCAGCGACCACCCAGCAGACTTCCTCAACTAGTCCAGAGATTCCAGCTTCCAGCCCATCTATCACCTCAACTGCAAGCACGCAAGAGGTGGTGACCACCCACATTGTCACGTCATACGTCACGCAAGTAACTCAATCAAACATAAACGGCGGAAGCCCGATAGTCCAAACATCGACAGTCTACGAGACTATCACTAAGACAATCTGCACAAAATGCATTGCTCCTCCTACACCGGCCCCTACTGCGTCTACCGTTGACGTGTACACAACCGTCATTGTCTACACTACGACCACGATCTGCCCAGTCACCCACACGGCTACCTCAAGCGGTGTTGCGATTGAGCAAACGGGCCTCACAACATCTACAATCACAATTACAGAAACATCTACAATTTGTACAAAATGCGTTCCATTCCAAACCTCCGGCCCTGCAGCTGGTGCTGGTGGAGCGCCTGGTCCTCATGGGCCGGAGCAGACTTCAAACGCCAGCCCAGTCAAGGGTGGCTCGTCTCAGCCAGGCTCCAATGCTAGCCCCAACAACGGAGCTTCTCCACAACCAGGTTCCAAGAACGCAGGATCCAACCAGGGCGCAAGTCCCGCTCAAGGCAACTCTGCACCTGGCAGCCAGTCTGCTCCTCAATCGGGCAGTGAGAAGCCAGGTGCTCAAGGCCAGCAATCTACTGGAGGATCATCTCCAGCTCAAAAAGGTGGCGAGAGCGCACCAGCTGCAGGACCACAAGGCGCAAGCAACACACCTGCTCCAAGTCCAGAAGCTGCCGAGGCAAGCAAGGCACCCAAGATCCTTACCATTGAGGAGACGCTCGTCCCTATACCCGTATACGCTACCCAGACACTCACGCGACCTGGCGAGAACTCTGCTTCTCCCACTGGAACCGGGGTCAGCGCAAGCGTCAGTGCAGGGCCATCAGGGATAGCAGGGACTGGCACTGGCACTGGCAGGGCAAGCTCTAGCTCCTCACCATTCAACTCGCCTGAGGCTTTCAAAGGCGCTGCCAGCAAGATTGGTGGGGGTGCCTTTGGCATTGTGGCTGCATTCGTTGCAACCATGATGATGCTGTAGATAGCATTCATTCTATAGCTTGGGTGGGAAAAGTACAGGTCATGTAAAGATTTAGAAATCTGTACTTACACAATCACATTAGACATCAGTCTGTCTCCCACCGCTTGCTTGTTACCGCACATGATAGTTCCTTCCTCTCCCTAAATCTGATGCATGGTGTACCTTGAAGTCGGAAATCTCGCAATCAAATAGCTCGCCGGATGTCGAACCATGGCTAGATACGTAGTGTACAGCAGACACAGCGACTGATGCTGTTTCCCCCCGTCTCTATTCTGGAATGGCGATGATGCAAGAAGCCGTTAGCTGCATCATTGGCTCGACCGAACTCGCCCTAAAACTCCAACTCTACCCACGATCATACTGCCATTCATTCTGCTCATCTGCTCTCACACCGATCGAATTGAACATTAGACTGAGTGCCCAAGTTGAGATCGAAATCGTCATTCATGTTGCTTCCACGATTCCTAGTCACCCACTCTGTCTCACTACAGCACCTCCATATCTGCAGCTAGCGACCGCCAAGTGCAACAAGCATACACAAAAGGATTCTCTAAGACACTGACAGATCACATTGTCTGGGAGATAACGGAACTTGATCTTTCGTATTTTTGTGACCTGCGCACGAGCCCTCCATGCTAGAAGGTCGTCCAAGAATTCCTCTCATTTCTGGCTAGCACAAGCCAGTGAATACATTATGGGGCTCTCTTGTTTGGGACTTGCGATAGTCTACTTACTACTCACACCCCATCTTGCTCTAGCTATTCCAAAATTTGGACTCGGCAGCTTTAGATCTACTCCAAACCAAGCGCCAATCGGTGACTTGCATAATGAGCGAACGAGCGCTATCAAAGATGCCTTTTCCTATGCCTTTTCCGGATACTTCAGTACTTGCAAAGGACGGGACGAGTTGAAGCCCGTATCTGGCGAATGTGCTGATCCATTCTCAGGGTGGGGTGCTAGTGCGGTCGACGCTCTCTCTACTGCCGTGATCATGGAGCTTGAACCTATCGTAGAGGAAGTCCTCGACTATATTCCTACAATAGATTTCACTTCCTCTGAATCACAGAAGGACCGTCTTGTCAGTCTGTTCGAAACAACAATACGATATCTTGCAGGTCTGCTTTCTGCCTACGACTTACTGAAAGGCCCGTTCCCCATCTCACCAAAGCACTCCTACAAAGTCGAGGCTCTCCTCAGTCAGGCAAAAGTGCTAGCAGACCGTTTGAAATTTGCCTTCGATTCCCCTTCAGGAGTCCCGTGGAACGATCTCAACTTCACGCACTCAGATTCTCACAACATAGAAACCAACGGCCTCGCTACCACGGGTACCCTCGTCCTCGAATGGCAGCGCCTCTCTGATCTCACCGGTGATCCCGAATATGGCCATCTCGCCCAGAAAGCTGAGTCCTACCTTCTCAAGCCGAAACCCACCTACAATGTCCCATTCCCTGGCCTCCTAGGAACCCGCATCTTGACCACCGACGGCACCTTCGAAGACGCCAACGGCGGCTGGGGCGGGGGCGATGACTCCTATTACGAATACCTGATCAAAATGTACGCTTACGACTCCTTTCGCTATCCACATTACAGAGACAGCTGGATAGTCGCTGCCGACTCCACCATGAAGTATCTAGCCAGCCATCCTTCATCACGCCCCGACCTCACCTTCCTAGCCGGCTATGAAAACCAGACGCTAGTGAACTCCAGCTCGCACCTCACCTGCTTCGACGGTGGAAACTTCCTCCTCGGTGGTCAAGTCCTATCTCGAGCTGATTATATCTCCTTCGGCCTCCAGCTCGTCGACGGCTGTCACGAAACTTACGCGGCCACTGCAACGCACATTGGTCCTGAGACCTTCTCCTGGGACGATGCCGACCTTCACGCCAATCGAGCTAATCAAACTGCTTTTTACGAGAAGCATGGCTTTTATATTACTAATGCCGCATATGTGCTCAGGCCTGAGGTGATTGAGAGTTACTACTACGCTTACCGCGTCACGGGGAATAAGAAATACCAGGATTGGGCGTGGGATGCGTTTGTGGCGATCAATGAGACCTGTAGGGTTGGGAAGGGATTTAGTAGTATCAATGATGTTGATGCTGAAGGGGGTGGAGGGTTCATGGATAGTCAGGAGAGTTTTGTTTTTGCTGAGGTGCTGAAGTATACGTATTTGATACATTCGGATGTGAGTGTGCCTTCTCCTCCTCCTTCGTTATTTTTCTGCTTGACCTCTGTATGAGCGATGGGTGCTGATTTGTGACGATTGTTAGGATGGACCGTGGCAGGTTGGGTATAAGGGCAAGCAGGAATTTGTGTTTAACACTGAAGCTCATCCGTTCAAAGTGGCTGGACCGCTTGTTTAGCTGGCTTGGTATATATCGATCAGACGCATTTGGCTGATGCTAAGTTCTGCTGTCATCATTTGCGTAAAACAGTAGGTCTTTCTCTTGCCACTTTCATTACTTGCTGCATGCTAACTCTTCCACTTTGAGTGTATTACAATCTTGAAAGAGGCATCTCTAATAACTGCTTTGCTGCTTATTATTACTTATGTTAGGAAAAGTCACTTCTATCTGATTTAAAAGTGAATAGGAGGGTGCTCGAAGACAATTCAGATAGAGGCAAAGCTAGATGTTGGTATTATAGATATAAGCTTCGCTATATAGCCACCGGCTACCTATGCAGTAAGGTGCTAAATAAGGCTTTTGCAGCCATTACAACAACTAGAAAATCCTCCTTTAGCTATACAAACAAAGCAGATTAGCTACAAACAGCTATTCTTAAAATTAAAGCAGACGAATTCCAACCACCTCCTCTCCTCCACCTACCTCCCCTCCCCCTCCGTCAGCACATCAACGTTCAATCTCGCCGGCTCACCCGAGGCTTTGTGCCTCTTCTCTATCTCCTCCTTGATGATATTGAAGCTCTCTTCCTTATCGTCCTCCTGATCCGCCAGCCTCATCATAAGGCTCTTATCCCTATCGCCTGCCTCCATCCAAGTAAAATCGACCTGCAAGCTGTCCACTGCGGCTGCCTTATCTCCTACTTTCGACAGGATCCGCTTGATGAAGTCGTAAGCACTGCCACATGCGCCGAGGCGAATCGCAACTCGAGACGCGCCTACGCTGACGAAGATATTAATTTTGGCTGCTTCGATCGCTTGGCTTGATGAGGCGTCCGCGGGAAAGGGCGATTGAGGCTGTGAGTGGGCGCTTGGAGGAGCTGTGGGGGCGTAAGGTGACGGGTGCGCGAAGGAGTAGGAGCGGCCCTGGCTTTGATGGGCGGGGAAGCCGGGGGGAAAGGCAGCTGGGTGGCCAGGGAACTGGGAGTATGAAGCGGGGAATTGGGTTGAATTCGGTGAGTTTGGAAGAGACGGAGGCTTGGGGCTGTTTGTGTTGCCGAGCATTTCCAAAGGACGGAGGTGAGGCGGGTAGGCAAAGGGTGGTGGACCGGAAAGTCGCTGGGCTTTCTGAGCGTGTTGTGACTGGGCGGCAGCGAGCTCGGAGGGTAGAGGTCGTTTGAGAACTGGAGTAGCAGCTTTGTTTACCGGCGTCTGACTTCCCAAGCTTGATCGTCTCGGCATAGTCTGGGGTTCAGTCACCTCGGCTTGGGTTGGGCTGATGCTTTGCTGTGATCTCTGACCCTGGGGTGCGCCTCCATAGGGATATCTATCGAATATATCAGAATGATCTAGACTCGGTTGCGCGCCCGCTTCACTTGGTGGCTGATGTGGGAAATGCTGAGCCGGTCTGCCGCCATTTGCAATACTTTGGCTGTCAGGAAGACCTGGACCAGGCGGCCCAGGTGAGGAAGCCTTGGGAGGTTGACTCTTTGTTCGATGAAGGAAAACATATTTCGAGGTACTAGGGTTTGCCACTGGAGGAGACGCTTCTTTCTGTGATTGCGAAGAACTTCGGATATGTGCACTAGGTGCTAATTGAGACTGCTTGGAATCAGATTTCGCGTACGGTGGCAGTTTGGGGGCTATGTTAGGTAGCTGGTAGTCCACCTTCTTGGTGGCCCGCCGTCGTGGGGTCTTAGCAAGTTGTTGAGTCGCAGATGTTTGCCTTGGAGAAGTCTTGAGGGCAAATCCTGATCCTACGCGGGTAGGATTACTGTTGACTGCAACGAAAGCAAGTGAGGGCACAATAGGCTCTGAAGAGGCAGATGCAACTTCGGATGATCCGAGTGGCGCTGGCTTGTTCAAATTTGCTTCGCTTGTTGGCACAGGAGACAGGGCCCTGGTTTTGTCTACCAGTGATGTGCCCACTCGTGAATCAAGTTGAAGCTTTGACTTTTCTGTCGCCGTCTTTGGATACCCTGTTGTATTTGATGCTACGTTCATATCTTGGTTTGACTTCTTAGCGTTCAAACCAAACTCCGTCGAGGATGATGTCGCCTCCTTGGCCTTAGAATGGTTTGTCATGTTGAAGAGATAATCATCAGCAAAGAAGCTTGACTTCCGGGAAGGTTTATTGGCGATGTCTCGTGAGCTACGTTCCAACATACTGCTCGGTGAAGCAGCGTCTGACACACTTCGTGGCGGAACGATAGCCTCCATGACCTCGACGCTGGGTTCTCTGAACCTAATGTTTTGCTCCGGAAATGACGGTGGTTGAGGTTTAGTTGCGTTCTGATATGATGTTGATTTCCCTTCCAGCTGATTGATAGCACTGATCTGGGGCTCGGTTTTCGGGCTTATCACGAGACCTGGGGCCATCGTGTTCTGGTTTGGGAGACCATGATATTTCGCTTCTGGCGGCAAAGCCTGTGTCTTGTTTTGTAAGTCATTTTGCTGAACAGGTCCGTGTGATGATCCCCTAGGACCCGAATCGATCATTTCTCTACTGTCGCCAAAAGCAGGCCTATAGGCTGGACCAAGCTGAGCTTGAGAGTATTGGGCTGATGCTTGTGGAGAGATTGGCCATGAAGGATGTGGCTGTAAGGCCACATCGCTCTGCTGGGGGTAGGGAATCCTGGTTGCAAATACTGGGCCTGGAAGCTCTGCTTGAAGACGTGTTACAAACTCCTGGGTTGGAGGTCTTGCTAATGTCGTTGGTTCTGCCCATGTAATCGTGTCTAGTGAGCTTTGCCGGAGAGAATATTGAATTTTCGGATCATTTGCAAGATCTTTATATTCCTGTTGAAACATTATTGGCATGAATTGAAATTGGCTAGCCGACCATTCGTAGATCTGGGTGGGTGATTGTAATTTTGAAGAGTCCTTGTTTCGGTGCTTACTCAACAGGTCTCGAGGTACTGGGGGATTTTCATCTACTTGTGGGGAAATATCTACAACCGGTCTAGATGCCACAATTGCTGCCGGAGGAGGCATGGTGCTGCGTTGTGGTACAACTACTTGTACTTTTGGACTCGTTGGCCCATAATTCACCTGTGAGACAGGTTTTGGAGACTCTGAATGAATGGCCAGAATCTTCGGCGAAGAAGGCATCTCTTGCTCAAGAAATGAAACTTTGTGATCGAGTGAATCTACTTCAGGCGGTGGACTTGCTTTAGAAGGTTCCACCAGTATGGGGCCTGACGATTCTATGGGTAGGGCAAGAGGACGTTCTGAGATGATAAAATCCTCTACTTTGGCCTCCTTCTGGCGATGGCTGATTTCATCCGTCTTCGAGATACCCAATTTCAAACTGCTTTTTTCCAGCGTCTGATCCTGAGATTTCCGCCGTTCAGCCGTGCTGATCCATTTTTCAAGCAGAGCATCATTACTGTGGGAAGCAGGCCTAATTTTCGGCGTTTTATCAACGAGTAGGGTGGATTCAAGGATCTTTTTGTCGTCGCTCTTTTCGCTAGCTGGTTCCGCAGATTGCTCAATGGTCAGTCCAGTTTGGTCTTCAGCAGAGAGATCCGTTTCCTCTCCCTCTCTCAACCCCTGATGGAGACGCCTACGCTTTCGAGGCGCGGCTGTGAGGATGGTGATGTCATCGTCCTCAATCTCGACAACTGCGGGACTTTTTCTGGTTGTTTCGTGTCGCTCCTTCTCTGTTGAATTCTGATGATCCGGTGCTCTAGATTTGGGTTGATCCACTGATGAACTCTGAAAATCTAGATCAACTGGTGATGTCTTGTTAGATGCTCCTACAATAGACTGTGCTTCTGCGATTGAATCAGGAGGAGTTGGTGGGCGATTTACAGTCGTTGACCACTGATCTCCCATCTGTGGCGGGCTAGATACTGCTGGTGGCTCAACTTTGTTATCAGATTCGGCTTCCCTTGGCTTTCCTATCTTGAGATGAACGATCAGACTTGGTTTCTCCACTGCTTTTTTGTCAACTGGCACTGGCTTCGGCGTTTCCGATATTTCCAAGCGTTTGTTAGATCCAGCCAAATGGCCACCTTCTGAGCGTCGTCCATCTTTTCCGTAGATAGATATGAACGCAACCCAGGCTACTTTCTCTTGCTTGCTCGGTTTAAGCGGGAAACTACAGTCGGGCAATTTAATGACCCGATCTCCTACGATGCTATTGTCTCCGTTCTGACGACAAGTCTTGCAGATCCAGTGCGGACTGACATGACCAGCTTCGCAGTCGAATGGCTTATCGGCACTAAGCAAATCGCGACACGGCTGGCATATGCCCTGTATGATCCCGGTAAGTCCATAATCTAGAGTTCCTTGCAGAATGCCAATGTCCCTACCTTAACCTTCTCCCAGTTCGTCATGATTCTTATTCATCAAGAAACCCCCATACCATCAATTCCAGGCTTTCGGATGTGACTTGAAATTTGATAGAACGACTTTCCCAGAAAAGCAAACTGTCAGATATGGCGAGACGGAGAAGCGCAAAAGGTTCGTGTATAGGCGGTTTGAGTCACGGTTGGCCACAGTATTGTTCTTGTCTTAGAAAAGGTGCTACAATGTGTTTGCGCAACAAGATTGACTGGAGAAGAGACGGAGATTGATGACGACGACTACGATGAATCATCGGAGGGGGCGATGAATACGATCGAAGTCGGAGCGCACGGTGTTCCAAGGCGATCCGCGTGGTTCTGGGCGGGCATGGCAGTGGAGATTAGTAGTGAAAGGGACAGAAAACGAGAGCTCGAGATTTGTTGACTAAAAGGTGCCAACCCCACCCAATGACCCAGGCAAACACGGCGGACTCGGACTCGTCCAATCAGGGACCGCGTCGTCAGGGATTTACGGGCTATCCGAATCGGCTTCCCTTAGGCAAGGATGTGGCGGATATACAACCAATCGATGAGGTCGAAAACTTGGCTAGCTGCTGACCCTACTGTCGATGGAGAAAAGGCGAGAGATGGCACGTCCCCTTCGGTGCAATCGGCTGCTCTGACTGGTGCGACGCCCTGGCTGATTATCATCCATCATGATCCTGCTGACTTGGGCCTCTCTCGGGGCGCTATTTTCATCCATCCTCCGCCAGTCTCCTCCTTCCTGGAATCACTCGCATCGCCGTGCGTGCACCTGAAACCCTTCGAATTTCGCATTGGGTCCAACTGCACGCCATCGCGATGATATATCGTTGTCATGCGCGCTCTGATGGATGCCTGGGGAGGGACTTGTCACGCGTCGCAAGCTGAGACGACGCCTCCTTGGGAATCGGCGCAATGTCATTTGATCCCTTGCTCTTATGCAGGGCGTTTGATTGGCCGCAAGGCAATGGAAATGCAATGCATGCACCACCCCACTTTTATTCATTGGATGGTCACATTATTATGATAGTGATTTGACTTCCTGTGCGAACACCTCCTTCCCACTCCCCCCCCATCATTTCCACAATCTCATTATCGCGATAACCGTTATTTCCGTGCTACTCCCAATGCGTCCGGATGCCAAGACTGATTCTGCCCTAAAATGCCCCTTGAAGAACTCGGAATTGGAATGATGGAATAATGATTAGAAGACCACGCGGCAGCCTTTCTAATTATCTCCTGCTGTTGAAACACTGCGTCTTTCACAGCTCAGGGCAGTGTCTCTCACAACGCTCAACGACCTTACGCTATGGTCAACCCGTGTGGCACTGCTTTCGCGCAGCAACAGGATTCCTTGCGCTAGACTATGAGAGAAATTGCAGCCTCTGCACGTTCAGTGCATGTGGATCCGAGGCCATGGTATTCTTGTCTCGCACACTTTTGCTCCAAAAGGCAACGTATTCTGGTTGGGAAGCTGTGCTGCGCCTCGCTTGTTCCGTAAGGGCTGAGTAATATTGATTATCCGGTGCTTATGAAGCCGCGGACAAGAATCTCTGTACCTTGGAGCGTCAATTGCAACTGATAGTTCCCTTCGTTTCTAGATCATCGCGGACGTGTGTGACCGGCCAAACTCACGCTTTTCCCTCTTTCCTACAAAACAAGACGCGCAGCTACTCATGAGAGACAGCAACATCATGACCGTCGAAGAGGCAGCAAAGCTCTCTGCATTCTCTCTAAAGCATGGATGACTTTTCTGATTATTTCTCGTCTTTCACGAAAGACGACTTACCGCAGACAATGTTGGCAGAGGTTAAGGTGGCCGACTGTGAAAACGGTCCATTTTGAAGCCCAATTTGGACTATTAGTGGCTAGACTTCTAGTTGAACAGCTGGTTTGCATCTCAAATTAGATCGCTGGCCGTTGGTTTGACTCGGAGACCAAATCAACTATTAATCATAAAAGCCATTTGAATTGCCAATTTACTTTTTATTTCTAGACAATTTAGGCTGATACACCAAACCGTTTGCCCAACAATTGGTCTGATGCCCCGACTGGACCAACTATCTGCGAAAACGACTGATTCGTCAGCTTATACGGCTAGCGGCCCACGAACGTCCTGGCCAAACTAGCAGAGGTTTCGTGATATTTTGGCTCTCACCTTCGTCAGCGCATCATTTTCCCCTGATTGCAAGATAACAGATTCGGCGATGAAGGCACGCAAGCAGTATGGCTGACTACGTCTTTCACAAAGACATCAGGACTTTCATACATTATGGCGAGTCTTCGTAAAAAATTGCTTGATGAGAGCGTCCGTAGGTAGCTCCTGTTGAACATTGCACTATGGTTGTAGAGCCGTGTATGAGCATCTAGCTGGCACATATCCTGAGCGACTGACAGCAAGAGATTTGCATTAAAAATTGTGATATTTAATCAATCAGAATTTGATCAATTGATTAACCTCGTACCTATTGAAATGTAACGACTGACCTATCAGAGTTTTGCTGGTATCAATTGCAGGCCATGATATTGGGTGCCCTTTGATGGATAGTTTGCTCTCCAAAACCCCTAAGTAAGCGTCACATTTGAATACTCATGGAGGGTCAGAATGTTATTCAAGTAGAAGTAGGATGGTAAATGACGATATGGTAATTCACGAGCGATGAAGCTCTCGCAGAGAAGGTAGCCATTATTGGACGCCGTGCAAGGAAGTATGATTTTTCCATACTAGTAGAAATAGTTCGACGTACGTCGAAGACAGAATCATGATCTCACTCATGTCACCATAGGAAGCTTCCACGTTCTAGAGACACTTTAGATTTTCTTTTCAGCCAGTTCTCGATTATTCAGGTCTCTGCGTAATATCATGAGGAGCTTAAACAATGTGAGAAGGACTTAGGATCGCTAGGATGGAAACCATCCAAATTAGCTACAAATCATTTGGTCATTTCTGGACGTTGTTCTATCAAAGCTTCTTTCTTACCATACAAACGATTGAGGCCTTGTATTTGGCAGCCGTATCTCATATTCTACATTATTATAGCGTTCATTGTCTCGATATTCAGCACATACAATTTTGAACGTCTTTGGAATGAGCATACAAACGAGAGCGCTTTGAGGACGTCAGCGTTCTGTCTATGTTTATGCAATCGAATATTGCATTGTTCTTGAATAGCAGCCCCATTTTACTGTGCCTGGGCGACTTGGCCTGCCATTTCCCTTTCGAATCTACCCTCAGTCCAGACGCAACTTTGGCGCTACTTCTTAGCTAGCATCTGATGAACGGAGTGTATAGTTCAACCTGAATTCTTTATGCAGCATACAGTCACTGGTAGCAACCTGAAATGCGAATGAGCCAGACATTTATAGCGGCTACTAGGTCGGATTTTGAATGTCAAAGACATTCAGCGGTCTTGCTTGACAAGAGGCCACAGCCGTTGTAATAGGTGTAAGACATTGCTTGTGAGAGAATTGAGAAGCTTTAGAAAACTTCCAAAATTTCTTTGCTTCAGTGTTGAGTTCTGTTTTCATGAACCAGTCTTTCCATTGGCGACTCATAGCCGACCTCGTAGCACGACTGGATGGCTTGAAAATGTAGAAATTGTAAACACCAGTGTTTCCTTGCTCTTAGCCACAGCCCAATCTCAAAATATGCTTCCTATGTAGTGAAATTTTTTCCTCTGCAATCGTAGGTACGTAAACGGTGTGATTCATCAGAGTCATAGGATTTGGTGGTAGATCCGGACTTCACGTCGCATTTCTGAGATGTTCCTTTAGGCAACGGACATCAGATAGAAGAACAAGGATATCGAAAGCCCGTCGATATTCAATGCGAGCTCGTCGTGGACTGAGCAACTTGCAAAGCCTCGTAATTCGCCCGAAACCAAGAGGCAGGCCTCGAACTTGATGATCTCAAAGTTCATCTAGGCTGTTAGCAGAAGATTTTACAAGTAGTATGGTCACGTACATTTGCAAGCATCTTCTACGTATCATAGGACCATGATTGATCAGTCATTCTCAGCAGTCCTAGTATATCGAATCTTCAGCTCCTCGAGTCTCACAAACGCCACGTAGGCAATGCAAAAGGTGTCAATGGAGAAACATAGGGCATTTGGAAGGAAAACTGAGTCAAATGACTTCTGATCTGTTGGCCAAAATGGATATGAGATTGGTCGGTTGTGGCATCAACCACACTCCTACCCTTGTAGGTGATGAAGGACTCTAATATAATGATATTTGATGAGTGACTGAGTATAAATTCACGATACTAGTAGGATTGCTGACTTCGTCACATTGATAGTGCACTGTGTGGTTGAGCTCTCAGTAATGCTGCTAGGTGTTACCCTGGGCGAGAGGCGGGCCTTCTCGATTCATTCGTAGACAGCGTCAAAGGTACCTTGACGCTGTTCGCTCAAGACAGGTAGAAGGGGTTGCGGAAGAGTCCCATCATCATGTAACGAAGTCCGACCTTCTCCCAAATTCAGCCATGAGAAGCCAAAGCTCTGATCCCAAGAAAATCTTACGATATTAGAACGACATACCGGAAAGTCACATCAATATCTAGCAAAATAAGCTTTCTGTCTAGGTGAAAAGGCTAGAGACAGGGTGCAGGCTATGGTCTGCTTGAATTGGACAACAAACAGCCAGAGATTCATTTCGTACCGAGCAACCGAAGTAAGGGTTGGAGGCACAATCATACAAACACAAAGCTGACGGACGTAAGCCTTGAAGTAGATCGCGTTGATTGCACGGGCGCAGGCATCATAGAGAAGGGTGACTACGCAGTGAAATTCAGGGTGGGAAAGATCAGAATAATGATAGCGTTCTCTCTGGGTGCCAGCATCGACTTGCACTCTCACACTGACAGACAACATTGCCGAATTGTAGAGTGCTAGTGGAAGGGCATCTACCTATCATCATCCGTATTTCAGACTGCTGCGGAGACTAGGGCATTTGTTTGTGTCCCACAATCACCGCTCATTTGCCATCGCCTCTCCTGCATCGTTTCCTTTTCACATCTTTGAGTCAGGCAAGGTATCAATACTCAAACCTAAGCAATACTGTTTCCCTCAAGGGCGTTCAAGCCTCCCACATGATAATACCGCAAGCGAGAGCCCAAAATTGCACACGAGGAGGATATCTCCAGGCTTTTCAGTACACAACACTCAGAGTGCCTGCTCACAGAACTCGCTCCGCGATAATATCAACATGAACACCAACGAAAGCAGTCCCTTTGTTGGACTTCCTCTTGAGATGTACATGCAAATTCTTGGCTACTTCACGGGAAGGTTTGCTCCTGAACTGGCCATGATGAGTAGGACTTGCACTTACTTCCGGCACATTGTACCGACCATTTATCCAATCTATTGGCAGAAGATCCGCAAGCTCCGGGGCGTCGAACTGGAGATAATGGAACGTGATCATCCCCATCTCCTAAGTCTCCTGCCAGACGGACACCTACCATGCCACACCTGCCGACAAATTCAGCCAGCTAGGGCCTTCACTCAAGACGAGCTCAGACTCTTTCCTCTCGGCCAAACCAATGCGCATTACCGCACTTGCCTACAATGTCCGCCATCACTCGCCAGATATTACTCTAATAATCAGAACTACTTCCAACAATCGGCGATAGTAGCTTCGTTGTCAAGGAAAGCAGGCGCTGCGATGCCAAAAGCTGTTTATGTAGAGCCCGTCTCTCTGCATGCACAACAAGACGAGCAGGACTCGGACCTTTCTGTGAATCTATCGCAATCCGTTGCTGAGGGACCAAAGTTGAAGAAACGTTGGAGGAATATCGTCTTCGCCTGCAGGAGGAAGATAGTTAAGCATGGACTTGTCTGGAGACAACGCCTCTTTAAACGATAAGATTTCCGAACATCAAGAGCGCCACTGCCATCTAGCTAGAGAGCCCACTAATTCCTTCTGTTGTTATATTGGAGGCAAGTACAAGAAATGGCCGCCCGGCGGTATTTGACACACGAGAAGAACTTTTTCGTACGCAATCCCAATCATGACATCTATCGAATGACTGACCTTTTACAGTGACTTCCACGTGGTTGGCCGACTCAATTGAACCTGCAGATATACAAGAGGAGGCTACCGAGAGACGTCCGTCCTAGTATTAGGATCCTAAAGCTCTTATCGAACTGGCACTTTTTATTCGGCAATATACCCTCCTTTCAGATATACATGCAAAAAGTGGAAGAGCCCTCCTACAGAGCCAACAGTCCAATCGGGATCACGATCGTCATCATGCACGTTGCACCTTCCCGAGCTTTCCCCCAAAATGCGGCCGAGTACGTGCGGCCAAGCGCATCAGCTAAAAAGCCTGCTTTTTTGCCCCCAACATATGCACGGTCCCTACTCCTCCTGCTCTGGTTCTTACCTCTTTTACTTTTCCTTTGGATCAAGACTCTTCCTAGCCAACCGCAGCATAGCTAGGTGCATCAGATTGAGCAATCATGGAGACCAGCTCGCTAAAACCTAGCCATGGCTTGGCAAATATCACAGGCCCACACGAACAGCCATTTAAGCTTCTGATGTTCGACGCTCAGTCAGAACTGGATTCTTTGTAGTCTACTGAGGTGAAGACTTCTGATGCTGAAGAAAACCATGTTGAGCCTATTCATCATCTCTTAAATTGCGTGATCAAAGTCATCTCTTAAAGAACTACTGCTCGAATTTGAGGCGATCTTCTTTCGTGTTCACGTCTCTGCCTGCTCGCTTTAGCTCTGTCAATTTGGGGTTCGGAGAGACTGAATTTTCAGGACTTGCCAGAACGATTGATTTAATCAAGCAAACGTCTAGAGATTATCTGACTTTCCTCAAATAAGATTTTTTCCCTCTTAAATACGAGACAAAGAGAGAGACAGAGACAGAGACAGACCTTTTGCAGCATGTCCAATGGTTGCTAAGGTCTGCTTCAGCGTTACCGACTGTTCAGTCCATCCAATCTCAAGGGCACACTGCAGCATTGGTAGTAAAACTCACACTCCGATTCTCGGGCCAAGGGTCAAATTAAACCTCTCATAATGAGGTTGAGCCCTGAATTGGACCGCTCGCAGTCCACCAAACTGCTAGCAATATATCAAACTATTCACCAATAGATCGGTATGAAGCTCAACCTAGACGACTAATATTCCGTACAACACCAAATTAGACGTACTATCGATATGACGGACGAGTTCATGTCCGTCTATTAAAACCGCTAGCAGTCTACTAAACCGCTGGCAACGCTGGTCTGCTTCAAACAAGCAGATGATTGATTATCGTTGTAATGGCCCCAACGCTAGGAGTTGGTGGTATTGTCATAAGCTAGCAAGGAGATAATGCAAGCTCATATCTGGGATAACAAGATCTAATAGTTCAACTTCTTGAAGCCCGACCATATCAGAAGGCTTAGTCTGAACATGTCAACGTATCACTGTGCTAGAGCCTCGGGTGCGGTGTTGCACAGACTAGAAGGATAGCTTCGTGGGAACAGTGTCTCTTCAAGAGATGCGAACGATCAAATGTGGAAGAGTAGCAAATTGGTGAGGAGTTAAAACTATAATGAATTGGATACTCACCGATTGAACATGGATTTTTAGATAGCTGGCGATTCTACCAATTGCAATTGCTGGAAAATTCGTATCAAAGGCAAGGTATAGTTTGTGCTACGTGAGCGGATGTTGCGGTAAATATCTTGTCGAAAAGCGTAGGTGACTGGAGCGATACGAAAGAAGAGATGACTAATATCAGGGCTGCATGAAGAGGAGAAGTAAGTGGCAAGAGGTGAGTCTGTATTCTGTGCTATTACTGCTATCTATGCCGTTGCTGATATATGTGCATTGTTTTTCCACTACTTTGCTTATTAGCCCTCTGTTAAGGCGTGGCTATAGTGAGCTTTTGTCTGTTAACTTTGTACGTCCATCGGCTCTAAAGCCTCTACCATGCATCTCCGACGGCTGCGGAAGCATCTCCCCCATCAGGTCCCCACGCGGCAGGCTCCTCTTTCGCAGGAGCTTTGCCCTGCGCTCCGGCATTGCTACCAGAAGTAGCATCCACCCCCCAGCTACCACCAGTCTCGCCAGCAACCTTGACTCCTCCAGCCCCTTCAGTCTCTCCTTCTTCGTCGCTCTTGTCATCAAAGGTGAGGTCGCCTTCCGGGAGATAGGCCTGCAAGAAGTCTGGAATTTCGCTACCGGTCTCCATCAATGTCTTCGCTAGAGATTCCGCAAGATCCTCGTTACGTTCATTAAAGAACGAGGTTGCTTGACCTTGATTGCCGATTCGGGCAGTCCGCCCAATCCGGTGCACGTATTCATCGATCCCCCCATACTCAGAGCCCGGAAGGTCGTAATTGATCACATGCATCACATTTTTGATGTCGAGGCCTCTAGCTGATACGCCCGTCGCAATCAGAATAGGGGCTTTTCCGGTCTTGAATGCACGACTCGAACGTTGTCAATGATTGAGACCAGTTTGCCAAAGGCACGACTTACATAGCATCCTCGCGCTCAATTTGCGTACGATCCGAGTGAATAGAAGTTGTTGGCATAGCGAGATTGTACAAAAAATCGTCCAGAAAATCGGCTGCTTTCTTGTTGTTCACAAAGATGATTGTGCGGGCAGGCTCCAGAGAGAGCAGAAGATCGTACACAGCCTGACGTTTTGCACTCTCTTCAACCATGATTACCTGGAAGATGAGTGTAAGCAGAAGTAAGACATTGATAGAGATATCGTACAGTCTGATTTATATTCTTGTGACTTGAGCCGGCACGCCCGACTCGAACACGGACGTGGTCTTTCGCCATGTAGTCTTTGGCTAAGGCGCGCGCCTCTTTAGGGAAGGTAGCCGAGAACATACAATAGATATGGTCGTCATCTGTATTGCTGTCTAATCCAATGTAAGTTCCGAGATGCATGAAAAGTGAAGATGTATCTCACCGGCTCCGAGAAGCATATCCATCTCAGTCTGCCAGTCCGGGCTGATTAACTCATCGGCTTCATCGATGATGTGGTACCTGCATCTGGCATCAATAGGCTGCATGTGTGTCAGGAAATATTAGACCCACTTGACACGACTCAAGGAAAGCAGATTTCCACGCTGGAGAAAATCCATCATTCTCCCTTAGGATTGAAGTCAACAATGATTTTGAGGCTAGAAGAAAGAGCCTAGAGGTCTTACCTGGAGTTCCAATCAGAACATCGCACCCCTTACGCAGGTCATCCATCTGATCGACCGTGGGTGCGCCTCCATAACACACACAAGGTCGAAGCATGGTTCTATAGCAGAGCTTACGCGCCTCGTCGAAAATTTGAGCTGCGAGCTCACGGGTCGGCACAATAATCAAAACCAAGGGCTCTGCACGGACTGATTGGTCCCGTGTCCAGCCTTGAGCCGTATTTGGACGAGGTGCTGCGAGCTTTTTTACCTTGCCCATGAGCTTGGATAGTACCGGAATGAGGTACGCCGCTGTCTTCCCACTCCCTGATAGGGTAAGCGTGCTTCTTACTTTACATTGAACAGCCTTACCTGTTTGTGCAATGCCTATAACGTCATAGTTTTGAATGACTGCTGGGATGACATATGCTTGAATGGGTGTCGGAAATTCATACCCACAGAGCTCGACGTTACGGAGCATCACAGGATGCAGGCCGGCATCCTCGAACTATCAATCCGTCAGTTGACATCCATGTCGAGGAAAAGAATGATTCACCTTCTTGACTGGTGCAATCTTCTCCTTACTCTCGCAGGTGACTGGAATATTGGCAAGACTCCATTGTTAACACGCAGTCTAGACGACTTCGACGGATGGGGAACTTACTTCTCGTAATCCTGGCCCTTCCTCATGGTCAAGTCATTCTTGAAGAGAATCTGCTCCAGCTTCTCATGAACAGGTCCTACGTCACCATATTCATCATTCCACTCATATTTCTGAGCATTCGCAGCCCAAATCGGGTTAGGGCCAGATCCTGGCTCCTGTTTCTGCTGAGCAGCATTGAAATGCTCATAATCGAAAGCTGTAGGCTCGGCCCATCCTTGCTCGCGGGCCTTTTGAGCCGCTTCAGCGTTGATTTGAGTTTTGCCGAGAGAATCGGTCACTTCCTTCACGGTGGCGTCCTCGCCGCCCCAGGTTTCAGCCATCTTGAAGGTGCTATTGGGATGACAGCTGTAAGTAGGGAATAACGTGCAAGAGGCGAGTGATGACAGCAGCTTGCAAAGGGAAGTCTGTTGCAAAATGCGGGGTGTTGGGGTGAGAAGTCAGACTGAGGTGAAGTGTTGGAATTTCGGCCGCAGACTTGAGAGGTCACTTACTTGTTGGAGTCCTTCGCAGACTCACGATCACGATAGTCTAGTGTTGATCACCAGAAGTGGATGATGAGGGACGCAGGAACGAAGAATTGGAGATGGACTTGGTGGTTGAGAAGGAGAGAAAGTTAAGGAAGGAAAGACCTCACAACACAGGGAATCCGAGTTTGGACGCTAGCGTCGAGATGTCAATTCACTGTTTTCGGCGTGTCGTGTTCACCACACCAATCATGTATTGCCAACATAAGTGCATGGAAACAAGTGTTTAGTTGATTCCAGGATACCTTGGGCTCCCAGGTTTAGGAGCAAATCCCAATTTGAATCACATAATTTCTACCTTTCGAACATGAGGTAAAAGACATTAGCAAAATGAAAGCCTTTTGATCCATGTGCTCGTCCTTTTTGTACCGCTTTCAGGGTGAATTGTCGCTTTTGCATCCTCCAAACATAACCTCTGTCTCGTTCTGATTGTTACTTGCCGTCACTCTTCTCATGTTTAGGGAGCTCGCTCGCGACGGCAAGAAGGCTCGCGAAGCGCTTTCAACGCCCAGACTGTCAATCAATATGAACCTGCGTCTCTGACTTGTCATGTGTTGATGATCATCTAGAGCCGCCATCTACCTCTTTGCTGTTCCAAAGGCCCTCAGAAGCTCCATATTTCTCGTCCAGGTTTGGGAGTCAAGATATTTAGGCTGCCAGAGCCTTACTAGGTCACGTACTTCAAGATTGTACGAGTAAGACTAGACTCAATCAATATCTTCTCCTCAGAAGCTCAATCTCTTTCCTGTAACAATAACATGAGGAGCAGAGTGTGTGAAGCTGCTCACGGTGAGATTAGTTCTCGAACATACCCTCGACACCTTGACATTACCTGAAGTACTGTACTCAACCGAAAAACCTGCAGAAGCACCCCTCGAAGGTAAGTCAGGAGAAGTGGATTAGTTCAATCACGAGGATTATTGCAAGAGAGAAAGTGGCTGGGTATGTAGGCCAAACGTAGAGGAAGGGTATCAGTCAGTCAAAATACTTACTAGTCTAATATTCGCCTTTCGCCGGAATTTTTTCGCATATGGCAACTGATCGCTGAGCAAGAATACACTATACACGGGCTGTGAAGCTATCAACGTGATAGCCATGCGGGAGCTGATAGACGCTACCGTTGCAAAGCCCAAGAGTTTATCCAACATCCATTAGACTGAACATTATTTCAGCCAAATCTCCATTCCCCTTCTAAGAGCCATCCAAAGCTTCCACCCTGGCTTTGCTCTCTCCTCTTTTGCCCCGCCTTCCTAGGCATCTCCCTGACTCTTTCATACGACCTCTGTCCCAGCACCTGCTCCTCCGGAAACCAATTCCCATGCAAGCCATATGGCACTCTCTGCGGTAAATGCACCTTCGCAATTACTGTTTGCAAGTCCTTTGCATCAATGATCCACAACTCGCTCTTCGCATCAAGCAAACACTCTCCGTCCTCCCCGAGCTGACTTTCGTCAAATACATAACTCAAGATCCATCCGTCATCCTCGCTGATCCCATTTCCTCGAGGCACAAAACGCGATTCTTGTGCATACCAGCCTTGTGGCATTTCAAACACTTGGATGGGGTCGTGTGGGTCTTTACTTCTGATTATCTCCGATAGGCTCCTTGTATCAACGCAACCTTTGATTTGCTGGGGTGGGTTGCGCTTCCCGCATTCGATCAGCGTTTCTACATCGACTTTGACGAGCGAATTTATCTTGACTGCGCGCCCGAGCGCTGAGCCGAAGGACTGATCGGAGACGGAGCAGCCGTAAATGTACTTTGCCGGGGACATGGAGTGAGAATCTCTGAGGGACGGAAACTCAAATGGGATGGCGGAGAGCGCCCATTGGTGGACGATATGGTTCTCATCAGATTTTTTGTATTTTTGGGGGAGGGTAAATTGGTAGTAGTAAAGGCGGCATTGCTCCTCTTCGTGCTGGTCGGGGGGAGCTTTTTGGGTGGGTATTGGAGCTGCAAGGTCGCCCGCTGAGAACACGAGAGAGGCGGACGTTAGGCGGCAGGCTAGCATGTTGACAATTGTTGTGTTCAGTGGAACGGTGTCGATGTCATTAGCATGTGAATCCCATGAGTTGGCGGTGTGAAAAATACAACAGGAATTGGTCTCGAACCAGCGGATTTCTTCTGGCTTGTAACGTGGGAAAACTCCGAAACGTGCGCGACTGCTTGGATCGTAAGCAACGACTGGCTTGTTTTTTGCGAGGTTGACGGGGTCGAGTGAGAGAGGGAGGTCCAAAATTATTGTATGCCTTCTGCTGACGCCGAAATCGTGCATCAGCTTTGGGGAAGCTATCCCTGGTACAGGCTGATTTAGCAGTGAAGCTCGTCTTGTAGCCCCGGTCTCTTGGCTTGCAACATCTTTTGATAAAGAGCGAACAATCGAGTAATTGATGTATGGTGGAATGAATGTAGAGTGATACAAAAGCAAGTCTTGGTTGTTAGGATCTACTCTCGGATGGGCGGTCGTCCATTCCCTCATAAAACTAGTCAGTCCGCTTCCACCGAAGCCTGACAATTTGTCTTTGAATCCCTCTCCTTCACTGTAATGCCCGTTGAACCAGCCAATGGTATCCAAGCTGGGTAATGCTACTCGCATAGGCGGCCCGCTTTCACAAGTAGCTAAAGCTCTGCCATCGTGAAAGAGCACGGCAGTGTTCGCAACACTGATCTTCGTAATTGCTTGCTCAGAGCAAGGAAGATGTGTGAGAATCACTAGCAGAATGGTCCGCAGAATACGAAGTATGATGGTCAGAAGAGAAGTCAGGGGGTTCACGAGAGTTGCAATACTAGGCAAGATTGGCGTTCGCAAAGACGCATTGGTCTTTGACGCAAGATAGACATCAGTCAGAATATACTGGTTGACGAATTCAGGTTCGATATCCCCTTTCTCAGACCTTCGAAATGACACACCACTGAGCATACCGTCGCCATCGAACCAGTGGGCATCTCGCCCAAGCGCTTCGTTGGTCACCGGATTACCCCCATTACGAACATACTCACCGCCGGCGAGCTCCTCTGGAAGTGTGCCAGAGCTGCTGCACGGCGTAAGGGGTAGGGTTTTGTGAATTGGCGCAAAGTTTCCAGACAGATAGCTGCGTCAGTCAGCCTACGGACTTGTTCGGCCAGGGTATCTCTTACGGGTGCAAGCGCTGATGTTGTCGCCGTTTAGGCACTTCCTTCAAGATCATGTTGGTGTCCCTCGCCGCCATAGATCTACTCGTCGACAAGCCATTTCGTGCAACCTTTAGCGATACCGCCGTCCCTTGGGGCAAATTGAATGACTTTAGCAGACACTAGTCGCCATCATCTTACATAGACAGTTTCTTATGACGAGTGCACCAGGGCAAGCGCGAGATTGCAGTGGAGACACTTCTATTTTTCACCCTCCAGCTTTCGCCTGATCGTACGCTCTGCTGCGTTCCAATACGATGCAGCAACAGCAACTACTCCGAGCAAGAAGCGTGATGTCAAGTGCAGGCATCCTCGGCAGGAGATGAAAATAGCCCTAGAACTAAAGCCCTGTCGATTTGGTCCCCCTGCCGCTTTAACGACGCAGGTGCCGCCCCCAGACTTTCCCCTGCGGGATCCGTGCATGACTGTCGTAATTGTTGATTTCCGTCTACCATGACGATACCCCTAGAGTACTCGTTCACACAACAGTCGCCCCCCTTAGCCGCTACGATTGATTGTTGAGCTTCAATGCAGTTGCAGTGGATGAATACACCCTCCGAAGTATACCATACTCTCGACTGTCGAGCTTTACAATAATCTCGGCTGGCCCCCATCGTGAAGCCCCGCAGCGCCAATATATAGCTTCCTAGGCCGAGCGAAGCTTTCCCCGCCTCTGCCAACTTCTACGTTTGGAGGCTAGGAGCTCTCACCACAAAGTACAGCCATGACTCTGACTTCCATATACCATATATGAGTAGAGACATGGGATTTGACTATGCCTTCGTCCACCTCAAATACAATGTGCCGCCCGCCTTGGTGCTGTCTTTCCTCTATGCACCGCTCTCGACCCCCCTCGGCTTGTACAAAGTCTTGTTCCTCATAATCGTCGCCGTCGTCTCTACCACACCATGGGATTCCTACTTAATTCACTCTCATATATGGAGCTATCCACCAAACGCAGTTCTTGGACCCACGCTCTTCAGGATTCCCATGGAAGAGGTCCTCTTTTTCGTCATACAGACCTACAATACCTCACTACTCTACCTACTGCTGAGCAAACCAACCTTTCATCCTGTATATATTCGGGGGAAGAAGCTTCTGCATGACAGCAAAAGAATACGGCAATGGCGATGGATAGGATCTTTGGGCATCATGGGTACCATTGTGGCAGGTTCCATTCTGGTTGCAAAAGGCGGCCATGGCCTTTATTTGGGCCTGATAATCATCTGGGCTGGTCCCTTCATTCTATTGCTGTGGTCAGTCTGTTTACAATCTCGGAAGACCCCTGTGTGACTAACGTGACCTGGTAGGAATCTTGCGTATCAATTTGTTATTGGCCTACCAATATCTAATACTTTCATACCAATTGCTATCCCCACGATTTACCTTTGGGCCGTCGATACTTTGGCCCTGAGACGAGGCACATGGACAATTGAATCCGGCACCAAGCTGGGACTTTGCCTTTGGGAGGGGCTTGAGATTGAAGAAGCAATCTTTTTCTTGCTCACAAATGTACTCATCATACTTGGGCTGGTAGCCTTTGACAATGCCTTCGCCGTCCTACAAACTTTCCCACATATATTCCCATCACTACCATCTATTCCTTCGCCATTTCTCCTCGTGGAAGCTTTGATCACTTCGACTCAGGCGTACGACGAACGGAGAATAGAAGCTCTGCAACAAGCGCTCGCACGGCTTAAGGCCAAGAGCAGAAGCTTCTACCTTGCAAGCAGTGTCTTTCAGGGACGGCTGCGGGTAGATTTGATCCTACTGTATTCCTTTTGTCGGGTGGCGGACGACTTGATCGACGAAGCTAGATCAGTAGAGGAAGCAAGAGAATGGATCAGCAAACTTCGTAGCTATCTGGACTCCAGGTACGATAATGGCACCAGACGGAAGAGTAATCCTCTGCATGACCCCATTGGCATTGCGTTTCCTGCAGAGGCGCAAGCAGCTCTGCGATATTTGCCAACGGAATATCTGTCTCCGGCGCCACTTTATGATCTACTCAGAGGATTCGAGACGGACCTAAACTTCGCCTCTTCTTCGGCTCCTTTTCCGATTCGAGACGAGGACAGTCTCAATGAATATGGAGCTCAAGTTGCAGGTACAGTCGCAGAATCGTGTTTGGAGCTTGTGTATCATCATACTCAACTCCAGACGCAAAGCTCGCAGAAATCTCGAATCCTCGAAGCTGGTCGTCAGATGGGGGTTGCGCTTCAATACGTCAATATAGCTCGAGATATAGCTGTGGACGCAGTCAACAAACGGGTATATCTCCCAACCTCTTGGCTCAAGGAAGAGGACCTTCTGCCAGAGAGTATACTTAGTGATCCCTACCAACCTACAGTCGAACGAGTGAGGCAGCGCTTGTTAGACAGAGCGATGGCTATCTACGAGCCAGCCAAGTCCGCAATCGAGGAGCTGCCAGCAGAAGCTCGAGCCCCAATGCGAGTTGCAGTTGAAAGCTACGTTGAAATTGGGCGAGTGCTCAGAACGCCGAATTACAGAGTCAAGGCTGGACGAGCTACAGTACCCAAACTGAGAAGGCTTCGAGTCGCGTGGAAGGCGTTAGGGCAGTAATGGTTTGACATGGCTGTATATGCTGATTTTTGCATTGCGTTAAGATACCACTCTGTTCAATCTGAGTTGAGTTTTGTAAATACCCCAATAGCTAACGAATGTACATCCAATATATCACAACATAGCAGAGTCTGCACTGAGGACAACTCGGAACAATTTCATGAAGTTCTACCACTTGCGCTCTCTAGATGGGTTTCTAGATTGATGGCTGGCTAGTACTAGAGCATTTGTGTACCTCTGGGGACATGTTAGCGTAATCGATGGTGCCGTAGTTTTGAGCCCTACCTACAGAACACATGCACTATCGTCATGAACTTTCCTTTTCCCCACCAGCGACCTTATACTACGCGATTCTACAATGACAAGTGAGAAACCGAGTCGAAAGACTGCAATCATAGTGGGTGAGCCTTTTCTTTGCATTGCAAAGTCTCTTGTTGCGAATAGCATCTGATCGTTCACTCACGCAGGTGCTGGCATTGGAGGGGTCTCGTCTGCAGCTCTACTTGCAAAGGCTGGCTTTGACGTGACAGTCTTCGAGAAGAACAGCTATACGGGTGGTCGCTGCTCTTTACTTCATCATGATGGCTATCGGTTCGACCAGGGACCTTCCCTCCTCCTTCTGCCCCATATCTTCCACTCTATCTTCGAAGATCTAGGTACATCCTTAGAAGGCGAAGGAGTAGAGCTGCTCAAATGCGAGCCCAACTACAACGTCTGGTTCCATGATGGAGAAAAATTTGAGCTATCGACAGATGTGGCCCGCATGAAGCAGGAGATCGAGAGATGGGAAGGGAAAGATGGCTTCTCTCGATACCTCGACTTTCTTCGTGAGGCACACGAGCACTACGAACTCAGCGTCACTCATGTACTGAAGAAGAACTTTACATCACTAATGTCCATGATAAGGCCAACGTTTCTGCGGCACCTGCGCGCATTACATCCGTTTGAGAGTATTTACTCCAGAGCGTCAAAATACTTCTGGACGGAGAGGCTGAGAAGAGTATTCACGTTCGGCAGCATGTACATGGGCATGTCGCCCTTCGACGCACCTGGAACGTACTCATTACTGCAGTATACAGAATTGTCCGAAGGAATATGGTATCCGAGAGGAGGCTTTCATAAAGTCGTAGAGGCACTAGAGATGATCGGCGTGCGATTCGGTGTCAAATACCGTCTATCGACACCAGTGTCTTCCATACTTCTCTCAGAGGATCGAAAGACAGCACGTGGGGTCGTACTTCCGTCAGGTCAAACTGTTACAGCAGACGTCGTGATCATCAATGCTGACCTTGTATACGCGTACAACAGTCTCCTTCCACCATCCCCGACTGCGAAATCTCTCAAAGCCCGACCAGCAAGCTGTAGCTCCATCTCCTTTTACTGGGCCATGAATCGCCAGATCCCCGAGCTTACGGCTCATAACATATTCCTCGCCGAGCATTATCGTGAGAGCTTCGACGACATCTTCAAGAAGCATCTGATTCCGGAAGAGCCAAGTTTCTACGTCAACGTGCCTTCTAGAATCGATCCAATCGCTGCACCGGAGGGAAAAGATTCCATCGTTGTCTTAGTCCCTGTTGGCCACTTGCTTGATGAGGAGGAGGGTAGGGGACTAGATGTGCGAAGCAAGCAGGACTGGGAGCACATGATAAACATTGCCCGAAAGACAGTTTTTGCCACGATTGAAACCCGAACAGGTGCGTCAAATCTACAGTCATCGCTAGTCAAGGAGATTGTCAACACCCCGCAAAGCTGGCAAGACAGCTTGAATCTTGACAAAGGGGCAATTTTGGGACTCAGTCACAGCTTCTTCAACGTGCTCAGCTTCAGGCCCCGTACACAGCATCCAAGCATCTCACGACTGCACTTCGTCGGGGCGAGCACTCATCCTGGTACTGGTGTACCAATATGCCTCGCTGGCAGCAAATTGGTGACTGAACAAGTTCTAGAATACTTCGGTACGGTAAAGCCCTGGAAGAAACAGGCCACTGTGCAGAGTGCAAAGGCCATTGACAAGTTACATGTTCTGCCTTTATTCTCAAATGTTCATATTGGTATACTAATTTTATTGCTGGTTGTCCTTGTCCAGCTCTACAACGCGATGCGGCAGCAGTCTGACTTAGCCATATAAGTCTAATATAATGAAGCAGCAATGTATGGAGCACGACGCTTGTGTTATGAACTATAGGAATGCCCTGAGATGTACTCCAAACATGATGCAGATGTCAGGGTTCTAGAATTTTTGAACGTATTTCAGACGATACTCTTGGGGAAAGTTCTCGGGTTGTTTGTACATAAAGATTTTGAACCCATACAGAAGTAGTAAACGGGGGCCCCGCCCAAGCCTGAAGTTCCCCCCGACCACAAAGCAGCAAGTTGTAGAATTCGATCATGCTCACAAGGGACAGATCGAGCATCAAAATGTGTCTCGTCCCACGCCAACGCGATTGGGGCTGGTACGGACCGGCTGGTGCTGTCAAGTCTCTGGGCATCAGATTTGCACTAGCAGCTTGTCATGAGGATGATCATGTGCAGACTCTTGCTATCTTTCTAGGCAGAACCAGACACTTGGGAGCGGGGAAATGCATGTGATATTCCAAAAGAACAACAACAACTGCACATACTAGTGAGCCAAGAGAAGGATGGAATCATCCTAGGACTTGCCTGCCCGGCTCCGCAAAAATCCCAACGTTCTCAAACGAACTTGGAGTGGCTGGAGAGAGCAAATGGCCAATCTGGTCCCTCCAATCAGTCCGGAGACTGCCTCCAAAAGCCACGGAGGCGTCAGCAAAGCCTTATCAAGCACAAAGCAGCGCCAGATCGAAGTGTGGGGAGCATCTGTCCAATCTCAGGGTCAAGATTGAGCCCAGTGCTAGCCTACTGGCGGCAGGCCGGCTCCAGCACTATGCAGAGACTATGCATCAAAAGGTCATAGCTCCAGCACATGTACAGGGATACTCTCGTCCAGATTCCCATTGAGAAAAGCTTAGTCACTAGTTCGAGCTCGGCAGTGTCTAGTGGTCTTAGTCTGGACATTCTTTTTGGTGATTTCATCATACATTCAAGGCGAGCAGAAAATTTGATGAAGCGACCCCAGACGTTGGCACGCAACCGCCGTGTCAAATTGTAAGGCAAAAGCGGCAGCAGATCCTGCACTGCTTGACTTTCATGGAATTCTTGTCCGGAAAACAGCGGGACAGTTTCATCATGATCCAACTGGTCTTGCAAGTGGTGGCAACGGATCACTATGCCGTTATTGTTTGCAGTCTGTAGAGGCTGACAAACGGCAGCCAAAAGTGATGCAAAGCCCAGAGTCATGCCTGGGGAGGAAGGAATTATGTCATCTGCTCAATTGTCAATTGCCGTAGCAATCTGTAGCTTCATCGTCATCACACGCTAGGGACTGATTTAACATAACCCACTTGCCCTTCCATGCCTTTTTTTCTCTGCAATCTTGTCTGTGGCTACCCTTTCTGACTTCACTTTCTACCGGAAAAATGGCACTCTTTCCTCGTAAGAACGATGCTATCCACGCCAATGGCGACCACATGGTCAATGGCGGCACTTCCGACATTGCCATCACGGCCCGCGGTTCTGATTGGTATTGGGTATGTTGTGTAGCAGCTCGCTCGTCAGTTTAAGTGAACCCTCGTTGACGAACACTGATAGACTGTATGTGCTGTGATGTTTGTGAGCACAATGGTCATAGTCGTGAGTACTCGGTCGTTCGCATAAAATGTACCTCATATTGAGCCATAGCACTAGGGCCTTTCCTTCACGAAGCCACGCAATCATCGAATTTTCCACTACATCACCGCAGCGATTACCATGGTCGCCGCCATCGCATACTTTACCATGGGCGCAGATCTTGGCGAAACCGGCATCAAAGTCGAATTCATGAGGAACAACCCAAAAGTCCATGGCACAACTCGTGAGATCTTCTATGTTCGATACATTGACTGGTTCGTGTTGAGTGTAGCATAAGTCTTTTGAGGATGCTGACCAGTATGTTTTAGGGTGATCACGACACCTTTGCTTTTAATGGATCTGCTTTTGACTGCCGCCTTGCCGTGGCCTACTGTCATGTATACCATTCTTATCAATGAGATTATGGTGATCACAGGATTGATTGGCGCCCTCGTCACTTCTAGCTACAAGGTATCTGCTCTCCACCATTCCCCTTGTCTGGCTTGTACTCACAAACGTTCGTAGTGGGGTTACTTCGTTTTCGGTTGCTTTGCCTTCCTTTGGGTCGCCTGGACCGTCACCTGGACCGCACGTAAGCACGCAAACGCTCTCGGCGCCGACATTGGTCGCACGTATTTGATCTGTGGTGTCTGGACCATTTTCCTGTGGTTCCTCTATCCGATCGCCTGGGGCTTGTCCGAGGGAGGCAACGTTATTGCTCCAGACTCTGAAGCCGTCTTCTACGGCATCCTTGATATTTTGGCGAAGCCAGTCTTTGGCGCCCTTCTCCTCTGGGGCCACAAAGATATCGATCCAGCTCGCTTGGGTTTGAATATCAAAGATTATCTTGAAGATCCTACTTCCGCCACCAATGGTGACAAAGTCGGTGCAACAGGAGCGGTCGATGCCTAAGCAGCGTTGGGAGACCTAATCCAACAAATCGTAAGTCTTGAATGAGTTATATGCGCCACTCAATATTGTCGTCAGCTACTTGAGCGCATTTTCTCAGCCTAGTCTGGGTATAAAGGACAAACCGCATTCTTTGATAGCGTATGATTCGACGATACCACATATAGCGTAATAGTCTTGTTGAAATAATGAAATTTTGCAGATCATTGAATCACTCTATATTCACCTCAGGTTCGAATTTACCCTTGTATTGTTTGACCATGCGTGAAGCATATCCCCAAACTCGATTACCCCCCCCTAATGGTAGTAAGTCTGCATGAAATGATTTCTCGCTGTGCAAGCAATTGCATGTTTATGACTGGTCGTCGAACAGAGAGGCAAAGCATCTTCATCAGAAGACGCAGTTATACAACACAGTGACCTCACGACATTACATTGGGATCTCATCAAGATACAGAAATCGCATGACGATGATCGAATGGGGTGGAAGCTATGTCTGAACTTTTGCAATTATGAGTCTCAAGACCCAATATAATTCAGGATGTGCTTCAACAAAACATGGACGTTATTCAAAACAGAGAAAGCCATCTCTTCGTTTCCGGCTTCCCGATTGTGCCTCTTAAGGGAACGCCAGTTAGCGCAGGACATACCTTGATCAACTTAGAGGTCGAGAATATGCTAGAAGTTATCATTCAGCGAGCAAATGTCTTCGGGAGTAGCGCTACCGGCCCGGTATCGATTCTAAGCTACAGTGCTTGGTCTCAGTAATCCGAGACCTGGGCGACAGTGTTACTACTAGAAACGGCACGAGACGAAGCAGAACGGGAGTTGCGGAATACGGGATTCATGTGTTCTCGTAATGGCGGTATTTTCGGGGATTCAAAGGGGATGTTGGGCATCAAAGCCATGTTTCAGCATTAGATAGCAAATGTCACAATTTCAATCATATTACAGAGAGCTGACAAGTCACATATCATACACACGACATCATTAGAATAATGTAAAATGGGCAGTTCCAACTTCCTTGACCTTTTAAGATTGGCACGGCACCAGACGGGCCAGTGAACAGCCAACCCCCGTACTTACTTGTCGAGGTTAACCATAAGAACCATAACTCATAGTTCTAAGCAAAGTCTGACAAGGCTCAAGGCACAGGGGTAGCACGTGTCAACATGGGTCTTGATAGGTAGTCGACTGTGCCGCACGAATCATGGTCGCCAGCAAATCGCCCGATGAGAGCTACTGATGTAGAGATGGCCAACATCCAGCGCCAACGCAGTCGATCATCCAGGCCCTTATTTTGGGCACTCGATACCATCATCTGGTGTGTGACTTGTCCATGTTGATTGCACCTCTAACATAAGAAGCCCACATGGACTGATGCATTGTGTCCGCTCGTGCGGCAGCAACGACATTCCTCACCGCTTCACCGGCTGCTGATGGCGGGCACCCCGAAGGGTTCCATCCACAACCATTTAGCATCTGTTCCTGCGCCAGTCGCCAAAGCCGGTGATAATAATGATACCTACCGCATGATGGTGCTTCGCTTTGAAGAGCCGGAGGAGGATGTCGACCGGCATTACATACAGAGAGCGCTTGAGCTGGGCATCAATCTTCCAGAAGAATCCAAGACATCGCTCGAACTAGTTGGGAAAGATGTCGCTGCTCTTGATATAGCATCAGCTGCACCTGTACCGGTCATTCCGACTCCAATTGATGCACGGAAGTCTCGATCTATCAATGCACCGTCGGACAGCTCTGTTGATTCGAAAGGACACCGAAAGACTCCATCCCTTGCTGCGACTTCCTCAATCACTTCTACATCTGCGCCGTCAAGTGCCTCTGCCGTCTCAAATAAATCGAATTACGTAAAATTCAAGAGAGGCATCAAGCGCTTTTCCACCATCCGTAGCAAGCGGAAATCTCTTGCAACCCAGTCGCAACCTTCCGCACCAGAACTGCCGCTGCGACCCCCACCAGCAACGCGGTCTCTCCGCCCTGAAATATCTCCTCGCTCCAACACCGCCGATTATGTGCCAACCCTATCCCGAATCCAATCCCACACCGTTGCTTCTCCACCACTATCACCCACCGGCCGACCAACCGGCCGCAGGAAAGTCATCTCAATGCCTCTCGAAGCAGCTCCTCCGCCCCCCATGCTCCTCCCAACACACAGTCCGCCTCCGCCACCGGCATCATCTCCAGCCCCGCCACCTCCAAAATCTCCCCGCCGGCCTGAAAGACCGCTCACCCCTCCTCGCGAACGAGCACCCTCTCCCTCCGCCTTCGCGCGGTCACTCGTGCACCCGACTCTCAAGAAGCTGCGTACAACCCAGCTTCAAGAACAACTCCGTTTCATTTCTTTTCGGGCCTCCCAAACCCGCCTAATGCGCACGCGGCATCTCTCCCAAAAACGCGATCGCCTCTCCACCTACAAACTTGCCCAAACGTCCCTCGAAAGTCGACATGCCGAAGCCCTTGCCGATCTAGAGCACCGTCAATTGTCTGCTGAAGCAGATCTTGAGAAGACTTTGGAGAATGAAAGACAAGCATGTGATACTAGGCTGAAGCACATGCAGGCGTATTGCAATCCGCAGGAGAACATTGAACGCGGACTACCGGTCCGGCAAGTGACGAAAGATGACTATAGGATGTTGGAGCAGCAATACCATGTCCGCAGCGGAATGGAGAATCTGCACGCAGGAAGAATCAACGTGCTAAGAGAAAAGCAAGCCAAGCAAGTCGATCGGGTGGTGGATAAGCAGGAGAAAGAGGTGGGTAAACTAGGGGAGGAATTTGAGAGTGAGAATGAAGAGGTGGATAAGGATTGTGCGGAAGAGGAGAGACGCTTGGAGCAGGAATTTGTGGAGAGAAGGCAGCGATTGGTTGGGCGTTGGAGGATGACTGAGGCGATTGAACGAAGGACGCTGGAGCTGGAGAATGGACAGCTGTTTGCCCCATTACCGGAGATTGGGTGGGGAGATGATACGAGAGATGGGGAGGAGGCGGAGGGAGAGATTCGGAGGCTGATGAGGGAGAAAAGGATGAGTGTCGATCCGGAGAGCGGGGTTCTGATGGAGGAGGATCTGGAGGTGCCCCCTCTTGATACCAAGGGGGAGGATGCTACAAGTGGAGCTAGGTGGGAATTCGATGAAGCAAATGTGATATAAGATTTGCGTGTCCAGAGGGATAGGTTTTGTCAGAAATCTTGAAAAGATATTTACGGGCAATCTATATGGGTGGATATACCAATGGCGCTGGTGGCAGAATTTTGGGTGGCATAAGGGACTTCGCTTTGGCATAGCGGGCGCGTATATCAACAATAGCAGTGATACAAGTGAGATTCTTCGGTAGGACAGCATTGGATAAGACATCGAGGAAAGATATGATCATTAAAACGGCTTTTTCCACATTACATCTCTCCTTGCTTGTCGTCATCAAGAGGCCGCTCTCGACAGGGATTGTACTGTTGAACAGTAGGAAAAACGTCTATCCTACAAGAGCATAAAGTCTGCTCAGTCATGTACTTCAATTGCAGCGAGTGGAAGAAGCCGTGGGCGAAAATCCTTAATGGCGAAGTCTGGGAGTCCTTTCACGAGCAATATTGACCTGCAAGGTGCAAAGGCTGAATGAATTGATGGCTTCATAATATCTGCGAGTAGTTCTATATCTAGATACTATTCCACGCCTCAAGAGCGGTGGGCTCCTTACCTCGAAAACTGGCATGAAGGCATCCTCATGTCTCAAGGAGCATTGGAGAGGACGGCCCCAACCAACAGTCGATTGCCCTGGAAGACGAGACCGTCTCAATGGCCTCCCAAAGCTTTTTAGATCTGATACCCTGAGCAAATCACCCAGCCTTCGAGGTAACGTTTCTTGGGACGAGGTCGGAGACCAGGAGCAGCTTCATGGCGGATATTTTCCAGGCAATGGCGCAGTCAAAGTCTTAAATAGTACTGTCTTGAATTCTAACATGTACTGCTAAATCTTGACGGGAGGATTCGCTTCACTCCTTCCTGCTCGACTTGATCGGGCAAACAGATCCTGTGAAGCTACTTAGGGCTGTGACGCTCCACCCGTTAGAATTGGGTGATTTGTTTGGGTTTCAATTGGCCTTGCGAAGAAGATACTGATAAAATCATTAAAAATAAAATCATCCTCAATTATCGGCCTTTTCGTTTATGGCTCCACGCCGCTCGGGAAACTCACGGCTCTTCTTTACATTAGAAGCTTCGCATACGCAGTAGTCCCTGCGAAGTAGTTACCTATTAGAAGTTGCAATTTATCTCGAGTATTACGGTGAATTTAGCGGATCTCTTATTTCGTTCTTGGCCTCAAACCGCCTCACAGCCAAGCATGATGAGCATGAGAAACAATGGTCCTCGAAATTAGCGTCTTAGCAAGGTGATGGCTTGTTCTTACAGTTGGGAGCGGTCAATTGCACATATGAATAGGCAAAGATCAAGATGTGGCTGCCTGACTCTTCTTTGGCGCTGGGCTGTGCAGTGAAAAGTAGCCGCAGGAAATTTCCCTTCTGGGTTTGCTCAGAATATGACGCCGAGTCATGAATAAGCTGACATTATTGCGCGGTCTGCCATGGAGGTAGCCAAAACTTCCTCTGTCTATTGGTGACCGTCAGGATCTAGCTTCTCACAGCCTCTTTCGGGCTACTATGCACCCATCCATCATCTCAACGCCTATCAAAGTATTGGCCGCATAACGGGTCAGCATGAAGGGAGGTTGCAGATCCTTTGGAAAAACTATTGTGGCTAAGATGTGTTGTCAAGAGCAACCACGAGTAGAAGATTCCTTGACCAACAGAGCCGTATTGAGTATCGAAGGCATCTATTGCACCCACATTGGCGAGTAATGAACGTAATCACATAATCGTCACCTGAGACATATTGGAACAGAAATCGTGAGGAACTTCCAGCATTAGAATGGTATGCCTCTTGCGAATAGTGCCGAAGGAACGTGCTGTGGACAATTTGAATGACCTAGCAAGAACCCGCCCTTTAAATATGATAGATTAGAGCACCGTCATGATTTAGTCTTGTGAGAAGGAGGCCCTGCGGAATCGTATCAACGGTGATATTGAAGACGCAAAGCAGCGAGAATGTTGCGGTCAACAATTTTTCGAATTGTTTCGATTTTAGAAGAAGACAAACAGGTTGTTCATCATTTGATCGTCGTCTTGCTGAATGCAGGCCCCCCGTACCTTATGTATCGACCTCGACTTTCTACGAGTCTGCTCAGTCATTGAGGGTCTTCAAATCTTATGCGAGGAACACATATCTAACGAAGGCAACGGAGGACTCAAGGTCCGAGATATTGCGCGGCGATGAAGAGCTTGGCTATAGAAATTACGCCACCGTTCGAGTCACAGCTGTCTTCAAACACGGTGTACGAGTACGCAGTGTCAACCTCGGGAGTACAAGAGAGCAAGGGCAGATCAACATATAAAAGGGTCTTGTGGACGAAAGAGGCGGAGTCAAACTGCAGCCACTCACCAGCCACAATATTCCAGTTGCTTCTCCTTGCTCCCTGTTTCCCGTCTGCATGCACTTCGCACCAGCGACGGATCTCATGGTCTGTGCCGCAGCCTTCCGGGCCTTTGTGACACTGATGATCGTCCGGTAGACTGAAAGCCCAATATGCATAACTAATGCCAGTGCTTTCCCGCAGATATGGTTCAAGGTGGACACTGCGACCCTAATGAGGCTCAGAGGTCATCCCACATCGTGTTTGTCATTGCTCGGGAAGGGTACCCAAGACATCTCGGTCATCAAATTTGCTGTGCAGCGATTAGACAACCAGGCAGCCAAAGGAGCTGATGTTGGACCAGGGATGAGACCTAGAGGCCGTCAACGAGCAGGCCGAGCGAACAGGATCAAGAAGGGATTAGAAGTAGGGGCTGGATCTGAGAGTGCTTCCTGTCGCTGCAGAAACACGTCTCGTCGCAGGTGTAGCGCTTTGCTGTAGCTAGTGGAGAGCAGATATGTACAGCGCTTGGACAGAGGGAGAAGATGATGGGATTAGTGACGGATGCCATGCAACTAGAAGATCCGCCCGCTATCGATTGGACAGATCTGCCTGACCCCAAGGCGCTTGGTGTCTTCCAAGGCTGGCACGAGTCAGTGGCTGGCCGGTTATGTATGCGCAGCGTCAAACAAGAGGTCTCGTAGGCATAGCGTGAGAGGATTCCAGCAGCGAAGGGATTGGCATAGTCATTCCTGAGGGATTTAAGCATTTGTGGAGTCTTGTTGTGCAGAAGCCTATGAACGATTCCTCGGTCACTCCTGGAAATCAACGAGAAGGCGAGAGCGTGCACTGCCCGCAGCTAGCGCCGACATCAACGCCCCTTTGCTGTCTGCCCCAGACATTTGAACCTTCCTTTCCATTGCACTCCCTATATCATTCCCGATGTTTGCATGTCCCATTTCTCAGCCTTCCTTGACCTCGATTACCTTGCATCCTGGGCGTGGGCGGTGAAAGTCATCGTAGGCGTCAAGGCGTTCACAGAGCTCAAACCGCTCGGATTTCCTTAGTATGACTTCGCATAGACTATTGGCGCCTCCTATATCAATACACACGAATGTCAGTCACTTGAACAAGGCTCCGGAGGTTGATACTCATATGTCGCAGTTTCAGCAGGATGAGAATGCTTCGTCCGACCCAGACACCCATACCGAAAGCTACCAGCAATCTTCCTCCCTTCAGATCCCCTCATCTCCCACTACCGTCTCTCTCGGTGGTGACACTTTACGGTCAAGATCAGACTCGTTCAACTCGACCGCATATTCAGAGGCAGATACTGCGCGATCGAGAGCAAATTCTGATGTTAAGACAATACGATCAAGATTTGAGGGGGATGATCTAACCATTGAGGAGGCTCTTGCGCCGGACAAAACAACCCAGAATGACTTCGACGTTACAGACAATCCCTTCGCATTCTCGCCAGGGCACTTGAATAAGCTGCTCAACCCGAAGTCGCTCGCGGCATTTCGAGCGCTTGGTGGGGTTCAAGGGCTGGAAATTGGATTACAGACAGATTTGGTCGCAGGTCTCAGCGTTGATGAGACCTCAATATCAGATCGTATCTCCTTCGATCAGGCTAGAAATGCCGCCCGAGTCAAGAAGGGACAAGGCGATGGACCGATGGTTGATCAAAATGTCATGGTCACGGACCAGGAAGTGAAAGGGCGATATCACGATCGGCAGAGAATATTCAAAGACAATCGGTTACCAGACCGGCATTCTCTGAGCATATGGAGACTATTCTGGAACGCAGCGCAGGACAAGGTCCTTATTATACTTACAATTGCGGCCGTCATATCACTCGCTCTTGGGATTTACGAAGCGGTCGGCCAAACGCCGGATCCAGGCGAGGGCCCATCGGTTGATTGGATCGAAGGTCTCGCGATCGAAGTGGCTGTCGTCATTGTGATTCTGGTGACCGGACTGAACGACTTCCGACGGGAAAAGCAATTCGCTAAATTGAATGCAAAGAAAGAAGACCGGCAGGTCAAAGTAGTACGTTCTGGCAAGTCAATGATGCTCTCTGTCTTTGACGTCATGGTTGGAGATATTCTTCACTTGGAATCTGGGGATTCTTTACCTGCAGATGGGCTACTGCTCAGCGGCTATGGCGTTCGGTGCGATGAATCCTCAGCTACTGGAGAATCCGACGCTATGAAGAAGACTAATGGGTATGAAGTCTGGACTAGAATGGCTGAAGGAACCGCAACAGACAAGCTTGACCCTTTCATGATCTCTGGCAGCAAAGTACTCGAAGGTGTCGGAACTTACCTTGTAACCTCTGTGGGTGTCAATAGCAGCTTTGGAAAAATCATGATCAGCTTGCAGACAGAGACTGAAGAGACTCCATTACAGAAGAAACTTGGTCATATGGCAACCTGGATTGGATATCTCGGAACTGCGGCCGCGGGGCTACTCTTCTTCATTCTTACCTTCCGCTTCATTGGAGGTCTTTCTGGTAACACTCACAGCCCTGCAAAGAAAGGCTCACAATTTCTGGATATCCTGATCGTTGCCATAACGATCATAGTAGTTGCTGTTCCAGAAGGTCTCCCTGTGGCAGTTACTTTGGCATTGTCATTCGCCACTAAAAAGCTCTTCAAAGAACACAACCTTGTGAGACATCTTCGAGCTTGCGAGACCATGGGAAATGCGACTACGATCTGCTCTGACAAGACAGGAACATTGACTCAGAACAGGATGACCGTCGTCGCGGGAGCTCTTGGCTCTCATATTCAATTCGCCCGGCATACCGAGAGTGAAGAGGGTGAGAGTTCTGTCATCCGCCTCTCTTCAGCCTTCGATCGTCTCTGGCCCAGTGCGAAAAGTATCTGGCTTCAGTCATGCGCCATCAATTCAACAGCCTTTGAAGGTGAGGAGGATGGCGCGTTCACCTTTATCGGCTCGAAAACCGAAACAGCTATCCTTACCATGGCTAAGGAACAGCTAGGCATGGGGCCGGTGGCCGAAGAACGTGCAGGCGTCAATGTTGTGCAGCTAATTCCTTTCGATTCGGAGCGCAAATGCATGGGAGCCGTGATTCGACTCGCATCTGGGAGTTATAGATTGCTAGTGAAAGGAGCTGCAGAGATATTGCTTGAGCGAGCAACTAACGAACTCACCGATCCTTTAGCAGAATCGCTAGACCGCTGCGACCTATCTAACGAAGCTAGAGCAAAGGTCACCGCAAACATAAATGGGTTTGCTGCTCAATCTCTCAGGACAATCGCATTCCTTTACCGAGATTATCCTCAATGGCCACCCGTTGGGGCTAGGACCTCGGAGGAGGATCGGTCAATGGCCCAATTCGAAGATGTCTTCGAGGACATGACACTGCTCGGCGTCGTCGGAATTCAAGACCCCCTGCGAGATGGCGTCACGGACGCTGTCAAGAAGTGTCAAGATGCTGGTGTTGTAGTTCGCATGGTTACCGGAGACAATGTTGTGACGGCAACTGCTATTGCGACCGAGTGCGGTATCAAAACCGACGATGGCATCGTTTTAGAGGGGCCCAAGTTCAGACAGCTTTCAGACGAGGAAAAGGACGAAGTCCTTCCCCGACTACAAGTACTCGCCCGTTCTTCTCCTGACGACAAACGCATGTTAGTCTCACGCTTGAAGCATCTCGGAGAGCAAGTCGCAGTGACCGGTGACGGCACCAATGATGGGCCCGCTTTGAAGCTCTCGGATGTAGGCTTTTCAATGGGCATTGCTGGTACTGAGGTCGCCAAGGAGGCCAGTGCCATCATCCTCATGGACGACAATTTCTCCAGCATCGTCAAGGCTATAATGTGGGGTCGCTCGGTCAATGACGCGGTGGCCAAATTTCTCCAATTTCAGCTTACAGTCAACATTACCGCCGTCTTGCTTGCCTTCGTCTCAGCTGTCTCTTCACCAGACATGCACTCCGTCCTGTCTGCTGTACAGCTTCTATGGGTGAATCTCATTATGGACACCTTCGCAGCTCTTGCCCTTGCTACCGACGCACCTACGGAGAAGATTCTTCAGCGAAAGCCGACACCTAAAAGTGCACCATTGATTACGACGAACATGTGGAAAATGATTATTGGTCAAGCAATCTACCAGCTTATTGTGACATTTGTTCTCTACTTTGCAGGCTCTACCCTTCTTTCTTCGCTTCTACCTCAAAACAAAGACCACGACAAGGAACTTGCTACGATAGTATTCAACACATTTGTTTGGATGCAAATTTTTAATCAATTCAACAACCGCCGTTTGGATAACAAATTCAATATCTTCGAAGGCGTTCACAAAAACTTCTACTTCTTGGCTATTAGCTTAATGATGGTGGGCGGTCAGATCATGATCATCTTTGTGGGAGGTGCTGCGTTCCAAATCAAGGCAATTGGTGGCAGGCAATGGGCCGTGTGCATCCTCTGCGCGCTGCCTTGTCTTCTATGGGCCATCTTGCTTAGATGCATACCAGACAAATACGCAGCTTTTGTTTTTGGCATAGCAGGCAAAATCTGGTTTGCCGTGTACAGACCCGTCGAGAGGGTTTTGATATTCATCTACAGACCCATAGACAAAGCCTGTTCGATGGTCTTCGCGCCGACTAAGCGATTCTCGAAGCGCACGACTGCAAAAATGATGCGCCGGAAAACCGACGACACTAATTCTTCCGATGACGAGGAGGCAGGCATGAAGATGGAAAAGCTTGATTCAACTACGTCTGTGCCCAAAACGCCGACCACGGAGAAGCCCATGACGCCACCTAATTTGACTCTATCGCCGCCGCCAATTACTTTGACCGCTGCTTGAGCTTGATTCTGATTTTTTGATATACACGGAGGTGTACTTTACGTGATGTTGTTTAGCGTCGGCGCTGGAGGATCCATGTCAATGCATTTCAGCGGAGGTAAGAACCATTCGTTATGTAATAAAGACCCCAGATGATGTGAAGGGCTTTCCAAATAGAAAAGTGTAAGATACTTTTTCAAGCTTGCAAAGGCACATTCAAAAGCCTGAATCTTCTCCCTTCCTGTTCTCATTCATCAGTAAATCACCAGGCAATATCAGACTTCATAGTCTTACTCTAACTCTCGTCCTCGTCCTCAGTCTCGTGCTTGCAACGGCAGCGGCCATCATCATCCTTCTGATGCACACGAACTCTACAATTTGAGAACGCGACTACCTTATTCACCGCAAGATGAAGGATAAAAAAGGGTCCAGCAAGCGGCCCTTTCCCCTTCCGCCAGTTATTGACCTAAGGTGCAGGTACCCGTTGGACCGTGGAAGTGTCGTACCAGATATTTGAAATCAAGTGGGGTAAGCTTTAGCCTTTCGATCATGAGGTGGCTGCACTCTGTATCCCAACTTGAACTCTTGCAAGTGCCTGTCAACTGATAGCACCTCTTCCTGCAGCAATATACGATCTCTCGACTCCATTCATCATAGCAATCATCGTGACTCTGCAGCATGCCTGCCACCGAACGCTGCCTCTCGCCTTCCGAAGGCAACAAAGCCATTGGTGGTATCCCCAATATGCGTTAGATCCCACTTCAACCTGACACGCAATTTCTCCACTGATCTGTCTCTATCAATGGACCAGACTACTTCGATTTCAAGTCTCGTGGCCGTGGCAACGTCATCCGTCTCCTTTGGGAGGACGCCCAAATCGCGTACGACGACACTCGCTACACCTTCGAGGAGTACCCCAAATACAAAGAAAGCACCATTACGAAGCTCAATCCTGCTACGACAATTCCTGTCATTGAAATCGACGGCCAGATCTTGACACAATCTTACGCTATCATTAGGCACTTTGCCCGCCAGCTGGGGAAATATGACGGTCAGACCGAAGAGGCGAAGTATTGGGCTGATGCTATATGTGATATTGTAGCTGATTGTACGCCTCACCTCAATCATAGCAGACATGACGTCTAGTATGATAATGAAACTCCTGAAGTAACCATTGCTAGGGCGCACTCTTTTCATCCAAGCCTTCTTCAATGAAAGGCAGGCCGAGACCTACCCCAAGCATCAACAAGGCGACCGCAACCGTTTTCTAACAGCGTTGGAGACGCACTTGAAAAGTCACGATCTATCTCGCTCTGGCCCGTACATCACGGGAAAGGATATCACCTATGCGGATTTTGTGCTCTATCAGATTTTGCATGATGAGGATTTGATCCAGGACGGAGGGAATGGACTGCAGGACTATTCACGCTTGAAGCAGCAGGTCGATGCAGTGGAGGGTAGGGAGAATATCAAGGCTTTCATGGCGAGTAAAAGGTATCGCGGATAGAGGGTAGCTTCAATACTCACATCATGGGCAAAATTGCAGCTATAGCAGACAGGGCGTGTACTCTAAATCAATCGCATTGTACAGGGCATGGTCCAAGAAACCAAAAAAAAAATCTTGAAAATGGTAACCTTTGTCTGCGTTGTTGGAGGCTCCTAGCGTAATGCCTGAGCAACGTGGGTGGTTCACAAGCTAGGACTGGGGCTACACTATTACAAAGGGTAAAAAGGGATTGCACTCTTGGTGGGCTGACGAAGAGTTAGAGAAGAACATGTAAAATTGGTGGTCCATACGTACGCTCGAACCCACAACCTTTGGATGTACAATATAGAAGTCCAACGCGCTACCACTATAAAACTGTGAGTCAAAGGCCAGAAGAAAACGAAATGGAGACGGACTTGCGCCACAAGAGCTTTCTTTCGATCGAAGTCGACTTTACTGTAAAGTATAATCTTTTTTTTTTAGAGTGCTGAAAATCCCCGTGTCTTGGCATGTCTCTCCGTTCGTGTCCGTCTGTTGATCTTCAGACTCACAAACATCACCACCAACATCAACAGCTCTGCCACCATGTCATTCCTTCCAAATAACCTTTTCCGCACACTAGCCTCTCCCTCCACCTCCGTTCCTCCCCCAAAGCCCTCCCAACTAGAACAACAAGCACCTCCCGCGACCACCACAGCCTCGAACTCCCTCCTCTCCCCCCGCTCACGCAAACAATTCCTCCTCTTCGCAGCAGGTTCCACCTTCCTCCTACTCTCCACCTTCCGCACCTCGCGCGCCTTAAGCAGCCGTCGAAAATCCGTAATACCGCGCTATTTCCACCCCTCGAATATCCCCCCAGCACACCTGCAATCCCTCAATGCGCCTTTCGAAGCATTCGAAGCGCTTTCCCTGGCTACAGTCAATGTGATGAGTTTTGCCATGATGTTTGGAGGGGGCATGCTGTGGGCGTTTGATATCAGTACCTTGGAGGAGCTGAGGAGGAAGGTGAGGGGTGGGATGGGAATTGATGGGTCGGGGCGGAGTGAGCAGGAGGTCGAGGAGGAGTTTGAGGAGTGGATTGCGGGGGTGTTGAGTAGGAAGGAGGAGAAGAGGCGGAAGAGAGGTGAAGGGGCGGATGATGGGGAAGAGGAGTGGGGAGGTAGAGCTAGGAATGAGAGGGGGAAGCCTCGGTGATGGATGGGCGGACGAGGTATAGTCAGCGTGAGCAAGCAGCAGCTTTGTGTAGACTGGGCATGATTTCTGAGACGGATGCGCGTTTTGCTGGTCCATGCCTCAGATGAATGGCATAGGACGGATATGGATGTGGTTCGAAAATGCATGCTACGCCATCTATAGTGGCGATATGCTGCTCCTGGATTTTGCAGTCCGCAGCGTGTACGACGCAGTGAATGCTCACACGTCAGACCCTACGAACAGGGATACCAGACTACATTTGTGCATTATCAGATGTCTCAATTGCAATATTGTAGGATGATAATACAACAGCCCTCGAGACTAGTAGAAGATTTCAGCACGAGATCTCAGACTTGGTGTTCCTGCTAAATGCGTCGAGATTTATTAGGAAACCAAGATGCTTTCTAGCCACAGCTGGTTGTAAAAGTTTGTACCATTTTCTTTCACCTGCAACGATGCTTTCTTGGTCGTAAGATGGACACTTCTGTTAAGCTGTAGAAGTTTCCTTGGACTTTGCCAGAGGTGTCTCTCCTTAGCCATTTTCACATTGTCCGCCAATCTGAAGGTCAGGCTTCACTGTAACATGGAGGGAAGGATGTTTACATCAATGGATCGTATTTTATATTTGTTTATATTCACGCATTTATAATTGCCCATCCATGGCAGGTAAGAGTGTGCCCGCTTCTCCTCCAACTCCCACGCTATCCCAAGACACTCATTTCAAAAAAGGAAATTGCAACAAATCCAGTTGCCATCTGTACACACAGCAGCTATTAATAAGTATTCCTACTACTTCCACTCTTCACGTCATGCTGCTGACGTCGCCGGAGTAGGTGCCGTCGTCAAGGTTTCGGTAAACGTCGACGATACTGTTGGTTCAGTCGTTGTCTCTACGGTAGCGCTACTGCTCCACGTCTCGATAGGTGACCATGACGGAAATGATGTAGCTGGATGGTATGTCGATGTTGAGCACCCACGCTGCTCGTCACATTTGACAACAATACCTTGTGTCGGTTTCACGCCAGGGTTTACATCTGTCCAGACGGCTGCGTAGTAGGTGGTGACTGTCTGAATCGCTTGTCTCCAGCGCGGCACTCCTGTCGGAGCGGCGGTTGCATTCACGTCCAATTGTGCATACCCATATTGCGAACTATAGGTAACGTATTGATCGCAATCCGTGATCGCAATGGGAGGAGCAGCCAAAGGTGTCACAGCTGTAGCACAGATGGACGTCACAACAGGAATAAATGACGTTGTACATGAAGGTTGAGAGCCATTGACGCTGTTGAATGGACCCGTGGAGGCAGATGCTGTCGGCTCGCAAGACACATTTGCAGCAAAAGTTGTGACAGACTGACGCTGCTCGGTGATGGCAATAGCTGTACCTTGAGCCCAGAGTGTTGTGAATGTTGGACGACCCTGTGGTATGAGTGATCCGGTTGAGTTGGGCTGTCGCTTCGCTATGGGCCCGAGTGTGTGTACACCAGCATTTACAATGTGAGGTGGGGGAGGAACGAAGCCATCAGGAGGCTGCCCTGGTGCCACTGGTACAGCCGGAGCTTTGGCGGGCTTTGTGGCGGGCATCTTCGGTTTAGCACCCGGGGCTACGGCAGGAGTGTTTCGTTCTTGAAGCTGATCCTGATCAGCTATGGGGATACCAGGAGGTTCAAGAAAGTGTACGCCAGCATTGGTGATTGCTGGAGGCGGAGGCGTGAAAGGAGCGTCTCTGGGCTGAACGGGTTGACCTATTGGCACTAATGGATGCGCGTCTGCAACAGGTATAGACAGTGGATGTGGAGGTGGAGGTGGCGTAGCTCTCAATTCAATGTGTCGAAGAAATGGAGTTGGTTTTGGGCCTTGAAAATGAGATTTTTCTGTAGGTGTGTTTGTGATTGCAGTAATTAGAACGTCCCGTCGCTCAGCACCTCGCCCTTCTGCGTTAATGGGCCGTCCAAAGGGATTCTCTCCCTGGGGTAGCGTATGAATACCTCCGATCTTCAAAGCCAATGGTGTTGGAACAAATGGTGGTGAGGGCTGCCCTGTCAGTATTGGTGAAGGTGTGATTATAGATGATACATCCTCGTCGAAATCAAGAGCTCGATTCTGATCTGCAGCATATGGTGCAGCCATCGAAATCCAGGCTTGGAAAACCACAAGTCCGATGAATAAAGCCATGGTAAAGTGTTCGATCGAGGCCTTTGATGGCTTGAGAATGTGGGAAACATGTGGATATTAAAGCGGTTCTGGACTGATCAGACACATTCTTCGATCATGGAAAGGTAGACCAACACTCCTTGCTTAACAGGAACAGAGCCTCGCAAGCTTTCCTGCACGCTATCCGCATTCTCTTGCATATCTCTGCTGCATTCTCCGTTCCGCCCGTAGGGACGGTAATGTTTGTTGACTTGGCCCAAAATCTGAGGTACAATACTCATGTTTGGGCTGAACAACTTGATTGGCAACTATCAAGATGCTCGTGACTTCAGATCTCGAATCGATGGGAGGTCCCGAAAAGCTGGAGCACATTCAATGGAATGCCCTGGTGCATTCGACAAGTCTAGACTTCCTTTGTTGATCAGGAATCAGTGGATCAATAGTACGTAATAATAAGCCAAAGCCCCTCGAGGAATGGTTGCATGGCTCTCTGCGGTTGTGGCGAAAATGTCAACAGTGGTGGTGGGAAAGGCGTCAGTTTGTCTCAGCCAACCTAATCACGGATGTACGATATCGTGGAATTGACCGGGTGGCTCGCTTTAGTGAACGCCATCCTTCACTTTCGACTCCTAGAATTCAGTACAATGACACCGTCATCAAGGGGGCTGCCCGGCTCGCCAGGAACCCCTCCAAAAAGCCAGGTCGTGAAGCCCCTTGCAAGATTTTCGGGTGGCAAATGACACAAAAGTGTGGACAAGCCCGGAAATGGTAGACAGAATTGCCCTAACGGATGTCATACCTTCGAACGAGAACAAGGTATCCGTCGATCGGAAGATGAAAAAGGAGATTATCTTTGCCCAAAGAAAAGACGTAGCAGGCAGGAACGTGGAAGCTGGAGGCAATCATTCCTGTTTACAAGCGGTAGACAAAGATGAAGGGCGCGGTTGTGATGGCAAGCAGATTTGGAAAGATGATCCTCTGCCAATCAATACGTTGTCTTTGGAAAAGGAGTCAGGACGAGCAAGACGACAGTATTTGGACCTTTAGCTAGAATTCATAGTGTCATATTGCACGTATAGCCTTGCTCCGTCATCTGAGAACATGCTTGTGTAACGACGTTGATGCTGTGGATGGGGGAAACCTAAGGTACCGTAAGCTCTCATTGGGGCGGTCTAGGCGCTTCTCCACCCCGGACATTGTCTGCTCTCTTTCCTTGTGGCCGGAGCTCGGGGAGCTCATCGCAAAACAATAATCATACGAGTGGAGTGCCCGAGCGCCAAAGACCGTACATACTGGCAGATGGCTTCTTCAGACCATTCTCTCGTGCCCACAGAATGGACCACGACACTGAGTCGCTACACCATGGTGCAACCGACGGGGACAAATACTTCTCCTCCAATCCCTCTCCTAATTCCATTGACTCTCACAAAAGACTTGCGAGGTCCTTCATAAACGAGCAGGTCCGCGCGAATCGCAATGTAGTCCTAGTGACATCGGGCGGGACAACAGTTCCGCTGGAAAACCAGACCGTACGCTTCATCGACAACTTTTCTAATGGTAGCCGTGGAGCCACCTCTGCCGAATACTTCCTTCAAGCTGGATATGCCGTCATCTTCCTCCATAGACAGTTTTCTCTACTGCCATACTCCCGGCACTACAGCCACTCCACAAATTGCTTTCTCGATTTCATGACTGAAGGCGACGATGGCACCGTCACGGTGGATTCAGATTACGAAGACAAAATGCTTGAAGTGCTCAGAAAATACAATACTGCGAAGAAGGAACAGAAATTGCTACCCTTGAGTTTCATAACGATCAATGAGTATCTGTGGTCTCTGAAAGAGTTGGCCGTCATGATGAGACCATTGGGTCCAAGAGCGTTGTTCTATTTAGCTGCGGCGGTTTCGGATTTCTTTTTACCCAAAGACAGACTTTCCGAGCACAAAATACAGTCCTCGAACGCTAACATAGTCAATGGCGAAGGCTATCCAATGTTGAGTAATGGTTTGTCTGGAACGGGTCAGCAGAACAGGCTGATGATCAATCTGGATCCTGTCCCCAAGTTTCTCAAGGACCTAGTTCAAGGATGGGCTCCGGAAGGAATGATGATTAGTTTTAAGCTAGAAACAGACCCATCTCTGCTGATTGAGAAGTCACAGCAAGCCCTCAAAAAATACTCGCATCATCTAGTCATAGGGAATCTGCTTTCTACTCGAAGACACGAGGTTGTTTTCATAACGTCGCAAGGAGAACATTGGATCAAAATTCCTCAGCATCGCCGTACTCGAAGTGTTGTAAGTCCGTCATTCCTGCGGAAGACTTTCTTGGATGAAGCTCAGGAAGAAACCGCCACCGCAATGGGAGATGGGCCCATCGAAATAGAATCATTGATTGTGCCCGAAGTTGCTGCCATGCACAGGCGCTTCATTCAGCTCTCTCAGCAAAATCATGAAGAAGATGAGCAGACAATGCTTGCCAACGCCCTCGCTTGGGCCGAGACAGGCTCTGATTAGGATTTCACCCCCCATTCTGGGGTGCTGCCATCACTAGTTCAGGTATATGATTTTTCAATCACGAAGGAACATCCATCCGAAAGCTCGAAGAACACTTGAACATGGAATGACAACATATCAAGCCAAGTGTCAACAGCATAGAACCGCTTTTGGAGGCCATGAAAGAATAGATGCACCTAAATTGGTGCTTGATTCCTTGAGGTAGGAATGCTTGGTTAGAATTCGCGGACTAGGACGGCTCAATTTGCCAGAAGATGGAGTAACAGAACTATTGTCTGACCTGTACATAGAACATGCATGATTTCGGATCAGATCAAACGTTCATGAATTCTCCAGACATAGTTCAAGGGAAAGTCACGTAGCCAATGACTGCGCGCCTCGCTTGCCTTCGCTGACATAATACGCCAAGCCCAAACGCACAAAGACACCCCAGTGGAGCTCGACCTTCATATACGTGAGTAGCTCAGCAGCCAATTCTTCCTTGCATCACCGCCATCATGGCCTCTTCAGCAGCGGTGAATAAGATCGCGCCCACCAGCCCTTCTCGACAGCGTCCGAGCGAGCTGGAGACAAGTATCGCAGGCGCGCTGTACGATCTAGAATCCAACATCCCAGACATGAAGAGTGCACTCCGGCCGCTGCAATTCGTATCTGCTCGTGAGGTAAAACCCCTATAGATTTGATATCAACGCCTACAATGCCTTTTCGAATAGAATTGGTCGCTCACTAATTGCTCCTCTAGATCGAGGTCGGCCATGGCAAGAAAGCAATCGTCATCTTCGTCCCAGTCCCTCTCCTCCCCGGATTCCATAAAGTACAGCAGCGGTACTTCAGCCCCTCTCTGCCTCAATACCGAGCCAGGAAGACGAGCTTTACTCATTTCATATTTAACTAGTCTGACCCGCGAACTTGAGAAAAAGTTCTCCGACCGCCAAGTGCTCTTCCTTGCTTCTCGCCGCATTCTCCCACGTCCAAAACGCTCCACACGCTCCCGTACCTCCCAAAAACAGAAACGGCCTTTCTCGCGCACACTCACTGCTGTACATGACGCCATTCTGCACGATGTGGTCTACCCAGTAGAAATTGTGGGAAAGAGGACGAGAACACGGGAGGATGGGAGCAAGGTGTTGAAGGTGGTGTTGGATGAGAAGGAGAGGGGGAGCGTAGATCATAGGCTTGATACGTTTGCAGAGGTTTACAGGAAGCTGACGGGGAAGGGGGTTGGGTTTGAGTTCCCGGTCGGGGGTGGTGCGGAGTATTAAGTGGGAATATGTGACTAGGAAGTGAGCATCACATCTCTTGACAGTATACGGCTCGACGTGCTGGGGATCACGCTCTTGTGCTTGGCAATCTCCATCTGGTTCCACATGCAAACAAGAGCCTTGCAGCGGATGAGGAGACCGAGAGAAAGTACGCTTGAGTGCTGTGAGCATTAGAGAGTATGGGCCTGCGGCGTGAAGAAAACAAGTTCCTGCATTGATGTCAATCCTGGGAGATTCAAGGCGTCTTTGCTTGAGTATCTATTTCCCCACTCCTGAGCCTGGCTATCTTCCCAACACCAAGCGCAACCCAGTAAGCCAACTCTTTCTTCTCCTTCCTCACTTCTCCTTTGGTTCCGGCAGCACCGTCGCCCTGAGCCTCTCCTTCCCACTCCATCCTCACATAAATGGGTATCTCAAGCAGATCTTCGTCCTCTTCCAAATCCTCATCGCGTCTCCCATTTCCGTGAACGTCCGCACATACAACCTCCAACACCACAGTGGTCCAACTCCTTCCCTTGTCCCAGACTTTCCCCGCTTCAGCTATTTTACCTCCAGATCCCCCAGAATACTCCGGCTTTGACAGATTCGGGTGCTTTGAGCGCCGACGCTCACTGCTGGTGTTCAGAGCTTCATCCCATTGATCCACATTCGATCCGATCTCAAAGTCCGGACACAGTATTGTTACCTTGTGCTGGTGTCGCCCAGGCGTCACAGCAGGCGTCGCCAGAGTGATTCTAACCGATTCGAAAAGTGGATTTTTGAGGGTAAGAAGGCATTGAATTGCACGTAATGGAGGTAGAAGTCTGAGATCAATGTGAGTCTGCTCAATTGCAGCTGCTGGGAGTAGCGGTTTGAGAGATATTGTTGGGATATAATTCAAGGCTACCAGCTTAATCTTGAAGCGTGTACTTGAGATCTTAGGCTCAGGTTTGACAAGAATGTGTCGGCAGGTCCGACACCTTTTACTTCTTTTCGTACGTAGGAAGGGCTGTTGTGGACGTAACCCAACCACAACTTGAGGGGAGTGCTGTTGGTCTGTTCGCTGGCTCAGACCTGTAGAGCCCTTCCATCCCCCAGCTCGTAATCGATTAATTATATCTTGATCGTTTTCATGATCAAGCACTCGTAGACCTTCGGAGTTATCCAAAGCCTCTCGCATTTGACCCCCTTTAGACGGATCCTTTTTGCCATAGGTGCCTTTTCCGGTATAAATATTCACGATACGCGCAATGCTGCTTGGAGAATTGTAATTGTAGCCACCAGATGGCGTTAGTAATGGATCTGCATTGCCGCTGACCGAGAGTTGCGATCTATAGAATGACCGTAGGTTGGCGAAAGTGGACCTTGACTCCGCATCCGCTTCATTCGTAGAAGGCGTGCTTGAGCTGAAGTACTCTTTACTGGATGATTTGTCTTGCTGATCGTCTTCGAGACGAAGCTTAGCTATTTGGTGATGAAGGTTCGCATTTTTCTCAAATTGCCATCCGATATCCAGCGAACCCCAATGACAATAGGGACAACCCAGAATCCATGGGCCTTGAACGCCACGTAAGGCGGATTCCTGATTTATAGACGAAACTTGCAGCTGGCTAGTGCATACAGGACAGTCAAAACAATGTCTAGGGCACCTGCTGCCATTGTGAGTACTGGAAGTTTTGTGTAGAAGCTCGAATAGCGTATGCGCTTACCCACCTGCCACCCTCGCTCTTGACTGTACTGATAGGGACCTCAAAAAGGCAGCCTGGACAATACCAGCAGATTATTTCCTCAATAACGCATTTTGGACACTTAATATCCGAACAATCTTCGCAGTAAAGGAGATGCTCGAGTGGGTACAATGAGAAGTTGGCGCGTGGTGTGCGAGGGTCGAACGTCTTCACATCCTCCGTTTCACATTCGTCTTCTGGTCGCTGTGAGTCATCACTGGGTACAATAAGATCAGTACAGTCGCATTTGATGTGAGTCCTAGGGAAATCCATGGGATACTTCCTCCAGAGCCGCAGGCCTATGAAGCGGCTTGGAATTGTCGGCGGAGACGCGTGCGGGATCTACGCCAGGGATTAGTCGTCTTTCATGATGCAATGCACCTCAAAGTAGGAATTCACTAAGATGGCATTCGTGATGATACTTCTCAGATGAAGGCCCGGCGGTGCGGTTTTGCAGTATGCTTCTCCGACCGCTCCTTCGTGCAGTCCTGCATCGATCGCCATTGCTCTTCATACGCCACGCCTCAACCGCTCCCAATGCTTCAAGCCTTCAAGTCTTCAACGATAAAGTAAAGCAACTCCAGCGAGATCGGGCTGCCTCCGACTCAGAAAGCAGTAGAAAAGTTGAATATCTGCGCAATGAAGTCGCTTCTCGACTCTGCGAACGTCTACTTGTAATGCTCCCACCAAGAATCCCTAATTGGTTTACTCAAAGCGGTGTCAGGACATTAAACGAAAGTTTCCCCGTGTGCTTGACATCGGTGCAAACGCCTGCAATATTGCTCAAGCCCTCACAAGCTCGACTGATGCCTCCGCTGAACCCTTACACACCCGCATTTCCCACCTCACCTCCGCTGATGTCTCGACAACTCTCCTCCACCGAGACCAGTATCATGAATTCAACTCTCGCCTTCCGTCTCATGAGCGCGTCGCTTTACCACTCCAAGACCAAACCATCCCTTTCGCCTCGCAATCTTTCGACGCCGCCCTTTCCTCCCTCAGCATGCACTGGATCAATGACCTACCAGGCTATCTGAATCAAATCGCTCGGATCCTGAAACCTGATTCGCCCTTTATGGCTGCTATGCTAGGTGGAGATTCGCTCTTCGAGCTCCGCACATCCCTCCAACTCTCCGATCTCGAGCGCCGTGGCGGCGTCAGTACGCACGTTTCTCCCCTAGCAGACGTGCGAGACATGGGCGGGTTGCTCACGCGAGCGGGATTCAAAATGCTGACAGTGGACGTCGACGACATCATTATCGAATATCCGTCTACATTTGCGTTGATGATGGATCTACAGGCAATGGGCGAGTCGAATGCGGCACTGACGAGGGAGATGGCGGGTTTGAGGAAAGAGGTGCTCTTGGCCAATGACGCGATCTATAGGGAGTTGCACGCTGAGGGTAAGGAGGAATTGCCGGCTACCTTCAGAATCATATACATCATTGGATGGACGCCTGGAGAGGGTCAGCCAGAGCCGGAAAAGAGAGGGAGTGGGCAGATCAATTTGGCGGATGTGCTTGGAAAAGGAGGGTCTCCTGGAGAGGAGGGCAAAATATGATTTGCGAAGGGTAAAGATTGTGCGTTATCATCGTGGAATGACGGCTGAAATAAAGCCAGGGTTGGAGAAGATTTTGAGCGGAGAAGTAGGCAATTGTATGGTTTTTGGGCGTCATTCTCACACGTGAATGCGCAGGAAATGGACTTCGTGATAATTTCGCGACGTCTGAAACGGGTCATCATACAGTCCGTCGGTCTGACATGACCCGAACAATGCTACCGGCTCCCACAATCTCTACGAGCTTCTCGTGCCAACTCAGGAGGACGCTCATGGACTGCCCGCCTCCTTCGCCGGCGCTTCGGGATTGAATCTGGGAGAATCCTGTAGGTTGTGGGGAAAGTCCACGGGACGAGGCTGAGGACGGCTGCGATGTATGTGACATTCCTTTGTACCTGAGTGGAAGGAGCCAGAGTCAGACGGAGGCTCAATCCATGCGAATGTAAGAAGGCGGCGAGGTAGCGCCACAGGCAAGATAGGGCGACTGGATGACACGGGCTTACAAGTATTTCATCAACACATCCAATGTCTCCACCCCACCTGGCGACTTGTATATTCTGTTGAGCATAGGTGACATTTCTGATTGTTTGATCGACTGTAGTATCTCCACCACTGCGGCTAAGTGGACTTCCTATTCCACTACATCAGCCATCCATGCAACCATAGGGCATCCATGTAAATCTTTCCGGTTGTAAAGTCCAGTATTTTGTGCGTATATGGACGTTTCATAGCGCAGCACCTACCTTCGCTGCCACATCCCCCCCATAAGGTACATTTTCCAGCGCGCCCCGCAGGGCTCCCTCCGTGTCGCCTCCTCTTAGCAGTTGCCGTATTTGTGAGGCAGTTGTCTGAACCTCTGAGGCTGATATAGGAGCGACCGGGGGGAGAGGGATTTGATATCGAAATTAGCAGAGGACTCAGGGTCTAAAAGATCGATGTTGATGGTTCGCCAGTTCGTGGTCGACATTGTGATAGTGAGTCCAAGGGAGAGATAGATGTACAAGCACTGGGAAAGCTCGTCTACATCACTGAGGAAAGCATTCTGTGGGCCTTCCAATTGTGTCTGAGGTGCCTGTCAAAGCTGCCTTGGGTCGGGTGCCAAGCATTTCTGCCGTCAGCCCAATGGAACTAGGTAATCCCCAACTCTCGAATGGCGCCTCCAAATTCTCGACGTCGAATCGCCATCTCGGCCGAGTGGATTATGCATCATCTTGTCCATTTGAGCGTCGGGCATTGCCAAATTACTCAAATCACTCAAATGTCCGACGCATTTACTTGTGGCTTGGAGCGAGGTATAGCACTATCCTTTTGGCCTAAAACGAGCAAAAAGGACGAGCTCGGAGGCTGTGTTTGGTACTGAATCCGGGCATCAAACCGTCCTGGCGAGAGATCCAGAATACGCATCAAGTACAAGGCTCTGATGGCGGGAGTCTTGGAACCCTTGACAGAGTAGCGATCTACTTCTCATTCTCACACCGCAAGTTGCACAGTAAGGGCTGTGCAAGTGGTCCTGAGGTATACGACAAGCCTTTAATCTGCCTAAGACCGTAACTCTCCGATATCGGCCACATCTGTCGCCTGTTAACTATCTACGGCCATTGCATGTCAACAACATCGAGGACGTTCTGTCGGTGGCGATGAGCAAGCGTTGGTTGACGTTGGTAAAAGATGCTGACCGCCACAAGTCAAGCTTTTTCCATACGGTTAGGAGTTGGGGGCTGGGCGGGAAGCACAAATCTCTGGGACTGTGGGACATAGGGCGCAGTAGAATGACAGATGTTGTACACCGACCACACTCCGATCTTGAAACATCGTGGGGAATGAAACCAACCTGCGAATAATAGACTGAAGGAATGGCGCCAGCCTTATGTTGGGGCACGGTAAGCTTGGCTTCATGCTGGCATGCTGCTGCATGTGTTTCGACACCGCCATGTGGCGGGTTAGTCGGCGCCGCAAAACAGTATAGAGTATAGGTAATCCTTGGGGTACTGCAAATAGACAGCCCGATCGCCGACCGCGCGGCTCCAGTGCAGTAGCTGCTATTCTTAGCTGCCTGATGATATGTCATGCTCCTTCGCAATGCAAGCTGCACGATGCACGATGCAAGATACCGTCCATCATGATCAGCAGGGGGGTCAGTCTAGAACGGGATCTGCTCGCCAAGCCGGCGGTTCCAGCTAGAACTAGAGTACCCTATGCCTGCAAGCCACCGAACGGATTAAGGTGAACCAGGTGGGCGCCGGCAAGGGGAAGGCTCCGGGATGCCACATGGGAAACAGCGATCGTCACTGCTTGGCTGCCCACTTCTGCTTTTGGCAGCGACTGAAAAATCTGCAAATTGGCTGTCTCAGGGGCTCTGTGCCTTGGTTGCTGCGTTTCACGCTGACTTGATCGCCGAGTTGGATGGAAGGCCTGAGAAGCTATAGGACGTCTGGCTCTGATGCTTAGGCTGTGTACTACGGTATCTTCCTTATTGCTCCGGCCGGTCGTAGCAGACAGAAAGATACCGGAACCCCGTTACGGACGACGTCAGATGCCACGTGAGTATCGATTGCGGCGAGTCATCAATGCATGCATGCATAGGACGATTGCGCTGCATCGCATGCGCGCTCTACAGGCGACAAGCGAAAGCGGAAGCGAAGCATCGCATCGTACACGCTGACCGTGCGAAGAAAAGTCTCCCAAGCCAGAAGAGCGCGGAATCATGCGACGCGATAAAAATAATTACTTAAGAGTGATGACTCGGAGATATGCCCATCTACATCATCCAGATAGCGCAACTCCCCTATCACCAGCCCATCTGGCACAGTCAGCATAGCCCTGCAGGCTCACGCAAACCATGATGAGGCTCCCTTATGCCTACCGGTGTCAAGCGAGTGTTACAGATCTGAGGATGATGACCCTGCATGCGTCAAGCACGAGCTCTCGACAATTGTGTGGACGCTGGACACGGGCAGGAAGGCAGGAACAGCGCGGGATCGCGCCCAATTTGGTGGTGTGCCCAATTGCCTGGGGAGGCTTCGGATGCCCATGTGGAGGGCAGGGGGGAGCTGTGCGGGAAGTCTCCCCGGCTCTTCTAGTCTGGTTCTAGGTACATGAGAGAAGTATCAAAGTTGTTTCCAGCGCGCCGGTAACAGATTTGGGCAATCTCGCGGCTTGTGCTGGCCCGTCAACTAGCCGAACCCCTACAACATGCCAACCCTCTCGAAATCAAGAGCGTGATAGCGATTATTTCGATCGCTCTGTGATTCTGATTCACATCGCTTCCGACTCCGATTGAGCCCCTAGTCGAGAGGCTAAGGAGCGAGATCCTCGGTGAGGGCAAACTCGTTGAGTCACCTGGCCTTAGGCTACTTGCATATTGATGAGAAATGCAAAGTCGTGACCTTGGGGGACCGAAGTCAGGATGACAGACGAATGTCTGGTGATCACAGAACAAGGCCGCACAGCTACTATGGGCGCAGGAAGAGAAACGAGAAAAAAGGCAGTTAATTTAGGCGGTTTCTATTTTTCTGGAACAAAATTTATAAGAGAGTTTAACGAATGGGCCGGAACACGATTGCCGGTGGTGCATTAGGGGCATTTTAGAGCTGCGCCTACTGCAAGGTACGACAGCCTCCTGCAGCTTAGCCGAACGATTTTCCATGCACCAGAACGATTTGCGACAGACCAAAAATGAGGTAAAAGTGACAGAACCTGGTCTAGTCATCAGCCCTTTCGAACCCTGACTTGTTACTTACCTGAGGGCCGCCTCTGCTCAGTCTACTACTGGAGCCGTTTCCGTTTCAAACGCCCTGCCTAACCTTCGTAGCTTGGGTCCTCCAAGAGGGAACAATCAAAAAATAAAAAAAAGTTCATAGCTTCGCGTATGGGTTCGAAGGTGCTCTGATCACAGTAGTAGAGCTCCCCCGTGATTCGCTGCGTCATATCAAATATCCTCCTCGTTTCCTAAACGGTCTACCCGCAAGCACTGTCACAAATCACAAGGAAGTCCGTGTGCGTAGTGGGCTAATTGGTCAACAAAATTCGGGTATCAAGGGGTCGTCTTTATTAGATTTCACGATCCTGCCATCATTTTTCAGTCACCCACACACGCACACACAGTTCTCTACCCACACTCCTTTTCGATCTTACCCTTTACAGACCTATCATATTCTGTACTTCACTCCTTAAGTCTCAACCCTCCCTGCCTCGCCTTTCCTCACCCAAGCCAGGCAGTGAAATACCATCCAGCTGTGCTTTTCCATCTTCCAGAAACGCATCCACTTCTCACTTGCAGCGGAGACTTTTACAAAGCAGCTCACACTTGTGACTCGTGATTACTCCCCACGCTGGCTTCAACGGTCGAAGGAGCGACAACTAATCCGGATCGAAAGCACCGCACCGCATTACAACACTCGCACAACCTTCGCCGCAAGAGTCTGAAATCACGGACAGTCTGACTTGCATCCACGTTACATCGCAGGCCAAGGGCCTTCAGCTTCAATTACGAAGATTGACTTCCCTACACAGCCTTAATATCTGGTGAGTCAGTGTCAGCACCCAAGGCGTCCATTAGATATATAAGCCTACCCTCTGCTCTTCATGTCCTTCCCATCCTCCAACACACACTCACATTTCGAACATTCCAAAGCTAATTCAGTGCTCAATCATCCAGCCGATACTTCCATCCCTCAATGATCATTCGAGGAACTGAGAACGAGAACATGAACATGGGTCGCGGTGCATATGATACGACAGGCGTTGTCAAGCCCAAACCACCAACCAAGCCGTCAAAATAGAGTCGCAAGCGACTCCAGAGCGCCAGGAAACAAGACCGCTGCCTGCCCGAACACGAACAACCACACCAAATGGTAGGATGGCAGATTTCCCTGGTGATTTGGAGTTTGGGTGGAATGACTCCGACCGGCAAGGTACGTACCGACTGGAGACCACCGTCGCCCTTACTGCCCTAATTCATGCACGATCCTTGCTCACGGTACGTGAGGCAGACTCAAGACCTTCTAAAGTTCAACCGCGCCACTCGTCATCCTTCCACCGCTTGTCGACGCTATTTTCAGCATCTCTCATTTGTTATTTGTCGGTTCCTCGGCCACGGATTTCGCAACGGCGTTCGCATCGCAATAGACTGTACCATCACCAATTATCACCAACACTTCGCCTTCACGCTGTACTAATACCAATCAATTCTCCATCAAGCGTTCAAGCGACACTCACAACCACCTCCTTGCATTGTTAGGCAAATCGGTAAAAAAGCGATTTGTCATTCGGAGTTCATACTTTCAAGAGAGCGGGGATTTGGGAAAAGATACCACAATAGATCGAACCGACTTCACAGTCATCTTCACTCGTTTGGGCTAAAGGGCAGCCCTGGATTGCAGTTGCATACTATCGGACCAGGTGTTAGGGAACAATGATTGTATTTTGCATGGCATGGCATGGCATGGCATGGTTCCGGGACTCAGGACTTAATTCAGCATGGAGGCCGACTGGCTTTGCGGGCATAGCGAGATCACCCGCAGCTGATGACTACTCAATTGCAATGTACACTCAGAAAGACCAATAGACTTCAATCCCTGACTCATCTTTCTGTGCACATGGTCCCCTTTGAGAGAAGTCGAGATCCTTTCTTGTGCTCATTCTTCACACCTCTGACTGTTGCCACTATGACATTTGTAGGGCCCCTCTTCGGGCTTAGATCATGCAATTTGAACACGAGTCGCACAGCAAAGGCTATGACGGACCGTCAATGCGACTGCAATCGAATTGTCGCGACTTGTTGCCGCATTCAGGGATATTGTCATTGATATCGATAGACGTTATAATCAATTTTTGACAGGCCTCAATTGAGACTGATTGGATCTGACCGAATATCGACGCTAACCCGATTAGTCACATTGGCATCTTCCCATCAGCAGTATCATCCCAGGCTCCCACGTTTTCTTCACACCACCTATCAGATACTTAAGATCTCCTCATAAGCATCTAACCTGACACCTTCCCTCAAGCCTCCCGGAATCCCATCCCTAGAATAGCGAGCTTAAACCCGCCAGCCAGCAGCCTTGAAGTACCGACTTCCCCGTTAGTGCTCACTCCATCGTGGGGCTTGCGCAATAAATCACTCGCGGCTGCAAGCCAGTCGGACGTCTCCGTCTCACTATACACGCCTGATCCACTTCCTTGGGTCCAGCCCTATGTCAACCGGTGCCTGACTCGTCACCTCAGATTTGCTCTGCGAGCGGGAATACGTAATCCTGCCTGGGGCTCTACGTCCGAAGCGACACCTGCACCTCTGTTGCCTAAGCCTCGCTAGATTGCAACGTAATATTAGACTCCGCGAATACGGATCCAGAACATGGCAGACTCGGTGAATAACTCGGCGCCCAAGCCAAGCAGTAGCGTGAAGCTGGTACTACTTGGAGAAGCAGCAGTGGGCAAGGTTAGATCCACGATACTACCTCAGAGGGCTCAACAAAAGAGAGCTGACAAAGACGATAGTCGTCCCTGGTGCTGAGGTTCGTAAACAATGACTTCCAAGAAAACAAGGAGCCCACAATAGGAGGTACGATCTATCCAATCCACTTCGCCACAGACAGAGTCTCCTCCGAGCTTGTGCCTAGCAAGCCATGGCATGATCCCCCAAGTCATACCTGTCAACGATAAATTCTAAGACTGACATATGCTACCTCGTAATAGCCGCCTTCCTCACCCAGAAGACCACACTTCCAAACCGCACAATCAAATTCGAAATATGGGACACAGCAGGCCAAGAACGATTCGCTTCCCTAGCTCCAATGTACTACCGTAATGCTCAAGCTGCCCTAGTCGTCTACGACCTTACGAAACCCACCTCCCTTGTAAAAGCCAAGCACTGGGTAGCCGAGCTCCAACGGCAAGCGAGCCCAGGGATCGTCATAGCACTAGTCGGCAACAAAATCGATCTCACGAATCAGAACACAGGAGCTGAAGGTGGTAGTGGCGAAGCAGAGTCCGGAGCAGCAGCAGCAGAGGGCGAGCCCATTGAGGGTGAAGAAGTCGACGCGAGGAAGATCAGCACGAAGGAAGGCAGGGATTATGCCGAAGAGGAGAGCTTGCTGTTCTTTGAGACGAGCGCCAAAAGCGGCGATAATGTACAGCAGGTCTTCGCCGCTATTGCGAACGCAATCCCTGAGACGCAGATGAAGACGAGAGGGGGTCCCGGTGCAGGGACTGGACAGGGGGCTACTCAAGCGGCTTTAGGGGCTGATCGGGTGAATCTGAACAATGCCAGGGATGGACCAAAAGAAGGCTGTGCTTGTTAATCTGTAGCTGTATCAAATGGGGTTGAGCAGAGAGAGTATGCCGCGGCGTTCGTTCAAGCGCTTGTGGGGTCTGATACCATTCAAACGGAAATAATGATTCTCCTTCTACTCTTTACTAATCTGCAGGAAACCTTCCTGTGATATCATTCCACAAGCGAGCTTATTATTTTTGCACTTTGGTTCAGAAAAGATGAACTTCCATCGCGCTCATGAATTGCTCTATATCCCCGTCGCGGTCCTCCCACTCTCAAGGCAAGAAAATGAAGCATATACCACCCGAACAGCCTCTTCTGGCCATATTCTACTGCTTGGCAGTTCATCAATACATAGCCTCTTTCTCTGACTTCCCGATAGCAAGACACCGGACTCTCGCCAAAACGACTCTCCTTAATCCCCGAAATCAAGTTAAAGTCAAGAATGGAATAAGCCAGAGATATTAGAGACTTTCTATGCAAGAACAGATTATTTTTGTTCCACTTCAACGTTGGTCTTTCATCACCTGCCAAGTAATATGAGCCATGGGCTATGCAAATAACTTACGGCATATATACTCCTCTTGCATACATAGATGGCTGAAAGAATTTAGAGGGATAAGAGGCGGGTTTGCTAAGAGATCAACGCACAAGGTCCATCGGTGAGTGAACCATGAGAATCCGTACCTAGAATCTGGCAACAAAGACGGTGATAATTTTCATAATGGAATCCAGCAATGGAAAGAGGATCGTATTCCACGTCGTGGACTGACGGGGAGATTATTGACGAAAATGTAACCAAGTAAAGAATGGCAACTTATAAAGTACTTCGTATTCGAATGTGATAAATCAGTTCAGTGCAAGCCACAATTCATACGCGTTACCACAGCTCTTTTATGATGTTTTGTCGAGACTGGTACTGAACCTCCCACTCACTCCGGATTCAAATTTCCCGCGGAAAAAACAGTCCCATTACCACCCTCCACCGTCGCATTTACAGCCTCACTGAATTGCCACGTCAGCCCTCCCGCCCACACCACCTTCCCCGGCGTATCAATTCTATCGACAAAGAATTTCGTGGCCGCCGTGTCGCTCGACGCCAAGAAACCTCCTGTCGCTCCGATCATGGCTGTAACAACGCCGTACGTAAGCGAATCAGCCTGGTTGACGACGTAGAAACGAGTGTTGAGATTGCGGCAATCAACGAATCTGGCAGGGATTTTGGAACGATGGTGACAGGTCTGCCGCGAAATCATTTCTTGTGCGAATGCCTGGCCGCAGAGTACGAGGTTGCCGTAGAAGTGGCGCTCTTCGAGGAACGTCGGTTTGTAGAATTCGAAAAAGCCCATCCGGTAGACTGGAGTCAGATTGACTACAACGGGTCGATCGCTGTGAATGGCTCAACTGATGTTGGCTGGGAAGGAAGACAGGAGTGAGACGTACTCTTGATAAAAGGTTCCATTAGAAGATTGGGTGTCAGAAGGTCCAATTATGATATCGACTTGATCCATTATAGTCTTCAAGTCTACCTCATTTTGACGCGCGTGTAGTTCATGTTGGCCTGGCACCGCATTCGCTGCGTAGACTGTGTAGACTATCCAGCTAAGCAGCCATAAGAGAATCATTTTTTGTGCCTGCAAGAAGGAACATGAAGATACTGCATTGGGATAGATAGAGAGCTCATAGCTGTTTAAAGCCGCTCTTTTTACACCACATAGATCGTTGCGGATGTTGTTACGTTATCTCCCACGTGCATAATTCCACGGGATGTCTTGCGCAGAAAATGACCTAAAGACAGAAATCTGACCCACTCTCAAACCAGTCCTGATAGGAGACTTGTTCTCCTATGGATGTATTGTAGACGAGACAGTCCTAGATGCGGCTGTTTGAGGGATGCTTGCAGGTATCTTACCTCAGCGACGGCTTATTTCAGCAAGTTGTGACATGCACTGAGGCTGGAATGGTAGAGCTCACTATTTCACGAAATGTCGTTCACACGCTTTCTGGCAACATCAACCTTTCCTTTTACCCTGTCGACATCTTCATCGAGCATGTTCAGCAAAGAGCCTTGGACCTCAAGCTCTTCTTGAATTTGGACTCCGAGCTCCTTCTGTCTCGCCACTGCCTGCGCAAGGATTGTGACGTCTTCATCTTGCTCTTTCATCAATTGCTGTTGCAGCTGCAGCACTCCGTTATTGTCTAGCTCCTTAGTCCTCGATGTTTCCTTGCCTAGAACACGCCCGGATGTCGGCCTTGAGGAACGCGCATGATCTTTCGAGGGCGGCTCTCCAGTCAGCTCGCCCTTTTCTTGAGCAGCAGCAACTGTACGATCTAAGGCAGATTTTGCGGCCATCGCTGAGAGTAGATTCTCTAGCCCTTCCTTCTCTCTGCTAGCGTTGCTGAGCAAATCCCTTCGTCTTCTCAGTTCGCCCTCTGGAAGCTTGCCGTGATGCCATGCAGAACCAGTGCCTGTGCTTTTCAATCCCTTATCTAGTGCGATAATCATTGTACCAGCTTGCACAAGGCTTTTCTTGGCTTGCGCAGAAGCTTCATGCTGAGCTTGGGCCGTACTAGCCTGGTCTCTTTTTGTAAGATACAATCTGGCGTCATGAAGCCGTGACTTAAGATCTCGGTGTTGATCCAACCACACAACAGGATCAGTGACAGGCACACCAGCGCCAGTCACAACGCCATGCAAATTTGTAGCAGTACTAGAACGGGAAGTCGCAGTACTGGGTAAATTCAAGAATGTCCTCCATGCACTTGTATCACGCCACTTTTGATCGTCTGTACTGTTTATACCTTGAAGATATGCCTCTAGTCCTTTCCGTCGTTCTTCTGTCAGAGCGGGAGAGGAGGTTGTGTTGGTAAAGTAGGACTTCTTGGGTAATACGAAGGGCAGTACTTGACCTGTTTGAGCGGCTAGAGAGTTGTGTAGGGCAGTGAAATCTGAATAGCGCTTTTGAAGTGTGAACGAACGCAGTGGAAGGCGGAGGGATATGTTATAGACGGTGTAGGGTTTGGGAGTTGCGGAGATTGACGCAGAAGGTATGGATATCTCAACTTGCGAGGTCATCGTGTACAGAAGTTTTGAGGATAACCATAGATGTGGAAGAATGTGCTCGTGCATTTGTACTTCTTACGGTTATTAAGGTCGGGGCATCAGCGGAGAAATCCGGGGGGCAACAAATGCTCTCCCGCATAGAAGAGCTCACCCCCAGCTCGGATCTACCCCCAGATCGGATTTTCTGGCGTAATTTCCATCTTGATTACGCATCTGAAGGAACGCTTCCCTCTACGCCCCTATAGGCTGAGAAATCCGATCTGGGGGTTGATCCGATATGGGGGTGAGCTCTTCTATATTGGGTCTAAGGCTCGCGTTTTCGAGCAAGAGTGATCACGTCGCCTGTCCCTATTTTCCTCCTAACTATACTTCATCATGGCTTGCCATTCTTTCGTCAAAGCTCAAAAAGTCTCTCCATCGTCTGCTGCACCCTCTGTCTCTGCGGGTATCTCAAATCCCTCCTAGAGCACGAGTAATTAGACAACAACATTACTATAAGAGGAGGTCGTAGTTCCGAAGTCTCACCTCAGTCGAATATAATATCTGTTGGATTTGTTTGACAAAGCCGTCCTCATCTTCCTCTAGTTTCGGGTCCGCTTCGACGGCATTCTGCAGCAATAATTCAATGTCTCGTAGCTTCGCGAAGTAAAAATCGCGCTCTCTCTCTAACCCACCAACCGTCTCCTTGAGCTGATTGTTTTCGCTCACAACCGCTGCACTTGCTGCCCCGCCTGTCTTTGCCCCGCCTGGTCGTGCAGCTGTCGTTGGTGTCGTGCCCCGCCTGGCGGCTCCAACCCCGGAGGTTCTGGCAGCTGATGCAGCGGGAGCAGGCGGAGCTGCGGTGGGTGCTCCGGCCCCTTTACGTCGCGCTATCGCATCATACTCGCCCCCAGGAAAGTACTGATCCCAATACCGTTTTGACCATTGGAGAAACTCGAGGTTGTCTTGCATCTTGCATTTCACGAGAGATTCGATAGGCACTTGTCGTTCTATACTGTGCCTAGTGAAGGCATCTGAGAGATACATCGGTCAGATTTACGTTTTCCCCCATGTGTAGCTTGCCTTCGTACTTTGGAGTATCTTGAGGTTTTGAATGTACGCATATTCAGTGTTGACGTTAAACTTCACCCTGGCCATAGGCAGGTCCTCTGCATCGGCAAGTCTCAGTATTTGTCTTGCATTATGGAGGAGCTCACCACACACGAAAGATGCTATCGTAAACCTGACATAACGCTGCGCTTGACCCCAGTGTCAGTGGTAGGTTTCTCGCTCTTGCCAACTCTGCATACCCCGTTCCACATTGCTCTACTTTTGTAACGTTTAGCTGAAGCAGATTATTCATCCAACCCAAGAGTTCTTGTCTTGAGACGATCTCGGTCAGCGGATGAGCTTCGCGACTTGAGCGCAAAGGAATTACCTTGACTCCCCCATGCTCGCAGAGGGGCAGCTTCGCCACCAAGTTCTTGAGTGCGCACAGTGAAGGAAAGGTGTCGAGATATGTTCACGAGAGGGGCGTCATGTCCTGATGTCAAAAAGTCCACTTCAGACGAACGCTGTCAGGCAAGGCTTTGAGTTGCAACGGTGTAAACGGTCGGAGAAAGTGGACGCTAGCGGTCGCTGAGGTCTGGCCAATCAACGCGCTACGTCACAGAGCAAGTGGAAAATAAAGAAATAAACAGCTTAGCTTCGTAAGGGCAACTACAAGATTGGCTACGGTAGTGTGAATGTTGGTATCATTGATCCCTCCAACGCCTCGCATTCGGCTCGCTTTCTAATCAAATATAGCCTTCAGAAAAGATGACTGGTAAAACACCAGTGCGATTCGTCTCATCACTCCAGCAAATCGATATTAGGCAAGTCGTATCCAAAGTCCATAATGACCGCCCTACTATCCTGACTGGCGGCCACTATGCGCCTGTAGTCCGCTTTTGTACTTAGAATCCAAGACGAAGTCCATTTAATGAAGCTGACGACCTCCTTACCAGTCTCCAACTCCCAAACTTTGACGCTATTATCATAGCTTCCAGTAACAATATGACCGCTGCCAGGATCGAGATGCACAGACCTGACCAGATTGCCGTGTCCAGTGAGTTCCTTGATTGGGTTGTTGGTCGTATCGGTATCTGTGTCAAAGACATAGACCATTTTGTCGTTGCCACCCGAAATAATGGTCTGAGCATTAAGGCTGAGCTCGACGCAAGCAAGACCTCGTTTGCTATTGGAGAACTCTTTGACGCAGATTCCGGACTGAAGATTCCAAAGCTTAGCAAGGCCATCGCCTCCCACTGACACCGCCACATTGCCTCTCAATTGGACAGCATTCACAGGTCCCCTATGACCAGTCAATCTTCGGATACAACTGCCGGTTTGCCGGTCCCAAACACATATGCTTTGGTCCTTAGAACATGACACGACGTGAGTCTTGTCAAAAGCCACGTCCAAGACTCCACTCGAATGCTGTACCAGACGCCTGATCGGAGTGTATTCGTAATTGGGTCTTAATTCCCACACTATCAATGTTGTATCTGAAGAGCCTGTTATCATTAGATCTTCATCAAAGTGCAGGCACAAAACGGAGCCGGTGTGAAAGAGAGACGGTGCTTCCAAGAGGTTGGGGGCGGCCCCCGAGGCGGATAGATTCGAGCGAAAGGTCTCTTCCCACTTGACGCAGCCTCATCTGGTAGAGGTGAAAGCTCATTGTTGAGCCTACTTGGCCAGCCCAAGACCTTCACGCATTTGTATGTACGTGTACTCCAAATTCGAATCGTCCTATCTCGCGAGCCAGTGATAATCTTGTCTCTGTCGAACTGGACACAGTAGACACTGTCTGTGTGACCCTCAAGATATATAGCTGCAGCTTGTCCGTCTTCCCATCTCCTTGAAAGTTCTCTTCTAACCCGCCACATAGCTTTCCAGTCACGTTGAGATGGTACATTCCGAGCATCAGGTTTGCTCGAAACGGATGTAGCTCTACTTGGGTCATGATGAAACTCTGTTTGAAAGACTAGCTTCCACGTATGAGGGGAGGAGGCTACGGTATTCCAAGCTTGAGAAACCAGCTCCGCACTCATGACAGACGTAGCATCCAGGTATCCAAATGTCTGGGTCACGATTTCCTGGGGAAGGATCTGAAGAGGATCTGAGACATGGTATTAGGACAGGTGGCGCCGAAGGGTGCCGTGGGACTTACCTCGACGGTTAAAGTAGATGGTAAGATCTAATGATTCCTGTCTCGACTGAGAACTTTCACCGATCCTTTTTCCGAGCGAGCTGTTGCTCCCATGTAATTCCATTCTTTGCATCTTTTTCAGAATTTCGTTTTGAGCGGCTGCTGCTGCACGAGCAGCTGCTCCGCTCGAAAGATCGACATGTGGTCTTGGTTGTTCATATCCCGCCCCGGGAATCTCTCCAAAAGTTGGCACGGGCGCTGGAAGGTGACCAGCGGGATAGGACCAACCACTTCCAGCTGTCTGCTGGGGCTTCAAGCTAGGCAGAGACATTTGCGGTCTAGCGCGAGCAGACCGATTTTTCAGACTGTTGCTTTTCAGGCGCTGGATCAGGCGACTCGAAGTTGAGGGTCGTATAGCTTCTTCAAGGTTTTCCTCTCGCGCCTGGTCAGGGTGGGCGCTAACAGATAACCATTCTGGCTTCCGGTCGTCTGGGCTTGCTATATGTTGATTGATCGAAAGGCTACTTTCATTGTGCTGTGCAAGAATATCGCTTACGAAATCCTCACTAATGGTTGTTGCGCGACTGAGAGCAGAGGAGGTCCTCGGCAGCTGATCGGGTGTAGTCTGGTGTGACTGCGTGGGGTTGCCTATAGCTCCTTTCTTGGAATGATGCGGGATATAAGAATCGCCCCTCGGTATTTTTCTCGCAGGCTTTGCCTGCAAGGACTGCGAAGATTCGCAGTTGATCAACGTTTGAGCGGGCGGCAGGAGGCCTTCATTTTCAAGGAACCGCTCATGAGCTCCAGAGGCATGTCGAGAATTGTCCCTTTTCTCTTGGTCACTGGAGGGCGTCTTCCAGATACGAGACAGTATGCTAGCTGAGCGAGAGTGAGGCATGCTGAGCGATGCTTGGTCTATGTTTACGCGGCATGCTGGAGCCACAGGCTGCCCATTGAAGGTAAAGACTGTGTAATATTATGGATTAGATACTATTAAAGATAGACATTATTTCATAGCCCGCCAAAGCAAAGCTCACTAAATGCTCATTGAAGGAGAGAGGTCCATTTGAAGGGTGGCGACCGCAACGGAAGGAGGTTGTATCACAGAGGCGTGAAGACGTGAAGTGAAACGGAGCTTGAGATGCGCCTCGTTGTCACATTTGGGGGCTAAACGTGAATTGGCTTTCGACCAGTTTATTCGGCAATTCTCCATTTGGCAGCACCGGCAGGATGATTTATCTCTCATACAGTGATAGAAGGCGCAGTTGTCATTTCCTGCAGATATGGCTCGCTCCAATGCCGGACCGGCTCTCATCTACAGAATCTTCTTCCTCTATATCGAGCCATTCTTTGCTTTCCTGGGCGCATATACTGCTTTCTTCCATCAGCGACAGTATTTGCAGCTGTCTCATGCTCCAACAGCCCCCCAAAATGACGTACCAATTTCAACGAGTATTGTCCTCAATCAGCTTGCCAATCTCTATCTTCTCTTTGCAGTCAACGAGGCACTCGTACTTCGAGCGACCGCTGATATCAAGGTCTGGCGTCCTGTTATCGTTGGCCTCCTGATTGCCGATTTGGGCCATATTTATTCCGTGCATCCATTGGGCTCATCAATCTACTGGGATGTGAGCAATTGGAACGGCATTGATTGGGGAAACTTGGGTTTTGTATACATCGGAGCTTCTATACGCATTTCCTTCTTGCTTTCACCGTCCGGCCTGCCGTCATGGCTCAGGATTTGGCGGAGGAGCAAGCCGACAACTACCAGACGAAGCACGAGGAGGTCGAAACCGACACCTAAGCTGAAGGTCTAGACGAAAGCCAGTTGAGATGCAAATTAGTCTGCGATATTGAACCGAATACAGAAATACTATCTAGCTATTCGACATGGGAAGGAGGTTTTTATCGATTCTCCAAGCAAGGTTCAAACCCAACCAAAGTAAGCCGACAACAGCACCTTGCCCGTATCCAATCTTAGTTTGCTAAGATGCTCTTACCACCATCTGCTGTCAACCTTTTGCGTACTTGGATTTTCAAGTGACGAGTTCCAAGTCTCGAAGCCTTCTTGTTTCCACCTTTCGACTTTATCACCGTGAGCATCAACGTGGGTGAGAACAAGAGCGCATGTCCAACATCCAGCTCCACAATACGATTGAAGATATTGCCAAGCGCGCCTTTTTCCCCTTCGGTCGCCCCTGTCATTCCAGCCAGATGGCTTTCTAGCGCTTTGAGCCAATTTGGGGACGTGAACCTATGAACAATGGTCATAGAGCATAGATCTAGCAATGAAGGCGCAATGGTGGGTTCTTGAGTTGCGATGATCACACTCGTTCCCAAATGACGTTGTTGGCGGATAACAGAGAGCATGCTCTCAGTAAAGGCGTTGCCAGCCTCGCTACCAGTAAGGAACTGAGAAAGTCAGTAAGGCTATACTTTACACCAAGAAAACCGAGATACCTTGTGCGCTTCATCTAAAGCAATTATCAGGTTACTTGTTCCGCGCCTGGCCAGGAAGAGGTCCATAGCAATGTTATACAGGTCACACGCTAGATCTTGATCAACGAAGGGACAGCTCAGGTCCACAATCGTGAGGCTTCCTGGTTCGAATGACCAGGCATGGGGAGAAAACATAGTATTGAGTATTGATCGATTTGTCCGCTTCTCTTTATCCCTAGCGGCTTGTCTCTTCCTCTCGTCACCACTCCCTTTGCTAAACGTCAAAGTCTCTACCGTCGACTTACCAGGGAGATACAAAAAGCTTTCAAGCAGGCTCAGTCGTTGATCGACCAGGCCTTGTTGTTGAGCACTGAAGTTCTCATTGTGAATCCGCTCTTTGAACTCTTGGTACTTGAGTCCAGCCATGTGAGGATTTTGCAACGCGAGTGACCGAAGAATCATGTTCACCGTCTGTGCAAGGGTCGTCAGCATAGTTGAGATAGAGATATTCGGGCCTGAAGGCTTACCTGCATATACAGAGTATTCTTCGATTCTCCCTCACATGCCATAAGTCTCATCATTCGTCCAACATTTAGGTGCTCTTCGCGAAGGCAAAAGGCCGTTACTTCTGGTTGTGTGGGCACGTTCTTCAAGTTAGTGTAAGCCTTTCGCATAGATTCGAAATTCCATGGTGCAACAAGAACTTTGACCGGAATGCCTTTTGATGCCAGAAACGCGGCTTCACAGATTTGTTTGCTTCCAACTGATCCTTGAGTATCGTAATGGAAGACTAAGCCTGCAAGTGGTTTCTCCAAACGACCAAGTGGGGAAGCTTTAAGGCTCGATTCCAGCATACAGGACAAAGTGTAGCTTTTCCCGCTCCCCTGGGAGCCACAAAGGAAAGCCGACCATGGAGTATTGACGTTCAAAAATAGCCTCTGGTCCTCGATGCCAGGTTCCAGAACCCGGGCAAGCAGGGCATACTGTTTCAAAACTTCGGAGGAGTTTACTTTGGAGCCTGAATCTTGATCGCCATTGTCGTCGATCGTCTGCCTCAGCACTTCTGCCCCAAATAATGGGTTAGTCTTGACTTCGTTCAGGTATGCCAGTCTTCTTGAGGTCACATGATTCGTCGAAGTCGGTTGCTCATCGTCAACACCGAAATGCTCGTTATGCAATCTAAGGGTTCTGTCCCACTCCTTCTCGTCCAGAGTCATATTTGAAGCAGGTTCTGCAAAGAGATGTCTTGAACCGCGTTCGTGTTGATTTAATGAGATCCCAACGCAGTAGAGAGTGTGGCAGCTTATACATAGATCTTTTCGTAAGTAGGGCATGTGATTCTTATAGAGTCTACGATGAAGGCAACGGATCGCAAACATGTCTGCGTGATTGCTGTTGCGCGAACGGTAGAATGCTAACAATCAGGGGATGCAGAAGGCCGTATCGAACAAGGTCTCACAACGCTTTGCTACATATAAAATATAGGCCTGGACGATCGTGATGCAGCTTCGATAAATCTGATTAGGAAGGTTCAATGATCCTCAAAGGGCTCGGTTTGCTGCATGCCCACAGATATACCGTTTCCTTTGTCAGACTTGCCTTTGATCTGATAGTGGCCTGATACAAGATCTTTGGCAACAAGTTCTCGCGTGCGTCCCAAACTTTCGATAGCAGCAATACGATTCAAGGTTGCGTCTAGATGCTTCTCGAAGCCTGGATGGCCGCATATCTCCCTGAAAGCATTTTGCATAGGCACAGAATCAGCACGAACCATTGCTTGTGCGTCTATAGTGAAGATGTTGTTATGATCGTAATCTTTGATAAAGTCAGAACGAGTCATAATCTCCCTTGCTTTATGAAGCGGAAGCTGGGGTAGAATGTGTCCCTTTTCTGGATCGTAGGTCCTTTCTAATTCTTTCTCTTCGTTAACAAGGGCTTTGGCCAGGACCATGGCCGCTGATGCATATTTCTGCTGATCCATCACATCGTCGTCCATGCCAGACCCTAGAATCCAATTGTTGTTCAAAAACCATGTCTTCTCCATATCATAAATGTCTTTGCATTCTTGGAGCATGTTCACAGATTTAGCAACACGAGCAAGAAAAGTCAAACGACCGCCGACCATATCATAAACTTGCTCCAAGATGTCAGGTGGGGGTTCTTGTTCATAGAAGCGGCTGCGGTACTGTTTTAGTGCGCCTATCGCCTGCTTCTTATCGAGATCAAGGACAGGGAGCACCTCCATCCTTGTAGAGTATTGTTTGAGGCGTTCATAAACCCAATAATCATCACTGTTTAGGACAATAGTGGCTAGACCGCTTGCTGCCCACTGTTCAGCGCGTTGTTGTATGAGCTCAAGTAAGTCTTGCCCATCATGGTCATCGCGAAGCAGATGCGTGCTATTGATGACGAGCACGAGTGGCTTTCCCAATGTTTTGCGTCTCTTTGCGGCAACCTTCTCAAGCTTGTTGAAAGCACGTTCGATATCCAAGAGCGCGGTAGCGCCTTCTCTCGGGCCTCTTATGGAGAAGAGGCTACCAATGTAATCTTCGTGAAATTCGTAGTCCAACGCTTTGCCCAATCGTATGCGGAATATCTCGAGATCTGCGTGAGCTTCCAGCATTGCTATGCCTTCTCCTTTGACTTTCTGGATCGCCTTCAATAACATCGAAGATTTGCCAGTTCCCTTTTCCCCAATGAGCAGATGGTAATGGCCTCTGTCCCCACCTCTAATGACTTTATCTATCCTATCTTGCTCGGCTTGTCGTAACCAGCGAGTACTTGCATTGTCATCTAATGTGGTATCTGAAACGCCTGAATCAAGAGCAGCCAGGTCGAGCACCGGATCTCCTGGTTCAAATGCCTTTTCGATCTTTTGTAAGACAAGGAACTTGTAATACTTATGATAGCTATAGCCGGCAAGCCCCAGTATTAACAAAGTAGCAAAGGTTGTTGCAGCACTTTCGAACATTTTGAATAAAGTACCTTTCCATTGTGCAGATGCTGTTTTTTGGCCGCCTTCCCCACTAGGGACAGGATCATCATCAGCTGCAAGGAGTGAACTTGAGACCTGCGGTCCGGCGCTGCCGTTGAGATACCGTCTAGAGCGCCTTAAGTTCAATAGACTACTCCGACGCAGACATTGCTGCTGGCACAGTGGCTGAGACCGCGCGAAAAAGTGGAAGTTGGGTCTTATGTTTACTGCTAACATAACGTAATCTTTGTATGAACAATCGTCAGATGCTCCAAATGACACCGTCTCGCTCTTCTCATATTACTTGCTCAATAGAAATCCTTCAAAGAAAATAATGTAGGGCAAATAATGAATTTGCTCAACTTTTAGAGATATACAAGGAGCGCAAGAAGTGTGATCGTAATGACCTTTGAAATTGAATGAGTGATTAGCACTCTTAGATTTACCTCTCTGAATCTCCACTCTGATCCAAGTCAATTTTTGTTTGGCTGTCGCGGAGGCGCAAAACCCCAAACTCCTGCAAGGCAGCGCCAAGATATCCTCCCTAATCAGTGCTAGCTCCAACGGCGCCAACGCGACTTCACGTCTTGCCGTCTTAAATCTTCACATCTTTGTGCTCATTTGACCATTGTACGCGAACATATCCTTCAGCATGGCAGGAAGAAAAAGAGCTGGCTCCAAACGTGGAGCCTCCGTCGAGCCGGAGCTGTCGACGACTACACGGCTAGCTTCCAAAATACCTGAAGTACCAACGCCGTCCTCACTCAGGATCCCGGCATATCTACAATTTCCAATACTTGTCGCGCTGAGTATGGCGACCTCCTCTGTCTTGTATACAGTTGCCGCGCCCTTCACAAGTGGGGATCTAGCATCTGTAAGCGCGCAATTAGACGAATGGTGGGAAATCGGTGGTATTCTGCTGTGGAAGGCGATAGAGCTTGGAGCAGGATGGTGGTTAGGATACGATGGTAAAGACCAAAGAAAAACCTCTGGCTGTCAAAATAGTTACTGACTGCAGATACAGTCTTCGACCAGGTCTCTTTGACAGTTTTGACTCATACACCATACCACTTCTTCCTTACGACATTTTACCGAATTCATTACTCAACGGCCATTATATGTGCGCTAATTGACGTGATCTCCATCGGTGGCCCTTTCTTTCTATTGCGCAGAGAACTCGCCTTACACCGGCTACACCCTCCAAGAGGATCAATCGCAAATCGCTCGCTTCTAAATGACTACGGAGTTCAGGCATTTCCAAGCTTCTTTGCCTTTTCTATCTATATTCTGGTTCTCTTCCTGAGCTTCCAGACATGGATGCCGACATACTTAGTTATACACTTCGATGGTATTAAAGATTTGTCCAAGATTTATCGATCCGACGTCATGTGGCTTCTTGCGCCGTTTGTCCCTATCGGCATTGCTGCAAAAACGTTTCTGTTCACTCCATCGTTTGCAGCAAAAGCAGATGCTCGCGACGACGAGATCGAGGCTTTCAACCCAGAGACAGCTTCCCTCAGCGATACCGCTCTTTACAATATCTGGGGACATTCGAAGCGCGTCAGGGTTCTAGCACAACGGACGGCCGTGTTGGTAGCCCTGGCTGGGCTGCACACCTGGTTGCATACTTACATTGTGGTGGAGGGTGCTGAGGGTTTTGGCGCAGCTGGATGGGCGAGCATCTGGGTGCTTGCTGCGACGCTGACTGGACTCGGCTTTGCCTGGGTTGGCAACATTGATGGTTGATTTGGAAGAGCGACAGTGATTTGTAGCCGAAGAGGGCGTTGTTATAGCAGGATACCTATTTGGTTGATTCTCCTTCGAAAACAAAACTTTTACTCATACATAGTAACATGGCGTGCGTTCCGAAGCCAATGGAGTTCGCTCTTGATTTTTATCGTGCTCAATTTTGTCTCGGCTTGACAATCCCCTCATGGACGACATAGTACACAACCGTGCTGTCATCGCTCGCTGTAGCTAGTAGGACCCTCTTCCCGCCTCTTCGTTCGCCTGTTTTGGTTTTATGCCCATTATTCGTTTCATTCGACCCCTCTCCTGGCAGTGTGGGGGATTTGTCCTCGTCCCATATCCTCACGACGCCGTCGCCCTTGTCCCTAGGCTCTTCTTGAATCGCATCAAACACATTTCCAAATTTACGTAAAGTCCACTTCTCCTTCAAGCGCACGGGCAATACCCATTCTCTTTCAACCCCTATATCCTTCGCCTCTATACCGTTTTTCAACTCGTGTACCTGATCATCTGGGTGTACATAGACTCGCTGTGGAGGCAATCCAGAGACGAGGGGTCTCGGAAGAGGGCTGAAGGTGATTGGAGAAATATTGTGCAAGCAAAGAACTGTCCAGTGGTGCTCGTGACGCAAATTGTGTAGGACTTCTACGGCAACTGCATGGAGATGACGGGATTGCGTAGAATGAGGATCGAGAGTCGCGAGTAGATTGGCTTGGGCCGATGTCTTTGCTACAGACATGAGGATGATGCTCGGCAATTGCAAGGAGGAGACCCTTTCCGTGGGATGAAGAGGCTATTGAAGGTTTATTCGAAAGCTTGTCAGAAGCTTAGAGTGTGCCCTTGCGATTGGATGGATTGGCCACATTGGCAGCCTGAGTTGAGCCGTTTGGTGCTGCTAGGGTGCTGACTGCAGCTCGGCGCATGGCGGATCTCGTACAGATTTTGGTGCGATGGTGATTTGCTTCTTCTACATCTGTATTTCTCATCCACAGAAATAGTACATCTCAAACTCGGTGGTACATGTTTGCTTCGCCTTCGATCATCCTTATCAGCGTATCGGGGGCTTGCGTTTCACGAGGTGAATTAGGCAAAACGAAATTGTGGTCCACGGGAGAGAGATTATTATTGCAATCTTCCTACCTATTTCTTCCCCAATTGGCCTACATTCTGCAGCATTCGTTTGGACACTCTAGTCGTATTGTATTCAAGCCGCACTATCCAGACTACGGCTTGATCGTACTGTCATTTGCTACCATCTCTGATTATTATACACAGGGAGGATGCTCGAGATCTAGCATTTAGATTGTCTCTAGGACTCTAGCCAAGCACCTCCGTCGCTCTTTCCTCAACAATCGTACCATGGCCGACAAGAACGGTAGACCGGAACAGCCGGCGCCAACAGCTGAAGAGCTTTCAGAGACTGCAGCAAACGATAATGAGTCGCAACCGCGAACTCGATCATCAACACAGAGCTCAGGCCGCTTACGAAGTGCCTCTCTAAAATTTCTTGAGTCTAGTCCACCCCTGGGCTTTCTCCATGCCGCAGGTACTACACTTGCGCAGGCGCCGACGCCTATGGAAATAAGACGAGGTGACTACGGACATGATGGATGGGATGGAGCGATACAGCGAAGAAATGGTAGCGTTAGCGAAGAGAGCACGCAAAGGCTTACGAGACAAACCACAGCCCAGACACTTGGAGGCATCACAAGGACAAGAACTATTCCACTACAAGCGCACCCAGAAACAGAAGAGGAAGGGCACCAGCCGCGTCCAGAGGCTGCAGGGACCTTTGAAGCGCAATCTACGTCGGCCTCACAAGCTACAATGCAGAAGCGCTCGGTTGCGGATGATGACGACGATCCATTCTCAAAATTCATTGGACGCGGAAGGATAGATAGTCAAGTTTTCGACCCTAAGACGAAGATCGTGGCTAAGGAGCTCGACGGTACCACCGAACCTCCACCAGAACAGGACGACGATCTAGATTCCCTCGACGAGCTTGATCCTCGCCCAAAGAAGCGGCTATCAAAGCTCCCTAATAAATTTGTCGATCCTACTGGCGACGCTATTCCCCAGCCTGATGAGAAGGCTGGCATTGTTGATGCAAGTGCAGCTTCCTCACCAACACTCGGCCCTCAAGAAGGGCCTGACGCAGACGGGCTCTACCCAAATGGCTACAAATTTCCCCCTAAGCACTCTTGGGGAGAGGCTACGCTTATAGGCCTCAAAGCGTTCTGGAAATTCACCATTACACCCTTTGGTTTCCTCGTCGTCCTTTATGGCCTCAATGTCGTGGCATGGGGTGGCATGCTCTTCTTACTTCTGATAGGTGGAGGTGAAAAATACATGTGCTTCCCTCCCAATAAGCCTCCGGGCTACAAAGCCTGCAACAACATCAACGCACCTCGACGAGTATGGATTGAAATAGACAGTCAGATACTCAATGCTCTGTTCTGTGTTACAGGGTTTGGACTGATACCTTGGCGATTCCGAGATTTATACTACCTACTACAATACAGGATACGTGGGAAGCAGTCAGCCCTGCGAAAGCTAGGAGGGATACACAGGGCTTGGTTCAGATTACCAGGTAGCCACGAATTACCGGCTGAGCCTGGAGTAGAGATTACAGACATCGATAACAACTCAGCTGTGCCACTTCCCGCCCAAAAATTCCTGACCCGCCTTTGACGGGTTTCCGAGCTCCGGCTACCAAGCTCTGGAGGTTGGACTATGTCATCTGGGCGTATGTTTTGAATACCTTCCTTCAAGCTGTACTATCTGGTTTCATGTGGGGCTTGAATCGCTATGATCGACCAAGCTGGAGTACTGGGACTTTTGTGGCGCTGGCTTGTATCGTTGCTGCGCTGGGAGGCTTGATGTCATTTCAAGAAGGCAAGAAAGTCAAAGCCGTTGAAGGTATACCACTCAGTGAAGAAGAGGTTCTAAAGGATATAGAGAAGCAAGTTGTTCACGGAAAGAAGGTGGAGGTGAAGAAGGCGAAGAACCAGGACACAAAGAAGCGATTCAACATGAAATGGCTGAGCGGTTAAAAAGGGAGAGATTCGCTCCTTTGACCATTATTATACAGTATTGATCATTACCAGGTCTTCTGAGTTTTTGCAAGAGATTTTGTTGCCTAAATCTTGCCCCTTGAATGTGTATGGGAAAATTAAGAGCATTGGCACGGTCATGTCCGCGAGCCTTCCTCTTTACTTGAAAGATGCCAACTCGGCCTCACCACATGTTCTGCTAAGTATTTGTCCATTACTCCCCTCTCTCCACAAAGATTGTCAATGCAACAGAACATTGGGTTCGTTACAAATTTCGTTAAGAATCTTCAGGCGAATAAGTGTACTTTAAATTAGGGGCGAGCAAAAAAGGGTTGGGGCGGCTGCTTGAGTAGCGGTGGCTTTTTGAGCGGTCTAGATATTCTTCCCATGTTGTTGAAATCTCCCGTCTCAGCTTCAATTTCTCACTCATATTCCTGCCTTGCTTATCGAGTCCCTTTTCTTCGCTATCAAAAATCCTCGTCGTTTTTTCCTGCTTATTCAAGTCAACGAGGCTTGCTTTTTTGTTATATCAAGCTCTTTCCTTAGTGCAAATTTTCGCTCTTTTGACGGATTGCAAATAAGACCATAGACATAGATCCTTTAATTTTAAAAGCACCTCTGTGGTGGATTCAACCTTTGCTTCGCTTGTACATCCGAATGCATTTCATTTTCGTTGAGAGAACGTGTGGGGGAAGTCATTGACAACAAACATCAGTTACCAGACATGGCTTGCCCTTGGATGCGATGATATCTGACCGAAACAGGCCTTTTGGGACAAGTGTCATATAGCTACCCCGTAGTAGGACTTGAAATATTCCCGGCAACGGCGACAGGCCCAACGTAAAGATGACTTGCGCTCAAGAGAAGTCTCCCTTGGAGCTCGAATCCTCATCCAATCATTTCGACGCACAAAGCTTGATCGTGTAATCGATCAGCGCGTGAAAGCATAATCATGAGGCAACGTTTGACGCATTTGACGTGGTTAGCAGCTCATAGACAGCGTGAAAACATGGATAAAGGCAAGCAGCAGGAAATGTCTGTATTGTCTGAAGCCGTTGGTGACACAAGGTCTTTCACTCGGTAGAACAGAATGGTTTATCGGGTGTTGAGTCATTGATTTGTGACGACTGTGGCAGATGATGCCCAGAGACTTCAACGTTTTCTCTCGACGCAAGTTGCTCCTACCAATGTACGATCACACCTGCTCGTTCAGTACATACTTTCTAGCAGCCTTAGGAATTAATCAGCATTAGCAGAAAAAATGGGGCTGCAGATTAAAGAAGGCACTCACTTTCTTCAGCGCATCTTGCTGTTGATTTGCCTTCGCATAGACCTCTCGATACTGCTCTAAAGTCTCTTGCACAAAGTCACTGCGTGTTTTTGTCCCATCACAAATCTGCCGCATTTTTATCTCCATCTCCTTTCGCAAGAAGGGCTTGCCGAGACTGGTCTCCAGACCTATGCTATCGTAGCCCTCAATTAGCGCCACCCCAAGCGTTGTAGGAATGAACTGTTGAACAGTGCCAGAACCACGTCGACCACCCCTGTCATTATTACCGATGTTCTCAGTAGTGCTTCGTGAGCCAGTGTTCGCCTGCACATACTCCCGGTCTTGAATCTTCTTGATGTGCTCCGCCATGGTAGCATCAGTGCCAATACCGTTCGCGTCCATCAAGCTGATAAGCTCTGGCTCGGTCAAGTAGCCTGGTGCTGTGGTTTTACCATCTGTGATGTTGGCCTCTGTAGGCTCAAAGGTCTCATAAAGCCGGAATTGGGGTAACGGCTGGCTGCTGTTCCACTTCTCGTACGGGTAAACATCAAGATAATTTCGTTCCAGTACAACGAGACCGTTTGTGAAGAAGGTTTCTGGGCCGTAAGCAATCTCAATGGTTGTAGTATGACCTTTTGCATCTTCTGAGCAGCAGGCCAAAAATCGACGGACCACAAATTCATACACTCGACGCTCGTCATCTTGTAATGAGGATGGCACCACATAGTTGACTGGATGAATTGGAGGATGAGCTTGGTCATTGTTGCGACCGCTACGGGGCTGCTTGAAGCGCCCTCCAAGCAAGCCCTGAGCGTACGGCCCCCAAGTACGGTCTTGGGTCTGCTTTTCCACGAGCTTCTTGAGATCAATGCCACGATCAAATTGATCTGTCTCGGTTCGTGGATAACTTATCCAGCCTTTGTTATATAGTTCCTCGGCGATCTATAGTTTGTTAACTCGGAAATCTCACTAGGTTGAAACGCTTACGTGCATGACCCGAGAGCTGTTCATGCGGAGGAACATAGATCCAAGCTTCTGTAACTCTACAGTAGTCAATGGTAGTGGTCTCCATTTGCTTGTGGGCTTTTGTTGAATTTTGGTGACCTTTGCCAGCTTTGCATCTATACACCGCTCGAACAAGACAATAGCAGCAGGCCGATCAAACAATCTACGGCGCCTCCAAGAGAAGCTCACATCAATCCCGTCTCGATGATGAGTCACTTGGATACTCCAGAATCTTTCTGGAAGGAAGTTTCGTACTTTGAAGTAGCGATCAACCACAAATCCCAGCGTAGGAAATTGACAGGAACCTTGCAATATGAGCAAACGTCGTTTTGTCCTTGCGATCATGACTAACCATAACTGATCACCTTACTCTTTTCTCCAGTCCCACTAGATAAAGGCGGTCCCAGGGTCTGCAGTGTGAGGGTAGTGAATCTCGTGAAGGCTGCACCAAGTCGAAGGTCAAGCTCTATCCTTGCGGCAACAGCATTGACCTGCCGGTCGTCAAGTTGAACCGGATGCTGAGCGGCGTAAATGACGTGCCTAAGCTAGCCATCAGTCTTTACTTATATTAGGTTCAACCTTTTGGCAATCCTTACATTCTCTCGGTGTTGCTGAATTTGGCTCTCTTGATCTCAAGACCAGGCTTCCCTTCCCACGCGGCCATCCTGATTTCGGAGCCAATATGCTCTCCTTCACGATCGCAATCAGTCCATATAAAGAGCGAATGCACATAGCGAGCTTGTTGTCTAATATTCTCAGCTATTGCCTTCTTGTCGGTGGCGACTCTGCCATTGATGGGAGCCTCGAACAGCACAGCAGGTGAATGAGCATTCCAATTCTTAAACTCCGGGGCAAATTCATTCTCGTGCAGATGTCCTAGGACGCTCGTCATTGTGACCTCGCAATTGCCCCATGGTGGACTGAAGGCGAAATTGAAGCGATAATTCTTTACGTATTGATTGCCCCTGATTGAATGCTACATCTTGATCAGCTCGTATGCTTCCTGTGTCAAAGGCACCGACGTACTGTCCCAACCGTTCCTCCACCTAAATGTTGCGCAACAGCCTTTGCAATCGAGGGCTTTTCAGCCACGCACAATATTTTCCTCGCCATACCATCTCAAAGCCCGTCGACGCCTTTGACTCCGTACTGTGTAGGTATGTCCCATCTTGCGTACAATAAGCTGGAAGCTTATGCGCTTGACATGTTGTGAGTTCAAAGGCGCACCTGAGACTCCTGCCTTGCACCTGTCGTCGGTCCGTGCCGAGGAGGGCCGAATCATGGACTACATCATATCCCAATCGGCCTTTCATTATTTCCTACATTCGCGCAACGTTCTTCCTCCATTTTCACATAGCCTTTGACCCACTATTGGATATGTCGATGGCGCTGCCAGCAGCTCAAACCTTTGCAGATGCTGTGGCTTGGAGCAATGTGGTTACACCTTACGTCCCGCAGCTCTATGATCTCCCCGGTCAAATAAGTTCCAGCATCACCAACCCTCAAGCACTGAAAATACTCTACATTTCCACAAATCCTCTGATTTCAGCATTTGCATTTTCTTGCGTGCTCTTTCTTCCTTTCTTTGTCGCCTCGGAACTAAACAGGAATTGGTCACAAGTAGATCGATTCTGGAGCATCCTACCCACAGTGTACAATGTTCACTACGCACTTTACGCACACGTGGCGGGCTTGCCCACAAAGAGAATGGATACACTTGCATTTTTTAGCCTCCTCTGGAGTGTGAGGCTCTTACAAAGCCTCCATGGTATACATCTGGCTGACACCAGCAGGCTCGCTTGACCTACAATTACTGGCGCAAAGGGGGTTATTCTATCGGCTCTGAGGATTATCGCTGGAATGAAGTCAAGGATTACATTGGCATGCCGTTGTTCTTCGTGTTAAATGTCGTCTTTATATCTTTCCTCCAAAGCGTAGGATATTCTTCATGTCCTTTCAGTCCACTATTAGCTGACCCACACCCGCGAACCAGACTTTACTGTTCCTCATCACGACTCCTGCATATATAATGCTTGTCTCAGCAAAGGGACTCGGAGATTCGGCAGCGATGGCCGATGTCGTCTTCTCCAGAGCCATCGGTCTGCTAGTTTTCTTAGCCTACATTGCGGACACCCAACAATGGCGTAAGTGGACACCATATCACCTATTCTTCCGAACTAAACAAGGATAAGGATTCTTTGAAGCCAGAGAGCATTACCGGAAAACGGCCAAAGTTCCTCCTGGCTATCATCAGGAAGACTTAGACCGAGGATTCAATGTTACCGGTATGTTCGCCTGGAGCAGGCATCCGAACTTTGCCTTCGAGCAAGCTGTCTGGGTCACGGTCTACGTGTGGGCTGCATATATTACCAAGGGTATTGTGAATTGGACGATTGCAGGACCCCTATGTTATATGGTCCTCTTTCAAGCCTCGACTTGGCTTACAGAGCTGCTCTCACGCCGAAAGTACCCCGAGTACGAGGAGTATCAGACGAGAGTGGGCAAGTTTGTACCGAATCTACCAGGTGGGCGTCCTGGAGATTTCAGCGATCTACGGAAGGACAAGTAGAGGGACTTGTGTGACGTGGATATGACATTGATCTGTGCAAGGGATATATATAGCATCGAAAATAAGCTTTAGCCCCCATGAAGTGCTGGAAACAACGGTTCTCAGCGCTGCAGTAGCGGCACGAGCCATTCTTTCCATCCGAAAGATCCCCGGCCTTGCCCTCATGTATATCTTGCAGATTCTAGCATTCAGAGCATGCAGGAGAGTGGGAAAGGATGAAACAAGGACGGCGCGTACCCAAACACTTGATATGTCATAAGGCGGCTAGTGCTAAAACCGTCCACGCTTATTGAAGGTAGCTCTGCGTAAGCCGGCAGAAGGTTGATGTGAATGGAAAGGATATCTTCCTCACACTCGTTGTTGATTTCACACGTCCTTATCTACATCTTCAACGAGACCTACTGGGCACAATCGCCAATTTCAGTTGCTCTATTCTTTCCTGTGAAGGCACTTGCGTAGCTTTGGGCATTGTTCCCCACTAGTGGCATGACTATGCCTGGCTGACCATCCAACCAAAGCACACGCACTTATTCACTCCTTGATCCTCTTCCGTGCAAGCACAGCCAGCTTTCAGCTTTCAGACTTCAGGCTGGCCATCTTGATCAGTCCCCTTCACAAAACCCACCAATTCCTTAGACTTCGCCTTTCCCAAATACATCAACTCCTTGATTGGGCCAAGGCAGAGCTTCTACGCCAAGTCACCATCTCAAGCCTTTACACAGAAGTGAACAATCAACAATGGACAGTCAGGTTGAGAGCAAGATCGAAAAGCGCCCGGAGGAAAGCGCCAGCCAAGTACCCGCAATACCTTCTCCAGCTCCTCTCCTAAGACCAGCAATCCATGGCAGCAACCCTAGGATCAACAGTGGAGCACGAACACCACGCCTGGGCCTCGCGATCCCTCCCTCTCCGAGTCAGAAGCCCCTCAGCAGTGGTGGATCTATTCCAGATCTCCCATCGCAATCATCCCTTCCCCCAGTCTCGCAAATATCACGACCCTCCAACAGGCCTGCTCCACCTCAACTACGTCTCGCTACCCCAATGGGCAGCAGTAAGACTCCCACAGATCAGGCCTTGCCTTCAAGCAATCGACCACAGCCCCAGCAACTGAGCACATCTATGAGTGTCGGAAGTGACGGGAGCGAACGATCGAGATCTGATAGCTTTACAATGTTGGATGGGAAGAACAGCAATCCTACGTCAGCCTCATCCTCGGGTTTCTCTACCCACAGGCATCCTGCAGGTACACCAGATCCAGCTTCGGCAATCAGCTCGGTATATTCTGAAGCAGGGGCTACAACGGAGAAGGAAGGAAGTCATCATACTCTGCCTGATTTAGCCCAACTCAGCTTGGAAAGAGGAAGGGACTTAGATGTGGATGATCTGAACGACGATGGATGGAGAGCAGCAAGCGAACAAAAACAAATTGTTGAATTGGGCAGTTTGGGTGAAGGTAGTGGAGGTGCCGTAACAAGATGCAAACTGAAGAATGGCAAGACAGAGTTCGCTTTGAAGGTATGCTCAGCGATATACGACCTTTTGTATTCAAATCTTGTGATTGCTAAAGCACAACAGATCATTACCACAGATCCTAATCCAGATGTTAAAAAGCAGATATTTCGCGAGCTAGCCTTCAATAAAGACTGCGATTCCGCAAATATATGCAAGTACTACGGAGCGTTTGATGATTCTTCCGGGACCATTAGTATAGCAATGGAGTATTGCGCCGGTGGCTCCCTTCACGGCGTCTACCAGGAAGTCAAGAAATTAGGTGGCAGGACAGGAGAAAAGGTCCTAGGAAAAGTCGCGGAAGGGGTATTGAGCGGGCTAACGTATCTTCACGGACGACGAATCATTCACCGGGATGTCAAACCAAGCAACATTTTACTCACGCGAGAAGGACAGGTAAGGCTCTGCGATTTTGGCGTCAGCGGGGATACAGGTACGAAAGGAGAAGCAAATACTTTCATTGGAACTTCATATTATATGGCACCAGAGCGCATCACTGGACAGTCATACACCATCACCTCAGATGTCTGGTCGTTAGGTGTTACCTTACTCGAGGTTGCACAGCATCGATTTCCGTTCCCAGCTGACGGAACGGAGATGGCTCCCAAAGCTGGACTGATCGATCTATTGACATATATCGTGAGGCAGCCGATCCCGAAGCTAAAGGATGAGACTCCAGATACCAAAGGTGAAGGAGGTATCGCGTGGAGCTCAAATTTCAAGTACTTTATTGAATGCTGGTATGTCCTTCCAAACCCTCTCCCTGAAAGGTCAATCGTCGACTAATTCTGAGCGTGATGACAGTCTCGAAAAGGAGGCGACACGGCGGGCTACGCCATGGCGCATGATGGAGCATCCCTGGATGGTGGAGATGCAGAGCAAGAAAGTCAACATGGCGCACTTCCTGGCTCAAGTATGGGACTGGAAAGACTGATTTCGACCGAAATAGATCGGGGCTTAGTGAATCACAAACGCACGCAACGAAATTTCCCCCAACTATGATGATCCCTCAGGAAGACCTTAGCGCCTCCCAAAGTGATGAAAGTCGGCGATGTCTTATGACCAACAAAGCACTGATGTTTCAATAGCGGCACGACGCGACGCGATGCCGACAATCCTTCGAAGTGGAGTATCTTGGATGAGGCCCGAAAAGCGGTCTGATGTACAAGTTAAGTAATGACTCGAATGACTAAGCTAGAAGTAGCTTATCGTATGCTGGAGTGTGGGGATGCGAGGCTGTGCACACTGATGATCTCCGTTTGGTTGGGTAAGGGAGGCTAGAGTATGACAGCCACCTTGGATTCGATGCTCCATCTCCTGCACAGACAGTGGATGCAGACTCAATTTATCGCTTATCTTTCGAAATAGCACGCAATGAGATGGACATTCTACTTAGTGGTGACTGACTATACGCCTCATCTGGTGATTGTCAGATGACTTCCTTGCTTCATCCTTACATGAACCTGTTAGTCTACAACGGTAGCACTGCCTCTTTCTAGTCATCCTTACCTTTTCTCATCAGCACTCCGAGGAGCTCATCTGCTTGGTCTCTTTGCACTCGAGCGGCAAGAGCGCAGCGCCAGATCCTGAGGATCCAGGTCGAAGGGCAATATCTGGCTCGCAAAAACATTGCCTGCTTGCTGTCTGCATCTAGTGCTTTGAAATTCCTAGCCTCTTAGTTCACACAGCCTCCCTTTACCCTCCGCTAAACCATTTGTTACAACGCACGTCTGATGTCTGTGATCCAACTAATTCGACCGTCTTGTCCCCTCTTGAACATCGAGCTCCGGTATTAGGATCGACATCATCCCACACTGAGCTTAATCGAGCCATCGTTGTCGCTTCATCTCACCTCGAGCAGTAAGGAAGGGTATCGAGCTACATATTCTACATTTAATGATCCTTTTGGGAACACTTTTCTAGCCTACAGAAACAAATTTCCACTCGTTCGATGTTCACCGCGATGGCGTCTGAGTATTCATAAAGCTTTTCAGACAGTACCGCGAACGAAAGTCTTGTATTGTAGCATATTCATCTTACCCCGTGGCTCGACTGAGATGCTAAGAAATGCTCACTGCTTTTCTATGATATCTCTCCGGCGGTCGATTAGCTAGGACTTCGAGAAATGACTAAAATTTGGGTCCTTTGCCAACTTAAGGTCTCGAATCCAACACCGAAGCCAAGGTACTAAGACTGTTACACCAATCAATGTCCAGGTCAAGGTCTAGATTTGCGTCTTCTCCTTTACCAGAATGGCGTAAACGTGCTTAAATTACGCTCGGTTTTCTAACATGTCTGTAAACTGTACCATGATCTAGGTTGATTTTTCAGAGCAAATCCATAATCATAGTCTGATCCATAAAGGAACACATTAAGACATTGGCGAAATGATTGCCCTATCATCTTGGATCAAGTGAAAACATAGATGCAACGATCACACTTGAGCGAAATTGTCTCGGTTGCGTAAGTTCCTTGTAGAGCAATCCGATGCATCTAGGTATCCAGCGAATGTGTGGCTTTTTCTCTCTCTCTTTGAACCTTCCGTCTTCTTAATGGAGGGCTTAAACATATTCTACCACGGCTGGTGACGGTCTGAGGGTAGAGTATGGACAGTATGGACGAGGGATCTGAGTCTAGATCTGCGTTTGCTGGACAAGGATAGGTTGATTGATGATTCTAGATTCTAGTCGTGGGCTGTGAATAGGTCTACGTATTTTTTTGTGTTCCCAGTACCTTCAGGAGTCTCTGGAGGACAAGGGACATCGGTTGACAAAAGGAGGCTGAGCATGCAGGCCTGGACGTCGTCAGATATGCAGGGAATCATATGATCTGGGATGGCTTGTAGCGGCTGCTTCTTCACATTGCTGATGTAAGTCCATGATGCGTGAATCTTATTTGGGTGTTTCGATCATCATCGGTTTGATTGAGATTAACACTCTGGCGTGGAGGCTGTGTTGGGCGGTAAGTGATGCATGCATGGGTACAGATTGGATGCCCCATACTTGAAAAAAAAAGATAAGACCCTTGCTGTATGATTGGTCACTGGTATATGCTATGGAGATGACGTCCGCCAGATCGTGCCACGCTATGCTACGCTATGCTATGCTATGCCGTCCTCAAATCGTAGTATACATTTTCAAAGGAACAGAAATACTTATACAGGGTATATTTGATAATAATACAGAATCGATACTCCAGTGCCACCAAAAAGACAAGACAAATCTTTAGAGACTTAGGTTGTTTCTTTCAGGTGTGAAAGATTGACATATGTTCAGCCGCTCCCAGTCCTAGACGAAATGATAAAGATGTTACGTCTTTTTTAGTAGACTACCATACGGCAAGCGAGAGAAATTTCGAGGTGTGAAAAAATTCATTCAGGGAAAGGAAGGAGGTTGTTGGTTGGTAAATAGCGTATTTTGCGAAATGATCAAGCAGCAGACTTAGGTCTTGTGAATTTCCTCGCAAAGCCATGCCAGGATTTTGATTTCCCTTCCGCCGGATCGGAATTTAGGAAATCCATCACATTTCCCTGGCCATCTGACATGTTCTTTCTGCTGTTTGGTGCATTTGGGCTCCAAATATGTGTTGTATAATTAGACGTCATATTTGGCGTCCAAGTACCAAACTTGGAGGTGACAGGCTTTAGTGGAGTACGAACATCCCCATCGTATTGGGATCGTGAGAAGAGACTAGCACTGTCCGACGATGAAAGATGGGATGCTGCAGTGGTGTACGTGCTGCCAAAGCTTATAGCTCTTGTCAAGGGCGCTCTTCGTGAATCTGATGATGTAGCATGTGGTGGTCGTGGCGCTGCTGTGGCCGTGGATGTTCCATCTGCTCGCCCAAATGTAGAGATGCCTGGCGTAGATAGAGCGGATCTATTGTTATGAACAGTCTCATAAGCCGGTGGGGAGTCGAACAAGTCTTCCATAGGAACGGAATTCATTGCTTCCTGAAATAGTGGGGATAGTCGCTCCTCATCTCTTGGTTGCTGCATAAGTCGTTGCAATTGTGTCTGCACGGGAGACAGAGGTGGAGTAATTCGCCATTGGGATTGAGCACTGGTAGCCGGCTCTGATCGTGACCTTTGCGGTTGTGGAATATGTTGAGTACTCTCCTGATGTGGGACTGGGCCCCTTTCAGGCTCTCGATTCCCCACTCCCCCTTCCTCCCCCAACAAGAGCCACATCTGTTCCTCAGGCATCCAGACTAGCTCTGATGCGGGGCCTCGTTCAGTGACCGAACGCCCAGCAATAGACAGTGTTAGCTGCGGTGGAGACTGAATATTACGCCGTTGTGGCAAGCTCAAATCAGGAGTGCCTGGAGACTCATTCGTCCTCTTCCGCTTCATTCGATGCAAGACGCAGCCACCTTCACGCTCTCTGGGGATCTGAATAGCCCCACATATTGTTCTGGGTGGAAGTCGGGGTAGCGGCTTCGAAGTTGATTGCTCACTCAGTGCTTGCAGTGGAGCTCTGGGAGCGTAGAATTCTCTGGTAGGTTGAAAGGGCTCCTGAATGAGCCCTAGTAAATCATAATCATCAGAACGTCCGTGAACGGCAAATTGCCGGTCGTCTGTTGGGGAGGCTGAGAATAGCGAGAGATCGACCAAGGCCTCTCCTGTCGACATAGCTGTCCGCTTGAATGTCTAAATTCGCATGGTGAGAAATGGAGCTCACCCAGAGAGCAGCGAGTGGGAATATGTGTAGTCCGCACGAAGAAGGATCGAAGGCGCATGCAGCATCCCAAAGAAGAAGGAGGCGAGGATCTTACTCTTTTGTTACAGTGAGATAGCCCCCCAGTCGGCGACCGGCACAAGACCAGTGTTCTATGGGCGCCAACTTGGCCCGCCCAACACGGGGCGCAGTCACAAGGATTACTTCGATACGCCTTAAGGTAGGAAGAACTCCGTTTAGATTTGTCTGAAGGTGAGCATGTGTACGGGAAATCTATACATTATTTCGAACATTTGAACATGCTAATGTCAACAATATGTAGAACTGTTGGGCATAAGATTGCAATGACCAAAGTAGGTAGCGTATAAGTCAGTAGGGTGGTTGGATATCTGAGCGGCCTATTTTCAAGTATAACAGATGAGTCGATATTTATTTCTGAGTTACGTTGGAGAAGCAACGATGAATGACAGAACGACCGGCTAGTTGGCCTCCTTTCCCTTTATGATGTGTAGTTGTGTGTCCCTCTTCGGAGCGAAGCCACATGGCCCGGCTGACGGCTGGCTTGGAGTAAGTCACACACGGACAATAATCTTAAAGCGAGACATAGCAGAACAGAGGCGATAGACAGGCGATGGGACATATGGCCCTTCTTGCTAGGAATACATGAAACATGGATGTCGTAGGCTCTCGATACCACAGGTCGGCGAGTCCTCGACATACTGGTGGGGAGACTTGCAACGCCCCATGAAGCCCCACGAGCCTCATTTCGCACCGTCGGATCCTTGTGCATAGGATTTGACTCACAAAGTGGGACTGATTGGGGCGGGCAGTGCAGCGAGTGTTTGCGGACAATACATTTCCTGAGCGGGTCTGGTCGAAGGCTGTGCGATGTTGGAGTTTGGCCTGTTGGTGCAACTAAGCGTCAGGAAACGGGTCCTCCCTTAATACGGCCAATTGGCGCCGGTACTCTCTTAGCAGACGATCATCTAATGGAAGGTAAGGGAATCCTTTTGCTTCATTTTCTTCAGAGCTGTCAGTGACTTCCCGGCAATGCTGAGTCTGGCCAGTGTACTTTGGTACAGAATGCTCAGCTTCGCTACACAACCTCGACGAGAGGCACCTCTAGCCGTGCCTTAACTCCGTTGAAGCCAAGTGCTGCACTCTTCTTTGCATGAATCACTCTCCACATAACCTAAAGTAGGACGCCAGGGGCATCGGAGTCTCGTGATTAGATTCTCATGGGCGGTGCATGTCTCTGGGACTACCTTCCACCGTAGCACGATCCTCATCTGGTATTGTGTTCTGGGAACCAATCAGTGCATTTAATTCCGAGACAACTTTGGGGAGAATATTGCTGTTTCAATCCTTCAACAGCATTGGAACATGATCCAGAGGCGAAATGTGGATACCGACATCTTTACACATCAAGGAGAGCAACTTTGATCTTGTACTCCGCTATCTCCAAGGATCGGTAGACCGACGTTCCAAAAAGTCACATCCAAGTTTCTTCGGCGAGGATGAGGCACGCTCGGTCCACAACTTTTCGAATGTTCTCCAGCAAGGTTACCAAGGGGTTGCACTTTCCACTCCTTTGCTTTGTCCTATCGCGAGCAGCTTGGCGGGCAGCATAATCTCCTGTGTCTTCTATGCTGCCGTGAATTCTCAACGCCGCCGAGAAAAAAGCGAATTCAAGGGCATGAATAACAGGGCTTCACCCGGGTAGGCAATAGAGACTCAACAATCATAGCTGCAACGCAGACGCTGAGGGAGGATCCCACGCATAGTCCTCTTTGGAAATGGGAGCCATTTAGTCAAAGAACTAAATGCCTGATGTCCTCGTAATGATTTCAACCGCCACATGAAAACTCTTTCGGAGGTCAATAAGCCACCATCTGCTTCAAGACATCCCAATACTTGGGACATCAAGGAGACCTCGCTCCGTTGCGATTTTGTCTCAGGCAATTTATGCTCGGATTTGACCGATGTAAATGCTTCGTTAGTCACTGAGCAGATTTGATATTAGTACTCTTGTCCAGATCCGTACGTGGCAGGCAGTACTTCCACGAAATGATGTGGGAGAAATGATAGCGCTGCAGTGGTAGGAAACTTTGCTCCAGGACGAAGGCTTGCGAATGACCACATTTTGAAGCACGTTGCAATCTGATGACCATAGGATCTTCGATAAATTTCACTTTTTGGTCACTAACGATTTCAGGGTTGAATCTGATCGCCCTCCAATGCTCATCACTTCATTTCAGTACGGCTGCAATCTAGGAGACTTAGATTCGGCGTCCATTGTCTCCGACTCACATTGCTGTCAAGCCATTTGGGGATATAATGTATGCAAGTGGCTGTACTTAGAACACCCGCCTCACAATGCAGGATACACAACAAGCTGCCCGTCGCATGAAAACCGGTCATGCCGCGTTGAACATACACGCATCTTGACCCGCTTGGGTTCCCCCCCCAAGCCGGATCGAAAGCTAACCTCTAAGCACCTTCTGAGCTGCAGAAGCCATGTCGGAACCTCAGATGTTCCTTTCGCATTCGGATGTGGTCAGGCGTGTCTGTTGCCCAGGTGGGACTAGACTATCAATTCGGAGGCGGTGTGCTAGGTGCAAGGTGCACGAAGATTGCAAGAAGGCGGAACCTCGCACATGGTACTGTCGCAGCCTCGCATGTGCAGCTGATGTATGCGTTACTGGGGTCAGCAGACAGGCGTTCAAGGTCTTTGCAGTCAAAGATTCCACCTTGAAGCAAAGGCGTGACCTCATCTCGATATCGGGCGCGACCTATGGCGAGACAGGACTGGCAAATTGCGCAGGAGCAAGGCCGGGCGCCAGGAAAGCTGGGGAAAAGAGCAGGGCATCTCATATATGTCCTGGTGATGCAGCAGATGATTGAGGGGGGGAATGTTGGCAGCGGAGATTGGCAGTTCATTGGTCCGTTTCAAATGAGCATTAGCGGCGGCGCTTGACGGACGCTTGTCGCAACGGGTCTAGTCAGGGGTAGATTTCTAACATCGCATGCGAATTTTGCGATGCCTCCCATCGTCCCATGCAAAGACGCCGCTAGACATTCGCCAATCCTGGGCCTTTTTGCTTTCGTTTCAATGCCCAATTGCCTCTCGGCACAGCGCAGGAGAGCTCGTTACAGCCTTCTGTGCCACTTCTACCACTGACGAGGAGGGTGGGTGCCCCCCAACACTGTGAAGGTCAGATGGGAGCGGAAAAACAACAGCAACAACAACAACAATACAACAAGAGCAGCATAAAATAACGAATCGATGATTCTGATCAGGGTTGCATCTTGTTGCGCGGTCCACCAGCAGGCTCGTACAAAGAGAGTTCTGCCTTCTATTTCCCGCGCAAGAGTGGCAGTCTAAAGGTAGTAGCTTTGCCCCATACCATCAGTCGCAAATGAGAGGTTTCTATTTTGGCCCAGACACACGCGCAGAAGAGCCAATAAGCATGCTGCTGTACCCGGCCATAGACAGGGGCAGATGGCCCTGCTCATCAGAAAGTGGCTACTCGTGTCTCCTGTGGAGCTCTGTCGTCTGCGCTGCTCATGCCAGGGGCCCCCAAAAAGTGGCCCACTACCAGGACTAGAGGCTGCTGCTATCCCCTGGTGATACGTTTCCACTTCCTAATGACGGCACCGGCGCTGGCTGCTAGTAGTGGTAGTGTTCCTGGCCCATGCGAAAGTGGCTCTTAAATCCTGGTTCGCCCAATCTCTCCTTTCCCCCCAAGTGTTGATCGTTGCTTAATTTCCCACCTCAATCTTACTCTCACTATAAGGAACTCAGCACCCGCATACAGCCTCGTTTCCTCCTTCATCCAACTTCATCGTAAACGCTCCACTACAGCTTTACATTCTTTTTCTGACTTCGGTCGTCCACTCTCTAATAATTGTTATTGCCAACTCACGCTCTCTTAATTAACTTCACCTCACCCCTTTCTCCAACCTCAAAACCGTTCAACTTTTTTCAGTCCACCACTACGAAAATGCGTTATCAATTCGTCCTCGCTGCCCTCTCGGCAGGTGCTGTCCTCGCTGCCGTGTCACCAGCTGCCAATGAGCTCGGAGACGGTCAACCCCAGATCCAGGCTGGCGCTTCAGCGCCTGCCCCAGTGAAGGAGGAGACCTTGACTGCAACCAGCACCAACGTTGCCACCATCACCAGCTGCCCTCCAGAAGTCAGCAGCTGCCCAGCATCAGTCTATACCGCCCCAGCAGCAGTCAGCACTCCCCCAGCAGCAGTCAGCTCCCCACCGGCCGCCGCGTCTGTACCAAACGTAAGTATAGGAGAATCCCGCAAACCACGTTCCCGAGCACTAAAACTTTGATCCTTTAGTCTCCCATCGCAGCCTCGCCAGCGCCACCAGCACCAGTTGCCTCTTCACCAGTGGCCGCTCCGCCTGCTTCCTACACTTGCCCACCACCGGTCACCATCGTCCAGACTGTCACCGTCTCGGCCGCTCCCTCCGTCGCCCCACCAGCTGGCTCAGCTGCTCCTCCCGCAGGAAGCGCCGCCCCCCTGCTGGTGGCTCCGCTGTTCCCCCAGTTGGCACCGGTGCCCCAGTGCCCCCAGGGACACCCGCCTCAGTTCCTCCCCCAGCTGGCTCACCAGTCGGCCCAGCCCCATCCGGAACTGCTGGCCCAACTGGCACTGCCGCGCCATCAAGTGGAAGGTAAGCCTCGCCGAACTCAAATTGATTGTAAATGATTGCTAAATCACACTAGCACCGGCGCCAACACGATCAGCCCATCGATCACCCCCTTCACAGGTGCCGCCAGCACTGTCGGCGGCAGCATGGTCATCTCGGCCGTCGCTGCTCTCGCTGCCATTTTCTTCGCATAAATCATCTACCGTCAATAATAGATTCGCCTTCTTCGATGTACCTACGATGATGGAGGAAAGGATAGAATTTTTGCTTGGAAAAAGCTGTGCATAGCGCGTATTCATGATCATATTTTTGAGGGCCTTACGTTCACGATGGGGAAGCTGGGCGCTAGTCGTCACATGCACGAAAGCCCAGCTCTTGTGCTTCCACAAGGAATACGAGAGACAGCTGTAATAATAACACTTAATCCAAGGGTGTGTAACTGATGAGCTTGTCCAGTTTTTCACTTCTACCATTACTGCTGCACTTGTATATAATTCTGCCTTGGTAATGCAGCCTTCAGTTGGATCAACTCCAGGTGACCCTCAAAATCTGCTTCTTCACCAACTGCTTTTCACGCTGCCGTAACCCTGAGCAGTGTTCCGTTATTCGTTTCATCCCAATGTCCTCGCATCATTCAGCAGCTGATCAACCCAATGCTGTCACAAATCTACCCAACAGCATCTCACCCATTTGCCTGCGCCCTCTGCCCCTGCCCGTCCTCAGCATTGGCCCTCCAAACCCCCTCGCCCTCGGCCCCATCCTCCCCCTCAAAAATCTCCCTCTTCCAAATCTCCACCTCCCCCTTCACCCTCTCAAGCGCTTCCTCCCCACCCCTCCACGCCGCACCCCTATGCGGTGCACTGACCGCCACCAGCACACTTTCCTCGCCGACCGGACACTCGCCCAGTCTATGCACGATATATATCGCCGCAAGAGCGTGTTTCTCTTTCACCGCAATCGCAATGGTGAGGAGTGTTCGCAAAGCGAGGGGAATGTAGGCGCTATAGGTCAGACGTAGGACGGGTTTGGATTCGAAGTTGTCACGAGTGGAGCCGGCGAAGAGGACGCTTGCGCCCGCGGAGGGGGAGCGCACGAAGGTTGTGGCGGTCGGGATGGAGAGGGGGGAGTGGGTTAGGGAGACGGAGGCGGAGGGGGCTGTGATGGTGTGGGTGGGTTGGTCTTCTGAGTCGGCCAGGCTGGCGGGGGGAGAGGATGTACGAGGGAATGGGGAGGTGGTCATCGTGGGTTAGGCGTGAGGGTTCCTCATGCTAGATTGGGACTGAATGTTTGTCGAACATGGGTGCGGGATGTGTGATCGCGGTTGTTACATTGATTGGGAATGACATCTACTACCTGTGGGTGTATCTCTGAGTCGATCATTCTCTGTTTGATGTACAGACAACAGACAGGCACCATGCCAGTGGCTAATCAGGGATCCCCAATTAGCATCCAAAATCTTCTGTCCTCTTTCATCCCCCTCCTACGCTCCAAGGCAATTTGTCCGATCACAATAGGGTTCGTGCACGGAAGGTTCCTTCACATGAAATGAGATGGTCCTGCTTTCGGAAATACCAAAGACTTCTCCCCTTGCCTAAAGTGGATGTCAATGCTGCTTGCGGCCCTATGCATGACATCCTCAGCCACCAATGTCCGTTGAACTCAACTCATTCTGAGAAGAGACATCGTGTGTCAGCACCGTATTGATCCCCTAATATAAGGCCTCCCTACTCTAATGTAAGGGGTAAAGCCACCTCACAGCCTGCCTTTCTTCTCTGCCCTCCCACACGTGCGGCGTCCAATGTCACCTCACCTCGGCGCAGACATGCGTCGTCCCCTTGATCCCCCTTACTGAAGCGCAACCCCCAATTCTGCCTTTCAGTAGCAAAACGACGGATCTCTCCTTCACACATCATGAGTCTCGGCATCCCAAAGCCTTCCAACAGCGGCAAACTCAAACAATGAGCGTCACCCCTTCCTACACCAACGGCCAACAAGCGCCCCCCGAAGCGATCACTCGCGCCATCCTAAGCGGAGCGTTGCAAAAGGCCAATGATGCTGTACATGCAGATGGAGATGGCGAGTGGGATTATGCGGCGAATGCGTACACGGCGAGCTGTGAGCTGTTGGGGCAAGTGATGGGGCGGCTGGAGATGGGCGGGGAGGAATGGACGAGGGTCGAAGGGATCGTGAGTGCTTACTTTCTACCAGTCTCGTGCAATGGGAGAGATCTCTGGTAGGATAGAGGGTAGTGATGCTGATCTCGTGCGTTTTGTCGAATAGAGAGCGATGTATTTGCGGCGTCTTGCTGAATTGAGGGGAGAAGAAGTTTATCACCCCCAAGAAGTAGAAGGCCAAGTGAAACGAGATAGGAAAGAGGCCTAGAAAGGGATAACGCCGTGACATCGATTAGTCGAGTTCAGGTCTCAGCAAGAATCGTATATTGGGAACGAGTTCAGCATCGCGTTTGGGCGTGAAGCATCGGTCAGGCCTCCGCGGAGCTGATGAGGTTACAGTCTGTGGTCGGTCAAGAGACCGAAGTAATTGAGTCATTGAACGAGATGGAGGTGCTGCGGGAGCCTTATATAATTTTTAGATACCTCAAACAAGATAAGTCGAAGCCTACCAAATTGCTTTTGATTAGACAGTATTTTCATGATGCAGATAATATAGACAGAAGCTAGGTCCAACGAGATTCAGCATGTCAAACCCAACGCTCTGAACGCTTCGCAATCCGATACTTTTACATGGGGCATATCGCTCGTGTGACTTCGATGCTCAATCTCCTAGCCAAGCATACTTCGTGTCAGGCCGCCACTCCTGTCCTGGAAAACTCGTCGCATTCATTCGAATCGGCTCTTCCGCTTCCGAGTCCTTGTCTTCCCTGACTTGTTTTAATGCAAGACCGGCCGTAGCCTGAGGACTCGTATTGCCGCCTCCTGGGCTCAGATGACCTGTCTCGATCTCCATCTGTCTGCTCCGCCGTTTCTCTGCTGGTGACATGGAGCCGGGATTCTTTGCTGGGCTCATATGGCCTGTCTCGAGTTCCAGTTGTCTGCTTCGTCGTTTATGCTGCGGTGATTGTGGGCCTCCACTGGGGCTCATGTGACCGACCTCGATTTCGTACTGCCGGCTTCGACGTTTCTCTTCGAATGTCATACCAGGCGTATTGGTGACTGTCGTTGGTGTCCCACTACTGAGTCCGGATCTTATAGTACCTAGGTGAGGAGTAGGAATCTCCGTTTGAAGGGGCGGGAGAGTATAGCCTTGTTGTTCGTGTGGGATGTGTTGATGAGTGAGCACATTTGGGACATTAGTCTGGAGTGGGGGTAGAATAAAGCGCTGTCTATCATCAGGAGGTGATGGACCTAGGACGTTCGACGGCGTCGCTGCGGCATTAGAGGACGTGGGGTTGTTTGCCGCGAGACTCGATCTCCGAGGGGCTGCACGGTGCCATTCATCCTTAGGCGGAGGTGGTGGGGGAGGAGGTGAGGTAGGATGGCGGATGTTGTGACCTAGTGTGTGCCCTGTTTGTGACTCGTGTGGGGTGGCAGCATAGCTGTTATATTTAAAAGGTCCACCTATCGACGGGATAGATTGTGAGCTTCGACCCTTGGAGGGCGCCTGTGCAGATACACGGCCCCAAATACTGCCCTTAGATCTGCTCTCACGCCGCTGACCAGACGGCGAAGCTTCTTTCTGGTCTGCCTGTGAAGCTTTTCGCAGTAAGGTGGTCGAGACTCTTGAGCTTCTGCTGGCAGGCGGAGACACACGAGGGGAACTTTGCTGTCGAAGACTGGCAGCCTCAAAATATGCAGGTAGATCTCTACCAGGGGACGTCGGTTGTTGCTGTAGTTGGGTGTGTTGTTGGTGCGTGTTTGAGTGTGCAGGAGGTCTAGATTGCTGAGAACTAGCCTTTCGGGTCCTTGGTGCATAGTATCCTCCTATTGGCGGTTGGACAAGGCCCTGTTGCGATTGATATGACGAAGGATCTGGCTCAAAACTTGGGGAGGCAGCAGCTTGTGCTGAAGTGTAGCGTACATTTTCCTGCATTGAGGGCAACATCGGCTGCGAGGGTTTGCTTGACTCGCCTTCAGATGGGTGTCGAGCGTGCTTGGAGGAGTTGTTCCGCTTATGTCCAGATCTGCTGAAAATGCTTCCAAGCGTCGACAATCTGTTTTTCTTACCGACTTCGGCCTCTTTGTTGATTTCTTTGGTTTCAGAGGTAGGTATTCGCTGGAGCCTTTTACTAAAGCTTGTTGTTACCCTCTGCTTCGGTCTCATAGGAAACTCGTCATCCAATGCCTCGAGGCTTTTCTTTGGGGGCGGTGTAGGAGCCGGCAATTGGGTGATATTGGTCGATGTCCTTGATAGCTCGGATCTTGGCACCGTGGTTGGAGGACTTTTCTTGGTGCTTTCGTTAGATAAATCAAGCTGGCTCTTACGAAGGCCCCATATGCTTGACCTCTTGCTCTTTGGCGTAGCATCAGCACCGGATGTTGCGGGAGAGTGGTGTCCTTGATCAGCAGTCGAATTTTGAAATGACGGGCTATCCGAGTCTGTGAAAGATTTAGCGAGCGATTTCAGAAACGTCGAGCTCCTCGAGCCCCTTCTTGATCGAGGCTTTGAGTCCTTTGGTGGTACGTCAGGCGGACCAACACCCTCTATCGCGTACTCCGAAGTTTGGCTGCGAGGAACCATAGCCTGCTCGCGAGAAATGGGTCTTGGATAGAAGCCGTCGGGCATGACCATGTCCTCTGTTGATAGTTGACGCTGCATAGAAGGAGGATATTGCTGTAGATCTGAAGCTCCAGAACGTTTGCGTTCTAGAGATGAATTGAATGGTCTAGAGAATGAGCGGGAACGCCTCTCAGTTTCCTCGTGGCTCGGCTGTGGTCCAAAATTGTGCTCTATGCCGTGGTGAGCCGGGACAACAGGCCGCCCTCTCGGCGATCCAGTCATCTGTATAGGAAGCTGTGGTGACATAGGTGATGGCGGTCTGTCAGGATCTATCTGACTTGGTAAACTCTCCATGCTTGGCCTTCCACCAGACACATCGCGTGATGGGCTGCGAGGTGCATCTCGGTCTCCAGTTGCCGCATTAGGATGCCTGGGCACGTCAAGCGTATTAGAAGATTTAGGAAGATTAAGACGACTCTCCGCAGACGTCGGCTGTTCCACTGCCTGGTGGATGCTGTTCGGCCTCCTAGCTCCTGGAGTCACGCTTTCGTTCGCGCTGCCGCTCTGTGTTGGCTGGATAGACAGTTGAGCGTCGACCTCATTGACAATTTTCGAATGGCCTACGGGGTCAGGCACTTGCCGCTGAAAGCTACTCGCGCCATTGGATTCGCCGTTTGGTGGGTTTCTTGAAGTAACGCTATCTTGGGAGGCTGCTCTATTAGGAGAACGCGTGAAGTAGCGGGATTGTAATGCCATGTAAGCACTGGAGCTAGATAGACGAGACTCATGCTTACTCTGCGCCTCATTTGGGCCTACGGCTGCTTCACTATTCTCAGTGGGAATTACTGGAGATATTGCCATCCCTTTTGGCGAGCCAGCGCTTCGTCGATGACCAAACGTAGCCTGAGTTGGGGTATTTCTTTGCATTTCTGATGGAGAAGATGCTTCATGAGCAAGATTTTGAGAGTCGTTGTCGGCTGAAGCCATGTGCCCCGCTGCCGGTAGCTCGTGAGAGTTGCTCTTACGCCGGCTCTCCTTGTGACTGGACGAGTCTCTTTTTCTGTATATCTTTGAAGAGCGTGGGAGTCGATCAGCCTTTTCCTCTTCACTTCGTTCATCATCGGCAAGCTGACTTTGTGTGATACTCTGCACCGAAGGCGCATCATGCTCCGATGCTGCTTCATTAGCTTGCACAGAAGCCCCACTAGTATCGACGGAAGAGGCAGTAACATCGCCACGTGCTTGAGATGTCGCGTGCTGTGGCTGCATTCCTCGGGGAGCAGAGGTGGGCGTGGTAGGAAGATTGGACGGGGAAGCCTGACACAAAACAAGCATCAATCACTGCAACTCCAGACGCAAGGATCAGTAAGGGAGATAAAAATGCTACAGCGTGCTTCGTCTCCATGACTCCATCAGAATCGATGCTAAAATACATACAGACATCCAATGCTCACTACTGCGAACCTCCATTACGAGCATGAAAGAAAGTTTGAGAGATAGGTTGTTAGGGAGGTTATACCTTCTTACTGCCACTGGCATCTCGAAGTTTGTTCTTTCCTTTTGAAAACAAGCCTTTGGCTGCAATATTCGCCTTTCCACCGAAAACTCCTGCAGTGTGCAGGAACTCTTTGCTCTTGGCCTGTACTTGCTGGCTCGTGATCTTATTCCCGGACGGAGAGAAACCTTGAGATTGATTGGGTCCTGGTGCACTACCTGCCGGTGCATTTACACCTGCTTGCGATTGTGGGCTGGCATCTAAGTATTGCTGATAGTATGGCTGGCCTGTCTTGCTACGAGACGGCGATGCCTTATGATCAGGAGCAGCAACGCCCATTTGACCCCCGGTTTGGACGAGATCGCTATGTTCCGGCAAGGCATTGCTTGTGGTCGCTATCCAATGGGCAAGTCCTGTGTTTAAATTTGCAAACTTGCGCTGCGTCTCGTCAAAAGCAAGTATGCGTTCCTGTGGTGTTTTCAATGCCATGATCTCGCGAAAAGCGGGGAGCTTCGGCACCTCACTAGACGGCGGAGGCGGCGTAGGAAGCGCCTGCATACGCTCTGTTGTAGATATATGTGGCGCAGAAGGCCTTATTTCTCCCAACACGCGATCACTTGAGTTCCGGTTTCTTAATTCAGAAGAGTCATGAACAGCGGATTCAGTCCATATCGTATGGTCAACTGGTTGGGACACTATGGCCTCTGGTCCCTCTAAAGAGCTTGTGCGATCCTTCAGCGGTGGTGGCATGTCATCAGCAAGACTTTGAGAAGCGCCAGCAGTCGGTATCTCCAGCTCCGGACTATCTGGTAAGCTCTCATCGTCCCTGATGGTATGCTGCATTTGATTCGCGACAAAGCCATCGGGCGAGGGTGGGGCTACGCTTTGAGATTGCATTGGGTTACGCTCTGTAGTGATTTGAGGCTTTGATGAATTGGATGCAGGTGCGGTATCACGCAATGTTGCCTCCTGCGGCATCACCTTCTGCTTTGCCTGCGATGGGGACAGATCTGCCAATTCCGCTTCCCAAGAGAATCGCCGCTTAAGGGGACGCGAATCCTCTCCAGTTTGCGGTGCAACCAGGAACTCTTGAGGTGCTCCGTGATGCTGTTCGTCAGGCTTCGGAGAAGTCTCAGCCAGGGGGGATGTTCCCTCCTTTTGAGCAACGGCAGCCCGATGGGCCAAACTAGGATCTCGACTGGCGACGCTTGTCGTGTCTTCCTCGTCATCATTCCAGTATTTGTCGTACTCACTTGGTACATGGCCACTCCCGTGGTCATTTGACATCATGCTATCATTTGTAGGATATCTCGCTACGCTTTCGTTTGTGGGATATCGCGAGGAAGCTTGATAAGACGAGGCTGATTCGGCTGTTGACGGTTCACTGCGTAACTCTCTAACGATTTCGCGCCGTAGTCGGTCGGACTCATATTGTTCAGTGCCTACATCCGTGCTCAAGGATGGTAGAGAAGGTGGTTGCTTTGCAGGCGAAGGTGACATCGTAGATGCAGAGGACGCGTCTCTTTGCGATGTAGGTTCGACCGAGTCTGAAGTGAATGGCTCTTGGCGGGCTGTATCTTTGGGCAGAGAAGTTGGAGCTTTGGAACTTTTACTAGCGCTCTGATCTGCCCCAGACAGCTCACTTCTCAAAGGCGGAGGTAGCATTGCAGCAGCCGAAGTCTTCTCAGCTCCAGCGGCCGCCCTATGAACCCTACTTGACATGTCTCCGGTCTGAGCTAACTCGGATTGCTCATCGTTTCGAGACAGTGACATCTTTCTGGTAGCTGGGAGCTCTGCCGGCGCTTCCTTGTTCGCATCATGGCTCAAGACCGAGTCTTGATAGCTATATCCCTGTGAAGGCATTATAGATGCTGAAGACTCCCATCCTCCGGGTAATTGTGGTCTGAAGCTTTCCATACGTTCATTGGCTGGCCTTCCATTTCCACGTACGTTGGGAGCCACTGGATTCTGACCTAAAAGGCTGGCTCGTGGGGTTGTGATAGATTGAGGAGAGTCGGGCCTAGTGCTACTCTCGAAATTCTCTACGAGATTTTTTACACGACCGCTGCCAGATGAATTGGTACGATTTAGAGAATATGGCAAGTTGTGAGGAACTGCCATTTCTGTGGTGGGATCGGAAGCAACTTGGTCAGAACTTGAAGTGGACTGGACATCTGCCGAACGAAATCCCTTCGCGGCTGATGCTTCTGACACTTCAGATGTCTCTGACACTCGAAGACTGTTGCTCGCACTTGGCACAGAATCGGTTGGAGTTGGGGTCGCTTGGGCAAGGTCAGCTTCATGAGGATGTCTTAGATGACTCATGGATGCGAGAATCGGAAGTCTTGCAGGGCTATTGTCGGGACTTGGGGTTCCTGACTCTCTCCGATGACCCATTATGAAACCTGGAGGTGGCGGTTCGATATCGTCCTCATTTTGTGATTCGAGATTTTGCGAAGCTTGTGTTAGAGTACCGACTGACCCACTAGCTCTTTGTCTAGTCTTCAATCTCAGGTTGTCCTCTTCTTGTGTGGGAGTTGTAACATCTTCAATACTGGGAAGCTCATGAGTCCGATCTCTGTCCACTGCACTTGGCCCTCGGCTCATGATGGGACTGACAGTGCTGGTCCCACCACTAGTACTTCGCCCAATGGAAGAGTCAGCATTGGAACTTGGTGTCGGTGGCACTTGCTCCTGAGCCGTATCAAAGGCCTGATGAACAGCTGATCTGAAGCCTTTCGATTGCTGATGTCGAAGATCTGGTTCGCTTATATGCTGATCTCTCCCCGTTGGCTTCTCTGACGGGTCACTAAGAACCGGACTCAATGTCATGTCTTTCGAGAGTTGCCCGTGGGTGTCCCGCGGACCTAAGAAAGACTCTCCAAAACCTTGACCCCATCCAGATATCCGGGTCGGATCTGGAAGGGTCAGTCCAGGGGAAAGAGTGGACTCCTGAGCAGCTGAAGGCTGTGAAGACTTCGGAAGATTGAACGTCTTAGATGTCGTTCGTTTCTTGTCGTTGTGCTTCGCAAGGTCTTCAGGAGTCTTCCTATCATTACCTTTCGGTTGCATGTCGCTCTTCAGGCCTTCAAAGCCATACTCGCTTTTTCGCTCCGTGACGGCATCTAGCTTTGGCTTTAGACGTTGAGCAGAATCACTTTCTAGCTTCGTGTCCAAGCTTGATCTTTCCGCAGGTTTCCCTGTTATTGCATCCATGCTCGGTCTGGAAGATTCTTGAGATTGTCTCTCTCGCTCCCTTTCTTCTTCCATCCTTTTATAGATGTCAGCAGGACGAATGAGCACCGAACTTTTGCCTCCTGATGCAGAGCTCCCTGCGCGTGAGCGCGCTTGCCCATCGAGGGCATTACTGAAAGGCGCTGAGGGTGGCGCACGCGGGTCAAATGGCAGAGCTGGTTGAGACTGTTGACTTAAGCTACTCTTCCTTGGCGGTCGACCCTGTGGATTGCTGTGTGGGGAAGGTGAGTTCCTTGTTTGCAATGGTGGAGGCATTGCGGACGGGGAGAAATCTCTTCTGTCCATAAGTCCTGGGGCAGAACTATAGTTGCTAGCGGACTGGATTCTACTATCATGGCTTAGCACATGCATTTGATCTCCAAGCTGATGGCTGCGATAGTTGTCGCTTGTTGTAGATGGCTGTGGTCCATGCCTAGCTTGGCTGTCAAAGCCCGGTTGGATTGAGAAACTGCTGACATGATGGGTCGGTGGCGGCTGACTTGGTTGATTAGGATAGCCCTGGTTCATCCCAGGTTGAAAATCTTGCGCTGAAATGTTTTGACTAGATTGGGTAGGTGGATGTGGACCGGCGGAGAATGTCCGTCGACCTCCTTCCTGGTCAAATGAGTCCACGTTCTGCGACCTAATCTGATGCTCCATTGCAGGCGTAGTCATGTTACGCGCACTGGATTGTTGAAGAGGAGGAGCAGAAGCATATTGAGAATTTGAAGGTGTGCCATGGCTTGCGATGCCTTGAGGAGCATTATGTCCATAGGCACTTTGAGAACCTTGGGAGGCTGACTGCCCACGCTGCCGTAATCCTGTGGGCTTGGGTGAAGGTTCCGGCTCATCATACCCGCCGTATTCATCGTAATCGTCAACGTCGCCCCAGTCGTCTCCATCGTAAGAGTAGGATTTTGCCTCGACCCATCGCTTGGTCTTCGCTCGATTGACGTTTGTCTTATAAGAAGTCGCCTGCCCAGCCGGCGTTGTGGGCGTACTCATGACCTATACTGAGATCAATTGTTGGCTTTGGTATTCGTTTAACATCTATCATCCCAGCACGTTCACGACCGGGCAGACATTGCGGTAATGCGAAGATGTCAACAATGTGTTCACAGAAAGCGTCGCGGAGTCCACATCGGTAACAAGTATTCGCCTATTAGGCAGTCACTAGCTGTTCAAATCAGTGGCTCCTTGCTTCATTGTGTTGAGGATGCAAGAGTTCGGCGAAGTTGGTCTCTCCGCGAATGACTCTCGCATGAGCGTCATGCGCAGTTGTGTGAATTGATCTTGAAAACAGTGAACACGGAGTCCTAGTCTGAGTAGAGTATTTGAAAAGCTCAGTGCGAGCACTCCAGCAGACAGCATAAATAAATGCAGTCGTAACAAGAATGGCTACTGGCTCCGGGACATGTGAACAGGTTACGGAATTGCTTCCGCGATCTATTTAATGAACAACGGAAACATCTGTTTCTCAAGTGAATACCCAGGCCAGCCAGCGGTATCACTTGTGTGCAAAGATAATCATCGAATTCCAACATTAAATACCTCAAGACTCAGGCATCACCATAGCGCGAAATTTCAAATTTCGTCAAAAGAAAAGAAAAAAGTGCATACTTTCAAAGGAGAGGGCTTTTTGGTGTTTCCTTTCCGAGAGGGCGTATATGTCGTGCAGATTGGGGGGAGATCAAGAGGCTGAAAATGGTCACAAACATCCAAGACCGGACAGCTGAATTCAAGGCTGTTCTAGCGCAGGCGCAGAAAAAGCAGAGTTCGACGAGGGTTGGGGCTCAAAGGCAATCGCTCCTCACCGAATCACAAAGGCATGCTGCCAATGGATCTCCAGTCGGAGATATCAAGGGAAGAAAGAGGGCGAGACGTTCTGAATTCGCACGAAGAGCCGCAGAAATCGGAAAAGGCATCACGGCGACGATGGAGAAGCTAGGCAGACTTGCTGAGTGTAAGTCTCGAAGAATGTCCTCGCAAAACGAGAATGACTTGGCTTACGTCTATGTTCTTACCAGTGGCCAAGCGAAAGTCCCTTTTTGATGACCGACCTGTCGAGATCAATGAACTTACATATGTTATAAAGCAAGACTTGTCATCCTTGAATGCCCAGATATCCTCCCTACAGACATTCACAAAATCACAAAACTCTAGTAACAGTGCTGAGCAGGAAGGAGAGCATAACAAGAATGTATATTTATTCATCGTAATCTCGGACTGAAAGAAACTAAGTGCCACTAGGTTGTCGTTCTTTTGCAAGGCAAATTGGCCGATGTGGGAGTCAATTTCAAGGAGGTCCTTGAAGTCCGAACGAAAAATCTTCAAGCTTCACGGTCAAGAACGGAAAATTTTGTATCCTCGGTATCTGCACATTCTCAGCAGTTAAACTCCCAACAATCTGCTTCACCACTTTACAACACCCCGACCAAATCTCGAACACCCCAACCGGGATACCAAAACACAAATCAGGATATCTTGAACCTCGATCCAGCCGCCCCATCAACGATGATGGCGGGTGGGTCACAATCAAATCAACAGATAATGATGATGGAAGAGGCGCAGCCGGCAAATACCTACATCAACATGAGAGGAGAAGCGATAGATATGATAGAACGAACGATCAATGAGCTTGGAGGTGTTTTCGGTCAACTAGCGGCAATGGTATCTGAACAAGGGTAAGCTTGCTGCTACTAACAAGCTGTTTTAGCTAATCCTTTTGGCAAGGGAGCAAATACAACGTATAGATGCCAACACCGAGGACGTGGTCGACAACGTGCAGGGCGCTCAACGAGAACTTATGAAGTATTGGTCGAGAGTTCAGGGTAATCGCTGGCTTGTTGCGAAGATGTTTGGGGTTTTGATGGTAGGTCACCCGCCATGTAGGAGACCTGAGGCTAATATTGCTAGATTTTCTTCCTGCTATGGGTCTTAATCGCAGGGTAGTAGTATTTTGAGCGTGGCGTTCGGACGTGAAGTATCAAATATAGACCGACTGTACTTGTACGACTTATTGCATTCTAGAGCTGTAAATAATTAGAGCGTTTGTGTCGGGATGGAGATGAATACTTCTAGCCTCGCCGACGAACATCAATATGCATTACATACGACCCAAAAATAGGTACTTGCGTCGTGTTGTGGAAACGACCTTCAAATTTCTCATAATTGGCATGCGCCTCGATATACATTGCTGGAACAGTGACACGGACCAACCGAGAGTCAACGGATGTTTAACGCAATAAGAAACATGAAATGACCCTCCTGCTCTGACCAAACACTAACCCCATGCTCCTTGAGAATCACTAAGCCTTTTCACCCCTAGCATCCCTCCTTCCAGCTTCATAAGCCTCCTCCATGGCAGTCTTATGCCCAGCATCAGTAGGCGCATTAGCATCATTGTGCCTCCTCCAGATCATGCCTAGCAAGCCGGTTCGGCCACTCCCTGCCATTTGCACTCCAGACCCAGCAACAATCTCATAAGCAGGCGGCTTGCCTTCATGGTAAGCTGGCGCGTCACCTCTGATGTCGCGGGTGCCATAAACATTTTCGTGGAAAGGTTGGTTGGGGTAGGCCTGGTTAGGAGGACCTTGAAGAGCAGGGGCGGCGTGGTGCGAGTGTTTAGTCAACAGCGCAGCGGCGATAGGCAGGATGTGGTTGCTACGAGTTGCGCAGCTGCGTTTGTGGCATCTTCCGCGGCGACCGCAGGAGTAGCAGGCGGGGCGATTGTGGTGGCACATGGTACATGTAGGTTGGTTGCGGATTGTGATGAGGGAGCTAGGTTGATCTTCTTTATTCAGATAGAGAAAAATATGCTTGAGATATTGAAAGCTTCTAAGATATGTTTCTGCCTGATTGCTTGGCTAAATGAGAACTTGAAGCTGATGATGAACCGCATAAGGAGGGGTATTGGACTGCAATATATAGACTCGCATCCTGGAATGAATCCACAAGTATCATGCTCGACATCACTCTGATTCCTCACGCTCGCACGGTACAATTACGGTCTATGAGATGTAGCGACGGCGACAGTACGCTGTCTTTTGGCCGATTGTTGGTGTGTATTCGCACGAAAGGTTCCATGGAGGGAAGTTCAGCCGCACTGAACGCGCCGCGCGTTTCCCCTTTTGCCTAGAAGCGAGCCCCTTTTTAGTCCCACAAGCAAAAGCAAGACGACAAGGACGAGTGTTCCATTGCACACGTGATCCGATTTGAGTCAAAATGTCAGTATCCTGATTTTTGCAATGATCTCTGTACATTCTATGATGCTTTGTTCGCTTTTCTTTTCTCTTTCGCGATTTTTTCTCTCCTTTGAATCCAGCCTTCGGCGCCAACTCCACCAAAGACTAAGGCAACTCCTACCCATTGCATCTCGGTCAATCTGTGACCAAACCACAGTACGCTGAGAATCATAGTCAACATCTTCCTCGTGACTGTCACCGTCACGAGTAGGAGCGAGCTGAATTTACTCAGAGTGTAGTAGATAAAGATTTGGCCGACAGCGCCACAAGCTGCGAATGAGAGGATGTCGATAAACACAGAGGGATGCCGTGCGATGAAATCCAAAGCTGCAGCCAACTCATTGGTGTTTGTAGTGGCCGCAGGTTCAAAAAAGAGCGTGGCTGGGAGAAGGGGAGATACCAACAGATAAAAGGTGGTCAAGGCTGTGGACAAAAGATTTTGCGCTACCATCATTTGCGGGCCAGTGTAATGTCGGTTTGTGCTAAAGATGTGATCTTGTGTTGAGTTTGTCAAGCCATCGAAAAGGAGATTGATGCCCAACAGGAGCAAGCCCCACACTGAGTTGCCGGATCTTGTGGATGATGCTTTCTTAGCTGAAGACGGATGATAGAGGGTGAAAACTGCAACTCCCGCGGTGACAAGCGCTACGACCAGATATTTATACAACGGATAAGATTTGCGAAATACTGTGAGATGGAGGAACATAACGGGCAACAGCTTGCATGACTTGGCAAGTATGAACGTTATATAGTCGACATGTGAGAGTGAGGCGTAGCCAAACGGAGATGCTAGTGAGGAAGTAACTGCGACTAGTACCAGAGGAACGAAGATAGATTTCGAGGGAAATATGGAGGTAGTCGCGTTGTCTTTAGCGGTAGTCGTCAGGAGGTAGGCGTAGCCTGCTACCACGGCAAAGGATGATTGGATGGTGTTCAAGAAGACGGCATATGTGAATCGCTCGGGTGAAGCAACGGAGCCGTACGACGTCGTGGTGATGCGCTCTTGTAGGAGGGCCCAAGTGAGGCTTCAGACACGTTAGCATGAGATACTGGTCTAATGCCGCGGGTAAAGGTACAAGGAGGCGTAGATGCCAGCCACACAAATCAATAACTGTGTGAGACCTGGCTGGGATAGAGCTGTAGACAGAGCAGGAGCTCTGAGAGCTCCACTGCTCACTTTTGCGCTGCCATTGAGCTCCTGCGAGTTCAACCTCTCGAAATCGGAAGGCTCCCTTCGGAGCGGAGCCGCCTGTTTCTGTCGAGCCATTCAATGCGAGACGGCCTCCAGACGAGGCAACAGTAAAGACTGGAGTGTCAACGGTAGCAAAGCATTGTGAACATTGTTGAAAGAAGGAAAAGGTGTCTTCTTGAGTTCTGTCTCATTGACTTCGAGCTTTGACGCTAGTTCTAGGCGGCCGGCGTATTCCCGAGCGGAAAAAGCCGGCATCTCAGGCGGGAATTGGCAGATCTTCGAGGCCTTCAATTGGAGCATAGCGTCATGAATTGTACAAAAAAGCAAAAAAAGTCTCAAGCTTCCCTTCCTTAATCTTTTTGTTAGCACGTTCCTTCTGTCGTATCCCTTACTTCTCTTGTACAGAGTCTTCGCCTACGAGGCAACTGCTTTCCAATTCATAATATTGGCGGTCGTTCCTTCCTTGTAATCTGCACTCGTCGTCCTCTCAGCACGCTCGTTATACCGGAAACTGATTAATATGTCAAATCGACACCATGATCACATAGAAATAGGTCTGTTCTACTGCGCTGCTCCCTCAGCCACTCCATCCACAGCTAGGCTTTGTCTGACACGACTCACAAGAAAAATCTACCCAGTCAGATTCTAACCAGAAAGAGCACATACCGCAGCTTCAAAATGGCAATGAAGATGGAGGGCCGATGGCAGCCCCGGAGGCTACCTCAAAAGAAGACGCAGTCTCTGACAGTAAGTCAATCCTCTTTCCTCGAATATCGACTAAATTGGTTCCCAGATGTCTTTCAAATCGCGATCAAAATTCCTCACAACCCTCGACGAATCGAGATCATGGTATCGACACAGGAACAAGTTCAAGATCTACGACAAACAATCATGGAGACACCGGGCGCTATTCAGTACTCATGCTTCCATCTTGAGTTCAAAAAGAAGAGGATCAATGACTTCATTGAACTTTCGGAAGTCGACGGGCTTACAGCGAACGCCGAATTGCTTTTGGTAGAAGATCCCTACACCGAGAAAGAGGCGCGCATGCACTTACTGAGGGTGAGAGAGATAATTGGTGTTCAACCGGAGAGGGTTGAGGGCCCGTATGGCATTGCTGCCGGTTTATCACTTCATGACTCCATCTGCCCTTGGAAGCCGTCGGAAGGTAGCCTACCCACGCAAAATGGTGCCAACCACTCGAGCTTAGGCGTAGCTGAGAATGCTCTCGCGGATTATAGCTTTGATGGACTGCCCGATATCCAGCAGATGAGCCAAAGCCCATGTCAACCTTCGCCTACCACTATAAAAACACTCAACCTTTCATCATGGAATCCACCCCCACTATACTTACGCCAAAAGGGCCATTTGATTTATTTGCAGCTTACGACCACCGAAGGTGAACAGCACCAAATCACGTCACACGTCACAGGGTTCTACGTGAATAAATGTTCGAACGGGAAATTTGACCCATTCCCACGATCAGCGCCGAAAAGCGCGTTCGCACACTCTCTTTTGACCCTATTGTCAAGCCTATCAACTTCATTTGAATTGTCCTTTGCCGGCCTCTTAGAGGCAAACAGCAAGAGAGACCCGCTGGTCAGCTTCCAGCTCACAAATGCTGTCCCCGCTAGCCCATGGGTCGTATCTTCGTCGATGGCCTTTGGAGATCGTCATCCTGACCTAATAAGAACACAGGAAGCCTTCCTCTTGAGCGGCCCAGACGGCAATGAAACCTTAAGAGATTGGAATGAGGAGTTGCAATCCACAAGGGAGCTGCCACGAGAGACTGTACAAGAGCGTGTGATTCGAGAGCGACTGATCTCAAAGACATATGCCGAATTTACGGATGCAGCGGTAAAGGGTGCTCTCCTTGTAGCTCGTGGTGAAGTCGCGTCTTTGAATCCGACTGAGTCAACGGACGCCCAGATCTTTGTTTACAACAATGTTTTTTATTCCTTCGGAGCCGATGGGGTTGGCACGTTCACTTCTGAAGGTGGAGACGAAGCAGCACGCGTAGCAGTTGGAAAAGATGTTATGGGTGTTAAAGCCGTGAATCAACTAGACATCAAGAGCTTGTCGACTGCGGGTACAATAGTCGTTGATTATATTGGGAAACGGATTGTGGCTCAGAGTATAGTGCCCGGAATTTTCAGACAGAGAGAACCAGATGAGCATCAGGTCGACTATGGCGGTGTTGAAGGTCGAGATGTCGTAGCCGACAACCAGGCATTTGTTCCTGCTTTCTCACAAGTTTCAAAAGCCTTGAGAATCAAGTCACATGCCGTATGGGATCGTGATGGTAAACGGCATGATTTGGAAGGCAGTGTCGAAACGAAAGGCCTACTGGGAACGGATGGCCGGAAATATATTTTAGACTTATATCGCCTTACACCATTAGATATCTCGTGGCTGGAAACACATCATGTGCAGACCTTCGACAAGAAATCTATCTCTGAAAAGGATTCTTACCCTCATCGTATGGCCATCTTGAGGCCGGAGCTTATTGAGTCATACTGGCGGCTCAAAATGGGTGAATATGTAAGAGAGCAGGTCAGTAAGAAGAAGGGTGCGACAGGCTCTCAAACCCAGAGCTCAGACGCTGCAAACCCTGAGACAGCAATTGCAAATGACGATGGGCTGCAAACACCGCCGCAGCTCACGAATGGACTTCGCGAAAATCCCCCTGATTTTGTCAAGGGACAAATTGCGGAGCTCACACAAGGAGCACTCAATGGAGCGGCACCCGAGCATATAGATATATCATCGTTTACGCTTGCGTTGAATCCTGATGTCTTTTGTGGACAAATACCGCAAAGTGAGAAAGAAAAGGCTTTATGGGCGGAGGATGAGGCAGGTGTGCGTGCTGTCTGTGACTACCTGCATCAGACAGTGTTCACAGACTTACTTAGCGACCTTCGAGAAGGAGAAGTTGGATTTCCTATGGATGGATTGTCTCTCAGTCGATTATTGCACAAACGCGGGATCAATATTCGCTATCTTGGAAAGCTTGCCAACATCGCTGACGACAATGTTCGTGGCCATGCTCTTCGGGCACTTGCGGAGCAGGAAATGATTGCAAGAGCGTTCAAGCATGAAATCCGCCAATATCTCAGTGATGTTCCTGCCATTTTCACTACAAGTTGTGTAGCGCACCTTTTAAACTGCTTAGTTGGCACACAGCTTAACAGCTCGCCCACCGCAGTCATCGATGAAAGCTTGAGGTCGATGTACCCAAAGAGCAATTTCAGCTTTCTCGAAGTGACACCCGAGATTCTGGCTGTTGGGGTCAGAGGGCAGGTTCATTCTCGTTTCCGCTATGATCTCCAAGAGACTTGGATAGAGCACTTGGAGCATATTCAGTTGACACGATCTATCGCACTCAAAATAGGCCTGCAACTCATAGCGAAAAAATATAGATTCGAACGCGGAAATACGCCTTCCATGGGTAAGAACACCGCTACAAGCAATGGTAATGAGACAATGCCTACTACAAATGGCCCTACGCAGCTGAATGGTGTCTCTAAGAAGAAGAAGAAGGGTGCTGCTCGGAGGTTGAGTCAATCTGGCACAACCGCCCCTTCTTTAGAGCAATCCCGTACTTTCCATCCTGATGACATTGCAAATATCGTACCAATCATCAAAGACTCGTGTCCAAAGAGTACTTTGGCAGAAGAGGCTCTGGAAGCCGGAAAGCTTTCCATCATGCAGAATCAGAAGGACGTGGGACAGGAACTCTTGCTGGAGTCACTAACACTCCACGAGCAGATCTATGGCGTATTACATCCGGAAGTAGCTCGCGTTTATCATCAGCTAGCTATGCTCTACTTCCAATTAGATGAGAAGGCAGCTGCTATCGAGCTTGCGCACAAAGCAGTCATCATCTCTGAACGCACCTTAGGCATAGATTCGAGTGAGACCGTGCTCAGCTATCTCAATCTTGCCTTGTTTGAGCATGGAAATCGCAACACTGCTGTTGCTATAGCGTGTGTAAGACACGCACTTGAACTGTGGAGGACAATATATGGCAACAATCACCCAGACCTTATGACTACATTCAACAACGCAGCAGTCATGCTTCAACAACTCCAGAAGTACAACCAGTCACGGACGTGGTTTGAGAAATCGCTCAATCTCAGCGAAGAAATTGCCGGCAAATCCTCCGTTAACACAGCCACACTACTCTTCCAGCTCGCACAAGCGCTGGTCCTTGATGGTGACCATAAAGGTGCCGTCCAAAGAATGCGGGAGGCCTACAGTATCTTTCTATCAACGTTGGGTGCTGAAGACTCCAACACAAAGGAGTCTGAGAAATGGCTTGAACAGCTCACGCAGAATGCAGTTTCGATGGCTAAGCACGCTAAAGACGTGCAGTCTAAACGAATTCGAAGAATACTTTTCAGTCCCAGAGCACCTCATCTAAACGGCGACCCACAGCCACAGATAGGGCAAGCTCAAAACGCCCTCACGAATAGCAACGAGATCGGGAATACTTCGCGGCTAGATCCGCGAAGCATTGAAGAATTGATGAAATATATAGAGGGGGGCGGAGAGGTCTCGAAGACACCCGCCAGAAAGCGCGTAGGACGACTGAAGCCACGACAGACAGGTGGAGCGCGTGTTGGTCCTGGTGCATAGGAAATTCTTCGACGAGAGCGGTTCAGCGAGCCAAACTTTTCAACAGAGCATTGTTTGCAATATCAGGCGTATTTTTGATTTTGCGGGTATTTGCATTGGGGAAGCGAAAGGTACATACATGTATAGCACCAGCAATCTCCCTTCAGAAATTTTGGTGTTTGTAGATAGCTACTCAGCAAGGTGTACTACAGGAGGATACTTGGTAGAAGGGTGTACAATAGCAGGTAGCATGGGTCATTTTCACCCGATCTTGAACACAAGACAATCCACTCTAATCAGTCGTCGACCCGCAACAGATTCTGGCATTGTTTCTAAGTACTTTGTTGGTGATATTGTGGTGGCTTCACCGTTGCGTAAAGCGCCTTTGAAGACTCTACTGCTTTGACTTTCATGTTTGCTTGCTGTCCTCGAAAGACTCGAGGGCAATGACACATTGGACGCATTTGGCAGACTACCGAAACCCAACGTGGTACTTAAATTGAAGGCGGAAATTCATGTTAGGTGAATCTCGAGAACGTGAGAAAAGGGTCATTTTTGGACAGAGCTCACATCTGCTTTCATGTAATCTACATGCACCTGTCTTGTCAAGTTTGCTATTTACTAGAATATCTCTCACGCCTCAACAAAACCAGTCAAAACACGCTTACCACCCAAAACTCGCCTCAACGAGGTCAATGTTCCTTCTCTCCTGCCTCCTCCGGACTGCTGCCCTAACGTCATCCCCCAAACTTCCAGGCCCACAGACTCCCACCGCCATAGCCCCCAATTGTCCTCTGCGCTCCATCTCTACAAGTGTCTCCAAGTCCGGCCTCCCTGGAAACATCTGCACAGTAGTACTCGGGCTATGAACCTCCCTACAACTCTTCGGTTGTGTCACAAATAGCTGTATCCTAAGCACCTCTCTGCGTTTCGACATGGCTAGGATACTTGTCATCCACGGCCGTATCCATTCCAGATGTTCAGCGGAGCGGATCACCCAGACGAGAAGGATCTTGCGGGCTGCGACCGTGTTGGAAGAGTAGCCGGAGACGAGATGGCGGATGTAGGGAATTTGGTGCGTTATGCCTATGCCGCCGGCTACCAGCATGATGGTACCGTACGAGTCAAGGCATTTGTCGCCGCCATAGGGCCCTTCGACTAGGGCGGGAAGAGTGAGTGGACCACCTCTAGGCTGCGCGAGCAATTTTCGGTACAAGTGCTCGGTGAAGCCACTGCGGCGACGGACAACGAGCGAGACAGTGTTTGGGCGCATGGCGAGCGCGTCAAAGGTGGAGTCGATGTCTGTGACTTTTATATCCTTCTCAGGGTCGCTGGGACGACCAATAGTATCAGACCAGGCAACAGTGAACGGGTGGTTCATCCAGAACAGAGAAGGTATTGTTAGGAACACGTGCTGTCCAGGTCGAAACCTCCATGGACGAGCGACCTTGAGATTGATGCGCATCGTATCTCCAGGAAGAGTCTCGATGGTGGCCTGAGTAATTGTGTGGCCTATGTTCCGATAAACTAGCGTTGCGAGTCTTAGGCATCGCTCGATTACCCATATGGCGATGAGGATCTTGACAAGAATTTGAGGAGGGTATCCATCCAAATGGTTCCAGAGAGCAGCAAGGATGAGAGCGGCCAACACAATGTGAATGTTAAGAAAGGTCTCGTAGAAAGCGCGTCGGAAGGCTGTAAAGGTGGTGAAGAAGATGACTAGCACCGAGAGGAATGCTATGAAGCCGAAAAGCAGGAACCGCTCGGTCTGCAGGAAATTATTCAAGACAGCCAGATCCGATTTGTGCATTTGCCCTGCCATAATGTGGAATTTCCTGAACTCGACGCTGGCGTGGGCGATGACGAATACAATTACGAGGTGGCCAAACCAACGATGGATCAGGTTGAATGTGTCGAACGGTATCCTCGTGAGGGCGATCAAAGGGCTGTTTCGGCCAGAAAGAAAAAAAAGCGGGAGCATGTTCGTCAGTGCGAGAGTGCCTAATCGGTTGCGGAAGTGCATAAGCAATATTTGATAGTCGCCGCTCCATTCCATGCCATATGTTGCAAACGTAATGTTCATGATGACGATCCCAAAGAAGATCCCACCCTGCCAGCGGGTAGGAATGACAACCAGCTCCAAACGGCCTATCCGTATGGGTTCGCTATGGCGTTTACCAAACAAAGGTGCATACAGCACGTGTTCTTTGAATTTCGCGTAGAAGGATTGTGGTGACCGAAAGTAATTCTGCGTCTCATTGCTGAGACATGTCAGTGTACGTGCCTGCTGTGTGAAGATGAACAAGATGTTGTGTAGAACGAGCCCGCCCGTGATGCCGAGTAGTATAAAGATTGTGTATTTAGAAAAGCGTTCGTTGTCGACCAGCGATGCCTTTATGACGGCTAGAGGAATGTCCAGGCGTTTCTCGAGGCTCATCTTTGCTCGTAGGAGCGAGGCTTTGACGGAGACGATGGTGTCAATGTCAGAAAGGAAACTCTACGAAGATTGACGTAGAGGATAAATTAGGACGCACTTGCTTCAAGCAGGTACAAAGCGGAGATTTCAACAGGTAATCAACATGACATCAAACAGCGTCACCAATCCTATGTGAAGTGTCACTTCCTTTCAGAGTTCGAGAAGCAGAATGCAATTGTAGGGGGGAAGAGGTTCTCTCTGTCACATTGCCGTCCTGAAGATAGGTCAAATGAGTCGATTCGTGGGAGTGCCATTATAAATATCCGTAGGAAAGATATACAAGAAGCCTAGACCGAACCCGAGACAATCCAATGCAAAACGCAGTTTTAGTGTGAGTTAGCGAAGGATAGTTCGCCTCCTTGATTCATTACTCTTGCGAAAAGAATGCAGTCAAGAGCCTTCTCCCACCGAAATCTGTAGTATTGGGGCAAAGTAGAGCGAAACGGCACCTGTGAGCAAGTTATCTTCATCATGATGACTTCGTCCATAAAGCAAACATCAGTCATTGGTTACATTTGCTTGCATCTGATGGAGATGATGTACTGATGCTGTTTCACTCGGACTTCCCAAAGCTGCACGCAATTTGATACTTGATACCTAGTGAGCTGGAGGCCGTCTTGGCGGCATTCCCGCCGCACCGCCCACCGCCGACTCGTCAGGGGATGCCCTGGCACTTGGCCTCTTGGAGGCACAGCGCCCTCAACTCTCAACTCAGACATACTTGCGAGCTCTGAAGATAGTCTACTCCCTTGTTCGAGGCACAGCCTGGATCCCATCGCCATGTGTAACAGAACTGGTGGATTGGCTTTGGTGAGGGAGGTGCTTGCGTCTTCACCTTGTGCGAGGCACCGATGAGGCTGCGACAACTCCACCTGCAGAGAGCGCCTATGGGCATCTGTCCAACCAAAGTCAATCGAAATAATATGCAAGCCTTGTCTGACAATCTGGATCCTGTGTGTGGCCTCCATCAGGCCGGAGAGCCTGAGTATCCCCTTCATGAGAAGCTCAACTCGTCTTCCTCATCATCGTTATCGCTACCAAGATCAACCAGCTCGATGAGGCTTGACCGCACACGATGACCTTCTCTCAACTTAGCTGTCGCTAATCTCTCAACACTTGCCGCTCCAAGCCTTTGCTTTGCATGCAGAGAATCTCTCCACGAGCATGTTGTTGAGGTCGACAAAGCCGTTATCCTGGGTACCAGCTCCGAACCCCGACTCGAACACAGCTCATCGACTTCATCACAGAATCTAGAGCTCTGGTCCGGCTCTGGTTCCGGCCGCATTTTCACTACGGGCAGCCTATCCGTTGTGGAATAAGCTTGCACTTTGTTGCAATTCGGCCTCAACATTGGGACCTTAACATATTTCAGAAACGACGATCCACGTTCGAGGACACATTCTGACACGCTCGATCTAGAGTCAGTGGTCTTGTAAGGCGAGCAGTCGCGTGTATAATCTGGGCTCATTGCTTGATCCGTCGTCTGTACTTTCAGACTGACGGGACTGTCCCATGAACCGACGTCTCCAGCAGATCTGGGGTTTTTTGGTTGGCGCGTCTCGACAGAGACGATTGGTGTCTTTGCTATCCACTCGCAAATCCCTTCTTCCCAACGATACGCACCTTTTCTACGATTTTCAGCTTTTGCAGGGGTTTTGACCAAGGTCCTAGCAGGCGAGTCTTGAGGCTTTCCGCAAACGTCCGCTTCTATCCCAAGTGCCCATTCCATGTGTGCTGGCTGGTCGGTCGTTTCAGCGAAACCGAATGATGCAGCAACTAGAATATCACCCAGAATCCTTCGGGTTGCTCCACGGCAGCAGGACCGCTTTACTGATTTCCAAAATGACTCAACAGTTGGCTTGATGAGCTCGAAATCACTCGAAAGTCTCTTACCGTCCTTGTGTGGAAGCTGTAGGAGTAGATTTCCAAGATGACTCGTTACGCTCTCGTTGATTTCGAGACTGGAGAGCTGGTCCGTGTAAAAACAAAGATCGTTCTGCTCTTCCTCCCCCTTGTCCAGTACTGTCTTGTACAGGTCGTAAGCTAATATTGCCGCAGCAATTGTTTGTCGGCGTGGTGATATGTAGTGACTTTCGCTGGCCGCGGTTTCGAGATCAAGTAATTGCATACATTCGACGGCAAGCTGTTCTATTAGTTCAGACATCGCTAAGTGCATCTTGGTTTGCATGGCATCTGGAAGTGCATCATTCGTGTGCATGGCATTGAAAATCGCGTCCATGAATTGTATAGGAATGTGGTAGGAATCTGATGCGTGATCCATTGGGGTATCAGAAGGATTCTTTGCAGCTCGTCTCACGTACTTTGCTGTGAGAGCAGTGTCTTCAACCAGGAGACATCGACGAGACATGTGATGACTATACCTGTCTTTTCTCGCTCGTCGCAAATCCTCGATCACAGATTCCATAGGGCACGATGTGCTGCCACATACTTGGCGAAAAATCGTTCGAATCAACTCACCGAGCTCCCCAAAGCTATCTCGGAAAACAACGCTGCTCACATATTGAATATGATTGGGTTGGAGCAAACACTCAAAAGCAGTCCAAGGGAGTCCAGCTTCTATGGCAGCTCTCACCTGTTGATAAACAATTCGTTGTCGTCCGGTTTTGAGTAGAAAAGGGCGTACCCCCTGCATGATAAGGGCTCCTTGGGTAGTAGGTTTCCACCGAGCGAGAACGTCACAGTGCAGAATAGTGCTGATAATCGTTTCAAGAAGCGTCTGCGCTTCATCATGTGCGTCCTCAGTGAGACACAAATCAACGAGACTGAAAGCCATATTAAGACTCACAACATGGTCTGATATTGCTTTCCCAATAAGGCTGACACCGTGGCTTCTGACGATGTCTCGAAGTGGCCTCCAACTTTCACTCACTGCGATACCTTCGAGCTCTCCGTAGATTTCAAACGAGACGTCCTTGTCATTGTCTAAGTCATCTTCGACAGCCATGCATTCCTCCTCTTCAATGTATTCCGGCACGCATTTAAGACACATTGAGAACAAGGATCTACATCCAGAGTTCTGTTGCATGGATGGGTTTTTGGTCGCTTTCAGCAAAGCCGAGAGGCTACGGCTTATGCCTTGAGAGAGCTTCCATCGCTCCTTGCCACTAGAGGACATCGTATCATCGCCTCTTATGGATGGCACGGGAAGCTCAGTGCCCTTGAACTGCACATTGTGTGCGCGTTCATTTCCCGCTTGTGGCAATTGGCATAATGCGTTGAACGACGAAGGTAGGTTTGCTCTTCGGGCTAAGCTCGATACTGCGCGAAACTTCTCTTTGTGCAAATTTTCCTTCAACCCTAATTTACGATGCCAGACTGTTGTTCCCTTGTCGGACTCATTTGACTGGGACGCATCCTCCTTGGAGTTCCTGCCTCGTCCCGAATAAGTGCAACGAATCCGTTTTCTTGGTCTCTGGTCGCAATCCCATGCCTCGGATCTTAGCAATAATAGGGATTTCCTGTCCACATCTACACTCGGTATGACTGGAGACCATGCGTTACCCTCATCAACGTTATTTTCAATGCTTCCATCATTATGTTCCCCCTTTTTTACTTTTCTTAGGATTGATATCTTAGACAGCAATGGCCGCAAGAGGCGCTGACATCGCGTAGCAGTCCATGGTGTTTTGTTCGAGCTCGCTGGCGACTCCACGAACGCTCGATCTCGTATGCGTTTAGAGGGTGAGGCTGTACAAGTTCGTATGTTGACATCGGAGGTACTCATTTGTTTGAAAATCTAGGACATGCTAATGGACATGCTCAGGAGGGTCAATTGCAATAATGTTAAAAGCCAGAAAGTATGTAAGAGCAAGAGCAAGAAATGCAATTGAAAAAAGCAGCAGCAAAAGCTATGTTTCCTATGAAGCCCAACTAATAGTAGAGGTGGGATGGTCGGTAAACATTCGGTAGCGGCAGAACGATTTCCCGAAATCGTCCTCTCGGTCGGGGCCATTGGCTCACGTCGTTTTTCCATCCTTGGATTGAGCCAAGGCGTCAAAACATGAATCAATCGTCAGCAGAAGCTCATCGGTGGCGACTGCGCACCATGTATAGCAAGTTTCAGAGCCGTCAGCAATGACACAAGCGTCGCTCCGGCCACCGAACCTCCAACCCCGCCCGAAGGCAGTCCCTACCTTCAGCAGCACCTCAATAGGAGCAATCTCCCGTTCCACAACACCTCAACTCTCTCGCCCATCTTCCCAAAGTCGGCATGTGTCTCCAGTACGGTATACTACAACCACAGATGTATCAGACCGCGCAACGACCACTCTGATACGCAGGGTACTTTGCCCACAAGCTCTTAGCGGCACGGAGAAAGAGCGACCAATTGACGAATTCTTACCACCTTTGACTAGCAGCAATGAGGTCGATCTTCAATTGTACGCTATTATTGCTATCATAGTGAAAGATCTGGTGCAGAGCTGGTATGGCAAGATTACACCCGATCAGACTTTTGTTGAGGAAGTCGTCAAGATCATTGCACATTGCACAAGAGCTCTAGAGAGCAGGATACGTCTTGTCGATATCGAGAATCTGATCTTGGACGAGATACCAACTTTAGTGGATAGGCACATACAAGGTAAGTCATGGGTCAAAGGACGGGACTGAAGCTTGTGCTGAAGATCTTAGCATTTCGCGTGAGCTACGATGATGCCCAATCGCAAGGCCCATCAACGATTTCCAGAACCATCTATCACAACCTTATACCGCACCCAGCGCTTACCCCCATTCCCAACCCTGCCGTACCAGGCTCCTTTGAGGAGCAAGCGAGAAACGAGTCAAACTATCGACAGCTACTGGCGCAGGGTGCACTGGCCATTTTGCTTCCGACGGAGGATCTAGAAAATGCCTGTCTCCGGACTCTGGTCGCAGACGTGATTGCAGAGCCTATTCTTGGCATTTCGATCGGCGGTAAGGTATGCGAAAGCTGGCTCATTTGGAGCAGCGTCACCAAGCTCGTGGATACGGTCAAAGGGAAGGCGAAAGCAGCAGCTACCGATGGAGGGATTGACGTCGACACCCGAAGCCGGCTGCAAAAGTTTGGACTTCTGTCCGAGAAAGAGGAGAAGACGGCACGAAGCAGCGAGGATGGACGATCGTGGTTTTCGTGCCACTTCTGGCGTGTTCTCTTCTGGCGCATTCTGCAGTATATCTATCTGGCCGTCTTTGTCACACGATCCATCGTCGCCGGCCTCTGGGCCGCAAGCTCAGAGCCTCCACGGTCTTCTACCTTGCCGAAGAGCCCAAGGTCGGCGAGCAGGTCGCCGCATGGGATGTCCTTCCAAACCCACGTCGAGCCACGGCCTATCTTGCGACTCGCGATCTTCCCGCTGCTCTCCACAATCGTCGACCTACCGCATCGAATGCCTTGGCTGGCTGGAGGTCTGGCTTTATTACGACATCATCTGAGCCTGGGATCGCTCCGCGTTATTGGAGGTACGGACGCGATATTTGACCAGTAAGTCACTGTTTCGCAATGCTGCGGCTTTCGTTGGTTCCAGCTGTCTCGCATAGTGCGAAGGCATCCCTGCAGTGGTGCATGAAACCCGCATTCGATGGCGGTCACTTGACTTGGACTGCAGCCAATACCTGGAGGCCCACCGGACAGGCTGCAGTACCACTCCTGTACCAGTGCTTCCCCGTTTATTATCGTGCAGGATGCGCAAGTGCCATGCAACCCATCCCACCAACATGCCGCCTAACGCCTTGGGCATTGCGACTTCAATACCCCTTCTCTTCCAAACCTCTCTTGCACTGGGTCAAGCACCATTCACCATTCACCATTCGTGAATGTGAATGTCCTGACACCAGTCTCGCTTCTTGACTTTGTTGATGTTCGTCTCGTTTCTCTTATGGGCAAAGAACAGTGGCAGATCATCCTCCACGAGCTTCCCAAAGGTCCAATCTGATCAGACGAGAAATGGCGCCATCAACCCTGCTCTGAATCTGAGCTTCCTTCTAGCCTCCAGGCTCAAGGTTACCATCTTGCTCCTCAATGATAATCTCCTCGGCTCAGGCGTCACCCTCCTTCGGCATTCTCTCATCTCCCTGACAGAACCCTACAACTTGCTAAGTGACAGCTGCCATCGCTTGCACTCAATCTGGATTCTGGACCACGCTTCGGCACTTCGAGTCCCCTGCCTCGCCTTGGCGCCATCTCCACCAACACCGGATTGGCCCAATACCGCCCAAAATACGAGCACCCTGGACCGGAAAGGTCCATCGAGTGCAATGATTTTCGCCCAAACAGGAAAATGCAGCCCCCATCCAACATCTCGATTATCAGATATGATTTCATCCCTGTCTGGGTTAGGCAGCCCCACTCGCCAAGTGCCTGGACTATGGTAAAATGTTAGCTTCGAGGCCATGTACCTGTACTTGTACCTTGGCTTGGGCCATCTCTCCCCCGCCCATATGCAGTCATGCCCTCACTACTGTTGCTCCCCTTGCAGCATTAGGCCACTCTTTCGGCCCTGGCGATCCGTCCCTGCGTGATACTTCTCACCTCAGCGTCGGGCCTCCACCGTTTGACTTCCTTCTTGCACACTTTAGCAGAGCGTTGCTTCACTGCCGTTGTGCATTGCAAATGCATTCGAGGCAAAGAAACTGACCACTACTCTGTGCATCCAGGTATCTCCACTTCCTTCTGGTGAACCAGCTTCCGCCTTCTCAGCTGCTTCCTAAATTCTTAGCGCAAGTGCGTCAAATTATATTTCCTGGAAATACCCTTCCTCTATCGTCTCCACCATCCCCGACACCGGAGGAGTTCGAAGAAATAAAGCGACAATGTCGCAAAAGCATCGTTGAGCTCATTCCGCCCGTCCTTTGCAGGCGATTGTTCAACGGAAGCGAAGAAGACTTGGGAAAAGAGGTGGAAGCAGAACTGAATGTGTGGGGTGACTGTTGGATGAACAAACATTTGGCTTATAGGGTATTGGATTTGCTCGTTGTGAGGGTGTTGCCAGAGCTCGGGGAAAGGGGAGTGAAGGGCTTGATGGAGGCGAGGCTGGGCCCCTCCTTAGACATAGCAGATACAACGTAGCCACATAGAAATCGAAATGACAGGAAAACATTTGAGCGATGGAGCAATACACAACCAGTACTGTTTGATGTTTGTGCTGGAAATCATACCTACTTATCCAGAAGTGGGCCAAGTACATCACTGTTTTCGCAGAAGGAAAACATGCAGAATGGACATTGATCACCCACCCACCCACAAACCGTTTTGTGATCATCATCAAAAGCGTCACCGAGCCCAATGGATCTTCCAACCACCCAACCGACCTCGTATCCCCAAAAAAATAATGAAATAGACAAACCAAATGCAATGTTCGCTGTTCCCAAAGTCTGGTCCTAATGGTCGCTTGCGCGTCTCCCTCTTTTTTCCTCTTTCTCATTTTCCCATTCTTGTCCGTCTTTTCCGTCTGGCTTTTCTGTGGGCAATTGCTGCCGTGATTAGTCACCAGGAATGTTGAAGCCGTGAGGCTGGGGTATATCTAAGCCCTTTCTCCTCTCTTATCCATCCGTCCTGTCCATTTCCCCCGTGATAGAAATAGAAAACCGTACGCTGAGAATACGATGGAGTAACGCCGAAGAAGTGTCCAGACCTGCTGTGTATCTTGCCGAATGATCAAATCTGCAACGAAAATGCGGGTCGCTGTATGTGCTAACCTGTAAACAATAGGAAAAATTCAAAGTCTGAAAATAGCGGACGGTCAGGATAATGAATGTTCGCTTCTTTTACGGCCCATCGGCGCTGTGCCGTCAGCCCTTTCGGCCATAGGTACGCTGTTCATACTAGTCATACCGCCAGGCAGACCGCGCCCCTCTAGCCTGAGCATCTGCATCCATTTGCCCATCACTAGGTAGTCGTGTGGGTCAATAGAGCCAGGAGGTTGGTGTTCAATAAATTTTTTGAGTGTTTCAAGGGCAACCCGGGCTTCATCCTGAGAAGGCGGGCAAGATGGCGAAGCATTACTAGACGGCGAGATTGCGCTGCCAATCAGAGGCGATATGTTGGTTGATATTGTCGTTGCTGTAGTGGAGGGTGGTCCCATGGAGAAGGGCGATGTGGTGCTTGTGCTAGCACTGTGTGCTGAGCCATGCATGGGAATAGTCGTGGCGGGGCGAGACTGATGAGCTACGCTTGTGTCGATACCAATTGGCGAGATATCCATGTCGTCATGACCCGAGTCCGAGACAGGGAGGCCAACGGCAGCGGTTTTGGACGAAGCTGATGTCGGTGAGGCCTCCCCACTGCCAACTCGAGGTACGGTTTGTCGTCGATGCAGCTTTGCTGGAGCTAGCATGGGTAATTTGGGCGCCTTCCCCGCTGGTACTGATGGACTAGGACCGCAACTGGACATGGGTGTGAAGAACATTGGCGAGGTTGGGCTCCGAAAATCAGTCGCGAAGGTAGCATCAGAAAAGCCGCTGCCCATGGACGTAGTGCTCTGCGTATGGGTGTGTCCCCAAGGATTAGGATTGTCGAAGAGACCCCTGGGGCTCTTTGTCTCGACCTCATCTTTGATGGGCATGCCATCCCAGCTGACTACAGGAGCAGTCGCATTCGGTGTCTGAAAATTAGTCTTTGGGCTTACGTTGTCTGCCGTGATCTTCTCGCCTTTCGGCCTTGCCCCTGGCAGCTGGTTTTTCTGCTTAAATTTCTCCAACCATACTGCGTCGTTGACCTGACTGTGGCATTCTGCGCTTCCTAAGGTTGACGCAAATTTTCGTGCTTCATCTCTGATTAAATCGTCGCCAATAGGAAGACCTTCGCTCATCCGATTCCTCGCCCAATTAGATAATGTTCGCTCGATGTCAGGAAATTTGCTTTTGGACTTTTTGACGGGCGATCTTCGACCATCCTCGGCAACAAGATACTTCTCCTTGTTCCGCAGAACTTTAGAAACGGTGCTGAAGCGGACAATTAAAAAGGGTAAGTCATGTCGACACCAGACGGACTAACCTGCGCTCAACACCAAACAAAGCTGCGACTTTCGTCAGCAAAGTCAATGAGAATGAAAATGGCAATGGCTTTGTTCTTACCACCAATCTCTGTCTGCTTGACAGTCGGGTTTTCTTCGTGGTATTTGCACATTCGTCGCCTGTCGCTGTCCGTCAAGGTTTTCCTGGAATTTGACAGATTTGGTGTTACTTTTGGTGGCGATGGAGGCGACGGGATAGACGCTGTTTCTCGGGGGCTGTCTTGCGTAGCTGGAGCAAGCGGTCGAGGTGGTAGAGGCAACAGAGATGAAGGGCTGCTGGTGGACGGATTCGTAAGCTGACTCGGCCATAAGGTAGTGGTGTTCAGCGGATGTAGCGGCTGAGGTGATGAATAAGACGTTTGATAGGGTGCATTGCTGGTATAATGTGGCTCAAAGCTGGTGTGAGTCGAGGGTGACCAGTCAAATTGACTCGAATAGTGTTGCTGCGGAGAGTCACGCGGAGAATGAGTGCCGTCCGTCATGTCCACGTTCTGGGTAGATCCAAGACCATGAGTGTGCTGGGTTTCATACTGCGGTTGGATTTTCAATACCATGGGATCCATATAAAGATCGTGCATGCTTTGCTGAGAAACGAGTGAAGGCCTCAGGCCTCTGGCGACAAGGATCCAGCTTCGCGTTCTTCAGATGGCTGCGGTGCAGCTGTTGGATACCAGATGCCTACGTCGTGCCCCGTAGGCAGTCCTGCCTCAGTCGGTGCATCCAGTGGGTTGATGAAGAAGTTCGCATGAAGCTGGAGAGCTCCCACCATGCGAACAATTGGATTGTTCCGGCTCAATATGCGCTTCTTCCAGGTGAGTGCGCTAAATAGTGGGGACACCCAATGCCACGGGTCTGACCAACGCGAGCCGAGAACCGGACGGCCGCACGAGAAGGACGGCGATCCTGCACGAGCCGATGTCGTGAGAATTAGGAATCGTGATTGTCGTGAGGAGTGAAGGAATGCAGTCGAGATAGGTCGACGAGGTCCCGACAGCCGTGGTAGTAGTGGTCGGTGGTGATGCTGGTGGTCTCGATATGCCTAGAAGGAGGGGGAGCTACTTGAGCTAAGTAGTAGGTAGCTGCGCGCGATAGTTGGGCCCAGAGAGCAGGGTCATGGGTATGGATGTCTGATGGAAGGGGTATGGCTGCTTCGGAGGCGGGTACATCGTTTGGCTTTGGCTTTGGGCTTTTCTGGCAGCGGAGACGTTTTGGAAGAGTCGAGGTAGCGGTACGGGATCTCGTTAGATCAGGCAGGGCCAGTGCCTACTGCCATTTCCCTAATCCCTTCCCATCTTTCCCTTTAGTCCTCCCTTATTAAGCCAGGCCAGACACGCCAGGGTTGCAAATCCTTTCGGACGCATTAAACTGTTGATTATTACTCGATTACTCCGTCCTTAGTGGGGGGGGAAGGCAGCGAATGCCCCTGTGACCCCCGCCCGTCTTCTCTGTCCTTGCTTTTTGTGCTTTTTTCCTATTCGATCAAAATGCGAGGGTTCATAGCGGCATCTGTCCAAGCAAAAAACTCAAAGGAAATACTGGGACTTCTCCTCTCACCTGCTCTCACCCAATCTACCCCCATCTTGCCCTCTCCTCCGCCTTCGATCAAGATAGCCTCTCCCACTTGCAAGATCTGAAAGTCAAAGATCTGGCCCCCCCCAATTCTTCCAGTGCCTCGTAAATACTGCCCAGAGACGGTTTGTTGGGCCTGATTTCGCGGCAGTCAATTCATCGTTGAACGAATGGGATCCTTGCCACACTTTAGTGCCGCCAGGGTGAAATTCTTTCTTTCGAAAATCAATCAATTCCAATCGCACTAATCATCTTAGTTGCGAACTTGCGATAGTTGCCTTCGCGTGGATGAGGCGTGGGATGAGGCTGCCCTGTGTATTCTCGCAAAATTCGTTGATTGTTCGGATTATAATCGCATCATCCCGTTACAGGTCTCCTTGACTGTGCACTTGAATATTTTCTCCGACGTTGGCACCTCTGGATATCTAGAAATCTTGCTTTCCCGCTGGCAGGTGACATTCGGCATATCGAAGCGTGACCGAAGGAGTGCCCGCTTACTGGCCGTTACGGGGGCAGATGATTCCTGCTGATCCCCCCGTCTTAGCAGTCCACCGGTCGGGGGCATAAATCCTTACTTTGAGTCTAAGATCTCGCCTAGGCGTCAACGCTAACCGTTGCCGATATCGCTCTGCTTCATGAAAGCCACTCAGCATACTAGCGCTCAACTTTGTACAAGATGGCTTTTGGCACAGCATGTCCGCGTTGTTGGACCTTAATAGATTGTGCCATCTTTTGGCTCTCCTCTGCTTGCGAACAGACCCCCCATCCGGTCACGTCGTATTGCTCCTCGTGTATCTACCATCGAATCGTGTGCTTGATAGTAGTCCTCTCGAACATTACTCGTTATCTGCACGAAAAGCATCACCTGCTGAATGACGGGAAGGCGGCACTCTTGACGCAATTTGTTCCTATCCATTACCAGAAATTGATCGCTAGTTTGTTACGCATTGAGCTTGCCGCGAGCACAATTTCCATTTGCATCAGACTCTTCGGACCGAAACAGACTGCGATTGCCTCATGGAGATCTTGAACTTTTCAATATCACGGCAATCTATCAACCAGATCTGCCTGCCCAGTGGATCGCATGTGACTGTCTCAATGTCCTTCTGAGTCCTGACACAGGTTGTTGACAAAATGGTGCTTGACGCGTCAACTGGTCTAGGCGAGTCCTCAAAATGCTAAATTCAAAGCCTTCTCATCTTTGAGGGACAACTCCGAGGCATCTTCATCGCTTGATAATGGTGACTACCGGTGATTAGATTGCCCCTAAGCAAGGATGAGCAAAGGGGAGGTGCATACTGATGTCTTCGTCGGCCATCTCGTGCGAGAGCCCAACTCGCTGAGGCTGATGCTTCACCGAGCGCCCATACACGATTGCGTGCTTGAATTGTTCTAAAATCGATTTATGAATGCTGTTACACTGATTGAAAAATTAGGGGTTGTGGTAGCACCAGACGACAGACTCACAAAATCCTCGACCGTGCACGCGTTCTTCCTGAGGACAACTGGTGCAGTGTAGTCGGGCGCTTTTCCTTTCGGCTTTGTATATATACGACGAAGCTGCAGCTTCTCCCACATCTGTTCGAGAAGTTCATCAATGTTCCAGCCGTGTTCTGCACTGATGGGACACGCATTGGGAATTCGATAAATCAGATCAAGCTCCTCAATGGTGATCGAGTCGATCTTATTTAATGAATAAATGACAGGAATGTAACTCCGACTTTTCGCTTCCAGGACGTCAATCAAATCGTCGATAGTGGCATCGCAGCGAATAGCGATGTCCGCTGAAGATATCTTGTATTCGCTCATGACAGCCTTGATCTCCTGAGGGGCCTTGTTAGCATGAATTTGCATTGAAAGAGGACGCTGCATTACATCGTGGGTTATGTGACTCAGAGGGACAGTATTGGTGACGGCAAGGCCCCCTTTATCTTTCTTTTTGAATACGATATTTGGTGGCTCCTTGTTGATCCGGATACCAAAGCCTTCTAACTCGGTCTCTATGACCTTCTTGTCGGTCAGCGGTTTGTTGACGTCTAAAACGATGAAGATGAGATGGCAAGTCTTCGCCACAGCAATGACTTGCCGACCTCGCCCTTTACCGTCTTTGGCACCTTGGATAATTCCGGGCAGGTCGAGCATTTGAATAGCGGCACCATTGTACAAAACCTGACCAGGCACAGTTGTGAGAGTGGTAAACTCATATGCAGCCGCTGTACAGACTGATCAATCACCTGAAACAGCTGGATCGTTCCTAGTCTTACCCTCTGAATGCTGGCCTGTTAATTTGCTCATAAGAGTGCTCTTGCCAACAGACGGAAACCCAATGAACCCCACACTTGCTACACCAGTTCTTGCTACGTCAAAGCCAGCTAACCCCAGGTTAAAGTCGCGAATTCCATAAAAGCTGATTACTTACATCCACCCCCGCCTCCACTTGACTGCGGTGTCAATAATTCACGTTTCAGTTTTGCAAGCTTTGCTTTTAGTTGCCCAAGATGATAGCTCGTGGCTTTATTCTTCTGCGTCTTTGCCATCTCCGCCTCGATGTCCTTGATCTACCGCGGTCTTCAGCCGAGCGGTTTGCGTGAGTTGGCCTTGAGGATCCGTACCTTGTCTACTGTAGTAGCCATTTTTGTCTGTAATGGCAAATGAGACCTCTGACGTCGATAGAGATTCTTTATTTCCAATGGTTGATGCCAGATAATTTCAGATCCGAAGTGCTAATTTCTCCCAGCAAATAAAAGACTAGTACCGAAGTGGGATGTGTGCGGACTTCTCGCCGTGACGTCGTAGGGCTGACTGGTCACGAGAAAGAAGCGACGACGGACTTTAATCGTCTGCCTAACGTAGCAATGGACGGCGAAATGACCAATATCCTCGAGCAAACACCTTTTTCCTTTGTAGGCATCTTTTCCAATGCGCAAGATCATGTCCAGCCTCCTCGCTCACCGCTTCAAGACCGCCGACTCCGCCCAGGCCTCAGAACGTGAACAACCTCCCCCTCATGACGGTGAACACACAAAGGAGATTCGTATTCCCGCTTCCAGGCTCCCTACTTCCAACGGCCCCTTTGTAGCCAACTATGCCTCTAACAACCTCACCCTAGGTGCTGGGGTTGCCATCTTTCACCTTGCCACAGCCCGTGTAGTCCTCTGCTACCACAGCCGTGAAGGATATTATTTCCTCCCCAAAGGCCGTAAGGATGAGGGAGAGGAGGCTACAAAGGGTGCCGAACGTGAAGGTTATGAGGAGTCTGGATACAGAAATCGTGTCTTACCGGTGCCCATACCCCATAGGCAGCCGAAGGCCCATCACCCAGTGGAAGAGATGAAGGTGCCAAACGAGGCAGTCTTCGCTACGGAGTCTGTGTGGATGCAGTTGTTGCCGGTGAGTAGGAGGACGCAGTATGTATTGTTCTGGTATATTGCCGAGACTGTGCCGCCGGAGATGGAGCGGGAGTTGAATAAGAGGGGAATGGAGAGCGGTGGAGCATATCAGCCGCCAGATAAGTGGGAGAAGGGTTTGACCTTGAAGCAGAGGGTCAATATGGAGGTGAAGGGGTATGAGCCTGTTAGGCACGAGGGTACAGGTGTTGATGAGGATGAAAAGCTGTACGTGAGTGCATTGATCGATATTGAGGAAGCCATTCAGAAGCTGGGGCCGCAGAGTATCAGTGGTGACGTAGTGAGGAAGGGCTGGGAGGCAATTGAGAGAAGGAAGCAGATGGAAGAGGTTTGATCAAAGGTCATGTTGATCGTTGTCCGGGCAAACCTTGTGTACTGCCTTTTTCGCGTTGCTATCACTATGTGCTGATGATGCCCTTCACGCGTTTTATTAAGTTTCTTTCGCCGAGAAAAAAAGCCACACTTTCTGAGCTGGCGAAGAAGACTAAAAATCCCAAAAGCTGCAGAATGATGTATAGCTATCAGAACCTCTCCAAAGAAATGGCAAAAAGAGGCAAAAGGCTACGCCGCCGTCGCGGCGCGCCTTTAGGGACTCGAAACCCGCGGTCTCCGGTATCCTAGACCTTGTCCTCTGGGAGATACTTGGACTCGAACCCTCTGGCGGGGGCCCCTCGCCAGAGGATCCGACATCCAAGCCTCCCAAAGGAAAGGGCTAGAATATCGGAGCCGGTGCCGCATCCACCATAACCACTCCGCCAGGCGTCCCTGGGGGTGGTTATGGCGATGCGGCCCTACAAAGCTATATTCCTTGTACCACAGTATATATACCTTTTGCTAGGGAAGCTCCTCGAACAATGTTCTAGGAGTGGCTCGGCATGCGCAAGTGCATATGAGTGCCCTCTCTACTAAATTACATCAATGGCAGAGGACTAGTATACCTAAGATAGCTATTCTAGCCAAGATCAGCAATTGAGTAAGGGCTCACTATGCTTATCTGCTTCCAAAGAAACAATCCTGCCAGACTGCGCTTGCTCAGGATAACAATAATTGAAAGAGAAAAGTGAACGATGCCGCTGCTAATCAGATACGACACTGAGTACGCGAGTTGTGCTGTAAGTTTGATTACTTGCTAAAGCTAGATACCTGATACTAGATACCTGGATGATGGTTAGATCTCAGCTGTCCATCCATGTTATTATACGTTACACGTAAACCTCATAATTGTACAATCACTTCCTCCTGCCATATCCATGCCTGTGAAGCCTACTCCCTCTAAATTCTGGGCCCATGCAAATGCATCAAAAACACCTGCGCTAGATGCATAAAAACATAACGTAAATTCATCGAAAGTCGACAAGCATCTCTCCGTAACCTGGTCTCTCCAAGCGATCAATACCGAGATGCTCCTTCCCGTCTTGGCCCATGTAAATACCAAATGCATAGCGTGAGCTCATTTTTTCATCTAGAGGCGTACCTAATAACTTGGTGATTAGGTCGATCTTGCTTCTAGGTTCCTCGAATGTTTCCTCCGCAAGCAAGGGGCTTTGGTAAAAGAAGCTGACAAGCTCGCCAAGGGTACTGATTCCATGAGGTAGGTGTCGCCGCTTCGTGGGGAACAGTACTAGGAAAGAAAGCACGTAAATGATCACAAAGACCACTAGAGCCTCAAATCCGGGTTTGCTCGCTGCCGTCACAACCTGTCCCGTCTTTGGTATGTATTGCGCAGTGAACACCCCTCCCGCTAGGATTGGGATTGTGATTGATATGAGGCTAACGAACGAGATCCAAGCTACGCGAAAATGCCCGGCTACCAATGCGCGAAAGGTCACTTGAAGCGGCAAACAGGAGCCGTAGTCAAGAAGCAACGATTTTTCTGCCGAGCTTCCTCCCCTGCCAGATAAGCTGGCGAATGGCTGGAGGGCCCGAAAGTAGGCATCGAAAGGTTGCCAGACCAGGAAGAGTATCATCCCTAGGAGTGATGGGATGAAGCTGTATAGAAAGTCTGCGGGCGAAAATCCAAAGGGGGTTGTTGGTGACGGTAGTTGGGGCAAAAAGCCCATCTCAGCAGCGTTGTTGACGAAGCTGACGACTAGGAAGGCGACCAAAAGTACGAAGGCGATTACGATCCAGGCTACCACGAACGTGTCTCGCAAGAACCACGGTACCCATCTGTATCGAAGCGTTGGATTGTGAATCTCTCCGCGGAAGATGTCGTTCCGATAACTTGACGGATGCTGAGACTCCAGGTCGATTGATTTTTCGTTCAATCTCATTTTGCCTCGTTCAAGAGAGTATCTTCGCACGGGGGCATTCTCATCCCCTATACAATAGAAAGTCTCAGCTCCTTGCTTTGAATTCCTCCAGTATCCAAGCCTGATGTCCTTGGGTGGCCTGGCTACTGACGCTTCGATTTCTGATCTGTCAAAATCGTTGAGAAAGTTGGCACGATGGAAGATCGCCAGGAAATCGGCGAGAGAAGTCGGGTCCCATTTCAAGCCGGTTTCGCCGATGGTGAAGCGAAGCATTAGTGCTGCAAGGCCAAGTATAAGCAAAAAATAAATACCGAACAATATCCAGGCGATGGGTTGCACGGTTGTCCATCTCCATATCTGTCCTTTCACAAAATATCGCGCCTGAAATAGGCAGCTCTGTAACGGGATCGTGAACATTGCCAGCCACAATGTGATCGCCCACAAGGCTAACCAAGGTCCTCCACGTCCGACATAGGATAAATTAGGTATCAGTAGATTTGTCGGAAAAAGTTTGAAATCGTAGAGAATCTCTGAGCTTCCGGCGGCAGGCCCAGAAGCTAATGCGACGAATGGGTAGACTCGCTGCAATGTATACTGAATGATTACAAGCCATATGATGATGACGCTGCCAAGAATTTGGGGTAAATACTGAAAGACGAAGTAGCGGCTGGTACCCGTTCCATCGTAATCGAAAAGACCGTCATGGTGTAATGGGTACGCCCCACAGAATGCGAGCCCAATCATCATCAAAAGGCAGCAAACGATGAGAACACTCAGAGATATCGTATGTAGAGGGCCGGGCACAAAGTGGAGCTTTGGGTACCTGAATGTCTCTTTAGCTGGTTGCGTAGGGACAAGAACATTTTCGATAGCTGGATCACGGAATCAGTATCAGAACGCTTAAGAAGAGCTCGATGGTGACTCACGAGATGACCGGGGTTCACTAGATGGGGGAATCGGAGGGGGGTGCGGTATTCTCCTTTGATGTCGCTGTTTCTCCACGTCGCCCTCTGTGGGATAGGCTTCATCACCGCTGATGCTGTGACTGATGCTGTGACTTCGAGATCCGACAACCTCCTCATCGCGTGTTAACTGGTCTATTGCGAAATGTATGTAGGGAGTGTCATCAACGCCTGGGGTCGGAGGGCTGAGGTCGTTCATGGATCTTCGTATCACAGTCCCGTCGGAAGATGAGGAAGAAACCGGCTTTCGTTTGATTGTAAGGCCTTCGGTTGCAGCTCCAGTAGACCTCTCATCGAAGCCAACAACCTTCTCTTTCACCGGTCTGATTGTTGGGAGCGTCTTCTCTGATTGCTGGGAGTCCTTGGTGTCGGGACGCATATGTGTGGGAGGTGTATCGTATCTAACGCCGTGCTCCTTCTCCTCATGGCTCGAGCCTTCCGAAGGGGTCGAATAATAGTCATCTGAGGCGGTTACAGACTGTTTAGAATTGGAATGAATAAGCTGGGGTCTGCTGGCTGAAGCGCGGTGAAAGTCAGTCTCCGATGGTGGGGCAATGCGACGAGAGCGCTACTTACTGTTCACGTATCTGAGGTTCGAGTCACCTAGATTCATGGCGGTCATGAGATTGAGGAATGCAGTAGGATGAATGCATGATGCTAGCGAAGGATAATAGAAGTAGCATTGTCGGTCGTCCCAGCCATTCTTCGCCAGCTTTGGTGGCCGGTACAATCACTTTTGGCGGGGCTGGGGAACCGAATGCCAAGCCTTAGAACTACGGCAGGCCCCTCTTTCCCGGCGCATCAACGATTTGACAGTTGACAGCTGGAGCCAACTGTCATCCATTTGTCTGACACGAGTCGTTCAAACTTACTTCATGAGTCTAAAATGAGCGCAGTATGGCCCAAGGGACTGGAGATCCCACATTGCGCACTGTGCTGTGAAGGTGCCTATGATGCCAGCTCCGAGGTAGAAAGTCAAGCTTAGGTTGTTGTCTATTGAGGATATTGTCCTCTCTATCACCAGCTATTATCTTACAATCTATCATAATTTGGCTTCTGCAACCCAAGCCCAGCCTGTTGACTCTCAGCAACTGGTGTTGTCAGTCTTCCTTCGGTAACGGCTAGATTCAAATTATCCAGAACCAGGATTTCCATCTTTCTTTGAGTCTCTAACGTGGCTGTACCCACATGAGGCATCAGAATACACTTGTCATTCCTTAATAAGCCTTCATGCACAATTGGCTCGTTCTCATACACGTCTAGACCTGCAGCGAACACCTTGCCGCTTTCGAGTGCCTCCACCAGAGCCGCTTCGTCCACGATAGGCCCCCGCGCGGTGTTGATGATTACCACCCCAGGTTTCATCATCTCCAACTCTCTCGCGCTAATCATGCCGCGGGTGGACGAGTTTAGGGGAAGGTGAATGCTGATGATGTCGCTTGTACGTATCAGTTCTTCAAACCCCACGTACTCTGCACCCACCACGTTACGCTCCTTCGAAACAGGCTTGCGGTTGTGATACTGAATCCGCATACCGAATGGAGCTGCGCGTTTGGCGAATGCTGAACCAATGCCACCCATTCCTAAGATGCCGAGCAATTTGCCTTCTGGATCGTGGGTCAGCTGCATATTGCCACGCCATTGACCTGCACGGATGGCACTGCATGGAATGTGTGAGCGTCGCAGTGCACCGAGCAAAAGGAAAACCGTAGTCGATGCTGTTGACGCGTTGACAGCACCTGCCGTGTTGGAGACAGCAATGCCTAAAACATGGGTCAGTGAAGTGACAATGTCGCTGTGCGCCCTCAATCAGACCTTTGGCCGCACATGCTTCGGCGTCGATCGAGTCATAGCCAGCCCCAGTATGACAAATGAACTTCACGGAAGATGGAAGGGCCCGTACAAGCTCGTGATCGAAACGACCTGTAATCTGGAAGTTCCCATCAACACCCTGCTTGCGGACGTGAGCGAAGGCATGCTTGGCGGGCTTACTTCCGTAGAATCCCAAGTCCTGGAGATGGCGACGACACCGTCGAATGCGCAGTTCTGGCAGTCTCGGAGGAATTGCTCCCGAGTACCCTTTTTCACTTGCTAGCATCACAATCAGCGACTGCGACGACCTCCGCGTATATCCTCACGGGCGCACTTTGACATTCACCACCGATCGCAAGTTATTCCATTCATCGTGTGCTAATACAATATCTCCGATATGGAGGACCGTGGGTCTCTCGCAGACCCCGTTCACCGCATGCGGAATCGACATCTTGCTTGGTTGCGTTGTGTATATGTATGCATGAGTGATAGACTTTCCTCGCCAAGTGAGCCACACTGCAGAGCGTTCGAGATTTGGATGCAAGAGCTGAAATTGAGATTGAGATATGTGTAAAGTTCTTATCTATGAAACCAGTCACAGAAAAAGCCGTCGTGATTCGCGTCTGCGATCTGTAAGAACTCAAGGCAAGCACATGGACATCGGAAAGGCAAAATTCGGCCCACGCCCTCTGATTTGTTTGAGGCAACCTAAATATCCGGCAATTTCACATGACATGTGAAGCGTGGGATGCCGGCGTCAGACAGATATCTTTGCATTAAAGTTCATTGATTATTGAAAGCAGCTGAAACAGCAACATTATTGACTGCTTTTGGCGGGCAAAAGATCAAGCAGTATTCAAGATCACAGGCCCACGAGGCAGAGAAGAGCATCGACCGCAGTCTTTGACGGGTCGGAAGATAGGGGACCAGCAAGGACGTTAGCTTTTAGAAGCTACGGCATAGCCCATATCGGATTATGCAGGTCGCATCGGCAAATTCTCGAGGGCCGGACAGTCATCGCCTGCGTCAATCGGCATAATAAAACAAATGGGTCAGGCACTCAGCTTCCCTTTCAGCAGCTGGGACGGCTTCAGCATCCACACACTCCCACACCAACTCCCACGGCTAGGCCGTCGCCGAAAGTCCTTCCCCGCCTCCCCGGACTCGTAGCGTCAAATCTAAGGTAGGTAGGCTATTCTTGTTGCCTACCCTCAATTCTCTCTTCAATAATCAATATTAATTATGGATCTACCACACACTCTTGTTCTTATATCACTAGAGGCTCTGCTTGCAAGGAACCGGATCGGCCCTCCGCAAGTCCCCTGGGCAACTCCGTGGACAAAGTGGAAACTCGTGCCTGAATAGCGAGATGGTTGTTGGTCGAAACGTGTATCAGATTCTGTTCTCTTGCGCCTTGTTCGTAGAACCCGGTCCCAATAGTCGCTACACCCTCTCTGGTGCTACAGCAATTGGGATCATCAAGCGGCTGGGAGAAGACATCAGTGATGCAAGGCTCCTGATCCTGCGATTATGTCACAGACACTGAGAGGCTGACCGAGCAATCAGGCTTAATTGTCATAATAAGGTTAAATGGCCATTGAAAGGGCTTGGAGGAACATGTGTCTTGCGATAATACTGATTGCTTGCAAGGTCCACCATGTTGATCATCTCATCTGGGTCCCCGACAAGGAATACCTGGCTGAAGTATCGGCTCTGCAGCCTAGTGCAGCCCATAGAGAGATTCGCTTGGTGTCCCTTGACCGCTTATCGCTGCAAAGCCTTCCTCAAAGACCTGGGGCTTCGCAAGGCGTTCAAGCAGACAGCTGAAGCGGGTTGCTTGCCGTCTCCCAATTGGGAAAAGGACCTTATCATTCGATTCTCGTACATTCACTTGGATTATTGGTAGGTTATTTGTTCAGCAGCCGCAAGTGCTGGGATCGAACCTTTCCCCAATGTCTCTACCACTGTGCCTTACCCAGGAAGTGCCAAAACCAGACATGACTGACTGCTCGGGCCTTGATCCTGGTCGATGTGGCAAACTTGAGCCAAAATCGGGGCCTTGTCAATCTCCATAATTGGCTATAGATCATAGGTCGGGTGAGTTATCCGCTGGGCGTTGCTATCGCCTTTCCCCTTCTGGCCTTTCCGTTCGAGCAAGTAGAACGGCTTCGCCAAGGTTGTCGGTTGGAGTCTGGTGCTTTATCGTTCTTTGCGTCATCCTCACTGTCATATGTCGACCGGGCCGTGGCGCCGGACTCTCCGATCTCTACCGCAATTATTCCAGGCTGCTTTTGTTCACCCGCTGGATTCCTTAGCATCCTTAGAGGTCCGTGCACCGCCATTCTATATCTGCAAATGAAGACCTTCACAAGTGAGGGAGATAGCGACTCTTGTGCATCACGCCAGTAAACTCCTATGTGAACTGCATTCGATGATGTCAACACCACAATTATCAGATTGTGATCATCAGGCCGTGTTCCTGTTATCAAATGCCGGCATTGGGGAAGCGTGTGGAATGCAGCTCCTACTTTGGTAGTGGTTACGAGGCAGCATCCCACACATATTTTGCGCCATGGCCTGCCTTTACCGAACCGAAGGACTTTGGCACAGTAACAATCTTCGCTTTCCTTATCTGAGCCCGATATGTCTGGAATTCCAGCTTCACCTTCAACTTCTTCCCACATAAGCGTAGAGCATCGATTCTAGCAATTGCCTCTCTCAGGATTTTGTTACGCATGGAGGTGCGACAAGATGGTCCGTGGCGGGGAAAGGAAAAAGCTGCCATTATGTTTCCAAAATGGCCATAGGAATTATTTGATAGACTAGCATGGTAAAGCCAACTTCTTGTTGATTATATCGCATTTTTTATCTCACCATGGGGTTGTTGAGCAAAATTAGATCAGATGTTTTGCTTACCCTCGCTACTTCGATCAGTTTGACTCTGTCAGAGACATCTGCTTGCCACTCATTCATTTAGTCCCGAGACCGCCTAAGCAGATTCCCTCTTCACACAGCAGCCACGCTTTCGACCCACATGTTGCTCCTCAGCTTGAACCTCGAGGACACAATTCCAAGGCAAAGCTTCCCACAGCACCAACGAGAGCCTTACTTCAAAAACCCTATGGGCCCAAAACCCGGATAGCATGGAACCTAGAATGACCGTATTACTCAGGCCTCTTCCATCTGGCGTTATCACCCTTTCTGCCCTGACTCAAATCACCGTTCCCTACCTCCTTCACAATTGTTCACCGTCCTGGAACGACAGCATTCAACCAGTCCCTTAGCCATTGCTCTTTCTTAGTTGACTGCGCCGTCTCGCCTACTCACAAATTTCATTCCGAAATCGATCTCTCACGACAGCCCGCAAGCTCATGTCCCAGAACATAGAAGGGGGCTACCAAAAACGTCCTGACCCAGCGACGTGTTCAATATTGACTGAAAAGCGCGGTTAAAAGTGCACGATGACACACCGTTTTCGGTTGTGCAAACATTCGGCTAGAGAAAAGGAGTCAAACAAAGCCTATGAGAGATTATAGATCAGGGATCATGACGGTGGGAACAGACAGATTAGAGAGCCGTGGGAGGATCAGTTGAGACGGAGGCACAAATACTAAATTGGTCGGTAGACTGCTGGACTGACATCTGGAAAAAGGTGCAAATTTGGGCAGAAGTGTCACAGGAGGAGGGCATATGACAACGCTGATCATCCCATTATATACCGATATAGGCAAAAATGGTTTTTCTTGTCTGGAATTCATCAACATAACAGACTTCGAGAGAACGAGAGGCCAATAAGAAAGGTTGACTGGAACACGTTTCTTTGACCAATTAGATCTTCGTACTGCGAGTAAGTCAGAATGATAGGCCTGAAATGGTGCTTCAGTCAGCATGAAAGGAGATGAAGCTAGAATCTAGGAAGCATCTCATTGGTTCCTTGGTATAGAAAGACATGGATTTTGGGTGAGGCATGCAAATTTGGAAGGCTTCTAGGATGAATGAAGAGCTTTCATCTTCATTAGACTTCAAGACCCAAACAATCAAGGACTGTGGCTGTACGGATGAAGTCTGTATCCTCAATCCCTCCGTGAAGCAGGAAAAAGGGATCTGGGTTGACTGATAGAAAGCTTATCAGTCACAAGTACTGGTAGATCCTTATGGTCCTGTATTCACTTCTCTCTAGATTTTAGACGACCTGTCATTTTCCGTTTTGATGTTGTAGAAGGATGTCAGTGCTTCTTGAGATAGTGTTGCGTCCTCAGCCTTGTCCCCGCTCGCTGTCCCGCCCAACGTGGCGATGCAAGGCGATTGAAAAGGGTTTGGAGGGAGAAGAGCATTCAATTAAGAAGTCCACTACCTACTAAAAACGGAGATATGTCAAATATATATACACAATATGACCCAGGTCCTCTGCTTGTCCGTCGCCCTATTCATAGGCCCAGAATAAAACTCAATAGTCAAAAGGATAAACAGATATTCGGTTCCAAGAGTTGAATTGAGGATGCTGCTGAGTGTGATTAACGTGGTATCGGTAAAAGCTGTATGAAAGACTCCAGAGCGCGCCAACAAGACCCGCCGTCCACCCTCCCACTGAGGCCCGCCAACCGAGCTGAAACGCCTGCTCAAGATGAATTAGTTCTTGGCTGCGTGCTCGAGGTCCTGCGCCCTCGACTTCCCCAACCCTGATAAAGAGAACGATAAACTCCGATGGAAAAATCGAAAGAGTCTCCGGTGAACGTGTGTTGAGCATACCCACCCATTCAATCGGTCGCTCGACCCGGTCCGTCCCATTCAACGCCATGACTGAGAGTTCTGCGGCTTACACAGAGCTCATTCTCAATAACGCCTCAACAGCAGCCCGGTCTTGGCTCCCGAAGCCCGAGTTGCTGCTCATAAACCTAGAAAAATCCATGGACTCTTTCGCAGCTTGCTGCTTCAAGCTTTGCTGCTTCCCATAATATACAGAATGATTCGTAGCCGTTGGCATCGATTTCGAAAAATTGGATGACGGTCTTTTAACTATGCCTCTCCCCCGACTCTTTGGCTCCACATACGCTTGGTATTGTCGGCGCTGACTCGGCCGGAGTAGTCCTCCTGTCAACGGACAAGAGCCCTCTCGTAAAGCTGCAGCTCCTATACTCGCCCAGTCTTCCTCGTCCGTCATTGAGAGGTCGTCATCAGGATCTACGAGCTCATGAACAGGTGGAGAAGTACGAGTGCCCTCGTCTAGGGACATTTGATCTGCCTCGGTGTCAAGTACATTGGTACCTTCTAGTCCTCTACCATAGGACGAGTTCGACTGACGCTGGCTACAGACGATTGGAGCATGCTTTCTATGGCTGCTGGGAATCTGCAGGCCACGAGGAGCAGGGTTGTGAGATCTTGTTGGCTGGTCACACTTCTTCGCATCCCACCGCCCCCAGCCCACCTTCTCAAAGGTCACATCTGGGTTCAAGCCACCTTCCTCACCGTCAATAGCTCGGCTCTCGAGAGCACTCCCTACTAGCCTTCTTGCCTTCGCTGGTGGGATTGTAGAGAAGCCTGGAACGGAAGTTGTCAGATAACCCATGATATGGCGTATGGCTAATGGTCCATGGCGAAGCAATATACCCGGCAGGTGGTGTTTAGCAAGCATGACGGGAGTAATCTCTCCAACGGCGTCAGAAGTCTCAAGACTCCGCAGCCTACGGGCTGTTAGACCTTTATGAGGCGAGTCTTGGGCCTGAGCATGCGCAACCGCATCTTCAAGATCGATATCGGAGTCGACCGGGTCGACAGCGGGAGGAGTAGGCGGATCATGAGAGACAGAGCAATGGTAGGTCTGAGGAGGAAGAGAGGGAGAGATGGAATTAGGAGGGGTGGGGAGACCGCCAGTCTTGTGTTTTGCAGGGGCCGATTTGGCTGCAACAGAGGCAAAGCTCTCTTTGCCGGCCCAGGAGTTGTCCACACGCGGCTTCGGAATTTTGACCGACTCCGTCATTCCAGCAGCAGAAACGAGAGCGGTAGGCTTGTTGGTGCTGGTAGGAGCCATCTAGTCTATTGATCGGATGGATTGTTTCTTCTGACTGAACGCGCGTGTGAATCAGCTGGATGGCTTTGCAAGGGTGGGTGGCGATGTGGCAGACGAAAGTCGAGTCGCGCAGGGTGGTGGATGTTGTTGGAGGTATCTTGTCTACTTACAAGAAAAGAAGTGCGATGGTGGTGCTTATTGAGGCAGCTGATAGCTTTGCGGATGACAGCAATCAGCAAAGGCAGCTAGTGGGTGGCGATAAGGCCTGGAGCAAGTTCGAACGTGTCTGTGATTTATGCTCTGATAAAGAGGCAGAAGGACAGATGGTGCTTGATGAGAGCCGGTCGTCTCTACTCCGTATGCAATGTTGTGAGTGTGTTCCGGGGTTTTGGCGATGCAATGGGGTGAGACGTGCCGAAATCAAGGCTCCTATTGGCACTGACTGAGGACGACTTAGCGGCTTGGCACTGGTTTTCCCTACGATTAAAATTGGACACAAATCTCGCACATCGACTCGTACATTATCAAAGATTAATGTATCCGTCCAGCTTATCATCACGCAAGGCACCGTGCCTGATTTCTATGCTTACGCTTTATGTAACTCCCGAGCTGCAGACCTAGAGTTGTTTTCTTGAGTGGGGAGTTTCTTTGTCCGACGGCTCCTCTCTCTCGTCCTGGCTAGCACCACTAGATATTATTCTAGAGTACTCGAGAGCCTGCTGACCTGTCCTGCTTTGGTCGCTTACCGATCCAGAGTAGTTGGGCCCTGTAGATCAACCACCCGAAGGTCTCCTCACCATTCCAAATTCAATAACTCACTACAAAGCTGTTGTGAGTTGTCTATCGACCTGAACGAGATCTGTCGCTCCCTGCTCAGTCGATGAATGGTTCGGGCTAAGGAATTGACTACGAGTGACCCCGCTTATCTGCACAACATTCACTCTCTCCTGCTCCTAAAAAGCATTACTTGTAGCGCCCCCCACGAGGCTCCAAGTCTAGACGGATGCGTACTTGCATCGAGTTAAGCGAGTTCGACGAAGTCGCCCACCTGCAAGGAAAATGAGGGTGTAATAGATGTAGACTATTCTGCACATGCTATCAACCGCGTTCTCTGATTTCCTTTGACGAGATATCGCTTTATCGCTTTCTTCTTGGGGCTGTAAACACATCGTCGTCTTCCTCGCCATCCTTCCTTCGATTGTCGTCACCAAACAAGCCTGCTGCTTGCTTTTTGAAATCATGCCCATCTGGCTGGAAAGGCGAAGACGGCACGAATTGACTTTTTGGCTGCTCTTCGCCTAGCATCCAGGAGTAGGGTGACTGAGAGAGCGAAGGCCGCAACATAGGGGAGGCATGAGTTGGTGTGCTAGGCTCTTTCGGCAGCGCGGGCGTACTTCTTTCTTGCTCCCCTGCCGAACGAAGAGGCTTTTGTGGCGATTTTACGGGTGAAAGCTTTTCCTCTTCCGATGTGTTAGGCGGTTGCCTCGCTGGATCTGCTTCGTTTGTTACATCTCCAATCATGGCAATCTTCTTGTCTTCGGAAGCACTGGATTCATCATCAGGTAATCCCATGCTTGAATTCTCCAAATAGACTTGGACGAATTGGACTTTTGCAATAGCCAGGCCGAGCGCATCTGAGCCTTGCTCCCCTTCGGTCTGTGCTTTGGCCTTGTCCTTTTGTTGTGACCACAGCTCTTCCACAACCTTTTCAAGCATTTTGCCTAAAGCTGCGTTGCGTCTCTCCAGGGCCTCAATCCTCTTTAGAAGCTCATTAGCCGAGCTGTCGGCCACTTGCCTTTGGAGTCTTGGCTGTTGCTCCCCAAGCCGACTCGGAGACGCGTTCGTTGACTGGAGCCCCTGGACAGCCCCCCGTAAAGCTTTGGCAACCCCCCATTTTTCGCCTGTGATGTACAAGCCTTTCGCCGCATCCTGGAGAATGCTTTCGATCCGTCGGTGCTCATTATTCTGCTGTGGGAAGGCAAGTGTTGGGGTCACAGCGTTTTGTGTTGCTTCTTGCTCCGCGGTACGCGCTCTCCTAATCTTCTTCGGCAATTTTCGTGTCACTGTCGTCTCAGGGGACTTATTCGAGTACTTTGAAATTATGTGGTGGCCGCCATCCAAGAAGAGATTGTCGCGTAAGTAAAGCGCATCGCTCACGAAGGTGGAAGGCCCATGAGGCGGCTGTGGAACAGGATATCGCAAAAGGAGTGTCAATGCAGCCGTGTAGTCGGCTTCAAGCACTGTCAAACGATAAGCAACATCATCTTGCCGGTACACCAAAGAAACATACGTTGCCACCGTATCCGCAAAAGCATGCTCACAGATATAAAATCAACCAATTCCAATTCAGGGTCTTCTGCGAAGAGTATGTCCCACAATGCAAGTACATCGTCGAAAGGGAACTCGCGACCAAATAGCAGCCGTATCCATCGGATCAAAAAGATTTGAGGAAGAATTTCAATGGCGGTTAGGTGCTCCGCGAGCTCTGGATCGGCGTGGTGTAGATAATTTTCGTGAATGCGCTTACTGCGCTCGACGATAGGAGAGCTGTTGAGCAGCCCTGCAGTCACTGGTTCACTGCTGTTGCCTATCTCATAGAAAGACCTGACCGTTTGCATTACTTTCGTAAAGAGCGTGAAGGCATCGTGCTCGATGTAGCCTGGATCCAGTAAGACATAAACGAGGTCACCCTTCTCAGGCTGCCGAACATCCTTAGAGTCTATAGCATCGCAGAAAACAACCCAAACAACCGGTGCAAGAACCTCATGCATGCCCTGCCGGTAGCCAATGTCTCGATTGAGCTTGCAATAGACGAAAAGAATATCGAGCAATGCACTTTGCGCCGATGGTTCTCGAAAATACGCGTTTTCTGGCATGCAACGCTCAACATCTTGAAGAATCTCGGTTCTCAAATCCTCATCTTGACGTAATGTATTCCAGGGAGACTTTCAAGGTCTTAGTGAGTGGTCAGAGATAGACTTTTGTAAAGACAGATAACCATAAAGTGTAGGGAGATACATACTGACTCGTTATCAGAAAGCGGGTCATCAGCTGATATGTCATCAGGACAGCTCAAGTTCTTAGTGAAGTGCTCTTTCAAGGAAGTGTATGCGCTTCGAGAGTCTTCTAAAGTTTTTGACCATTTCGACGTATCAAGAGATTGGAAGAGCAAGAACGCCTTCAGCTGAGATTAGCATGTCTCTGCCATGGAGACAAAAAGCTATTATACCTTCCAGCATACTGAGCGAAGCCCAGTAATGCATGGACCATAAAGTTGCGCACTTCTAATGGCCTCCTGAAGAGTTGTAAGATTATCTTGACCAGCGAAAGTTGCTTTCCAACGTTGCCTTGAGTGTGTCAATGACTGACGTACCAGTAGATTGTGATACTCACTTTGTCTGTCCAAGTGAGCGCATGCCGCATTGCCAGCTCACATTGTTTTGTGATATGAGCCCTAAAGCTGCTGCGGGGATATTGTATGATGTACCCTAGGTAGCCCTAAGCCCTTGCCGCCGACGGGGGTTTCCGTGCATACTGAGGTTTCTTGGCGTAAAGGCTCACTAGGCGCAAAAATGTACTAGCCAGTCGTCACCACTCTCCGGTCAATCTTCCCCAGACCATCACCTTGACCTACGCAAAGGTGAGAGGTTGATTTTTAATAGGATTCTAGCGGTAGGGAAGTGCTCCTTGATAGCTGCGTCAAGCTGAGATAACCAAAGCCTATTATGGCTACGATTCTTCGGAGCTCAAGGAATCTGCAGCGCCTGACCACGAGATCGCGACACAGCCTTTGCGGCTCTTGTATATCACACCTCGAGAAATCTCAATTTCAAGTTACAAATGTCCCTGCAAGATCATATGCTACAAATCCAAAGGAACCGAAAGCCAGTGAGGAAGTACCAAAGGCTAAAGAAAAGAAGAAAGTCATCAATTCCCGCCAAAAAGGCAAGCCTGCTCCCGGCTTCGAACAACTTTATGGGAGTGGTAGCCCGTTATGGCTTCAAAGTACGCAATCGCATGGCGCTGGGAAACAGCTTCCCCCAAATCGGTCACCGCTCAGCAACAAGGAGGTTGAAAGCTTAGACAATCTATTGCAGACACTCAAAAAGGGTCTCCCAACGAAAGAATTCCAAAAAGTGGAGGAGGTCTTTCAAACATTCAAGAGGATCGGCCTGCCGAAGGAATTCCGTGAGATTATGGCCAAGCTGGAGAACGGCGCGCCGCTAGATATTGCCACTGCTGCAAGGCTTGTCCGAATAACTCAGAAAACCCTGAAAGATGTCCGAGAAACTCAGATGAACCAAGATGAGGAGAACCTCAAGGATAAGTCCAAATCATCCCGCGAGGAATCATCCGGGCCAAAAGGCTCCTCGAAGAAATCTCGGTCGAGACAAGACTCTCAGTCTTCGGGCAATAGGATATTTGGAATGCAGTTAGATCCCGTCACCTTTGCTGGAGGATTGTTTGCTGGCTACATGCTCTACAAACTATTCAGCCCTGGTGATTATTCCAAACAGATTACCTTCCAGGAATTTAAAACCACCTTCCTTGATAGAGGACTGGTTACAGGACTCACTGTGCTCGACGAACATAGAGTGAGGGTTGAGCTACACCGCGAAGCTGTCGGGCGGATGTATCCGGAAAGTCCTGCTCAGCATGAGAATTTCCGTTATTACTTTACGATCGGGTCTGTCGAGGCCTTCGAGGTGAAGATAGAAGGGGCTCAAGACGAGTTGGGCATCCCGAGCTCTCAACGGATACCGGTATCTTACAGGAGTGAATCTCGAGCCTTCCAATTCTTCCTCTCTTTTGGACCTACGGTGCTATTCATTGGCTTGCTATTCTACCTAACCCGGCGCGCTGGAGGCTCATCCGGCGGATCGAGCGGTATCTTTGGGATGGGGAGGAGTAAGGCGAAGAAATTCAATCAAGACAGTGAAGTCAAAGTAAAGTTCAAGGATGTTGCTGGCATGGACGAAGCGAAGCAGGAAATCATGGAGTTCGTCAGCTTCTTGAAAGAGCCAGGGCAATATCAACGGCTGGGTGCTAAGATCCCGAGAGGCGCTTTGCTATCAGGTCCTCCAGGGACGGGTAAGACTATGCTGGCGAAAGCGACCGCTGGTGAATCAGGAGTACCATTCTTCAGTATAAGCGGTTCAGAATTCGTTGAGATATTTGTTGGTGTAGGTGCTTCTCGCGTACGAGACCTTTTCCAAACGGCGCGGAAGAACACGCCATGTATCATCTTCATTGATGAGATTGATGCTGTCGGCAAGACCAGGGCTAAGAGTACCGGATTCGGTGGCAATGATGAAAGAGAGGGCACTCTCAACCAGATCCTCACTGAGATGGACGGCTTCGAGACTTCAGAGCAGGTCGTGGTGCTTGCAGGAACGAATCGACCCGATGTCCTTGACAAAGCGCTTCTCCGTCCCGGCCGATTTGATAGGCACATCGCCATCGACCGACCTACGATGGAGGGTCGCAAGCAAATCTTCAATGTCCACATGAGCAAGATTACAACAAGCGAAGACGGTGAACACCTGACCGGCCGTCTTGCGGCTCTCACGCCCGGCTTTTCCGGCGCCGACATCGCCAACTGTGTTAACGAGGCCGCACTAATCGGTAAGCTCCCTCTTTCTCATTCAATGTCTATCGTCGATGACCTCCCCAACTAACTCCTCCAAGCCGCTCGCACTCAGTCCGAGTCCGTAAGACTTTCGCATTTTGAGCAAGCCATCGAGCGCGTGATTGGTGGCCTTGAAAAGAAATCCCTTGTTCTCAATCCCGAAGAGAAAAAAGTGGTCGCCTATCACGAAGCCGGGCACGCCATCTGCGGCTGGTTCTTCCGCTACGCTGATCCCCTTCTGAAAGTGTCCATCATCCCTCGCGGTCAGGGTGCCCTAGGATACGCCCAATACCTGCCGCCTGGGGAGACCTATCTCATGACTGTCAATCAGCTCATGGATCGCATGGCCATGGCGCTTGGCGGTCGCGTGTCCGAGGAACTGAACTTTGAGACTGTGACGAGCGGAGCGTCTGATGATTTCAACAAGGTCACCCGCATGGCGACCGCCATGGTGACGAAATGGGGTATGTCGTCCAAAATGGGCTACGTATACTTTGATGACAGCGGCGAACAATCGCAATTTCAGAAACCATTTAGCGAGCACACCGCGCAAGAAATCGATGGGGAAGTCAGGAGGATTGTGGGCGAAGCTCTGACGCAGTGTAGAGATTTGCTGACGGAGAAGAAAAAGGAGGTGGGGTTGGTGGCGGAGGAGCTGTTGAGTAAAGAGGTTCTGGGGAGGGATGATATGGTGAGGATTCTGGGTAAGAGACCATGGGGAGATAGCAAGGAGTTCACAAAGTATTTTGGTGAGCCGATTGCAGAGCCATCGATACCTGGTCTAGGTGCTGGAGAGGCAGCGCCCCCGCCTCCGCCGCCGGAAAGTGGTGTTGCTGCTAATAAGAGGGTGGATGAATGAGGAGGGAGCGTGAGGCGTCAATATAGAGTTAATCTACTGTATATAGCGTGAATGGGTTGTATCGGCAAATTTGACATCATTGGTGTCCAAGCCTTGATCCTGAGACCCGTTTTCCCTGCCACCTACGGATGGAACGAGAGTTCATTTGTCAGCGGTGATGAGGAGAAGTCTTGAACGTGACAAGGGAGCTAGCTACTTTGGCCAGGAGGGGCGGACAGCTGAAGAAGAGACGGAGGGAATAGATTGGGGTCAGTAGAGAATGCACCACGGAGCGTAGAGAGAGAAGCCAATAAAAGTGTCAGCTTTTCAAGATCTCATGTAATTCTTCAGTCAGGTTTTAAGAACGGTAGTAATCTGGTAGAGGGTGAAATTTGAAGAAACCAGTTTTAGAAACTGAGTAGGATGAAAAATGATTCCACTGGAGAAGTAAATAGGGAAAACGAGACGGTGGTAGTCGGTTGTGTAATTCAAGAAGGGCGCAAAATGCATCGACCAGGTGGGAAGGCTAATGTTTCCTCGAAAATTCCTGCTCATTGACATTCATCTAATTACATAGGATCATCCGTAATATGGTGGGCATTCTTGGTATGTAAATAATGATCATCTCCAATGTGCACGTTAAACGACATTCAAATAATCCACGTTTTCCTTCGGGTGTCCGCTCGACGCTAGAACCATCAATCGATCTTCATCTTTAACCTCGTGGGATTTTGCTCGCTTTTCGGATTGAACGAGTGATGAGCCACTCCTTGGTGTTGAAAATCTGGCCGCGGAGACAGGAAGCACCATAATACTGAAACATACCGTGAAGTCACACTGGCAAGCATCCAAGGACAGCGAAATTCCTGGCGAAAATGCTGTTCGTGACTTCTCGCATTAGGCGCGGTGCGAAAATAGTTCTTCATGAGCATCATGAGCTATGCCTTCCATGCTGCCGAAGACGCCTTCGTCTTCTTCATGAGCCATGTTTCGATCATCGTAATCGGGATAATCACCCCCACGAGATGGTATCATAAGAACTTCTCGCTCGCTGGACAGGGGTTGGTATGACGGACTTGGTAAGCCCAAGTCGGACTGCGCAAAGATACTCCCGGATTTAGTCGCCTGGTGCTCCTCAGCATAACGCGCAGGTAAAGGTGGTACAGGTGGCACGTCGGAGGGTAGAAGGACTGGGCCACTCCTTGGTGTGCCGAAACTGCAGAGTGTCTCCACTGCAGCGGCAAGCCCACTCTCTTCCTCTCCACTCATGCCGGAAGTATAATGAGGGAAGCCGCTGATACCGGGGAGAGAGCTAGAAGGAGCGGATTGGTAAGATCTTGAATACAATGAGCTTAGTCCGCTCGATCGCTTGGTCCTGCCTGTACTGATTCCCTCTGGATAGCTGTAAGATTCTGCCGTTGGGGGAGGTGTGGTCTCAGCCGAGCTATATGCGTCATAATAGTCATCGTTCGTCTCAGAGGATCCCGAAGCACCTGGCGACAAGGACGAGCTGTCACTTTCGCCACGCTTTAAGGGCTCAAGGTCGGCATCCACATTCATATTGACAAGCACTGAGGCGGCTTCGAGCAGTTGCACCTGCTGATGCTTAGAGATGAGGAGCTTAGAGGTGTAGGCCCAGGCAGGATCGTGCTCCCACCTATTGATTCGTTAGCCAGCTGCTTCGCCTTCTCATTTTGTCCCCGTTCACACGTATAAGCTCACTACATGCACGGTAGAAGGGAACACGCAACAGGGAACGATGAAATATCGGTAGCGAAGAGACTGTAGGGGTACTGACAGGTGCTTTGCGAGACAACTGCTGTGCTTGTAGTTTTTGCCACACGTGTCACACCTCAGCTCCCCACTGGACCTCTTGCCTTCCCCTTTAATAAGGTGAGAGCCTTCACTGGCACGCCTTGCACGTGCTTTCGGCGCGCCATTGTTGTGCCTAGCAGGCAAGAAGCCGTCGGCAATGGCCGAGTCTTCGGGTTTTGCTCGGTATCCTTGATCCCCATCATTGCTGTTGTTTCTCCCCAGGTCAAGCGTCGGCCTGGACTGGCCGTGCTTCGGTATATCAAGGACCTTTGTGGACTCGTCCAAAGCAGCCCTGAGTGCTGCCACGCTGTTCACGTTTGATGCGTTGCTTCTTCTCCTCGTAACTCGGTTCGACGTATTGATACTCCCGAGCGAGACCGAGTGGGCGTGGTGCCTGGAGCCCGAGTTGCGGTTTGGAGCACCAGAAGAATTGGAAATCATCGAAAGGCGCTGTTGGCTCTGCGGACGCGTCACTTGGGCATCCTTCGAGGCTATCGTCAGCTCTGGCCCTGATTCTGGCGATTCATGTACGAGAAGCTTACCCTAGAAGACATCTCGGGGCCAATTGACCCTCAGGACCCAGAGCTCTGGCGAGGTCTGAATCAAGAGGGCCAAATCTGTGATGATATGGCGTCAGATAACGCAAGCATGTATTTGCAGCTCTTTATTTCCCCGCGAGAAGGCTCAATTTCGGACCGAGCAGGTGAATTGCTCTTGTAGAATCTGGGACCAGATCGGGCCGATGGCCGCAGTGGTAGGTAAGGGGCAGCCGCCGAGAAGTGAAAAGAGTCTGGGGCTGAATCACAGCGGTAGGAGGATGCAACGGCTTAGCTCGGGGCACCGCTGATATGACTGAAGTCCAAAAATATGGGTTTGGCGAGGAAGATCATGAAGGATTGTTAACGAAAGCCGAACAAAGCAATGGAGGGTGAAAAAAAAGAAGAAGAAGGGAAATGGTGTGGAACAGAGTAGGGGCCTTCGAGGACAAGAAGCCACCCAAAAAAAGAAGAAAAAAGGATGGACGGATGAGTACTTTTATTAGCTTGTCCAGAGTCTGCATAAGTCCAATCTGAGCCAAAACAGAAGCATTAATAGGTAAGAATAGTAGTCGGAGGTAGATAGGCGGCGTCCAACGCTGCCCCGCTCGCTGATGATCGACGGGATCCTGATGAGAGGTCAGCTGCTGCTGCTTTTGCTCGGTTGTTCCGCAGTAGTCCAGCCAGCAGAACCAGCAGAACCAGCAGAACCTGGGCGTGCTGGCTCGGCCGCCGCAGATCACGCGCAGGTTGGATTGCGTTTGCTCTTGCTAATAGTAATGCACTTGGAACTGTTGTGTCCTCAGTTGTATGTGCTTGTGCGTGCAAAATCAGATGTTACATTCTTCGGCCGTGTTGACTCTACTTACTACGTACTGAATCACTCGTTATTGCAGATGATTCACATGATTGGATTTTACAGCCGTCAGTTGACGCCTTCCCCGTGTACAGCCTTCCGACCAAGGACTCAAGGAGATTAGATATCACCTTTATCCTCTGTCTCCCCTCCCGTCCAGCCTAGGAGAAAGCACAAACCCCATCTTCCGCAGGAACAGGAACTCTGAAGCCTCCGCTCGGTGGTTCCTGGATTTAGACTCCCAGAATCGGCTTAGTCTCGGCCACAGCCCACCACGCTTCGCTGTATGTGGTGAGGATCACCCCAGCTCCCACTTTGGCTTCATGCAGGTAATGCTTCGGTCTCCGTCCGCCAATCATTTGCCGCATTATCTTACGGCAGCGAACTCTCTGGACTTCTTGCACCAAAGCCTTTCAAGGTTGAGATACAGCAGGAGGAGTAGGACAAAGATCCACGTTCGAGGGTCAATAAGCCGCAACTGACCACGCCAAATTGAAGTGCCTTAGCTCCAGGGCCAACTAATGCAGCGCAAGTCTCCTGCATTTTCCGCCATATAAATTTGGCGTGGCCACGTTCCCGGGAGATAACATTCCGCAGAGTGAAGACTGCTGGCTTCTAACTGTATCATCATTGCAAATCTTGCGCTGTATATCTCTTCCGTTGTCAGCATATAAAGGTATCGTTAGTGTGACCGTTCTGTTCCTCGGGCAATGAATTTTCATCCCGACCAACGCTAGTCCACTCGCCACTACTGTCGCGCTGTAGCTCTTTGATTTCTCCTGGGGTCCTGGCAAGTTGATCACCAATTGCAGTGCCGTAGCTGCCACTGTCTTGAGTTCTGTTGTCAGACGAACTTTGCGCACCTGAGTGGGTGATGAGATTGACAGGATGAAGGGTGACGATGCTGATCGGCCATTGAATCCAATGCTGCATCGCAGCGTCAAGCTCTTTCTGTATATGATGTACAATGTGGCTCGCCCAGCCCTTCAACCACCAGTAGCGGTCTAAGCGGTCCAGAACAGTACAGTAGTGAGCCAGGATAATCAAGGCTTCAGATCTCCCCTCGTTGAGCATCTTCAGGTAATGCTGCGGAACGATAACAGGCCACAAGAAAGACAAAGACACATCACACTCGTAGGTTTCCTTATTGATGATTCTTGTGTAAACATATCGTAGTTGATACGCGGCTTCTAGGCACGCCGCTTTGTCCTCTCCAGTGCTCGACATATCATTGCAAAGTTGCTCAAGCAGCGAAAGCTGTCCATCAACGCTTTGGGGAACGTTTTTTGTCACTGGCGATTGGTCATGGTCATGAAGCAGTCCGCTAAGCCTGCCTCGCTTGATGTCGCCCCAAACGTTCTGGATTATGGAGTTGACACCGCGAATGAGTGGTAGCCACTCATCAGAATGCTCGTTGAACCTGAACATTCCAAGTCCGTCAGAAGCCTTTGGCGATTCAAACCCGTAGACTACGATCAAGGTTGACATCGCGAAGAATGCATCGCCGTTGGAGGCATCCATTCTTGTCATTACATCCCGGAAGGAGCGCAAAGCAGCATCCTGATGCTGAATAGCTATGTTTGTAAAATACATCTGCTTCATCGGTCGTAGCGTGCCCAAGTGAAGGGCTGATATGGCCAGGATGCCTCGCATTAGGAAATCATGCTGAAAAGCGATCTGAGGCACCACCAGTCTCCATATATTGTGACTTTCTTCACGGTCCGAGAGAGTCATGCAAGTTTCCGTGACGAAATGATGCAATAATTCGAGCTCATCAAGGTGCAACGGTGGAAGATGTTCTCCTGAGCCTGTCAACTTGCCACTGGCCTGGGGGTCTTTGATAGGCGCAGTCTGTCCAGATTGACCGGTGGAACTACGTCGAACGGAAGTCCTATCATTTGACCGCCGACGTTTAGCTGCTGGAGATGCACCACTTTTTGCGGGGTTTGCCGCAAATGAACAATCGATATCATGTTTTACGCAATTGGAGCAGCGGGGCCTGACCTCGTCGCACTAATACCGAGATGTCAGCACGCATGGTAGACTTAGCATTGTATGAATGCTATCGCGCAGGAAAACTTTTGTAAGACATAATCACCTTTATCCGTCGCTTTTTGCATTGGGGGCAGCCATTGCGGCTCTTTGGATGGCTCTTTCGAGATACCATTGTGAAAACGTCATGCAGAAGGATCTCTTATCAAACTGTGGGACTATATGTCCCGGTAACAATATGTCTATGAGCGGTCATTCTGTGACTGAGTCTGCAAGTGTGCTGAATCTGTTGAGCCCGATAATGACGTCGAGGATGCGAACATACTGCGTAACAGACGCAGCACACCAGACCAACATCGCGGACGTGGCGGAGAACCGTTGCCAAGACTGTCGTAATTGCCTTCGACTAGTTCTAGCAAGACCCTGACGGCCTGTCCATCAAGCGCTACCCGGCCCTGCCCCTCCTGTGCTATCATCCAGGCTTACCAGGCTTCGCTCATAGCTTGCCTCAAATTATAATATAAATTTGTCCACAAGGTGACACTTCTTAATTGTACAAGACGATGGAGTACCGCAGAGTCGGAAGGGGTGGTGCTGGCAACTACTACTCCAAGCAAGAAGTCGAGAAAGCCTCAAAAACAGAGGCGCAAGTGAGTAATGACCTTCAATAGTGCAGTGTTCGCATACACATGCTCACACTTTTGAGAATGATGATATCGAAGCTCAAAGGCCGTCTCAAATTGATAGCTTAAACCAAAGCAGCAACCCACAATCCAAATACGCCACATATGGGCGGGGAGGAGCTGGCAACTGGGTTGAAACAAGTGACCGCGCATCAGCGGCAACCCAGATCCTGGGTGAAGATCCAGTCCTGGACGAGAGAAGCACTCCAACAAGGGGCTACTCTGGGAGAGGTGGGGCGGGCAACTTTAGGGATAGCACTGTCATCGAAGGAAGACAACCGCAGGACAGAGAACTTCAAGAGATGAAACGGACAGACAGCTTTCAAGACGTTGAAGCTGGCTTACAAGCCCCGCAACAAGCGCACTTGGGAGGCGAAAAGCTCAAGAGAGGTTCGTGAATCATGTTCTTTTTCAACGCACAAAAAGCATACATCCTTAATAACGCCTTGCTAAGCGACATATCACAATCGTTGCCAATCCTGCACCATTCTATTCATTCCGTCTCCATCGAATCCTCCGTCCCACCCCCAACCAACAATTTCCTTTTCATCTTTTGCTTCGTCTTAGCAGATCGTTGCGATATCGGCACCGCAATCTCTTCCAATACCTCATGTGCATTCTCCTTGTCGATTTCCATTTCTAGGGCTTTCCTCTCACTCCCACGCATTCTAGGGAGTAGATGCTCGTTCTCAGCCACCAACTTCGCATCCGCCAAAATTTGCCTCTCCTTGTTTCCTTCCATGCGTTTCTTGTAGAAGACTCTCTCCCTTCGCAGGCGGATCTCTTCGATACGCTCCATAGCTTTGACGGTGGTGTCTACTAGGTCGCGGTTGTATCGGATAGGCACATTACGTCGCGCAGCGAGCTGGAGGGTAGTATCTACGGTCATTTCTTTTCCGTGAGCATGCCGGAAGGCTTTCGTCCAGCCCAATTTACGGGGATTGCGCTTCATTTTGAACTAGAGGGGACAATCAGTAGATCTCAACGTCTATAGAGAGAATCTATTACATTCTTATGACATTTGCTAGATTTTTCGAATAAGCTTTATCAGTCAAAGCGAGACTTTCAAATCCACTTACCTGCGACAGAATCTGAAGACCTTAGCATCATTGCGGACGAAAGTGATGCCTTTCGATGGGTAAGTTGGTCGACTACAGTAATGACAACTTTCTATCCTTCGTAAGAGTTAGCTGAGAGGTACTGCATCTGCGCTCGGACACCTGACCTCATATTTGCTTTTGCTTGTCGTCTAGCAAGAAGTTGGAAAGTCGTTGTGGATTTACTCAAGATCAGACTAGTCTACTTTAAGGATCCACCGCTAGTTAAACCGACTCCATTTCTTTCTCCTCACTCTTGTTGCAGTGCAACACGATTGACTGCAACAATACTTGCTCTGCAAGCAGCACAGCATGGTTGGTGCCATTGCTTTGGGGGTTGGAGTGGCAACAGCAGCGTTCTTTGTAAGCTCCCCATACCAGACCTGGTCAACGGGCCCGTCTCATACATCGTCCAGGGTCGCGCAGGTCTTGTTGCCTTCCGAAAATATCGAGCCGGCGCCGGTGCAATAGGCCATCTCACGAAGCAATACTACAAAGGTGGTTTCGAGCCCACCATGAATCGCAGAGAGGCATCATTGATTCTACAATTAAGGTCAGCTATCGTAACTCCTTCATCCTTGCAACCTGACTGATTGTGTGTAGCGAGAGATCGTTGTCAAAGGACAAGATACGGAAAAACCATCGACAACTCATGCTCTTAAACCACCCGGACCGAGGCGGCAGTCCATATCTAGCTTCCAAGGTGAATGAGGCTAAAGAGTTTCTGGAAAAGCACTCATGACCGCCCACGAATTTAATTCAATGATTTTGTTTTCAGTATGGCGCAGGATTCGGTATCACAATGCAACATCTGCTGTACTGAGGATTTGATGGTATCTGGGATCCCCAAAATATCGCGTTGAAGGAGTATAAAATACAGCCACTAGAGCGAACATCTCTACTCATCAAACAAGTTCCACACAGGTTGCGGAGATCCCAAGGACCGTTATCAGCCCGTGGTCATGATCTCTGCCTTTTCAACCAGAGCCGCAACAGCCTTGGTCAATCCCCTTCGCCACTCCCACTGCAGCGCATGCGACCTTCCATCTACAACTATGAAAGTCACTTGGCCCAGCTCCTTCGCCAAGGTCTCTCCGAGCGGAAAAGGCAGCATTCTATCCGCCGTTCCATGAATCACCTGGATTCTTTCACCCCCAACCTGCTCGCTCAAATTTCGCAGCTGTCTCGGCGACACATTATGCCAGCCTGCTGCCAGAGCTTGCATTAAGAAGCCTTTACGTGTATAGCCTTCGGGGTCCTGGCGCTTCTTCAGCTCATATGCCTTAAACCTATCACCATTGGTTGGGAAATGTCCCTCCGAGTCTGGCTCATTCAGCCATTCCGAACTGAACAAGCGCTGCTTAGTATCTTCTACTTGGGTGTCGATCTCCTTTGGAATTCTTGTCACACCATCAGTACCAAAATTCAATCTCCGACATTGTACATACAGAAGGTTGATTCTGTCCCTTAGATTCTGAACCCAGCCAATTGTGTTGAAGATCCGAGGTGCCGACGCCAATAGGGTTAGAGAAGCTATTCTCTCAGGCACTATACACGCCTCTTGAAGTTAGGGATTTACTTCCGTTATCGTTGCGGAGCTTACTAGTTCTTGAGCAATCATTCCACCCATGGAACTGCCTATCACATGGAGCTGTCTCGTCCTTGTCCAACCCACGTGGTCGATCAGCTCAAGGGTGTCTTTGGCCATTTCTGATGTCGAGTATCTTGTCAGCGGTTTATCCGACTTGCCCATGCCACGAGGATCGAATATCAGATTGGTGTATTTGGAGCTCTGGCCACGGTTTGTGTTTTGACTGTGACCAAAGTCTTTGATTTGGCGTTGCCATGCTGACATCCAGCCTCCTAATCCAATGATCCACTGACAGATTTCGTCAGGCTCAAGATTCATGGAAGGTAGAGTTTGAATGATGACTGCAAATTGCCTGGCTACTTGGCTTGGACGCGAAGTAGTAGAATTCTATACTTACCACGAGTCTTGTCGGACCTTCTCCATGTATTTCGTATGCCAACTGCAAAGGTCCACCTCGTCTACCTGCTGCTACAGTAGCTTTTCCTTCCAGCGCGGGTTTGACCTTCCAAATGACCCCATCGAACTCTGGGTGTTCGTAGATATCCGCCGCGCTAAGCGGTGACATTGATATGCCGTCCCGGATCAAGAAAGCGCGATGTTGAACGGCGCGTGAAAACTCAGTCTTCTGATGTTAAAGATGACTTCCTAAGTATATGGGTTCAAATGGATGATATAATTGGCCGAGTCCAATGAGAAGGAAAAATGGGTGCAGGTCTTGGCCCTGCTTACATTATGCAAGCTTGCTACGTCCCAACCGCGCAAATGTGCTGTAGCCTTCGAACCTCGAAGGCCTATGAGCGGAGTCAGAGAAACATATCCTACGTTTCCAATGCAAGATCGACAATGAGAAGTGGTGAAATAGAAGACGCACATACATAATAACGGCACAGTGCCTGTGGACGCGATTCCATGCACCACTTATCATGAATTATTAATAGAGGGTCCCCCTGCTCTCCAGCCTCGATCTCAGTCTTTGCCATCTAGTTGTCCCTGCGATTGCTGTTGCGCTGAAGATGGATCCTCAACAGCAGGTTTTTGACACCAGCTTTAACATCCCGCCTATTCCCAATCCTCCAACACAATTCTTTGGTGCGGACAGTCAAGATACCTCACCGTTACTTCCGGATTTTGGTTTTGGAGATGAATTCGAAGATGGCCAGAATGATGATGGGATGCAGCAAGGTGGGGGTGAGGGCAAGAGAAGAAGGATCGCTAGAGTGGGCAGACAGACGATGCAGAGCTTACGGCATACTGATTGCTTGCTAGGCCTGTGATATGTGCCGTAAGAAGAAGATAAAATGTGATGGTGGCATGCCAGCATGTAAAAATTGTATCAACTATAAAACGGAATGCGTGTTCACGCATGTTGAGAAAAAGCGAAACCCACCCAAAGGGTAGGACCTCGATTGGCCTACCTCCTTGACACTGCTAATGATATTCCAAGTGCCAAGTACATCGAGGGACTTGAGAACAGGCTCGGCAGAATGGAGAATCTGCTACGGATGTCTGGGTTATTGACTGAAGACGGGGAGAAGACGGATCTCGGAACGCTGGAGAAGCAGCTCGCCAACCGCCAAGGAAATCATGAAGGCGAAGCAATGGATCGCTCGTCAAAGGCTGGAAGTCATTCGCGGACACTGACATCTCCACAAAGCCCGCCTCAAACAGAGAACGAAGAGACGACGAATGTCGGTGCCAAATCTCCAGAAGCCGCATGCAAAGAAAAGGAAGCCGAGGTCGAGGAGTTATCAGATATGATGTGTTCGCTTGTCACAAACAACTGTGGAGAGACGAGGTACATTGGTAGGCGCTTTGTAGACATGTGTTCAATGGCCAAAGAACTGATACCCACCAGGCTCCTCCTCGGGATTCTCCATCTTCTCTCCCAAAGGCATTCAATGGGTCAACGAGAAGACAGGTGACACTTCCTTCCAAGATATGATCACCTCAGCATCAGTGCACGATATCAAATGGACATACTGGAAGCCAGAGGTATTCTCAGACTTGTTTACTCGACAAACCTTTCAACCTTTGCCGCCTAAGGACGAAGCCAATTCCCTTCTACGAGACTATTTTGAAAATTTCAACTGTATGTTCCCTTTATTTCACGAGCCTACTTTCATGCATTTAGTCGATCGGTACTATTCTTTACAGCCTTATGACGCATCAGGATGGTGGGCAAGCTTCAACGTTGCATTAGCAATTGCACATCGTCTGCGTGTAATGAGCCATCTGGTCTCACAAGATGAAGACAAGAAGGCTTGGGGCTACCTGAAGAACGCAATGGGTGTTCTGACAGAATTGACTATGAGAAACACCGACTTGCTGAGTGTGCAGGCTCTGCTCGGCATGGCACTGTTTCTGCTTGGAACGCCAAATCCACAGCCATCGTTCTTCCTTGTCGCTGCTGCCATTAGGCTGGCACACAGCATGGGCCTGCATAAGAAAGGCTCTGGATTCAACCTCAACGCCGTTGAAATTGAACAGCGTAAACGAGTCTTCTGGATCGCATATATCATTGACAAAGACATCTGTCTTCGCTCGGGCCGGCCACCAGCACAAGACGATGACGACATGAACGTTGAACTGCCCACAAGTGATCCGAGCGATAACATTGGCAACATTCCGCTGGCGGATGGTAAAGGAAAAGCTAACCTTTTCAGGTTTATGGTTGAGTTCGCAGTTATCGAAAACAAAGTGTACAAGCACTTGTATTCGACCAAGGCAGCGAAACAATCAGATGGTGACCTTCTCAACACCATCGGTGAGCTAGACAAGGAACTCGAAGAATGGAAAGATAGTATCCCTATCGATTTTCGCCCCGAACATGAAATCAAGGCGTCCCACACACCTTTGGTGCTCCATGTTGTGGTACTTCACTTTGCCTATTACAATTGTCTCACTACGATACATCGCATGTCGGTGCATCACGGGTACTGGACAAGCAGATTGTCGAACTATGCTCTGCAAGGGCTCAACGCTCGACCCTTGAATCCAAGGGTCTTCTCCTCCGCTACTTTGTGCGTACAGGCGGCTCGGGCGTCGATACAGCTGATTCGGTACATCCCTCAGGGCGATTACTCTTGCGTCTGGTATGATCCGTCTTGTCCTCTGCTCGAGACTGGCCACTGACATTTGTAGGCTTATCCTATACTTTCCCGTATCTGCTTTAGTGACTCTCTTTGCCAATGTGCTTCAGAATCCACAGGATCCTAGAGCTCGCTCAGACATCAAGCTGATGAATCAAGTCGTTAATTTCCTATCTCTGCTTTCCGTCACTGAGGAGCAAGGCGGCGTCAAGCGCATGTTGGGCGTCTGCACGGAGTTTGAGCGGATTGCTCGTGTCGTCCTCGAGCAGAGCGACAAGTCCAAAGGCCACAGACGAAGACCTAGCAAGCTATCCAATGGCACTGAGAATAACAGTGTCTCGTCAACACCTCAGCAAATACCGCAGAAAAGATTAGCGTCATCTACGCCGTCAACAAACGATTCGCCCAATTCTCAGAATCTTGCGCCTCCTAGCTTGACAGGTACTTTGACCGATCAATCTTTCAATCCCTCTTTGAATAGTTTTTCACCCACAGTCGCGAACATAAACCTTCCCCTCAACTTCACAAACAATTCTGCGACAAAAGATCACAGCACTTCACCCTCCATCAATGGTGCAAACACTATGTCCTTCGCAGATCTCATGAATGAACCCTCCTCTAACCCTATGGCTGGTGGCGCTGGCAGTATGCCAATGCCAGACATGAACCAATTCCCGACCGACGATCCTATGAGTCCGCTAAATATGGGTGCCTTCCAGCAGCCATTTGTGCCTCAAGATTTGTGGAATATGCCCATGACACTCGAGTGGGATTGGGCCGACATGAATATTGAGGGGTTTGGGGTAGGCCCACCCCAGCAGGAGAGTGATCAGAATCGTTTGCCGCCGGGAGTGGATGGGAGCATGTAAGAGGAGATATAATTATTGAAGGCTCTGAGGCATGTGCAGCATCTTGACCTTGTATTATTCATTTAGCAACCTTCCTTTCCTTACGAAGAATCTTGCAAGCGAGCATGGCGTTCCGGGTAGGGAAAGACGATGTAATAGGAAATGAGGACATGAGCGTTGAAAAGGACGGCCGGGACGCCGAAGAAACGAAGTGCAGATTCATGTAAAGCCAAATAACATAAGCTAGTGCAATACACATAATTGACTGTTAAGACTACGATGAGAGCTCCGAAGCTCAGCCATCAGGGAATTCTCGCTCTCATTCTTCAAGATATTCTAATGCTGAAACCCGATAATGTGCATGCTATGTCTTAATCCTGAGAGACCATCCGGTGACAATACTCCTCCCGATATACAGATCTCAAAATCGTGGGTATCAATGACGCTTGCTTCCATAACCAAACCAGGATTTAAATGCCTACCAAATGCTTCATGTGATTGCGCAGAAAGGTCTTGGTAACCCAGGCTCGCCGCCTCCTCTTCCCCAACCACCCCACTCATACTCAATCGCTTTCTATTGCCGCTGTCATCATCGTCATGAACCATCATTCTCATCCCTGACCCCCTCTCCACCCTCCATACACCACTCATGCGCCATGACCTCCTCAATATCTAGCCTTTTCTCTACGTCCCTATCAAGCATACACCTGATTAGATCGATATTAGTCTCGCTCATAATCCATGGAACTCTCAGTTCATGATCGAGAATCTCGTCGATGCTGTAGAAGGGATTTTCCTTGTAGACAAGCGTGTAGAGGAGAATACCAAGGGCCCAGATGTCTTGTTCGCGTCCACGGTATGATTTGCCTTGTAAGACCTCGGGGGCTGCGTAATCTGCATCGACCGTGTTAGGACGAACGTTCGCGTTTGAAGCGGGAAGGCGGGAAATTGGGCAGATAATGGTAGAAAGAGACGAGAAAACTTACCAATAGTGCCCACAAAGACATCAAAGGGCCCATTATTGATATACGCTGCACTTCCAAAATCGATCAACTTGACGTTACCCTCCCCATCGAGAATGATATTTTCGTCCTTGATATCACGATGTACGACAAGAGCTCTTGTATGCAAATGGTGCAGCGCCGCTACAACCTGGAGGAAGATATTTCTGCACTCGCTCTCGTACATGGTCGATCGCATTTCGATGTAGTCGAAAAGGTCCATTCCAGGCAAACCATGGGGCACCATCTCGATGTAGTAATTGACGTCGTCCTCGAAAAAGTCGATCATTTCTACAATGTTTGGGTGCCGTAGACCATCCTTTCGAAGGTAGTCCAAGACATGGATTTCTAGGGGAACAGTTCCAAGTCGACGATCACGCGTCCATGTGTCAACGAGAATACGTTTTTTTGTGACGTATTTGAGGACGACTTTCTTGCCGGTACCTTTTGCGTAGAGAGCCAACTTGACTTGACCGTAAGCACCTTGGCCCATGTCTTCGATGATAGTATAATCACCAATTTTCTTCTTTTTCTTTGGAGATTTCGAATTGGATGTGGTGGTGGCCAGCGATTCACTCATTAGCCGCTTAGGTGGGCTGTCTGAAATGGGTTGAGAGGCTGCTTCTTTGATCTTTTGAGATATCTCCGTGGTGGGCGAGTTCGTGGGTTGAATGTCGTCTTGGTCAATGACTATTGGGGAGGCGGTGCGGTTTGTTTGACCAGGCGATGGCTGATGAGGAGGTGTGAGTGGTCGGGAGAAGGCAGGGGACGTAGTACTTCCTGGTGGTGCCGCTGAATGAAGGTGACGCGAATAAGTAATCCACAAGGCATACACTAGCTCTGAGTCTTCTACAACTTCATCGGCGTCACTGTCCTCAGTTTTCTCTTCGATGACGGAATTTTCGCTTGCACTTCTTTCACTGCGTACAACGCGCATCTGGACATCAATGTTTATTTCTGAACCGTCACGATGCCGTGCGACTACCCCTGCTGGCCTCGAGAAGATGATAGCGGCGTCGGCTTTACCTTCACGCAATGTCAATAAGGCACGAGCTCTCTGAAAGCTGTATTCTGGTACCACGATACCATCGACGAGAGCAACATCCTCTTCGTCCGTCAGAAAGTCAAGGATGTCACCAAATTGCGGAATGAGGTCGGTGACTTTGTATCCTGAAGGGTCTTCTCTACCAAAAAGTGCGGCTGAGAAGACCGAGTTGGAATTAATGATCCGCAAATCAGATGCTGATAGAACGATTATCCCAGCAATGTGAGGGAAGCTTGACACGCGCAAACTCCGCGTGGCTGCATCCATTGACACGGATACAGGTACGCTGACACCACTTCTGTTGCGAACAGCGTAGTATTTCGAGTCTTCGCTCTTTTCGAGGGCCTTCTTGTCTACTGCAAAGCCATCGATGAGGGGAAGTCCAGGAATGAGTTCCTCGACGCCTTTGCCGACAAGCTTTTCGGTCTGACCCCATATTGCCATAGCGGCGCCAGTGGCTGAAAGGATATCAGCATCTTCATCTAGCTTGAGAGACGCAACGTCCTCCGCAATCTCTTCGAGCACCCAAATGAGGCCGCCGCGCTTTTCTTTCACCCATAAGCTTGCCGCACCTACCGCTCCGTTTCTCTTCTGAATTGGAACAATATCACCGCAAAGAAGAACACCGCGAGAGTTGGATTTTTTGTTGTCTGGTGTCGCTTTGGGCTGCTTTTTATAACCTCCAGTTTGGGATCTCTGCTCCCGCCAAGATGGTTTGCTCAGAAGTGAGGCAGTGATACCACCGCCTAATGGAGAAGTTGGTTTCGGACTTGTTCTCGCACTTTGACTATGGACATGCCGTAACTTCGGATTTGCTTCTGACCCTGGCGAGCGAAGTTTGTCCTCTAACCACGCCCTACGATCCTGTCGCACGACCTCGAGCATGCTCATTTTCTTTACTTCCGCCTTTGTCACTCCAAACACGAGACAGGCTAGGTCATTCGCTGCAAGCAGCGTCCATGGAGAAGCAGCTTCGGTCGTGAATATAGCTTGCGCCGCTGGCACCCACCGATTGTTATGGCCATGAACATGAGCGGGAGCGTTGACGCTCGGTAATTGTGCCTTGACATGTATTGAAGGAACTGCGATTGCAGACAACACGCGGTGGTCTGTCGCGTCATGCGTGGATTTGTATGGTTTCGCCAATGCTTCAGAGAGTTGATTCTGCAAGTCAAGCAGGGAAATGTCCGTGTATGTGCGCTTGAGAGCCGGCCTCCCTGATGGAATTTGCTGTGACGAAGGTGACTGCGGCTCCGGAACTTCGGGCGCGGATGCTTCACTTCCTAAAGACGGCGCAGGCTGACTAGAAGATGGCCTCGAAAGCTCAGCATCATTTTGTATCTTTGGAGTCTCATCCAGGTCCAGGCCCTTGATTGATTCTTCAGGACTTTGGCCAATGGGCATGAAAGCTCTGTCAAAGACATTGCGTCCATCAACATCTGCCGGCCCAGTCAAGGGCCCATTTCGAGCTTGCGAGGTCACATTATTTTGGCTATTTTGGGCTACCACATTGGCTCGAATCAAGAGCTCTACCATGCTTTGCACCTCTGCATCTCCACTGACCTTTGCCTGTGCCTTTATGACACCAGGATGGTTGGCTCCCCATCCTAGACGATCCTTCATGAAATCTATAGCCCTCTTCAATATGCTTTGGCGATTATGCAACGCATCTTCTGACTGATTCGCGAAGGAGAACGAGTGTAAAGACTCCGAGGGAAATCTTGTTAAGTCTTCTGTAAATTGTAGTGTGGGTGATGGCTTCTCTCCGGTCATAAATCCCCGAGCTGGTAAAACGCCCAGATTCAAGGAGGATGACCGGGTGGGCAAGGCATATGGGCTTTTAGGTGAAGAGGGCACAGTAGGCGCTCGCGAAGGCACTCGAGAGGCCGGTTGTTGCCGTATTCGTCGTAAGCCGAGCCCCATACCCAAGCCATGCTCATGCTCTGCAACGATGGGTGATCTAGTCGCGCCTGCCGACTCGGCGGTGAAAGACACCCGCACCCTGCCATCTTGAAGGGCTTTAGTTGCACTTGACAGCAAGTCACTGGTACTCTTATTTTTTGGTATGTGAAGCGGGCTGATCTGAAAGGCGGCACTTTGCTCTTTTTCTTCGTTTGAATTTACCTGTCGCAACGCTGGGGTTACTGCTGCCATGATTTGTTAGTGGTTGTTGTTTCCTCAGCTTTGTAGGCATGGTAGGCAGGATTCGATGGCGGACCAGGTTGATGCCTTCAAATGTGAACAGAATGCTGACTTACCATAATCTGACGAGTCACGCGATGACATGTCTCTATTGAAGAGGATGCCTGATTGCGTTCAAGGTGTTGATATATGAGCACACGCCGCCCCAACGTCTTTTTGCGTTGCCTGAAACTTTTGGAATCTCAAACTGCATGAGGGCGCGTCGAACTACCTAATATCGACTGTCTCTGATGATCCTTCGCCCTTTCGTCATTCTATGCAGCCCTGGTGCACGCTACTTTCTATCTGGAAAAAAATCGCGGACCGTTAACCGACGATGGCACGTGTACTCGTAGATTTCCTGCATGTCTGGGAGGTCGATATTCTTATACAAACGTCGCGTGGGCGGAAGAGCAACAAGCTGAAGTCTGAAATCGACTAAGCATAAACGCCCACTGGGTGTTGTAGGTGCATGAAACGTGGGGTAGGACTAGATGGCCTTCTCACTTTGCCCTCACCCCACGGTAAACCCACACTATTATAGCATGCCTTCCACGCGGCCAGCACGTGATATCTACGCATTGAAGAGACACAATAGATGGTTTGTAGTGTGTAGATTGATCTACCATGACTAACTTCTAATCATACGGATCCTCCCAGACTTTTGGGTATACCATTGTAGGAACCAAGATCCTGTGCACAAAGCAGTGATCTTACTGAGGAATTTTTGAGGAGCCTGCTTCACAGCAAGCAAAGTGGAGGTTTGGAGGGAGCGGGTGGTCAGCAAGCTACGAAGTCGGGAAAGCGGATAGCTGTGGTCGAAGGTCCTTTGCACAGACAAAGGCGGATGGTGGAAGCATCAATAGGTATGAAGCAAAGTTCGTGAGTCGTAAGGTTGTGGATGATCGTGATTCATCATTTGAAGAGGCTGAAGTGGATAAAAAGAGATGGTGTCCAGGCGTTCTGGGGAGTGAAGCGAGAATTGGGATATCGACGCGTCGTGGAGCGGAAAGGACTGACGCTTGGTTGTCACATTCGTAGTATGGCAATGTAGAAGGTAGTTGAAGATGCAGGCTTTGAGATCTGTTGTCGAATGTGATGCAATCAGTCTTGCTGGGGTTGTGTGCTTCGCCGCATTTTTTCAGCTTCGAGATTCTCGTAGAGGAGGTAGAGAGCCTTTTCGTTCGCACCGGCGCTTCCCATGATGGTGAACATTCGCTCACCGCTCTCGTCATGTGGGGCTTTCGCAATCGAAATTCTTGCACCTGAGGTTTTTCGGATCTCGCTAATCTTACTTCCCCCCGTCCGATGATGCACCCTACCATATCTGATGGGATACTGATATTTTGGGTCTGAATTTCTTCGCCTTCTTCTGTCGTAGTTGGGGGCCCACGGGGTCCAGCATCGGAGTTCGAACGACGATATGAATTGTCACTGAAATCAGCACCATTTCCAGTCCTGTTATACGAGCGAGGTCCAGAATATGGAGGTGGTGCGCCAGCCAGAGGTCCTGCAAGTGGACCGCCTCGGCCAGCCTCAGCCCGTACCGCGGGGTTGTAGAGCACCGTGCCAGTGCCACGTTGCCAATCGTCCACCAAACATTTACCTATTTCCCACACTGCCTTCTGAATACCTTCAGGAGTTCCCTGTACTTCCACAATGCGTTCAGTCGATTGTGGTAGCATCTCCTTTTGAGCGACCATGCGGACGCCCGAGACGTCCTGAATATGCTTGATCTTGAGACCTTGGCGGCCGATGATTGTGCCCATTTGATTGTGCGAGATCAGCAGACGGATGGCTATCGTGGTATCAAATTAGTCAATGCGTAGATATTAGGCAACCAAAGGACAAACACAGGAAGAACAATGCGTTGATCATTGGGCTTGATAGACTCACGATGTGTTCCATTTGTGGATATAACACCTCCCATACCCATTTGCGGGGCACCTTCCAAAAGAGCTTTGCAAACAATTGAATACGCTTTTGCGATCTGCTCTAATCCTCCGGTGACCGTCAAGACACGGTCATGAACGCCTTGTACGACCTTGCTCACTCCAGCCTTGACCCCCGTCTCTTCCCTCAAGTCCGCGACGTTTTTGCCTGCCTTGCCTATGATCACACCTGCCTCCTTCGAGGAGACTATAGCACGAAGAGTCATTTGTGATTGGGCGTACTCCTCCTCGGTCCTGGGTGCAGCTTCGCCGTCAGGTCCAAGACGGGAGTCGTCCATACCATTGATACCAGCACGGCCCATAGACTCAGTCAAGCCTGCAATGTCGGCATCCGCACGGTTATCTGCAGCCATCGTTGGAACTTGGAACGATATAGTTGTGTCCTCGGAACAGAGTCGATCAGAGGCTAGATTTGTCGAACGAGGACGCGATACTTTGGTCAAGCTTGTCTCCTGGATAAGTTCTTGAGGTTCATTAGCTGGCGGACTGCCCTAGCCGGTATATGGATGAAGGCTGGGCGGTGAAGGGTCTGAAGTAACATACCAAAGTGTTGGTAGTAACGAGATGGAGGGTGGCGAGCAAGAGGATGACAAGGTTGCGGAGGGTCGGAAGGAAGACAAGCAGTAGAGGATAGAAATTAGGCTGTATGGAGTCACATATAAAGAAAGACGTGCGGAAACAGATGTCCCACAAAAGTTTTCATTTATATGAGAAATTTGGGAGCTATTGACTAGGACCCACGCTAATTTTCCGCTTTCTTCATTCGCTGGATCTTTGTCCCTTGGCACCCAAAGCTCCCACGGTATTCTCACTTCTGCAAGAGCAACGGAGGGGCAGCTTGCTTGCAGCTACTGGTGGCTAGTTATGCATCTACTTTAGCTTGTCACCTGCGTGACACCCATTGACACCCATTGACACCCATTGACACCCATTGACAGAGCTTCTAGCATGGCCCACAAGCTACTGCGAGGTTTATTGCTCCTTAGCTGCCGCCGATGCTTGGGATGGTCGAGGGTGATGCAGTAGAATCAGGTTCATGCGTGATACTTGACCCCATCACAGCCAAAGATTTACTCCTTCCAGGCTTCACTGCGCACAGACTCAGTTGCTCTTCAGGCGTCAAAGGTGAATCCTACCTATGAGCGATTTTCTAGTGAATCCGAACCTTCATCCTTTCAAGATAGCCTAACCCTCCCACAGCTTTAATCGGTGGCATGATTGTATCTGCTATGAGCCTTTAATTTGATACGACAAGGACAGCTTAGTCTCATGTCCAAAGTGCTTGCCTTTGACTGACAGTCTTCAATGACACGGTTTCTCATACAATGACACTCGCCTCGGGGAGTAAAGCCTTCGTCAGCACATGCAAAGATCCATCTTTCCACGCCCCAGCCTTTGCGTACACGATCATTGGAGAGAAGATATCAAAGTTTCAGCAAAGTAAACCTCAATCGAGAATGCCGGGCTTAATTTGACGATCTCGGAGTGAGAAGTGGACGTCAGTGGCAATACATTCGCGTGGTTTTCAAGAAAGAGGAAGGAAACGCTTACTTCAAGAGTGACCACCTCTACGCCTCGAGTCATTTCCTCCAACATGTTCTTGCTCGGTTCGAAGGCTCCACGATTTTGCACTTGCTGACCTAGGAAAGCCGAGTCGTGATAGTATTGAGTCTGCTGTATGTAGATGTGTTAGCTCAATATTTTCGAATTGATAACAGCATAGAGTCCAGACGGTCTGATTTGAATCATCATCGTCAGCATGTCCATCATTACTGGAGCGACTTACCCGCGCCCAGTGAGGAACACTCCTGCATTCTCGACCTGCTCTTGACTCTTTCCACTGAATGCAATCTTTGCTTCATGGAAGCACCAACACAAGCAATTTCTGTGCGAATCCTTTAGTGTCTTTCAAGGGCATTGAGATTGCCGATGCAATTCAAATCTATATGCTGTCAACATCAGAAGCTTCGTGATCCAGAGCTCGCCATCCTAAGGAACCAGCTTGAGCATTATCAATTGATTTACCTCGGAACAGGCTCACTGGCGAAAGGGAATAGCAATCTTACTTGCAACAGGGGTCAATGGGCCACAGACTTGTCACCAGTTCAACCAACATTACGACCGGGAAACGCAGTTCCCCACCATCTGATTAACATTTCGACGACATTGTCTCGCTGTGAAAGCTTTTCAAATCCTCCCCGCTCGCTCTTACTCTTGCGGGAGATCCCTTATCTTGAGCTGGGTAAACACCTTCATTCCAATCAAAGCGTCAAGACTTCCTACCTGAGTCTATGATCAAGAATGGTGCGCTCTACTCACAATGTCGTTGCCAATTCACTTCGGTATCTTTTGAGAATCCTTCGGTTTCTAGCTACTACGAAGACATGCAATATATTCCCACATTCATCTATCCGCGCAAGACAAATTATGCACTATTTTCGATTCATATGTTTATCCGCTTCCAAGCCGTGGACAGCCTGCTCGGGCCCAAAGGCTTCACAACGTTGCAGATTTAGCAAATTGCTTACTCAGGAGAAGTTTTGGTTTGCTGATACCGGGACTTCAAGTTTATTTATTTCTCAATCGGTCATGCTCTGACTTGGAATGCAAAGGCAGTCTAGTGAAAAGTCACTCCTCCCTTTGGATGCCTGCTCGAAATGTGCACAGGTAAGATCCTGCCGTTTGTTCCGGCTCTACTCGCCAGAACGCCTCGCTGAAAAAGTTGCATGCATCATTCTGCCATTCGAACTTCGGTCTTGTTCCCTCCCCTACCATCACAGGGCCGCATCGACCAATACCTCACAGCTGCCCCTTGTATTGATTGCCTTGCCCATGTGCTGTCCCCCTGCTCTGATCTAGTACACCGTACACAATAATTCTGCCTCCAATATGAACTTCCCCTCCTTATACTTCTCATTCTGCTCATACGCCTTGTCATACTTCCACCCAACCGTCTCCTTGCAATGCTTGCAGCTGATATCCCTTACTAGATGTTTTCCGGTTGTCATGTTGCGCTCGTTGGCGGGGCCTTCATCAATGTTCACGACTTCGGAAAATAGGAAGGCTTTCCCGTGTTGGCCTCGGAAGTTCTGTTGGGCTCGTCAGTGGGGACTAGGACTTCACAGGAGACAGCGAGAGATGGAGAGCAGAATTGTTGCAGGAATTCAGTATGAGAGGAAGAAGGGAATTAATGCCAACGGAACAAGGTCGTACGCGTGAAATTATATGTTCATGCCCGGCGAGATGTGTTTTGCAGCTCTTGCATCCCACGATCTTGTCCGAGTTTAGGTAGACGTTGTATTGGAGGCCCATGTTGGGCCGCCGCAAATGACGACGATGGCGTAACAGATACCAGCGCCTTCGAAGTTTGGGTTTCAGACGTATTTTGGTAGCTGACGTAGGGACCTCAACGTAGATCTGGAGAGATTGGAGTTTGTAGTGATTGTTGCCTGATATTGTAGACTTTTAACCTCCAGCCGTGTCTAGTGCTTCTAGAACTCTTTCCCTGGGAGAACCCTTTTGAGATATGTCGAAAGAAAGCTTCGAGGTGTCGTGGAACAGTCAGAAAAGCGGTGTCGTGAAGCGGGGCGGAGGATTAGTGCTCTACAGTGCGGAGACTAATTGGCAGAAGCAAATGGCTGAGGGTGAGAATGAGCAATTCTGACACTGTTCTCCATGCGTGATCAGGAGCAATCGGAACTATCGGTGCATGTGTCAATGCCTGGGAGAAGGCCTCACTAGACGCATGCATCACGCGCTTGGCATCATCATCACATCATAAAGAAGTAAAATATGGTATGATTTCGGTCTTTAAAGACAGTAACATCTTACTTTCTGCTATTTCTGCGGTAGTTGAGATTTGTGCCTGGTCCAGAAGCTGGTACAGTCGAGATGCCCCCAATGTTCCACCCACCACTCGCCGAAGCTGTCTTCCACATTGACGTCAATCTTCGAGACTCTCTCATTTCTTCCTAATCCGCAGAGGAAACAAGCCTTTGTTGCGGTCAATGCTCCTTCACCGGCCTTGGCGAGTAGTACAGGTGCGCTCTCTGTGACTTCTGGTACCGCCAACTTGATCCCTTGATGAGCTGCTTGAACTGCCAAAACAATGGACCGCAAGACGCCGACTTGTTCTTTCCATACCCTTAGTACCTCAGAGACCTCTTGATCCTCTCGACGGCTTTCTGTCTTGTCTACGCTTGTCAACTTCATTCCGCCTTGTTTGCCCGCCTGACCAATCTTCATGCTTTGCGAAAGGATGTTGTCGCGCTTCCAACGCTGCTTGCGGCCAGCGACGACGCGGCTGATAGCTCGCATATCTGTAAGCCTCTGCCCAACAGCCTCACTCATTTTTCCGCCCTGGACAGAATCCGTCGGTAAAGGGACGTGTAGTACTGTGGCGCTTAGAAGCAGCAGGATCGAGGGTGGTGGAACATTTGCGGGCGGTGGTTCGTTCGGTATCGGTGCTGGACGATGTTGCGAAGAAGTCTCATTGACCTTTTTGGACGGAAGTGCTTCAGATTGATGAGGCGATAGAGCCTCAGTCATAGTATGACTAGACGTGCTAACAGGCTCCCAAGGGTCAAAATCATCGTCTTCCTCGAGGACTGGGGCCGTTAGGATGCTTTGGCTAGGTCTTCGCTGTATCTGAGACTCCTCGTGAGTAGCTGCTTCATCCACATCGAATAGGACAGTGCCGTCTTCGAAGTTCCCCCATTGCTCTCCAAGGGAATGCTCCTCGGCGCCCTCCCCAAGCCTAGAAGCGTGACTGTGAACTCTTTGTTCTGTACTTTCAATTTGGATCTTCTCTTGCTCTGCTTCTTCGAAGTCTCCAAAATCTTCTTCCGCCTCCCCACTCGGGTATCTCACCTGTGCCGAGACGTCTTTCCATCGGTTCTCCTCTGGCTGTCCGAATTCCTTCCAGAGGTCGGCGGACATTACCGCGACTCATCTTCTTCTCCTGTCATTCATAACTTGTTGGCAATAGATTAGCGGAGCAAATGACTGAACAAGGAATTGTCATTGGCTCCGCAAGACTTCTCTTATTGTTCAGCCATGAGGCCCCTTCCCTCGGCGAAACTTTCTCCCGACCCCTCGTACTCAATGGCTCTTCATCGCAGCACGAGGGGCAGCTCAGCATCCAAATTCAACTCTTCTCGGACCCCGTTCTCGATGTATCATGGATCTGACACCTCCTTCTACGCCCCCAACACCCCATCCTAATCCTCTCGCTGACGTCTTCTCTGACTCCCCCCTGCGTCCAGCTCCATTTCCCCTTCCGATGCCCCTCAGTCCACGGAACCTTCAGATATTCCCCGCTTACGCTCAAGGCATGCGACGGCTGGCTATCGCGCTGGCATCTCCAGCTCAAAACAGAAACATCTACAGCAAGGTTTCGATGAGGGGTACTCATTGGGCGCCGCTTTTGGTCTGAAGGTGGGTTGGCTTTTGGGTGCACTTGAGAAGTTAAGGGTCGCTCTCCACTCTAGGAAACCTGAGAAGGCAGGAGCGGGTGAAGAGGCGGATATATTGGGACAGTCTATGGAAGAAATGAGGGTGGAATTGACATTAGAATCGATATTCGGGAAGAAGTGGTGGGATGGGGAAGGCTTGTGGCAGTATGAAGTAAACACTAAAGCAGAAACGGAAGGACAAATGGATGCCAAAGGCAATGAGATAGTTTTCCGAGACGTAGTAGACTGTCATCCTCTTGTGAGGAAATGGAGTGAGGTCATCGAGAAGGAGTTAGAGCTGGCTGGACTAAGCTGGCGAGTGTTTCACGGGGAAGAGTGGGAAGAGGGGAGAGTTGAAGGCTGAGCGAGTTTGAAAGGTTTGCATCACGGTCCGGGTTAATGTGCACCAAAACACTTGTCTACCTTTTGGGATATGGTTCGCCTGGGTCTCAGTGCAAGCTGGACTCTTTGCTCTTGCTACTAATTGAGGCTGTTGAGCTTCATGCTAAAAGCGAAAAATTACCGACATAAAGCGGCCTTTACGCGGGCTGGTCCACTGAGACCTCTTCATATGACAGCCCTGAGCCTTCGTGGTAAGCTCCATTTACTCCAGTCTATCATGTCGTCGTCTTCGTCGCTGGTGTCCGACCAATGTGACTTTGGATCTTCTTCGACCGCTTTTGAGTGCGCACACTGGTGGCTGGCACTTTGCGAAGGGAGGGGCTCGTAGAAGTCTTCTCCAATCACTCGGCGATGAGATCCTAGTGGCAGAGGACTCGGTCGGACCGGACCGTAGCTGCCGGGATATGTTGCGAACCTGCTCCGGCTCGGAGGGTCTATAGTCGAGGATGGCGTTGCTGGCTCTGATATGGTCCGGTGCTTTGGGAGCTCGTCGAAAGCCGTCGCGAGGCTCTCTTGGATGGTCAGTTGGCGGTTGGACCTCTTGCGCAGGCTGTAGAGGCTGGCGCGCATCTTGAACTTCAGCGAGGATGGTGTTGGTGGGGTTGAATAGCTCTCTGTCATCAAGATACCTTTGGTGTCATTCCCGGAGGGACTATTGCCACGTCGCAAACCACCTTGGAGATCAAACGACCGCTCCGAGGCTGAGGGTGAGGTGTTGGAAGAGAAACCTAAATTGTGTTTGCTTGCTCCGCTGTATATCGAAAGATTGCTGCCGGACGATGCACCGCTGGGACAAACGGCTGGCTGCAGTCGTGACGAAGGTGGAGGGCGCCGTCTATGGTCGGGCAATCGCTTTACCAATTTCGTTTGGGGGACAGCATGACCAATGAACGGGAGGCTTGTGTCTTCATGTTTGTTTGATTGATGCTCTCCGCGAGATTGATCGACATTAGAGATACCTTCAATCTGCTCGTGCTGGGACTGGTTTCCATATGTGAGTAGCTGCTGCCATACTTGAGTTTCGTTCTGCAGAGTGAGTGCAAGGCAGTCGTCCCCTTCACGATGCCACCTCTCTGGGTCAGTCTCAATGGGAGAATCTGACGCTGTGGAAGATTGTGTATGCGGGAAAAGAAAGTCAGTTCCCAGGTATCTGACGTTCATGATGGCACTGTCAGCCGTTTTGAGGTTACTGCAATCAAATTGCTTGAGAAAGATGGCAAGAGTCAAGAAGCTCCTTCAAAGCACAAAACATTGGTGATTGTAAGGGGCAAAGGTTTTTTGCCATGGGCTCTGATGCTTGCATCCTTGCAGTCAGGAAGAAGGCCATTGTTATTATGGAAATGTCTCGAATGTCAAGCACAGGAGTTTTCTGGGAAGGCAAGGGATGTTACCGAGCCCCAACACGTAATGCTCCGGATGATGACAGGTCCGGTCAGGAAATCAGTCACTCATAAGACAGAGGCCAGGCCATGGTCTCATGCAGCAAAAGCGCGGCAGATGGATGTGACAATCACATAGTGACTGATAATACAAGAACGTTGCCGAGAGCAGACTGTACTGCGGGCGTCTCTGCTTATTCTTGACACAGGAGGTGGACTCTGACTGCATGTAAGGCACACCGTCACAAGACATTCAATGCTCCAAGCCTGTCCCAGCGATGACTTCGCTCTGCAACATTGAGCGGACGAGAAAGATAATCGAGGTCTATTATGATTTGTAAAATGTTTCGCGTGGGTGCAGGACAAAGTGACCAGGACTTAAGCGGATTTAACAGCTTGTCTACAAAACTAGGGAAAGGGTCTTCCCTTAGCGGTGGAGTCGGGCAGGGATTGGAAGAAAGAGGCTGGAAAAGCCAACGCACGATGAACAATGGGGGCCCGCCGTCGCTCTCGAGGTGAGAGTGCTGTTTCGCATTGCTACAGCTCTTGAGTATGACCTGCGACAGACAATAATTTGCTGCCAATCATGTGACCACTTTTGCTTATGATTTGACTGCATCGAGGTGCCTCGGAGAAAGCTAGGACAAACCAGGTCGGCTTGAAGCTGTCCAAGCCATTGCAATCGCGCACATCCCGCAATATTCAATCTACCTCCCGAAACACAATCAGCAGCAGCCGAAGTATAAGGGAGAGTCATCAGATAGAGAAAAGAAGCTCTGGTGGAGGGGGGCCGGAGTGGGAGAAGTCGAGCGAGTGGCCTCGGATCGAGTTGAACGACAGCGCCAAGGGAGCCATTGCCTCAACGGACAGCTCAAGAAGGAAGCATACATAAAAATCAGTAAGGCGCACTAGACATCGGAAGCCTAGTTCAAGGACTGGTCAGTGACACCTCATCAATTACCAAGAGAAGCGGCCTTCCCAGCCTCTCCCATATTTTTACCAGCCACCTCTTCCCACGACCCATAATATTCAATCTGCAGCACCATGTGCTAAACATTCCGGCAGAGCCCACGCTATCCAAGACCTCGACCACGGCGTCGGTGCCCCCAGGATTTGTGTCGCCTCCTGGCTCTCTCTCGATACCACCCCTAAGACCTCACGTTGTCCAAGTACCACAAGCCTCCGTCTTCATTTTCGCTGCGATATAACGTGTCTCAAAGACCTTCACGACCTGTTGACGACCTTCACGAATCTCACGACCCTACTTCCACATCCGTTCAGCGCCAGCAGCGCCAGCCATTGTTATCACCACCGCCCCCATCGTCTCGCCTATCAAGTTCGACCGGTAGCAGCAGAACTCTGAGACGTACGCCGAGACTTCAAGCCCGAAGTATCACAAGCAACCGCCCACCAGCTCAACGATCAGGTGGCAGTCAAAGCCCCAGACCCGCGCGATCTGTTGCTCCAATTCTTTCGGAAAGTCCACGCAGTTCAGCATCGCCTCAAGCCGCAGTACAGATACTCCGAAGTTCTTCGTATTGGCCGAAAAGATCTACTCGTATCACTAAGCACACTGCTGAAGCTATTCTCTATGCTCTTGAAGCTATCCGCGGAGATCCCGAGGGTAGGCTAGGTAGTCCGGAAGCATCCCCTTCAGGAAATCGACACCAACAGTGGAAACCAAGGCTGTTCACACCGAATTACGCCGAGGAGAACGCTTCTATGTCAGATCTTGTAGGTGGGGCAGGAATGAGCGGGCGGAGTCAAAATGGAAGCGGACTCGGTCCCGTACCGGCTCCTCCACCTATAGGCGGCGAAGGCGGCAGAGCTACACCGCCGACAGAGATTATGGCGAGGCGACGAGCTCGCGAGGCGAAGAGACGGGAAGAGAACGAGCGCCGAAGACGAGAGGATGCCGAGGCTCGAGAACGAGCTTTGGAGCGAACTACTGTGGTACAAGATGATGGACCTGGCGCTGCTGGCGGACCGAGCAACAGAAGATCTGGCAGGACATCCATTGTGGATCCAACGGGACAGTCCGTGCAGCCAGAACGAAGACTGGGAGACAGAACAAGTGCCGGTAGTGAAAGAGGTGGTGATCCAGCAGGAGCACGTACCTCGAGAGTGATGAGCGAGGACCCCACACAACAAAGAATCCGTCCGCCTTCAGGTCAGACAAGACCAGCAGAGCCAATTAGAACCCAAATCCCAGTAGGGGTACAACCTCTTACCTCTGACAATCCAGCATCACAAACGAGGCAGACATCAAGACCCACCAGAGCGTCACAAACCCGTGGCGATCGACCAGCAAGTGGAGCATCTGCTCAACCCCAGGGTGCCGCCGACCAGACTCCGAGGAGTAACGCATCATCCTTTCCGCATGCATTCGAGAGGTGGGAGCAGCTTTCTTCCCACTGGGAGGGTTTGACATCTTACTGGATACACCGCATCGAGCAAAATAAAGATGACCTGAATCGCGAACCACTAAACCAGCAAATGGCTCGCCAGGTTACTGACTTGTCTGCAGCTGGAGCAAATCTGTTTCATGCTGTCGTCGAGCTGCAACGACTCCGTGCTTCATCGGAGAGGAAGTTCCAACGTTGGTTCTTTGAGACAAGAGCAGAACAAGAGCGAGCCCGCGAAACTCAAGCCAAGCTTGAAGAACAATTGAGAACCGAGAGGCAGGCCCGCACAGAAAATGTGACTAGCTCGGCACGTTATGAGAACGACATTAGGCAAGCTCTGGCGGCAAGGCATTTGGCAGACACACAAGTCCGAGAGGTCAGGCGAGAGCTTACCATCTCCAAAGACGAGGCACGCCGAGCGTGGGAGGAGCTTGGTCGACGAGAGCAAGAGGAGCGCGATCGAATGATGTCTCTAAAAGCCGGGCGGACCACTTATGTTGGCGGTGTTGAGGTAGTGCCAATGCTCCAGAACACAAGTAGGCCAGGCACACAGCCTTCGACAAGAGATAGTCAAGCCAGGGCCCTGTCTGGCTATGACAGCCGATCGAATGAGCCAGTCTATGGATACGATGCAGCAAGGTCCGACACTGACACTGATCCCTTCACTGAGGCCGGCCGCAGAAATGATCCCATTCCACCGATACCGGCAGCTCAGGGATACCAGCAGACCTCGAATACATCGTCCGCCGCGTTGCAAGCAGCACAAGCGGCTTCAGCCCCAACATCTCAAGGCCAATCACAGGGTATCCGTACGACAACTACCACGACAACAATGCCGAGTGGGGGAACGTATCTATCTTACTCCAATGGCGACACGTATGCAAGGCAGCCGCCTGCTACCTTTTATCAGCATGAGGGCACAACCATTCATCCGGAAGGACGAGCCGCCAGTATCGTGGAAGGCGACGAGCGCTCCTACGTCCCTTCGGTGTCCCCATCCGTGAGCGAGGTGGATTACGATCTGGACGAGAATGGTGAGGTTCGGCGTGATGCAACTGGCAATCCTATAGTGTCCAGACGTGGCCTCGGATCTGAGGACAGTGACGAGTATAATGTCGAATCCCAGGTTGAACGAGAACGTCAGTATGGTCAAACGTATGGCTCACCCATGTCCGGCGTGGAGTATGGCTCTGGACCCACGACGACTGCTCCAGCAGACTATGAAGGTAGAGGCTACGGAACAGGGTTTGAGTCCACCCCGCATCATCATCCTACCCGCCTGAGCGATGTTCCTGAGGAAGACGAGAGAAGCAGAACGAGTTTGAGTCGGGCTAGTCAGCATAGCCGAGGTTTGAGATAGTGGCTCAAGAGCACTGAGCATGCTTGGATGACTTGCGGTGTTGTGAGCTATGAGCGTTCACAGCAAGGCGTATCGGAGGATTACCACGTAGCGGCATCCAAGGGTTTTATAAAGGGACAAAAAGTGTGAATGCATATACCACACGGTACATAGTGCCAGTCGAGCGACTGAATAGAATTTCTCCAACATCCACTCCAATGCCTCAGACTGTTTGGTTGTTTTATTCCACCTTGATTCATCCTTCAGCCAAGGCTTCTCCGCCACCCGACCCGGCAGAACAAAACACTAAACCTCTTTTGTCATTTCAATATCGAAAAGAGATTCCGTCTTTGTTGATTTCATGCTACCAAATCATCACAATGTCATTCCTCTGCCCTCGCGCTCTACAAATCCCCAGAGCCGCCACTCGCCTTAGTTTGCACCACGGCACCCGCCCCTCATCAACCTCTCGTTGTCTGCGATTGCAACCCCAGTGCTTCCGCCTCCCTCACGAAAGACATCTCACAGCCACTTCCTATAGACGTTCTCCACTGAATAATTCCTCACAGAAACGTGCCACCCCCTCTCTCGGAGACGCGGCCCCTTCTCCGCCTCCGCTTTCCTTCTCTTCCTCATCTCCGGCGCCGGCCTCTGGGTTTACTTCCGCGAAGAGAAAAAGCGACTAGAACGCCAACGGATCGCTGAAGCCTCAAAGGGAGTAGGGCGCCCTAAAGTTGGTGGTCCATTTGATCTGAAAGACCATAATGGGGAGGCATTTACGGAAGCGGAGATGAAGGGGGGTTCAGTATCGTCTATTTCGGGTTCACGCATTGTCCAGATATCTGCCCTGAGGAGCTGGACAAGCTGAGTAAGGTTTTGGAGCTGGTGGATGGAGCGGGAAAGTCGAAGGTGGGGACGAGTGCTTTTTTGCCGCTGCTGTCAAGCTCGTCTGGGGGCCAAGGGCAGCGAGGTGGTGGAGGAGGGGGAGAAAGAGCACCACTGCTCCCTCTCTTCGTCACATGCGACCCAGCGCGCGATACCCCTGCAGTCTTGAAGGCATACTTGGCCGAGTTTCATCCTGGCATTGTGGGATTGACGGGGACGTGGGAGCAGATACGGGATGTCTGTAAGAAATACAGGGTGTATTTCTCAACGCCGGAAGGGGTCAAGCCGGGGGAAGATTATCTGGTTGATCATAGCATTTACTTCTACGTAATGGATCCGGAGGGGGCTTTTGTGGAGGCGATTGGCCGGCAGCATAGTCCAGAGAGGGCGGCGCAGATCATCTTAGAGCATATGAGTGATTGGGATGGGGGACGCAAGAAGGGATAGATGGACAGGGAAGAAGCAGGGAGGCAGAGACTGCAATATAGCGTGGCGTATGGGGCCAATTTTGAGATGCTAAGCTTTTATGGTCGTTGATCGTGAAGCTTCGATAATTATGTATAGCTCTTGTAAGAGCGAGGACTATGTCTATCTAGTAATCGTTACAAGCAAACGCATAGCTGTTTGCAGAATAGTTGGAGATGGCTTAATGCTGTGTGGGTTACTGTGCTTGAGCTATGGCACAAGAATACTGCCATCTAGTCCCCGTTGGTCAGATGCCCATTGACAAGCGGACTTCCTGCGTGTCCATTTTCACCGGAAGTCAATTTTGGCGTCGAGGGTTGCCCCTTGTAGATGAAGTTCAATGCCATGGGCTGGTTGCCAAGATTCATTCCGTTCAGATGTGGATGCCGAGGAACGATATCCTTGAAGTCTGCCAGCTTGATCCAGAATACTGTGAGATTGAAAAACTTAGGCTTTGTTTCGTATTCGAGGGCTATGGCCTCTTTTGCGCTGAGGAAAGAGGTGGATACAGCAACGGCCATCAGGCGCCGAAATTGGCGCCAGAGGTATTCGAGGTGATGTGAGGTTGCCATGAGTCGCGTCCAAGCTGTGTCTGCGGGTCATGAGTGTATGATACTGGCTGACCAAAGGGGGTATACTTACACTGGGAGAGATCAAGATCTTGGTTTGCCAATAGCGGTGCAGCTTGAACATTCACAATCCATTCTTCATGCGCAACTTCTGCGGAACAGCTGGGATCCAAATCGTAGGTAGTGGCAGTGCGTAGCGGTAACCATCTCTTGATCTCCTTGCGGTCCCGAGCCTTCTCCGGGCCTATTTCTGTCGCTCTACGCAATCCATTGGGCAAAGCCTCCAGCCGTGCCCTGGCTTCCTCCTCTTGTTGCTGTGCACGTCGTAACCGCTCTCGATCTTCTCGCTCTCTCCGCCGCCGTTCCTGCTCCTCCTTCCGTGCTCGTTCCTCTTCCAGCCGACGACGTTGGAGCTCTTCGTCTCTTTTTGCTTTGGCTACACGTGCTTCTTCTGCTTCGCGATCAGCTTGAGCCCGTCTCTCTGCTTCAAGAGCCTGGCGTTCGGCTTCGAATTGGGCCTCTTCATGCTCGCGCTTCAAACGCTTCTGAAGTTCCTTTTCTTGCCGTTCCAGCAATGCCTCTTTTCGCTTGACCGCTTCTTCCTGTAGTCGTTCTGCTTCACTTCGCCGCTGATCGGTAGCAACTACTTCCATTCTTTCAATCCCGGCAACATGTCTACCCCCTACATTGTGTGAGTTTTCAGGCGCAGCGGGTGGTGGCGGAAGTGACTTTTGTGAGACCGCGTGGCTTACGGGTGAAGTAAACGCAGTGGGCGATTCTTGTTTTGCTGAAGACTGGCCTGATCCAGACGAAGTAGAGGCGCCCATAAAAGCAACAGGTGCAGTCCCATGTGCAGGCGACTGTAGAGAGGTTGGACTGGAAACTATGTCGCCAATCATAGGTATTGAAGGTGCTTGGATGGGATGCTCTTGCTCAGTGGCGTTGTCGTGTGAGTTCACCCTTTGGCGCTTTTTCTTCTTACTTGCTTCGGTCAAATCTGACTTGCTTGCCTGGGGACTAACGCTCACGCGCATACGTTTTTTGCTTGGGTCTTCTGCGATCCGCGCAGGCTCCTCTGACGATGCTTTCTTCACTTTATTAGTAACTCTTTTGTTCTCCTCTAATGTATCCCGCTGGCCTGTATGATTGGAGAACGACTGGCGATGCTTGGGCTTTCGAACGCTTTGAGAAGCTTCCATTTGTTCGTCTTCAGGAGCTTTAGATCTTCTTCTACCTTCCTGGTCCGACTTTAATTCATTCCCTGACATGAGTTTACGCTTCGGCTTGAGGCTGTCGGTCCGCTGATGGGCCATGGCAGAGTCAACATCCACAGTCCGCTGGTCTCCCATCCTTGATTTGTGAGTGTTTATTCGGTTAGGCAAACGATCCGAAGGTGTCGGATCGTGTTCGATGCCTCGTTGCCTTGCAGCTGTACCATGCCATGAAGGCCGCCTTTTTAATTCATTATCCGGATCCTCTTTGATCTGAGGATCTGAATTTCGAACCCTCCGATGCTCTTGAGGAGAGCTTGAAGGCTCAGACGACTCCTCCTTTGGCACAGTCCGCTTTGTTCTGACCCTTTTGGGAGAAGAAGTATGGCTCCGTCGCCCACCATGATGTTCGTAGTCTTGGATCGCGTTTTCCAATATCACTACTTCGTCCTCCCATGCTTCGCCTTTCCTCTCTTTTGCGAGTTCCGAATAACTAAGGCCCTTGAACATGCGGCGAGTTGGGTTGAAACCTGATTGGTTGGAAAGCAACTGAACAATATCAGGACTACCACGGCCTATCGCTGCCAGCATAGGGGTGTTGAATCCTTGGCGATGGTCGGGGGAATAAAGAGGTTCAGGATCTGGATCTGGAGATGCCATCGCAACCATCAGATTAAGGATATCAAAATGTCCACCTTTGACAGCAGCAAGTACAGCGTCAGTTTCGGCTTCTGGTCTCATTTTCAGGATATGATCAACGAATTTTAGGTTGCCGTTACCCGCCTCAACGAGAAGGCGCTGTGGAGTTGCATTGACCCAAAGAAGGGCATCATCCGTGTGCTGACTTCTTACCCCCCGTTTTCTGCCTCCCAAGTCGAACGGTGGCGGTGAGCGATTGTTGCCAGTGGGGCTTGCACCAGGTCCAAGGGCGGATGGAGTGTCAATATCGCGACCCGAGCTTTGTCTGTGGTCCTCAGATGGTTTCCTCATCCCGTCACTTTCTCTTCTTGCTTGGAGAAGGGCGGCTTGGATTTTTCCACCAACTTCATCGTCTAAATCGACAAGCTCAACTGGCTCTTGTCCCTTTGCGTTCCTCTGTCTTGGGTCTGCACCGGCTTTGAGAAGTATTTGAACAACGTCAAGATGACTGTTCTCGACAGCGTCAATCAAAGGTGTGTCTCGGTCTATGTTCCTGCAAGATATGTCGCACCCGGTATCCAGCAGCAGCTTAACTACCTCGTCCATGCCTGCTAAGCTTGCAATCTGCAATGGCGTGTTACCTGCATTGTCGGGTTCGTTGATATCTTGAGGCCGTTCATTGACCCATCGTCTTGCTTCTTCAACTCCTTGCATACATGCGCGGGCAAGCAATGTTCGCCCATTTCGATCACGGTTCTTTTTGTGCGATATCTTGGCGGGTGACATTGCGCCAGACGGTAATCTTTTCAAGCGACGATGGCTGTGGACCGAACTACTGTCATCGGACTCAATTTGAACATCCTCAGAAGCTCTTGTCCGGCGGTCAACGTTCAATGGAGCGGGCTTGCGTCTTTTCTTTACAAAATGTGTTGGTGGGGCGTTGACCTGTGTGGGTCTGACCCGCGATTTTGTCTGTTGCTGAGGAGATTCGGACCTTTGCGAACGTTGGTCATGATTGGTTTTGCCTCTTCTGACCCGGCCGTCTATGGCATCAATGAAGTCTGAGGTGATTTCTCTTGATCTTCGATGTTTGTGTGCCGGCTTCTTATCTCCAGCGGCTGTGCGCTTCCGCGATTTCCCTTTTTGATCATCATCAGCAGGCGGTGACGACCTCGAACGATCCGAATGCGACTCGCTGGACTTGGAAGAATGCCTGCGAGGAGCAGGAGAGGAGTTAGAAGAGCTGGCATGGCTAGCGCTTCGCTCGTGCTGGTTTGCTTCGTTGTTTGGGAGTTCTTCTCCACGTTTCCTTTTGAGTGGTGTCCTGCGACTTCCATCTATGCCTTTACGAAGCGCGGTGCGACCTTGCCTCGTCGACGCATCATTCAACTCCGCTTCTGAGCTAGACTCAGCATCCTCCAGTTTTATCGCCTTAGTCGCTTTATTTTTCTGGTCGTCAACTTTGCCTGACAAAACGACGGTCTCGGCCTCGGAATCGCTCTTGTCGCGTTCTGAATTGCGCAGATGGGTTTCAGTACCGTCGGCGCCATTGACTTTACCATTTGCTAGATGTGGCTTCTCAGTTGTGGCAACACTGGTGATTGCAGCCTGGCCTTGGGAAGCCTCTGGAGCCTTTCCGTCGTACTGCCCTAGCACGGAGTCGCCGTATCCGTTTAGTAGCTCATCGCCCATATCGTCTTCTCGCGCGTATTGATAATTGGTGAGAATCTCATGTTCAAAACCACCCTGTTACGCTCCAGTCAGGCCTCTCAGTGTGCGACCGCCATTTGCGCAACCAAGCGAGAGAGGCAATCCTCGGCCAGGTGGAAGACAGTGGAGATCCCAATGGCTTCAAGATAATGAACAAAGGTGATTGAGATCGATTGAGAAGGGAAAAAAGGATTGTTGGTGATGTAGATGGGTTGAGAGAGGGATTTCAAGTCAAGTCTGGTCGAGCGCAGCAGGGTTCTTTTTGAGGGGCTTGCCGCAATTCGCGCTTTGCCGGAAGAGTCCCTTTTCGCAATTCACACCATCACTACAAGGCTGAGCTTCCCTCCTCCAAGATTTCATTCATCGAACCTGGCTCTGTGTAGAACAATGGCGTGTATCAAACAGCTGTGGTTGAGGCCTTAGTATCATCGAGCTCATGCAAGATGGCCTTCGACTCCATTGCACCATCTGTCGTCTTGCAAGCCTTTTTCCTGCTCTCAGCAGTAATGGTATTGGACATGAGACTTTTTACATTGAAGTAATACTGACCTTCCATGTCGTTCAGATCTTCACCGTGAGCTTAAGCACCACGTTGAATGCGCGGCTGGTGGCTTATGGACCGAGGGCAGATGCTATGCCAGAGAAGTCCAATGAGCTCAGAAGTAAAAAGCCCCCTCTCAGGGGAGGACTGATGAGAGTGGCCGTTTTCAACATCTATTTGATGGCATTGGCGAGATTCGAGTCCCGCACGCGTACTTCCTGCATTTTTATGTTGCGTCTGTCTTATCGTCATGTTTCTGGCTGTATCAAATTATCACACAAGGTGTTACTATGAAAGGAATATGCGCAACCCAGAGCGTCTTTCAAACGTCAAGCATGTCCGTGGATCAGATCGCTTTGACTTCTACATTGATGGGAATTCAAGGGATAAGACGTTTGGGTGAATCAATCGTGCTTGCGAAGCCTTCAGGTTCCACCATGTGGTTCGTCCATTGGCTGCTAGGGATAGCCTTCTATCTTTGCATGGGCATAGCAGTCTGGATAGAAGGGGCAAGAGAGATCTCAAGCGAAGAAAGCTTTGCCTCTCGTGTTCGCGTGGCTGGCCCTTCACTGAAAACGATGTTAGGTCTCCCTCTCTTTGTGATGGCTTCCGGCATTCAGCATGACTGCCATAACTATCTTGCTTCTCTGCCAAAGTACACGCTGCCAACCTATCCAATCTTCAACTCGCTTGTCTGCCCACATTACTCTATGGAATGCCTCATCTATGTCTCATTAGCAATAGTTGCCGCGCCGGAGGACGCCTGGTATAACGAGACGATCTTCTCTGCGCTGATTTTTGTTCTTGTGAACCTGTCAGTCACAGCTTCAAACACCAAGGAGATGTACAAGAAGAGGTTTGGGGAGGAATCGGTGGATTCGAGGTGGAAGATGGTTCCTGGGGTATGGTGATGGGGGTCAAGTCTTTTTGCACTGACTTGGGTAAGGCAGAGGCATCGTGGCAGAGCAATTGCATACCTTCTAAATATAAATTTGGAAGTCAAAGAGAAGTAGAGTACATGGTAAAGCGAACGCCTACCGTGTGGAGCTTCGATGCAAATGAAGCTAACCACACCTGATGTTTATATCTGCTTTTCAAACAATCCTCTTACTTCTTCTATCTCAAGCGTCCATACCTGGCATCTCGCTTTCTGAACATGAAACAAATCCTGGCAAGCTACTTCTATATGCTCCGTTGTTCGGTATGCGCTCCTATTGCTCGGACTGGAAGTAATTAAGAAGAATCGAGCGTTCCTGAGACTCTTCTCCCCAATCTCTCACCACAACGCAAGAGCAATTGACGACTTTCCGTGCGTTGCCTTCCCTATCAAGGGTGCCTGTTATGGAGATTAGAGCAGTGATTGAATTTGAGCGGTAATATGAAGAGATTCGCCAATACTCACAGAGTCCGGCCCACTCCCCCAACATCTTTCCATCCGGGACTTTGATGAGTGGGATTCCATGCTCACCGCAAAGCGCAACGACCAGCTTCTTGTACGCTTCTTCTTCGCACCCTTCATTGAGAACACACATATGAGCTTGACGTCTATCCAATGCTTTTGATGCTTCTCGTAGTCCACGTGCCAGGCCGTCATGGATCAAAGCGAGCTTGAGGACACCTTTAAGGGCTTCGAGTACAGTCATCTGTGATGAGCCACCCGTTTTTGTGTCATCTGCCACATTCTGTTCCCCTTCCTCAGCAGCCACAGGAGAGGTAGGCTCTTCTCCGTCCGACTATACAATTGTTGTGTTAGTCTGAAAAGGAGTAGGCAGCATTCTCGGAGGCCTCGTATTCCGTTCAAAGCGAGATAGAACGTACCATCGTGGATTCTTGACTTCTTTCGTCAGTCTTCTATGATGTTGGCTATCCTCAAAGAGTCTCCGATGTGTCGTGCGTAAAGCAGCTAGGAACGGTCTGCCTCTTCGTGGTTGTGGGAGAGAAGCGAAATTTCATTACCGCTAGCGTATCATATTACAACCACTTGAAACACTAAGAAACGCCATTCCTCCACATCTTCCGCACAATGCTGTGACAAGCAATTTGCGAGCGCTTCAGCGCCTCCGTAGCTATGGGCAAGGGGATTTTGCGAAGAAGAAAAGACCGCTGAGCGCTCGAATCCGAGAAGTAAGACTTCGAATAACCTCCTCTCAGCTCGCACCACGTCAATCAATCCGTTAAAATCGAAGATTCGAGATTTGTCGAGAGTCCTTGAGCGATCAGAGCATCTACCAGCGGACGTTCGTGTAGAAAAGGAGAGAGCCTTAGCTGCTTATAAGCAAGATCTTGAAAATGCTCTTGAAGGCAAGCAAAAACAAAAAATGATCTCTAGATACCATATGGTACGATTCTTTGAGCGGCAAAAGGCCAGCAGGAACCTCAAGAAATTTCGAATACGCCTCAAGACTGCTACACCGGGCACTAGCATTGAAGCAAACCTACAACAAGCCGTTCGTCAAGGGGAGATTGATTTAAATTACACCATCTACTATCCATTGAATGAGAAATACTTGAGCTTGTTTCCACGTAATGGAGGCCGCGAATGCTCAAACGCTAGGTCTCAATCTTCTGAGGGAGACAATGAAACTTTCGCTGCAAAGCTGGATAGACCGCCAATGTGGACTGTCGTTGAGAGAGCCATGCAAGAGGGTAACCTTGAAGCGCTTCGCGACGGAAAGCGGAGTTCAATGTATGCTACCAAGCATGCCAGGAAGCCTTTCATTAAGGCTCGCCATCATTGCGACCCAAGGACAGAGTCGATCACGAACAATTCCACTAAACACGTCGATGCCAATGACGGTTCTGAAAGTGACGGAGCGTTCTTCGAACGCTAACTGCTATGGCATTTAGCGAATTGTGCCATGCGCGATCTTTCTGGCCTAACTATATGACGATAACAGGACCATCAATACTACACGAGTGATGCCTAGAAAACGCACACTCCAGCTTTGTGCCCTGAAAATAGCAGGACGTTAGAAAGCAATCCAAAGGGAAAACGTGACTCGGTAGGGAATCATTGGGAGGCAGTGACATCGAAAGATCGAGTCCAATTCAGAATCTGATGTCAATCTTTGTCACAACCTTTCAATCCGTCTCAATAGTCCCCGTGAGCGGGTCCCCTAACACCGAGACACGAATTTTCTGCTTAGGTCCCACCAAACCACTTCCTCCCAATTGGTCTTTCCGCCTCTCCTGAAGTTTTATGCATTGTTGAGCAATAAACAAAACCATATTCCGGACATCGTTGGGTGGAAAGTCATCTTCCACCTCGTCAAGCCCATACTCAGGACCGATCTGTACATGACATGTTCTGATCCTTGGCCAGATATATGGTATCTGGAAACCAATGAATTTAGGTCCTCCCGTTCCCCAACTCATAGGGAAGGAGGGGTGTTGAGGTAGAATGCTGTCGCTCGCTTGCTTGCAGTCTTTGTACTTGGCGCGTGCGAGAGGCAGTGGAAGTGTTTGGTCAGACTTAAAACAGGTCGCTTTGAGCTCGCCGACGTTCACTGCGGAAGTTGTGGTGTTCTGCAGTATCGAAGATGGTATGTACGTTGGAGCTTCTCCGAACGCTGGAACAAGGGGTAGAGATAAATTCGTAGCCGTATCGTTCAGATCGCTGATGATACTGGGTAGGAAAGCAGCTGTAGTGAAGGATGCCCCCGCAGACAGGGCAAAGAAAGCTGCAAGTTGGGACAGTAAGGTCCACATGCTTCGGATTGGATGCAGCTACGATCTACTCGACTTTTGGACGAAGCTGGTCACTAATGCCCCACATTCAAGCGCGGCTTGAGCTTTATTCTAATTGAAATGCTCCGCCATCAGTGGGATTCCATATCGTTAACTTATGGGAGACCCAATATCCATCCCGTGAGCTGTTTTCAGCGTCTTCGCGCGTAATCGCATGACGAGAACCCGACTTACACCAAGTTGAGACACCACCCCGGCTTTGAAGACAAACATCACACAGCGACAAGCGCTTGATTCATCTCGCCCATGGACACTGAACGAGGGCGACGATCTCAATCGCATGCGGAGCTTATGGGATCTCAACCTGAGCCATGCAGACCACCATTACTGTAGATGTTGTCCTTGTCAAACTTCTAACATCAATTCGAGTAAGTGATTTCAATGGTCACTCGACTCTCCGACGCATTTCAATTCATACAGTCTCTTGAAAACGAACCTAAATAATGAAGATTCTGTCTCCAGCGATTGAACGCGAGTTAGCATACTGGGCGTCGGCATTCTTCTTTCCTCTCCTTTCCTTTCCTGGCATCTATTCCCTGATCATGAAATGCTCTTTGTCGTCCTTCTCGTAGCGCTCTAGGAAATGCCCGAACATTCTCTTTCAGAGCAAAGTTTTTCAATGCAAGCTATCTAAAACACGGTCGAATCGAATGCGACTTCGGGTCTACGTTCGTGTCACGAAGCGTCTGGTGTCCCCTCTCTCGAGTCATCCCAATTCTCTCTCACCTGCGCTCTCCTAAATTCCACTATACGCCTGTCCTTGTCCGCCCCAGCCTCATCATTATCCTGTGCATTCAGCAAGCTGAGCCCATTCACATACTCGCTAGCCTTGGTCCCTGCTCCATCAGCCCCTCTCAAATCTTCCTCCTTCATCCGCCTTCCCCTTTCCCTATCCCCATACAGCACCTCCCGTCCCCCCCTCCTCTCCGCATACACTATCCACTCCATACGCAACATCCCCTTGCCCTTGCCCTTCACTCTTCCCACCTTACTTCCTTCGATACCATCAATCTCCCCCCTTCCCCGTTGATCTCCACAAAGCCCTCCGTCAGAATAACACCGTTATCCCCTCTCCACCACCTGACACCCCGCTCCATACTTCCCCTGACGTCCACCCACACACAAACAGTACTATCCCTCCTCATCCCACTAATCACCTGACCCTCCCCTCGGTTCACCCTCGCTTCCCCTTGCCTGTCACTATCGAGCGGTGGCAACGGAGGCGGTACATCCCTCGCAAAATGAATATGATTTCGACTCATCGGTTTCAGCCCCCTGACGCTAAAATGGCCGTCCATTCTTTATTATAAGTCCCATGAACGACGAGCGTCGGGCAGTCCACATCGGTTGATAAGATCGGTTGGAGCAATTTCTCCGAGGAGATGGTCGCGAGGCTGTGGCCTTGAGCGGCTCGGATTAGAAAGCGAGATGGGTCGTCCGGGGAGGTGGTGCCGCTCTGGAGGGGGCTAGTGGGGGAGGTAGGGCGAGGGAGAGACGGAGCTGGGTTCGGGATGAGCGTGAAGCGCTTTTTGTCGTTGTTCTCGACGATGGATTGGAGTTCGTGGAAGGTTACGTGTTGGGAGGAGATCTTGCGCCAGGAGAGCTGTCGGATCGAAATTAGATCGGTTGCCAGACGGATGAGATATATAGTAATGGGCGCAAAGGCAAGGAGCAATGAGGGAGGATATAGATAGAGCGTTTCCGCTTTAGGCAAGAGTCCAGGAGTCTGCATTGCCTAAGGCATCATGATCTTTGAACATATGAAAGCGTTCATGCAGGGTTCTAGCTTGTCCGTTGTACAATGTACACAATTTTAAATCATCATTCTAGAGATTTTTGGAATGGTCGAAAACGAACAATGCATTCTTTCACATGAAGGAGATATCATATGCAATTAGCCACGCGAGAACAAAGCAAGAGCGTAACACCAGGAACACGCATGCAAAAACCCGAATGAGAACAGTCGGGTACTTACGATGTCCCTTACATTAGCATATCCACTCTCGTCAAGCTCAATTCCTTCGGCTTGAGCGCCATGTCTCAAGACAAAGCTCAACGCCTTTGAAATCGTGACTTCTCGAGGCTGGGCTCCTCCTTGCCCGCCTCCTCCCCGTCGACCACGGCCCCGACCGCCTGGCATGATGTCCGAAGTGAGATTTCTAGTGGAGCCGTTTGGTCGGAACTTAGTGTATGGCGGGGACGAGAATTGCAGCCTAAGTGTTGGTGGCCGTGTGGGCGTGATGCAAGGTTGATGACAGAGGGACGGACCGCCCAAGTGATGTGCAGAGCGACGATTGATGGTCAGCCTAGGTCTGGCAACAGGTAGCAGAGCAGTGGTCAGACGGGTGAAGGAATAGTGAGGTTGGTTAAGGAGTAGAGAGGCAGGTCCAATGATCGAGACGTGAGTCATGTAAATGGACCTCTCGTGGGGCTTTTATGTGAGCAAGGCAATGGCCACTTGGCACTTGAGTCGGTCAGCAGGGTCGGTGGGTGAGGTAGTAGCTTGGGTGGTACAAGCGGGCGAGGGATGGCGGCTCTAGTGCGGTTAAGGGTCTAAGGCACCTGCAGTCTGCAGTCGAGTGCAGACTGCTGTGACCTTCTCGTATAGCGTGTAGCGTACAGCGTATAGGCTCATGGCGTCTTGAGCGATATATTTTCATTGGTTGACGTCATCAATACAATGGGGTGATGGGAATTGAAAAAGACAAGGAAGTCAAGATCATGCAGTGTGGGTGGGAAGATCATGGTGCATCCAAAGCGTGGGGGATTGAGCGAGTGGGCAAGTGGGCAAATGGGCAAGTGGGCAAGTGGGCAAGTGGGCCGTGCATTACCAGGCATTCGGGCCTTGAAGAAGGCCACCATTAAGGTTGTACAACGGTGGGTGGTGGTGGTAGTGGTGGTGGTGGCGGTACGCCGGATATCAAGACATCAAGACATCAAGCATGCCTGTCACCTCATGCAGTCTAGCTGAGGGACTGATACTGTAGAAGACAGTAAGGAGTCCATAAAGTCGCGCTTCTTGCCGAGAATGAGAGGCCGAGAGATCCGACGTGGAAGTGCCATATTATTACCTCCTCATCATCAAAACAAGTATCTATGCGGTACGCTAGTACTTTTGAACATCCTGTATCACCATTGAGTCATTGGATATGGCATCTAGATCTAGACGGCTTCAAGGCCTCGTCAGTTGATCGTTCGGTCGCAAGCAAGGCGCGCAAGCTCAGCGTTGTAGCTATTCTGGGCAGCAAAGATTTTGTGCAAGCCGGCGGTCACTCTGGGGTCCAGGGGACTTAAGTACCTTCGTCAAAGCTGACCTCCTCCGTATTTGTGTGGTCAATCTATTCCGTCTGGGCTGTACTTCAGATCATTGTTCAGTATGTAATCCAGTTACGTCGTTCTTAAGTCTCATGAGCTTCAGCAAAAAAGTAGCCTTTTGTATCTCCTGGTCCTCCTCGACGATAAGTCGTGAGCGGTCGTCCTCGCTCGTCGAATTGTCCAATTCGATCAGGGGTCCACGGACGACGCCTTTGATCATGTCCGTCCGAGACTTAAAGGTTCTACTTAATTCAACATCAGCAGGCTCATTCATTACCCTGTAGCACATCTCGACATCGTCGGTGACGACAAGACCGGCCTTCTTCCGTAACCTCTGGATACGGTTGATAATTTCGCGGGCCAGCCCATCTTGCATCAGATCCGAGTCACGTTCCAGGTCCAAGATGGTAAGAACATCGTCATCAGTATTGGTCGTGATGTCTCTGCCCTCGCTGTTGGAGACCTCGCGCTTTACAATCAAGTCTTCTGCAGTCAGTTTGATCCCTCCTACGACTATCGTGCCTTGCTCGGCAAAATGCTTGACTTGTTCAGTCGTAAGATCTGGCAACAATTTGCGCACCTTCTGTGCGTCCTTCTTCAGTTTCTTTCCTAGTGTGGGCCAGTCGGCAGAACAAGTGTATTGAACTTGAAATGTGCTCTCGTCAGACGTCAGCTCCAGATTATGTACGTTAACTTCATCTCGAATGTAATAGTCCAGTTCACGAAGATCCGCAAGATATTCAGCATCTGCATGTATGACAACCAGACGTTTCAATGGCGTCTTGAGACTAATAGTCCTTCGTTCGCGAGATGTTCTAGCGAGATTGACAATGTTTTGCATTCTTCCAACCTTGCGCTCGACCACGGGGTCTAACCGCTCAGGAATGAATGAAGGGTAGGGCAGGAAATGAACGCTTTGAGTGTCCTGATAACCTTGGAGCATAGCTTCGGGAAGACATGGAGCCAGAAGGAGGTAGAGGTGATCGGCTATGAAAGGTGTGAAAGGGGCGAGCGCTCGCACAAGGATGAAAAGTACTTCAAATAATGTGTTCAGCCCAGTCACTGTACTTTCCAACCCGGACTCGCCTTTCAAGCGTCTTCTATTCAGCCGTATGTACCAATTGGTGAGACTTTCTATCAGGTCGAGAAGCTCCGGAACCACAGTGTACAGGCGATAGGCGGCCATTTCTTGGTCGACAAATTTGAGTAAGCTGTGACACCGCGCTTGGACCCATTCATCCATAACACTACCGTGCTTTGTGACATCCAGCTTAGGATCGAATCTGAAATCGACATTTTCAGTCTTCTTCAGTAGCGAAATTTGTCCTCTCAGGAATTGGTAACTATTCCACAAAGGTAGCATTACCTTTGAAATGACGTCTTTGACGCCTGCTTCAGAGAATCTTAGTGTCTCCCCACGGACAACAGGAGAGCTGATCATATAAAGTCGCAACGCATCAGCTCCGTACGCGTCAATAACACCCATAGGGTCTGGGTAGTTCTTCAACCTCTTTGACATTTTTTTGCCGTTCTCAGCTAAAACTATGCCGCTCACGACACAGTTGTTAAAGGGAGATACACCAAAGAGGTGAGTGCCAAGCACAACCAAAGTGTAGAACCATCCCCTCGTTTGGTCAAGTCCCTCTGAGATAAAATTACAAGGAAATTGATCTGCAAAGGTGGAGGGATCTTTGAATGAGAAGGGATAGTGAACTTGGGCGTACGGCATGCTCCCAGATTCAAACCAACAGTCAAAGACTTCCTCGACTCTTTTCAAGATACCACCATTCTTTCCAGGGATAGTGATTTTGTCGATGGAGTCTCGGTGCAGATCCGTAATCTCGCCTTTGTAGCCGCTCCTCTCTTTGAGCTCAGCTACGCTTCCAATGACGACGATTTCGTCGTAAGCTTCATTGGTCCAAATAGGGAGCGGCGTACCCCAGAACCGATTCCTAGAGATATTCCAATCATGGGCATTTTCGATCCAGTTAGCAAAGCGCTTTTCTTTCACAAAGGTCGGCACCCAATGTGATTTTGCTATGTTTTCCAGCATTTCCGGAACGATTTGTTCGACGCCAACAAACCAAGCAGAGACTGCCTTCTGTATCAGTGGCGTGTCAGAACGCCAGCAGTATTTGACAGTATGAGTTGTCTGGCTGTTGACGACAAGCCGGCCAATGCTAGTCAAATGCTTGGTGATGACCTTTTCAACGGGTCCTCTCACATATTCACCAGCATAGTCGCTGACCTCACTTGTGAAGCACCCTTTCTCGTCTACCGGGTTAGGGGGTAGTCGATTGCGGTTGATCAATCCAGCTTGGGTCGCGTAAGTGTAATCCTCACTACCATATGACGGTGATTGATGCACAAGTCCTGTGCCACTGTCCGACTTGACGTAATCTGCTGTGTATACCCGAAACCACCAGTCCTTGTTCTGTTCGTAAAAATATTTATATGGCGGTTCATATTCTAAGCCTGCGAAGTCCGTGCCCTTGAGAGTCTCCAATTTAGTGAACTTCGCTTTCTTCGGATCTTTATAAAGGGTGCTAAGTAATGTTTCCATGATGATATAATTTCTATTTGTGCCTTCATCTCTGATCTTGATGTACTCAAAATCGGGATGGACTGCAATGGCAATGTTAGACGGTACTGTCCAAGGCGTCGTGGTCCAGATCAAAAGGTTTGTTCCTGGGTCCGCTCGCAATGGAAATGCAACGACGATGGCTGGATCTTGAACCTCCTTGGGATTTTGGTTCTCTTCAAAATTACTCATCGGCGTAGCAAGAGCAGTCGAGTAAGGCATGACTTTGTAGTCTCGGTACACCTGGCCCTTGTCATATAATCGTTTGAAAACCCACCATATAGTCTCCATGAAAGTAGGGTCCATGGTCTTATAGTCTTTGTCAAAGTCTATCCATCGCCCTAATCGCCCTATTGTATGTCTCCATTCTTCGGCATACTTCAACACAATAGATCTGCACTCCTTGTTGTATGCTTCAATCCCCAATTCCTGTACCAGATCTCTGCCCGATTTACCATGCTTCTTGTCAATCTCATGCTCGATGGGAACCCCATGGGTGTCCCATCCGAATCGGCGCTCGACGTAATGACCTTTCATAGACCAGTACCTTGGAATGATATCCTTGATAGTCGAGGCAAGCAGATGGCCATAATGTGGCAACCCTGACATTGAATCCTCAGTCAATGTACATCATGACTGAAGCAATGAATAAGACTTACCTGTAGCGAAAGGTGGACCATCGCAGAATGTGTACGGTGGTCGACCCTTTGAGAGCTCTAGCTGCCTCTGGAAAGCATCTATTTCCGTCCACCGCTTAAGAATCTCCCGATCGATGCGTGGTAGATCAATAGACATCGGAACTGTTATTTGTGATTATGTGTTGCCTCAACTTAAGGTAAACCGGTTAAATGACTCGAAGTATTTGGAGCTGCAGCTCCATGCCAAGAAATAGCTTATGTAAGCCTTTCGATCGAGCTAGCGCTGAGATAAAGGGGCTCTCCAGGCTGCCTTCGATGAATAAGACCATTTAACTCAAACTCGAGCTCAACGCGTCGCAAAAGCCACCAATTTAATCATACATCATGTCATTGGGTATCATACAGACATTATGTACAGTAATTGAGCCACCCGGCATTTTGTTCGCCAAACAATTGTCCCATGCTTCCAACAGTCACGCCGGACCATTTCCGACTTCCTGCACCCTTCGACCTGGACTTGGAGCAATACTTGGAGACGAGTAGCCAAGAGATACGAGTCTTCGTTGCCGGGCTTCTGCCAGACGAGTACTATCAATCAGAGGAGTTGACCTTTCAGAGTTGCGACCGTTTCCCACTTTTGACGCTGGGGAGTTTGTGAGCTTGGTAGATGGCGATGAGAAATACGGCTTTCGACTAGAGCCAGAAACCTGTGCGGATTTAGATGGATGCGGCAGGCTCGGCAAAGGGTGCTGGGAGGTGTATTCCCTCGATGCTCGGGTATGTGGAGACGGTCGATGGGAGCCAGCGTCCGTTGCTGCTCGAGAAAGGGGTCTCCAGCTAACGTTACTCTCGTTGTCTTCATCCCGGCGGCCTAGATTGGACGCCGTCGTGTGCGGTTTAGTCACAGTAAGCTGTCGATCTCGAACAAATGAAGACGTTTCACTTTGTGGAGAGCTTGGACTTCGTGGTGCTGTTATGCCCCTAAGGCTTGAGCGGCGAGCTTCAAGCCGGCTCATGACTCTCGAGCTTGCTCTCAATTCAGGATCATCATTGGTGTGGGGCGAAAGCGGTACTTGTTCTACCTTCGACATAATCGTGTTCCGGCCATTGAGCGGATTTCCTTCACGCTTCTCTGGCCCATTCACCACCTCAATCAATGCAATACAAAGCTCAGTCAGGCTTCGGCACATGCTATCGGCCTTCCATCGTAATCGGCGGTCTACTGCGCTGGCACTAGCTTGAGAAGCACTCGATGGTCTTGGAGTTTTTCCGCCTGTCATTGCAGCCAGCATAAGTGCCTCACTCGCAGTGGCTTCCAAAATTTTGTAGAGTGCTGCGTCAACACTAGCCTTCGCTTTCGCCAAAGCTGAGCGCAGGAGCGGATGAAGGTCCGTAGCCGCAGATTCAAAGATTTTAGATGAGTCTGGCGAAGCACTGGTGTGATGCGTTTTGGGAGTGCCCGATATGGTCGTCATGTTTGTTAATGCGGTGACGGGACGCTCTCCATAACTATTCGAGATAGCTGAATTGGCAGTCGCAGGCAGGTTACCCGTAAGTTCAATCTTGCGAATCCTCGCTTTGAGATCATCCAGCTCATCCCATACAGTAGATGGCGCGGTCGTAGAGACTGTTGAATCACTGCCGTCAGGTCCTGCCCTCGATATATCCTCCTCACCCCTAGATGAATCCGGCCGCTGTGAAAGAGGCGATGAGTGATACTTCCCTAGCGAAGTGTTGATCGAGCGTCTCCGACCGTGATGGTTTTCAAGGCTGCCATGCTCTTGTTGTGAGATGGGCACGGATGGGCTAGCGTTAAAGCCCGAATAGCGAGGACGATACCTTTGATCCAATGGATGTGCAGATGCAGCATAAGGACGGTCGCGAGACACATCAGCACGTAGCGAAGCCAAGGAGCTGAATGTAGGAGCTCTCTCGGAGGGAGGCGATAATGGTGGATACATTTCCCGAGTCGAGGCTTGCTGACTCGGGAAGTGTCCACCGCTTGTGCTTGGGCGGCCTGAGGTTGACACACGAGACGATTTGGTCGTAACTATCCCGCGAGACTGTGGTGCAGCAATCAACAATTGTAATCTTATTGGAATTGCAGGAGCATACTCACACGACGCCTCTCAGCTCGAGACATTGCTTCCCAGTCGTCATCTGCCAGGTTTAAAAACAGGTCCTCCTGTTGTTGATCTTGTGCGCTTTTGCTTCGGTTGCGATTGATTTGTACGTTACGCTCATTAATCCTAATAGTTGAGTCCTCATCGTCTTCCCCCAAAGCCGACCTTCGTGCCATCGATGCGGTCTCATCCATGCTCCTAGGTCTGGCCACCTCTTCACGTCGCGTCGGTCTTGATGTGTTAGCCAATTCTTTCTGGCTCAAGGCAGAGTCAACGTTGCCATTTGTCCTCCCCCAGGGCAGATCAGCATTATAAGATTTTTGTGTGATCAGCGCGGGTGGGGGACCTGATCTTGTTTCTATGCCGTGGCTACTGCGGGAGGCGGGGGCTCTTTTACTATGTGGAGATCTTGCTTCCGACCCAGTGGGAGGGGTTTGGAGGGGGAAATAAGACCCAGTCGCGGGGGTCGATGTTGACGCAGCTTTGCGACTTGCAGTCGGGGAGGTTGTGATGTAATGTCTCGCTACAGGCGTGGGTTGGAGACTCGATGAGGTGGAGCTGGCATCACTCGGGACCGCATGGTGATGTGTTGATGACGATGGTCGCGCATCTTCTTGGGACGCGTTTTCTGACTCTGCCGACACAAATGATCGTTCACTTTCGGAAAGGGACGTGTCAGACTTCATGGGATTGCTCCTCCACCGCGCATTATTCTGCGCAAAGCGTGAGGACATTCTGTTGACTGTGTGCTGGCTTTCTACTGTACGTCCACATCATAGGGTGTAAGGTTCGCGCAAAACGCGGACTTTCCTTTCTGGATCTCCCGGGCTCTTCCCACACTGCTGGTTGTTTGCAGGTGTACAATCAGCAGCAGACGCAGGAGCGACGTTGTTGGTACGGCAATTGAATGCGCGTCGCGATCGCTATCATACGGTACGTTTCTCTCACTGGGACATGCGGACCGTCGAAACCTTACCAGGACGGGAGATTTGCACTTCGCAAAGCAGTGGAGACTTTGGAACGCTATGGAGTAGTATGGAGACTTCCTCTTCTGGAGTTCTGGTGGATTTAGGCCGTTGAGCTAAATTCTACGTGACAAGCATCTGATAATGTTGAACAGCAACCGATGGAATTGACTCTCGGCTTCCGCTGACCGGTCAAGCCTAAACGTTCCCCCCAAATTACCTTCTGTATCACGCTCGCAGATGGCCTGGTCAATAGGGAGACGATTGTCTTCTACTTATCCAAGCTCCTTTCAAGGCTCATGGTGAGATCGTCGGCTCTTGTACGCTGGCGAAAACGCGCCGATGTAATCAACGAAAGAACCGATTTCACCTTGATTGCTCAGAGCACCCACCCAGCGGGGTTTAGCTCGAACCAAGCAAGAAGGTCGTTTTGAAGTTGAAACACTAGTCTTAGAGGTAACCCTCCTTGCCCTCTCAGCTTGCCCGAAATCACACAGGCCCAGTACGAGGAAGAAGCAGTAGAAGGAGGGCAGCAAGTCGCGAGCACTCAAGATTGTCTACGCCGGAGCGTGTGCACCGAGAGGGGTCTTACAAGCCTGCTTATTAGGAGCTCGAATGGGCCGTGATCAAATGTCAAACCACTGCAGCAACTGATGCTAAAAACACCGTTGCTTTCAGACATAAGGCCTATTTTTGATACAGCCTGCACGTAATTTTAGGACTCAGGTCTATCGTATTTTCTGGAGATCAAGTACCCCCAACCACCTGTTCGCCGTTGTTTCGAATTCCATCTCTGGAGGCTGCGTCAGCGGGGGCAGAGGCGGGGGCGAGAGGTCTCTCTCATGATTTGGGAGAGCGCTGGCTGGTGCTGGCGACAAGGAAAGTGAAGGCATCTGCTGGGAGAAGGCCTGCTGAGCCCGAGGCTCTGCTGCAGCCAGCAGCAGGCAATCTCCAAGAGTCCAAGGGCGACAAGCCTACAATAGTACAAAGGGTTTTAGGTAATCCACTTTTCCAAGGGCGTCCAGCACAATGATAGGATCAATAGCCCATCTATATGCAGCTTCTATCTGGTCTGTCTCATTGGCGGCTAAGGATAGAAACCGACGCTGATTGGATGCCAAAGCGCCGAACTAACAACTTGGTCTGTCGACGGCCCCTCCCCATTCGTCCCCCGACTCCCCCCATTCGCGAGTCGTTCTTTCGCCTGAAACCTCCTACTGCTGCATTTTGCATTTTGGAAGAGAAAGCCAACCGCCTGCTGTTATCCTGGTCTTCCTGTCATCACACTCCGACCTTCGCCTGACCTCAAGCCCGCGAACCCTTCCCTTCTCACCTTTTCCACAACAGCCTCTGCTTTCGTCGATCCCTCCACTTCTCTCCGGCCAATCTTCACCTCGAAAGCACCAGCGAGAGCATCGGGCAAAGGGCACCGGCGCAAGGTCTATACCAGACTCGCCTACCACCAGTCGTCACCAATCACGCAATTAAAACCCCTTTGGGCTCATCCGCGCTTCGGTGGAAGCCTCAGGTAAGCTACCTTGTCCTATCCTCCATTGGTCTCCGCTTTACGTCAAAGGACCATTCCTTGAGCGCAGCGTCAACGTTCCCTATTCATCATGAGAACACAGCCCTGAAGTCTACCTTTCCCTTAATTCTACAGCTTGTCGGAGCTTGTTGTGCGGTATGAAGTGATCGCGAGATGACTGAGACCATGACAGCACAGATCGCTCGCCCTTCCCTCTCACTACCTCAGAACCGTCATGGCCGTCCGCCTAAAGAATACACTCCATTTAGGGTAGCAACATCCCCTCTGCCAGGATACATTTCCATCGAGAGAGTCTATGAGAAGAGCAACGTAGAGGCTGCAACTATGACGAGCTCTCCGATACAAGCGACCTTTCCTTCGTTCATGTCTGTATTTGGACATTGTCCCGCCACGCAATCAAGTGACCTACCTCAATCACCAAGCAGAATACCAAATACCGACCTCAAAGCCAATTCTTTGGGCTTTCAATCCTCTATCCGTCGCGATTCTACTTCTACTTTTGAGTCAACGGAGACCTCGCCCACAACAACCATCTCGACGGTGGAATCATCACTCACAGAGCCTTCTCCAGGCTCATCCCCTGAGTCACCAGGCTCAGTCCATACGAGGTCGTCATTTCAGAGTCCGAAGACTAGTCTACATCTCAGCCCACGGACGATGGAAGGGAAAGGCCGCTTCTCAAATTCGTTTCCATCACTACCTGGAATAGATCAGTCAGAATCCCCTCACAAGAAAGTCCGTAACATGAAGAACTTGTCCGTCAATACCTTGGCATCAAATCGACCTGCTACATCCAATCTACCTAAGCTTGGGATGGTAGGTGCCTCCACCTCTCAGCCCAGTCACGCCTTTTCCGCCCCTCCAACTCCTGCCTTCATAGTTCCTCCAAAAGCTCCTCGGCGAAAACCAAGCAAGCTAGGTCTTACTCTTGAAACGCCTGATCCAGGGAGTTCTCATGCCCAAGACCGTCCCGCTATTGTCCCACAGACCCCTTCAGATAGCCAAATACAAACCCTAAGGCGATTGCAAGCGTCGACAGACGGCTCCCTCCTCTCTCCGACCGTCGCACCTGAGGGTGGTATGAGGTTGCCTCCATTCACTCAAACGTCCAGTAGCCAGTTTACTAAGGTCGGTCTACCGCTAAGCAGCTCTCCGAATCCACTATCCTCACCAATCAAGAAGCAAACTCTAGAGCACGTCAAAGAAGAACCAGATTACGAGGTTCCCTTGTCGCAGGAAGCCAAGTCCCCTGCATATCCTCAAGGCCCAGTATGCATTTACGATCCGTATCTCTATCTATATCTCGAGCCTACCGGAGTCGAAGCCCGAGAGTTTGATGTAATCCTAAATGTTGCAAGAGAGGTAAGAAATCCGTTTGAGAAAGAGAGAGAAGCGGTGCCAGAGAGAAGAACAGCAGATAAAGGGGTTCAAACCAATTTCGACAGAGTCGACAAGGGAGTTCAAGCATCATTTGATGCTGCTGGCGGGGATCTTGCAGGTCAAGATGACGTACCAGAGCCGCTCACGGCTACCACTGAGTTCTCCTTCCGCTCTGCGGTTGAATTGCAACAAGATGATGTTTGTAAAACAGCACCAAGCACGCCGAAAGCGAGTCGACCAGAGCCTGAATATATCCACATTCCATGGGACCACAACGCTAATGTAGTAGATGATCTGCTGAGGTTATGTGATCTTGTCGAGGACCGGATCAGGCAAAAGAAGAAAATTCTTGTTCACTGCCAGTGTGGGGTCAGCCGGTCAGCTAGTCTTGTAGTAGCATACGGGATATACAAGAATCCCCAGCTCACGGTTCAGGAAGCTTACGATGCGGTAAAAAATCGAAGCAGGTGGATTGGCCCAAATATGAATTTAATTTATCAATTATCAGAATTCAAAGGCAAGCTTACAAAAGCGCAAGTGGGTAATTGGCAAAGCTGGGGGGCACCAACTTCAGGAGGTTCCGGATTGCAGCAACCCCGACCCGAAGACTCTCGCATGGCAATGTCTGCCATAGAGCCTCATCCGCCCTCAAATCCGATCACAGGTGGCAGCAGACTATCCAGATTCGCTCCTACTGCATCTCACGATTCTCCAGACTCAAATTCGCGGGCGAGCAAGCCCCAACTAAGAAGCGTTAGTCCTGGGCCGTCGTCGGCTCCTCTTAATTATGGACTTGCATCGTCGAAGGCTCCCTCTCCACCTCAGATCAAGACTGGCCTAGACATAAAACCAATCCTTTCGCCACTAGAAACAAACACACTTCCTTTGGGGACTATTCTGAGTCCCACTGTTCAAACGACCGATAATGCACCAGTCGGGGCAGTTGCTAGCGATCTTCGAGAAGTTGCGAAAGGTTTACAACCTACCCTCCAATCACCCATGACTGGTTTCGCGGGACACATTGTCAAGGGTCAAGTCGATGAGACTGTTGCACCTCCAGGTAGTTGGCCAAACGATGCTGAAACGCCAAAGATAGCTGCCAAACCATCGATCTCTGACCTTGCCTTAGGCTTCAGCAGTCTCTTCGGTAGAAGGCAAGGACCACAAGCTTTATCCCTGGGACCACAACTTTCAAGGCCATCCCATCCACCAATAGCTCCACAATCTTTCAAATCGGTACTTCGTGACGATGTGCCACCTACACCGTCTCTGCTCTCACCACGAGCAGCTGAATTTACGGCCAGCCCTTTCCACAGGACCGTTGCTGGGGACCTTGCCGGCTCCTCGGTATTCGAGCAGGGTCTAATGAGCCCGAGGTCTGTTGATGAAGATCCGAGAAGCCCACCTCTGAAGGGTGAAGCACCAATTACGAGGAACATATTCGATGTCTTATGATTGCCACATTGTTTGAAGACTAGGGGAATTAGACCTACGGGGTCACCAGAATGGTAATTTTGGGCAAGCTCATCGCCCTCTGTAATTGGTCTGTGACGATGACCCCGAAAATGGCCTGGAGGCCTGTTATGGACCGAGGGTGCGATGATAGGAGGTGCTTTGGCCAGAATGACAAAGTTAGCAGTGACTTGTGCCTCGATGTCTTAAAATGTGGGATGTCGCCTGGGTAGATGTACGGACACAGACTTTGTAAGAGGACGCACTGATAGACGGGTCAGAAGCTCTGTACCAGCCGTTTCAGAGCAGATCGCTCAGGAAAGAGCACTGTTGCCTGTCTGTCCTTACGGGCTTCAGGCATTCTCATGGCGGCGATCCATGCGTAGAATGATCCACGGAAGTGCAAGGATGGGAGATGATGTTGGGTAAATATACCCATATAACAAATGTGATGATTAGCGTCGCTACATGAATAGTATAGTGTAATTCAAGCCATCGATCTTCAAAATCAAATCATAATTTCTATACCTTCGAACGTGATCGTCCTTACGGCTTACACCTTCACGGTCGCCGATTGACCACAACCATGCTGTCTTCAAAATCTTGCTTTTTGGCATAGGAATCCCAGTTTCCATTCAGTCGCGAGAAGCAGAGTTTGAAAATCATCGACAGCTTGCTGGAAACCTAGTTCGTCACCAACTTCTTCGGTCATGTTGTCTTGATTATGTCCCCTCCCTAACACCGAAGCACGGACCTAGTTCGTGCAAATCCACCCCCTTCTTGCATCTGACTCTAACGACCCCACCATCGAGACGCCATGGAGACTGCAATTCGCTTCTCCCCTAACTCAACCCCCTCACATCAAACATTTCTTTTCGCCGACGTTAGAGGACGCGGGTTCAACAGATGCCGTATCACGCATTATTCCGCCACCAGCAAGCCTCAGCTCAAGTATGATCAAGGTCCAGCCTTTCGAAACAAAGTTCCCGCCTTCCGCGCCCTTGACTGGGCGAGTTTTGATGAGGCGTTAGTCGCTGTGGGCACGCCTCACGGGGAGACTTGCGTGCTGAGGATTGGCGATCGTCATGTAGACAGCAGCGGTGCCGGTCAACTGGGGATTAGCAACGGCGGCAGAGGTGCCGAGGAGGAGATAGTGCTATCATTCACCCCAAAGTGCCAGCGTCCCTGTAACGCTGTTGCCTTTAGCACTCAAGGTTTGTTGGCGAGTGGACTAGAAAGGCAAAAGAATGATTCGTGTCTGAACGTTTGGGATGTAAATGCCGTAGCGCCTACTGCGCTGTCGAGTCAAGAAGGTGGGGTAGAGACCCTGTCCATTTCTTCCTCCTTTGGCGGAGCAAAATCTTATGTGGAGCCTCTGAGGAAGCTTGCGAGCTCCGAGGCGGTCAGTAGTATCAAGTTTTTCTCTACACAACCGAGTTGCCTTATCATGGGCGTGAAAGGAAGTGGTGTCAGGATCTATGATCTGAGAGAGAAGGACTCTAGTCCTGTTGCACAGTTTCACACAGACTGCGTCCACAACATCGCGCTTGATTCATTAAGAGAAGTGAATTTTGCATGTGCGGCACCCCTAAAAGACACAAGGGTGCAGATCTGGGATACGAGGGTCACTAGCCGTAGACAACCAGGCCTGGGGTTAGCAGGTGAGGGAAATGACGGCAGTGGCAAGCAGCAGGGCCCGGTCATTGTATATGAAGATACCTTCAACCTCGGGAGGAAAGAAGGTGAGAAGGCAGGTATATGGAGTCTACGGTTTTGCAAAGATACAGGCCTTCTTGGCGCCCTCTGGAGCAACGGAAATTTCAAGATTTTTGAATTGAAGACACACTTCGCTGTCAAAGAAGACGAAAAAGGGGCTTCAGATGCCCGTTTTGAAGCCTTTGGGGACGGAACAAAAGACATTCTTTCAAATTTATTTACAAAAAAAGTCCATCGAGTTGAACGAGCGTTTCATGATCAAGCGCACTATCGTACGGAGCAAGAACGTATCGTATCTTTCGATTTCACAAATCTTGCTGGTTCTCGCGGCACACCTACAGCTATGTTCCTTCGTGGCGATCGGAGTGTTGAGATTTATGAGGTCAAGGGGCCATCTGCTGCCTTGACCGTATCGAGCTGCGGGGAAGCAGCCATCAGCAGAAAGCCTTTAAGTCAGATAGTATCTGTGTCCGACGCGAGCGCTGAGACCATCTCCTTAAAACAACGTATCCACACGTGCTTTGCAAGTCAAAATGTCCATTCTGAAGAAGAAAAAAATGTGCCTGTTACAGCAAACATTGCTGAAGCTAGAAGACTTTGCGAGAAAGGCTACTCCTTGAATATTGCAAGAAATATCAACCTGATGCAGGGAAATGCAGAGCTTCGGAGCATGTGGACCTGGATCCAAAGTAGGCAACGAAGCTCGTGAATTGCCAATACTGACTCTGACCAGGAGCAAAGGAAAGTGCTGCCAGTTACGTTGGCATTCACCGTCTTTGGAATCAAGAAACCAGTATGTGAATCTTGCAGCCTTTGGGCGAGGGGACTGTGCTGAAATAAAAGGAAGGCTTCCCAGTCACAACAATGACGACCAACAACCCGCCGGACTTCCTTACCATAATCAAGCAGTTATCCCTTGATTCGATAAGCCTGCACCCAACCCGAACAAGATTTCTGGAACATCGCAAGGTTTGCTTACATACGATAGGCCTGAATCTGACCGAAGAAAAACTTTCTACAGAAGTCTCCAGACTCGCGGAAAGCGGTCAGCAGATAGAAGCTGCCTTTCTTGCCCTTTTACTGCACAACCATAATCTGGCCCTAACTGCACTCAAGACTGGCAAGAATTTGCCCCGTCATAGAGTATTAGCAATCGCAGTTGCCGGCTATGATCGAGGCAATAACGACGGCTTGTGGAGTGAAGCAGTTGATGATATGCGTCAAAACGCTGAGGACCCATACTCTCGGGCTATTTTCGCTCTCGTTCGCCGTGGTAATTGGCGTGATGTTCTGAAAGAACCTTCCCTGCCCCTCACTTATAGCACTGCCATCGCCCTTCTTCACCTCTCCGACACCGAAGTGACGAAACATATTAATGATGCCACCACAAGCGCTGAGGCTAGCGGCGACATCTCAGGCATCTTCCTGACTGGCCTGACTGAGCAATCCATCTCCCTCTTTGAAACGTACATCACAAAGCACCCCGATCTGCAAACCACAGTCCTGGCTTTCGCACACGTTGTGCCTCGTTACTTTACATCTCATGTCGTAGATATCTGGCGTGAAACGTACAGATCATGGATGAACACATGGCGTCTCTACAAACAACGCGCCACCTTCGATATTCAGCTAACGAAGCTCTCCACACCGCAAGGAGGAAAGCCCCTGATACCGCTCTTACGCCCGCAATTTGCTTTGTTGTGCCTTCACTGTGAACGTAGCGGCACTCCCGATCCGCCTTCAAACCTAGAGAACACAACGCATAAAAATTCCATTTTCACAAATGGTACTACATGCCCCAAATATGGCTCACATATGCCGCGCTGTGCAATTTGTATGCAATGGCTCGGCACTCAGGAATGGCGGGGAGCAGGGAAGACGAAGAAGCAAATATTTGAGGGGATGATGTGTGTTTGTCGAAAATGCACGCACCTAAATCATGTAGGATGTGCAGAACGCTGGTGGGACCGGCAAAGGATTTGTCCTGTCGTGGGCTGTGATTGCGTTTGTCGCGTTAGCAGTTGAGAAGCCCATATTCTCAGCTAGTATCGAGGTGACGATGTCTCAAACGGTTGTGTAGCTTTTGGATCGTCTTACTACGTGAAATCCCCCTTCGTCCTGTATTTCCAATCAATAAAGGGCCGAAGACAAGTGACTAAAATATACGAATAATCACCTACGGGTTTTAATAAGGATTTATTGATCTTATGCATTCTAGGAATTCATGTTCCTAAAAGAGCGACTTCCAGATCATGTCTATGTAAATAATTTAACATTGAAGTACAAATGAGTGTATGCGAACCTGCCAGGATTCCGTAATTATACTGAAGCATACAGCGATTGCCACATACTCAAGGCGCTGGTTGAGGACGAGTGGCGCGATAGAATACTCTTACAGACCGAGATGAGCAACATCAACCTGGTGTGATTTTGTTCCTTAGGCTAAAGAAGATCGCCATTGAAAGTCAAGATTGGGTACAGAAGAACAAGCCTCCACAATCCGTCTTTCCCTGCCGTCATTATTGCGATAGCGACATACCTTGAGAAGATTTACGCGAAGAGCCTGCTTGCATAGGAGTGGTGACTTACGATGTGCCTGTCTGAGTGGATCCTGTTGGTGGGGAAGGATCTTAAAGTTCAGTATAAAGGAGATCATCCCAAGACTTAATTTTTTGCGCGTACTTTCTATCTTGACTGCGCATCTACAAGAATGCTCACCGCTATGCCCCTTAGCCAAACCCAGCTCTAAAAAATAGAATTTCGCTCGGCCCGATAAATGTGCCGAGAAGGCTGAACGTGGCCACGCCAAATTCAATTTTAGGGGGTATCTTAGGGAGGGGTACCTGGGAGAGATGCCTATAGGGGGGCCACATAAGGCTGCTTTCCCCCTAATTCGCGCCTGTAATTTAGCGTGGCCACGTTCAAACACACCAACCCTCGTCCCTCGGTCACCCAACTTTGAAGCTTCGCTGTGGGTGGCTCTTTTAGCGCCCTAATTTTCTTCCTTGTCTTTTCTTACGACGATGTTGACTTCGCATTGTCCATGAGAGGTATATTGCTGGATATCACAATGGTTTATTTGAAAGGCGAACCTCTGGGAGGTCAACGTTCCTTCCACAGTGGATTCGCACAGCTTAACAAAAGTTCGAAAGCAATACGATTGCACTGCACCTGCTTAATTCAATCATAGAAGCTAGGCATGGCTAAGAACTTGACAGATGCTATCATGAGGAAGGGAAGGTGCGAACGTGACAGCCAAGCAATGTCGCGGTCGATTTGGGCACGCACGACGTCGGCGGTCGCGCTCGACATCACTCCTTCCTCGCGTCCTTTGAATTGATAACCCCTTTGGTGCCAACTTTTTTTCACCAGAAACCCATTTGAACAATTTCAACTCTTTGATACTGTCGTCGAGTCTTTCCTACCCTGTACCGATGACGATATGATTTGAGAAGCGCAAGCTGGCATCGAACAAAGCGTCCACAAGATCAAGTGAGTAATTCATCGGCCTTCCCTTATATCTTTGCGTCTTTCTAGTCTATGAGCTTAGCCATCTGGAGTCCGGGCCCCCTTCGCCTACGCAAAGGCTTTTGATTCCTTCTTGGTTGCGAGCACCCTTGGCCCTGCCTACGAACATATTCCTCAGGGTGAGGGCTTCGGTAGATGCTTTAGGTCTCCCTCTTTGTTAATGCGATGCAGCCTTAGTTTATCGTGATAGCTGACTGAATCTTCTGTCAGGATGTTGACGATGTCAGAAGTAGGACCAGGAAAGAAACCTGGCCCAAGCAAGAGACGAAGCAATCGCAGGAAAGTTAAAAAAGCATGATTTCGATCGAATGTCTCTCTGTCGACAGATTTACCCCATCGTACTCCTGTTTTACCTAGCGCTCGTTCCAGTTCCAACAGGACGTCACATATAGGCGAAGCTCCGTCCTACCCAGCACACTGGCAACGTACACAAAATGATAACGAATATTCTGTTCTCCATGACATGAAAGGTCTTATTGAGAGTTATCAGCAATCAGTCGACCAAATATTGACAAGACAACATCAGCGTCATGTCATGCAAGTCCAAAGCATTCCAAAAGTCCCAGGCATCATCTATGATCACGCTGTATACGAAACACAGTCCAGCGCATCCGTTGCCAGCACACAACAAAACTCCGTGTTCTCGACGACATCGTTCACGCAGACAAAGGACACATCATCTGATATCGAGCAATCGCACGACCAACCCCCAAGTCTACACGACACGGTATTTGTATTGAATGACCGCCCTATATCTACAGAACCAGTACCTTCGAAACGACCATCGCTTCAAGACACTACAACATTCATCCCAAATAAAAGGGCCAGACCAGAATTGGAATCTGCTAGTAAAATAGCCATTGAGCATCCACAGGAATCTCTGTTCAACAATGATTCGGACCGTCACTCATCTCTTTCGGCCACGTTGCCCATACGACCCAAATCAGAGACACCAGAAATATCTGCGCGGCTCACTGTCTTGAATTTAGCAGAACAGGTCTTGAGATCCGCAATAGAACGGATGAAAGTCTTTCGAATAGAGACTGGTAAAGACTACATCAATATCCACTACGAAGGAAAATTGACCACTTTTGGACTGGAAGATGCACAAAGCTTCAGCTACAAACAAAACATTCTTCAATGGTATACTTATCACGCAATTCAGGCTACCCTGATATCCTTGAAAGTGCCGCACGTATCGCCGACGGTCGTCCAAATGTTTTGCAGAGGGCTTTTTGACGAAATAACTCCCCAAACAGAGCGTATTGTTTACGTGTACAATATCAACAACATGCACTGGGTGACTATTGTGTGCCAAACTCATCCATATGTCATCACGTATATGGACAGTTATAAGCCCTCGCATCCACCAAGCAAGGTGGTCGAAAATGTAAAGGAACACTCCCTACTTCACTTAGCACACCATGGCATTGAGGCCCCCACTACCAAGCCCTCCATACACGTCAGCTGCTCGATCAAGCAGAAAGGTACCACCAGTTGCGGACCTTACGTGGTTCGCGAGGTCGAAAGGATTCTACACCAAGATGTCAGTGCTGACCAAGGGAACCCGATAGCGATTAGAGCACGCCACGCCGAGTTGGTTGCCAATCTCATAGCCGGAAGACTTGTCAAAGATACGGACGTAGAGACCGCCACCGTCCATGATAGCACAGAAATTCACGGCGTCAAGTTAACCTCCAATAACAGTCCCGTGGATGCTAGTGTCTTTGCACCAGATGATTCCTGGTCCCACGAATACCCTGTAGAGGGGATCGAGCCAACCAGCAACCGTAACGGTAACATTGAGGATCACGGCGTTGGTGCATGTTGATCCGTCCATCGGCCGAGCAAAGCACCAGTGCTTCAGACAATGACCAGTTGAGGAACGACTATGCGCAGAATCAAGATGCTCTTCGCAAATTCGTGGCATACCCCAGGAACCGAATTCGAGATAAAGTCACGATAACAGACAAATGTGCGCAACCTCTGTCTTTTTGTGACCACTGTCAAAAGTGCTTTCCTCCAAGTCATCATGCAGCCCGAGCTCATCCCAGATTGCTTGCGCAGAGTGCAGGCAAGACCTCCCTGCAGATGTCGCAGCACGCCTGTGGCGCTCCGTTAGGATCCAGCCCGCGGTTTGGATGCCGTTCGTGACGATCCAGACCAGTCATGTAGGGCCCAACTTGGATTTTATATATCATTGTCGCCAATGCAAAAAACTAGTGCCTGTCTCGCTCTGGCCACAAGTTATACTTCATATCTTGGATCCATGGGATTGCGCCTTGAACTGTCTTCGTTGTGAGCTTACCAAGATAGATATTGAAGATCCATACCAAATTGGTTTGAAACGCCTAGAGTTGTCTTCAAAAGCTTTCGCAACGTTTGATCTGAAGACTTTGGTCAGGCGCATTACAGGCCGCTGTGATGCTCAGAACTCAACTGCTAAGTATAAACATCTTATCACCAAGTGGCAGCAGATGAATGATTATCGAGATCTCATTCTACTTGCCAATAAACGACTGCCTGGTTCTAAGGCCCGCAATCATTGAGGACTACAGCAGGAGACATCAATGCAATTTTACTAGGATTCAAGCGGCAGATACAGGTATATCGATACAAAGCAGGAGACATTAATGCAATCTTATTCGAATTCAAGCGGCAGATACAGGTATATCGATACAAAGCAGGAGACACCAATGCAATCTTACTCGGATCCGAGCGGCAGATACAGGTATATCGATACAAAGCAGGAGACACCAATGCAATCTTACTCGGATCCGAGCGGCAGATACAGGTGTATCGAGGCAAAGCAGGAGACACCAATGCAATCTTACTATGATTCAAGCGTCAACAGATGACAAGCCAGAAGAGCCGATGTTCGATGATATCTTGGGTATCCCAGAGGTCAAATTTGTCCTCAGTTTCTGCAATGCAGAGGAGTATGTTGTCAAACAGGTGTACGGGAACATAGTCGAGTTTGAGATAGGTGAAATGGCAATTAACGAACTCGAGAATGCCAGCGCCTACACAGCATTCACCTATATCAAAGACAAGATTGCGAAGGCCCATGTAAATTTGGATCATGCTGACTCTGCGGCCGAATTTCGTCTTCGCCTCCCTTCTGGGACCTGGGCAACGCTCTCCGTCGCAACCAAAGATGCAGAATGCCAAAAATCGATTCTCGGATTTATCATTCCTCCTGCGTAGGGCCCCGCCCACGGACAAATTCTGCTACGTGTCGTATGGACTTCAGCAAACTGGTTCAAGGAGGCAAATTTGCTATCAGAGAACGCAAAGCCAAATTTCATCGCTTCGACTTTGAAAGTTGTGGGTAGCAATGCGGGCTTGAAGCGAAGCATCTCTGTCATGCACGAATTCCTTGAAAACGAACATGCTAAGAAGTTCCACCCATTAGCCCTCATCCAAGATCCCTCAGAACTAAGCGTGGCTGATATCTACGACGCAAGTCCTCTATCGTCTGAGATGATTGACAAATACTTTGATAATATTGTCTCTCGCTGGCATCTAAACGCTAATCAGACAGAAGCGGCGCGTTCATTCAGTAACTCCGGGGTAACTGTATTGTGATAACTGGCTTTCCTGGTAGCGGGAAAACAAAGAGACTAGCTTTGATTGTTCTTTGGCTCGTTGCAATCAGGATTGCTGTAGCTACTAGCGCAGCAACTAACGATACAACAGATATACTTGCCTAAAACATTGACGAGCAGCTTAAAAACCTAAAAAAACTATCCTACTTATAAATATATATAACAGCAATGGAATCTCGTCCGTCGGTGTTCAGTCTACATCTTACACCTCGGAAGAATGAGTTTGCACCACAAATAAACCTATCACTGATGGATCGTATCCTGAAGCTCGGCTTCCAGGACAATAAACTCCGAACCATATACCGGTCGAACCCAACAATTGCTGCGTTTCCGAATTCGCACACTTACAAAGATGAAATGGTCAGCGCTGCCAGCACTCTTCAGCTTGTATTGATCCCACAATTTGCGAAGGTTTTAAGAGAGTTCATTGGCGTGAAATCCGACATTGATGTCACACTCACAGCATTGGATGCACCAAACACAAAGGCTTATACGAATCCATCCTCTCTCTCACGCTCTAATCCAGCAAACGTGAAGATCATTTCGGACCTGACTAAGAAGCTAATCAAGGCAAAGGCTCTCAAATTTCATTCTTTCATCGTCATTACTTGTTACGCTGAACAAGAGCGCCTCATTAATGAGGCCATGTTCAGGCTAGCAAAAAATTATGAAATTCCAAGGAGCGATCTGCCAACGGTGAAGCTTGCCCCAGTAATCCAAGGCAAAGAGGCCGATGTCGTCCTGTTCGATACAGTGATCGACTCGGCGGATACAATGGGGCAACTCGGTCTCGCACAAGGGGAGGAGCTGATGAACGTAGTGGCCACCCGCGCCCGATCTTGCGCCATGATTCTGTTCAACTCAAAAATCATGACCGGTGAACTTCTAACAAAATGGCGAGAGCAAAAAGCCATCACCGAGCGAGGGATCAAGGAGCCGAATCCCGCTCCGCATCTATTGGCTAATCTCTCCTACTTGGGCACCGAAGGACGAGTCTATCAGCACGAAGCGACTTCTGACCAGGAAATTAAACCTGGACATTATGGCAAACCGTTCTTCACTAAAGACAAGCCGGGCGAGGATGAAGGCGAGTCCCAAGAACCCTGGCCACCGGCAGGAGCTCCTGAAGCAAGTACCTCCACAGCTCAGGGCTTATCGCAACCCGAAAATTCCATAGATGGTATGTCACCAGCACTGTTATATTTGTCCTACTGAGCTGACCCCTAAGCAGCTATAATCCGTGCAGGCAGAAGCGCTGCAACTTCAGGCGAATGGTAGTCAAAGAGAACGCGAAGGTTTCCATCATCGGCCTAGAAGCTCTACGATTCAGTATCACTCATTTCGATTCATTATCACTTATTACGACTCAGTATCACTTATTTCGATCCACGACAATCGTCGACCTAGGCTGCGATGCACCAAGGATTTCGTAGATTTACACGATCGTGCTATTCTTATCTTTTGCATGATTACGGCAATCATTCACGATTCGCACACACTCCTTTAGTATCAGTATGACTAGTCTAGTCCATAGCATCAAATGAATGACTAATTTGCTATCTACGTGCCCTGAACATGCTCTTCTGCTAAAAATCTGAATTGCAAGGGAACTGGGGCTCATATGAGAACGACAAGAGCACATGCATTCTTGCACCATTATGTCTAGAAACCTGACAGAGATTGCATGCAATCACCTTTGAGGAACACCAATACTCGCCTCTTCTAGTTGCCCGTATTTGCCCAATCGCCCTCCCTCGATTCACGCTCATGCATCTCCCTCAAACATTGTTCCAGCCTCCTTGCCAATTTTTCCAACACCCACTCCGCCTCCTCCATTTCCCCCATCAATGGACTCCGTTCCCCTAGCCAACTCCACGCCTTCGGATGTCTCTCCCCGTCCCCACCATCTCCTTGATCCATCCCTTGCTGCATCGTCCCCTTCTCCTCCGTCAATCCAGACTGGACGTTTGGGCTTCTATGCAGCTCCGTCGACCCCTCTTCCTCACCTAATAGTTTCAAATAGTACGCCCACTCACTATAGGCGTACTGCCGCGGCGGACTCTCGCTCAGATGCTCGATCACGAGCCTAAATTCACGGGCTAGGATGAAATGGTACTCATAGATCGAAGAGCCAAGTATATTTCCCTTGCGGCGGTCTGAGCGCTCGCCTTCGATTTCTGACTGCTCAACGTGGCCGGTCGTAGTATCTGTACCTTTGTTCAGGTGATCGCCCTTCTTATTGCTGCCGCCGCCCCCTTCGGGCAAGAACCCGCCTTGCTCGTGGACTCTGCGGGAGTCGCGGCCGAAGCCGAACTTCTCCTGGGAGAATTTGTTGGCTGCCTGCTTCAGACGATCTCTCCCGCTAGCTTCTCCGGGGAGGACCGTGAATTCGCCGAGATAGAGCGTAAGATCTTTAATAATTTTGACGATGGTGTCGCCCATGTTGCTAATTACAATTGTGAGGGTGGGCACTGCTAAGAGGGACCAGAGAACGAAGAAAGCTTTTCCCGAGTTAGAGAAGGGCTTGAAATCGCCGTAGCCGATAGTGAGAAGAGTTGTGTAGGAAAAGTAGAGGGATTGGAAGTATGTCCATCTCTGCTCGTGCTCCGCAAAATAGAATACCAAGGCTCCAATGAACCAGAGGACGAGCCAAGCGGAGCCTGAGAAGAGCAAGGCGATCCACTTTTGTCGACTTTCTGTTGCACTCTGCACGCTCCTCATCAGTTGAAACTCCCGCTCACGGCGCTGTGTTTCTGTGATATCATGTCGTCCTTGGCCTTGCCCCCCTCCTCGATCGGTTTAAGTACCGACGATTCTTTGCTCTTGAGCAACTTCTTGATAAGCGCCTGTCTCTTCTTCTCAGTCATGCGTCGTCCTAATTTGTTTTTTCCACGTTCAAGAACGAGTGAGCGAATGGAGCCGACCACAAGGCCTAGAGTTACGATTCCGCCTACGGCGTAAGGGAAGAGTATACCTCTACCCAAATGGGTTAGGGGTGCATAGTCTCCAATACCGACCGTCAATAATGTGAAATTGGTGAAGAACAGCGCATCCAAAAAGCCCCATCCTTCAATCTTTGCATACATACCCGCGCCTCCCACCATATAGACCAGCAAGCTTATCGTCTGCAGCATAAGTGTACGCTGACTCGTCGTAAGCTTGAACTCCTTGCGGTAATGCTTCTTCCAAGCGCCGTAGACAGTGAATACCATGAGTGTTGCGATGATAAAATATAAGGCTGCAGCAAAAATTGCGTAATAGAATGCTTGGGAAAGCGCCCTAAAAAATATAAATAATCGTCTGTAGCAGTGACTTTTTTCAATTTAAAGGAATATACCGTCGCTGATGGGGCCTTTGTACATAATGTATGATGGCAGATATGTCACCAATAAGTAGAATTGAAGCGAGGTACCAGCCGACGATGGTGATGGGCTGGGCTACGGAAAAAGAGAGGCGGCGCGCCATGTTCAGAAGGAGGGAGAAATTTGAGATGAGGGCGAAGCCAAGGGAGAGACCGTTGATAGCTAGAAGCCTATGAGGAAAATTCAGTTTTGGACTCTTCATGAACTATGTATCTGAATTGTAGACGAAGGACCTCGAAAAGAAATGATGACGATATGGTGAATGTACATGAGCGCGTTCACTGCGTTTCGACTGACAAACAAAACAATGAAGTAGAGGAGTCAGCTGCAGTCTGATGGTACGAAGCAATACGGTCTTGGTCGAGAGTCGAGAAAGGCTATAATATTGTTGCTGTCCATCTTCACAGGTATCGAAACAGGAAACATCAGGATTGAATTTTCTCCAAGGCATGCAACGACAAAAATGAGAGGGGAGCAGCAGACCATTTTGGGTCTCTAACATCATCTCCATGGGCCTCGTTTGCACCGAATCCTGGCGGTATCTCTATACGCCAATGGACTACCAAAGCGCATATATTGAAAGCGCTGGCCATGGGGCCGAAGGTACCCTTTCCGACATATGTATAAGCCAATACTATTCAGCTCAATCTTCAAGTTATAATCTTACAGCCAAAAGCGGAAAGGCAGTGGACGCGAACCACCAGCGACTAAAAATGAGCGAGGTTGTGTATGGTCGGGGCTTTACAGACCTTGGTTTAAGAAATGCCTGTTCATCTTCATTCTGCGCATCCTCCTCGTCTCTCTGCTCTTTCTCAAGCCTGTCAGAGGTCTCGCCAATGGGCTCATCAAGCCCCGGATCGTTCATGGTATGGGGAGACGGGCACAACTAGGAGGTCGACAACTGCGAGGATAAAACATCGAAGTCTCGGTGGGAATCCCATAATCAGACGCGCAGTCAACCCCAGCCATTATTGTCTGGAGCTGGGTTTGGCATGTGACATCGAATATGAAGGTCGAAGTTGGAAGACGGGACGCACTTTCCGGGAAATGGCACGTGGACCAACCACTCTCCCGCATTTGGAGCCATGTTCCAATGCGATCGGAGCAGGAAAAGGCATCTAATTTGACTATATGTAAACCTGGCAGATTCCTATCATACATTCCTCCCTTCCCTTCTCCCTCTCCATCTCCCCTCTCGAGTCCTCCGAAAGGGGTTCAATAAGAGACATCGTAGTGACGTGAATGATAGTACAGATTGAGACTGAGACACCGAAACTCCTCCGCTTAGTTCCTTGCTGCATTGCTGCATTGCTGTATCATTTTCTCTTGCAAAATGTTCGTCTTCTTTCCTTGAGTCCGCAAATTACTCCCTCCACGGTTGGCTGCTGAACGACCTTGTCGGAGTCTGCCCCGTCCAAGCTCGCTGCTGTACTACTTTTCCTTCTAAGCTCATTGCGTTCCTCTTGGATTTTTTGTTGAGTCTGCTCGTCCTCCAACCCTCGTACCATAGTTCCTTGCTGGCCTCTCGAAGATCTGGTTGCCATTCTCTAAAGACAGCTTGCTTGAGCTTTGTAAAATCGCAATGCTCTGGGTTAAGTGGGTCGGCAAAGCCCCATGGGAACTTTCTACCGCCTAAAGTGGGTTCGTATGGATCCGGTGAAATGATTGAGAATGGCAGTAAGTGCTCTTCCGACGCTGGTGATGCCTCAGATGAGGATGAAGAGCCAATGCTCCCGTTCCTCGGCTTACCGGGCTTTGCAACGTTAAGGTCGGCGCTGGTAAATGATTCAGAACTTGATGGAGAGTCCAGTACTGAAGTCATTGAGAATTTATCAGCGTCCTTGCCATCGATGCCCCCGTTTGCTCTGTTCTTGTTAAGGTGATTGTCTTCGTCCCTTTCGTCAAGATCGCGTCTCTGGTCGCCTTGCTCCGTTGAGGTCTCCGATTGGTCGTCCCCACCGTCTTTATCAAGCGCCTCTAGACTATCGAGACCTGCTTGTTTCAATGATGCCCATACGGCACGTTTTAGGTGTGCCATATGCGCAGCAGTGATTGTGTCAGCTTTAGAGATGACCGGCACGACCGTCGTTTTGTCTTTTAACGCACGGAGGATATTCAGATCGAGCGCGGCGTCCAAGCCAACAGGATTTGGCTCTGGGCGTGACTTGACAAAAGAGTTTGCATTTGCTCTAGCACCATTCGCCCGCTTGGCTTTCTGATCGGCTGCCATTGTAGCATCAAGGCGTGATGGGTCAAGAAGCATAAACACACAGTGAATGTGGGTATCTCGGAAGCCTGGCGCACGAGCAACCTTACTTTCTTCCGTAAAGGTGTCTTCGAATTTACTCTCGATAAAGGCGGTCAATTCTTTAAGTTGCAGGTCAACCACATTCTTTTCGAGGCCTTCGGAGTCCCACAATGTCACACCCAGTCTTTCTCCATCAGCTTCTGTTTCAACAGAAGTTGGGGTGAAGTTTGGGAATGCAGCCTCGGACGCCGGCGGTGGGTCCTCAAACATATCACGAGTTGATTGACGTCGCTTCCATGCCGGCAAAGTGAGGGAAGACTGGAGATAGTTGATAAAGGAGCTTTTGCCGCAGCCGCGGGAGCCAAGGACAAGAATGCTGCAAGGGGTCAAATTACATCTTCAAGATCTTGGACCTTGAGAAAGCTTACTTGAAGGGGATCGGATCTTTTCTTCTCCGGATCTTCCTGGGACTATTGATGGTACTGATAGCACTGCTAGCATAACTATATCTCCCACGATTTGCCATGCTTTCACCGGCATCACCGAACCCCCCGGCGGTGTGACCTGGAATTGGAGGTACTGGTGGGACGGGGGGGACGGGCATTCCTCGATAGTAATTTGCCCCAATATTTTCCTGCGAGGTCTTTTGAGCTAATCTCTGAGGGAAAGTACCTGCTGCTCTGTTCGACATGATGGACGCTGAAACCTGTTTCGCGCCTTCTCCGCCAAAGCTTTGAATTTGAGGTTGTGACGGGACGACTGGTATACGAGGTGGGCCGGCAGGTATTTGATTCTGCATACGTTTGATCTCCTCTTCGCGCATCCTTTTCGACTCCTTCTTGCTCAGCTTCCTCTGCGGAGCGCTGCCTGTCGACGCCGACCGATCGCGCGACTTCGTGCGGCGAAGGAAATTAAAAGAACTTTTTCGGCGTAGCGATCCATTGGAGTCCAGGGTTGCATTTGTGGAGGATGTCGCATGAGACTGCTCGTGGGTTGACACGAAAGACCGAGGTACAGCCGATGTTTGCGGTGATACCGAAGACCCATTCATAATGATGTAGGAAGATTTGTGCCTGTAAAGAACAAATGGACGAATAGGCGGGTGTTTGGAAGCCTTGATACGTTGTGGATAGCGGGCTGTCACGATGGTGAGTTGCTACTTCTTGAACACGCCTGCTTTCAACTCAGGAGTCCCACTGGTTACAGGCAATCGCTAAGTGTTCAATGTGCTGTTGAAGACGCCGGGTCGGTCGCAGCATGTCTGTTTAGCGAGGCCTTTGAAGCGCAATTGGTGATGAGATTCCTAGTTGCCGTGGTTTGCTTACGGAGCCGTCAATGACGATGAGAGTAGCTGCACCGCACAAGTATGGACAAGCAAGCATTGCTTTGGTGTGCCAATTCGACATGGACCAGGGGTTTCACTTTCAACCAATCGCAGAGGTTTTAATTAAGAAGCAGCTAATGTACTAGGCGCGGGAACGGAAACCAAATGTGAGGATGATTTGATCCTTCTTGATTCGGCCTTTTACGGTCCCAATTTGGTTTGAACTCTACAGACCGCAATGGTGCTCTGAATACAAACGTCTGTTCTATTGAGATCTTTACTGATAGGCCCTGTAGGTCCATCTGTGAATTTTGCAGTTGCATCGATGCCAAAGATCTTATGCTGTCTGGGGTCCGAGTCCGGATACTGTTTATCTCCGAACTTTCCCGCAAAGCTCAACCACTTGACAGGGCTAGACCCATCGTATGCAGCAAAAGCTTGAGTTGAAGCATCAAACTGGTAGAAATAGGCGCCGAGCAGCGGATCCCACAGCGTCCCTTTGTCGCAATGATCCTCTAGCAATCCCTGGCTCCCACTGACGCCCGGTAGTGTATGATCGTGAGTGCCTGAACCGATGTCAGAATCAGCACCACCTCTTCCGAAGGACTGGAGTACTCACCTGATGTGGCATAATTCGCATGGGTTCCGTTTGCTGAGTATGCAACTGGTCGAATTCCTTGTTTCTCTACTGTGTCATACGTAAAAGCTTCTCCAAAAGAATGCTGGCTGAACCAGATCGCTTGAGGCTTTGCATCCTGAAATCGGACCATGGTATGCTCCCTAAATGACATCAGCGGTCGATTTTCTCTGTCGAAAAGGCACTCTAGGTCATATACCAATCCCCAACGTGATTTCCCACTTGCTGGCCAAAGTACACCCCACCGAAGTCGAAGGCGTAAAAGTACATGTAGAAGGCATCGACTAAACCACTTCCATGGTCGTTGACAATGACGGCACAACTAGTTGCTCCAACAGTCTTGCCGCTACCTTCAGGCCGGACTCCAAAGAGCCAGGGGGGCTTGAAGTCACATCTGTTGATGATGTGAGATAAACATTGGCTCCGTCTAGGCCATTCAACTGGTCAAGGTTGTCAAGCGTCAATGGGTTCGGCGCTCCAGCAACAACCTTAAAGTCTTTCTCTGGCTGAGTGTGGACAAGCTGGTTGCCAATATCGCTGGGATTGTATTTGTCATTGGATTCTAGCCACACAAGTGGAGCTAAAGAGACTCAGCAGATGCCAGGTGATATTGAGATGTACACAAGCCCCTACCGTAATCGCTAACGAATTTGGGGATAGTGGTCGATTGCCGGCTAGAGAGAGTCGCAGGCAGAGTCAAGACTAGACGTGGAAAGAGCAATTGAAAAGCGAATAACAGGAGGGCAACGCAGTGAAGACTTTCCATTCTGAGAGTGGGGTAGAAGGAGGGCTAGAGTGCTTATTGTACAGGAAGAACGACAATAGTATTCTGAGGAGGCTTCTGGAAACCCTTCTTATATAATTTGGCAGCCATATAATGAAGCTCCCCATGACAGAAACACGCTGGGCAAGACGCAAGGCCAATTGGCTAGGAATGGGTACAAAATTGGAAGGTAGCCTTCATAATGTAGCATACCAATAGCAACAAGCGACAACTTGTGTGACGAGGATCAGCGGACTTATTCACTCGGGACGGCTGTCAACATGCAAGCCATCATCTCGCTTTTACATATCAGAAGCCGAACGAAGTCATACATCCGACTGGTGGGAGATGCGGAGGAACCCAAAATGATGTGGTAGTGTACAGAAGCGAATCGTGCCTCATATGGGCTCCCTGATTCGTGCGTGAAGACATCGGCAGAACTAGCGGTCTGCCGCATGAACATCTGGCTGAGGGGCCATAGAATAAGGTATCTTATGCAAAGTATGATGATGATGATGATCATCGTCTTGTAGGGTCGTGTTAGCGGTTGGCAAGAACCCATGTCCCTATGTGCTCATGATCCCGTTTAATGCAACATAGAGGTCCCGGCGGATGTCTGAGATCGGCTTGTAACTCATGGAGGGCTGGCTGGTTTAGTAAAAGTATTTGCAATCACATGCCGCAGCGAGCGTACAGAGCAGGCTCATATGACACGAGGGGCTGCTCAATTACTAGTGCACTGCTATGAAAGCTCCGTGAGTACACCAGACGTTCGTTGGATCCGTTGCAGAATCTCGAAACACTAATCAAGGCGAGACCCAGGACATTTAGAAAGACTTCACGATCTCTAGCTTTGCTGAGCTCTCCATTTGAGCTCCTGAAATCTTGGCATCTTGGCTGTGCCTTTGTCGAGATGCTTCTGGGGACACCAGGACTTTCGTGTCCTTCTTGTCTGTCAAGATGGAGAGTTGAAGATGAGTCGTAGTCGGAGATGCGAAAATATGTCTTGGCGCTTAAAACGTTAGAATTAGGCCCCCCACCAGCCCCTCTCTCGTCGTTGCTGACAGAGGCACCACGAGTCTGGGAGCACAGCCTTATGGCTTTTTGATCTTGCAATTTGCACGTTCCTATATCTGACGCGTCATTGGAAGGTACCGAGGCCGTTTCGAGATGTCATTGCGAGTAGATGGTCATTCGAGGGGCAGATCCCGCTCGCCAGGACGGAAAGATGAACGCTCGAGAAGCCGCGACGCAAGAGCGCCTAGCCCAGCAGTTCAAGTCGTAATCAAGTCAGATAGCCACAAAAAGAAAGATGACAGTGATTCGGATGATAAACGGAAGAAGAAGCATAGCAAGAAGCATAAAAGCTCAGACAGCGAGTCAGATACCAAGTCGAAACATAAGAAGTCATCGAAGAAGCGTTACGAGGACAGCAGCAGCAGTAGTAGCAGCGAGTCAGACTCAAGATCGAAGAAGCATTCAAGTCGACGCCGGCGAAGCGAGTCTGAGTCCGACCACAAGAGCCGGCGAAAGACTTCGAAAAAGTACTATGATGAAAGCAGCAGTAGTGATTCAGAGTCAAGCTCGAGCTCCAGTGAGGAGGATAGAAAGCACAAACACAGCTCTTCGAAGAAGGAACACCACAAGTCCGGCAAGTCGAGCAAGTCTCACCATGAACATGATCGACGTCCCTCGCACTCGCATGAGAAGCAATACACCAGAGACACAAAAGGAGAGAAAGTTCTAGTCATGCCTGGTGCATTTGCCCCAGCGCAACAGTAAGCTTCACTCGCGACGACTTCGTGACTTGCTTACCCCATTTCAGATATGTCGTCGCTCAGCCAGCTAGCCACCAAGGGAGGGGACCGCAATATGCACAAGTAGAACCATATCAATACGCCAATGCCGAGCGAAAACTCTCATACTCTGCTCAGCCACAGGTTGTAGAAGCGAAGCCTCACAGAAGAACGTCGTCTCCGCCGTCAATGCGCCATCTTTCAATCTCAAGCGGCTCACACGGTCACTCTGGTCTCGCAGCACCGGGTTCGCACCGAGGCAGCATGTCTGGCGGCCTGCCGCCCGGAAGTCCGCTTCTCGAAGCCTATCGCGGCACATACCAATCAATTTCCCCCATGCCATCGCCCCTGATGCTTGCTTCCAAGGACGATTCTGATCTCTCGGACCTGTCGCCTCTGGACGGCGACGACTCTGACTCCGATGATTCTTTAGCTCCCCGTCTGAAACCCAAGAAAAAGAAGGTCTCTTTCTACGACCCCGAGCCCGATGCAATAGCCCTAGCCTCCGCGCTCAAACACTCCACCATCGATGCTAAACCCTTGATCAAGATCCTCCCTCACCTTTCAGACGATCATGTCCTGATGCTCCGCACGGAGTACAAGAAGCACATGAAAGCGCAAGGAAAAGGCGTCAATATAGCCAAGCACATCAAGATGAAAGTGACTGGAAACCTTGGCAAGGCGGCCTACGCAGTTGCCCTTGGTCGTTGGGAAAGCGAGGCGCATTGGGCGAACTTTTGGTATCAATCGAATAGTTCGCGCCGAGAACTGTTGATCGAGAGCTTGATGGGAAGGACCAACAGCGAGATTGTCAAGATCAAAGAAGCTTTCAGTGATCAACGGTACCACAATAGTCTGGAGAAGTGTATGCAGACTGAATTGAAGAAAGATAAATTCCGTACCGCTGTTCTGCTGGTGCTAGAAGAGAAGCGGATGAGCGAGTCTGAAAAGGTGGAAATGAGCCACGTGCGGAAAGATACAGATACTCTCTACAAGTGCTTGGCGGCGAAGGAAGGTGGGGAGACAGCGATGATCAATATAATCGTACTGCGGAGTGACAAGCATCTCGCGGAGGTGATGCGTGTCTTCGAGGCAATGTACAAGAAGAATTTTGCAAGGGAGATGATCAAGCGGAGTCAAAATCTTGTGGTAAGTGTCCTACACCCTCCCTCGAACACTTTCATATCTTTGGGACACCGTATTAAGATATCTCCAGGGTGAAACCCTCGCCCACATACTCAATGGCGTCTTGAACCGCCCTGTTCGCGACGCGCTTCTGCTTCACCAAGCCCTGGCTGAGACCTCCAAAGACCGAGCAGATCTGCTGGTCAGTCGTCTTGTACGCTACCATTGGGAACCAAAACATCTTGCACGGGTCAAGGTTGCTTACAAGCAGAAATATGGCTCTAGATTGGAGAAGGATGTTTCCAATGAGACCAAAGGAGATTTCTCGGAATTCTTACAGGAGCTTTGTCGAGCCGAGGAATGAGGACTCATGTGACGGGGAGGTGGGAATTGTAACAATGGTCGCTCCCGTGAGAAAAGAACTTATGTAAACGAATTTCTTTTCGAATTCCAAAAAATATGTCTACCACCCTCCTCCCCTCAAAACCGGCCTTGCTAGATCCCACGGTCCTTCGACCACGTTCTTATACCGTTGCAAATGGATCAAGTACCAACTACACGATCCCATGATCAGCCCATTCAACGTCGTCCATGTCACTGAACCGAGCAGCGCCCACTTCCAACCCCCTTCCGACCAGATCGGTCTTTCACTGATCGCGAGACCTAATCCAGCCCCGGCTCCGAATATCAAAGCTAATGTCAACAACCTATGCCCCTGCCAAGACATGTGCCTCAAATGCCGTCTGAACACTGGAAATAGTCCAAAAACTTCAATACTAAACATGGTCAGGCTAAACACATGCGTTGTACTTGGCAGTCGTGACGCTAACACAGTACTTGCCATCAACGCAGCATTCGTTGAGAGTGAAGCGGGGAACTTCACACCATGTACATCTCCACTGTAATCGAAGAAGAATATGTTAATGCACATCAGCCAGGTTGCCATAGCCCAGATAGAGTCGTAAGTCGTAGACTCGGTAAGGGATTTCAGAATAGGTGAGAGGCCAAGGAGAGCACAAAATATGAGGAAAGCGGATTTCATTGTGGTGAGGCGTTGTTCCTTTCGGGTGGTGTTGGGTGGTTTTATGGCGGGGACGGTGGTGAGAGCGTTCGCGAGCACATGGTCAGATAGTGCGGGAGAAATGCCTATGGAAGAGAGGGAGGTCTGGGATCGAGAGTGATGGGGAGTCCTCCGGGTGGACAAATTCGACGTTGTGAGGGTTAAGCCTAGGCCGACAGTAGTGGAATCGTTGCTGTGGCTTGAAGGAGTCGGTGCCGTGGTTGAGTTATCAGAGCTGAGAGCTGAACCATTGGTCGCGTCGCCATTTGCTTTGCTGATGCCACCGGATGATTCCATGAGAATCTTGCTTTTCTCTGCTTGACCAACCCAAGAGTCCCACAAAACCCAGCCTAAAATGGTACTGATAGTGCCCCAACCTAGGACTGAGACAGGATGGAGTCGGCCCTGGAAGATGCCGACGAAGGAGCAGACAAAAATGGCAACGGATGACACATGCTGAGCTATAACGGTAGACTCTATTACTAACGGCCAGAACTCGTATGGGCGAAGGCGAGGGTTGCGTTGTAACTGTTCCAGGAAGCCCGTAGGATCAGTATAATTGTCAGGATCTGCTCACAGAAGTCAACGGGGGATTGCAGAAGCGCGCGAGATGTACGCACAACCCGTTTGTTTGACCCATAGGAGCTTCTGCCAGGCTTTCTTTCCTTCCTTGTTCCTATTCCTAGGCCGCTTCAATCTACGCCTCGAACGCGGCCCTGCACCCCGTAAATTCGGTAGACTGGTTGTGAGAGCATGTCCATCAAAGTCAGAGAAGTGTTGAATCGAATGCTGGTGTTTTCTTGGGGGCGAATGGGTGTGAAAGGCGTCTTCAGGCGCGAGGAGGTGGGGATTTGAATAAGGCCGATGCGGCACTGGAGGTTTGTTCTCAGGACTGTAATTATGTATTATTGGGGATTGTGATATCGACTGTGTTGCCGTCATTAGAAACGCCTTGCATCGACGGCCATACTCTCAACTTAGGAGCAGTTGTTACGCTGTCAAAATGGGTCGCACTCCAAGAATTGTTACTTGATTTGATTGATTGGTTCCTAGAATTACCGAACCGGCCGCTAGAACTAGGCCAGTTATGAAACTTATGAAGCTATCTAGTTCCACCCAGTCAAAAGTCCTACAGTTCCTCACCCTCCCAAGCATGAGGTTGAACTGCTACAAGTCAGGGCCTTCAAGCCCTAACTGGCTACATTCTACGCTCCAGCGGCTGAGGAGTGCTGTCCCCTCCGTGCTTGTAGCTGGCCCCAGCGTACCTTACCTTTGCTATCCATTGGCTTTAGGTCGCACGCTAATATAAGGCATCATCTGCGGGTGAACGGGCCGCTCTAGGGCAGGATTCATCCGAGTTCGTACAGTCTTCAGCCAGCTCCTCAAGGCTGGCTCATCAATGTACTGGAGCGCAGACTCATGGACAACAAAAGAGATCGTACATCTAGTCTGTGAACATCATCACATACACAGCAGATCCAGAATCTACATTTTTCTTCAATGGAAGATCGGGTTCTTGATGGCTGTTCTTTTTCCGTCTGAGCTGAATATTTTGTATTAAGTCGTTCAGTAAGCGCTATCAAATTGGCTACACTCGAACCGGATATTTCACGTAGTGCCGTTGGATGATTTGTGCTGATAGTGAATGCAAAGCCCGACGGCGTAGGCACTGAAGAACCCGACTCAGCCACCAGCTGCGTATCTACTCTTCTCCCTCAGCTTTCTCCCATATATCCAGAGTAGTATTGGTGCTGGTATCCCCAGTCCAACTCCAACGAATCCCAACAGACTATTACCCCACCCAAAATTCAATGCGTTATACATGTAAGGCGCGAATAAGGGAAAGCCAAAGCCAGCCAGTGACCGCAAGACGGTGGTAGCAGCTAGTGCCGAAGCAGCATAGCGAGTGTAAGCGTCTACGAGGTAGGTCTGAATGCATTGATAGCAGATAATCATACCCAATGAGAAAATCGCCGCACCGATATTGGGCCCTATCCAATGAGTGTGACTCTGAGACGTCCAAGCATATATGAAAAGTCCAATAGGAACCAGACAGCTGCCAACATTCATCAACGGAATGCGGAATTCAGGCTGGCCCTCGCCATTGTTACGCCTCCGATATAGTCGATAGACGCGATCATTCAGTGGAGAAGCAACTTGAGTCCCGAGCGTAAATCCCACGCCAATAGAGATATAGTTGAGACCAGCAACTCCAAGCTCCTCGTGATAGCGGCCAGTCCAAAGAAGTGGAAAGGTAGAGAGAACGAGATACATTAGTCCATACAAAAAACTCATATAGACCGTCAAGACCTGAATGATAGGCTGTGTTGCCAACATTTTAAATGGGCGGACGAGATTTTGTCTCAGCTTACTAGCAAAGGTATGTTCAGGATGCTCGAACTCCGTCTTGAGAGCTACGTTGTCAGTTTCTTTTCGGAGCGTTTCGGCCTTCCTATGCAGTAGCGTTGGGGCATAGGTTTCCCGCAAAAAGAATAGTCCAAAAAGTTGCACGAAAGCGTCAGCAATTGAAGTGGCATAGAAAGACCAGCGCCAGCTTGCGTTTTCGGTAATGAAGCTTCCACATAAAGGGCCTATTGCAGGACCAAGCAGTGGTGCAAGGCTATAAATGGCAATCGAACGGCCCCGCTCATCGGCTCGCCAGCAGTCACTAAGCACACCTCCTCCTATCTAAAGCAAATGTCAGCTCTGGATCACTCCAAAACTCTAGGTCGGACGTGCCGATAGAGGAGCGCTGCCACCAAGACCGGATAGGAAACGGAATACAATCATTTCCACCTTGTTCGAGGCAAAACCACAGGCAAGATTGAAGACGAGGTAGAAGAGATTTGCAAGCTGAAGTACAATGACACGGCCGTATATCTCGCTTAGGGGTCCGTACAGGAGAGGTCCTATAGCGTACGCCAGGACGAAAATTGAGAGGATCAACTGCGACTCGACCTCATTCTTAATGTTGAAGTCCTTTGCCATGTCACTTAGTGATGGGGCAACCATAGAGGATGATACTGGCGATATGAACGTAAAAGAAGACACGACGAGAGTAGCGGCCCATTTGCGATGCTTGGTCCAGTTCATGGGGTTTTGGGGGTCATCCGGGCCGTCCCATGAGACCTGGGGTATAGTAAACATCTGTTGTTGTTCTTACAGGAAGCGGCTTACTATATTAGGATCCTCTTTTGACCTAGAAGTGGATCTCTTCTGTAAATTACCCGCTTCGACATCCTTCTCGGCAGGAGGGATGCCGTTGGAGTCCACCGTAATATCTACATCACCATCCGAAGAAGCGTCATCATCATCGCTGTCTAGAGATCTCGAACGTGTTTCCTTATGATAGAGGGACTGATCATCGATGTGATAGCCGGAGAAGACACGGCTTAGACTTTTGTTAGACCGTGAACGAGCGTGCGATGCTATTGGCGCAAGACGTGAGTGAGACGAGCTGTAAGACCTAGCTCCGCTGATGTCACGCTTTTCTGCCATCAATGAGCAAGAGCAAAGTCGCGGGACCAATGTGTGAAGACTTCCAGTAGGCACGATTGAAGAATAGCAACGGCAAACAACTTTCAGCGCGCCACGTTGTGGAAGAGACCCGTCTATATATAGCTTGCACCGGCTTCATGATGACGATTCTTGGACGTTGCAAAATTGGGGACTTTACCTATCAAAGTCGGGTCAATCGGCAATAGATGTTGAATGAGGTGTAGAATTAGCCTCGGAATTAAGGTAAGATCTCTCGGACCGTCGGACGGACGGTGGGATGACTTGCAGCACTGGAAAGCAATGGAGCTTACCCTGCATACCGTTCCCGTTCAATCAGCATCCGTGCGATCCACGTCCGAGAATGCACGGATGATAGTGATTCGCAGCATACAGATAGCTCTGACCGCTGCAGAGGCAACTTGCATGTTCAAGCTACCCCCATCCATCACGCCATTGGACGTGAGGGCTTAAGTATTCTATCACTATTGACCTTGCATCTATCATGCTTACGGTAATCTAATAATCTCACCGGAGTCTCCCAATCAAGCAAAGCAATTTGACCCTCGAATCATGGAAGAAGCTGTGGCAGGCGAACCACTGGAGAGGAAATTATCCGCCCTTGAAGAGCTCATACAGTCTCCTGGCCACCTCAGAGTTAATGTCCAAGGCGCGTTTATTGCGGACGAAATCAGCTGGCTAGATGGAACCCGACATGATATCAGTGATATCAGATTGCCTCGTCACACTTCTGTGGTCAGCCACGTGGCCTTGGACGTAAGTAGGCCGGGTCCCATCACTGAGACCAGCGGTGGCTCCCCACTAACAGTGGAAAGATTGGCGGTTCGCTGGCGAAACTGGTTTATTTCTCGAGGGAGCCAAATTCCAAAGAATTGGGTGGCAGGCTCAGCTTTGTCAAGTTTGAGACCGATCGAATTAATCAATGCTTCGAATTCATCAAGCAGCTCAAATCCAAGCAAACCGCGCTCAATGGCTCGAAGCCCAACGAATTGGTCATCATTGCCACTGGAGGCGGAGCTTTCAAGTACTATGACGAGATGAAAGCGATTCTCGGTCTGGAAGTGTTACGAGAAGACGAAATGGAGTGTTTGATCATGGGTCTCGATTTCTTCATTACAGAAATACCGCAGGAAGTCTTCACCTATAGCGAGGCAGATCCCATGCCATTTCAGCAGCCCCGAACTGACATCTATCCATATCTGCTGGTCAACATTGGATCAGGTGTATCTATGATTAAAGTCTCTGGTCCTAGGCAATACGAACGTATCGGTGGAACCTCTCTTGGAGGCGGTACGCTCTGGGGCTTGCTCTCATTGATGACAGGCGCAAGGACGTTCGATGATATGCTAGCTCTAGCGGATAAGGGCGATAATACCAAGGTCGACATGCTGGTAGGAGACATTTACGGCTCAGACTATAGTAAAATCGGCCTAGCGACCAATGTCATCGCGAGTAGTTTTGGGAAAGTCTTTAGGAAGAAGAGGGAGGGAGAGAAAGCAGCCGAAGATGGAAATGGTATGTCTAACGGCGACAGGGCTGACGTTGAAGGTAATGATAAGCTGGATTTGGCATTCGCTCCCGAGGATATCAGCCTAAGCTTGCTCTACACGGTAAGCAATAATATAGGTCAGATCGCATACCTCTTCTCCGAAAAACATCAGCTCGAGAACATATATTTTGGAGGCTCCTTCATTCGTGGGCATCGCCAAACCATCAACTCGCTCACATTTGCCGTGAAATTTTGGTCCGGAGGAAAGAAAAAGGCTTTTTTCCTCCGCCACGAGGGATATCTTGGATCCGTAGGCGCTTTTCTGAAAAGACAACCTAAGAACTGGGGTCGGAGAAATAGCTTCGAGGAGAGATTCGGCTCTTAGTCACTGAATTTTCGGATGAATACCCAGCTATTCGTAGGAATACATTGATAGCTGCATAGCTGCCTCATATCTTCCCATGCTCGACCTCTTCGCCGTTGCTAAACCTCCATCATCGCATCCTTCAAGTAGAGTTTTGCGAAGTCCCCCTCGCTCCCTTTGGAGCGCCAGTCTGAAATCCGTTCTTGAATTTGCGCGGAACATCCTTCATATGCCTCATTCTCCCGGTGCCGGTGGTCTTTCTCCTCTTCGCTTTGACGCTCCAGTTATCTGCAAGTGAAAGACAATGTTAGAAGCTGACATGAAATGGATGATGGTGGTCATGTCGGTCTGGCAGGATGACTTAGAGACGTACATTGCCTAATCTTAGCTGCAGGATATCCACATGATGAACAGGTGTGCTTCTGGACGTGGAGGGACCGACGACCTAACGCGCAGAGCGTTAGTGAAAAATCTTTCGGGCGCCAATGTTTACACTGCATCGATATGTGGCCACAGCCACAAATGGTTCAGCCTTACCGCATCGTCTGCACAGCGTGTGTGTCTTATTGTGACGCTTGCCAAAGGACGAGGTACCCTTTGCTGCAGATTCCACCGTCAGTCGTATCTCGGTTAGATTGGTGCTTGGAGGCCATACTCATCTTGGAATATGACTCTGTGATAAGATGTCAGCTTCTGCAAGAGATTATGAATAAAGAGGTATACTCACGTTCTCAATATCTCGTCGTTGCTGCGACGGATCGAAACACTCGTCCGTAGTGCGGATGTTTGATATTGGGACTCGCTTGCCTTGACCCTAGCGCTAAACTTTTCCTGGGAGCTTGGCTTTTTTGGCCGCCTTAAGTACGATCTTCACTCTACTTGAGAGGGCGAATTCTTTACCGCGTGCCTCTTCTGAGGCATGTGCTCCACCTGTGGTGATAGAGCGACTTTTAGCGGTGAGTGCGACTATTGCACAGCGTCGACATGGCAATTCATTACTCCCACCTCCCTTGACTAAAGCTCAATGGCTTCTCAGCCACCTATACCTCCTCTTCTATCGCCCTACCTCTCCTCCCAACCCAGTCACTCCTTAACCCTACTAACGGGCACTCTGGGCGCGACAGTCAATTGGCTCGTGTTACGCTTCCTTGCGGCGATTGCAAGCAATGCGGGCCTGTCCGATATTGAAGATACCACCGAGCAGCCTGACCGAGGTCTTAGTCCAAAAGTTATACTTATGAGCTGGCTTCGAAACCCCACTGTCTGGCAAGATGGGGGCCGAAAACTTGTGCGCCTTGATTCTCTGATGCTGCACTCTTGGGACATACAACAACTGATTATTAGGAGCATATAGCGTATCAAAACAAGTGCGATCTCCGTCATTGCGGCCTCGGACGCTGGCCTCAGCCCAGGCCCAGGCCCTCATGGCTTAGCAGATCTCGAGCACACCCTCTCCACCTCTATCGCTGAATTTAAAGCGTCCTGCTCGAACCAAAATCCGATCATCCTCATACTCGACGGGCTCGACTTCCTCCCAGCAGCCACCGCCTGCTCTGTCACCGATCTTCTCGCCATCGTCACCAGACTGCGCGAGCAAGTCGATGCCACTATCATTACGTCGAACGCCGACTCCGCGCTCTTGCACGCCCAGACATCGCCACTAGAGATCTCCCACGCGGCTTTCACATTGAGTTTGGCGCATCAGGCGAGGATGGTGATGAGTGTGCGGGAACTGGAGACAGGGGGGCGAAGGACATTAGTGGTGCGTTGAGGATCACGCGAGGGGGGCGAGGGAGGAGCATACGGGCAGCGGAAAGGGCGTGCATGAAAAAGAATATCTATATCAGGTGTACTCTGATGGTGGAGTAAGGGTTTTCGAGAAGGGAGCTTGAAGACCTTACCTTCTTAGCTTCATCTGATCAGGACAATGCATTGGCAACGCGCGCAGATATTTGAGCTCAGTCAAGTACGCCCAGTCATTCAATCACCTCCTAATACCAACCCTTGCCTCCTGAAACTCAAGCTCTCTAGATGTCAATACACCTCGAACATACGCCTCAGAATGACCCATGCTCTCTCTAGTGCTTCATTGAAGGAAATAAACATGACTCGCAAGATGTGCAGGTTCTTTTGGACTGACTGCCCTTGAAAACTATAGGAATATCTTCGCAAGCTTGCCAGCATCGATACCAACCTCAGCACTGGTGCTCTTTTTGAAGTCAATCTCTATGACATCGTTCTCTCATGAAATCTGGTAATCTGCTCAGCCAGAGTCATGCGCTGTCCAAGTCCGAGATCCACTTCCTCTTCACTCTTGTCATCCTTGTCATCCTTGTCTGTTTGAAGATCGTCCCTCTGTTTCCCTCTGACTGCGCTTCCTGCGTGGTGACTAGCAATAGTATTGATAAGATTGGATTGTCCTACCAGTGAGCCTAACCCGGTAGGCTGGTGATCTTGAGGTTGCATAGCAGGCATGAAGCTATGTTGATTTGCTTCGCTGCTTAACGCCTCGACTGACAGTAGCGAAGGCTTACTGAAATTTTGACGCCCCGACTCGATTTCTGATGAATGTGCGCGCCGAGGCATCGTCTGTGGTAGAGTCTGCGCGCTCTGAGAGACGTCTATATCGGAACGAGCATCCTTCTCTTCCATGACCTTCACTCGAGCTGAAGCTCCCAAGCTACAGGGCTCGCCGAGTTGAGTGCCCTTCTCTACCTGTAAGTGATCCGGCGGGTGTGACTTCCCAATCTTACCCAAAATATCATGAAAAATCCATGGAAAGCTCATTAATGGCATGGTCTCGACAGGAAAGTTTTTTAATGGCTGATCGTCTCCATTGATACGTTTGTTACGCATATTTTGATTGACGGCCGACGTCACTTCGTCAGCAGTCACCTTGTACATGGCAGCTACGAAAGGAGCAAGCTTCTCGAATTGCTTCCCTTCTGCCTTTTGAATGCACAAGTCTTTAAAGCCCTCCTTGAGGTTGGAAGAAACGCGACCGATCTCTTCATGGAATTTGTAATCGTTGGCGTTATTGTGTTCCATCACGAAGGTTGACCAAACTTCGAATTCGCTTTTGACGGCATGCTGTGCCATAATACGCTGAACTTGAGCATCATACTGTCGTTTAAGACTTGCTGCATCCTGCAGCGTTTGCTGGCTCAATTTGAAAGCTTGAATGATTCTTTGATCAAAAGGAGCTGAATATGCAGGCTCAAAGCCGGCTCTCTCGACTTGGTCGTATAGCTGACCCAGAACTTTGTCAGAATGGTAGATTTTTTCCGGTGGTTTTTTCTTCTCCATGAAATGAGGCCATTTTCTAGGAATAAGATCATCCGTCATAATAGCTGGTTGGCCAGTCTTCGGATAATCGACTGCCATCGAGTGAAGCGATGCAAGCTCTAGGCCTATTCACATCAGTCTTTGCTTATTCTGCACACAAAATGGGGACTCACATTTCTGATTTTTCACGCCATCTTCACAATAGTCTGCTTGTGCTAAATGTGCATGCGCAATTCTGGGCAGACTGTCATTCTTGATGTACTGAATGAAAAACGTGGTAAGATCGTCAGTAGTGATCTCGCCCACTTTTTCAGACCTTGGAGGTGCAGTATAATCCATCGGTTCATAATTCCACTCTTTTGGCAAAAGATCCGAATCCCATATTGCGATAAAGTCATCGCCATCTAGATCTCCTCCCGAACACATACTTGCAACATCTCTATGCCCTGTTTGAGGTAGTACGATGCAGTCTTTCAAATGTCGCAGCTGTGGAATATCAACCCCGCGAACGACACGAATATCTCCAGGGTGGAGTGACGGGTTCCGAGCAAGAACCATAGGACCAACGATCACTTTTGGCTTGCCTTCGGGACCCTTTGACAATTGGATAAATACTTCTGGAGTGTGTTGACCATTCTCATGAAATGGGGCATCTGGAGGTACTCGGAGGCCATCATCAAAATGTCCCCTCAGTATCGCCGTTTCGTCTACACAACCAAATAGATGAGCACCTGCGGAGATTGTGATTCGTGCTTTCTCCTTGAGGTACTTGATCGACCAGGCTCGCCACAGGCGGAGAAGCGACATGGTGAATGGTTCACGGCGGTGCTGAAAGCCATCAATAATCATGCCTGCTAGTCTCAGTGTCATCTGATTGTGATCCACATCTCTTTGGAGAATTGCGACTGCCTTGTCAGGGTCCTCCATCGCGTCATCGATTCCTCGCAACTGCTCTTGCAATCTGTTGACGAAAACATGGTCAGGGACACCAAGAGCCGAGAGTACTAGAACAATTTGACGATTAAGGTTCGCCGATGCGAATTGAGACCAACGAATTATTTCCAGCTGTTCCGACGAGGCAGCAAATTTGTATTGAGACTCGCGAATGTGTATTTGTCTACCAGACAATTCAGGCCAGACCACGAGCACACCTTTGCAGCCTCCAAACCGAATCTGGAAGACTGAAGGTGTGTCTTCAGTCTTGCGGCTAATGCCTAGCTCATCAGCAGCCTCATCTGCCAGGAAGGGTGAGATTTTGCCGACTCCATCCGTGAATAGGAAGCCATTCCGACGGATGTCGAAGATTTCGACGGGCTCGGCAACGGTGGTAACCGCCCTCGTGGTAGAGAAACACTGGCCCCATCGAGAAGCACGGAGTGCTACTGATTTAATAGTATCAAAGTGTCCCATCCAGCCCCGAATGCTCTCCAGCCTTAGATCAGCGGTAGGCGCGAAGAAGTACGCCCCATGTTCACGAAATTGAGAATTACCGAAGGCGAGGAATTGGTAGTGTCGGTGACCTACCTTGATGCCGTTCGACATGGTTCGTTTGATTCTTGTGAAGATCTCGTTCTGGGTCTCTTTGTGAGTTGAGTATATTTTCTCCTATACTTGATTAGTATAATTAGTTCTATCTCTCCACCCACGTCACTTACTCCAGGGCTCTCCTCAGTAAATCGCACGCGAATGAAGTGGTGGTTATACGCAGGATACTGTCTCAAGATGCGATTGGAAGTCTCGATAGTGGGCGTGTTGAATTTGAGGCTTGTCGGTGTGACCACAACGGAGTGGACGGGAACACAATATGATGGCACATGTCCGCTGGACCCTGGTGCAGAGATCTCGAGATCGAAAATGGACATGGGGTCAAAGATGCGCTTTCTCTGTGCTGCAGCGAGTTCTAGCAATTCTATCGCTGCAAGTTGCTTCATACTCATGAGTTTCCGTCCAAAAGCTGGTTTCAAAGTATGTTCATCAAGTATACCTTGCGAGAGGCAGACTTCAAGTTGATAGAGCACCTTGAACGGAAGAGTTTTCTGATCCTGTCCAAGACTGGGGTCACTATCAATTTGTGACTCTAGTGGATCTGTGTAATTCCAGGGGACTCGATCCAGCTTATCGATTATCGTGAGGTCAGGCGAGTTTACCAAATCAATGTTGAAGTCCTGTAAGATTTCTTGCATTTTACCGAATTGAACCTCACTCGCAGCTGTCATTTTAAAGCTCAGGCAGTACGTAGTCCAGCGACCTACCAAAGATCAGTATATTCAGGTCAGGTTCCTGCGAAGGCTGAGAACATACCTAAATCAAGCATTGGGCTGCTTTTGGTCAATGAAACAGGCATACGTCTGAGCTTCTGTCTTCCCCTGTCCGAGACCATGTCTGTTTGACGAAACCACATGTCTCGCTCAGTCCAGAGACGAGTCTTTTCATCAAAGACGACTATGCCATCAAGTTTCTTAAAAACCTTCGGTGGAGTGTCTAAGGACACGAGTAGCTTGAGTTGCTTATCAGGTGCGGGTAATGTCTGAATACTTTGCATTTGTCGGAATGGAATGGTGAATCTCAGCTTGTGGCTTGTAGGCTTTTCTTGAGACTTCCGCCCTTCGTGCAATTCGAAATCGATTTTGAGCTCTTCGAAACGCATGTTCAGACCAAATTTTAGTGGCGAATCGGCCGGTTGCATGTATCGTTTCTTACGCAGCATCACTGTAGGCGAATACATGATGCCAAACTCTATGAAGAATCCTGGTATAGCCTGTACGTACGTAAGCACTCGCCAGGTCCACAGTGACACAATTTCGATACAATGTATTCTGGATACGTCTTACAAGGATCCATTGGACTAGGGACGAAGGATACTCGGCCGGGTCCGGCTAGATGGGTTTTTATATCGAATTTGCCTTTACCAGGAACCTCTAGGGCATACCTTGGCGACTCCCAGAATGCTGTAGCGGGAGCAGGCCTGTAGCTATGAGTATATACACATTCTAGATCCTGGGACTCAATGCTTACGCAAACACGACTTTTCCAGAGATAGACTTCTGGCCCTGAAATTCCGCAAATATTTCTATGAAGGTCAAGTTTCCTTCTTTGCTAAAGCAGTCTCCAAGTTCCTTGACGGAGATGTTTCCAGGCACGTCAGAATATTTTACGGCTACTTCGAGCCAGTGTCGCCAATCCTCACGAGCTGCGTGTGTTTGGCTTTGTGTTCGAGAAGAAGGGTTAGACCAAGACTTCGGGTGATATCTGGCAGGCCTTAACTGCTGGTGAGAGGGAGGTCGTTGTGGACGCTTGCTATCCATGCGTCCGGATGTTGGTGAAGATGGCATTTGATGCTCACATTGGACGATCGACGATCTTGCGCTGTCTTTTGGTCAGACCGAATAGTAGATGTGAGAAGGCTGTGAGGATGTAAGGTTCTGTTAGCCTCAAAGTCGAAGGGTTGAAGAAAGAGACCTGACTCTGTCACGTAGGAACTATCTGCTTATTTCAGAATAGCACCAGGGTAGTGAAGAGAAAGTCATGTTATGACCTGGCTGAGCTTCAGTAGACAATGAATATTCGGAAGGAAAGAGTCATTGGTGATTCAAGAAGTAGAGGGAAGGTGATATCGCGGATTTTCGGAGTAAACACTAATGTTGTGTAAGGCAATCGACACTTCGCAGTCACTGCTTATTATCACATTAAACTCGACACCTTGCCACCCAGATTTCACGTCGCAAAGTTCTTGGGATTATCCTTAGTTTTCGGGCTGCCATCTTCATGATCATGGGGTGGCTGTGCATGCCTGATCATTAAGGAGTGAGAAAAGGCTCTGACTTGTGAAGTGTTTACCCAAAACGAACATTCACTTCTTATGCAAAACTTTCAGAACACAGTCCTACGGTGCAGCCAATGACAGCGGCAACATGCATACAGCAAACACGCTCAATGAATTTATTCATTCGCCCCGATAAAACGGCAGATAAGCAGGCTTCCAGGCAGAAAAATATCGAATACTCTGCCGAAGGCACTCTCAAATGCTTGAACACTGACCGCTTGCTATGGCGCGCATTCAATCATCCAAACTGCGTCGTCTCATCCTCAGGCAAATCTTGTGCTCGACGCCTCGGAGTCGACGTTTGCCGTTGAAGACTTCCCACAAACAGTTCGTCAGACTTGAAAGAAGCGTGGTCCGTGCCCTGCATCGGTCTCTTGTAGCAAAGTTCTGAGGCACCCAAAGAAGCGCCGGGCATCGCAACACTCCTCTTTTCATGGGATCGTAGAAGTAGAGTTGGCCTTCGATTCGCTGCAGATGCATTCTCTACCAGGGGGGTCTGCTTGAGTCGGATGAGATGCGCTTCTTTCGTGTGGGTGTTCGACAGTCGTTAGACATGGCTAGACTTCTCCGCACTGATAACAACTGTGTTTTGCTACGTTTGGGCGTGGGAGCTCCACTCCAGCTCGAACTTTCGGACTCGAACGACAATGTTGGGGACTGGGGAGCCCTCTTTGGAGCTGTGGGATTGCCACAGCCGACGACGCTCATCAATCGGCGGCTGAGATCTTGAGCCTCTGCAAATTCTCTGGCCCTTCTGTCTCGATCTTGTCGGAAAATACATATTCGTTTCTCCAGCTTAGAGGTTGCTGCGTCTTTTGCTGTCTCAGCTGCGATAATTCTCAATACCCCCTGCGCAACTTCATCTTGAAGTTTGCAGATTGCTGCATCAAAGGACGCTTTGGCTTTAGCATGATCAGCATCTTTGGCTGCGTTTCGGGTGTTAAAGCCTTCCTTCAGTTGACATATATCATTTTCAGTCGATTGAAGACGATCTTCAAGATCGGCGATAGTATTGGCACTATGCTCTGCGGCTGCTTTGGCCGCAAAGACTTCCTGTTCCTTCTCTCTCAAAAGTTCGGTCTTTGTGTCTTGTAATCCGTGAATCGCCACCTTCTGGGTCTCAGCTGTCGTTTCGGCGTCCACACAGGCTTCCTCAAGGCTTTTAATAGCCTGATCTCTACCTCTAAGCATTTCCATGTCATCATGCTTTCGATGTTCTAGATTGTCAATCTCTCTTCTGGCTTCAGCTAACATGGACTGTGTGGACTGAAGCTCGGAAAGTTGATTTTCGAACTTCTCGTCCTTGCCTTTCAGCGTCGCGAAATATACTAAATCACGTTCCCTGCTGCTTTCCATGGCGGCTTCCAGGACTAATCGAGCCTCGCTTTCCGATCTCTGGAAGTCTTCTTGCTGCTTCTGAAGCTTGCTCAAGACGTCTTGAACTTTCGTTCGACTAGACTCAAGCTGATCTGCAAGGTCTTCAGCTTTAGCATGACTGTCTTCTTGCGCCGAGGAAAGATTTCTGACTTCCTTTTCCAGCACTTGAACTTTTGCGCTAGAGTCCTGGATCGTTTTCTGCAGATTGTTGCATCTCAATTGCTCAGCGCGCAGCGGCCCTTCCACTTGGTTGCAGCGCAATTCTAGGTCGCAACAAATGTCACCGACAATGCGAACAATATGTTTGTACTGAAGATCTGAGTCCGCATCGAGCTGCTTCACCAGTGTTTTCTTCCAGTCATGGCTGACTGATCGAGCTTCCGGTGTACTTCCGACTTCATAAAGAGGAGGCACTGACTTAGAGACAGAAAGACCTCCTTCACAGAATTCGCATCGACCTCTAGGAATGGCTTGCCCTCGATGCAGTTCGACCAGCGAGCCCAAGAAAGGCAAGTAGATAGCACGGTGAGCTCGTCCTGCCAGTAAGGAAGATCTGAGGAAGAGTGCCCTTAGAGATTCCGACAGCTGGGTCAAAGTTTCGGTCACGATCACTGGACAAGCAATACCGTTCCCATCTCTTGCCATCTCGTTTCCCACGTCTCCTGCCGATGTTATGAATCCCGTCAGCAGATGCAGAAAATCGTCCGTCGGCTTTTGAGGTATCACTGCGTTCAGGAGTAATGAGTTACTGTCTATGTTGATCGCCAACGCTTTGGCAAGGTTTATTGCACAGTCCATTTCGACCAGCGAGTCAAGCGTGTTGCACGGAGCTTTTAAGATTAGATTTAATACAGCTTTTATTCCATCTGTGACTTTGCATTCCTTTACTTGACCAAAGGCTTTGGACATGCTCAGTGGGGTCAGGGAGACAAGTTGTCTTGGATGAAGATGTTCTTCGAATCTGGTGATAAGCTCTTTCGGCAGTGGTTGATCACCGATCAGGATACAGACAAAATCTAACGCTTTACTCCGGACCCCAACGTCAAGGTCGGGTTTTGTTATCTTCCTGTAGACTCTTTGTGCCTTACTTGCAGTGCCTGTCTTGTTCGCATCTCCATTACACCACGTTTCCCTTTCTCGTTCCTCGACCGTCTTCGTGATTACTATGGCGAGTTCCAGACTCTCAAGGTCAGATTCACTTGTAGATGGCGAGCTTTTGCTGCAGATGGAAAGTACCTGCAATACAAGCATGTCCAAGATTTTTGGAGCTCTCTCAGGCGCGAAGAAGCGCCGAGCTGCCTGAAAACGTTCCCGAGTCGTTGGCCTAGCATTAGCTTGCGAGGCTGAATTTGCTAATTTCCCTAAGATACCAAGACATAGTAAGTTGGCCAAATGGTCCTCAAGGTCAATTGATTTCAATACGCTTAACGCCCCGTCCTGTAGTTGGACAAGTAGGTTTACAGGCAAAGAGTCAAGGTAATCTGACCCAAGACCAGAAAGTAAGCTGTACACCGGCATAGTCTTCTGTACTGATACACTCCGTACTGCCTGGCCTACGGCTTTCTCCACCAGAGCTGGGAAGGAGGACGGAAGAGGGATATCCTTGAGTGGATCCGCTAGTATAGCAATGCATGCAGTACTGTACTGCAACATGTATAAACGTTTGCTTTCTACGGCTCAGGGAATAGGTTACCTCATCATATCCAGAGTCCGAATTGACGGCCTTTTCAAGTAAGGAGCTAAGCAGTAACGGCTTTTGCTGCATCACGCAATCCCTGAACATCGTGACAGCACCTGTAGGATTGGTAAGAAAAGGGAGAATATGCCTAGTCCTCTGCATTACTTACATAGCTTGGTCAGTATACCCAAACCATTGGGCCATCTTTCCAAGCCTTCAATTACGATCGGCACCAAACACCTGACCTTGCATTCGTTCGCACGTGCATAGCGTTTTAGTGTCCGAACATGAACACCCCCGAGAGCATCGTGCAGTCCCTGTGATTTCAATAAGTTGATATCGATCATTCGCCAGATCTGCCTTGACAGAGGTACACAGCCGCATACCTGTAAGCAAGGGACATAAGGACTCTTGATCAGGCGACTGATCTCAATAGAGAGCACCTCGATGTCTGATCTGGCCATTGAGATCCTTGATCGTCGCAAAATTTGTGTCCGGCAGAAGAACCCATCTCGCGACTGTAAATATACGGATCCCCGCTACGGTTGGAATGGCAACCATTGAGTTTGCAACGCACTCGGTTCAGCATCATCATTAATGTGGAATGCAGCCGAACCAGCCCGCCTGCTACTACAGTAGTAGTGTCTACACAGAAAGCCATGCTCAACAGGTATCAGGGATGATCGTGGGTGCTAAACGGCGGATCAAGCGGCAGCTGATCGGCGAAGCAAAGTAGGGAGCAAAATGACGCAAGAGCCGAGCATCTCAGAGCTGGCGGGTATAAGTATATAGATATTGACAATGATACAAATGTATTGTCGTGGCATTGTTGCAGGGGGCATGACTCTTTGATCCAAGAAATGATCGGTCGCCTTCATCGGCTACGTTTCTGGAGAGACATTCAAGCCCCACTTGCTATGTATGAGCGGCGGAATGGTCAATCGAGATCTAAAAGCCTATCTCAACGCCCTGTTTTGCAACACAAATGGTCTGGGAAGCAGTGTTCGGTATTGATCGGTGCTTTCGTTACTACAACAACCCTGTGGTTGGGCTACAAACCTAGGGATTCCCAACTTAAAGCTCATTCTCGTGAATTCATCGGCTCTGGTTATGGGACCGTTCATGACTATGAAAATGCAACATCTGAGATACGAAAAGCTCTCAATGAAGAAGCTGTCAGCACAGCTGAAGAAACGCGTAAAGCACATGGGAATACCGCAAGGTCATCCCACGAAACTTCTCAATTACCAACTGCTGTAGTGTATCCTAAAACTACCGAGGATGTGTGTACTATTGCTAGAATATGCCAGAAAAATAAAGTTCCCATGGTTGCGTACTCCGGTGGTTCTTCAACAGAAGGCCATTGCTCGCTACCGTACGGAGGCATCACCATCAACTTCACCCGTATGGATCGGATACTGGATCTCCATGGAGACGATATGGACGTGGTCGTCCAGCCAGGTGTGAACTGGATGGATCTTAACAATAAGATCAAAGACAGCGGCCTTTTCTTTCCTATAGACCCAGGTCCGACCGCCATGATAGGCGGCATGGTTGCAACAAACTGCTCTGGAACACATGCGGTTCGGTACGGAACCATGAAGGACTGGGTGATTAATTTGACTGTGGTGCTCGCGGACGGCACAGTCATCAAAACAAGGCGTCGTCCACGGAAATCCAGCGCTGGATACAATCTCACTACGTTGTTCGTAGGCTCCGAAGGCACCCTAGGCATGGTGACAGAAGCCACACTGAAATTGGCAGTCATACCACAAGTAACATCCGTCGCAGTCACAACGTTCCCAACAATTCATGATGCAGCGAAAGCGGCAATCAGAATTATGCGGGCTGGTGTACCTGTCGGCGCAATGGAGATCATGGATGAAGTCCAAATGTCAATCATCAATCGGGCATGCAAAAAGGGGCATCAGTGGAAAGAAGCGCCAACAATTTTCTTCAAGTTTACTGGTACTCATGCCGGGGTGAAAGACGATGCTAACATTGTCGAGTCCTTATCTAGAGCAAGCAAAGGTAGGGACTTTGAATTCGCCAGAACGCCTGAAGAGGCGGTAGCACTCTGGTCAGCGCGAAAGGAAGCGTTGTGGAGTATGCTTAGGTTGCTTAAGGACAACCAAAGATTCTGGGGCACAGACGTCGCAGTCCCACTGTCAAGGCTGCCAGATATCATCGAGGTCTCTAAGCAAGATATGGACCGATTAGGTCTTTTTGCATCTATTTTAGGTCATGTGGGTGACGGTAATTTCCATGCGAATATAATCTATGACGATTGCAGTCAGGAGGATAGAGCTAAGCTCGAGAAAAGTATGCAAGATATGATAGATCGAGCACTGGGTATGGAGGGCACCTGTAGTGGTGAGCATGGTGTTGGCCTGAAGAAAAAAGCGTACCTGAAGCAGGAACTCGATGTTGAGACAATCAACATCATGAAGCGAATCAAGATGGCGCTAGATCCTCAGTGGTTGATGAATCCTGGTAAAGTATTCGACCAACACACCATAGATACGAAGGAGCCCAAACAAGAAAGTCACACCTCCAAGGCCGAAAATAAAACCTTTCAGGGTAGCTGAATTCTCGGTTTAGAAAATTTAGAAGGATTGGTCATGACCGAGGCAGTTGTATCTCGCAATCTGAGATTATAACTTGGCTTTCACAGGTCAAAAATAGGTCGAACTGCCATATTGTCCCAATCTAATGGGGGTAATCCGGCAGTACCCTGAGCATCGTCTTCCTGAATTGATATCGACGGGAGCCCCTTTCCTTCACTAAAATGCCGGGGATGCGATTGATCCTTTTCGAGCATGACGGTGTCAGTGTCACCTTCTCCACCTTGCCTTTGGTCCTTGCGCGGTCGGCCCTGCCTTTTTTTGGGCATCATCAGCTTTGAAACACGACTTGGCTTGTCATATTCATCAGGGTGCCTCCGACGAAACCTATCTCTTACTTGATCTGGTCTATATTGGCTGAGTCGTAATGACTCATCCTGTACAATGAGCTGCCACTGGAAACCGTACACTTCGAAACCAAGATCTAGCCTAGCGTCTTCCTCGTCGGTCCAGAGTCTATATATTAGCCGGTCGTGTGTACTGTTGTCATCCGGTCGCTCTGTGAGTGTCTCTTTCGCAGCTTGAGCCCACCTCTCGGGTTTATCAGGAGGAAATAGAGTGCGAAACTTGTCCTTCAGGTCGACATAGGTTCTCCCTTCGCCAAAGTGAAATCTTGGATGATCAAGAATCTTTTTCCAATTTCCAACGCCACATAATGCCACACCCGCTTTCAGGTCATTCGTCTCTTGGTCTGTCCACCTTTTCTTGGGCCCTCTGTTATACTCACGTTTTGTTTTCCGAGTCTTGATTACTAGCCTCTCATTCTGGATCGAAGGTTTCGACCTAATTGGGGGATAGCCCGAAATGGCACCATCTTTTGTTCCTAAGGAAGATGATACCCTAATCGGCCGTGAGTGGTACTGTTCCACATGTCCTGCTGCCTGACTTGGCGTTTGTGCAAGCACAATATCCGCTATCTGCTCGTGGTCTGCAAGCTTTGATCGTTTCCTCTGATGTCCGCTCTTCGCGTATACGCGCGATGTTGCGGGCTTGATCACATTAAGTGGGACGGTGTCGTCACGGTCTGTAGGACGACTGTCGATAATTTCTGCGTGTGCTAGGGCTTCTTTTCTGCTTGTATGCAGGGCGTCGGTGCTACTTAGGCCAGTCATCCTGTAGAACGTAGCTTTACCAGTTTGAATACCGGCATGCTTGACGCGTGTACACGTTCGCCCAGAGAGCCAATGGTTAAGGTAGGCTACGGTAGGTACTGCCGGGCTTACCTAATGTCGGTCGCTGACGGCCCGCACCGCGTGGCAGTGGTGGGGATTCACGCTTTAGCTCCCCGATTCGCAAATCCTTGATACAGATCCATCCAAATTGTGACCAGCGCGATTTCTTCCGAAGCGCCATCAATCATGGCCGCAAGCCTCTCTCCCATACCTCGCGCTTTGTTCACGATCATAGAACCCATCTCTCTTCTGGCTGGCTTCTGTGGCGCTGTCTTTAACACCCTTGATTTCGTCTCTTCGTCAGTCCCGAATGAGTTCGACGGCCCCCACAGTCTCACCCCAGAAGCTCGCATGCTCGCCTTGCAGTTGGGAAATATGTTTGGTCTCGTTGGAATGGTCGGGATCGGTGTTCTTTACGCTACCAACGAGCCGAAAGTAGTTCGAAATTATTTGATAGCATGCGCGGTTGGAGATGTCGGCCACTTATTCTTCACGTATGTGGGAATGGGCTATACGAATTTTGTGGATTGGAAGGCATGGAATGCGCTTGCTTATGGAAACATCGGATTTACGCTTTTCCTGCTCATCAGTCGGGTCATTTACCTCTTGGGATGGTTGGGGCAAGATCGAGGGCCTGGGAGCAGAGGACAAGTAGATAGAAGGCGCAAATGAAAGAGCAAATGAAAGAGCAGAGGACATCGTTGGAACAGATTTACCAGGCAAACAAGCAAGGGCGTTTACGTGTTCAGACGTCAATGACGGTCGCACAATGGTGCCTGATTGCAACCATCGGTTGAGGCGCGACTGGTATCGCAAGGTGCTTAGAATCGTATTTCTGATTAGGTAATACTTCAAGTTGCAACTAGTGCCCTGCAAGCGCGTGAGCACGACGGCGGTCTCTCTCTTCAGCGATCGTAAGCTATGGCAAAGATTAGTTTGGTATGGTAGAGCTAGCATCAAGGATATGCGGTCCCGAACCTTGACGCCTTTGCCCTTGGGCAGACTGATCCACGGTTTCTCACTCCCAATCACGAAAACATTTGCCTCTCGCGTTGCGAATGAGTTGTCGACCGCATCCTTAATATGAACAATATTGAAGCCGCCATCATGACGTTCGCGGTGTGTGATGACACCGACACGACCCATGTTGCGACCTCCAGTGACCATGGAAATTACACCAGTATCGAAGCGAATGAATTCCGATATTTTGCCTGTCGATAGGTCGATTTTGACAGTGTCATTGACTTTGATGGTAGGGTCTGGATATCGTATCCTGACACCTCCTGTCAGTTTCCTTCCAGGAAAGGTCGGCCAAAACCTTGGTCCAACGACTGAAAGATGGCAGCAAACTCACGTTCGTGCATCATGCGTAACCAAGAATGGGATTCCGCCCTTGCCTAACTGGACTCTCTTGACTTTCCCCAGCTTGTATTCTGCCTCTTCCGTAGTAATGCGGTGGACGGTGAAGCGACCTTTCGTGTCATAGACAAGCCGGAAATTCTCGCCGGTCTTTTCTATCGAGATAACGTCCATGAAGCCGGCTGGGTAAGTAATATCGGTACGAACTTTGCCGTCGACCTTTATGAGGCGCTGCATGACAATCGCCTTTGTTTCGCGGCCATTCAAGGCATATTTTAGGCTAAGGGGAATGACAATTAGTCGACCTTGCTTAATGCTTGCTGAGTGTTTTCTGCGCATGAACATACCGGTTTCGTATGAACACAATCAATGGCATACAGTCTCTGAGTTTATGAGGGCCTGGAGACGGTCGAGGAGCGTAGGCACCAGACAGCTTGTCCAACAGCCAGTGCGAGGGCGCACTAAGGCGCTTTTGATGTTTTTTCCTTTTGCAAAATCACGTTAGCAGGTCTGTAGAAGCGAAGAGGCATTCCTGTATTTGAAGAAAGAGACTTACGGTCCTCGACCCATGGTGACGAGCTTGTGTGTCCAAATTGAATTACAGTAGAAAAGCGGTGGTATTGACTGGCACAAGGTGCGGATGTAACCACCGCTAAAGCTGAGCTAAGCGAGAAGACTTGGCATTGAATCACCAAAACCAGGGTCTACAGCTGAAACAACTCGAGACAAGGCTTTGGCATTTCGATCATAGTCTCTAACAAGGCCTTCCACTAGTGGGTGTCAATGTCTGACTATTCAACGGTCAATTCTCAGGAACAAAGCAAATACAATCAGCCGTGAAGGCGCCCATCATTGTAGCACGCCTATTTGCGCCTATCGCTAAAGTCGCTGGAAATGAATGAACAAGCACCATATCGTAAATCATACTCATCGCTGCCGAAACCCTTTTTTTCTTTTCTGGACGCCTTTACCAATTATTTCTGTCCCAATTTGGATCTAAATTAGGCATCAGCGATGTGATTTCTCCTTGAAATATGAAACCTTGCTGAGGCATGAGTTGCCCTGTGGAAGAGGCCTTTACCTTGCACAAAGCTCGCAAGCACCTTACTACCAGTTTGCAGTAATGGATGCCCTACCACAATCTGCAGGAATCTTTGCAGCCCCTCCCTTCGATGCTCAATCACGTCATCACTGAACCTATTGGTGAAGACTTTGCCAGGTAAAGGTGGTATCGTGACCCTTGCCGACTCTCGCTCGAGGACATCGCGGAAGTATTCAAAGTCTGAATACCGACGACGGACTGTTGAGTGCTTGAGCTTGAAAGCGGGGATATTGGTCCGGCAGACAATCTCGTAATCGGTGTACATGCTTCGCGATGTACCATGTGTTTGGGGATTTTTGACCTGTCGAGATTGAAATCTTAGCTATGGATCATTGGGAACGGTGACGCAAACTACAGAGAAAGAGGGGCACGTCTGTAATCACAACTCACTTCGATCTCAAGGAAGTTCTCTGGTGGGCCGTAAATCTCCTCAAATGTCTGTTGACGAGCATCAGGCATAGCCTGCATGATCGCGAAGGCTTAGGAGACGAAGGGACAGGCTGTAGAGTGATGGGCGCTAGAAAATCGATGAGAGGTCTTCACAAAAAGCTGATGACGAACAAGTCAGTAAAGCACTTGAAATATTTCCTCAAGGATGACTTCAAACGAACCTGCCGAGGGGTGGCGCAATTGCGTAAAAATTACAAGAGCTTCGTTTCGATCGCCTTGCCCCCGAAAATCGGTCTCAATATTACAAGTACGTGATGTAAAATGCGCATTTCTGGGGCCAGGGTAGAACGACGGAGAGCTTGAAAGAAATAGCATGTCCCTACATGACTTCTTTGCCATGCGACCAATCCAGTTGTTCGTGTTCCGTTTACCACCCGACCTCATCATTATCGTTGTCATTCGCCGCGGTCACTCTTCGACTTCTTAATCTGTGTCCCCATTCGCTCAAGGTCCCTCTTGGCCTAGCTACCGTCTTGTTTTCCTCTTCCTCTTCATCAGGCACGAGTCTTTGATCTACACTTTGTCCCATTCTTGGGCTTCCTTCGTCTTCCTCAGCACCATCGTTCCAGCTATGTATCGAGCAGGTTCCAGTCGACATGCCCCAGCCGTTCCACGAGGTAGCTAGCGCAAGATCAACCTATCATCTTGGGTACAGATGGGTCCGAGAATGTGAGTGGGACTTACCTGCAACTATCGGGGCATTAGGATGCCAGCTAGCATCCCTGACACACGTCTTCCACGAGTTTCTGTCCCGTCTGTCGTCTATATAATAATTGTTCGTCGCATCGGGGTCCCTCGGTCTCGAATCCCTCGTCGCTCTATTGACGTCTATTTTGCCTGCAAGTGTGGCGTCTATATTATACACGTAGACGCTTCCATCTTCGCTGCCAGAATAGACGTATCTTGAATTAGTGCTACCGGGTGGTGAGAAGTGACATCTTATAAGCGTTTTCAAGACGCTATGCCCTCTGAAAGTGACAAGCGAACGATCATGCGGGTGCGGGGTATACTGATCCAGGGAGTAGGTCATAAAGCGGTAGTCGAATCCTGTCGTATAACGCGCTGGATTTATGTCACGAGCCTCATGCGTCGACATCATTTTTCGGAGGTCCCACAATTTCATCGATTGGTCCTTGCCGTTGCTGAGCACATACCTTCCATCCCCCCTACTGTCAACATATGTGAGACCTTCGGTATGGCCCATAAAGACACCAGCTTCCCGGCCATCGCCGAGACTCCTTCGATCCCAGACCTTTATCAGCGTGTCGTCAGAGCCAGAATAGAGGATGTGCGGGGAGTTTTTGTCTCCAAAACACACGGCATTGACATCCTCGGAGTGCCCATTCTCTATATTGATTATTGATTGCCGCCGCTCTATGTCGTAAACACACACTGAAGGCCCAGATGTTCCAGCTACGATTTCCCTTCCATCACCAGAGAAGCGGATGGACCAAATCTGGGACATTATCAAATTATGTTTCGCTAAGGTTTAAGTGATTGAACTTACGCCAAAATGACTATAACCGTGCCAACCCTGTCTCCAACCTCGCCTTGATGCCTCCCCAGTATCAGAAAAATCTAGAAGCCAAGGTTCGCTGTGCGACCCTGGATCAGTAGGGGAAAGGCAGACCGTACTTCGAATAGAACTGTATGCTAGATAACGATTGTCTGGACTCAGAGTCGCATCGGTGATGGTCCATTGCCCGTAAGGATAGATGACTGTCTTGTAGTATTTCCACCTATATGGATTAGACGTGTCATACATGCGAACTTTGAAATCTTGAGCGCATGAGAAGAAAAAATTCCCGTCATCAGAGAATTGGCCAGAGTAGCATCTAGAGCCATAGTGAATGATTTTATCTGCCTTGGATGAGGGCAAAAGGTCCTATCTTCGTTAGAGACTTCCTATGCCGCCACTGAGATCCTTGAAACGCAGTAAACATGTGACAGACCTGAGCGACATCGCTTGCTGAAACGTTGATTTTCGGAGCGTTCAAGCCAAGCTCGCGATGCATGAGCTTATGCGCTAACCTTTGTTTTCCCTGTTCCATATTAGCGCTGTAAACTCAGGTTTGTGTGGATCCTTGTCGAACCGAGAATCTGTGAACAGGGCTGACCCCAAAAACCCCATGATCCATAAGCTTCCTTCCATCTTCATTCGGAACTTGAGGACGCTTGGCCCTCCTTACTCGCTTATCCTGGATTTTTCGCCGACTCTCCCTCTCCATGCGCTGATCTCTAACAGTCTCGTCGCTGTCAGTAAGGAACAACGGGCCAGAGTCGCCAGTCTGACGCGACGCTAGCAATTGTTGTAGTCCACGGCGTCCCAACAATTGGAATATCTGCGTGGGAACTAGTTCAGAAACAAATTAGAAGAGACAGGCTATTCTTGAAGTCACCCCTACTTGATATGCGCCGTCTACCTTCAGTTGTTGGTGCGTCTGTTGTTGACTCTTCTTCTGCCTCTGTGACTTGCATGTCCTCTATTGACTGATCTGTACTATTTGTGTTTGAAGGTTCAATTTCAACAGCATCCTCGCCGTTATCGGCGTCTAGCTCAAGATCAGCCTTTCGTTATGCTACTGTGACGTGGGCGACCATAGAAAAGCATGAAAAGACAAGGTGGAAGGACTTTCATTACCATAGAAATCTAACTCGGCTTCTTCATTCGGTTCGAAGAAATTGTTCTCCTCGCTTTCATCGGAGCCCAACTCAAAGTCAATGTCGTCATTTTCATCCTCATCGACCCATTCGCTTTCGGCTGTCGATTGATCATACGAGTTCAGCGCATGGCTATCCGGATCGGGAGAGCGACTACGTTTATCCTCAGTGGAAGCTTGAGTGGCCATAATTTCCAAAAACGTGGACAAGAGGGATTATATCATTTTGGCCCCCTTCGGTTTCGGCATCACATCGAATTGTCTTATCGATTACAAGTACGCTAGTGGAGATTTGTCAATGCCTTTTCAGTATCTCCGGCACCTGAATAGGGGGGATTAGGTAAGGTAAGGTAGGTAGCCCCGCAAAGGCTGTAAATGTCGCAAACAGCTTTACAACTTCAACATGCATTCAAAACTGCGCCAAGTCACTTGAAATTGAAAAAGTGAATTCAAAGAGAATTGAAGGACCTTAACTGAGGTTTTGATAGGGTTTTCTACTTAGAACTAATCTCGTAATGTCCATGGGAGATCGTTTTTGGCGTGGCCACCTCCCAATCCTCGGAGATTGATACCTTCCCTAGCGAACTAGCAGACCTCAGAAAGAAGTCTCATCTATGTCAGCAAGGGTGGCCTTATGTCAGTCGGGGCCATTCCTCATCCACCAGATCCACTGCAGCCTTACATGCCATGGACCGTAGTTAATTTGTCTTCTGCAGTTGATCGGACAATTTTCCTTGCTCAGAAGCACTGAAAGTGATGCGTTCGATTTTACAAAATGGAATGATTGCTCGACGTCTATCTTCATCTGTCAAAGAAGCTTTACCTTCTCCTCGACCTGTATAAAATTATAATACAATAAACCACTACGAGATTGAGTGGACATCTTTTCCGCTTTGGCTGTCGTAGCAGGAGTGGTGAGGTATATATACATTAATTTTGCATATTAGAATCGACCGCTAAAAGCCGCAAAACAAGCTCGTACCTAAAGAGTTAGCTAGTATGCTCTGGCACAAATCATAATTGGCAATACTCACATGCCAAACATGATCGCAGCGCTAGGCACAACTCGTAGCATGTGCGGAATCAAGCCACCGTATAGCGATACCATACCTTCTTCTCTATAGATTGTTCGAAAGCATTGCACAATGCCGGTGTACTTCATCTTACCACTCGCTTGAGGAGCCAGCCTCAGCCTAGTCCGAATGACCTCGTGTGGATATGTGCTGAGGGCAGCGAAAAATTTAGCTGTTCCTGCTGCCCCAATTCTGCCAATCCAGCTCACGGAATTGTCCCAAGCCGTACGCGCTCGCCCTGACGTATTAATCTTTTCATCTCGGGTGTTGACGTAGGACTTCATTTGCTCGTAGAGGACCCACTGCAAGGTGCTTTCCGTCACCCCAAGATAGCTGGCGCTAAGACCCCGGTAAAGACCTCTGATTCCTTCGGCTCGTATTGTTTGCTTGATACAATCTACCGAGTTCTTGTACTGTCTATTGGACTTGGCGCCAGCTCTCTCGGCATTGTTTTTGTCCAGTTGCAGTCTTGTTTTGACAAGCCAAATCGGATTTGTCGTCGTCCCTGTCACAATGCCGGCTGTTACTGCCGCACAAAGATGCACTAAGGGACTTTCTTTGCCGTCATTGAATTGCTGACTTATTATTCGCTTTCCGTTGCCGTATGTATAGAAATTGATCGCGCGTGCAGGCACTACGCCAATCAAGTTTGGCCCCAGTCCCTTAAACAAAGCTCGCCAGCCTTCGAGGCGATGGACGGAGAATAGAATCTGGAAAGTTTCACGGAAATGAAGAGACGCGCCTCGGGGGAGAGACAACGTGGAGGGCGATGGGATGCCTCGAGCCTCACGCGTAGCAGCAATCTGGCTTTGGTAGAAGTCTGACTGGAGACGAGTTTTGAGGACGTCAAGGGGTGATGTCAAGAAAGTGGAGGTCATTCCACCGATACTGAGGAGCTTTAGTACGATTGGATGCATTGAGGGAAAGCCGGTGGGACTCTACCCTCCCGCGACTAGATGAGCCCAAGGCCTCACCGTCGGCTTTTCAAGCTTCTTATCATCTTGGGCCCAGTTCTTGGATGGGACCTTGGCCGCAGATGCAGTCGGTGTGGGGGAACGTGATTCGTCATCGGAAATCGTGCCTTGAATCTCCAGCTTGCCCAATCTTGCAGTGGGAGATGAGAGGGTCATGAACAGCGGCCAAGACACGTTTGATTTCGATGACGGTAGGGAACACTTTTGCGAACCATTGCAATCCGTGTGTGTAGGTGAAGTAATGGCGCAAAGCAGGCAGGCACCCCGTCGGACAGTGAAAAGCTTGGCCCATAAGAAAACCCAAAAATCATGAGCCTGCGCTAGCGCTATCTTATCTGGAATTAGGGTTTGATCTCCGGAGACAACCTTGATGTGTCTCAGAAGGCCTTGATTTGGCGACTAATAAAGATCGAGACTTTTGTCCACAGCGCCCATACGATGTGTAACCAATTCGAGTCGAAGCTGTAAACAGCTGCAGATAATAAAAATAGATAGCTATCTAGATTTCCAACGAACAATCCTCTTCGTGACTCTCGATGCTCAGACTCTCCTGGGAAAAACTAGCTAGTCTTGGCGCGTGCGTTTCGCAGGGTGAGGATTGTCGTTCCCATAGCCAAATTGCCCTTGCTGGGTTTGACTAAACATGGCGTTGAAACTTCCCGCATTGCCTTGAAAGGCATTGGTACCTGAACATGCGTTAGTGTTCTTTTCGTTGCCTAACATATCATCAAGGAATTGTTTGCAGCCTGTCGGTAATTAAATTTGACAAAGCTAATGTCCCATGCCTCTCTTGGGGCCGCCTGATATAATCACAGGGCATAATAAGGAGGAAGACGGCGAAGAAAGTTTGGAACCTACCTCCCATACCCATGGCTCCCATTTGGGGCATACCCATGTTCATTCCCATTCCACCTAGATTCATGTTCATGGGCATGCCCATCATACCTCCCTCTCCCCCCGCATGCCCACCCCTCCTCTGATTCCATTCATCATACCTCCACGCCCCTGAAACCCACCATAGCTTGGCATACTTCCCATTTGTGGGAAATTACCCATGGCAGAATTTTGAAATTGGGTTGGAAATCCTGCCCGACTATAGTTAGAGCCGCCGCCGCCGCCTCGATTATTATAGCTACCGCCCCTACCGCCACGATAACCATTTGATGCGTAGGTTGATACAGCGCCAGAATTCGAGCGAGGATTGTTCGCCGAAGCAGCATTCCTCAGTGGGCCGTCTTTAGGCAGCGTCCGGAACGGGTTGTTGTAGGGATTAGAGTAGCTCACCGCAAATTTCTTCGAGTACTGTTGACCTTCCCCAAAGCTCTCGATCTTCTGCTTGACAGCAGTGGCTGCTTGAGTAGTCCGGAACGTGGCATAGACCTGACTATGGGCTTGTTAGCAAATTGAAGAATGTAATACTTTTCGTCATTAAAAATGGCTGACCCTTTGCTCTTTCCATTGACCTTGTGCTCATTGAAGGTGATATCTTCAAGCTCATCTTCGCATTGACTTTGGTTTGCCCACCCTCGAACATCATCGTCCGTTATCCACCAATGCAAGTCTGAGACGAATAGTGCGGTCGTGGCGCCCTGACCCACTGGGCGATCATCCTCTTCGCCTTCTTTTCGCTTCACACCCTGCATTTGGGGCGCTTGTCGAGGCAGCTGTACCAGGTCTGTAGATGATTGGTCTGTGCTGGCGATCCTTTGTGCAACCTCACCATTGGGAGGCTGACTTGCTATGACTGCCGTGGTTGGTGGTTCGTCACTTTGATTCGCCTTGTCGTCATGACTTTTATGTGACTCTGTTCCACCCAAAGCTGCTTCCGCGATAGCATCTAGGTCAGAAGTCTTCGCATCTTGCTTTTCGTCCAGAATAGTATCTTGTGGGTACTCTTCCCCACCGTCGCCATAAATATCAATGTCGAAGTTATCTTCTTCAGAGGCCATGCTTGCAAGGAATAGAACTTCAGATCTGAAGAGAGGATTTTTGAACCGTAAATTGTCTTACATACAATTCTTTGGGTGAGTTGTGTTCTTGAAATACAGGTCTGTTCGGCGCCATGAAGAATATCAGCTATAGGTAAAATTATATTGTTCATTGCGGACCCAGCTCATCACCATGAATACTTAAAGGCTCCAAGCACCATACAGCAGGATGCATCGACAGACACACGTACATGGAAAAGACGCCCAATACAGGGATGATAAAGCTAATGCCGTCCAAAACACCGAACAGAAGCTCCACGACCTATTCCCCTTGATGAATGAGAGTGAATGAAAAAAACTAGACCCTCTTAGTAGACAATGTTCCACAGTTGGAGTTCACTTCCTAGGTCATAGTGATTGACTGAGGCGACATGCCGAGCAACCTTTAGGCTCAATTAATTGAGTGTTTGGCGTGCTGCTCGGGAAAGGTACGGTTGTAGGCCAACAAAGGTAGAACTTTCTCGGCAGTGCACTTCGCCAATGCAAGTTCTTGCAATCGTGGCGAGGATGGTAATGAATGCGCAAAAACTTGGGCTTGGAAAGGCAGAAAAGGGTGCTGCGTCTAGTATTCTCGGGAACAAATATCTGCGCTCTTGCGCAGATTTCATACCGTCACGTTGTCCCCCAAATTCTTCAGCATCTGCAATCGTCGTTACAATTATTCAACCTACATTACCAGAAAAGCAGAGACTCATACCTGCGCAACCACATACACACGCTCAGGCTCATCCTTCAATCACTGAAGGCCTAACTCAAGCTTTCTTTCGCCCTCCAACGCTAATAGACCGTCTATCTTACCTATTCAGGAGGATGTCCGACCAATTTTCAGAGCTGCTTGAGATTCCTCGAGATTTTATACGCGACGGTACCCAATTCATGAATAGGTCGGTGCCTACTTTTAATCCTATTATTTCACATCGGGACTAATTCATCTAGGTGCACCAAGCGTAAGCAACGCCCTGTTCTGGTCCTTGTGCTTGAATCGACGGGCTTGTGAAAGACAATGAACCTAGCGATCGTCCACATGTGGGTGTGTTTCTGGAACAATGACTGATACATTCTCTCCACAGCTGATAAGAGCGAGTTTATCAAGGTACCAATCAAGCCCATGGACATTTTACCACGTTCGCTCGCAAGCACTTTTGTTGACCATCTTTTCTGTCATCTCAGATATCTCAGGCTGTCGGCGTTGGTTTTGTGGTCATGGGGGCCATCGGTTATATCGTCAAGCTTGGTGGGTCATTATTTCGAAGTATTCCGCTGCTGGTGTCTGACCCACGCATAGTACATATACCAGTCAACAACATTTTGGTAGCGTGATATATCTGTCAAAAGACGAATAAATCATGAAGGCTACGGTCTCCGGAAGGACACTCTCACCATCATTTTGGCTTCATCGATCCGATTGGTAGTCAGCGTCCCTGTGTGAAGCGGAAAGACAGCACCGTATTCCTCACTTATCTTCACCCAGCATCGAGAATGCCACGGCAATTGATCAGGCGTTATTTTCAAGCCCTCAAAAGCTGTCGGAACGCTCTCGGGGTAGAGAACAGACTTTCTGTCCGGGCAGAAACCATCAATTGTGTACATTCTGATCATGCTGGGCTTCGAAATAAGATGCCATGAACTAAGGGGATTGTTGTGGGGCTGACGCAGAGTGAAATTGAACAAGAATATTATCTTGCATATCAGCGCCATTATTCTCAAGTCATAGGCCCTCTGTTAGCACTTTATGATCGCTTACTTGAGTCTACAGCTCGTCAAATTTGATCAGGCGTTCACAGCGTGCTTTGGCTTCTGACATTCATCTTGATCTACTTTGTGATCCTTAGTGACACTCCGCACTGAACCATATCGCACGGGTCGCCTAGCTCTTGGGTACATCTACCGGCGAATACAACTTAAATGGTCGTCTCGTAAGCAATCGGAACCACTGTCTCCACTCCTGCCTTCGCGTCAATCGTTCTCGCCTCCCGTGGGCCCAAAGGCTGCCGCTTCAAATGCACATGTGTTCCCTCCTCCTTTGCCTTCTTTTTCTTCTCAGCGTTGCCCTTCACTCGATGAATAAATTCTTCCCGAGAACGCGATAGTCGAACATGCTCTATCCGGACGTTGACGCGTTTTTCAATATAACGATTGCCAACTCTTTTGTAGATGATGACACCAACAGCCGATTTAGTAACATTGTAAACAATGCCAGTCTTACCGTGGTAGACCTTGTGAGGCATTCTAGTCGAGAATTAAAAGGTCTAGTCAAGAAGCGGGAGTCCTCTAGCAAACCCTTTTTGTACGGCGCCATTGGCCTTAATGTCAACGATGTCTCCAACTCTGCAACGCGGTCAGTGGGGATTCCAAGAACATTTGGCAATAGAGGTCTCACTTATACTGTCTGAGGTAGGTCGACAATTTGATCATGCCCTTCTGCTTGAACGGCCTAGAAAAGGCATACTACTCCGCTTGTTAACCCATCCCAGTAGCTATTAAAGGAGCGTCGAGGCAGAAGTAGGATGACATACTCTCGTACCAGCACGGATGCCGTGAGAATGACCCATCTTGACAATTCTCCCCTTGTTGAAGCAAGATTCGATGGCCTTTTCTATATCCGAACGTTCTGCAAGTGCAAAAGTGTACGCTCGCTTAGCGGCTCGGGACTTGAGTTCTTCCGAAAAGCGCCGCTTTGTCTCCCACAAACCTCTACAGCCAGAACAACTCTGTGAAGGTAAGCAAGAGCAAGTTAAACCATGGCACCTCGGTCTTACAGCAAGACCTATAAGGTTCCTCGCCGCCGTGAGTCAAGTCTTCCTACCTGTGACTCGCTCACTAACGCTTTCAAAGCATTCGAGGCCGCACGTCTGTAGGTGAAATCGGCGGCTGCGACTGGCCGCTCTCAGACCAAGGCTCAAGACTGTCTGACCTTCTCAATACAGTGATTCAGAACTCAAGATTGTTGGCGAATATGGCCTACGTAACAAGCGCGAAGTGTGGCGAGTCATGCTTACCCTGTCCAAAATTCGTCGTGCGGCTCGGTAGGCTTTTGAAAGCGCTTCTTAAAAAGTTCGATTGCGCTGAGATGGCTATAGACAACTTCTTACCATGGAGGAAAAGGATCCAAAACGCCTTTTTGAGGGGAATGCTTTGATTCGTCGGCTGGTCCGTGTTGGTGTATTGGATGAATCTCGCATGAAGCTTGATTATGTGCTAGCCCTCAAGGTCGAAGATTTCTTGGAACGAAGGCTTCAAACATGTGTGTATAAGCTAGGGCTTGCCAAAAGCATTCACCACGCAAGAGTCTTGATCAGGCAACGACATATACGGTCAGTCATGGGACCCTTGAACATGGAAATCGACTGTGCTAACGAGATGTGGGTGTCAGGGTTGGGAAGCAGATTGTTAATGTGCCGTCTTTCGTTGTGCGTCTCGACTCACAGAAACACATCGATTTTGCCCTTACCTCACCATTCGGAGGAGGCCGTCCCGGAAGAGTGAGGAGAAAGAAGGCTAAGGCTGCGGAGAAGAAGGAGGGTGCGGACGGTGGTGATGAGGAAGAGGAGTAGAGTTTTACCATACGAGCGATTTCGTGAGCACAGGCAAATCTACATCATCCTGAGTAAAGGAAAGTATTAAGCCTCCCCAAAGTGAAGATAAGAAGCCATTGTATCAGGCTGAACATACATAAGTGGGTATCATTTATGATCATGGCTCATTCACGCTGAATCGCACCGGGCGCCGATGCACTGTCTTCAATCTTTCAGTGTCAGCGGCACTACCATGCAAGTAGCCCTCTCAAGATCGCAAAAGCCCATCATTCCCCAGCAAATTTGCCATCGGGTCGTTCTCAATCGCTTTTGATCTCTTGTACGCTTCCATTTCTTCCTCGGTGATTCCGCCTTTCATTTCTAGTAAAGTCCGCTTTTTAGCAAGTGCATTCAATACTTCCTCCTGCTTGGCAACTACTTGTGGTTGGTGTCCAAGCTTATCTCGATCCTTTTGCTCGAGGGAGAAATCGCCATTGCTTTTCTCAGCTCGCGCATTGCAATTCATCTCCAAAGCTTGCTTGCCCTCCTCACCAGTGCAGTAGCTATTTTTGACGGTTGAATGACAACAAGCATAACCCCATTGATATTCCGACCACCAGCTTCCCCACACAGATGCATGGTTGTTCGGATAGATGTCCTCTGGGTATTTCGATTTGGTCTCCAGCTTCGCGGCATCCTTGATCATTCCAGTCTCGTCATACTCAGCATACCTATCGTTTTCAATGACAGCCATATTGCGTAATTGAGACGGCTGCAAATATTGTTCGCCGCCATACCTATCCAACAATAACTTTCTTTGTGCTTCGCGTTTCACCGTTTTCTCTTCCTGGTCTTTCTTCCTGAGGTATTCGCCAGATGTGGGATTGGCTTGTAGGTGCAGTTTATTCTTGTCTCCCCTTTCTTGAGTTTCCCACGCATACTTCTGTGCTCGCTCAAATTCTGCTGCGTCCCCTGATGCACGCATGAAGTTGTCTTCGGCAACTAGAGCAGCAGCCTGGTCGGCTTGAGCTCCCATATCCACCATCGATCTTGTTTTAGGATCGTACTTAGCAGAGTCGAGATCGAGGTTTAGCAGATATTTTGCTGTATCTTCTCGAAGTCGCAGGTTTCTCGTAGCATTACTTTGTTGCCTGCCCATGTCAGATTCTTCAGCATATTTCGCTTCTTCCTCTTCAGACTGCTGATCCCCGTCTTCGTTGTTCGCCATCAATGCGACACCATCCCTCCTTTTTTCTCCCTTCAATTTACTCTTCAAGCTCTCGAGCACCTCAAATTCTTCCACGACATGCCGGTACTCTCCTGCATCATAGCCGTTCCACCGATCTCGTTTCGCATCCCAGTTCAGCTGAACGTCTTGCACAGATTCATCGGCTTGAATGTCTTTACCAGTCCATTTCGCACCCTTGGCACGTGGTCTGCTTAGACATTCCTTAGTTTTGTGTGTCATTGCTCCACAATTCTCACATGCGCCCTTGCGGAACTTGGTGGCCGCCGGTCCAGGCCGCTTGCCACGGTCATACCATTTAGACTGGTCAGGCGCCGAGCTCTGGAGGCGCTGATGCTCTAGATAGTCATTCTCGCTGTCTGCTGACTCTAAGTAAAATGGCTTCTTCGAGATAAAGGCCGGAATATATTCATTCTGTTCCTTTTTCGCGGGTTCTACGGCTTTGCGTGACATGATGATGGAATGGTATCTGAGTCCAAAGAGCGATCGCGTGTGAAATACTGAATCTGGCTTTCAGAAGCTCTTCTACGTGTCAAGGGCGCCGCTGCAATGGTTCTGCCTTGAGCGCCTCTTACTTCGGTGGCCAGACATTCATGTTGTGGAGTTCGCTGATCGCTTCTGTGAATGTTAGGACCCTGAATCAACACTCAGGTAGGTAACATGCCCCATGAGCTTGCATAGAGAAGTAATTAGAGCGGAATATGGTCCCCGGAGCGTGTCTTTTCTCCCAGCGGACACTCCCAGGGAGCGAGCCGGAAAGACTAGTTCTAGGTAAGCCACAATTGCCAAAGTTGCCGAGACGCGCGCCTTGCTCTTGCATGACGCGACCTCTTCCCAACACCGCTGGTGCCCTCATGGTGTACATTTGGCTTGATATCATTCGAGCAGATTCGCGCCAGCATGCTGTCTCCAAGTCCTGCCGGTGATTCGCCATGGACACTTTTCGAGTCCGGCTCAACTGCGTTGACCATTATCAAGCCGTCCCTACCACAATCGATCCAGAAGTTCCCACTGCACATGAGAAAGAAGAACATAAATCGACTGATAGACCGAAACTCCCAGTCATCAGAGTGTTTGGTGCCACCGAGACTGGCCAAAAGGTGTGCGCCCATATCCATGGCGCATTGCCTTACCTATACATCAAGTACAGCGGTAGCTTATCAGCAGATGATGGTATCTATTACCTTCAAGCTCCTGTTCGAACCGAAAATTGATGTGGGTCAGTTGAACCATATATCCATCAGCTCCGGCTATCTATCGACCTTGCGCTTGCAATCAGCTATCGGCGTAAGACGGACAATGGTACCACGAAATTCGTTGCGCACGTTAGTCTGGTCAAAGGCGTGCCATTCTACGGCTACCACGTGGGCTATGAATTCTTCCTCAAGATCTACATGCTCAATCCGCTTAATATGACTCGTCTAGCAGACCTGTTACGTCAGGGTGCTATCATGAAAAGAGCTATCCAACCCTATGAAAGTCACATGCAATATCTTGCGCAATGGATGTGCGATTACAATCTCTATGGCTGTGCGTATATTGACTGCCGGCGAGTTCATTTCCGGAGTCCGGTACCCAGCTACCTGGAAATGAATGGGACAGCGCACAAGTGGCATGACGAGGCAATCAAGCCTACCCTCATCCTGGATGATGGTTTGTTTCTAAGGCAAAGCCATTGTTCTATCGAAGTTGACGTTCATGTCGCAGACATTATGAACAGAGGCGATGTAAAGCAAAGACCTATTCATCACGATTTTATAGAAAGATTTGAACCTCTTGCAAATGACAAAAAACTAGTCCAGAGCATGGCGGGCCTTTGGCGTGACGAGACTCGAAGGCGTAAAGCTAGGATTGGTATAGTCGATCCTGGAAGCAGTCCGTTTCCAGCAGAGGTTCTTGTCTCGGTCTCCGCAGATCCCAGAAATTCCCAAGCAGGTGGGTGGATACACGAAGACGACTATTGGGAAAATGCTAGAGGCATTGTCGCTAAAGAGAAAGCTAAAGGTGATGGAAGCAAGCTTGGCTTCCGCGGATTTGTGAAGAGAGTGCCCTTTGAGACTCACGTAAGAACGGCGCTAGAAAGTGTCGAAGATCTGTTCTTCGAGAACTTGAAACGCTCACGAGATCTCGCACAAGCAACCCAGAGAAGGAGAAAGACTGGGATGGAAAAGGACTTCTACGATGTTCCGCAAGTAGATGAAAGTCGGCTGTCATCTTATACCGGCAACAATAATCCGAATGGGTCTGATGGAGACACGTCTGCGGATCACGTAGCAACGGGTGCTGAAAGCCTGCAGTCAAAGGATGACATCAGGGTGGCAGATGTGCATCATGGAGCACCGCGAACCATCGACCCTGCTGCGGTTGGCTCTTCAACAAAGAATGCCTCTTGTTCTGATACAAGCACAAAAGCGGCTGCTAGCTCTGCAGAGCTGGAGGGACTTGGTGTATATAGAGCTGGCCGCAATCCTTATCAAAGTGACACTTTTGATATAGATCAGGACTTCACAAGTGACGTCTCCGGAGGGCAGGTCGAAGACATGGCTGTAAACGGAGAGCCACTACCAAAAAAACAGAAGATAAATGTCGAAGAGCATGATAATTGCTTCAACGCCTCGAACACACACTCGAAACACCCAGTATCCGGGTTTGTAGAAACCACAGGTCCACGCCCGATTGCCAATGTAAGAGCCAAAAATCTGTCGAATAGTAGCCTCTCTGCTGGATCATTCCAAAATGACCTAATAGCAAGATGTAATCAACGTGAAAACAGCCAAGCACCAGGGCTTTCGGCGAATGGAAAGCTCGCATTTCCTATCATCAAGAACCTTCACGGAGCCTCAACTGTCCGAAAATGTTCTCAGCGAGTCAATTCTTCGTCCAAATCCTCGAAGCAATCACCAGCACAATCCACCTTTGATTTGCAGGCTGATGCACCGGCGCCGGTAAGCAATCAGCTGAGAGATGAATCGACAGCCGTGTCTGCCGCACAACCAAACAAGGCGCCACAGGTTCTTCAGCTTTGTAAGCAAATGCACCAGAGCTTGCCTATTAAAAAATCAGAGCGAGTACTATGCTTTCATCGTCTTCCAATGACCGCTTCAGAGCTTCAGGTAGATATGATGACGTCCAATACCGCTACAATTCTATACTCTGATGCATATTATGGTCGCGAAAGAGACGTTCCTGAGCGTCCCAGGGAGTATGCGGGGAAAGAATTCAAGCTCGTAGGTGACACTACTGCTTATTTACCTCATTTTGATCCTACCGGGAGTTCACTAGCTACTCACGGACTGAGATTGCCCCTGACAGTTGATAACAGCCTGGAGGGAACAATCCAGAAAAGAATTCGAAATGGGTGTAATCTGCGAGTGTGGGAGTTTAAAGAGCCTGCGCCGAGCCGTGGAGAGGTCCAGCGATGGCTCAACGACAATCAGGAGGGACTATCAGAAGCCTCGTTGAAAGCCAATGTTGGTGACAAGCATATGTCCCAATTTGGCAATCCGACTCAGAAAAACAAGCATGGCTTCAAATATTTGCAAAACCATGCTACCAGCGTTCAGCACGAAACACAGTACATGAGTACGATGAGTCTCGAAGTGCATGTAAACACACGGAGTAATCTTGTACCAAATCCCGAGCAGGATGAAATCTGTTGTGTATTCTGGAGTCTCCAGACGAATGATGAGAGCTTGATCACAGATGGTGAGAATACTCCGACAGGAGTCATAATCTTCTCACACAAAGACGATATTGCACGACAAGTCGCCCAGCAGACGCCAATCGAGGTTGAGGACGAGTCTTGTGAAATCGATCTGATAACTCGTACCGTCGATATCGTTCGCCGATTTGATCCTGATATTTTGACTGGCTTTGAAGTTCACGGAAGCTCCTGGGGTTACTTGATAGAGCGAGCAAGACGCAAATACGATTACAACCTCTGTGACGAGTTCTCGCGCGTATTGTCTGACGGTCATGGTCGTTTTGGTAAGGATGAAGACCGTTGGGGCTTCAACCACACGTCTACCATCCGTGTTACTGGGCGTCACATGATCAACATCTGGCGTGCCATGCGGGGTGAATTAAACTTGTTACAATATACAATGGAGAACATAGTATTTGAGCTCTGTCATCGACGGATACCCCACTATAGCTTCGCAGAACTGACGTCGTGGTACACTAGTGGGAAGCCACGAGATATGGCGAAAGTACTCGAGTATTTTGTCTCACGCGTTCAACTGGATCTTGAAATACTTGAACAGAATGAGCTGGTCCCGAGAACCAGTGAGCAAGCTCGGCTTCTTGGAGTCGATTTCTTCTCCGTCTTCTCGAGAGGCTCACAATTCAAAGTAGAGTCTCTCATGTTTCGAATAGCTAAACCAGAAAACTTGCTTCTTCCATCTCCCAGTCGTCAGCAGGTCGGCCAGCAAAATGCACTAGAGTGTTTGCCTCTGGTCATGGAGCCTCAGAGCGCTTTTTTCAATAGTCCGCTGTTGGTTCTGGATTTCCAGTCGCTTTATCCAAGTGTCATGATTGCTTATAACTATTGCTATTCAACATGCCTAGGCCGAGTGGTGGACTGGCGTGGGCAGAACAAAATGGGTTTCACAGACTACCACCGACAGCCAAGGTTATTGGAGCTTCTTGGAGATCAGATCAACGTAGCGCCAAATGGTATACTATACGTGAAGCCTAGGATCCGTAAATCTCTGCTAGCGAAAATGTTAAGTGAAATCCTGGAGACTCGAGTCATGGTGAAGAGTGGTATGAAGGTAGACAAGGACGATCGAACACTACAAAGGCTCCTCAACAACAGACAGCTAGCCCTCAAACTCATTGCTAACGTCACCTATGGCTATACATCTGCTTCATTTTCTGGACGAATGCCATGTTCAGAAGTAGCGGACAGCATTGTGCAGACAGGCCGGGAAACCCTCGAGAAAGCCATTGCTTTGATACACTCTGTAGGGCGCTGGGGCGCTGAAGTCGTATACGGGGATACTGACAGTCTCTTTGTCTACCTCAAAGGGCGCACCAAGGACGAGGCTTTCGACGTGGGGCAGGAAATTGCCAAAGCTGTGACCAACATGAATCCGCGCCCAATAAAACTCAAATTCGAGAAAGTGTATCATCCTTGCATTTTACTTGCCAAGAAAAGATATGTTGGCTTCAAGTATGAGAGCAAAGATCAGAAGCAGCCGGATTTCGATGCTAAAGGCATTGAGACTGTGCGGAGGGATGGCACTCCTGCAGAGCAGAAGATCGAGGAAAAGGCACTCAAGATCCTTTTTCGCACGGCAGATCTCAGCCAAGTTAAGCAGTATTTCCAGAGCCAGTGCGAGAAGGTCATGCGTGGTAAGGTCTCCATCCAGGATTTCTGTTTTGCCAAAGAGGTCAAGCTTGGTACCTACAGCGATAAAGGCCCACCCCCACCAGGAGCGTTAATAAGCACGCGAAGAATGCTGGAAGATCCTCGGGCGGAACCACAATATGGCGAAAGGGTGCCCTTCGTTGTTATCACAGGTGCACCTGGCGCGAGACTGATCGATCGATGCGTTACGCCAGAAGTGGTCTTACATGACGACAGCCACGAGCTAGACGCTGAATACTACATAAGCAAAAATCTCATCCCGCCTCTCGAACGCATTTTCAACCTTGTTGGGGCCAATGTGCGCCAGTGGTATGATGAGATGCCGAAGTACCAACGCATACGTCGAGTTGACGTGACGCCTCTGGTGAGAGGTGGCGAACAAGGCATGCTGAAAAAGACACTCGAGTCTTACCTCAGATCATCGTCTTGCCTTGTCTGTGGTACAAGGCTTGAACAAGAGGTGGGAATATGCAGTTCCTGCTTTGAAGGTGGAGAAGGGTCCCTATTCGTCGTGCAAGCTCGATTAAACAAGATTGAGACGAAAGCAAGCAACTTCGAGAAGATCTGTCGGTCGTGTGCTGGCTTAGCCTGGGGTGAAGACGTCAAATGTGACAGTAGGGACTGTCCTGTCTTCTATTCTCGTACGAAACAGATATCTCGGCTTAGAAATTCAAAAGCATTGACGTTGTCAGTCACTGAAGGCTTGCGAGGCTCGAAGGCGAACGCATTGAATTGGTAATGAGTCTCAAAGCAACTTGGGCAAGGCGCATGCATTCGGCCGAGATTTTAGATTCAGCGTGTTGTATATATCACAAACAATGAAGATCAAAATTATGTCCCCCATGTCCCGTCTTCTTACCTACTCCAATAGCCTTGTGGGATCCGAAGCTGCAGGTGCTTAAGGCTGACGACTCCGCGCCCGCCAAGTCCTGTCTCCCTGTCATCATCCATCTTTTCTCTACCGAGTGCTGAGCTCCTATGACCTTGAGAACTAATTAGCACCGCGGGTCGAAAACTCAGAGCTTCTTATCCAGAAGCAATGAGTTCCCAGGGGTTCTATCCCAAGCCTCAGTGGCCACGATGATGGGGTCACCGCTCGACCTGCTCTTTGCCTACCTCCTCGGGGGCGTCACATTTCTTCCCGCCTGCCTGGTCGTCATTCTACTCCATGCCTACCTCACGTTCCCGACACATGAAAACGTCGATGCACTATCAGCTTCAGCTCTGAATGAACTCCAGCTACCAGATGATGACGCGCGCAATCTCCTTTCAAGTCAGAACACTGAGAACCTAGCCGCCAAATTTCAGGGAACTCATGAACCTGACGTTGCGGCTGGATACTTTGCTGTGTGTCGAGAGTATGTTCCCGGTGGCGTCAATGGCAAGCCACCTGAGCGAACGACGCCTGCCGGCGCAGTTGTCGCTACAGAGAGTCCCAGTGTCTATCAGAGCATGTACAGAAGCATTTTCGACCGGAGGCAACCACCTACACTTGACTCAGGAAGGCTTAATGGAAAGGCCGTCAAGAGAGCTAGGAACGTCTTCTTCGTTGTCTTACGGCATGGGCATCTAATGTTGTACGAAGACTCGGAACAATTGGAAGTCAAGCATGTGATATCGCTTGAATATCACAATGTTAGTGTCTATGGTGGAGACGCAGAGATAGCGGAAGGGGAACTGTGGATCAAGAGGAATGCTATTCGATTGCTGCGGAAAGTCAGTATAGGGGAAGATGCCTCTAAGCCCTTTTTCTTCTTCTCGGAGAATTGTTCGGAAAAGGAGGATTTTTATTTTGCTCTACTAAAGAACCAGGAGGTAAAATCAAATGCAAGAGACAATCCACCTCGCCCGTTACAGTACGATCCAAGGCATATCATCGGTCTTGTACAAAAGCTGCACTCCTCCGAGGAGCAATTAGAAACCCGGTGGGTTAATGCCTTAGTTGGTAGATTATACCTCGCTCTGTACAAAACAGCAGTCGTAGAGGAATTCATCTACAAGAAGATCACGAAGAAAATTGCACGGGCCAAGAAACCTGCCTACTTGTCAAATATCATTCTACAAAAGATCGAAATGGGAGACAGCGCTCCTCAGATAACGCATCCTCGACTGAAAGATCTCACCATCCATGGTGATTGCTGTGTTGAGGGTGATTTGAACTACAATGGTAATTTCCGTCTTGAGATCGCAGCAACAGCTCGTTTAGACCTGGGTGCGAGGTTCAAAGCTCGTGAAGTCAACCTCGTCTTAGCTGTCGTCATTAAAAGATTCAGTGGCCACGCATTGCTGAAATTCAAACCACCGCCGAGCAATCGCATTTGGATCTCTTTTGAACGCATGCCAGACATGGAGTTAGCTATCGAGCCTATCGTGAGCTCCAGACAAATCACGTACGGCTTGATCCACCGAGCCATTGAAAGCAGAATTCGGGAGGTCGTCGCAGAGACCTTGGTTTTACCCCACTGGGACGACAGTCCTTTTATGGATTCGACTCTCCAGGCTTTCCGAGGTGGTATTTGGGCAGATCAGACATCGAATTCTGACTTGCAAAGGGATTCCACCACAATTCCAGATGAGTCTCCAGATTATGAGGCTGGTATAGACAATGACGGATCTGAGGTTCCTCCACTACAGCACCTGAACGACGAGCGAGTCATGAGCATGCCGGTCGTCTCCAATCGTCCAGGACACACACAGGCATCGAGAGAAATCACCTCTTCTCATGATCTACCCCCAGATTTCGCGGAAGTATCTACGCCGGATTTACCAAAAGGAGACAGACCTCCAAAAGCTCTTAGGTCCAATTCTTTCGCCTCGGCTGCAGATCCTTTATTGAGCAATGCCATTGCTGATTCCGTAAGGCATAGGAAGGGCAATAACAAGAAATGGAAGGAAGATGCAGCGAGTGCTATGGTTGCGATCTCCAACCGATCACGCCCCACTTCTCCAGGTGAAGCCTCGGGCCATGCTTCCCCAATTATGCAACCTTCATTGGAAGGGAAGGTAGACATTAACGACGTGCCGACCGTAGAGGAGTGTCTATCTTATGACGGTGTGCTTTCGCCAGAACGTGTCGTTAAAACCCCGGGTTCTTCCACTCCCAGGAGTTCAGGGTCAACGTCTAACGGCTCTGAGGTCGAACCAGGGGCTTCTAAACCGGAAGTGAAGCAAGCCACAGTGACTATGAACACATCTGCTAATAGAAATCAGCCGGTCGCTGCACTTGGAGCCGCGACAGCAGCTGCGAAGAAATGGGGCTGGGGAGTGCTTGCTCGAGGTGGGGATCAGAAGAACGGAGATCAGAGATTGCATATACCGCAAGCGGGAACTCCATCTAATCCAATTGGGCGCGGGCAGCCTCTGCCTCCTCCAGGTCAACCTCTGCCGTCTCCTTCTAGTCAGCGTTCCAAAACTTTGCCACCTGCAAGGCCGAAACGAAAGCCTCTGTCGTCCATTCAACCAGCGCCTAACAACGAGTTTAGGTCTCGTGCTGATTCCAAACCGCCACTGCCGGCTCGTCGGAAGCAGGCTCCCTTACCGGCGGAAGAGGCACAGGCGGAAGGGCTACTCATTGTGCAAGCTCCGTCATCGGAACCTGCCAGTCCGGTTGAAGAACATGAGAGGGCTGAGTCTTCCTCTGAAGTTGGGGGCGGCAAAAGTGCGCAAGGCCGAAATGACAAGGATGGGGTAAGAAAACGAAGCACGATGGCGGCCGGTCAACCGGCAAGTGCCATAGAGTAATTAGTGCAAGCTTCTTCCGAGAGTCTCAGCGCGTCAAAAGACTTTGCATTCAGCAAAGGCGCTGATGTGTTCAATATGTTTGCGAGACATAACAGGCCGACGGAGCCAAATGAAAGTAGAAATGTAGAACAATGATATGTCGTTAGCATGCTTGCGTTTTCAAATAGTACCTACCCCTGCACACGGAAAACTTCGCCCTTTCCTGACATTGCCCTCCATTATTGGACTTCGCCAGAAGGCTCCATCCCAGGCGGGGGATGAGAGAGCAAGGCGGAGCAAGGCGGGAATAGAAGGCGCGCCAAGACGAGTACGTACGTTCACAAGCCTTGCTCGACCTTGAGGTCCCTATATTCTTACCAGGTCAACCGCCTGCAGCTGCCTTCCAGACCTGATGACGAACGCCAACGTGTACCAAAGAGGCCCCTCTTACGCTCTGCAGCTTCAGCTTTGCTCTGCTGCTCTGCCGATCTGACATCAACCTACAGCCCCTCACGATACCATCATTCTTTCCGTTGGACCCCTACCTCTCCGTGCAGACGTATCGTCTCGGCACCCTAGAATCTTGTCAAAGTCTTAGCTGTGCAGTATGTACGGAGGCTCTAACACGCGAAATGTGGACCTGGGCAAGTATGCAACCTCCCTTCCGATACTTTAACTCAGTCACCCTCTCGAAAATTGACTGACGCTCCTCGCTAGATCCGAGAATGACCTCGCCATCAATATTCGCAAGGCCACAAGCATTGGTCAGTCGCACGCTACTTAATGGCTTTCACGGAAAATATACTGACTAACGTGGTGTTCAGAGGAGACTGCGCCAAAACGTGAATTGGTCCAGATATACAATAACAGTCGAGCGGAGCTTACGGAACGAATAGGCAAACATGTTCGCGCCTGCATTGTTTATACGTGGGACCACAAATCTTCTCAGTCTTTCTGGGCTGGCATGAAGGTGTACGTGACCTCAAGTCTCGCAGCTCTGATTGAGGTTCCGTGGCCATGGAATAGTCCGCATTACTAATTGATGTTGGTGTTGCCAGTCAGCCTATCCTCGCAGACGAAGTGCAGACGTTCAAAGCCCTGATTACCGTCCACAAAGTCCTGCAAGAGGGTCACGCTATTGCCGTGAAAGAAGCGCAGACGAATATACACTGGCTTGAAAGCCTGATGAGGAATGTAGCAGGAGATGGGCTCAGAGGTATGAACACTGCGCGTTGTGGATCGTCATTGGAGACGTGCAGTCTGGCTATCCCTACGAACTTCCTGCGCCTGACAATCTACTAGGCTATGGACCCCTCATCCGAGACTATGTATACTTCCTGCTCGCTAAGTTGGCCTTTCACCGCCAACATCCTGAGTTCAACGGTACCGTCCCTCTCCGACCAAATGCCTCATGGGAAGTATGTTGATTTGAGTAAAGGACTCTTCGAATATGAAGAGTACATTAGCCTCAAATCTATCAATGATCCTAACGAAGGGTGTGCATCGCCCTCATCTTGAGTGGAACGAGCTCACACGGTATAGGTACGAAACCATTACGGACTTGATGACCTTGCAGGACCAAATAGATACATTCCAAAAACTCATTTTTGCACATTTCAGAGGCGGTGCCAATAACGAATGCAGAATATCGGCATTGGTTCCGCTTGTTCAGGAAAGCTATGGGATTTACAAATTCATCACCAGCATGCTGCGAGCTATGCACACAAGTATATGCATTGTTACCTGGTGAACTCTCTAGAAGCTAACATCTTGAAGCCACAGGTGATGAAGAGGCTCTGGAGCCTCTTCGAGGCAGATACGACACGCAACATTACCGTTTACTCAAGTTTTACTACGAGTGTTCCAACCTACGCTACTTAACGAGCCTCATCACTGTACCCAAGCTTCCTCAAGAGCCTCCTAACCTCCTTTCCGAAGATGATGAGAATAAACCAGCGTTACCGCGACGACCAACAAGAGACCTTGAAAGGAAAGAGGAGCTGGCACCAACACCTCCGCCTCCCGTCTCAGCACCGGACCCGGAGCCTATCAATGAGTTTTGGAAGACCGAACAGCGGCGACAACAAGAGGAGTTTGACACAGAACAACGGAGGCTGCAAGATCAGTGGAACCAGCAGCAGTACCAACAACAGATTGCCCAACAGCAAGCGGAGCGGGATTTTGCGGAACAGCGGCGGTTGCAGGAAGAGCAACAACGTCTTGCCCAGGAGCAGCTGATGCGAGAACAGTATCAAGCCCACACGCAGGGCCGTATGGCAGAGCTAGAACGTGAAAATCTTAATGCCAGGGCCCAATACGAACGTGACCAACTGATGCTGGAGCAGTACGATCGTCGGATGAAAGACCTTGAGAGTCAATTGAACCAGTTGAACACCAACTTCTCTCAACAAACGGCATCTAAAGACGATCAGATACAGGCATTACAGGAACAAGTCAACACATGGCGATCAAAGTATGAAGCTTTGGCTAAGCTTTATTCACAGCTACGGCAGGAGCATTTAGACCTTCTACAAAAGTTCAAGGGCGTGCAACTGAAGGCGGCTTCAGCGCAAGAAGCCATCGACAAACGCGAAAAGCTCGAACGAGAGGTCAAGACCAAAAATTTGGAGCTTGCGGACATGATCCGCGAGAGAGATAGAGCCCTACATGAAAAGGATCGAGTCACAGGCGGGAATAGGGAGGAAGTCGAGAAGCTGAATCGAGAGCTTCGCTACGCGCTGGAAAAGGCTGAGAATGCCGACCGTGCCAAAGGATCCGAACTCTCTTCGATGCTCTCGAAGTACAATAGAGAAATGGCTGATCTTGAAGAGGCTCTTCGCAAAAAGAGTCGGGCACTCGAAGATATGCAATCAAGAATTGGTGAGCGGGATGGCGACTTAGAGCGTAGTCTGCGTGACAAGGAAGAAGAACTCGAGATCTATAAATCGGGAATGGATCAAACTCTGCTAGAATTGAATGAACTCAAAATGAATAACGGCGACAACGACAGAGCGCTTGATGATCAGATAGACCAAGCGCTCTTGGGTAACATACAGAAGCTGAATGATATCATCGATTCAGTATTACTAAGTGGCGTTCAGAGGGTGGACGATTCGCTCTACGAGCTGGATTCAACAATGCAGGCTGGGAATCAGAATGCCTCTGCGCCATACGTCTTGTCACAAATTGAGAAAGCCTCCGCCAGCGCCACCGAATTCTCCACTGCCTTCAACAATTTCATCGCTGACGGCCCAAACAGCCCTCATGCTAACATCATCCGTACCATCAATACCTTCTCGGGGTCGATAGCGGACGTCCTGAGTAACACCAAAGGCCTCACACGATTTGCTACAGAAGAAAAGAAAGCAGACCAGCTTATGAACGGTGCTCGACAATCTGCGCAATCGACCGTAAAGTTTTTCCGTGGACTGCAATCATTTCGTCTCGAGGGATTAGAGCCTATCCAGCGCACTGATGTGGTCATCAACAACAATCATGAGGTTCTCATGAATCTTCAGAAGCTTTCCAAACTTGCGGACGCCTTCGCACCGAAATCTGACAAATTATCGAATATCAAAGGCGACCTGGGAGACCTTGTAGATCGGGAGATGACCAATGCGGCTAAGGCTATAGATGCTGCTACAGAACGTTTAACCAAGCTTATGAAGAAACCTCGGGATGGTTACAGCACCTATGAGCTTCGCATCCACGACAGCATCCTTGAAGCTGCCGTTGCTGTCACTAACGCTATTGCCCAACTCATCAAAGCAGCAACGGCCTCACAACAAGAAATTGTGAAAGAGGGACGAGGCTCATCATCCCGCGCCGCATTCTATAAGAAGAACAACCGATGGACTGAGGGTCTCATTTCAGCTGCAAAGGCTGTTGCCTCCTCAACTAATACGCTAATCGAAACAGCGGATGGTGTCATCTCTCAACGCAACAGTCCCGAACAGCTGATTGTCGCCAGCAACGATGTAGCTGCTTCGACCGCACAGCTTGTCGCTGCCAGCAGAGTCAAAGCTCATTTTGGAAGTCAGACCCAGGATCGACTAGAGGAGGCGAGTAAGGCTGTGGGCAGAGCTTGCCGGAGCTTGGTCAAACAGGTGCAGAATATCATTTCACAAAGGAACAAGGATGAGGGTGAAGAGGTCGATTATGCTTCGCTCAGTGGGCATGAATTCAAAGTCAGGGAGATGGAACAGCAGGTATGTACCCTTGTCTAATACGGTTTAGCTGAACACTCACACAGTATTCAATAGGTTGAGATACTGCAACTTGAGAATAATCTAGCACAGGCGCGGCAGAGATTGGGCGAAATGAGGAAAATATCGTATCAGGAGGAGTGAAGAGCTATGTCCATGCATAGGTTAAGTCATTTCAATTATCCTAAACCTGCTTATTTCTTTCATGACGAATCCGTCAACAAAAGCAAAAAATTGTACTAATACATCGGGGTGGACAAAAGACTCGAGCGTCGGTACGTCTAAGTCAATTTGCATGTAAGACCCGCTGTAAGTTGAACGTGCACAAGAATGGGGTTATTAAATTTTTATTTTTTTCGGGGTTTCTGTCTACTTCTGTTTCATGTGTTGTGTGCTATGTAAGTTCATCTCGCTGAAAGTCAGTGATTATGTGACTTTTATGACTAGTACCAAGTTCCAACTTCCTCCTCTTTCCGGTTGCTTTCCGGTTCCACCGCACGTATCGCATGTACCGCAAACAAGATAGAGAGACAAGTTGGTGACAAGAAATTCATTAAGCTGAAAATCGATTGCTAGTGCCGCATATGAACGACGTCCGTCTGTCAAGTCAGCCTCCGTCGTTGTTCGAGCGAGTTTGCGACGTCCCGATTGTTTGGCTTTGGTCGAACTTTGAAAAGCATAAGAAGAGATTGATAACTTTGTGGAAATGTGAAAACTGCTTGTTGAATCGTTTTGTCAATGGTGTGTGGTGAACTTAGGCATCGAGCTCCTTGAACTCTGCAATGGATGCGACAGGATGCGCGAGTATCAAGCCGCCGTTAATGTTGAGAAAGATGTCGTCGAAGATTTCCGTCATCTGTGTTCAGTGATTGATCGTGGTCAATTTCTTAAGTTGCCATTTATTCACGATCATAGACTGAGCAAAGTTTTGAAGTATTCGCATCGAGAACGCCAGGTCTCAAAGTTTGAAGGTCCACTCGCCCGAGATCGAGCCAAAGGTGGCATCCGGCCCGTCGTATATGAAATCACTCATTTGATGGGCATTGAACGGATCGTTTTCAAACGGGTTGTAAATGCCTCCAATGTCGGTGCCGTTGCATTGCTCGTTGTTCAACCAAAACGCAGGATCGAACATGCGATTCGCGTCTGTTGGCGAGGTACACGCAGCGGGCTGAACTCGGGGCCGATGTTGTCGCTGACTGACAGAGTAGGGTGATAAGTTCGTGCTGTTCATAGCTTGATTGATGCGGCCATGACTTGTTCCACGAACGCCAGAATTTGGTAGTAGGGAGAATTCATACTTGGGACGCTTCTTCATTGACTTCTTTGTCGCTTGCTTTGACAAATCACTCGTATTTGATTTGTTGACAGGAGACTGAGATGCGTTGTCCACGGAAGCAATTCTTGGGATCTCGGGTGCGGCTTGAGCCTCAATCGTTTGGCTTCCGGTAGCATCTGAAGAGGATGGGCGAGCTCCAGGATGGCTCAACCCCAGCATTATGCCCGCACACAGATTGTTGGTTGAGTCGACGATACAGGGCAGTTCTATTGCAGTATACCCTTGATGAAAAGCTTCATCAAGGAGTTCTTGAATCGTCACTCGAGTCCGAAGTCCACAATGACGAAGTGTGTTAGACGCCACCTGTTTGAGTTCCTGATCGTCGTGGTCGAATTCATATCCTAGACCAGTGACGTATGCACTCGGTTCTGGAAGGCGAACCAAAGTGGTGATAATTTTGAGAAAATTGCGCAGTGGCGAGAGGTCTTTGCCTTGGGCGTCGCGGATCATAGAATACGATTTTGCGATAGCATACCACATCTTCTGATCATCGACTGCCCAAAGTCGGGTCAACCAGCCTGACCGGGCTTTCTGGGTATGTTCTGGGAATGCTTCAGACACGAAGACTAATTTTTTGTCAGCTATCTGCTACCGCTTAGCCCTTTAGATTTACCTCTGAAGGCTATGAAAGCGTTTAGTGGTCGTTTCGGTTTTACATGGACTGTGACATCGGACTGCTTCGCTTTGTCCTTTTTCTTTGTCACAGTAAGAGACGAAGCTTCACGAGGCATAGAAAGATCCTGCGTTTGCACTTGTTGCAAAAGCGTTTGCGCCTGCTGGGGCGATAGATTGCTGATGAAAGACATTGTGGTAGGTGAGAGAACCATCTTGTGGTGATCAAGAACAGCAGGGAAATTGAGATTGTATCCAAGACTCTTTATGTACGTGTCGGATCGTGTTTGACGGATGATATGGATGGATAAATTGATGAAGCAAAGTGAAATCTGTGAATATTTGGAATGAGTGGAAGTGTGAAGTCGATGTCTCAGAACCTAGGAACGAAAAAGGAAAGGCAGCAAAATGGGGTGGTTGGTGTTTACTTCAAATTTTGGGTTAACACTCCAAAACACAAACGAAAATGAGGAGGCTGGTGTTGCTCGAGTGTCGTTCACTGCTGGAACAATGAAAAACCAGTGGGGCTGAGACAAATCACAAAGAACCATGCATCACTTCATTTAAACTCCTAAATGTACCTAGGCTCTGTCTCCTTTATCCCTTTTCTTAGCTTGTATTTATCATATTTCTCACGAATTACAAAGAACATTGGATTTCTCCATCTTGCACCTGGCGGAGGATCCTCCGCTTCGGCGCTTTCTGCATAGATAGTCGCTAGAGATCTGATGAGCAAGATAGCATTCAATAGAACATCCTGTAGACTCACTGATGTCTTCATTGAGATCCTCAAGCCTAGCGGGTGGAAGCGTTCGAGCTGTAATATGGTGTATGCCCTGATGATCCATTAGCGTAATGTTGAAATCTTTCTCTTCAATTTTCATCTCTTACGAAATCTAATTCATCTGTCAATGTGTACGTCTGTGCACTGTCAGTAGATGTAGGTTGAGGCAAAGGACCAATCTTACAGGTTCAAAGGACCGAAGATTTCCCCCAGGACCCAGCGGTCTAGGCTTCATCCTTTCTGGAAATTTCTACGAAGACTTAGAATTGATTACATTTCGAATTGAAGAATACTCGCCAGAGCGTGCGATGCTTCTCCCCGCTTGATGCGCTCCTGAAGTCACAATTAGCATCTCAAAGGGGTGAGCATATCAGGAAGACAACATTTATTATCCCTTGGACAATTGACTTATTTTCCGCATTGATTGTATTCATCAATCGGAGGCCAGCCATAGGCATTAATTGTAGGCTTGCCAAAGGCTCTCGAGAAAACGTAGCCCCAAATCCAGGCGCCTTGTTGTGCAAATATTGTTCCCAGTCTTGACGGGAAGGATCACTTTCCTTAGGTTGCTCAAGGCGCTCGTGAAATGCCTTAGCAGCATCAAGTATATCGTGACGATCATCTTCGTCGTAAATTAGGCTGCTGATATCTGTCTCTCCCAAGGGAAGGGTGAAGTTATGTATATGGCGCCAGAATTCATCCTTGATTTGGATATCTGGAAAGAGATCTGGGTGGTTACTCAGTCTCTCAAGCTGCTTAAATGTCTCGATTAGATCAGCTAAGCATAGATTTTCGATATCATGGTCTTTTCTAAGCACTAGTGTGGATTTCACGCTATTAAGACGATTCTTGATAGTGAGGAGATGTCTTATACTGCAGAAGATTGTACACTCAGATTGTGCAACTAACGATCGTGAGTTTCTTTTTGACCTGAACAGCGTCGTTAAAACATACCCTTTGCCTTTCCTATGACATCCCAGCTATCAACATATTCCATGTAAAGTACATCTTCAAGGGTGAAGTATCCGAGAGCTTCAAAGAAGTCCTTCTCGTTCTGGTTGAGTTTCCTGTTAAGCCAGTCGGTATGGCCATCCCATGATAGCACAAAATTATCGAAAAGGCTCAGGAGCCTGCTTGGATCCATTGCGCTCATGTCGGTGATTGGGTAGAGTTCATTTCAGGAAGAAGATTTCGGAGTTGACAAGTCGTGTCGAATCGCTCAGTGTCGGCAACAACACTTGAATTTGTCAGGTGACCAACTCAGATTGTGAATCAGGAGACGAAACTGAAACCACGCGTAAATGTACTTGAAGTTAGGACCATAAGGCTTTGGCTTGTCAATGTGTCACTCAAATTAAATGACGCAGTGAAGTAGTAGCTCATCGCATGCCACGGACATTATCTTCAGATCTAGTCCTGACATAAACAATGATCTTAATTTGTGTACTCCGAGCTATCTGCTCGAGAAATCCCTCCTAAGCGTGTTCAATGGTGTATTTCCGCACTTTCTCTTAGAACTAGCCGGCGCCGCTAGCCTGAATGTTCCAGTCACTGCACCAGATGAACGTTTGACATCGCCATTGTGTGTTCTTTTCCTTTGCACCTGACGGGCCTAAGGGTCGAGGACAGATCCAGAACGAACGGCCAAGGTTCCTGCCTGGCTTTTTCGTTAGAAGGGTAATGCACGGCTCGCTGTGACCTTCGCATCGAGGTGCTACCGGTTTGGTGAATAATTTTGACCAAGATTCTTTGTTCTCGATTGGATCATGTATAGGATGGCAACTATTAGTAGGTGAAAGTGTTCGTGGAGGTGCAATAATTGGATCTGAATTGCCCCCCTTACGAGACCGAATTTGGGTCTGGGCGGCCTCAGAAGACACCAGCGGTGCGTTAATGGTGTTTTGAGGCTTCAGATTACTCCTAGTGGGAGACATACCTTTGTCCAAAGGCTCTGGAGTGTCATGGCTTGATTGTGTTCGAGAAGCTTGTGGGCTATTTTCATTTTTCAAAAATCCTTTCAGGCTTTGCTGACCCGTGCTACCTTGGGCTTTAGCTATTGCATTATTTGATGTTTTGAATCGTTTGTTCAATGCGCCAGACTCTGATTCCCGTTTTCTTCTGGTCTGGACGGGCATAGGCACTCGCCGTGAGCTACTAAGATTTATATCATGTGTGCTTGAAATTTTTGACGTCTCTATCCCTGGAATCCTACCGATGTCAGAGTTACTGTCCTCTTTGGTTAGCGGGGCTGGCGTTTTACGAGAGAACATATCCCGTATATTCCGACGGCCTGAGAACTCAGGGATAAGTCGGCCGGATGTGGGTAACAGATCCTTGTTACTCGCATATTCTCGCTGTCGTTTCCCATCCAGAAACATGCCAGGCGGATTCATGACGTCTTTGGTGACTATCGAGTGACCGTCTATGTCAATAGTATCGTTCATGATTGCATAGACCGGGCAGTGGTCTGATCCCTGTTCACGCTCAGCATCGTAGCTTGCAACGCTCGTGGGTGACATACCATGAGACCCTCCTGAATATTCGATTCACGGAACCAAGTCTTCATCACTAAACTACACAAGACGTAGTCGATCCTAGCTCCACAATTGGCTGGTCTAGCGTTGACCTTTTGCTCCCAGCAAGTAAACATGCCCTTGCGATTAGGATGAAATACGCGACAAATGTCATGAAGAATCGGAGAGTCTCGTCCTTCATCCCGATCGCCATAGACCCTTCCCCCTTCTAGCAGCTGGCTGAGCAGACGCCGCGAAGGGGTAGAGATATACTCAACATTCGATAATCCTTGTTTGCGCATGGATGCTTCAGCATTTGCGGTGTCAAGCTCTTCTCTCGAAATGTTCAAGTCTCCTGTCAGAAAGATACGTCTCCCCATCGCGTTTAAATTCCGCACCCGTGCATCGAGAGCCTCCAGAAAACCTAGTCGAAAGTCGTCCCTTGTCCCATCACTGTTCGCAGGACAGTACACACCAATGAGAACAAAGGCTTTAAACTCAAGTATTACTGCCCGACCTTCCGCGTCAAGAGCAGCCAGATCTACGGCAGACCTTGAGAGCTGAGCCATAGAAGGGTAGCCGCCGATCTGCTCGTTTGCTTGCAGCTGCGAGAAGGGCGTCGACGAGTTCGGAGGACAGAGACTACCAGTGATTCCCTCTTCAGCCTTGACAGGCGCACAAGCGGACTGGCGGGTGTAAATGACAACACCCGAGTATCCTTACAAAAATGTCAGCGTCGCCAAGCCAATGAGTCAATTTATTGTCACGAGCCTTTCTTATATCGCGGTAGGCTGAAAAAGCAATCCCACCCAGATACAAGTACCATGTCATCCGTCAGATCTTTCTGCTGGATCTTGGTCTCTTGTAATACGACAATGTCGGCTTCGAGTATGTCGAACATCGCCTGCGTTCGTTAAGCCTAATAAAAGCACGCAGTAGATCGGTTCGAACAACGAACCACAAAGGAGCGCTGGTTTCGCCATGGTTGGTAGCCAAATGGATTCCTGATGCCATTGACTGAGTCCAGATTAATAGTGTACCACAGCCAGTGTCAATGTCCTCTTCCTACCATTCCAAGTTGTGATTCGCAAACCCATGACGACTTGAGGTAGTCAGCTGCATAGTCCATATAGATAAACCACAGAATAGTAAGGGTCTACTGCCATCCAACGATAGTCTTCCAGCAGATGCAGCCCTCAACAATGTATGTGCATATCGAAAAGAAAAGAATTCATACGGTAAGGTACGCCACTAATGCTACGGGCCGCTCCGCTGCACAGCATACATGGTACTAAGGCTACAACCCGCCCAGAATCACAGATTTCGTTACCATGGCATAGTTCTTGCTCTATAAGAGCACAAGAGAAACATGGGGTCTTAAATAGCACCCAAACTTGCGATTGGAGGGTTTTTGTGTTTGAGTCTTTCTTAAAAGAGCAATTATTTTTGTAGCTTTGCTGTCCAAGAGGTTTGGGGTGCGCTAGTAGGTACCTAGACTAGCTGATGCATCCCGGCTAACCTAACTTGGTCTCGGACTTCACTACTTCATCTCTCTGTGCTCCTCAGATTTTGTTGTCGATATGGCGTCCAGACCGTTCGCTATGCGTATGCGTCCTGCTATTACTCCTCACAGACCTCCTCTTACCCTTTGTAAGACTTCCCCACGACGTTCTGCCAGTACCGAGCCACCGAAGCTCGTAGGACCCCAGGACAACGCTTTCAATAGGGAGCGTATAGCAGTGAAGCAACACGCGGGACAATCTGCGGGTAAGGCTCTGTGATCTCTGGAGACGATATCATCGCGCTGAATAGTACACTTCTAGATCTTTGGCGGAAGCTCTGCATCTAGTACTTCAGACCTGAAAGATGGCATACGTGAAATGCTAAAGCTTCACAGTGTTGTTGTACCCGCCATTATCCTTGCTAGTATAAATGCGAAGAACCTGTGGGATGAGCATTGGGAGCATTGGGAACACGAACCTCCACTGGAAGATCGTGTGCAGTATCCATACATGAATATTCGAACCAAGGCCTATCCGTGGGGCAATGGGGACAAGGTCAGTAATTTTGGATTCGGAATTCCGTTATTTTAAATAGACTTTATGATTGACTAACGGGTCTCAGACACTATTGTAAGTTGTAAGAATTCTATTATCGCAATATTGCGCACACTCCACCTCACTATCTGCACAATCGAGCTTGATATGGCCGTGTTCTGCTGTATACATTGTGGACAGAAATTAACCTACGCTACAGTTGGAATGACAAAGTGAATTATCATAACAAGGATGCCTGAGAGCGAAGGACGGCGCTGAAGGCAATAAGAGAGACGTTCACGTGCTCGACCGAATATTTTGTCTGACGCGGGCAGTACTAGTGGCTAATTTTCATTGAGCCTTAATCAATTGTCCACAATATTTGTGTCTCATTTCTATGGAAGTCCTTTCACTAGTTGACATTACATACAAGCTGCTATACGTAGCTTTGATTCTTGGCTCCCTTTTTGATAGCAAGATACTGCGACGCGCAATCATTCGCCAACATGGGGTCCTCGTTGAAGTTCATGATAGTAGCCTTCTTCGCTAGCAGTCTACACTGCATTTTCACGTCATTGACTTTCGAATACTCGTCAAATGCTCTGTCTAAATTTTCCAGTCCTCTCGAAAGCTGCTCCTTGCGGATTTTTGTGGAATCTGTGACCCTTCCAGCGAGACCAACATGTGCGTCTGCAAGCAATGAGAAAGATCGACCACTTAAATCGCAATTTTCGCTCTCTAGTACTTGCGGCATGATGCTCTCCAATAATCCAACAGATTCTTCGAAAACCCCTACGCTGTGCAAAATAGCGCAGATGGCGCCAACGGCCTCCCATAAGACGGGCAGGATCATGGCCTGTTGTGCAAAAGTGGCAGCTCGCAGAGCAACAGACAATCCCTTTTGCGGTGTCCCTGCGTGTTCGAGGATGCGTGCTTTAACACACATCAAGGAAATTCGCTGGCTCATGTCGAAAGTGCTATCTTCAAGATGTTTTGCCAATTGCTCTAAGAGGCCTAGGGCACTGGAAAAATCTTGTCGCTGAACTTGCAACTCAATTTCTAGCAATGCAATGCCAAAGAATACTTCATGCCCGAGAGCCTTCAACGCGAAGAGCTGATTCAGTATCTGATCTGCGGCATCGAGATCGTGGCTGTGCGATGATGTTAGCGAGCACTACTTTTTGAAAGAGGCCCCATCACCTCTGTAAAGCCCTGCGCAATGTAAGCATCCCGGAGTGTGCAGCCCAAATCTTTTGATATTTCAATGTTGTTAGTGTCTGCTGGTCCACACGATCCATTTGGGCCATAGCATCGGGATAGCGACCTCTTTGTGCAAGCTATGAGCGAAGACACCGTCAGTCACCTCCTTCGAAGTCAGACAGAATTCAGACCAAAAAGGCACTCCGACTGAGGCATTGCAATTTGTCCTCGGCGGGGCTGGCGTCGCCGTAACAGCACAGAAATATTTGTTGTGAAAGGCGCGCTTGGCACTGAACACCTAAAATATCATTGTTAGAAATATCAGTTGCAGGGCTGGGTACTCACTGAGTCGGCCGAAGATAGCAGAATGCATTAATATCTGAGGACCAACTGTACTCGGTAGTCCCTGGCTTAGATTGACTTGGGAAGCTTTTAGCACACATTCAAGAGCTTGCGATGGACCGTCCCCCTTGTTCGCATGTCAACAGCAGTCCCCAGATAGCACTGTACCACCTAATGAGATGAACAAGTCTTACATTGCTGAGTGCCAGCTTGGCTTCTGCGAGTACTGCGGTGGTGAATACGCACCACATATTCGATTCCTTTGCTTTGGCTTTTAGAAACGTAAGTGCTTCCCTGTCCATGCCCGTTCCGCCCCTTGGCTCTACTTTTTCAATCGCTTTAGTATGAGCTTTACCGAAATGGTATAGCCAGCTCAAGCTATAATTAAGACACACAAGATCGTGGTGCGCTCTAGCAGTCGAGACTGTTTCATGCATGGCTACTATCGCTTCCTCGAGAGCTCCAAAGTCCGCGTGTAACGCTGCTAGATTGAGTAGAGCATATTGGTAGAAAACTTGATCTCGGTTGTGCATTGTGTAATCAAAGTAGCGGTGGAGATGGTCGAAAGAGGAGGAGTAATCTCCAGTCTTCCAAGCTTCTAGAAACCTGTCCCATTTAGCAGGCCAAGTCAACTACGGAACTCAGTCATGCATACTGTACGTAATACAACAGCTTTGGTAAAGGCTGGGGCATCTTCAAGAAGAACTGAAGCTGTGATACCATCACTGCTGGTAATCTGCTGCCAGATTCTAAACAGGTCAGCCTTTGTGAACAGATGAACAAACGATGTTCGGGAGCGAACTCTGGATCTTATTGATTTGAAACTCCACGAGCTTTGCCATGTCCTCAGTGCTGTATTCACAGATGGACCCATCCACACCGTTCAAGTAGACAAAGGTGTGTGGCGTTAAGCGAGTGTCACTGGCGGCTTGTGCGTTATCTAGGTTTATGTCAAAGCCCGAGTAGCGAGAATTGGGGTTTCTCTTCTTCCACTGCGAAAAACTGGGTAATCTGTACGCAACAAAAGCTTGCCACAATTTGAGACTGTCGTGAAAATGTAACCTTGAAAACTCAAGGCGATTTTTGCGTACATACATCCCTAACGGAGAGGTCTTGGCGAGCCGCATCCGATGTGCCACAGGATCAAGTCCGTGACCATACTCCACTTTCTCGGATTCGTCCTTCAGCAGAAACGATAGATTTTCAAAATAGACGTGCAGAGCGTCCAATGAGTCTATCTCCCAAAGGCGATTCAGCAACAAGTCCCAGATCGTACGCCCTGGGATACCCGAAGCTTGAGCAATTGTCTCTCGCTGAAGCACAATGATGCCGGGAATGCAGGTATTGCTGTCGCCATCATCGGCAGACTCTACCTCTGTGGTGGTTCTTAATAATACCTGAGATAAAAGGAACGACAAAATCGGTATTGTAGCTTCAGCAGGGACAACAGCCTCGGTGTAAACACAAATCAAGGCGAGGAGACTGATTTTAGCTGACGTTAGATACATTCGAGCCATTACAGCGAAGCTCGATCGTATAGATGCGTGAAGGCCGATATTTCATAATGATTGACTAATGAAAGCCTAGTTCTCCGAGCGGCAAAAAACCGTGGTCGAAAAGCTGTTGATACGTGAGCACTACTGCGTGATACCCTTAGCAACAAATAGGGTAAGGTAATAAGCTTCCCTTACTAACGTACCTTAGTCCTGCAGGCTACGCTAACACTCGGCAGCAACCTAACCTTGGGTTCATGACAGCCAAGACCAAGGAGCAGCTGAAAAGCACCTAATTACCTCTGGAAGCATACATGGGTTAGCCAAATGCCTTTGAATATGCTTTCATGTGCAAAAAACCTTTGATAAGGTACTTCATCTATTAGCACCAAAGTCGATGGCGAGAACTTCGCCGGGAATTTCGTTAGTCTAACCTCTAGGAGGTTGCAACACATGTACTTCGTGATCAGATGGCATGAGACGTAGAATAATGAGCACTCCTGCCTAGCTCAATGGACAACTTAGTGAACACCATTAAGATTTGTTGCTTTGCCGCTAACCCTTGTATGTTTACAAATGGCCGTCGTTTCACCCAAATCCGTCCTTTGTAGTGGGGTTCTCATTCACAGTATCTACCGCAGCCCAGATCTTGCTAATGGACAGATCAAAGTTGCCTGGAACTCTGTCTGTCAAGCTCATGCCAATCGTGCGGATCTTTTGCATCATCATCTCGCTTTGGGGCTCTACGACCTGACCATGATTGGTCCTGACAAAAGCGCCCAAATCTATGAACACCGTCTCCCATCTACCTGGCGCCTTTGTATGTAAACGATGTTGATGTAGATCTTCATACACAATAGACTCCGTTTGTATGTTCACGAAATACTTTCTCCCATCCGATTTTATCCTCAAGCCCAGATATCCGTACCCGTCCAGATCCCAAAGACTCTTCCCGAATATTGTTCTTGGTCTGTCGATATTTCGCCATCCAGCATAGCCCGTCCGTTGCACCTGAGGGTTATTTCGTGGCAGGTCTGTTGAAATAGACCCATGAAAACGGGCATAGGTCAAATTTCCCCCAGCCTCATTGATTTGAGTGAGAGAGGAAGACGAAAAGCCACCATTATCAGCGTCAGACATAGTCTTGCATGACGGGACAGTGTCGGGGTCACTGAAATCAATGAGAAGCTCAGGCCTTGTTCGTCCCTGTACAGCCTCCAGTGAGATAGCTTCCCCGCATCAGTCAGCAGGATGGAATGAAAGGCAGCGTGCACCACTATTCGTACCTAATCGTGTAAACTTTTTCACTTCATTTAAGCTTCGCTTTGCTAAGCCAGGAGCCAGCAGGCGACAACATGGACGCATTTTTGATAATGATTCAATCTCACTTGTCGCATTTAGCTGCCGAGATCTTCTCCATTTCTTGCGCCATTAAAATAAGGCATCAAAAAGTCCACTCCCCCAGCAAGCGCGCCTTTTGGAAAATCGTGGTGATCAATCAGTCTACAGCAGACACCGCTTAAACCAGGGCGGTTAGCGCGTTTGCTAAATATCCACGTAGAGGCCAAAAAATAAGACTTCTAACAACCTCTCTATCTGCCTTACCCATCAACCCTCCGTTCCGGGAACTCAAGCTCATTTATTCTTTCAGTGTGAGCACACTATGTCATTTGCACCCCAAGCATTGGTTATCATGTTCATCAGTGCGGTGCATTAACTTGTATCTCTTAAGTGCTCGTGGTTTCGAAAGCGTTAAAGCGAAAGTAATGCCATCTACCTCTGGCTAACCCATACGGTGGAGAAACACATGTTGCGCCCTTGATGAAACTCTTACCGATGTGGTCTGACTCACTAGCTCATCAAATTGTGCGAGCTTAGTAGTGACCTTGCGCGAAGACCATAACGGCAAATGCTATTCTAGCCTGATTACACGGTGTGACACTTTCAATATGGCTCACGCACCCAGGAAATGTGTTGCTCCTCGTTAACATAGGACCTGTTCTACTCTAATCGGCGTCATTTTCGTGCGAGCAAGTGCCATTTCGCCAAGTAGATCGTGTGCGTTCCTGAGAGAACGGCATCGATGGCCTGCAAATGAGCTTATTATGCGTCCATTCAAATCTCTTCAATTGTGATATGGTCACTGCACTGCGTCTTGAATGCGCTTTCGAAGACTTGAAGAAATGCATTACTACTCTTCACACTAAAGGCGCTATGCTGTGCATCACCACGGTGATGGAGGTGTTAGCTCGTCCGTCCGGAGAGAAGTCACCTCACTAAAGGAGCGACAAGACTGCTGTCAAGGGGTTTCCACCTATTTAAGTGCCACCGTAGCGTCGACTAAGTGCTGTTCGCTCGACACTACGGACACGGTCGCAGCCCTTCCAGGATCAAGATTCGTTATGTCACTTCATTCTTAGCGCCTTGGTCAATTTTTACCTCTGCAAGATTCTTCTCCTCTTCTTTCGCTCCCAAGATACTATTTTTCGGGTCAACAATCAGGCTGCAAGCTGCTAAATCACGATCCTTAATTGCAGCCATTGGACATTCAGTCGTTCTTTGCACCTCGAAGGCAAGTAAAACAAAGCTTTGAAGCTTTGAGCTCCAAGATTACATTCTTTACAATCTTTGATCATTTCAGCTCTTTCAAAGCCGCAGCCAGACGGATACATCTGTTCCAGCTCCGGGACTTTACGATGTCCACCTCGCCTCTTACTCCTTGCAAGGCAGGCTCAACGACTTCGCACCAGGCTGTAAAAATAGCCTCTGAAAAGATCGAGTCTTCCACTAAATCGAACCTCATGGAGCCATCCCCGGCTAGCACGTATGGCGACACTGTAGGAAGCAGCGTGCCTGCGACTCCGCTGGATACTAATAGTCATGGTAAGCTCTCCTTTCCCCCACTCTCCTGCCTTGTGCCTCTGGATCTCCAATCTCAACACTAGTCGTGATCTATTTGGTCTCTCCTTTGCGCCTCCTCAAACTTTCAGCGCGTATTGCTTACACCTACAAATCTTGTACATCACTCTATGACAGGACGGAGCCGTTTGATGTCTTTTAAATATGGGAAAGTGTGCTGAGCGCTTCGAATTTGCATTGGACTTGCTCTACACGACAGAGCTGGTATCACTGACTCCGACATTGATTATACAGATCTCTCAGCTGGGATCACACAGTCTATGCGCGCCGTGCAGCTCGATCCAGCCATCAAGTCAATCTCTGCGTCCCCAATCTCACCGCGTGAATCGAAACACCAAGGTGTACATGTTCCCTTTGGGTTTCCGCACACGACACCTTCGAAGAAATCCGACACTGTTGTGAACCAAACGTTGTCAAGCAATTCCTCACCTACTAAGCGTGCAGAAGCCATTCGCTCTGCCCCTACTTGGCGTGGGGACCAGCAAAGTGATTACATGAAGCTTGCCCATGATCATCCTGACGACCCCTTTGTCGCAGGCAGCAGTAGTCAGCAACCTTCCGAGTCTAGTGAGTGATTGCTATTACTAATGTATGTCCTAGCTAACTGAAGCAGCACTAGCAGCACGTTTAGCATGCCATCCTGACAAGCTTGGTGTAACGCCAACCAACAACACCGCCCAGGCTATCTTCTCGCCACAAGCTTGCGTATTCGTAGCCAAGTGAGTCTCTTTACATTACTGCGTAGCTTCCCTAATCTCAAGCAGTCTCACACAGTCAGAATCTGATGAGCAACTCGAATATGCAGTCACGGAAGCATTTCAACGCTTTGGTAATGTTTATGTCAAGATTAGACGTGATGCTCGCCAGATGCCTTTCGCATTCGCTCAATACACCGTTTGTCAATCCCAATGGCTACTATGCTGCATACTGACTTCAGAAGACCGTTGAGGATGCTCAGCAAGCAATCACTCTGGGTCGTGGTATGCTCATTAATGGTCGCCCTTGCCGCACGGAGGTCGCTCGTGTCAATCGTGCGTCTACTCCCTCCTTTTGATCCCTTGCCATCAAACATTTTTGACCATGTTGTATGATAGGCTCACTCTACTTATCCAAAATAAATGGCGCTACAGTGTCAGAAATAGAAGCAAAGAATATCATGGAAGGATATGGGCCCGTCGAGCTGGTCTGGTTAGCTACTCAGACCGAACGTGAAGTGTTTGGTTTGCCAGAAGGAATATTCATTCGCTTTGCGTTCTTTGACGACTGCCGCGACGCTCTGGTGGTTGGTATTCTGACCTAAGCACCAAGAGATTGCTGACAAGACTCAGAGCTTCAGGGATTCCTCAATCTATCGGCTCGAACAAGTCAAGGGTCTCGAAGAGTCTCGCTCTAGCCCCGCCGATGGCGCTCATCGATCCATAGCATCACCTTATAGGCGTGAGCTCGTTCCCAGAATGTCTCCCGCTTTCACCCGACGCCACGCAGATGCGCGTTCGATTTTCATTGGCAATTTGGCTCCACATCTATCAGAGGATCAGCTTCTGGGAATGTTCCAAATATACGGTCGCGTTTCGCATGTTGAAATTATTCGAAAACCGTCAATGGTCAACGGTAAGCTATGTCCATCTTCTGTATTCGACTCGGAGTCTAACCGATCTTCCCAAAGCATCTGGTGTCAACGCGTTTGCCTTCATTGAATACGACAACGCCCAGTCGGCGGCGCTAGCAGTGCAGGCCGGTTCGCTCGCATACCAAGGGCTACAGTTGAGAGTAGAGCATAAGGAGCCTTATAACTCTCCTTTACGCTCATCCCCTAGCTTCAGCGGAAGCCCACGACGACCAGGCCTACTTGACTCTCAAGACATGATAATAGCCTTCCAACGTGGGGTATCCATGGGTATGAGTCAGGCGACCCAGGCCCAATTAATGCCACCCCCTTTCTATCCGCAGTATCAATACTGTGCTCCGTATAGTAATTCCTCTTCGCATTCAACCATGCCTCCCTCCACCAACGACGCCGCAACCGCAGGTACTCAAGTCTTCACTGCCGGATACATGGGCCCAGTCTCTGGCCAGTACTCGTACACCGGCGCACCAGCACCATATGAACAGTATCAGCAGCACCATCAACATCAACAGTACTATGCTCCAAACGTTCCCATCTCACAACTTCAATATCCATCGGCGGCGGGCTATGAGGATGTTGCCATCGCCAATCCAGCGTCACTGCATGAGAACCATTGATCTCTCGTCTTTGATGGCTGTACTGTTGACATCAGGACCTCACTATGGCGTAGTATCGACCTTATGCACCATCGCTGGAGAATGAATTGGAGCAAAAAAATGCTTGCGCACTAGAGAACTTCAACCAGATTACGCTCATACAGCATTGCGATTTCCATTCCCTGGGGGAACATTCTTGCTACGACATCTTGCCATCTGAGCTTAACAGAATATTACCAACAGAAAAGCATTGCTACTAGCCCATCAACCACAAAAGATAAGGCTCGACATTAGAGCCCCAGCTTGTATACCATTTCAGCCTCAGCGACCGGTCCACAGGGTGATGTGACATTAAGTGACCCCCAGTGTCTGGAATAAACTGGGCCGATTGACAGTTGTGTCGCTCATACTTGCTGATGGGCTTTCGTACTAGACTTCCAAGGATGTTCCGATCCTCTGTCTCAATCAATTGCATTTAGCGACCTTCAAACAGGATGAAAGCACCTTAGATACGGGCAAAAGAGCTATGTATAAGATATTGCAGATAGTAGTGGCCAGATAGCATGAGCTAGACATAATATCCAATTGATCACAATAAACCCGAATAATAGACTTACGTCTGACGAGCATGTCATTGTCCAAGTAGCGCCATCGAACCTGCCATGACATTTTAAGATTGAGGTGTAACAATTGGGTACGGCTCAACTTTAGGTGAAATTTGAATTCATTTACGTATACACTCAAAGTAGCTCTCTCGCTTTGAATTTAGCTCGTCTCTTTTCCCGTCAAGTTCCCCACTAATTGCGCATCCTTGCATCTCACTTCCACATCACCTCGCAGCAACGCACTCGCCATCAAGTTTACGAACCGGCACTGGCAAAAAGGATTCGTCATGGGCCAACCATCTTTCGCAGCGAGCAATGCCATATTGTATGTCACTTACGGCATTTTCTTGTAGGTAGCCGCTTTCGCCATTCCCTCCTTTGAGTCCATGGAAATACTGAGAGGTCTGCTACGCCCACAGAATGCTTGGACTGTACATAGCATGGTGTTGGCGACATCAGTCAAAGTCGGAGTTCCTGGCCGCCAATCGCACACAGAAGGGTTAGCACAGCATCAAAGCGGAGCTAGAAGGCGAAGAGCATCGCCTCTGCTTGTTACTAAGGTCCATATATTGGGGTCAGAGGCTGACAGTGAGATAGCAATCCCTCTTGCATTGAACTTTATCGCTTCGGGTGAGTGCTGCGGCTATTGTTTCTACGCGGCCTTCGTACACCTGCAGCAGTTGAGTCCCGACGCAAGCAAGGCATAGTTCTTGACAACTGGATGATCGACGGGAAAAGTGTAAGAATACGTGGATTTGAGAAAGTCTCATAAACAGGTTCGTATGTATAGACTCAACGCAGATGGCTGTGGAGGTCCTTCGATACTATCTGCTCGTTGCTTCGGCACATAAGCAGTGGTTTTGAGGGCTTTCCTACGGTATATCTGTGCGGCTACACTACGGGTGCAGATTGCTTCTGGTTGCTTTGATCCGTCCGGGCATCATGTATTGCTGGACGTCACTGCTTGCCATTATGCATGAAGCTGAGAGTACACCGTAAATACTCGATCAAGATAATGCTTGCGTGGGGAACGTGTTGCCGCTGTCTTCCCTCACCTCACTCTCATAAAGGGAGACTGTCTCGCTAAGCTGACGGCAAATAGCATTGGGGTCTGGCATACTTTTCTCCTATCCGGAGATCTCGACCATTGCAGGACTACAAGGACTAGTCATTTACGTCTTATCATCATCTTTACCTCTACTGGTGTTTGGCTTTCTTGGCCCCATCATTCGCGAGAAATGCCCCCATGGATTTGTGCTGACTGAATGGTGAGCAGAAGTCAGCTCTTGTCCTCTGAAAGAGTCAAACTAAATTCAGTTGTCGTAAAGGACTCGGCAACGGTATTGGTTTCGCACAGAATCTCCAAAAAAATTTGCTCATGTACCTCAGGTACGGCGTGATCGCGGCGCTCTACTTAAGCCTTCTGACGTATGTGGCGACACTTAACAAGTGGTTACTAGGGATCTGATGAGTAGGTGCAGACTAACGACTATTTTTCTGTACATGGTCGCAGAGCTCTCGGCGTTGCAGCAAATTGTGAGCGCACTGACTGGTTTAAATGGCTTGCCAGTTATCATTGCTGAGTGCGCGGTTACTACAATCTATACGTGCAAGTGCTCGGCCTCCTTTGATCGCATCATAGCCTAACGTGATATAGCACTTGGTGGATTTCGCATCTCGTTTGTAACAGACACGGTTCAAGGTGCTATGGTCCTGGGACTGATCGTCCTCGGCGTCATTGCTATTGGCGTCGAGACACATATTGACCGAAGTTTGATTGATTCTTCCGGACTACTGAATGCCAGTCTACTAGGCTGGCAGCTCATCTTCATTCTTCCGGTGGCTATCCTGACCAATGACTTCTTTATCTCGGGCTTCTGGATGCGAACCTTTGCCAGCAAGACAGACAGAGATCTTCGAATGGGTGTCTCCATTGCTACTGTGGCTGTCACTTGTATCCTACTTTTGGTCGGCGTCACTGGGCTCTTGGCCGCGTGGTCAGGAGCTTGGCCTGGGGATCCACCCCAGGACGGCAGCATTGCTTTATTTCTCCTGCTCGAGCAGCTGCCTGCATGGGCCGTTGGCGTTGTACTTGTCATGGTTGTTGCTCTCTCCACTGCTGCTTTCGACAGCTTTCAATCGGCCATGGTGAGCACCGGTAGCAATGATATCTTTCGTAATAGATTGAGCCTCTGGTGGATAAGAGCTGCTGTTGTCTTGATCATATTCCCTGTCGTAGTTGTTGCCTTAAAGAGTCCGGACATCTTGCAGGTTTATCTCATCTCAGACTTGGTCAGCGCGAGCTCTATTCCGCCACTAGTGATCGGCTTGAGTGATCGATGTTATTGGTGGCGAGGTTTTGAGGTAGTCGTTGGTGGCCTTGGCGGGCTCTTGACTGTTTTCATCTTTGGCACGGTGTATTATGGCGATACCCAAAGTGGCGCAAACCTACTACTTCTAGAAGGAGGTTTGTATGCGAATGACTGGAGTGTTTTCGGTCAGCAAATTCTGCATGTGTCAACTTATTGAGCCAATCAGAGCTAATCAATTGGCAGGGGCATTCGTCGCGACCTCACTAGGAGGCTTACTGTGGGCCTTGGGCGCTTTTACGCTGCGAGTCGGCTGTCAGTGGATATTCTCGAGAATAAGGGGCCACAGATTCGATGCTTTCGATCGGCCTGCCCTACCGAGCCCCATCACGTACGTCAGCCATGATCAGACTGAAGGCGACTCCTCTGTCGAACAGGAGCCAGTAACGTACACCAATGCTCAAAAGGGAAAATTCTACTGAGAAGTAGGACAGACGTGAGTTTAATACGATTCACTGCGCTGGACAAGCTCCTCGGCTTTTATAAGATTGACAAACTTCTTTAATGATTTGAAAGGATGGTATGTACAATAACAGCACATATATATTGCAAAATACTTCCCATTATACTCTCCATCATAGTGGCTGTGGCGCCGTGAGAATCTCCGCCTTCTGCTTCTGCGGCACGACATGTTTAATGTCGGTTTCTTTTGTAGTACCCCAGACCTTCCAAGGTCCTTCCACACCATCGAAGATTCTCCGTTGCAAGACGAAGTACTCTTGCATTGTCCTCCCACCTTCGCGATTATTGAGGACTTGCGATCCGTCATTTTCAGCGACTCTCGATCGTAGCAAATTTTGCTGAGAGCGAATCCTCACCACTGCTTGGCGTAGCGCCGAGTTCTTGCGAGGTAGCATACTACCTCGGTTGCTTACGACGCGAACCTGAGAGAGTCCAACATATTTCACGTCCCATTGAACTCTCTCCTTGCGTGAGCGGGCAACAAATTGTTTCTCCAGCTGGCCCTTGAGGCCCTCGCAGCACATCTCTTCAATGGCTGCCACATCGCCCCTACTAAGCGTAAGTATGAGTACAGAACGGAAAGAGTGAGCATTGTATCATACTCCGCAACAGCACCAAACAACCTCTGGTGTAGAGCGAGCGCTGTGGACTTGATCTTTCTGAATTCAATCTTTGGTCTCGGCTTCATGTTCGTGCCATATTTGTATGATGCAAGCCTGAGCGTCTAGTTCAGTCAATGGTAGGCGCATTGCTCGACTGACTCTTCTCACGATCTAAAATCATTCATTCGCTGTTTCAGCCGGTACCATTCAAGCTTTGCTCGTTTGGAAGGCGAAAAGAACAGCGAGGGTTTTCGCGAGCCAGTAGGCATTATCAGTGTGCCTGCAAGGTTTGATGAGACGTTTGGTACAGCTTTGGAGTTGGCCAAGATTTTACCTTGGAAGAGCCCCATATCGTGAGGGAACTTCTCCTCTGGAATGGCATTAGGGTCCTGTCGAGCCTCCCTCTGGATAGCTTGTCTTTGTCGGGGCGTTCGCATTTGGGCGGCATGGCGTACTTGGACGACAATGGGTGCTCGTGCAAGACAACGGTAGGAGGGACCGTGTGGCAAGGAGCAGAAAGGTGTACGAAGGTGGCACCAAGCCATATCACTATAAGCTCCAAGCAAGACGCGTTTGGCTAGAACGTATTCAGTCTTACGCAGTGAGTGTGCGGTCTCTTTCATGTCTTTTGAAAGGTATCTGGAGATTTCCCACCAGTATATCTCCGGTGCTATCTCCGTCACACGCGTTAAATCAGAGCCGAAATCGATTCACCCGGATTTATTCTTTGCCCTTGCGCGCAGGAGAGCCTTCAAATCTTCAAGCCTTGCTGATGCGGCAGCATATGCCGTGTCGCTGCCCATCTGGCGTCCTCAAATCCCCCAAGCTACTCTGAGAGTGCCTTGCCGACTACACCTCAGGTTCCGCCATGCAAAGGCCTACTTCATCCGCGAGTTGCCGTCGTCCTTGGAGTCAGCAACCGCTGGCATATTCCATTACTTATAAGCCGAGCACTCAGTACTGCTCCAGCGGTATGGTGGGGTCTGCGCTGCGCCCTGACCTTTTTGGCGGAACTACTTTTGAATCAGGAGACGAGTGTCATGCATGACGGGCAGTGGACCGTGGAGAAGCGCTTCAGGGTTACGGAGGTCTTCCTTGCTATATTATGGGTATGATTATTAAAGGTTGTGGATTTGTGCGCGCGGGCAATATCCTGCTCACCACTGGCCATAGTGTTCGGCGGCCGCCTACCTTTCCTACTTCTTCACTGACTGTTTGATGTCCCGATGGTGCGCCTTCATGACGGCAATTGACTCCTTTGACTACTCTGATATATTTCAGGCTGCTAAATTATACTCCTTCTGCGACGCTTGTCCGGCTTCTGACCACCAACATTCTCCTTACATACATTACTTCTTGGGTTTTGCATCTGTCTGGCGCTTCCAAGGATCCTCGTATGCTTCTTCCAGCGTGGGTCTCTATCTCTACAGTATGTGCTCCAATTTTTCAGAGCTTCATCGTCTGTCGGATTCGAGACACCCCAAGTGACAAATGAGCAGACATTGACAGTCTTGTATCACCTGACGCACAGGAAGATTAACATTCGGAAGGAGACAACGGCGTCGATTGGCGTCTTCTCCGTTGCAAGCTTCATCAGCTTAAGCTCCTTGCTTCTTCAACTCCATCTCACTCGTGAGAATGATCCAGAGGTCCCCCTGCTCATGCTACTGGGAGACGCCTGGAAAGCACTTCATATCAAGTAAAGAGAGAATTCATGAAGCTGAGGACTTCGCATTGTGTTTGATCAGTTATAATTCCAGTAATCTCAGGGGATCTGACTGCTACCATCAATTCATATTATCATTTAAAATAGATAGATCATTCTTCCCACGGTCTTCACACATCGTTTGCATGATCAATGACATAAACGAGCGTGCTTCTACGCCTCAGTGTCTCTTTGCGCTCAGAAAAGGGTATCTAAGAGATCCTGAGAATGTGCCCCGACGCCGGCCTTCCGTACTTTCGAGACCGAGGGAATGAAAGCGCAACCTTCCGTTTGAGTTATTGCCAGCGGTCACGGAAGAGTTGAAGGGAAAGATAGGGGGCATCGGAGGTTATGCCTCAGAACCCATGGACCTATCGAGTTCGTTTCAGTATCTAGCTTGTGTTGAAATGACCATGTTTGCAACATACCTTAATGGTTTTGGCGTCAAGCTCTAGTCCATCCTTTTTATCGACCAGGAATTCCTGGACATCCTTGCGTTGATCGCCTTGAAGCTGAATCACTTCCCCCATTTCGGTGTCGTTAACAATGGTTCCATTGCAAGCTGAATCAAATGTGAGCATTCGCAACGTTTTTGCAGATCATTCCCAACGGAATATTAATTTACCGAACTTCTTCTTGATCACCTTGAGAATCTTTTTCTGGTCGAACTTCTTTGGCAGGCCCTGCACGGTCGTTAAGGTCTTACGACCATTACGTTCTGCAAACGTATTTAGTTCGTCAAAATCGGTTGAGAAAGGGCCGTACGTTTCTACGTACGCTGAATTCGGATATGGATATAATTCTGGCTCTGCTTGGTTTCGCCTGTGTCTTCGTCGGCTTCGGCGAAGGGGTCTGAATGAAAGATGCAAGTTAGCCAACCGCAGTCTGCTGGTGGTATGTTTCGCGCCCAATGAGCGATAACACAGCGATTACATTTTGTACAGTAGCAAGGATAAGGAGCTAGAATGACAGACCGAAGGTTTTGAGATTTTCGATGGACATAAAACCCGTTGTCTCTGCGGAGATGTTTGCAAGGAGATATGGTCGAGTAGGCAGCTCTAGCAACGAGACTTGTGCACGAGCAGCAAGGTTCTGCGAAAGGCAATATGGAGTGGCTTGGAAATGATATTTGTGTGATGGAGAACGTTGGAGTGTAGGATTTGGTAAGTACGACGATCGAGTGGGCGGGGCTTTAAGACTACGCCAAGGCTGATAAGGCTGAGATTGGCCGCTAAAAACTATGCACTGGGGAAGACCAGCTTATAAGGGACTCCCGGGCGCCCATCCCCATAACAGCCCCTAAAGCTAAGGCACTAGAATTTCCATGTTCAGACTAATCAACCCTCGTCCATGTGACAGTCTGGCAAGTAGCCGTCGGGAAGTAAATGTGCGTATTACTAAGACGATGTAGCGGTGTTTTGAGAGAACTGTCGCGGACAACTATGACGGAGGTACCGCTGAGGGAGCTTCTGTGCCTGTAGCTCGATTCTGTGGGCCGGGGGGCATGAACAGAGGTAGGTAGGCCTGCAAAAATCACCATCGCCGTCAGATACGAAGCATTCACCGGGGTTGATGTCTGGACGTACTGTTCCTACCGCGAGTACTGGTACGGGAGCGGTCAGCCAATCAATGGTTTTCAACACCTCATGACTTGGTTACGTACAAGACATGCCGACGCTCATCCAACCAGGAGCGCCGCTTTTCTCAGCTTGATCAGGGCTTTGCGCCAACATTGTCTGGACCGCAAAGACAAACGATGCCCTTAAAAAGTCAATCAGGGAAGCCAAAAGTGGGGAAGAACGCCCGGTTTGGCGTAGAATACCAGGCAATCATCCTAAAGGTCACCCTGAGTGTTAGCGAAGCTTTCCTATCCAGGGCGTTCCGAACATGCTTGTTTCTAGTGAACATCTAAGGAGAACGCTATTAGTTGTGGCACCATTAGTGAGGCGAAGATAGACTCACTGCAACCATTGGTAGAGTGGTCGACATTGTAGACGCGACGTCGCCGCCTTCTGTCTTGTCTTTTGCGGTATCTTTGTATGGGATAACTGTAACAAGATTCGTCAGGAACGATCCATACCAGTTACAAAAGCTCAAGAGGGATGTACCGAGCTCTGGTCTTCGCATATCCTTCTTTATAGACATCGTGGAATACTATTGTGGATGGCGAAAGCACTCCGCAGTTGAGTGATAGTACGGAGGTTTGCTGATTGGCTAGTTCTCAATAGCGCCAGCCCAATGTCCTGCGCATCGGGCCGTTCGTCTGCGAGTGCGCAGACCCGAAGTTTCTAAACTCAAGTCCGTCAAGCCGACCAATGAGATGTGGCAAATATAAGCCCGAGCAGCCCGGTTGATTTCCGCTTCCCTGGACAAGCCTGAGTGCTGGCTGTCGTTGCTTACAACGTGACCGAGTTGCACCACTCCCATCCGGGTCTGTAAGCTCCCATATCCTCTCAGCAGAGTCCTAGTGGTCCACAAAGGACCTCGTTCCCCGCAGATGGCCTGTCACCTCATACCACCAAATCGAACGTGAGGATGGCAACATCATGGGAATCGCTGTGCAGGAAAGAAGATGCAAAGATCGGGACAGCGCCTTGAAGGGCTTTCTACTTGCCCACTGCGCCACATCCCAGCAGCATTCGCCAGCATCATCATCTCACTCAATCCCTATCTCTTCGTGGACTTCCAATTCTGCTCCCGAGCCTCCTACCAAGAGGAGAAAGATTGGCGGAGAGAAGAGGCGTTACCCAACAGTAACAACAGCCCTGCCCAGCTTGATTTCCAGGACTCAATTGGTGGACCCACACAATCCCAAACCTGCCATCTCTACCAAATACGGTAGAACTTCAACCAACACATTCCATCCATCCCGCCCCACTCATAATTCGAATCATCGTGGCCTGTCCGCACCTTTTCCTGACGGTCGCAAGGGATTCTCAAAGCAGTCAGAGGTGTCTGTAAAAGCTTATATATCCAAGCCCCCCCTTCAATCCCTTTTTACGCAAGCCATTGTAAGTGGCGTCTTGACTGCTCTGCGAAATATGTATGGTAATTGAAGTAGTGCCCTCGGATTTCTTCCCATGGAGTGGAGATCATCCAGAGGATGCCCTGGACGAGGTGACAACGCGGAATGGGTATTACGACAAACTCCCGACGAACCACAACGAGTTGGGTACGGCAAAGCCTTCTTTGTGGAAAAGTGTGAAGCACAAGGCAGGTGCTCGAATATTGTCCTCACTTTTGGCCTCTACACTTCGCCAGCGTCAACTCTGCGGAAGAGTTCTAGGCGACAGCACCTTTAAATTGCCACCAAGGGTAACATTGACAGACACGAAGCGAGAGGCCTGGCTTAACGACCTCTCGAATCCCTCCATCTCTCTACGGCGTTTAAGTCGAACTATACCCCATGGAATACGCGGCAAAATGCTACTCGATCATTGCCTTGCCAAATATGTTCCCGTGCCTAGGGCAGTGTGGCTTGTCAAGTGTGTTGGCGCGAACGAAATCAGGGCTTTCAAGAGGAAAGGCGCCGGGGTGGTGTTCACTGTGGGTGGGGAAGTGAAATGGATCAAGGAATGGACAACAGCCATTGAACAATTTGTGATATCGGTCTTCACTTCCGCTGCAAACGATGGAAATAAGCAGCAGGCACAAACAGATTACGTGTATGTGGCTATTCGAACATTCGTCGAAGGTATCACTAACGTTACATTTAAAGACTTGAAGTGACGCAACAGCTGTACTCCGAGCAGCTGATGGATCGTGGGCAATATCTCGATTTTTTGGTTCAGAAAACCGGTGAAAGCGACCTTGACCGACTGCTACTGTGGCTAGTAATTATTGGAGCACATCGGCATGATCTCGTATTCCAAAGCTGGCGGGGGAAAAGACTCGTCGAATTTTTGCTCTCCCACCTTGACAACGTAAATTCTTTGGGCGCCCAATACACCTCATTCCGCGCTAATACCAGAGATCTGCAGATATCAAGGGCAGTCATATATGACGGACTACATACGATCACGAACGCTGTCACCCAAATCCTTGAATTTGTCATGTTCTTCTCTACCGAGCGCTTTCTAATTCCTGAACGTTGGGTGACTTTTGAAACGCTAATTCGAACCGGTTTGATTAACAACCGGCCCACTTTACAGCCTACTTACGCCAGTCTACACCAACAAAACACGATGCTACAACACCACTTGTGTCAGCCTTCGTTCCAAGAACGCTTGGAGCTAAGAAGGCAGATGCTTACCATCCTCGATGTACTTTTCTCAAACCCAGCATACGCACTCGTTGCAGATCGATGTCTCCAATTAACTACCGATAGAGAAAGCATAATTCGGTGCTGTCTTCATTGGTGCTCCGACCAGGATTCGCATGAGCGCTATCGAGTCTACGCAGCTGCAAGGCTTATAGCCGAATTAAGCAAAGACGGTGCTAACATCCAAACGCACATTCTCGACTGCATCGGTTACGACATATCTTTTCACGACTGTTCCGAAACCATTGTCTACAGGGTAATCTTAGAGCTTATTCTTCTGGGGATTTTCTCTAATAGGAAAGTATCTCCAGTGGCTCATGGCTAAAGGACTTCTACATCGTCAATCCACGCGCACTTCAGTAAGTCTTCCAGACATCTACAGGATAGCGCGTATGCTGAAGCAATCGATAATAGCATCGAAACGTCAGCTTACTATTAGAGCTACCACCATCGCTTTTCCCGGCTCATAGCCTTGATCTTCGCGGTTATCTGATATCTAGAGCTGGTTTGAATCATCGAAATGACGCCACTGATTTAGAAGCCGCGAAGTCGTTCATTTCAAATTCTCTACCTGGGCTCCTTGGCTACGGGCAAGGAGAAATCAGAACCTCAGATGGACTCGACTTTAGTACATTGAGTCTACCTATCAAATACGAAAGCGCTCGATGGTTATGTTCATGCCTAATTCGCAATGAAAGCCATGGCGAGGCTGAAGCTACCTTGCAAAGAGCACCAAGCCCACCATTGAATCGAATGACGCTTTCTGAATTTGCCACCATCTCAACAATCATGCTAGCATTAGATGAATTTCCGATTTTCGCTAAAGTCATGGGAAGGCTTCTGGAGTGTGCGACATATGACACGCTACTGGCTATCGTTGACACGGTCAATTGCTACGTCGAGGTCTTCTTAGCCATTGATGCCGCACGCCATCTCTTCGAACTTGCCTATCGACGTGTATTGGGCACAAAGGATTCTGAGCTAGACCAGCACTTACTTGAGTCATCAATCGACCTGGCAGCCCGTGTTTCCAATACTGATGAAGAAATCAAAGTGCTTCGAAAACAGCTCTTGAAGTTGTCTGCCGGCTCAGCAGTGTCTTTCGCTTACTCGCCAATATCAGACACAACTGTTGAGCCATCTTACGCAGGAGAGAACTCTTTCCTTGATGAGCTTGACCAAATGCTAGCTACTGGCGGCACAAGCATGGATGGACAGACATTGACACGAATATTTGGCATGCTCACAACCCGCCAGGAGCTAAAACGTAGCGATTCTAAAGGCTTCTTGCGAGTTGCGCATCTACTTTCTCGCCTGCAGAAATTTGACGATGCGGTTTTTGGAAAGCTCATCTCCCGCTGGTTGGATACTTTACTAGTAACAGAGGGAAGACCGAGCCTCTTTACTATTCTATCGCCCTTTATCTGTCTTCGAATGGTTTCGATGGATGCGGTGATTTCCTCCGGACTTGCAACTCTACAAAGAACGGAATCATCAACACGGCAGTTCATGATAGCAATTGACCTTTTGGACCTCGTGTCGAAAGACGATAAATGTCCATCATTAGGTCCTGAATTTCGCTCCTATCGAATGCGTCAACAACAGATGTCCATACGTTCGCTTTCTAGCCAATCAATCCTTAGGATACTCAAATTTCTAGCTAAAAGCTATGAACCTGTGGCAGGCTCCAATAGCGTACTCAAACACTTTAGTCTAGATAAAGAACGGTTGCGTGTTTTCATAGGCAGCATTTTGCATACGACAGCGAATGAGCACCCAGCATCTCTACCGACCGATGCTGACGTCCAGAATCAGATAGGAAATCTGCTTCTTCAGCTTGATAATACTGATGAGGATCGCAATCGGGACGCTAGTGAGCTTAGGCATGTTCTCGATGGTTTCGACCCACCTACTCGCCAATTTGAACTGATTGCACCTCTTAATTCAAGAGCTGAAGACACGGCCGAGCTTGTCTACAATTTTGCAAAAACCGTGATCAGACTTCCGGACGACACCCCACTAGATCATTTTAACTCCTGGGCATTGCTTGTGTCCAGATTCTCTGTTGAGAACGCAAAGTTGGTTCGGGAAGATATCGAGTCTGCTCTGATCAACCACATATACGGCAGTCCTTTGACTTTTTCCAGAGCAACTGGGAACATAACGTACGGTCTCTTGGTTATTTTGGACGCTTCAGCATTCAGTGTTTCAGCATCCGACCACCTAGCTATGGGTCAAAGGATTTTGGTATCTCTGGAATTGGTCCAAAAGAAAATCGACGCCCAAAAGGACTGTCAGTTACCGGAACCTATCTTGTATCAAATTGACTCGTTGCTGGCCTTGATCCTTCTGTACTGGCCATTCCTTCAGGACCTACCTACGGCGCAAGAAAACCTGTGCAAGATCATTGCATCACTTGGCTTGGTGGCACAGCGGCTTGACTCTTGCAACCTCTTACGTATGTCAGGCAAGCTTCGAAGTGTGCTTTGCAAGGTTCTTGACTCCCTACCTGATATCACCCGTGTCCGAGTCATAGGTACTAATCAAACGCGCCATGCGTTCTCTGACGTATTCATTCAGTCTTTGGAGATCGACAGCCGCAAGCGATTCCACAACATACACATTGCGATTTCTGTAGAGCATGGGGACAACAAGGGCCTACCGGCGACCAGGCAATCTGTCAAAAAGCCTTTTACATTCCGCAGGTGGGAGCTAATGTCCGAGGCTACCCCTGCTATTGCAGAGAACGATAGCAGCCTAAGCCTCATTCTTTTCGGCACTAAAAGATCTGTACTTTAACATTGTCGGCAACGCAACCCATATGATAGCATGGACTGATGGTTGATGAGTTTACGACATGATACCCTTTGGAAGATACGGGAAATGTATTCTTAGTACAGGGCAGGGTTGTTCAGCGCCGCGATTGGATATATTCACAAATCTAGAAGTCTTTACAACAGTGGTGCGTGTTTCTCAGTGAAGAGGCATTTTCCCAATCCAGGATTGAGCATTCTGCTGGTGACGTAAAACCTTTTTGACAGCATCCATCTGCCTAGATTCAAATATCGTTCCCACATCCCTAGGCAGCTAGCTTTAGGCAATGCCGTGCATCGAGTCATGGAAAGCTTAGCAGGCTCCTATGGGCCAGTCTTCGATGTGTGCGTGCATGATTTAGGCGGGTCTATCCCCATGTTCCCGCCTATAAGTACTCTTCAGGGCCAATACCTCCCTAGACACCTCTTGAATATTTCCCAGAAACTTTGAGCATGAAAGGGTCTTTTATAGCTTATTAGCAACGACCTCCCTTAGTTAAGAGTTCAGTTAGGGTTTAATTAGTTACTTTGAATTTGTGTCTAGAAAGTTATTACACCCACGAGGTACCCCTTATATAGTAGCCCTTAGGTATTTAAATTAATATATACTATAGTACTAAATATTAGCTCTATTACTAAGAATACTATAGTAAGAACTATAACTATTATTAAACAATATATAATAACTTAAATTAAATAGAATTATTAAAGTTTTTATAATATAAAATATATTATTTTATTAATATTTTTTTAATTATTTTTATTTTATTTTTTTAAAATTAAGTTATTAAATATATTATTATTATAATATTAATTAATATATTTTAATAATAATTATTATTATATTTATTATAATTTATATTTTTATTTTTATTATATTATAATATTTAAAATTATTATTTTTTTATAATAAAAATATAATTATTATTAATTTATTTTATATATATATTATAATTTATTTTTTTATTTTTATTTTTATTAATTTTATAAAAAATAAATAAATAAATAAAATTATATTTAACTATTATTTATATATAAAAATATTTTCTTTTTTTTATATTAAAATTATAATTTTATATATATATTTATTAAATATATAAGTGTTTTTTTATAATTTTAAAAAAAATAACTTTTATTAATAAAAAATAATTTTTTAATTTTTTAAATTACTTTAAAATATAAGATAAATATTTTATAATATTTTATAATATTTAATTTTATTATCTTAAAATTAACTTTATTATAATAATTATAATTTATTTATATATATTTTTATTTATAAATAATATTTATTTATTAAATTAATTTTTATTAATATAATAATTAAAAATTATAATATTTTAAAAAATATATATAAAAAGTAAAAACTAGCTTAAGAAAGTTTAATTAAAAAGTATATATTAAATTTATTTTAAATTAAATTAAGTTTATAAAATATAGAAAGTTTATTTTATATTATTATAATATAGCTCCCTAAGTATATAATTTAATTAATTTATAGAATATAAATAAACTTAGTATAAGGAGTAAAGAATTAATTATTTATTACCTTTTTAAAAATTAGTTTCTTTAAAAGTATATATTTAAGTATATTATAATTCCTTTATTATACTTATATTATTATTAATTAAATAAACTACTATATATACCCTCCTACTTTCCCTATACTAGCCTTACTACTATACTATATATCCTATACCTTTATAATATAAACTTAATAAAAAGCTTATTTTTTAAAAAAAAAATTTTAAAAAGTAATTTTAAAATTTTTTTATTTAAAATCTTAATTTAAAAATATCTAGAAACTATCTTAAGCTTAACTTAAGCTTAGATTCTATAGAAATCTAATTAATATAAATTTAAAGTAAAAATTTAATTTAAAAATATATATTTAAGACTTTTTTAAAATAAAAACTTTAAAAAATTAAATTAAAAATTAAAGTTTTAAAATAATTTAATTATACTTATATAATATAAACCTTAAAATTATATAATTTAATTAAATATATATATATATAATTCTTCTACTAGTCTACTTTAAGTATTAAAATTTATATAATAAGAAATTTATATAAAAAAGTAATTTTTTAAAGTTTTTTTAAAGATTTACTAAAGTAAAACTTAAGTTTAGCTTAGAATTATACTAAGATAAGTTTAAACTTTATTTAAAGTTTATTTAAAAAGAGATTATATATATTTTAAGTTATTAATTAGTTAAATAATAAGTTTTTTTAAAAACTTTTTTTAGAAAATTTTATTTTTTTATTAAAAACTTTTAAAATATTATTTTAATATTAAGCTTATTATTAATTATAATTTATATTTTCTTTTTCTTTTTCTTTTTTTAAATAAATTTCTATTTATTATTTTAAGTTTTTTTAAAAAAAATAATAATTAAAGACTTTTAATAATATTAATTGTTTTTAAAAAACTTTAAAAAAAAATTTAAATTTAAATTTTAATTAATATTATAAAATAGTTTATTTTTTTAAAGTTTAAAAAAGCTATATATATTATATAGAATTTTTATATAATATATTAATAAAGTAATAATAGTTATTATTATCGTTTTCTAAATAGACCGCCAAGCAATGTACATTAATTATAGTACTAGCTAAGGGTAGCCAAAGAACGCCAAGCCTCGGCGGCTAGTCGGGTTAGCTTAATGGGACCTTGGATCTTGTAGGCCATGAGCACTATATACATGATATTCTTCTTCCTAATCTAGCTCTGAATCATACAATGGAAGATGAGAACCATCCTGGGAATTCATCGGCTGACATCTCGAATCTTCCCAATACCTTTCCCACAAATGGCCTGCCGGATAATCCAGCCGCTTCAGGCATGTACAACGGTCACGATGAGACGGCCACGGGCAGTCCAAATGAAAACAATTCTGTTGTTGACAGTGTCCTCCGATCTGATGTAAGTCGTGCACCCTGATCTGTCTCGCGGGCACTGATGTCGTTGCTAGATAGGGGTGAACACACTGCTCACACGGCTGAAACAAAGCGTTGCGTCTGCACGGGAATTTGCAACGTTTCTGAAAAAGAGATCGACGCTTGAGGAGGATCAAGCACAAGGTCTCAAAAAGCTTTGTCGAGGTAGTCATGATGCAGTCAGAAGGCCAGACAACCGCCAAGGATCTTATGCGCGGAGTTACGAGGAGACGGTTCGAGTACACGATCGGATGGCGGACAACGGGATACAATTTGCGTTATCCCTACATCACATGCATGAAGACCTCAATGAGCTAGCCGTAAACATAGAGCGAGGTCGGAAGATGTGGAAGCAGAACGGTCTAGCCGCTGAGAAGAGAGTTCAAGATTCGGAAGCTCTGATGGAGAAAGCAAAAGCGAAATATCATTCTCTCGCAGAGGACTACGATCGTGCCCGCACGGGCGATAAAGGATCGGGGCGTGTCTTCGGCTTGAAAGGACCAAAGTCTGCCGCTCAGCATGAGGAGGACCTCTCGAGGAAAGTCCAACAAGCCGACGCGGACTATTCTTCCAAAGTTCAGACTGCGAAGGCCCAACGTCAGGATTTAGTAAGCACACTCAGACCACAGGCAACAAAAGCTCTTCAAGAACTCATCAATGAGTGCGACAATGGTTTGACCCTGCAATTACAAAAATTCGGTAAGAGTGTGGACCCCAAAACAATCAAAATATTACTGATGGCTCGCTAGCTTCCTTCAACGAGCGGCTCTTGCTAGGTAATGGACTTTGTGTGTGCCCTCTTCCAAGCCAGCCAGACAGCCTTGCATCGAGGAGTTTACGAGAGGTTATATCACAGATTGATAACCCGCAAGATCTCAGGACGTTCATCGTTAGCCACGCTTCCAAGGTTAGCGATGGGGGTGACATCAAATACGAACGCCATCCTGTAAGCCTCTATTCGGCACATGGTCCGGAGTTTCTACTTATCTAAGTGCAGACTCTCAAGCCCGAGCAGGCTAACCCTCCTTCATTGGCCAATCGGACGACCCCACCCATGCAAGGCCCAGGTCCTGCAGTGATGGGTGGTGGTCCACATAGGCCCTCTCTATCCACGCCAACCCCTTCAGCACCTGGAGGTACGGTTCCTACTCAAGCCCCTATGCCAGTGGTGCCATTTGGAGCTCTTTCCGGACAACAAAGCGGGCTGACTAGCTCTCCGCAAACCTCGAATTATCCGACAAGCATTTCTAACGCACCACCTCAATTACCCCCAGCTCAGATCAAAAGCCCATTGTATCCACAGCCACCTGCCTCACTCGGAACTTTCCAAAATAATATCTCAAATACCAGTCTGCCCGCTTTGCGCCCTGTTTTCGGCCTCTCACTCGACGATCTTTTGAAGCGTGACGGATCTGCAGTACCATTGGTTATCTACCAATGCATCCAAGCAATTGACCTATTTGGCCTCGAGGTGGAGGGTATCTATCGTCTTTCAGGCTCATCAACCCACGTCAACAAGCTTAAAGGGATCTTTGACAATGGTGAGATGACTGTGATCTCCAAGGCAGGCTTTGCTGATAAGTTTGAGATTCTACCCAAGTGGATTTCCGTAATCCAGAGGCTTTCTACCATGATGTCAATAGCGTCGCGGGGCTTCTGAAGCAATTCTTCAGGGACTTGCCAGACCCCCTTTTAACTCGTGAGCACTATCAAGGTTTTGTTGATGCGGCTCGTGAGTTCTCCAAGAGCAGTTCTATTGCAAAACTGATTCATCTAAGGCATCGATGATAGTATCATGCGGCGTGATTCCATACATGCAATCATCAACGCATTACCGGATCCAAATTATGCAACCCTGCGTGCACTTACACTTGTGAGTGCCGATGTTTCGAGATTATGATACCCCGCTAAAGCTTCGTAGCACTTGAATCGAGTGCAGGAACATTCTGCAGCAAATAGAATGAATGCGAGCAATTTAGCGATAATATTTGGGTCAGACAACCTGTCGTCCCAGAGATCGCGTGAGCTGACTATGCGAATAGACCTACGTTGATGGGTAGTGGCCCTGACGTTGCGGATGCTGGCTGGCAAGTAAGAGCCATCGATACTATCCTGCAAAACACTTATCAAATTTTCGATGACGATTAATTAAATCTTCATCCGCTCGACAAACCTGAATCTACATCTTGTGATACCTCTCATGACTTTACAAATAATCCAGACAGTATTGCGCACGACGTAAGCAAAGACAGCTGAAAGTAGATAGGTGGATAGGACATAAGACCATCTAACGATTAAGCAAAGACTCTACGAGGATGTCACTGTGAGTGATGCGATCTCGTATTTTCGATTCCAGTATGCTTTCCTATTAGGTGTCTATTTCGTGATTTAGTTGTGTTACTAAAGCTATATCACTTCTAGATAATTAAACTACCCTATTTAATATATATAATTTAAATTAAATTAAATTATAAAATATACTATAATATTCTTTTAAACTAATTAATTATTAAAGCTTAGTTACTAAGCTTAATAAAACTTAAATAATTTTATTAAAATTATCTTTATAATTATAATTAATTAATAAGTTTAATTATATTAATATTATATTTATTTATAAAGTTTATTAAAACTATTATATATAAATACTTTACTTATAAAAAAAATATAATATTATAAAAATAATATAAAAGTATTTATTTTTAATAAATAAAATATAAAAATATAACTTTTATTAAAAATTTACTTAATAAAAAATATTTTAAAAAATTTATATATAAGAAAAAGACTTTCTTAAATATATTATATTAAAAAGTTAAACTTAAAATTTATTTAAACTATTTTTAAAATATATTTTAATATAAAATATATTTAAGTTTAAAATATTTTAAAATTTATTTTTTAAAAAAAATTTAAATTAAAAACTATTAAAAAAAATTTATTTTTAACTTATCTTAAGTTTATAAATTATAAAAATTTTAACTTAATTAAGTCTAGAGCCTAGATTTAATTTAAAAGTATATAATTAAAACTTTAAAAAAATATATTAAAAATTAAAGTTTTAAAATAATATAATTATATTAATATAATATAAACTTTTAATTTAATATATAATTTAATTAAATATATATATAAATATTATTTTCTTATTAATTTATTTTAAATAATAAAAAATCTTTTAAAAAAAGAGTTTTAAGTTTTATTAAAGATTTATAAAAAAAAATCTTAAGTTTATCTTAGAATTATCTTAAGTTTAATTTTAAATTTATTTTATATTATTTTAAATAGAAATTACTTATATTTTAAATTATTAAATAATTTTATAATAAGTTTTTTTAAAAACTTTTTCTAGAATATCTTAGTTTTTTACTAAGAAATAAATTTTTTAAAAATAAAAAGCTTATTTAAATACTTAATAAAAACTATTATATATAATTTTCTTTTTTTAAATATATTTTTATTTATATATAAAGATTTTATAATATTTATTAAATTTTTAATATTTATTAAGTTTTTAATATTTATTAAGTTTTTAATATTTATTAAGTTTTTTAAAATTAATTAAGTTTTTAATATTAATAAATTTATATTATTAAAGAAAATATAATTAAAATATAATTATATTCTTCTTTTCTATTAAAGTATATTTTTTTATTAATTAGAAATAATTTTAAATATAAATAAATTTTAACTTTAATTATAAACTTAAATTTTATTAGAAATATTTAATAAAAGTAAGACTTCACTTAATATATATAAAATAATTTATATCTTTAATTAATATAATTATATATTAATCTTATTACTTTAATAGCTTAATAACTAATAATAATACTTACTTAGCATTAGAAATACTTATTTATAATATTTATATATATTAAAATATCTCTTAAAAATATAATATAAGAATTAAAGTTTAGCTTATTAAATTAACTTAATTTAAATATTTTTATTAATCTTTTATATTCTAATTAAAACTTTTTAAAAAGCTTTAATTTATTATAATTTTCTATTATATTAGTTATAGTAAGTATTATTATATTTATTATTTTAAAAAAAGTTTCTTAAAATCTATTTTAAGTTATCTTTACCCTTATTATATAATAGTTTATCTTTATTAAATAAGATTATTATATTATTATAATTATTTATTTTAAATAATATTTACTATTAATTATAATAATATATATCTTTATAATTATTTATTATTAAATAGCTTTTTCTTTAAATTCTTTTTTTTTAATAAAGCTTCTATATATTAAATACTTTAGATTATCTTTATTAAAGTTATTTAAAATATTTATAACTTAAATTTTATACTTAGTAATTAGTTTTATATTTAAATTAAGTTAATTTTCTATTATTATAATCTTTTTTATAGTTAGAAACAGTATTTTATAAATATTAACTTAATTTATATTTTTAAATAAATTTAGGCTTTAAAATATATTTATTAATTTATTTAATAGTATTATCTCTTTTTTTAAATAACTTTTTAACTATTTTTATATATTATTTAATTTTATTTAAAACTTAAAGTTTAACTTATATTTTTTTATTATTATTTATTTATTTATATTTAATAGTTTTTTTATAATATTTTAATTTTTATAATATTTAATAGTTAAATAAATAGTATATGTAGCTACTTTTAATATTCTTTTTTTATATTTTAAATTTTTTATTATAAGCTTTATTTTTATATTTATTTTAAATTCTATATTATTAACTAATATTCTTTATTTTTACTTAATTTATTTTCTAGTTAAATTATTTTCTTTATTAATTTACTTTTACCTTTTAATAAGAATTATTACTTTAATATTAAAAACTTTAAAATAAGTATTTAAATACTAAGATTTAAACTTAGTTTTAATATTATAACTTTTAATAAAAAATATTAAGATTTAAAGTATAGTATATTTTAACCTAATTATAATATTAATACTTTTTACTTAAAATTACTTTTAATACTTATATCTTTATTTATTATATATTTAAAAATTCTTTTTTCTTTAATTTAACTAATAATTAATATCTAATTATTTATTTATTAAGAATTCTTTATTAAGTTAAATACTAATAAAGTTAAATTTATTTTAAATAAAATATTTTTCTACTTTTTTTTAATTCTAAAACTAGATATTACTTTCTAAGTTTTATTACTTATTTCTTTATTATAGATTAGATTTTTTAGCTTTTTAAAATATTATAAAACTAACTTATTTTTATATTTAATTTTCTTTTAAGCTACTTTTTTTTTTATTTTTAATTATAAATAACTTTTTTAAGTATTAAATATAATTATAAACTATTATTTTTTATTTTTTAATTATATTATAAAATACTTTTATTTTATATTTAATTACTTAGTAATTAAATATTAATAATTTAAAATTATTTATAAAATAGCTTTTATTAATTTATTCTATATTTTCTATAAAAAAAATCTTTTTAAAAAATTTTATTTTAATTATAAATCTTATTTTAGTTTTTAATTAATTTTAATATTTTTATATACTTGTAAACTTTTTATTAATTAAGGTTAAAAGACTAAAAATATTATTTTCCTATAATAGATTTCTTAGCTTTTATATTATTAATTAAATATATATATTTCTTAAGTTTTTATTTTAATTTAAGTTAATTATTTCTCTTTTATTATTTAAAACTTTATAATTAAATTAAAGGCTAATAAAGTCTCTATATTATATTTAAACTTTTATTAAACTTTATATTATATTAAAATTTATATAATTAATATTAAATAATTTTATTAAATATATAAACTAGCCTTTAGCTATTATAATAAATATTATTAATAAATATTTTTTTATTATTTTTTATTTACTTATAAAAGTAAATAAATAATAATATAATTAGCTTTAAGTAAATTTATTTAAAGGAACTAATCTTTAATTTTAATAGTAGATTCTAATTAATATAGTTTTAAAAATAATATTTTCTTTATTATATTTTAATTAATCTTTTATAAAAATAATAATAGCTTTCTTTTAAAAACTATAAAAGCTATATCTTTACTATTTTTATTAATTATTATTATAAGTAGTAATAGCTTTTTTTTAAAAATAGAATTTATTATAAATATATTCCTTATAAATAAATTTATTTTTATTATTACTTTTATAATAATATTTTTAAATATAAATTCTTTTACCTTATTTAATTAATTATTAATAGTTTTAATATTTATTAATATTTTTATTTTCCTTCTTTTATTTACTTTTTATTTATATATATTTATTTATAAAGTAGTATTATAAATAGAATATATTAAATTATTTTAATATTTAAATTAATAAGAATATTTATTAATACTTTAGCTATATAATTTATATTATTTTTATAATATTGAATCTTATTTACTTTAGCTTTAATAAAAATAAATAAATTATATTTTCTAAAGATATTAGGTTTTTAACTTAGAATATATTTAATATTTAAGGTTTTAATTTTCTTTAAATAAATAATATTTAAAGTAAACTTATATTTATATATTATATATATATTATTTACTATTATAAATTTTATTAGCTTATTTCCTATTAATTAAGTAAAATCCTAACTATAAAAGTAATAATATATTTTTAGCTCTTTTTTAGTCTTAAAAACTATTAAATACTAATTAAAAAGCTTTTTCTTATTAATATTACTAAATTAAAAAACTATTATTTATTATAAAAGGAAGTAAAAATCTTTAAAAAGTTATATATTTTTATTCTTTAAATTAAAGCTAAAGATATTATAATTTTAATATTATAAAACTTACTTTAATAAATCTTTATTAAATACTAAATTATTTAAATTTATTTCTATTTTATTATCTTTTAAATAATATTTTATAAATAAATTATTTAAATAATATAAATATTACTTAATAGTATTTTAAATTATATTTAAATATTAATATAATTTTTCTTTTATATTTTAATTACTAGCTAAAATTTTATTAATAAGCTACTTTAAGTTTTTTTCTTTAAATTAAATATTTTAAAAGTTTTTATTATTTAAGTTTATAAAAAATAAAAAAATAATATTAATATTCTTAATTATAAAAACTTTAGTTTAAGAAATACTTACTATTTATAATATATTATTTACTAATATTAAAAGCTAATAAATTATAA